TTCCACTATGCCCGGTTTCACTGAAGTTGACTTCCGCCGTCACAGTATGCAATATCATACAATCGTGATACTCCTGCATCGGACTCTGATAGCACCTTTTGGCGACGACTTGCCCTCGCAAACACGTTCAGACAAGGAACTTCAGACGTGCACAGACTCTGCAGACGAAATATGCCAGCTCCTCAAGATATACACGACGACGTTTTCCACAAAGGCCCTGCACGTACAGTCGGTATACGTTGTCCTGACAGCTGGCTTGATACATGTCTACAAGATCCACCGAGAGCAAACATCCAAATCACCGGGAGAGAGCTCGACTGCATCGGACAATTTGACCACCTGCCTCCAGACCCTCGGCGAGATGAGTATCGCTTTCAAGAGTAGCCTACGGGCGCTGGACATTCTCTTATCGGCGAGACGTCAACTGAGTCATGACTGGTGAAACACCGAGGTGACGTATGCGGAGGGCGATGCTTTCAATGATGAGCGAACGGCTATATTGAGCCATTGATGGCCTACTTCTTGCCATCAATCGTGTCAAGCAATTTAAGTAAGCGCCATGTTGCTGGATTCTGGCTGGGCGCAAGTGACCAGCCCGAGGTTCCTGCCACCACACGCGTATTCCGTTTCCGAGGGAGTGTCCACGTTAGGATAATGAGAATAAGACTATCCCACTGGCTCGAAGCCTAGGTGTTAAAGGAGACCTCGTCGTCAAAGGCAATGGTGCCCAAGTGCCCCTCGGACATGTCAATGACAATGTGCTTGAGCGCTTGCCGTCTGAATTCGGCCTTGGTATTGGGCGCCGAAGGACCAATTCAGTGAAATCGACACCCCCGGACCTCCTTCGCGGCTTCGCGGACCAACCTCCGGCGTGAGGAGATTCAGAGTTCCCAGATGATCCTTCTTGCCGTCTGCCTTGTCGAAGACACCCCATGCGCAGCCCTGCGGCATGCCCTTAACTTGGGGCAAGGAATCGAAGTCCGGAATGGTTCGTCGAAAGTTGTTTGGGCCATGATGTGTTGGAGAGAGCCACAGTGGGTACTACTACCTTCATTGGGCAAATTCTTCTAGTCCCTACCTTGCTTTTTTTTTTTAAATCTGGGTTAGCTCCAAGACTCTGTGCACGATGATGATGGTGATGGCGATGGTAACAAAAAGGTATTTATGCTCTTCGATGCCCAAGTCGTGGTCTGGGATGAAAAGGAAAGGCTCCAGACGTTCGTGATACGTCAAAATGGGGACGGCCAGCACGCGCGTGGAAGAGCTAACTCCGTCGTCTCCTTCTCGGAGATGTGTGAAGCGACCAGCCATCGGTTCAACGTCTGAAGTGCCGACGCTGGGATTTGCCAGGTGCATCTCCAGTGCGGGTCTCGAGTGTTGTCTCGACGACCATCTGGGACGTGACTCGTTGAAGCCCTTTGTACACCTTGTGGAAGGGTTGTCAAAGTTCTCTCTCTCTCTCTCTCTCTTTTTAGTGAAGCTGGCCTGAAATGGCACAGATCTACATGGGATATCTTACAGCGCTGAGGGTCATATCTGAGGGATGATTCTCTCCTCCCTCATGGTGTCGAAGATGCATTTGATATCTTGCCGAGTATCACATTGGACCGTCCATCCGAGTTCTTGGGCGGCCTTGTCCATGCTCACATGGGAGCCCCACGGCGCGTTGCCCATGGCCCACGCAAAGAACCTCCACGTGGCGAACCGTTCGCACGCGTCTCTGCTTCCTCCGTGACGGTCGACTATCTGTTCCCAAACCCCGGCCTGGAGCTTGTTCTCAATATCTTGTGCGAGGTCAAATCCTGCCCTGGTGGTTACAGGCACCCCAAAGTATCCTCCCATGTACTCCCACAGGTCTGCGAATGTGGTCTCGCTTGCATCTTTATCGACAATATTATATGCCTGATTTGCGCCTCCTTCATGAGTGGCGAGATGGCTGGTGAACGCCGCTATGTTTGTGGCGGATGAGAAGTCCTGCCGTTTCTCGTAGCAGCTGTCGCCGTCGACAGGGACGGGAAATACCGCAGGCTCGCCCAGAGCTTTCTGGATCGTGAAGTAGATCGCGGCGGTGCAGGTAAAGGACTGACCGCTTCCTGGAACGCCACAATTAGTTTGTCGTTATGGGTGCCTTGAATCTCACAAAAAAACAGCCTTGGTTCCAGGACGTACCGGCAGAGACACCACTGATCAAGAAAGGACGAGTCACGCTCCATGTCCATCGCTTGCCCTTCTGGAGCCCGAACATGAAGTCTTCCTGAGGGTAATAGAAATTGGGTGGGCCGTCCAAACCCAGGCGTCCCAGATCCTCCGTGATGGGCTGCCGCGGCGGCGCCTTGTATGCCTGGCCGTAGTGTTTGGCGCCCGTCTGCAGCACCACTCGCTGCAAGGTGTCTCTATTCAGCCTCTCGACGGCCGTGAGGACATTCTGGAAGAAGGGGACGTTATATTCGTACTGCTTTTCGAAACTGTCGTGATGGATGTACGCCATGTGGAAAAAGTGCGTGATCCGAGTCGCATCCATTTCTTCGAGTGCTTCCGTGATCGCGTCCACATCTTGGTTCAGGTCGTGCCGGTGGAAGGTCACACGGGTGGACTGTGGCAAGCTGTAAGGAGGTCGGCGAGAGGTTGCGATGACACGGGTCCATTGGGGCTCTCGTGCAAGTTGGGCGACGAGATATTGTCCCGTCACGCCGTTGGCGCCAGTGACAAAGGCCACCTTTTCTGCTTCGGGAGACATCTCGGGGACGACCGCGATGTGGTAGAGGTCTCTGTCCAAGCTGATTTACACAAGAGATGATCTCTGTACATAGCCCAGTAGTTTCCCCCGGGAAGCTTGACTCACGTCACGTCTAAGGCATTGGTAAACGCGTGCTATATCATGTGGTGTTGATCTAGTAAGTTCAACAATACCGGGAGAGCTCTGTACCACCGGTCCCCTCCAGAGCTCGTTCACTTGGGCGCGTCCTGCATTATTGCCAATCTTCGTGGAGCAGCTATTCGTACCATATCAGGGGGCCCGTGGTCGACGCTCGTAATTTGGCCGCTCTCACGCCTCTGCACAACCCCCGTCGAGGATTGCTTCTCGGAGTCGCGTCGGAGATACACTGATGGTTCGAAGAACGGCAAGTCCAAGCGGACTACCAACTTTAAGCGACTTGGGTAATCAACACCGAGACGATTCGCAGTCGTGTACCTATGCCAGAATGGCTCGAGTTGGTCTGCTTCTCGAACACCGGATGATACGCTCCCTGATGACGGATCGCTTTACAACGATACGTGACGAAAGGTGTCACCAGCGAGAGTCAGTAGAGTTGACTTAGTGATATTAGAGTAGGGCGATGTAGCTAGCGGTCGAGTAGTTAGATTGCCACGTTACTTGCCATTTACTATGTACGTAGTATTGTACTTGGTCTGGTCCCCGACTGTTTGTGGATCTGCGAGGAAGTGCTAAATGGGTTCGTATGTAGCACGTAATGGAAGTATAGCGGCGGTCTAGCTACGGTTATTGATATAATAATTAGTTCTACGATATATATGCATTAGCATTCTATTTCTTACTATGTGGGATAGCCAACAGACCCCGTATACAGTTCTCCGTACCCCGTCCGTCAAATGAGTCCTGTCAAATCTCAGACCGAAACCGATATTTCAGGGATACAAGAGTGAGGCGATTCGGGGAAACTTCAAACCTGCCCACTGATTTCGTCATGGCAATAACTTCGTACTGGAAAGATCTCTCCTGAGGTAGGGCAAGCCCTTCAACGTCTCCATACAGCGTCTGCTTGGATACGTGCACTTCTGTATATGGCCTAATAGAGGGCTAAATGCGAAGCGCTAGTAATTTAGTGATGAGTGTCGGGCGAGTCAGAACGCTGAAGGGTCCGAACATGCATCGTAAAGAATCCAACACCGCAGTACCCGTGGAGAATGTCGTGTCGGCTGATGTTAGACATTGTGAAAGCTCTTAACGTCACCGTTGCTTGGCCTCTCCTGCGAGCATTCAACGAAATATTCTAGCCTTGTCCGTGACAGGCTTGAGTCGTTAAGGAGTGATTGTGGTGATATCCAGGCTTCCGTAAATATCAGTATATTCCGCTACCATCGATCCCCTTTTTCAAATCCTCAGACTATTCCAGGAGGCCTGCGACTGTACTCTACCTCCACAAGCATGACCGGACGGGTTGCTATTGTGACAGAAGGCGTGGTACGTAAAATATCTTGACCAGTCCCAAGCTCTTGGTTCTAATCTGCAAAGTCGGGGATAAGAGCCGAAACCACAGTGACGCTGATCAAGCGAGGATGGAAGGTTGCGGCGCTTGATCTTCCATCTCAAAGACCACTTGCCGACAAACTAGCTGAAGAAGTTGACGACCAAAGGCTTGTCTATTACCAGTGCGACGTCGCGATTACTACCAACAGGCAGACGCCTACAAGGGGACTTTCGACAGATGGGGCCGAATTGAGGCTCTTTGTGCAAATGCTGGCATCATCGACAAGAGTTCAATTTTCACCCTCCATCATAAAGACAGCTCGGAAGTGGTCCACTACGCCGGTCAATGCCGACATTGCCGTCATGAAAAGCGTGCGAACTCCGGTGAACGCAAAACTTTTGCATCCTCGCGGAGCGAGGCTATTCCCATTCACCGGCTGTAACAGGTTAGTAGTTTGGTTGACGCCGATCACATCATAATCTATTTTTCCTGGCTGCGGCCGATCTAGAATGCTCTGGCAAATCCCGAGTCAGATGAGCTGGTGCAGTGCATCATTCCAGCCGGCTGTTGACGAAACCTGTTGCCAGAATATAGAGAGCCAAGAAGCGAACTCCGACCTGCAACAAGTGTCTGTAATGGCATGTGGTTTTAGTTGACCGAGCATCTAATACCCCTCAAATGGATGCAGCACTACTAACTTCAGAGGTGATGTCTCTTAACGTGCAATACTCTTGTAATAACCTCTTCCACACTACAGCATTCTCTGATACAACAGCACTTCACATCAATATGTCAAACACCTCTGATCGGCACAGTGCTGACGGCTTTCTTGCCGCGTGCAGAACCAGAAGGACAGTCTATTCGTTGGCCAAGTGCCCTCAACTCTCGGATGAGAGGGTCATCTATCTTGTCCACGAGGCTATCCTCCATACTCCAAGCTCCTTCAATTCTCAGTCGACCCGCGCCCTTGTGTTGCTCGGCGACGAACACGAACACCTTTGGAACGATATTGCAAAGCCTGCCGTCTTCGCGGTGGCACCGAAGGAGGTCTGGCTGGCGTCCGAGAAGAAACTGTCGGCTTTCGCTGCGGCGCACGGCACTGTGAGTCTGCTAACCAACCAAACACTCCAATACTGATTGTTTTGTAATGAGATACTTCTTTTTGAAAGTCTGGCCGATACAGCATCGCTCCAGCAGACGTATCCTTTGTATAGAGATCACTTCCCCTCGTGGGCTGAGCACACGAACGCGATGTGCACTTTTGTCCGTAAGCATATCACAATGACTCGATCCCATGCTATCCTCTCGTGTTCCGAGTGCATGCTGAATGCGTGTCTCCTCAAGTATGGACTGCGCTTGCCCAAGAAGGCCTCGGAGCCAATTTGCAACATTACAGTCCGCTTATAGACGCGAAGCTGGCCCAGCGGTACAACATCATCGATGATTGGAAATTGAAAGGTCAAATTGTATTCGGCAAGCCGACTTCACAACCGTGTGAAAAAGTTTTTAAACCACTTGCCGAGAGAGTGATGGTATGCAAATCGGTGGGCAAATAGAGACGCATGTCCTGACCGAATACAAAGCAATCAGTTCATGCAAGTTGCAACCCACAAATATGACCATAGAGTGGTGCAATCTAATCACCTCCGTTCCTGTCCACCTTTTCATTCTTAGAAGTACATCCTCTTCGCCATGCTTCTTCATACTTACCTTACGAAACTGTCTCGCCCTCTTCCGTTGGACGTGCCAAAGTCTGAACAACGACATTCCCCGGGACGCCGAAGTAAGAAAAGGTCCCCAGATTTTCCATTCGGCCCGGTTTTTCTTGAATGAAGGTGTAGTTCCGCTATTTGCGCTTGATACTCGGGGCTCGGTCATCAGTATTTGACACGATCTAGAGCTATATTTTATACGAATTACCACGGCGTTCTCGACTTGAGATAGCATCGGCACATACCTATTCGAAGAACCCCCCCCCCCCCAAAAAGGCCTAGGGTTGCTAGGAATCGATTCATATCCGATCGTATTCTTGACCTAACTTGGTAATAGACTTACTACTTTCAGTTAGCGTCTCTCTCGGAAGGTGATACTAACACGTGATCAGGTATAGAACCGGTTATTGGATGTCAGTATCACCGAATTAGGATGTCCGTTCCCCAAGAGGATTAGCATCGATTTAGGAATCAATCTCTGGCGGCTATTAGACGAGAGACTGTCCGGCAAATGTTACACCTTTTGCAACTTATATCCATCGGCACGACAACGAAGGACCAAACAATGTCTCGTTGGTACCGGCAAGCCCTAAGCACCGACCCAGAGTGGACTGGAGGGATGCCAAAGGCTTACAATGGCCGTCGATCATATTCATGGGGCCGATGGCCACCGATGCCGCTAGTAAGCCTCGATAAATATACAGTCTGACGCCGGCCCAAACCGCAGATAGGTATACTCCGTGCCCGGACGTCATGGGTAACCCAGGCTAGTATACCAGAGAGCAAGTTCACCGAGCCCAAGACGCCGAGTCCCACCCTGCTTTCCATCACAGTCGAACTCAGCCCTTTGAATAACGCGTAATCACACATTCTTTAAGGTGATAAATTCTGAAGTTCTTGCAGATGATGTCGCAAATGGGGTTTGAGCAAGATTGTCGTTAAGATGTGTCTATCTACGAGACTTGCCGTGACGGCAATGCTACTCTCATTGAGCTTCTGCTATCTGCGTTACAAACGACGTGTGCCCGGGAAACTCAAGGAACTCCCCGGTCCCAAAGGTCAAAGACCCAGAGATATTGGTTCCCCCCAGCTGACTGTAAAAGGTTATCCTATCGTGGGAAACTTCTTTGACATGCCGAGAGAAAAGGCATACCTTAAGTTCAAGGAATGGGCAGATATATACGGTCCTATTTTCAGACTCAATGTTCTGGGCAGCACTCATGTCATCGTTTCCAGTCAAACCATTGCCGAGGATCTGATGGCGAAAAGGGGAGCAATCTATTCAGACCGCGGCACTCTACATATGATCCGGCTTGTCACTGGGGGAAGGGATCTGCTGGCATCCAGTAGCGAGTCCGAGTACTGGCGCCTGGGTCGACGCTTCGCGGCGTCGATGCTGACGCCGGCAATGGCTGCTCAATGGGAGCCATATCAAACATTTCAATGCCTGAGAATGGTCGAATCGATAATGAAGGAACCTGAACGCTACATTTACTGGTTCGACCGTTATGCCACATTAGTATCACTGAAGGAGATCTATGGTAAGGACGTCACCAAGCCGGACGAAGAGGAGTACCATACTCACACAATCTCGGAACGAATGCACAACATCGAGCGCCTGGGAACTCCCGGTGGATACCTAGTGGAGCTCATCCCGGCCTTGCTGAAGCTACCAGCTTGGATGACGCCGTTTCGAGCCGAAGCCCAAGCCTTGCGAGAGGTGGAGCTGGCCTACTTCCAAGGACTCGTGGAGGAAGCCCAACAACGTTGGAAGTCAAAGATTCCCGAAACTCCTGAGTCCTTCGCGCGTTGCTGGCTTAAAAAGGATGGCCGCTGGGAACTGGAAGTACCCGACATCACCTACGTTCTAGGTACCTTGTATGGTGGAGGTTCAGGTACGACTTCCAATGCGATGCAGACCTTTATCATGGCAATGGCTTTATATCCAGAATGGCAGACACAGCTGCAAGACGAGCTCGATGCTGTCGTTGGACCTAATCGACTGCCGAGTTTTGCCGACAGACCTCAGCTCAGGGTCGTCAGGGCCATTGCTAAGGAGATCTTGCGGTGGAGGCCAGTCGTGCCCGGGAGTAAGCGTCTCCTCTTTGACCTTGGAACCTCTAGGACTTCATGCTAATGTCTCCAGACCTTCCACACAGATTGACGAGAGACGATGAATACCAGGGATACCATATTCCCCAAGGCTCTTTCGTGCATGGAAATCAGTGGGCGATTCATCGAGAACACTCCTTGTATCCTGACGGCGAGACTTTCAACCCGTCAAGGTACCTCGAGACGGCATGGCCAACCTACAAGGGACCTCTGGAAATCCACCCAAATATCAAACGATTCTCGGCGTTTGGGTTTGGCCGACGAATCTGTCCGGGCCTCGAGACTGCCGACCGATCTCTCATCATACAGATTGCGACCCTGGCGTGGGCATGTAACATTTCCAAGAAGGTGAGGCCAGACGGTCAAGAGGTACCGATTGATGATTCCGATTACACGGAAGGGTCCAATGTCATGCCCAAGCCCTTCGAGTTCGAGCTGAAGCCTCGGTCGGCGGATCGCGCACGGTTGATCGCTGAAGCGACTCTTCCCAGAGCCGGCAGTGTCGAGTTTATGTAGCTGTCGTTCGAAGGCCAAGACGGATCATTTTTGACTGTTCCTTCAGATAAGTGTAGTATCTTTCAAGATAATGCTCTAGAGACTCGCCGGTAATGAACATGATGGAGCTGTTACACCTGAGATAGAACAGAATCATCAACGAGTTCCAGTACCTCAACCTGTTATTACAGCATGCATTGGATACTGATTCTCTCTGATTAGAGCGGCGGCCGCTATCTGATTATATCCTCTCTAATCAATGTCCGTAATAGCCGACGCTGTCGTCCTTGTTCCAAGCGATATGAGGCTTTCCCACCACGGCGACTCTCTTGCTCACACCGGGATATTTACAGAACCTCGGTTCATCCTCTGTGGCGAATTTGACGAATTCCGGATCGTGATAGACAGCCTTTGCGCCCTCGATGGAGTCAAACGTCAAGACCGCAAGGCCGTCCCAGCCCGAGTGGTCCATCCCAAAAGCGTCCTCGACGGCCTTGCGCTCTTCCGGGTCGTCCTGCCACTGTAAAGAGGGATCTTTGTTAGCTTCAACAAGTCAGAAGCAAAAAGATGGCAACGATGCGGGGCCTCGTGCGTGACGCACCTGCTCATATCTCAAACAATGTTTCCGAACCACGTCCATCTCCAAGAACATTCGTCCGTGAACGTTGGTCCAGTAGTGGTGGAACTCCTCATAAGACATCTCGGGCTTTTTGGTGACCCAGATGTGGAGAGAGACAGGTCGCTTGTCCCCTGTTGATCCCATTATGTTTCAAAATCCCCTCGATATCTGACAATCAATGTTTCGTGGATCGAACTGGTTGATGTTGAGGCTTTTTAATCTTCCCGTAGTCGATATACGGGGAAATACGATCCGTCCTCGAAACAAGGACGGACCTACCATTTTATTTGACAGAGGATGAGCCCGTCTAACTCGACCAGCAATAATGAATTATTGGCCGGTGACCTTCTTCGGGGCTTGAGAGATGGACAAGAGAGCTTGCCCTCCAAGACCGCCACCCCGAGCGGTAAAGTTCGGGGAGCATCTACCCAGTGAGCCCTTGTGTGACTCTCCCCCGCCGCGACTGAGTTTCGAGATCGCGGGAGTGGTTGGGGTCGAAGGGTCGATGTCGCCAGGCAGGTTCCGCAAGTAGTTTAGTCCTTGGGAGGGCGATTTCCTAACGAGAACAGGCATATTGTCGTCCCATTTTTGCTCAGGTTGACATTCTTCTATTGTTCGGTGACCATGACTAGCCGCCGAAGAGGACTATCTCAGTATGGGCTTTCGTCGAAGCCTTTGACTGGCTTGTTATCTCGAATAACCACATATACTTCGCCAGCACATAAAATCAGACTATCGTGGTCCACGAACTTGTGCTCTTCCGGCCGAATCTTCTCCACGAACTCAGGGTCGTTGTAGAAATTTTCCATATTCTTGTAGCTGTAGCCTTGTGAGAAATCGAATGCTCCGGGGTTTGCGACCTTCAACGTACAACGACATCAAATATTCTGTGATGGCATCAAAAATCTTCTTTAACCCCAATGAGAGTTCGAGACGTCTTGTATTTGGGCGTCAAATGGAACTGGGACACAATTTTAGCCGCTCGAAAAATGTCAATGAGAGAACGAGCGCACATGTCGACACATTACAATCCCATATTTGCAAAGAAGGTCTGCAGCCAACGGGCCATGGTGGTTGCCGGTGAGAATGAAACTCCTCCTCACTGATCCCCGGCTTTCGTTTCACGAGATTCGAGATTCGTACATATTTTTCGCAGTTTTGCGAGGTATGTCTGGAGCCGTATTTGGGGTCGGCTACGAGACTTGCATGGCGCTCTCGAATCGAAAGCCTTCGATCAAGTTTCATCACGCACATAAGAGCTGCACCACAGCCCCTGTCGTAAAAGAGACCGTGACTCTGGTGTCCGATCACCGAAGACCTATTCTACGACCAGCGAGTGCCAACTTGCGGAGTGGCCGAAGCACCGAAGTTGGCGAGCATTAATTGGCTCTGTGGTCGGGCTCTGCAAAACCGGCTGCCAATCAAAGTAGGATCTCGGTGAGGTCGGCAATGGCAATGTCCATAGTTTGGCCGCCAGCCTGGACATTCTGGGCTTGGGAAGAACTGCCATGTTCGAATGAAAATGAGGTGGGTGACAACCCCTTCGCGGTCTTTGAATCTCGTTCAAAGTTTGCTGCAATCCAGAAATCAGCTCATAATGCCGGGTACTCCTGGAACAATCTTTGACTGTTATAGGCACCATTGGCAAGTCAGGAGGTGTGGAGTTGGTCTGAGCTCCTTGGTAGAACAGGTGCATCCTGCCTTGTACGACTCCGCAAAACAATGTAACTCGTACTTTCGCTCCCTCCCGCATTTACCCCGTGTTTGCCTCGTTTACCCGCGCTCCGCAATGAACCTGGCGTGCGTCGCACCTCACCCCCGCTCTGCTATAGCCACTACTTTCTCTCGATATTGGCACCGGCTTGTTCGTCAGAACATACAATATAGTCCCAAGAACTCTCTCGCATAGACTCTTCTCCTGACTATAGGGATATTGGAATATCAAGCAAAGTGCTAGCATGCCGTCCTCGCCGTACGGCCCTCGGCTGACCAATGCGTGCTCAGAGTGTCGCGATAGAAAAGTAAAGTGTATGAATCAACTTTTCGACCTACCACTCGCAGTAAGGTTCTCACGAAATCCAGGCAGTGGGGGTTTACCTTGCAAGCATTGTCAAAGACTGCACAGGTCTTGTCTCTACCCTCCGTCACGAAGAGGCAAACGAGCCAAAACAGCGCTCAGCCAAGCGCAACGCCGCGACACGAATGCTGAAGCGTTGGTTGACAACAGGATGCAGCCAACCATTCCTGCTACAGCCCACACTTTCCGTGACGGCTTCGGTACTCACAGCCTCAGTGCTGGCGCCTCCTTTGCAGAGTTGGACAGAGCCGTCGATACATACGTGGATTTCGTCGGCGACCAGCGGTCGATTGCTCCAGCAAGCCCCGATAACCCAAGAGACAAATCAAATGTGACGGCCAACAAAAGTCCCTATAATCTCAATGCGCCTTCGGCAATCTCTGATAACACGCATCAGTTGATTGCACCATGTAGGAATACCACATCAATCGGACGGTCTCCTATTCGACCGGACGGAACCCTACAATTTGTGCCTGAGCAGACTGCAACGAGTGTAGGTGATACTACCGTCAATGTTGTCGAGACCGGCGAATACATGATTCCACTCCACAAGGTAAATTGGGAGTACCACGGTCCCTGGTCTTGGGTTTCAATCTGTTCACCACCTGGGGTTTCCTGGGTCTGCGAAAGAACAAATTCAAACGAGTTTGAGTCCATCGCAAGTTGCTTCATGAAAACCTGGAGTAAACGCCTGAAGATCCAGCGTTTCCAGTCACTGGCCACCAGGTATCCAGAGCCCGACCCAGATATGGCGTGGAAATACGTGAACGGTGGGCGTGGTCCATTTCTCCGTCAATCGACACTAATTATCACGCAGCTTACTTTGAAGATTCGACAAACACAATCTTTAGCATGTTGCTTCGCTCAACATTTGAAGCTAGGCTAAGACAGCATTTTCGTCAGCTTCATTCTAGCCAGATGGAGGATCCTGCATGGTTTGCGTTACGCAACGCGGTCTATGCCACGGGCTGTCGCTGTCTGCTGGCCAACAGCAGTTCCCCCACCTTTGAGCAGGCCGAGAGCGAGGCGTGGCAGCTGTTCCGCAACGCTCTGGCAGTATTTGGAGAGATCATCTTCGGTCATTCTGGTCTGACTGCCATTCAGGCCCTTACGATCATGGTGGGCTATTCGTTGTTGACATTTCAGCGAGTTGGCCATTCTGACCTTCAGACTCGCAGACCTTTTACGCTATGGGCCTCGCAAGTCCCTGCATTGAATATCCCCTGTGCAAGAACGCCGTACAGCTAGCTCAAGCCAAAGGACTTCACCGGGAGCCGTCAGCCTCGTGGGGACTGTCATCTGCCGACTTGCTGACCAGAAACTGGTTGTGGTGGACCATCTATATAATCGACAAACAAATATCGTTACGAAGCGGTCGCCCATCATCGATCGATGACAACGATATCAGCACACCGATTCCAACCACGGGACCACCAGGAAGTGGACTTGATGTAGAAATGGTGACGCTCATCATCAGGCATGCTCAAATATGTTCCCAGGTAACAACCCGCATCATGTCGGTCAAAGCATCCAAACAAGGCTTTGAGCGGGCATATGACACTGTCCAAGACATACAAAACCAGCTCGAAGGACTGCTACAGAAGGTCCCTGCCTTTCTGGACAACAGCGCCGCAGAAGCCACGCCACAGAGCCCGAATCGACGACTACTCAGCTCATATCTCTACAGCGACGTCCACTCAACAATCATGGCTACACACGTCATATTCTTTTACCCCTGGATCTCATCCCGCTTAGGATGGACGAGCACTCCATTGTTCCGGGAGCAGACCACGATGTCGGCCAACACGATCGCACACTCCGCGCGGCAAATTATACTGCAATTAAAGACTCACCGGCTCGACGTCAGTTCTTCTAACTGGGCGACATTTTTCCACCCGATGAACGCCTATATCAATTTACTCCTTTACATCCTGAAAGAGCCTGATGCTGCCACTGCACGCGGGGATCTGGCTTTGCTCAACGTAGTGGCAGGCCACTTGGGCCAGCTCGAGCACGTGACGGCAGGCATGCTATCCTTCGACTTTCCGAGAGACTGCAATGCATTGTGTTTACGAACCATGAGAACTGCTAAAGACTCCAGAGCAGATGCGTACACGGTACCAGCAACCCCACAGAGTCTCCGCGACGACCCGTCGAGGGACAAGGGTCTCTTGAATGGTTGCCCCGATGCGAATGCGAGGGTGATATGTTCATCCTCAGACAACGTCGTGAGTTAGGCGGTCAAATTGATCAGGATCACAACTAAATCTCGGACAGATTGTGGACGAACTCTCCGAGAACCTGGACTTTGACAATCAATTCTGGGCGATCTTTGGTTCTATCGATGTACCAGACGAGTTTACGGACACCCTGGGTGATTTCGAGTGAGAGTGCCCGGAAATGGGCGCTTATGTTGACAGTGATGGCTAGGCTGCCCATTTTGGGGCACTGACCGCTGGTGGGCAAAGTTGGAGGATACTTTAGCTCATGTCAGACAGAGCACGTGGCCTATGAGAGGTGTGAGGACTACCCTCGGTCAAATCTGTCAGGTCGATAGACTGGTTCAACGCCTCGGAGGAAGGGAGCCCGGCCTGAAACACGTTCTGAAACACGTTTCGGCATGTGATTTCACATGATGATGCGTCAAGGAGGCCTTCAAGACATTTGTTGCCCATCAATGCGTTCAGCATCTTATTAACGAGTCTCATTCACCCTGATGGAATCGGCAGTGGCAACATCACCAAGACATGTTCCTGGTTCTGATCCCCTTTTACGTCCTTTCCTTATGAACAACCCATATGATTCATTGACAACTATGTGTGTAGTGTACGGATTGAGGGATCTGTCGTTGTTTTGACCTCCTCTTCATCACCTTGAGCTGCATCCGAACCCAATAGGCCACACAGCTCCGTATCTTGCGCGATTCCAAGATCACCGTGACCCCGTATGGACTGCCTTTCAGAGTTTTTGAGGCTCCTATAGAGCTGAACGAGCATGAGGGTAACTAGCATAGAATGTCAGAATCTCTGGCACAGTCTCTGGGTGACGGATAGACTTACAACACATGATGCCCATGGCGATCGAGAACCATATCAGCATGAGGGAAATGTGGTCAAGGCCCCAGTAATTGAAGAGCCACAGAGTTTGGGGAGGGGCGTAAATGTTGATGACGCCCATGACTATGATCAACTGTGAATGTTCCATTGTGAGCCAAAACATACTTGTTACCGCGAGACTTGCAGTGGGAAAACCTACGAACGAAAAGACAAACTCGGACGGATTCGGACTCTTGTGAGGCCTAGAGTCGACTGTGACGTTGCTGCTTCGATCGAGGTTTCTGGTGAAATAGGCAATCTCGACAAAGTGTAGGGCTCCGGCGGTCATCATCACACACCCGAGGATCTCATGCACGTGCTTTGCCATGGGATTGGGCTGTTCGTGCATGCTGAAGTACCACCCTGTCACCAGGAACACCACGCCAGGTATCGGTGTTCGCTGGTCATGTTTGCGGGTCTGCCAAAGGCCGACTATGCCTGCTATCCACCAGAATACCCCAAACGCCACGTGGCTATACTCGCGATGGTTCCACTCGGAGCCTGGAATCTTTGATAAGAGTCAGCTAGCTTTTTCTCTTCCGCACGGTCCAAGGGCACAGACATGTTCAAATACTAAGATCAGTCAGCCAAAAAGTTCAAGCAGGAAGAGACGACAGGCAAGAAACATACGTGCGTTGCCACATCCGGATGCTGCGATCGTGGCGCAGGCATAGAAATCCAACGATCGCCCAGTCTTCCGTATCCACCTCTCACCATCGATGGTGATGATGACCAGTATAATTCCTGTGCCGATCATGATAGAGCCCATAGAGACATGACCGGCGCACATCGGGAGCCAGTCTCCGTGGCAGAAACCTTGTCTGAGCGCGGCTTATCAGCCGATAGTGCCTTCGAAGCGGGCGGATTGCTCGCAAGTGGAGGTACTTACGATGTCTCTCCTCCGAGCATCATCTGTGTCCAGCCGGCGACAGGCATCAACTTTCCTGCGACACCGTGCCACCTTTGCAACAACTTCCTCATTGCCCGATGTCGTCCGCCTTCCAGGCGGAAGCTCAGATATATCCCACTTCCCGCTTGAGCGACGACAGCGCACAGGAGCCACTTTGCAAACGTTGCGTGGATATTAGGCTTCACATACTGCCTGCCTCCGTGGAACGATGGGAGTATCCAGCCGATAACTATAGACCGGTCAACTGGGAAACCCGGGCTTTCGGATTGCCTGCCTGTGGCAGAGACTCACCAGTCAGGATCAAGCCAAAGACCTGGAATGGGATGTGCCATCGCGATTTCCCCAGGCCTAGAACCATACCGATGGGAAATACGACTGCGAAAGCAGTGACCATCAAAATCACATGGGCCCAGATAAACGAGTCAATGGGGTCCCCCGAGGCAAACCAGGTGGTCGGAATCCGGTCTACACCCTCTCCATGCCTGAACTCCAGAGACATGTTCGCCATGATGGTCCCGTCGTCTTCCATCCTCGATCACTCCCTCTCTTGGTATACAGTATGTGCGCAGAAAAGATGATTGTGATATCTTCGCATTGGCAATCAAGAGTCTCAGGGGGGTGAAACGGAGGTCTCGAAGGAATCCGATGGAAACTTTCCAATCCGACGGACAAAATTTACTCTGAGAGGCTGAGTTCAAAATGCAGACGAAAAGCGCTATGCTATTTTGCAGGATACATTAGTCAACAGGCAAACTTCCCCAAAAATCCCCCGAGTCACTTCTTCAACAAGGGGGTGATGACACTTCGCAATAATGAATGCACTCTGACACGTTCCACTCCTCCACCTTCCACACCCGCCGTAACGTACCCATGGGAATCAATGTCTGCTTTGCTGGAAGCCTGAACCAATAAATCAGTCCCAGGAGCCCCTTTGTCTTACCACCGCCGAAGTGTGTGGGCATCGGTCAGCACTAGGTATAACGGTAAAATACGAGGTACGAGGTATTCACAGTGGAGAAAGATCAGATGGTAAAGAAAATCGAATGTGGTTTAGTCCACTTACCGCATCGAGCTTCAGCTGTCCGATTAGTTGTTAGGTATCGCGAAAGCATCTGTGATTACGATTTTGGTAAGGATAACGCAGGCCACGAGAGATATGGGGGAAACGGAGTACTCCATACACCGTACCGAGGACGGGGTATTCTATACCGCTATTCGACTCCACAGTGGGGCAGACACGCTTCGCGGTCTCCACTTTCGTTATGCGCTGTCTGAGGGTTTGTGGATCCTATTGTTGTTCCCGCGGTATATTTGCCTCACGCAGAACCATCAATCAGGAGCGGTGCGATCCAGACCGGGAGAGCGGATGGGGCCAAGGGGGAGATCTGTTCAAATCAAACTGGTGGTGGCGGAGAGTGGCTTCGAAGGATTCGGGCGACGTTGTCAAGCCCTATCGCTTCTGGTTTCCCACTGGTAGCTGTGCTTATCTACAGGGCTGAAAAAAGGGCTGATGGTTTGTGTCACTAACAACGGAGAAACACGAAGAATCGCGGGTTAGAAGCTGCATTACGTAAATTGATCCCAAGGCCTTGCCATCCAGGAGCTCTTGCATTGAGAAGAACCCGCCGTCCAGCATTATGTCCAAGACTGGCACGATTCGGTGCTCAGCTGCTCAAAGCGTCTCCCCGGGATTTGATGCCAGATAACGGTCTTGCCAGTTGCAGATCATCTGTGGATAGACCGTCCTTGGAATCGACCAGCATTCAAAAGAGATAACCCATAGATACCCAAAATATCGCCAAGCAGGAGAAGGTCTGCGGCCGCGGAGGGAGGATCCGAGGCCACCTTCTGACCCGGCGAGATGTTTCCCTCTTGCATCATGTAACGGCAACTTGCTGACAGCCTGTGTACCATTTGCGTTCGCATGAGGGGTCGGGGCCTTTCCGGAAAGCAACGCCTTTGATTTGCTGTATCCTAAGTGTGCGAGATCCTCCACCAGAATGGCGCCCGCGATCGACAGGTAATACCACAGCGGCCGAAGATTCGCACACCTCCAAGAAGTCGAAAACGCCACCGAATGCATAGTGCCGGATATCGCAAGGGCGGTAATAGAAACCAAATACCTGGATATTACGGCCGAAGGAGAAATGCGCAGGAGGCCAAACAACAGGAACTTCGCATTCGAGACAAATGCAGTTCGCATGACTCGGTGCCAGAAGTGGCTGTAGTATCTCCGGACAGTGTACGCATCCCTCAAGCGTCCGTACAATGGTGGCCAGTCGGCTGGATCGTCCTGAAACAGGAACACGCCGACAAGAGAGGTTGTGCTATGACCGAGGGACATCAAGAGATAGTTTCTGAAATGCTCCTTGAATGCAGTGTACACTCTGACGATCGCCTCACGACCGCTCACCTGCGACAAGCGGCGAAGGAGATGCTCTCTCGGTCGAGCATAGTCAGTGATGAGGACCCGCAAGGGGTAGCGATGAAAAACGCAGTAGTAAGCAGTAGCCATCCAAGCGACACCGCGTGCCTGTCGGCAAAAGAACTTCCAGCGCGTCGGTACATAGTTCGGTTCCTTGGGGTCAAATGGAGGAATTGCCTGTCTAGAGACGTGGATTCTCGGTGAGAAGAGAAGCCTCAGGCCGGAAAGGAGGCGTTGTGGGGTCGAAGGCGAGGCCGGAACCGTGAGCTTTTTCAGGAGCACAAATTCGTTTGCGTAAAGTACGTAGCCGCACATGTAGAGTCGGAACAACTCGCCTATATCGGAAGGCTCGTCTATGGCAAGGAGACATTGTCGAACCAGGACAACTATCAGGAGCATAGCAATGACCCGAAAACGTGAGTCTGCAGACGAAAAGACCATCGCCAGGAGAGCGGTGATGTGCGCACATACGGCCAATGCCAAAGCAGAAAGCAATTGGGGGGCAGGACGAAACATCGTGACCTGATCTTTCTAGGTTAGGTCAGCCAGGCACGCCGAACTGAAAAGGCAGGCAAGAATGATCCTGGGTCCTATGGCAATGATGTACTGGAGAGAGGTCAAAATAAACAGATCCTAATACCGTAAGCAGGACCTTGCTGGGCTGAACGACAATGAAATAGAGTTGGAGGGTGATCCACAGGTTAGGCTTGGAAGGTCCTTTTGCTCCCTTGACCAATCTCCGCAGTAGCACTCCAGGTACTTGTTAGTGTGGACTATCGACACACGCGGGCTCAGGCGTTCAAGGGGATCTGACCGGCATGTCGCCGCCCGCCTCGATATACTGGGTGCGAGGCTCGAAGCCACCACTCCTGAACGCCACAAAGCACTAAGTGTCTGCTGTTATAGCGTGTATACAGTGCTTTTCTGTGCTGATAGTGCTTATTCTGTGTCTGCCCTGCGAATACCTTTGGACCGATAATTTCAGAAGGATTCATTGCTGCCCACCACTCAACTTCGAGGCCACCCACGAGTTCGTAGCTGTGAGGACAGGAAACCTACGCAGTTTCGTCGAAAATTTACGTTTCGGGGCCTTGTATTCCTAAACAAGTGGAGCTAAAAGGACAAGGGCAGATTGGCCCTCTTTGGGTGGTATGAAGGGGCCAGTGATGGCTAGAGGAAACCATTAGTGATTTCCGGGAACCGCCAAATTTCCCGCGCCAGAGAACTTCACAGGAACTTCCGTAAAGAGCATTTCGGATGGTCAGCTACACAGGCCACTGTACCCGTCCACCCCAAACAAGAGTGGGCTAGGTCCAGCTCTTGATTCTCCAACTCTCTCGTAGCATATAAAGACAATCCTCAACTCTCTCTCGTTGCCAACTTCTTTCTTCTAACACCAGCGGCGATTCGATCTCGAAACAACCACCTTCCAGTCAACATGAAGTTCACCAGCATTTTCACCTTCCTCGGCCTCGTCATGATGGTCGTGGCCGGCGGTGGCGGCGGCGGCGGCGGTGGAGCTTGCTCGAACCCTTGCGAGCCCGGCTGCAGCGGTTGCACTGGTCCAACCTGCTGCCAGAGACTCGCTCGATTGATGGCCCGCGACTGGTCCTTCAACAGCTTCACGCCTCGCAGTATCTCTGACCTTTTCGACTTCTCTGAAGAGGCTTGAAGCGCGAAATTTTCAAACCCAGTGAGACATCCCGTGTAGGAGGAATTGAGTCAATGCTAATAAATATAGCGTCTGTTTCCTGAGCCGTACGATCGCCATGCAACTGAATCAACAATACACGCGTACGCATCCAGAACAACTGAAAGCAGGAATCAGGAGCTTGAGGCAGGACACAGGAGGTAGGAGGTGAGGGGCAGTCGACAGTGGATAGTCCCCAGGGGAAAAGGGGGGGGGGGGGGGGGTGACACTATCAATGATGAGGAGAAAAGAAGACAGCCAGTATCGGTCTTACCTTGATTCATTGCTTTCTAGCCATCATGTAAGCGAGAATCACACTTACTGGCTTTCAAACCGACACCGAAGGCATACTTTTGCTGTTCAATCATTGTCAACGCTTCGTCGAGCCCAGCCGTAAGGTTCTTATATTGTATTGTAGATACCAGTACCGTACCGAGGTAGCAAGCGTCAGGAATTCTCTCAAAGGCTCCTTGGTAATGCGCGATGTCCCTCATGAGAACCACAAACCACCTCAAGTCTGATTTTGCCATCCGCAGAAATGACGGACGGGTGAAAGCGCTGACAGCTCCCCTCTACATCTATCACTCTCATAATTTCCAAAGAAACAGCAGTAGAGGTATTCACAGCTCGTACGCACCCAGAACTTGGGTCGCTAGAGGGTTCAAGATTCATATAGAGAGCTACCCATAGTTTAAGCTCGTGTTGGCTCCGTTAAACTTCGCGAAGTGTTGAACCGATCTGGACAGGATGAGCCAATCTGGCCAATCAGTGAAATACGACCCTAGGTGGAGCCGCCTAAACCATAACTGGCCAGTTATTGACTCGTTCAGCCTAGTGGTATTCTAGTAAGTCAGTTTGGGTGCTTGAAGCATCCATTATTCCCTTTTGTCCGTGCACAAATAAACCTCAAAAGGATTGAGTCATTCAATTCTTCAGTCGGTGATCATTTGGTACAGTGATCATCCTTGAAGCAGGTGACACTCTTGTAGAAGGCCATCGACAGCAATGGCGACACGGCTTTCCATATGTGCGTTCTAGGCCCCTACCTCACCGGTTCCGGGAATTATGGCTCCAACTGGCAAATAAAGTCGATTTGGAAAAGGATCCGGCGGTCTAGCTGCACAATTGCAAGGTTACTTTTGGAACAAGGAGCCCTAGCTGCAGCGCAGAACAATGACGGCAGCTCTCCTTTGCACTTGCTTTTTAGCCGCGGCCGTGTACAACACCCCTGTGCTGTGCAAATGGCTAAATTGCTATGTGAGTCCGGCGCCAGTTTCGACCAACCGAACAGAAATGATGTCACTGCAAGGGACGCAGCCCTCCGGATTGGAGGACAAATGCTCGAGGACCTCAAACGTGATATTCCAGCTCCATGGGAAGGCTATAGAGAGTCCGTTTCCGAAGGTGAAATGGATGGGCCGTTTGACACATCACAGCGTTCGTCGCCCGGCTCTTTCTCTGAGCAAGAAGCAGAGTTTTGCAAGCAGGAGAATCCAGCGAGCCCCATGACGACGTCAACCGAGATAACGTGGAATCCCAGAGTGCTAGCTTCTTGCGCAACTGTGACGACTCTTCCGAGACGATGGGGACCTCATATGCGCCGCTGGAAGGGGTGCAATGTCCCGCTATCGTGTCCAACCAGATGGACATGCTCCCTTCCATGGTGGCCGACGACCAGGACGTACCAATGGGCGGAATAAACGGTACGGGGGACGAAGTCAATGTGCCTGACGTTAATGTCGATTTACCAAGCAACTATTTCCACGACCTAGGCGATGACCTCTTCATGAACCCCTGGCAAGACGCGTGAGGCAGACAGAGATGGAAAATGGAATCAAGAATACTGAATCAAAGAAACGACTTATTCACCCCTGCTTGACGAATCCCAATGGAGATACGCGAATGGAACATGTAATAGAGACGACAGCACACTACCTGCTCAGCCTTCCACTTATTTCACCACTCACATCTTCTGAGAGAATTCAACACCTTGTTCGTAAACGATTACTGCATCACCAACTAAGGCATATAAATATCCAAAACCATTCAGTCTTGCTCGTCTCCGGCCATTTATCAAGTTGACTTTGCTTGCGACTTGACGGTGCTTTTCGTGGCACGCTTCTTCGCAGGAGCCTTGGACTGTCCAGCGCCGTCCTTTGCCGGGGCAGCTTTCTTCGCAGAGGTCTTCTTGATAACCTTTGCGCCGGTGGCAGCCTTGGGCTTGGTGTCCTTCTTGGTGTCCTTCTTGGTGTCCTTCTTGGTGTCCTTCTTGCTAGCCTTGGTGGTAGCCTTGGTGGTAGCCTTGGTCGCGGTTTTGGTCGCCGCCTTGGTCGCCGCCTTTGGCTTAGCTTTGGCGGCCTTCTTAGGGTCTGGTTTTTGGGCCGTGGCGGTCGTCGTGGTAGTTTGGGTCTTGTCCTTCGCCGCCGCCTTCTTCTTAGACGCGGCTACCTTTTTCGCTGGTTCCTTGTCCGGCTCATCCTTCTGCTGCTGCGATGTCGTCGCCGCCGCCAGCTTCTTGGCGTCCTTCTTCCCGTTTGTCTTTCGCTGCTTGCCCTCGTCCTCGTCCTTGTCTTTCTTCTCGTCGTCGGCGTCGGCGGTCTTCTTCGGAGGAGCAGTCGCCTTTTTGGAAGTCGCCTTCTTCGCCTTGGCTGCGACTGTTGGAGGCGCAGCAGTGACCTCGTCGTCAGAGCCCGTGTTGTCATCTACGGTGAGCGTGACCTTGGGTTTCTTCGCTGCCGTGGGCTTCGTCGTCGTCGTCTTCTTGTCCTTCTTCGCGGGGGGACTCGTCTTCTTTGGCTCGGCCTTCTCCTTCCGCGCTGTTGTTTTCCTCTTTTTCACCGCGGGAGTGGTCTTCTTCTTTGAGCTCGTGGTCTTCTTCCCTTTACTCGCCCCTGTCTTCGGACTACCAGCATCCTTCTTCGCCGGCGCAGGTGCCATTGGCCGGGGGGCAGTGGGACTCAGATATGCCGGTCCCAGCGCATCCTTGATGGCCTTCTTTACCTCACCCCTCGTTTTCGGTTTTGGAGTGAGGATAGGCGGAGCGCCGCCAGCCGCGAACTCGTCCGCCTCCTCCTTGGCTTTGCTCCTCGTCTTCCTTTGCTTCGGCGAGTCGTCCGAGTCGGGCGAGCTCCGCGCCGGGGATTTGCGTGCGCGCGAGGGCCGTGAAGAAGCGCCGGCGGTGGCAGTGGCAGTGGCAGGGATGGGGCTCTTGGACCTTCCCTTGCGAGACTTCGCGACTCCAGCGGCCTCGGCGGCGTTGGACGGAGGGCTAGGCGCGCCAGTCGAGCGGCGAGCAGATCTCTGCAAATGTTAAATCAGCAAATGGAGCCGCATGCAGCAAACAGCAAGACAGCATTCTGACGACTCTGAGAAGAGGTCGCTCAAGGACAGATTCTTGGTGTGCCACTTACATCCGACATTTTGGCGGTATTGGTTGTGTTCTGTCCCCTTCTGTGGTTCAATCAAATGTATCCTCTGAAGCAATCTGTTCACGATGTAATGAGCTGGTATGGGTATGGGCCTAGGTAAGGGAAGCACAAGGTAACGGGGCCATGGCCGAACGAACGGGCTTGCTCTTTTGTGCCCGCCGGGGGCCATTGATGCGATGTACAAAGGAAAGGCAGTAGAACCAAGGCATGCCGCAATCCGCGATAGGGTCGTAGTAGCATGGCAATGAACAAAGGCCTCGCGTCGCTGCGAACGGCCGAGCCATGAAGTCGGACACGCACTGGTCGATGTTGGATGGTCTCATCTGTGAGGCCTCAGATAGAAGATGCCGGGTCATAGAAGAAACGCTTTGAGTGGCGATAGCAAATGCGGCGTAGCCAAAACGCAAGTTGCAGGTGTCAAACTGATGGATCACGAAAGGAGGAACGCACAGAACTTCAACAAAATCTGGGACTGGGCAACGGGAATGTTCTGAGGAATGTGTAATAAAACATGCGAGTTCCCCTGCATTCCTCGTCAACTGGCCCTTGATATCCAGGACGGATGAGCAGCAACATTGTCGACATTTTCCCACCATCGCCTCGCCTTGTCCAAGTCCATCTTTCCAACCTTCCTGGTGTAAATGAATCCACTATAGTAACAATCGTGCATTATGTATCTTTTCTTCTTTCGTTAGACCACGTTAAATTCGTCAGTTGATTACTGTGCGAAGCACGGCTCTTCCTTTCTTGGATATATTTGCTCAAAATGGCGCTTATAATTCCTCGGGTGCTGCAAGAAATTGTGATCGTTTGGACATCGTGTTCAACATTCAACCACCAAGACCGGCACCGTCAACGTTTCTCAGCTTCGCAGCCAATGTGGTATCGTAGAAGTTGTAGTATGGGTCTGGAATGCAGAATGTTGAATGTCGGAGCAGGGTGTCGGCCGTTGGTCGGTCGGTCGGGTTGCTGTTTATCCATTAGTATACGCTGTTTCACCGCCAGGAGGTTGAGTCTTACACTTGGAAGCAATCATACATAAAGTTCAGCCCGTCAACTGTAGCTGTCGACTGGACGTCTTCGGGGATGGGCGGCGCCTGGCTCAAACTTCCGAGCTTGAATATGGCGCCGATAGCTTCTTCTCGGCTCCAGGGTCGCTTTCCCGCAAACATTTCCAACACCACACATCCAAGCGACCAGATATCGACTTTGGCACTGTAACCCTGGCCATGGGATCGGACAACTTCAGGGGCCATCCAGAAAACCGAGCCCTGCATGCTGTTCGTAACGTCGTTGCCATAGATATTATCTGATTTCTTCGAGATGCCGAAATCCGAGATCTTGCATGTGCCATCAAGGTCGAGGAGAATGTTGTCAGCCTTCAAGTCCCGGTGTAGAATGCCTTCCTGGTGAAGGTATGCCAGTCCTTCCAAAGTTTGTCGGGTAAGCGACCGGACCACAGACTCTTCAAACTTTCCATGCTTGCGTAGACAACTGCCAATCGAGCCACCAGGAATATACTCGAGATAGATACTGATGGAGAACTCCTTCCGTTCGCAACCAAGGTACTGCACAATGTTTGGATGCTCAAGATGCTGCATAGTATCAATCTCTTGGTCCAGAGCAGCAACCATTTCCTTGATCCGATCTTTATCTTGACCTGCAGCTTTCTGGTTGACCTCCACTTGTTTGACAGCCAGGAACTCACCAGTTGTCGCATTCATACCAAGGTAAACACGTCCATAGGTGCCTTTGCCGATGAGCTGGCCACGAATAATTTTGAAGGTGGCCTGCCGCTTTGGCGTTTCCTCCGTGGGAACATCCTCTTGGGGAATAGGATCTAGCGTAGATAATCGGCTGCCTGGTTTTGGTCTGATCTGAACAATGTGGGCGCCAAACATCTTCGTCGACTTCCGGCGAACAATGCTGCTTGCATTATTTTGCTCCACACGAGCAGCAATCGAGGGTCCTCGCTTGATATCGTTTCGCTTTTGAGCAACTTCACGGATAGATTTCATCCTAGAAATGCCTCCTGTCGCTTTGCCAACCTGCCTCTGAGCAACGCTGGCAACCTTATCACGATCCTTTGCCTTGAGAGTGGATTCGTCGGACCCCAAAGTATCTGAGTCGCTCTTGCGACTGAACTCGAGATCGAGCCCACTGGTACCAAAGGTCAGGCCAGTCGAGGGTCCTTGGAGAGCGTCAAGAGGATCTTGTTCAGTTGCCTTCATAGGCGAGTTATTCTCGCCTTTCTCTTCCAGGTACGGCTTATCGAGATCGACGCCAGGGAAAAATTCGTCGAGATGGTGAACAACATTTTCCACAGCCGGTCGATTTGCCCAGATGTCGCTGATGAAGGAGTCTCTCCTACTCATTCGGTCGTCAGGAGACTGAGCAGAGCCACTGAAACTGCCGTCGGAAAGACTGCGGTCATATCCTTCTCCACTGGCCGTGGCGCTTTCATCCCCGGTGTTTTGCACGCCGCTGGATGAGCTTGGCGACTTGAACCGCACGTTTTTGCTGGTATTTTGATCCGTATCGACCGTCAAGGTTGGTCTCTGGTCTTTACTGCGGGACGGGATTTCGTCCTTAGACATGGACTTGTTTGCCAGAGGGATAGCGAAGAGACCATCGTCCGAGTCGTCGTCCGAATCATCCTTCGTGGGATGAGGTGAAGGAGCAAAGGAAACATTGGTCTCCTTGAATTCTAGATCGGGCCCGTACGACTTCCGGGTTTGCAACAATGGCCGTGGTGCCGATTCAGTCGACGGACTGACCGCTGGAGAAGCACCGAAGCGCCGAGCATTATCCAAAGCAGCATTCCGTGCCCGACTCTCTTGGTTCATATCGGCAAAACCTTCTTCATAGTTAGGAACCTTGAACAGCATATCACCTTTGCCCCGTGTAAAGTCGGGACGAAAGGACCCACCTGAAGTACTCCGACTGTATTCAGTACCCCTTCTGTCTTGTTGCAGTCCTTGGTTGCCCAGAGTGGCGGGAGCACCAGCCATCTTGCCAACATTAGCCAACGCGGCACCGATGCCGCCTGAAGGAAGGGCCGCGAAAGCAGCGGATTTCTTCTTCGCACGCTCCGCGTCTTCCTCAGCAATTGGATCAGAGATTCGCTTCAGGGCGTCGAGGGAGGATCGATTGCCAGATCCTTTGGCCCGAAGGGAATTGACCTTGGTTAGCGTGGTAGATTCTGCAGGTGCTGTCGGTGGCCGTCGAACCGGGACAAGATTTTCGACTTTCTTCTCTTCGAAGGGCGAGTGGCGGGGAGTGTCGAAGTCTATGACCGTGCTTCCTCGAATACCACCTCCACTGTATGTGGAGGTCGACTCTTTTTGAGCTCTGCGGGATTCCAGGTAAGCCCTTTGTTTAGCCTCCGTTTGCCGTCGGTACTCTTCAGCCTGCTTTTGCATGAGGATAGGGTCAGTTACAAGCGATTCGGCTCCTGGAGATGTGTAGCCGTTCCGACTGATGCCACCTGAGGAGTTTGATTTGACCATGGGCGGAGCCCTTTCGACTTGAGCTTTTTGGGCAAAAGACACCCCGAGGCCGGTTGATTGGGATGCTGAACCGGGTACTGCGGACAGTGTAGGGCTCTGGACATACAACTTAAAGCTGCCCAGGCTATCCGTCCGGTTCCGTATTGCGACAAGCATACTGTCCGAGAGAGGACTCTCATGCTCTGTTTGCCCGGGTTCGGTGACAAAGATCTGCGCATATTCGGCGTCCGGTATCGCAAGCTCGATACAAATGAGACTGCGGAGCGCGATGGCAGTTTCCACTTCCGTGATGTCCACAAGCCGATAGTTCCAACAGTCTGGCGTAACGAAAATGTATCTTTTGGAGAAATTGGGACCCCGGCGACCCGCTACCAGAGCCCTCTCATCTTCACTCGTCACCGAAGCAGGGCGCGGAAGTAGCACTGAGTCACTGCCATTCGCGCTCGGTCGAGCAAAAAGCTTCAACGGGCCAGGGCTGGTTGGTGATTCCAAAGGATGGTCATCAGATTGAGCCTGGTTGTGCTCGTGCCTCTTCCTCATAAACTTGCTGAGAAAGCCTTTGCTGTGATCTTTCCCTCCCGGCCCCGGGGCGTAATCATTACTCCAAGTCCTATGGGCTTCGAGAGGCGAGGGTCTAGTCATCTCTTGTGCGTCGCGCCTGTCTGCGTAGAAGCGTTCTGAGCTTCCAGATGTTGTGTTGCTCCTCTCATAAGGGCCTTGAACGTTAACGTTTGAGCGGGGATGACCCGACGCTTTGAGCATAGAGTCGGTGCTGTTGCTCTTGCTATGATCTGGTCGCTGTCCCTGAGAAGAGGTGCTTGTGGCCGACACAGGGACTGCACTTCCAAGACCAGGGCTCGCACTGGGCGAGGCATCGAACGTCTTGGGCAATAAGCCCGTGGAACCATCGCCGGAAAGATTAGGGCTATGACGACCTCGATTGTTCATGCTGGTTAGGACGCCCCTTGTGTATTCTGTACGCCCCGCGCCTGGAAGATTCTCCGGGGGCTTGGGGTCGCTTGGGGTTGAAGAAGCGCTGCTATGTTTGCTGAGAACGGGCATGGTGCTGCTTCGACCTTGGGAATTTCGAGGGCCCAAGCCTGTCGGAAATTGTGGAGGCATCTGCTTGCCGGGACTTCCTTCTGGGCCAGCCGTGCCCGGTGCACTGCCAAATTCAGATCGGGGAAGATGAGGCGAAGTTTCCAAATTCCCCTCCGTGGACGCACTCGGAATCATACCAGACTCTCGCCTCCGATGGCCGATTCCTGCACTGGCCGGACCCTCACCTCCTTGTTCAACGAGACGAGAAATCAGCTTGCGCAACCTCTTGCCTTCTTCGCGTTCGCGAGATTGATCCCAACCAGTATTGCCGCTCGAACAGACCTTTGCGAGCTGTGGGTAGATGGTCTGATGCATCATGCCCAAATTTCCCCGGCCATTCGGTCCTCGACCCAGGTCGAGAAAATCGGAGCCTTGCAATTTCAATAATCGAAAGGTCTCCTGCCAATCACTTGAAAACCCATTCGCGGCCAACCAGGCCAGAACTCGGTCCAAAGGCCATTGAGAGGACAATTCGCTTGAGTTACTTCCGGTGACGGCAGCACTCTGCGCTCGCTGTCGACCTTGGTCCACGCTCCCTTGCGGATTCACTAAGGTTGCGGTCGGGGGTCCTGGAGAGATTGGTTCGTTGATGTCGCGAAGAGGCAGAGTGAAAGCGGGCCTATTCGATGAAGCAGAAGCAGCACGGCTTTCCCTATTTGCGATATCCGGGTTCGGATGCACGGGATTTGGATATGAGTAACTATGAGAAGTAGTGGTGTCAGAATACTTCTGATCCGAGTGAGATAATGAAGGCTCGGAAGTGAATTGAGCATCATATCGAGAGTATGAAGAATAATCATCGAGGGGTGGGATGCCGACGCCGGGCCCGAACGAATCGCCAGTCGGGATAAATGTAGCGGACAAGATGGGTTTATCGTTCTGCGGAGGAGGCGGCGGAATATTCAGCTGTCGCATGCCGTAGGACAGGTGCTGCCCTTGAGGCTGGGTATGATTTATTGGTGGAGGCGGTGGTATGTTCTGGCCTAAGCCTGATCTTCCCCATGGCTGCTGCCATCCTGCGCCTGGCAGTCCAAAGACGGTCCCGAGTGGGAGGGCGGAGGGATGTGGCCCTGGCGGAGGAGGAGGGAGATTCGATTGGAGATACGGTCGAGGAGGAGGCGGTGGAAGATGGCCGAGGGTGCCTTGCCCAGGTGGAGGGGGAGGCCCAGGAATATATTGCTGTTGTCGCTGGTTATCCATAATCTGGCTGTTGGATACCATCCTCCCAAGGTCTATCGCTTGTGAGACAGCGCAGGTAGCAAGTTTGATGATTCGATCAACAACCAAATAACTTCGTTATCACCGCAGTTTGGAGAGCGAGAGAATCATTTCCCGCGAGCTGGGATTTCCTAGCTTTTCGGACCTCGATTCTCGCGGTCGCAATCTGGCACAATGCATCAATGGACACCGTCCCCGGACTTTTCAGCTTTCGGTCGAGCAGAGCGACGAGGCGCACCCTCAGACAAAGCGCAGTATCAAAGACACATGATAGACGTTTGAGCTCGCCAGCAGGCAGACTAGCGAACAAGCAATGGTGAAGAAGCGGAGTGGACAGCTGATATGCGGCGGCGGAGGTCGTGGGTGTCCGTAGAACTAAGGAAGGGGGGAGAACGCCACGTGCGGTTTGGTGACGGGCGACAGACACAGATATATCCGCAGATAGTGCGTCGGCGCCTTGATTGAGAGGGGGGTAAGCGAAGCAGGACGTCGACGACGGTGAGAAATGAGAAAGTCGCAGGCCGAGCGAAGTGTACTGGGTACGGACTCTGTGGCTGATGAGCGGCACCTGCGATTTGGGGCGGAAGGAAGAAGGAAGGCTGATTAGGCAGGCCTACGAAGCCGGAAGAGGCTAGGATGGGGCTAATGAGGCTGTCGGCAAGGATGCCCAATAGAGGCGCCGGAATAAGCGCGTACCTGGAGGGATAGGCCTCGAGGGGCTGCTGGGTATCGCTACTGGCCACCAGCCCGGCGAGATCAACAAACAATGCTGGGCGCCGGCCGGGGTGGGTGTGAGCTCGTAGCACGGGGCACTCGTACTCGTAAGGACGCCCTGAGCACTCACCTCGAGTTGCCCTCCTAGGCATAGTGGGCATGCCTAGGTAAGCTGTGCACCCAGATCGCCCAGCAGACACATCGAGCACTTAACTGGTATAACAGCTTAGAATAACTCACATAAGGATGCTTGTGCGAATGATAACAATTCTCACAAGCTTTGGTCGGTCGTGGTGGGCTGATGTTGCGCGTCACATCATACCACTCTTGCATCACCCAGCATCATGATCCCAGCTTTTTACCTCTTGCATCTGCTTCTTTCAATCCCCATTGACGGTAAGGTTCATCTCAACATCTAGGTCTCGAAGCATCTTCTGCATGTTGCCGGCCTTCCGCTGCAGAGCTCAATGCTTATCCCACCGATCTGATCGGATCGTGTCGTGGATTTCTTATAAGTTTAACCTCGCGCCCCAGCTCTCTCAGTGTTGCTTCCTGTTCATCGTCTCTCATTCCTCTTCTTTTTCTCTGATATCTTGCCGTGTGCTCGTGCCCAATCCCTATCATGTCCGACATCCGTTACACCGAGCTGAGGGAGCCCGTCGATGTGGCTACTTATCTCTTCACTAGGCTCAAGCAGATCGGCATCGACTCCGTCCACGGTCTGCCCGGCGATTTCAATCTAGTAGCTCTTGATTACCTTGAAGGTTGTGGGCTTCAATGGGTGGGCAATTGCAACGAGCTCAACGCGGGCTATGCTGCCGATGGCTATGCTCGAGTCAAAGGGATATCGGCCATCATCACCACCTTTGGGGTGGGAGAGCTATCTCTCCTCAATGCAACCGCGGGAAGGCGAGTCACGTGGTACTGGAGTGCCTCTCGGATTGTCTTGACTGACTCTGCAATCTAGCTTTGCCGAGTTCGTGCCTGTGGTGCATATTGTCGGGACACCGAGCACCATATCGCAGAAAAATGGCATGCTTCTGCATCACACCCTGGGCAATGGCAACTTCAACGTTTTCGCTGAAATGGCGGGCCATCTGGCACTGGAAGTCGCCAAATTGACGGACCCTCGCGACATTGCCTCACAAATCGACCATGCACTTCGCGAGTGCTATCTGCTCAGCCGGCCCGTTTACTTGACACTCCCGACGGACATGGTCAAACGGAAGGTGGAGGGTCAAAGACTCAGGACCAAACTGGACCTTAGCCCGCACAAGAACGACCCAGAAAAGGAAGACTACGTGGTCGACGTGGTCCTGAAGTATCTGACAGCTGCCAAGAATCCCGTTATTCTGGTTGACAGCTGCGCCATCCGTCACCGCGTATTGCCCGAGACCCACGAGCTGATTGTGAAGTCCGGTCTTCCAGTGTTCGTTGCGCCTATGGGCAAAGGGGCCGTCGATGAAACTTTACCTACCTTTGGCGGGATCTACGCAGGCGCTGCCTCCAATCCAGGAGTCCAGGAGCGCGTCGAAGAGGCTGACTTGCTCCTCACTATCGGCAGTGTCAAATCCGACTTCAACACTGCCGGATTCTCCTATAGAACCTCACAGCTGAAGACGATCGACTTCCACAGTACATATATGCGCGTACGATATTCAGAATATCCCGGTGTTGGCATGAAAGGTGTCCTTCGCAAACTCATCGACCGACTGCCCAAGCTGAATGTTCAGCCTGGACCTACACTGCATGAGAAACCGATCCCCGAAGACGCAAATCCCAACGACCCTACCATCACGCACCAGTGGTTTTGGCCACGATTGGGACAGTGGCTACGGGATGGTGACATTGTGCTCACTGAGACGGGAACGTCCAACTATGGCATATTTGAGACGAGATTCCCCAAAAATGTGATAAACATTAGTCAGATCCTATGGGGAAGCATTGGCTATGCGACTGGCGCGTGCCAGGGTGTGGCATTGGCTGCCAAAGAGCTAGATGGCAACCGCCGGACAATCCTCTTCACTGGCGACGGCAGCTTTCAGCTCACTTGCCAGGAAGTGAGCACGATGATCCGACATAACCTCAACCCGATCATTTTCATAGTCTGCAACGACGGCTACACCATCGAACGCTTCATCCACGGTATGAAGGCGACATACAATGACATCCAAAACTGGAAGTACAAGGATCTGGTCCCAGCCTTTGGAGCCACCGAGGGCAGCTACAAAACATACCAAGTCAAAACCAAGGATGACCTCCATGCTTTGTTCCAGGACGAAACCTTTTCAAAAGCTCCCTATCTGCAGCTGGTGGAGATGTACATGCCGTGGGATGATTCCCCGGCAGGATGTAAGTGCAACGCCCCGTTCGAGGTCAGATGTGTGACTCAAGGCTAACCAATAACACAGTATCTGTTACTGCGGCTGCCAGTGCTCGGAATAATGCCAAAATGCTCGAGACCTCCTAGACATTTCCATAGACACGGTGTTGATGATGGACACACAGAAAAGGCTCGCGTAGGCTGAGAGGGATCACATATAGACGAGGCTGAGGAACAGCTGGAGGGTAATGGACAAGACTGGCAACCACTCATTGTCCCCAAGTAATGCACTCTCTGACCCATCAATCCTCCCATTCTGTGTGAGGGATTCTGCCTTGCCCTGCCTCACTCGCCATACCGCGGTAGGCTCAATCTATTAGGCGTCAAAGGCTGTTTGCTTCTCTTGGTTTGTGGTGCCTGGAATGTTGGTGCCGAATCTCGCCTAACGCTGCCTGCGGGATTGTTGTAAGCAAGCAGCTGCGCGCCCTGTGATTGGATCGACAACACACACCCTGGCTTACTAGCGGATACACGGTCTCGAGGCTCAGTCACACAGACGCAGCACACAGCCGAGAGATATGTTTCGCCAACCTGCACGCCGCCTTTCCATTATCTCCCGCTGTCGACCGGCACGAGAAGGCTGTCTGCGGTGACGGATCCCCAACTGTTTCTTTCTGCATCGGCATCTATATGATGTAGAGATGCTTCCATAATGCCCTCGATGCATAGCGGATGTCCTGGCTATCGGGCTACTCCCATTCAACTTCCCCGTCGCGCTGTCAGGTGAGAAGACTGCGTTGTGCGTTGAACTTGTGACCCTCCCAACAACCGGTCTCTCTCAAAGGGGACGCTGACAGTGTGCACTTGCCCAAATGCCTCACGCGTCGTCAACAGCTTGAGAAGGGCATTTCTGCCGTGCGCCGAGGAATTCCGTCGTTTGTCACCTTGACCCGCGTCCCAGATTTGCATTCAGATTCACAAACGACAAGATGTCGAACCTCGAGTCTCCTCCGTCCAAGAAGAGCGGCCTCCGCAAACTTCACATGCGACACACAAACCTCAATCGCCTACCTTCATCCCATATCCCCTCTCGCCTGCGGCTAGGCGACGATGCCCAAGAAGACGTGACCGCCCCCAACCGAGGCTCAAACACGCCCGCCCAATACATGAATCAATCCATCTTTTCCATGATTGCGGCCGCCGGGTCGCGAACCGACTTTAACACGAGATTCGACGAGTCCAGCGATAGTGAAGATGAGATCCCCGGGGAACAAGAACAGACGGCCACAGACAATGCATCACTCCCGGTTGCTTCAGAGACGGGGTCCAGGGAGGCACAATCTACGGCAACAAAGGGCGAGAAAAACGCTGGTGAGAAGAAGGGTAAGCGGCTTTCAAGTCAGCGGCTGGTTCAGTCGTTGCCGCGTCTCTCGGTGAGATCGATGCGCAAGAAAGAGGGCACGCCCCGACAAGATCCAAGTCCTGAGAGTGACGTGACCTCGGAGTCTTCGAGGAGCAATCCACGAGATGCACCTGTTCTGAGTCGGTTGATCACTGCAGAGGCCCAGTTTCAGGAGAGCGCAGAAGGTCAAGACCCGATGGTAGAATCCCCTACAGCCTTGAGGTCAAGAAGCAGAGGCGAGTCGACGCCGCAGACGCTCCTGGCGACGCGGTTGATGGAGATCTTTGGATTTGAAGTGCCCGAACCCGTGGTCGCGGAATATCCGTGTTGGCTGTTGCAAAGCGTGCTCCTGCAAGGCTATCTGTACATCACCAAGCAACACATTTGCTTCTATGCATATCTGCCCAAGAAATCACACACTGTCGCCAAAACCGGATACCTCTCAAAAAAGGGCAGATCGACTTCCAAATACAAAAGATACTGGTTTTCCCTCAAGGGGGATGTCTTGTCCTACTACTCCGATGCCTCCAACCTCTATTTCCCATCCGGAAATATCGACCTCAGGTACGGTATATCTGCAAATCTCTCCAACGACAAGGACAAAGGGAAGTCCAAGGACTGCAAAGATTTCTCTGTCACGACCGACCATCGCACATACCACTTTCGAGCAGACACTGCTTCGAGCGCCAAGGAATGGGTACAGACTCTGCAGAAAACGATCTTCCGCTCCCACAACGACGGAGACAGCGTGAAGATTTCTTTACCAATTGAAAATATCATTGACTTTGAGGAGAGTCCGGTGGTCGAATTCGCTGAGACGGTCAAAATTAGAGTGATCGAAAGTGAAGATTCGTATGCCATTGACGAAGTAAGGACCACTTACCATACCCACCTTTGTTTTGCTGCACTAACTCCTGTAGTATTTCTTCTCCTTTTTCAGCTTTGGTCAAGATGCACTCAACGTGCTCGGAAGCCTACTCACGGAAGCTCCCGCCAGGAGGGCGTCGGAAGACGTACTGTCGCCAACAAGAAAGGTCGAGCCATTCTCCAGTCCTAGAACTAGGCCAACACCTCACCGACATTCTTCGGACGTTGTAGCAGGGAGTCCGAGGGCTCAGTCGAGTCCGCCTCTCAAGGACAGTGTTAGAGCCACCCTGCTACCGTTTTCCGTTGGCAACGATGGCAGAATGTCTCCGAGAATAAGCGGAGAGTTCCCTCGTGGCCATAGTCCTTCACGTTCTAGCAACGAGTTTACGGGGGAATACGGTCGAGCTAGTTTTGAGCGAGGGCGAAGAAGCGGAAGTACGAGCCGTCTTGAGGTGAACAAGTCAAAACGAACAACCCGGTCACCTCTCGCGAGGCACCACGACTCTGAAGATTCATATGTTCAGTCTATCGACAAGGAAACAGATTCGTCTACCGCGCCTCTATCGCCGCGGGCAGAAGCACAAATGTCAGCAAGTCAAATCTTGACCAGGAGCGACGTTTTTCACCAGCCGGCGATTCATCGAATGGAGACATTGGCATCCATGTCTACGGAACCCACAAGGAAATCATCGGACGGGGGGACAATCTTGTCAAGCTCCCCACAACGAGGAGACACATTTCCCATCCCTATCCGAGGCGCACATGAGCCGCAAACGGACCGACTAGCGACAACGCAGAATGAATTCCTCTCATCGGAACTGGAACCAGGCAAAACTTATGTGAGGAACAGTTCCTCGCCGACACTGCAGGATCTGGTCAAAGCCGGATCTTACCCTCTGCAACGAGCTGGAGCTTTTGCTGACTACCTCAAAAGCCGGTCCAGCTCGATGAGAAAGCTTCTAGCCACTGAATCCATGTCCTATCTGGAAAAGGTATCAGGCATGTGGGCTGGAAGTAGGAAGCATTATGGAGAAAACGAGGGCGTCGTGCCCGACGACAGAGGCGTTGATCCGGAAGATGAGGAAGCCAACGTCGGCCACGGCGATCGCTTTCGCGCACATTTCGCATTACCTGCTACGGAGAAATTACAAGCCACCTACTTTGGCTTTCTGCATCGGGTCCTCCCGTTGTATGGCAAGATATACATCAGCAATCGAAAATTCTGCTTTCGAAGTCTCCTACCGGGGACGCGGACCAAGCTGGTGTTGCCGTTGAAAGACATTGAGAATGTGGACAAAGAGAAAGGATTCCGGTTTGGCTATCACGGCCTTGTCTTGGTGATCCGCGGACACGAGGAATTGTTCTTCGAGTTCAGCTCGGCCGAACATCGCGACGATTGCACGGTGACGCTGCTGCACAGCTTAGAAACAGCTCGCTACATGGCCGAGTCCGGCGTCCTTGCCAAAGCGGACGAGGATGACGCAGAAATTGCCAAAGAAGAACACCGCAAGCTCCAAGAAGCCCGCCGCACCTCGACGGCGGGCGATCATGCTCTGGTCCTGCCCGACACCGCCGAGACAATTTACAGTCACAAGGATGAAGAACCATCAGGGCCGGTGCTGTTCGATGATCCTCGCGCTTCAATCATCAACCTCTCCAAACCTAGTGCTTCACTACGCATTACGTGTCTCACAATCGGTTCAAGAGGTGATGTGCAGCCTTACATCGCCTTGTGCAAGGGTCTGCTAGCAGAGGGCCACCGCCCGCGGATTGCGACACACGCTGAATTCGGCCCCTGGGTCCAGAAGCACGGGATAGATTTCAGACCTGTGGATGGTGACCCGGCCGAGTTGATGCGCATCTGTGTCGAGAACGGCATGTTCACATACTCGTTTCTACGGGAAGCCTCGGCGAAGTTCCGCACCTGGATCGATGAACTTCTCACCTCAGCCTGGGCTGCATGTCAAGAGTCGGACCTCCTGATCGAATCCCCCTCGGCCATGGCAGGCATCCACATCGCCGAAGCTCTAGGCATCCCTTACTTTCGCGCCTTCACCATGCCGTGGACCCGCACGCGTGCATACCCGCACGCCTTTGCCGTTCCCGAGCACAAAATCGGGGGAGCGTACAACTACTACTCGTACGTCATGTTTGACAATGTCTTCTGGAAGGCCATTGCGGGGCAAGTCAATCGGTGGCGCAAGAAAGAGTTGGGCTTGAGGAGCACCAATCTGGACAAGATGCAGCCCAACAAGGTGCCCTTCTTGTACAATTTCAGCCCGCATGTGGTGGCCCCGCCGCTGGATTACAGCGACTGGGTCAGAGTGACGGGGTATTGGTTCCTTGACGAAGCCTCGGACTGGACCCCTCCTACCGACCTGACGGATTTCATCAAGAAGGCTCGAGACGACAAGAAGAAACTCGTATACATTGGCTTCGGCAGCATCGTGGTCTCGGACCCCGCAGCCCTCACCAAGACGGTCGTAGACTCGGTCCTCAAGGCTGACGTGCGCTGCATCCTTTCCAAGGGCTGGTCCGACCGCCTCGGCGACCCGCAGGCTGTCAAGGCAGAAGTCCCCTTACCCCCAGACATCTTCCAGATCAAGTCGGCGCCGCACGACTGGCTGTTCCGCCAGATTGACGCGGCGTGCCATCACGGCGGCGCGGGGACCACTGGCGCCAGTCTCCGAGCGGGACTCCCGACGGTCGTCAAACCCTTCTTCGGCGACCAGTTCTTTTTCGGGTCGAGAGTAGAAGATCTTGGCGTGGGCATTTGCTTGAAGAAAGTCAACGTGAGTCTATTCTCGAGGGCGCTTTGGGAGGCGACGCACAGCGAGCGGATGATAGTCAAGGCGAGGTTGTTGGGGGAGCAAATCCGCAAGGTGAGAGATTTTCCTCCCTCCCTCTTTAACTTCCGATTTGCCCACAGCTTTTTTGTTCGCGATCAAGATGAAGAAACCGGGAAATGAAGACGGTACTAATGTCGGTTCGACAGGAGAACGGCGTACAAACCGCGATCCAAGCAATCTACCGCGACCTCGAGTATGCCAGGTCACTAGTCCGAGCCCGGGCCGCGATCCAACAACAGGGCGCTGCCGCCGCGGCTGGAGGAGCAGCTGGGCTGACCGCGATCGATCTCCTCGACGAGGGCGACGACATTGAAGAGTCCTGGACATTTATCGGAGACGAAAGCGATCCGGACATCCAGCGGCGGATGCAAGAGTGGGACACTACGGCGACAGGCCCTACTCCTGTGCGCGGGAGGGCGCCTCGGGTGAGCCTGGATCGAGCGAGGCTGGCGGCCATGCAGGGCGTCGAACCGGTCAGAAAGGCGAGTATCAAGAGATGATCAAGAGATGATCAATAATACGACGACGACGTCTTCCTGTTGGACATGCACGGGCCGAGAACATCATGCGAAACACGTACGATGCTGAAGCAGGGTAGGACGAGGTAGAAAACCAGGGCCCAGGAAAATGATCAGAGCGCGACTTGGGAGCAATCGGATTGTGACGGGAAACAGGGAATCAATCATGGGTGATGTCGATGGGTTGCACAGCGTGGGCGTTCCGGGGGGTTTTATGGGTGAATTGTGCTTGTGCTTGTCGCAAAGACCACGCAGATGTGTTAGAGCCTGTTTGTTTGTTTTTTAAGCTCTCTTCTTCTTGGAGGAGAAGAAGAGTTTAGAGTCCGTTTCGCCCCATGATTCGGAACCGACATGGCGTTCGCCGGGTGTTAAGGGCAAAGGGGACCTATCATCGACTTTGCGGAAGTGTTCATGCAAACAGGGAGCAGCGACCCTGGAGTACGATTGTTGTTTGGTTCGAACCTTTGACGACGTCACGAGTGTCAGATAGATCTAACGGAAGAGACAGACTAGGGGCTTTAGACATGAGATCCGGTAATCCGGGTTTTTTGGGGGGGGGGGGGGGGGGGGAAAGGGTGGGCAATTTGTAACGGGGAATCTTAGACTTTCAGTGCCGCTGAACTCGATGTGTGTTTCCCATTCGTGTTTGGTCTTCTGGGATGCTTTTTGCCACGGTTTCCCGGGTTCGTGTTTGAAGAAGGCCATGGGTGTTTTGTGGTGGTGCATGCTTTCATCACACCACATGGAAAAGCGAGGGGATAACATGAGGTCGCTGCGGAGTACTTTGGACAGGGTGTGGCCGCCGGTTGTCGATTTCCGCCATTCACCGGGCCTCGTGTATCGTATGGAGTTTCCCGCAGCAGGACCTGGAGTCTCTCTCTTATTGCGTTGTGTCGGAGCGCGATAATGCGGATGCTCTACACGAGCGAGGAGTCCCTTTCATAGGTTGTCCAGTCCGCTGAGAAGGGCAAAAACCATCTGATGTCTCGCATGGAGAATTGTCCCGGCCGCCAAGGGAATTCGCTGCCTGGCTCCCGCTTGGCTCTCTGGCGGCGCTCCAGTGGTCTGAGATTTTGATGCTCTGGAGGGAAAACACCTAAATAGGCATATTTGCGGGTGGATACGACTGAGGCTTTGAAGTGGCCTTGAAGATCGTGACCTAGGTATGTAGTCAATAGGAATGGAGCCGGCGCGGAAAGGGAAGATGCGGATCAATCAAAGGTCAAACTTTGGTTTTTGGGGGAGGGGGGAGACGAGCTCTTCAGACTTGCTCGCCAGCTTGTGTCTTTAGCGAGAAGGGTCCGGCGTCCCTGCAGCAGTGCCAAAATTTGGGAGCTCGTCTGACTGTCCCTGACTGCAGTAAACACCATGAATAGAAGCGTGACAAATTGTCATTTCTTTTTTGTCAGGTTGGATCCTCAAAATCGAGCTTGTCAGACACGGGACCACCTCTTGAACCTAGCGTACCCATTTTGGAGGAAGCTTTGGTGCTGGTGGATTCGGCGTTACTTCGAGGTTGCGTTAGCGGCGTGGGTAGATGCCATGCGTCGAGGAGACCACGCAGACAGTTAGAGAGAGACACCAAGACACGGTCGCGTGATGGAAAGAGGCAAGTTGCATGCAGGTAGTTGACGCACGAGGGCGGAGACGTCGAGGCGCGGGACCTGGAACTGGCATGTCAAATCATGAATGACGAGGATGGACTCCGTACAAGTAGTGATGAACCCAAGTTTACGGGATCCTTAACAAGTAGGTAGAACCAAGCAAGGGGGGGCGTCGTGGAGACCGAGGAAGGATTTTAAATCCGGTATTGGTTGATGGATGGTGCTTGTTCTGGTCGCGAAGAAAGAGGTGGAGCAGGGAGGGGAGCAGGAGGATGGATAAATTTCCCGAACTCGAGCCGAGCATGATTGGGCGGTTGGAGAGAAAAGGGAGCTGGCCAGCAGGTGAGAACGCCGCGCCGTGATTGGAAGACGGGGCAGGACGAGTAGTCGAGCTCGAGAGGAGCCGGGGAGATAGATTTCTTGGGATTCTGGAAGCTTTATCCGGCTCAACAGAAGATGGCGGTGGTAGAGTGGTGCAGTGGTAGAGTGGTAGAGTCGTGGATGGTGGAGTGTTGGAGTGGTGGAGTGGCTGAGCTAGAAAGGATGGTCCGGGACATCTGGAGATGGAGCCATTATTATGATTTGCGAGCGGGCCAGGCCGGGGAGGAAGTGGTAACGTGTGTTGCTCGTGCTTATATGCATGCAGAGAGGGCCTGAGGTAAATACAAATCACTTGGCGCAGGCAGGACATACCACGTCCGGTGTAGGCAGGGAGTTGGATGGATGATGGAATGTCAAATGATGGCGGTGGTGGCAAGGGCGGCGGCGGAGGCGGCGGCGGCGGCGAGGATGAGGACGAGGACGAAGACGAGGACGAGGACGACGATGACATGGATGAGGCAGCAGAGAGTCAGATCTTGTCTCAGCAGGGAGGGCTTGTCATCCTCGTGCATTGCATCGGATCCTACCAGTAGAGCAAGAATAGGTACCGAGTAGGTATGAACAGTACTCCGTCCTTGTACAGTATTGTCATTGCGCTTTCTCTCTAAAAACAAGCCATGTGCAATTGGGCGAATAAAGAGCCGGACAAGAGTCACCAGAGGACTCAGAATAACGATTAGGCAGCCGGGCCATCAGATGAGCGCGAGAACGAAGGAAATTAAGCTCGGTGACAAGTAGTGCTTGACCAGTGGGTAGTAATAGTCATGGCAATAGTACGGAACTGGATCTGCACTACAAGTAGTAGCGAGGACGCTGGCTTGCACTCGTAGCTAATGCCCCCAGCTTGGCCAGAACTTGTCCTTGGTAATTAATCCATAGTACTCCGTACCGTGTAGTCCGTACCGAGTACAAGTACTTGTAGGTACCTGGTGTGCTGGAGGCCAGGGATTTGATATTCGGACCAAGTGCGAGCTTAGTACCATCGGTCACGGGCAAATTCCCCATTATTCTTCTTATTCATTATTCCATTCCTTTCCCATCTTGTCCGCGCCCGCCGCCGTTACAACAAACTAACCAGCCAACCACTTGCTGCTGCTTCGTATTCCAAACCGCCCAAAAAGCATCGACCAAAGACCACCAAAACGTTGTTGATGTGCATCATCCGGCCAGCCAATCACCACGGGGCTGCCTCAACCTTCTGCCCTTTGCTTTTCTTCCTTTCTGATGTTTCTTTTCCCTCTCTCCCTCTTTCCCTCGTTGTCTCTAGCCCCCCCATCGAGCAAGTGATCTGTCCAAGAACCATCTCTCGGTTTCTTCCTTGCTGGTCGCCTTCGCTCGGAATCCTTCCCACAAACTCCTGATCGTCACACCCCCTTCTTCTTCGCCTCTGTCGCCTCTTGCTCTGGACCCTGGCGCCCATGATTGTCCACCATCCACATGCACACCCGCGGCTGTTCCCCGTCTTTCACCGTTGCAATCGACCTTGACTTGATGCGCGCGCGTGAGATTTTTCATGACCGTCTCGATCTTGGACCAACGGTTCTTTTCTCGCCCCCAGTCATCCATTCCACCCTCTCCCACACACGCACACGCACACGCTCTCACCCCCTCGACAGGTCATGCTGCGGGCCACTCAGCCTTCGCGACCATTTTCCCTCTCCTTGTCTTGTCTTGTCTTGCCTGGTCCTGTCTCTGCCCGTAGCTTATCCGTCTCTTGCGCACCCCCAAATCTATCGCCCCCCCGCCATCTCCGAACCCGTTGGCTCTGGCAGTCCCCGGTCCGAGCTCGCCGTGCCCAGTATCACTGTTCCAGCCCCCGTTCCTGTCCCTGTAACAAATACCACGATTGCATGTCACACTATTGTGCAATGTTCATGCTTCGGACCACCCTCCCCCTTTCCACCACGGGCGTTCTAGTCGAGCCCATGAGTTCCTCGGCCCTCGAGCAGCTGCAGCAAGGTACGGGGACCTAGACGGGGTCTATTGCGCTGGGCTGTTCTGGGTCTCATTCATGCTCCATCCTTCCGGGTCCCGACCACCACCGCGGGCCCACCACGCGATCCGTTACAATTTTCCCAACGATTGACCGACCATTGGGTGTCGGTACAACGACAATACCTCGACCATTTTTCGGTCGCCTAGAATCACAGCTACCCGTCTTGCCGCAGCACCAGCACCAGCCCATGGACTGACTGACTGACGGGCGGAACTGGACTACCCACCGCACAAATTTCGCCATTCCACCCTTTGGCTAGCCTCTCTCTCTCTCTCTCTCTCTCTCTGCCGCTCTCTCACCACCAACAGACGCCCCCCCTTCGAAACGCTTTGGGACTCCGTCTACCGCGTTGCCCTACCACACTTGCGCAAGTCCGCCATCGAATCCACTCGCCTCGCTCTCCACCCTTTTTCCCTTCTCCGAATACCTAGTACCACGAGATCGGCCACACGCATCTTGCAGCTTGATACATCTACCCGTCGATATCCTCACCATTCTCCCCTCCCGAAAGTTTCTAGCTTGGCTCTTTTCTTCCTTCCTCACTCCTACCTCAGTGTACTGCCTATGCACACTCTCAACTACTCGATTCTGGATCTGTTGTCGGCTGGAACGTCTCGCTGCATCTAGAGGTCCATAACCCATATGTCTTGATCCCCTTCCCCGAAAAAAACCAAACCCCCCTCTTGAGCCTCGGCATATCAGTCATGAAGCCTGGCAATACCACCACCAGTGGCCTGTCTCCACCTTCTACCGCGTCTCCCGCTGGTGTCACCAAAAGTACCTCGTTGCCCATTTCACGGTCAAGCAACTCGACGTGGGAGAAACCTGAACGGGCTCGAACCAGTCACGCTTGCGAACCGTGTCGCGAGCGCAAGACAAAATGTGATGGCTCCCGGCCTTCATGTCGGAGGTGTCTTCACACGGGCACGACTTGCTACTATGGCTACGGCAAGGGATGGAGGAAACGGAAGTAAGCTTTGGCTTTTGGCAACTTGGCCCCCATTGTTGATGAGCCTGCGTGCGAATGCACATGCTGACAGCGACCCCTGCTCTTCCAGGACTGCAGAGGACCTCACGGCAACCTCGCGGCGTTTGGCACGGTATGAGAGTCTCCTCAATGAAATCTTGCCAATGGTCTCGTCAGAGGTACGAGCCTTGATCGAAGAAGCGCGCGACAACGTAAGGCATTCCTGTTGCGGAGAACCACCTACTCAATGCAACGGTGCTAACCTTGTGATGATGACAGGATACTGGGGCATCAAATAATGGTTCTGAGAGTGCGGATACGGAGCAAAATCTGCTGCCACCGGCTTTGCTCAAGACTGAGTCGAGCATGACAGGATCGGGTGGCCGCATCATCCTGCCGTTCCCAATACCTAGCCCGCATGTCCCAGCACCCTCGCGCTCATCAACGTCGTCGGGGACATTTGATTCGGTTCCCCCGCCCCCTACAATTGCGAACACCGCCCCAGGATCTACCGTCCAGACATCGTCGCGCCTGTCACCCGACTCTAACAACTCGGGAACCCGGCTGCCATCCATCACCGCCGAGGGGCTTCTGATCGAAACCGGACTCAGAGATCGATCGCCTACCAGTCTACACCGCCCGGTTGACCCGGTTGGAAGCTATGGACAAGACCGGCTGGGGGCGCCGCCAACCTCTCCGACCAGTCACACGTCCGTTGGAGGTGCGTTAACCGGACCACGTCCTGGACGTTCAGATACTGACCCGCGGAGAAGAGACTATGCGGTCCCCACAGTTTTCCCCTGGCTGAAATCCAACGAAGCTGCCGCAGTCCGCAATTGAAACATGTTCAACACCTCTTCAATCCGTTATCTTGCACGTGATGGGTGTCCTCGGTTGTGATCTCGATCTCGCTTCCTGGCGGAGCTACTGGACCTAGGGACGACTCTCCAAAAACTCCGCACCCGGGACGAGGTTCTAGGCCTCGGAGCTCGACATTGCGCAGAAGTCTCAGACGTGGGACAATTCCTGCGCAACACCCATGTCAGGGGGGGAGAAGACTTTACCCTGATCTTCACGGAGATTTTTGCTCGGAAGAGAGAATGATCTGCGACTGGCCATCGCCGATGGAGGGTGGCTGTCTGGCCGACAATCACTACGGACATCTGCCGTCAGGAATCTGCCACTCGGATTTGGGCGAGGGATGTTCCTGCAGAATGTGCGAAAAGAGGGCATAATCATTCTTGGTGCGCCACCCCCTCGAGGGCGATCCGCCGGGCCAACCACCTTTTGCAGAGTCAGCGCAGAGATAGATGGGATGGCAGATTTCGAGACTGCGATGCAGGGACTGGGTGCAGAAGGGAAGACTTCGACGTTTCGCAGTCGAGGGCCGACGCCATTCGTCACGGCCCTGGCAGGATCCACCGCACGCCCAGTCGCCTTGGCACTGCAACGGCACGGGACTGGACTGGCCAGTTCTAATTACCTTCCAATTTGGTTCCGAGTGGTGGCGGACTGGTCTTCCGAGTGACACGTCATGCAGCAGGCCCCCTATCTCACCCTATGACAGTCCGGCCTCCGAGAAAAGAAAGAAGAGTGACTTGTTGCTGACGGTGGTGATGTTGTCATCGGATAATGGGGTCCGTGATCGGGCCATTGCTCAGCGAAAGGGGGCCACCAGGGCTCATTTGGAAATGGCCCGTTGGCTGTCAGACTAACGGGACATGCACATCCGGAGGCAATCAGCCGAATTCCGGAGTCGAAGACAAGATCACCATGTCCGAGGTCCATTGGCTTGGTCTCAACGACCATGAGCCACACCCACGGATCTGCAGCACTTCAACAGTCCATGCGATGCTCATGGACCGCCGTCACCCTATCCCTTCTACCCGTCGGTGAGGCCTGAAGCTGCGTCGGGGTTGGTTGGGTGATGCGGGTAGAGGAGAGTTACATGATGATGACTTCTTCGCGAGTCCAAAGCAGCTACGAGTCACAACACCGTTTGTGATGACCCAGCCCTCAGCTTAGATGACTCTGACGGGTAGACAGCACCAGATTCATACGACACAGTAACGCCAACTTAGAAAATCTAGACTGATGCCAACATGGATGCGCTGGACTAATGTGGATGCGCTTAAAAATCCGGGGTGTGGTTAATTCACTTTCCTATTCAAATTATAGCATTGGTCTCCATTGGTCTCGATTCTCCCAGATTCTGCACACCAAACCCTCCAGACGTCTTGCAGTGACGGGGCGATAACACCACACATCAGTTGCTGACCTGTGGAGAGGCACACAATGTTAGTCATGGCTATATTACCTCGGGTATACCGTCAAACACATTCGAGATATAAATGGCAAGTTTTATGCCGTCCCACTCTTTCACCCAGGCTGCCTTCATCCGTTCTTTTCCGGCGCTTGATGTCCCAACTCCTTGGGCATTGTGCTCCTAACCTCAACAGTCTGCGAGCAAAGAGAGATGCACGTGATATGGAGCAATCCGAATCCATGATATCTGGCGAGGGCGCCTTTTTTTTTTTTTATTCAGAAGAGCTCAACGCACCTTGTCGGGGACGTTTTTCCCTGTGGCCTTTTCAAACATGTCTCTCGCCTTGTCGGTGATCTTCTCGTTCATGCTTCTCTGTTTGGCCGGGTCGATTTTGCCTGATCAAGCGCGACTGGTGTTAGAATATTGCTTCAGAGTACGCATTCCCCCCAGGATATCACGGCTGCAAGCAGATGAAATAGGAAGGAGTCTGCGACCAGGCGAGCAGCAGGACGCGGAAAGGGAGAAAAGGTACCTTGGCCGAACTTCTTCTCGACTGCGTCGAGGCCTGTGCAAGACGAAAACTGGTTAACCTCATAGTTCGTAGCTGAGTAGGGGATGGAGCGAAGGCTATTCACCCTTGTCAACGTAGTCCTCCTGCTGCCCGGCTGCCTGTCCTTGGTTGTTCATTCTGATTGAATCACAGAGGAGATTGCTTCTCAGAAATGGTTCGATGGTGTAAAGACCTCACGATGCTGATGTACAATGGGTTCCAGTCAACTATAGCTTCGGACACGACGCACCGGCCGGCTTATCTTTATAGCTAAATCAACACCCTCTTCTCCGTGGGCCATGACCATTGCATGTGCTACTTGGTGCTCAGTGCAGGATGGTAAAGGAAAGGATCTGACAGTTAGGCGTGCTGCAAAATACCATCATACATCATAGCGGAGCTGGCATGCAATCAATGTGCCACTGATGTGAGTTTCCGGGCGCTGAGGAACAAGCCGGCAGACTTGGGCCAGGACTTGGACAAAGACAAAAACAAGATTCAGCTGGGCATGGTTGTTTTGTTGATGGAGCGGGAGAGAGGCTGAAGCCCGGTCGGGCGGGCTTCGACGATTTTCCCCACTGACGTCATTTAACCCCAAATAGGTATAGCCTGCGTTGGAGTTGGGAACCCCAAGCTCATGCCAAGCTTCTCTGGGCTTCACGTGATGAGGCTTGGCATTGTCGCGCCTTCTCGTCGCTGAAACATGTGAACAGCTTCACCATTGTTCGGCTGTTCAACCCTCCGGTGACCATCGCTCTTTTCCCTTTCTTTTGGGAGTCACTGAGAGACATGAACTGTCTCAAGTAACCACTGTGGCTGGTACCTTCTCCCAAATACAGTGTCTTCAACGTGCCGCCACGGTCGGGATGAAAGCGGCTGCTTCGCTGCGCCGGCGGCCCCCAGCCTCATATCGCTTCCTCAAGTTCCTCCGGTGTCGCAGTTAAATTGCAACTTTCCGTGAAGCTGAGCCCAATTCTGCGATGGCCCTCCCAAAAGTGGACAGGTGCCGCCTCCGTCAGGTTCTGGCCCATCTCCCCCAGATCAAGGCCGAGACGCCGAGATCTCGACCCAAGCGTTCGCCCTGCGCAAACACCCCTTTCGCCCATCTTTCTCGCGCAGATCAGTCCGAGCGTTGGAACGGCTGCTGCTCGGCAACTACCAGCTTCCGGAAGATAGCCTGGGCGCGCTTACTCCATAGATGGGATACAGGGATCGCTCTTTTCTCCCCCTTCGAGATGTTCCTCCTTGATACAACACCATTGGAAAAGTTGAAACAAGCAACTTCTATCATCCGGTGTCAAAATTTGTAGTGAGTTGAACACTTCTGCTTACAAGATGACCTCCGTACGGGTTACCGAGATGGATGAGCGAGCAAGCGATGCTCGGATCTTCACGCTTCCATCTTGGAACATGTCTGCTATCCTCCAGTATTTCTATATAACTCTCCTTCTCCCTGCGGCCAATATGATATCGACCAGCAGTTCTTCCAACCAGCGCTCGCCTCCCAGTCCTTCCTTCAACAGACTTTTGACAAGTCATTCTTTTCTTCGAGGCTTTTGATAAGTCTGCCTTTCATTGCATTCACCCAAGCTTTTGACAAGCTCTCCTTCGCTCTTGACGTGTGCTGGACACTATCATTCATCGATTCTACGGTATACACCTATAGCCTCATTTGTACACGTACAATACACCTTTCCCCAACATGAAAGCATTCACTCTTTCCGGGCTGAGCGCCCTCTTTGCCGGCTTGACGTTGGCTCATCCTGTTGCCAAACGCGGTGGTAGCTTCTCAGAGGTCGACATTACCATCCTGCAATTTGCTTTGACGGTTAGTTGCAACCTCTCCACTCGAGACGGACACCAGTAACCTGACCACTTTTGAACAGCTCGAGCATCTCGAAAACACCTTCTACAAGGAGGCCTTCGCCAGCTTCCAGCTGCAGGACTTCCTCAATGCCGGCTTTGACGAGGAATTCTTCATCAACCTCGAATTCATCGCCTCAGACGAATCCGCGCATGTTGAGTTTCTCATTGCGGCGATTGAGTCTGCTGGCATTCAGCCGGTCCAGCCTTGCCAATATAGCTTCCCAGTGACAGATGTTACCAGCTTTGTCACCGTCAGCGCTATCTTGGAGTCTGTTGGAACCAGTGCTTATCTCGGCGCGGCCCCGTTCATTGGATCACGAGATATCCTCTCGGTGGCTGCGAGCATCATGGCCACGGAAGCGTTGCATACCAGCTCGCAGAGAAGCTCGTTGGGTGCAGTTGCCGCAGCCAGTGCATTTACTACTGTAAGTTCAGCTGTATTTCGGCGCAGAACACCATTCCATAGCTGGCTTTTTACTAACGTGTGGCTATTCAAGTCCCTTGACGCCAACTCGGTTTTCACCATTGCCTCGCAATTCATCGTCTCCTGCCCTTCGGAGAACCCGCCGTTGCCGTTCACTGCATTCCCCGGCTTGAAGGTCAACTCTCAACCCTGCTTCGATGAGAGCAGCAGTAGCGAGACATTCTCCACTGATTCCGTCAACTACGCTACCGTTGTCTCTGACATTGAAAGTGCCACGGACACTACCAGCGCGTATGTCGCTGATGTCACCGACTCTACGACCACTGTGGCATATGACAACACCTCGACCACCACCACTGTTGATTACACCACTACCACTGACTCGGCGGCCTATACGACGTCCACCACCACGACTATGGACATGTCGACCACCACCACCACCACGACTACCACCATGGATATGGCCTCAATGACCATGACCATGTCTATGTCCACGTCGGCGCCCGCATATGCGCGCCGAAGCACCGCTCTCGAAGCGCGCACAAACGGCGGCTCGGTTTCGTCTTGCTCCGCCCCGGGTGCCGGCTCCTCTATGCAACTGATTCCCGACTTTTCGCAATCGCATCATGACTTCTCCCAAGTTGAAATCATCTTTGTGACGTTCATCGCGGGTATCGAGGTTGTGTCGGTGCAGGCTGTCTTTGAACGCGATGGGAGCATCAACGTAAGCATCCCAGGAAGCATTGGTGGCGGGCAGGTGTTTATTTTCATCACCATTGTGGACATTTCGGGACGAAGCTTGAGTGACAGTGAAGTGCTCTTCGGACCCGCCATCATGGAGAGTGAGTTCTGCCCTTCGAGTCATTTGGACGGTTCAAACGCTGACTTCTGACCAGTTGCTCCATCCTTCCCCTCTATCAGCCAGTAAATGTGACCAAGCATGCGCCGTGGGTGGCATCCTAGGTGAATCGGCGGGTCAGTGGGAGGAAACAAGAATGGTCTCTTGGAGGATGTTTGAGTCTCGGGATCAGGATGGGCTGTCGATCCCCTTTTTTCGTGTCTCTCCTTAACGACCATTTGTGGTTTCTGGGCTTTGTTATCATCTGCTTCTACGTTGTTCTAGCGAATCTAAGAGGGAAAGGAAGGGAAGGGATAGAAGCAAAAAGCCGCCGTGTGCGCGCAGGTCTTATATTGTATATCGCCCACTCAAAACGTCTGCTGATGGGGAAAGGCAGGAAAGAATGAAGAAAAGAACGAAGGAGATTTTCCAAAAATGAAGATACCCAGAGAAAATCAGGCAGATGACCAATGTGATATGACGAAAAACAAGCAAAAATTAAGCGTGTGGCCTTTGAGACTGGTCGTCGACCCGGATTGCGGTGGAAGAGGAAGAGGCGGATCACTCTTTGAGATGGAAACCGACCGGCTCGGCACGAGCGATCGAAAGCCCCGGGAGATTTTCAAGGGCTCATTGACCATGACTGCTCCTTTCCAGGCGTCTCTCTACTTGCTGTTGTGTCCATGTCCGGTGTCCATGGGGCCTTGTCTGTCTGTCTGTCTGTCTGTCTGTCTGTCCGAGCGTGTCCTCCTTGAACGTGACGTGACATGACAAATTCTCGGACCCGGATGCGGACGGTCGTGAGGAAGTGATACCGATCTATCAAGTCAAGTCAAGTCAAGGCAAGGCATTCCTGGATCACGGATTCGCGGATTCACCCAGGCCTCAGCCCCAAACCTTACCCTGCCCTACGCTGCCCTGCCCTGCCCTGGGCACAATCGAAACGTTTCAGGTGGTGTTTTGTTTGACCTCTGCCCGGGTGGGTGGTGTAGTGTAGTACTCCGTATCCGTACCTCTATAGAAGGACCGTGTAGGAGATGAGACCAAGGAAAGGAGGAAGGATATTAGCGATGTCAGACTGCATGGGCCCCAAAACCATCACTAGCTATTGAATGGGTCATTATTTCTCTTACTATATAAAATGGCTATACACATCACCAGCATAAACGAGGCGCGGAGTGGGAGATTGGGTACTGTTCCGCGGCGGAAAACGCTCTCGATGGGATGGTCAAGATCCGGAAGTGCCAACAAGTTATCCAGAGCCAGAAGAAACAACGCTCCTCCTGCACACCCCGGAGGCTGGTACAGTATCTAATGATCTGACCAGGGCCCTTCCGGGAGAAAGCCCCTTTAGCCCTCGGACACGCCTTTCCGCCTGATGTTTGCTGTAACGCCATGCGTCGTCCAGATCGTGAGGTCGTTCCCGAAATCTCGACTCCCGCACCCGTCTCCCCATCACCATTGAGTAATCAACCCATGAAGCCGCTCCGGTACTGACAGACATACTCGTGGTAATACTGCCTCCGCTCGCGCACAACCGGGTCGTCGTGCCCAGCGGCATCCTCACGACCGAAGCACGGGCTCACCCCGATCTGGGGCCGGTCGAGGTGCTTGTCCATCAAGCACCCCGGAATCGCTTCATCGTCGAGCCAAAACGTCCCGGCCGTCATTCGGGGCTCGATCGCCGACACTTGCACGACGTAGTTATCCACAAGAACCTTGAGCCGCTGCTTCAGCCCTTCCAGAGACGACACCTCTGGGCCAGCTCTGCCCGCGGCCCGGGCCTCCACATATTGTTCCAGCTCATACAATAGGCATGGATACATGATGATCAAGTCGTCAAGGGTCAGCAAGGAATCTTCCCGCGTCAGATGGCTGCGGACCTCCGCCGCGGATACGACCCCATCATCTCCAGTAAACACTAGGATGTCCGGGTACATGGCAGAGCTGATTGCTTGGTTCATCGTCGTGAAGGCGACGGACAGAAACCCCATCGTCGGCGTATCGAGGTCACGGTGGTGCATTTGCGCTATCCGGCGAAGCAGCCTTGCGTAGTCAGAGCCTATGACCTTGAGCTCGAGAAAAGCCTGGCGCTTGCCCAGAGGGAATCGTTTGATGACATTGAGGTCATTGTTCGCATCGGCCGATAGACCCATGAAGGTAGCAGCCATCAGCCGCACTATTTCGGACTGTGTGTGTCCGTGTTGCGTCGCTTCTCGGAGAATCTTCTCTCCGCTTTTCATATGCGCCATGGCGGCGGGGAAATCCTCATTGCACTGAGCCATCGAGGAGAACAATCGGCAAACGATCAGCGCGATATCCCACGATGGAGGCTGGTCGGAGAACGCGCGGACAGCCTGGGCTCTCTGCTCCAGGATCAGGTTGGTGTGGTCAGTCCTCGAAACATAAGAATCAAAGGTAGCTGCCACCGCCACCATCCCATGATGGACCGATGGATTCTGCCAAGCCGCTTGAGGGACAATGGATTGCCAGAAGTGATGCCACTTTCTGGTAGAAGAAAGAAGAGGCGCAGTTTTGAGGAGGAACAGCTGGGTATAGCTTTGGTCCACATCCGCCCTCCACGGGCTCGAGGGTTCGAGAAGGAGCTTAGAGAAATCGGAAAGAGTCTGATTCCTATTGCTTGCTGTTATTGGGGATGTAAGAGGTCCTCGGTCCGGCGATAATGATTGCAAGGGACGTGGATCTGGCGCCGACGGCTCGGGCTCGACTTTGCGAGATGGCTCAAACAGCCACGTCTTCGGAGGTTCGTATCCGTCACAACGAAACTTGTCTTTCAGACATCTTGATCGACCTTAGCGTGTGGCATGTCGAAGTCGGGTCGTCGTTACCTCATACAATGCGGCTTCCCTTCGTCGCAGCGTCTGTGCCGTATCCTAGAGCGGTCATCGACATGGGAAGACTCCAGACGCCTACGCACTTACTTGCAAGTCTTACATCCAGTCCTGACTTTCGGAGCCCATCGCCTTTGCCGCTGTGCTTGTGACGATGGTGGTGGCATTTTGTCGGTGGTCCTATGCCGAGGAGATCTCTTGCTTGATATTCACATGACGACCGTATGAGGGACGATACAAGGGCAGCAGAGTGGAACCCAAGTATCTGACTGCTCGGTGGAGATGGAAGATGAGAAGAGGTCGTGAATGTCGAGTAACGTAGGCATATTACCACAAAACTGGCAAACATAAAAAACAAGGCCATCGCTGCAAACAGTGCAAACCCCCTGGGCCTAGGAAGCGCAGCCTCGTCGACCCCTCCAACCTCATCCCGTCCATCAACCCCTCGTTCGGCATCAACACCGAGGAACCGCTGTGAAAATGTGGGGGAGCCAGGGCACGTCGATGCCCGATGTGAGCAGCGGATCCTGCCAATTGCACCTCTTGTATTTCGAACGCTCTTTCTCACCATCATTTTTCAGTCACAAAGTTTCTCTCCAGCAGTCACCGTAGCCACCGTATCGTCGCCAGGAGCTCGATATCCCCCGCACTTGCGCCGGGCAATCTGTTACTGGAGAGTGGTTTTTGTGTATATTCTCTTCCCGCGAGGCATTACCTGTCACGCGGTTTCCTCTTGTGCAGTTGTGCGGGATTGAGCTTGGAACACCACCCAACCTCCGACATGGATAAAACAGGAGGCTTCCAGGAACCCCGCTACCTCGACTTCGTGCGCTCCTCGGAGCCCACCGGCGTCGATGGCAAACCCATGCTCAACCGCTACTCCACCCATCTCACTCGCCAGCATGACTTCCCCGGGGCGCAGGCCATGCTCTTCGCCGCGGGGGTGCCCGACAGGCACGCAATGCAGACGGCTCCTCATGTCGGCATCGCTAGTGTCTGGTGGGAAGGAAACCCCTGCAATATGCACCTGCTGGACCTGGGCAAGGAGGTCAAGAAAGCCGTCAATGCGCGTGGAATGCTGGGCTGGCAGTACAACACCATCGGCGTAAGTGATGCCATCACCATGGGGAACCAAGGGATGCGATTCAGCTTGCAAACACGTGAGATCATCGCGGACTCCGTCGAGACGGTGACGTGTGCCCAAGCCCATGATGCCAACATCACTATTCCCGGCTGCGACAAGAACATGCCCGGTTGCATCATGGGAATGACGAGGCACAACAGACCGAGTCTGATGATCTATGGAGGGACGATTGATAAGGGCTACTCAGAGACGCTGCGCCGCCCAGTCAACATTGCTACCTGTTACGAGGCCTTCGGTGCGTATACATTTAATACTTTGCGCCAACCGGATGATGGGGGAGATACGTCCAAGACCAAAGACGAGATCATGGAGGATCTAGAAAGACATGCTTGTCCAGGAGCCGGAGCCTGTGGCGGCATGTACACTGCCAACACGATGGCCACCGCAATCGAGTCAATGGGACTGACATTGCCCGGGTCAAGCTCAACACCAGCGAGCTCACCAGCCAAAATGCGCGAATGTGCCAAAGCCGCAGACGCCATCAAAGTCTGCTTGGAACAGGACATCACGCCGAGGAAACTTTTGACACCCAAATCCTTTGAGAATGCTCTCGTCATCACCATGGCTCTAGGAGGAAGTACAAATGCTGTCCTCCACTTACTTGCTATGGCCGTCACTGCCGGTGTGGAGCTCACGCTCGATGACTTCCAACGCGTGAGCAATAAGATCCCTTTCCTCGCAGACCTTGCGCCATCAGGAAAGTTCTCGATGGCCGATCTGTATGAGATTGGAGGCGTGCCGAGTGTGCAGAAACTCCTCATCGCCGCCGGCCTCCTCGACGGCTCTATTCCAACAGTGACTGGCAAGACCTTGGCCGAGAATGTGGCGAGCTGGCCTAGTCTGCCTAGCGATCAGGTCATTATTAAGAGCCTGAATAGCCCCATCAAAGAGAGCGGCCACATCCAGATTCTCAGGGGCAACTTTGCGCCTGCGGGAGCGGTGGCCAAGATCACCGGGAAAGAAGGTCTTCGCTTTACAGGGAAGGCAATGTGTTTTGAGAAAGAGGCGGAACTAAACGAGGCGTTGAACAGGGGCGCCATACCGCGCGGAGAGAATCTTGTGCTGATAGTAAGATATGAAGGACCTAAGGGTGGACCAGGAATGCCAGAGCAGCTCAAGGCCAGTGCAGCCATCATGGGGGCAGGACTCACCAACGTCGCTCTGGTGACCGACGGACGGTACTCGGGTGCATCACACGGATTCATCGTGGGCCATGTTTGCCCAGAGGCAGCGGTTGGTGGCCCGATTGCGTTGGTCAAGGACGGTGATGAAGTGACGATCGACGCCGAGACAAACACTATCTCGATGGATGTCAGTGATGAGGAGTTGGAAAGGCGCCGCAAGGAATGGAAACCTCCGAGACCGGCGGTAACGAGAGGCACGCTGGCAAAATATGCCGCCCTGGTTAGTGACGCCAGTCATGGGGCCGTTACAGATTTGTTTTGAAAGCCGCGAGCCCGCGGAAACGTGACTAACCCGGCAAGAAATGGGGAATCTGGGCCGCCAGAACGTTGCGAGTCTCTCTTGACCAAGTCTGACAGAGAACAAAGACAATCTCACACGCCTGTAGCAAAAAATTGCTTGTTCTACCCCATAGTCTGTGTCATACCCCAGGATTATGGTGATGTTGAGCCAACCTGCTATCTCAGTATTTGTGACCCAATCGAGGTTGTAGTGGTTGACAGTTCTTGGTCCTTTCGCGGTTCATTGGGAGCCGAAAGAGAGCCATGACGGCAGCTCTTGCAGCAGCGGAGACCAGGTCTTCTGGATCGTGTCTCTAGATGCCTGGAGATGGCTCGTGACGAACGGTCGACGTCGAGACGACAGGAAGAGGCACTTGTAGAAGGAGCTGGTGTGATGCGCTCGCAGTTTCACAGACAGAAATGAGAATAACCAGGTGGTCAGGAGCAAGACAAAAGCCCCATATGGCAGCCAATATAGTGGAACAGCATGCGTTGACCAAGGAGGCTGAACGCAGGGCTGTGAATGGTGATGAATGATGGATGAATCGTAATTGGAAGAAGGAAGAGAAATTGAGATTGCCGAGTCGATCTGGCTGGTGGATGGCGGCCTGAACTTGGCAGCCTGCTGTCTGCAGCCTGCAGCCTCGCTTCCCCAGCTTCTTCCTCTCTTCTCTTCCCTTCTGGACGACAATCCCTCTACTGCAACGTTGATTCCACGCCCGGCCGCTCACGGTTTGTGTCGAAGTTCAGCTGGTCGTCAACGGTTTATGGATGAATGGGACATGCGGGTGGTGCTCACAAGGTCATCCTCGGTCAATTGTCTGGACCAACATGTGAATGAGATCTCCTATCAGTCGTGAGATGTGTCAAACCATATATGAGTTGACTCCCACCTGGGAGCTCGAGAAGACAACACTTCATTCTGTCAAGCGACCATCTGCCGGAATGATAGGAGGATCTTTGTTGGGTGAAGTACAAAAGCGACAATGTGACCAGAGATGTCGACGAGGTGAGTTGACCCTCATTTTCACTTCACCTTCAGCCTCCCTTCAAATTTGGCTGGAGATCTCAATGCCCATCAACATCTTGCTTCGACTCGCCAAGAGGATCCTGTCGATACCTCCCACAGTCAAATTCAAACCATCTCGACCCTCTTCCCAATCATCAATCTGGTGATAAAAGAATCATTCTCTTCGATGACCTCGCCCGGAAATCAAGAGACGAACGTCCCTCCTCGAGCTCGAAACACTCGCCTTTCCAACATCCAGGCTCTACCAGACCGCCAGCCCGCTTCGTCGTCGTCTCTGCTCCGCCTCAACAAACTTTGCCAGGATGCTTCTCCGAGTCGGCTTCTTAGCCCTTGTCGCCGTGGCTTCTGTGGCGTGGGCTGTCGACACTGACAAGAACCCTGACCTCGTCGCTAAGCTTCGCGTGGCCAACACCAATCTCGACCGCATGAAGCTGCTCCCCAATGACACAGACTGGTTCTTTGATTTCACCAAGCAGGACAAGTACACCTTCTCGCCCGGGGGAGTGGTCAATGCCAATGCTGCTTCGTTCCCAGCGACTGCTGGACACGGCATGACAATGGTAAGCGGCCACCACCACTTTTCTCACTCTTGTCTCACATCCCCCCCTGTAAAGTCCTGAAACTGACTCTCAATCCCAAAAAGGCAATACTCAACCTGGGCCCCTGCTCCATGCTCCCACCGCACATCCACCCGCGAGCCACCAACTTTGTCGTCGCCATCTCCGGGACCACGCAAACCTACATGGTCGCGGAGAACGGCGCGCGCACCGTGACCGAGACCCTCCGCCCGGGCCAGATGACGATCTTCCCGCAGGCGTCGGTCCACACGATGATGAACATGGGCTGCGACAACGCGCAGCTGGTCTCGGCCCTCAACTCCGACGACTCGGGCACCACCAACCTGGCCAACACCTTCTTCTCGTTCCCGCAGAACATCACCGGCACCGTCATCGGAGGCGGCCTAAACGCCCAGGACATCTTGGGCCGCGTGCCCGCCGTCGGGACGGGCAGCAACGCCGGGCCGCAGGCTTGCATCGCCGCGTGCGCGAAGAAGGGGAAGATGGTCAAGCGAGAGTGGTAGGCCGCGGCCGCGGGGACTGAATGGTGCAAGAAGCTGCCGGGGAATGCGGGCTGAGACAGGGTAGGAGAGGTGGTTTTGGGAAACCCGGTCTTGGAGACGGAAAGGCACCGCCCTGTTTGTCGCGAGTATTCGAGATACGAAGGTGGAAATTCCTCTTCGAAACACCCGTCGAGCCGCGCATAATAGTGGAATCGGTTCGCAGTGCTAAGGCGCTAAGGCGAACCCTTTTCAAGTTGGCAAGATAGGCAGAGGAGCAATCTGCGCAGACGTGCAGCTGCCACAAGAAAATGAAAGTGAAATCATTCGAACGACTGATTCAGAATTCATCTTGTAGATCTCAGACTGTGATACCGATGTTACTATGCTCCCATTCCCATGTTCTGGCGGTCTGGCTCAAGCCCAGCTACGCAAAAATAACACGAGTCCAAACTAAGAGTGTATAACAGACACGCTCCCTTTCCTTTTCATCACGAGCAACCACCTTGATGCAACAAAACTCATGGCCAATATAAGCGAGCACATCACCGCCGTGCTCTTGATCTCATGGGCTTCCCAGGAAGGAGGTGCACCAGCGGTGACGTTGGCGTGGCCCGACGTGCGTTTCCTTCGCACCCACACCTACCAGGCAACGCTTTCTGTCCCATGCCAATACTGGCGATACACCTCCGGGAAGCCTTCTCTTTTGGTCCCGCCATGGTGGTGAAGATAAGACGAATTTACAAGACGGCTGAACCAAAAACAGAAACACCGAAGCATACGACCTTCACCTCGACCAGGCCGGCATATGCTCGTGTCTGCCTTCTGGTATTCTTGGCTCGGGAGGCTCAATGTTCTTGATGGCTGCAAAGTGAAGGAGTGCCGTTAGTCTCGACGCTTTTGACGGCAAATGGCATAGACGAGACTGGGGAGATAGAGAGATGTGAAACGTGCAGAGGAGGAGAAATTGGAGCAATGATTCGCTTATCTCATATGCGACAGGAATAGAGGGACGATGGGCACATCTGTATCTTACCTGTCACGACCCTCTTGACTAGCGAAGGCTTTTTGTCCTGTTGGGCTCGTTCCTTCTCACTCATGAGAGATGATGTCGAGATCGAGGTAGCGTCGAATGACACGTTGGGCTTGGAATTTGAAGACATCTTGGAGGGACTGGGTTTAACGACTCGTTGGAGTAGGAAGACTATGGTATCCTCGTTTCCTGGTCGGGGAAGTCAAAGTAAGCTTTTCCTTCGAGAAGTGCCGAGTGAATGCAGCAGATGTGTGAGAGAAAGGAGGAAGGCCTCGAGACTCAGGCAGAAGGCTTCGGTCCCCTTTATAGCCCAAACACGAGACGGGTGCAGCGGCAGAGGTTTGGCAAGAAGCTTGTCATTCGATGGTGGCCTGGGCCTCCAGCAATGGACAATGCTTAGGCAACAAGCATATCGCAAGGGCAGAGGGAGTGTATGGCACTCGCCGGTGACAGGTCAGCGCTCCGACTCCGAACACAATGGTGGCTACCGCATCAGGTAAGGATTTGAGGAAGCCAATGCAGTGGGTTCGCGAGGTGGATGCAGTGGAGAGGCGGACGATGGACGGTGACGGCTGATTTGGATTCAGACGGGCAAAGGCTGATCTGACTCATGGGGATTTCTCGTCAGCCTCACAACTCGGTTCCTTGGTGTGCCTCTCATGCGGTCTCCAGGCCTCCTCTTGATCGCCACCTCTTTTTCAAGCCCACCCGGCGCTCCATCCTGTCCGAAGAGGAAGCCGATTCGAGCGCGCAAGGAGAAGGAGGGCGGTCTGTTGATTGTGAGGTTCTGGTGCTTCATTGCACCGCGAGTGGGAGGAGTGGGAGGAGTGGAAAAGAGAAACTCCAATAAACACGCGAACGTACGCACCCGCCAATCACCGCCCAGCAGGCAAATGACACTGCGGCACGTATTCGCACTTCGCGTACCATTTTGGCTCTGCGCCATTTCTGCCTGAGTCACAAAGTCACAAAGTCACCGAGGAGCGGGCACTGCATCATGCACATAGGCTAGACCCTTCCGATGCCTCTGGTTTACGCAAGAAGTTCGAGTTTCTGAGTAAGGAAACTGGGAGGGATACGCGGTGGAAAAGAGACAGGGTCTTCGACCGCCAGACACCCGCAATACCGGGATGTGGTGTTTTTCAGGCACCACCAACACCATTGGAATGATGCCATGCCCGCCCTTCCACTCTGTGCAATCATTTCCTACCGTTTCCAGGGGGCTCTCAGGCAAACGCAATACTCGCCAACCCCATCTAATTCCCCCCGCGCGACGGACGGATATCCTCCTCGAAGGTCCATCAGTCCAGGCACCAGCCCCATCTACGTGCCTGATTCTGTGGAGCTCTTATGCCACGAACCTAGACTCACCAAAGAACTCTTGTTGCCGCCGTTCGAGCTTGAGACTTGGACCTCCGTTGATTGGGCAGAGCTTTGTCACCTCTCATGGTATTGACCTTGTGTGCTCTAGGCAGAACTACACTGCGTCACGACTCGTCATTTACAAGTCCCGCCGATCCTGTTTTCTTATGGTCAATTACTATCTCGATCTCTTAGAGATGACCGCCGGAGAACGAGAATGGCCGGGTTGTTCCATATGATGATACGTCCGCGCTGTGCCTGTTCAAGACTGCATTGATCCCACCGACCGGAATGCCTTCCAAGCTGTGCTCTCCATCACTCTCGACGGTCATTCCACAAGCTGCTAGGAATGATCTACTCGCCATGCCAAACAGGTACACATCTTCTCAAAACCTGCCTGCCCTTGCGGACATCTCACAACTTTCTCCAGCTCGGGAGCCAAGGACACAGATCCACCATAGTCCGTCCCACCTCCACCACGAATCACCGAGGAGCAAATTACATCGTGGTATTGCCCATTTACAGCAAAGCCGTTCGTAAAGACTGACTCGATCAGAATGCGATCGGATGGTGTCACTCTCTGTGACACAGAGGCTCAAGAGGTGGCAGAACCTGACAGGCGAAATGCAGAGATAATCAAGTCGACCCAGACACAGATGCCAAGTCTGAAATGTGAGGCACTCCTGTGCATTGAGGAGGAAAATATTGCAGACATTCCCAAGAAGGCTTCTCGTGTGGTGGTGGCCTGCATGATAAATCTGTACGGCCCAATTCACAATGCAGGGCAGGTTGGGGCTTATCTTGGAGAATCAAATCTCTTCAAGAACTAACCTTCCTCCCGCTATCAGTACTGTATACATTCCGGCGACCGTGAGTGTGAACTGCTCTATCAATTTGGCCTGCCCTGTGTTCATCCATCTCTTACGGCCTCTTATCGGCGGCGCGTCAATTCAGAGGTCTCTCTGTCATCCTCGATGGTGGATAGATGGAGACATTTATCAGGCAAGTTGACTGGGTACCGTACTACCACGACCGATCGAATCCTCATCTTCCGCCTCAGCCTGTCTTTAGCTTTGTCGAGCAGCAACTTCAAGAGATTCGCGACAGCCTAGACCCCGAGAATCGAGCGCAGTTGTACCGAAGAAGGGCAAGGCGACAAGAGGTGGTAGATCAAGAGATGCTGGAATCTGGCGCTCGTCAGCTTGAGAGGCAGGCTGTCCTAATCGCACCACCCGACGCAGTGCCCAAGCGACAATGGGCAAAGGCAAAGACACACGGGCTAGCTGACGCTCGAGGACCCACTGCCAACGAGCTAGCTAGGAGGCCGACAGCAAAAACAGGCTTGTCAGGAGGCGAATGAAGCCAGAGTGACAGAGGCGCGATTCATCCATCAACTGCAACAAGCAGCGAACGCAGACACTCGAATGTCTACCATCACGGTAGTACAGGCACCACAGACACAAGCCCCAGTGAGGCCGACCATGCCGTTAAGAGCTGTATCCAGTCAGTCATTGCCCATATCGCGCTTACCTACCGATACGCTCATCGCCTATTCAGAGACCTCGCCTATACTAATCTCGCCTCCGCCGGCCTCTGCCTACGAGGTGCTGAGAAGTCTACTTCTGCGTGGACCTATTGCTGCAAGTGCGTGGGCTACCTCGAGCGACTTGAACATCGCCAGATGACCATGACCATGCAGCACTAAAGTTCTCTGGCGAATCGCTGCAGTGGACGGGTGCAGTTGCCACAATAGATGGTGACGAGCAGATACTTTTGGGTATTTTGAAGGCCAGGACATCCCACGTCCGCATCACGAGGCCGGCCGGAACTTCCAGCCTCTGAAGCCTCTTGAACCCCTGCTATAAATGAGAGATCCTACAGCACATGCTGCAAAAGGAACCCGAAAATGCCCCAACTCAGACGGTAGGTCCGTGCGTTGGCGCCATGCCTGCCATTTGCGCAGCCTCAGGAAAGTGTTCGTACGCTTTCAGGACCCCAGCCTGTGCCACTGGATTGTTTTGGGTTGCCCTAACCCAATTAGGAAAACTAGCAACGTTAGATTTTCACGTCGGCACGTCAAACTGCCGTGTGCGCGCCCCCACTAGTTAGTTAGATAGACAATCAATCAAGAACAAGATGGTCCCACACTTTGGACTCGGGTTAGAGGATTGACGAGATTCGGTGTAATCGACTGGTTCGACTCTTTGTAGGCATAGGCAATATAAACATTAGCTTCAGCCGCGAGACCTTCCATGTGGAACCCCGTCTCCGCAAGAGCAGCTTCTCCTTGCTTCCAAGTTGGTGTCTATCATGTGTTCAATACTGGATATATCTTAACAACGACAGATACAGAGTGTGCTCCATGTCATAATGACTTCAATGCAAACTGCGAGGTGACTCTTACCACGCAAGTTTCATCATTTCCCTCGACAGCACTGCGACATGCGAAAATGCTCCCCTTCATACTACTAGTCTCCCACAAAATAGAGGCAATTGCGTTTCCCCCATCCAGTTATGGCCACTAAGTCGCGGGAATGCGAGTACATACAGCCATAGTCGTTTCGGCAAAGTTCAGGCTCGCCATGCTCGGCAATCAGGGCATCCTCACCCTAAGGCTCCTCGGCGGACCAAACAACAAACCTAAGTTCGACGCTCTCGCGGGGCTTGTCATTCGGAGCGTGCTCTGGGAGGACCATGGCGCAGCCACCGCTTCTGCTGGTCGGGCTTGTCTTTGTCGTTGAGACTTCTGACGTCGGTAAGAGGACAGTCAGGTACAATATTGAGCTTCACGTTTGTTCGCTGGATATCCTCCGAGACATTATCCGCCCAGATCTCATACGGAACCTCATCCTCGTAGATCAAGTCGTCGCGGAGGTGAGAAACCTCGCAGTGCTGGATATTGCAAGAGTTGCCATTGCTGAATCGCGGTTTGTATGAGCAAAAGCGCGCAGTAAGAGGCTGGAATGAGGTGCGTCCAAAAGACCCAAGACCAAACACAGCCGAGTTCCCCAATTTATTAGAATCAGACCACACACAGTGTTCGAGCCTCCTGTGGTCTTATCGTCCTCAATTCCAGTTATCTTCCTCCACGAGGCAACCCGGACAGAAATGTGCATGTGCACAAGATACCCTTGGCCAAATTCCTAGCGTCCATTGCTGTATTGCCGAAGGTTTCCCCCGGAGAAACTAGTAACTTAATAACAAGGAAGCAAACCAAGGCATGAACCAGGTGAGTAGCTTGCATGAGAGCTTGTATTAGTGCGTGGGATGTTCTCAGCCCACCGTGGTGACTCGATGAGAATGGCAATCCTGGAAGAAGCCCAATGGTTCGAGCGAAATGAACAGCGGCGAGATGCATGGACGACCATGCAACATGCACTGGAGAGGAGGTACCTATACCTGCGTCGAGGCTATGGTGTCGAGTTAACTATACAGAGGCACCGCCCGAGACCGATATCTCCAGAGCTCACAAAAACCGCCATCCACAAAAGTTTCTACCATCTGGACTGCGCCGAGATGTACGGAACCGAGGAAGAAGTCGGGGTGGCCATCGAGGATGCCAGCGTGCCTCGAGACAAGCTCTTCATTACCAATAAGGTCACCCAGGGCATTGATGATATCCCTGAAGCGGTTGATCAGAGCTTGCAGAAGATGCAGCTGGACTATTTTGATCTGTGAGTTCCCGCGGTGCCAGGAAAAGAAATAACCCTTGGTAATGGACTGAGTAGATACTTGGTTCACATTCCTTTCTTCGCCAAGTCAGAGGCCGATTTTCAACATGCTTGGAAGTCTATGGAGGACATCAAGAAGGCTGGCAAGGCCAAATCGATTGGGGTCAGCAACTACATGCGCTCCGACGTGGGCAACACATACTACTTCCGTACTCCTTGGCCGGAACACTTTGACAAGGATGATCGATCTTGATCGATGAAGATGAACGTCTTGACTGCGTCCACCCGCAAGATCCATAGACCAATATCCTTACATCAGACCTTGTGGAGGCAGCCGGGCCTGAATCTACCCGTTGCGGAGAGGAGCCTCGGACAGTTCTGTGCGGGTGACACATGCTGAGCTGTGCTGTAATGCGCTGACTGCTCCATGGCCACTGAGAACGACAAACGAACGCTACGCAAGCATAGCGACTGGTGTCTTTCTCTCTCTCTCTCTCTCTCTCTCACACACACACACACAGAAATAACGAGCCTCGGGCGACAGCCAACATGTCCATATCGCAAACGCTCCTGGAAACAGAACTGCTCTACCCAGCGCACTTCATAAACAAGGTGGGATCTCGTCATTATGCTACTATTCACACGAACACCGCCGTGACATTCAGGACTAAGAAGGAGCAATGACGAGGAGACTGCTCTATGCGCCAGGCCGTCGAGCCCTTGACCATCCCACACCTCCCCAACCACAAGCAAGGCGACGCGGTCGTCCTTCACCTCAACCCTGTCACCAAGCAACAGAGCTGCAACGAGAGACTCACCGGCGACCGATCCACACACAAGCAATCCAAGGAGTCCCCCACCGGACAAAATCCGTGGCCATCCTTTTGGCCATATGTGCGGCCATTTTCGTGAGCCTCTATGCTGTCGCTGCCTTGGCCCGGCGGGCGAATTTCTGGCTCTGGGGAAAAGAGTTGTTCATGTGATTGCTTAAGCATCGAATTCTGGGCCACCGTAACAGCAACAGGGATGGGGGGAGTGATTCAGTCTCGTTATGCGAAGGGGGGGGGGGGGGGAACAACTGGCCTTCTTCGTGCAGAGGTGACGATAGCTTAATGCAGAAGCTGCCTGGAACGAGCTGGCTTGGAAAACGTCACCGTGAGAATGAGCATTACTTTCAAAACTTCGTTTGTATCTTGACACTTCGTTTGTTCTCATCCCTTTTCTTGTGAAGCTTCTTGTCTCGTCTTTGCTTTTGCTTCCTTCCACATCGCAGCATCCCAATCTCCAACCCTAGCAGATGGCAAAAATGACCAAGACACCAGCGTCCAACCCCCCCGCGATGCAGACTCAATCCATGGCCAAGGCCATGGAGCTCGTCGACGACCCGATGCCTCCGATGCCGGTCCCCAGGCCTCGAAGCTACCCGTTCGTAGACATCGCCACGTCGCAGGTACATCGTCTAGCTCATACTAGATCCAGTCTCAGATCCAGGGACAACTCACGGGCAGAGCGTGATGACCGCGGCCTATTCGCCGACGACACCGCAGCCGAGGACGACCGTGCCGACGAGCGCGAGCGCGAGCGCTTCCGCGCATATCACTACTTCGACAGCGCCTACCCGGACCACTCCCTCCGGGTCGAATACTCCGACGACCCCCGCTATCCTGCAGGCGAGTACCCCGAGGGCGCGTACCCGACCGACGCATATCTGGCAGACGATGAATCAGGGTCTGAGCAATTCGATGGCCACGACGACGACGACGACGACGACGAGGGACTGTACCTAGATCCGCCCGCGAATTTCCTGTACGATGACGATGAAGACAGCGCAGACGAAGGCTGGGGCTCGGAGACGGACGAGGACGAGGACGAGTCTGCGGCTCGGGAGTTTGCAGACACTCGTGACGAACAGCCAACTACCAAGGCCGGGGACGAGGCCAGAGATACAGAAGGTCTGGAGACAGATCCAGATGCAGCGGCGGCAGCGGCGGCAGCGGCGACGGCAACGGCGACTCCCCCTAAAGCCAGAGCCCAAGGAGATGCAGGAGATATCAATCTCCACCACCACATCGACGCTCCTCAGACGCCGAATCTCGTACGGCATGCAGTTTTTGCAGCAGCCGCGTGCGTTGGCCTGATGTACGCGTGGAATTGGGCTTTGAATAGACCCAGGCAGCTTCCCCTTTGGAATGATGGGGAACATTGACTCATCTCATTCTGCATTTCGAGGTAGTGCTGGTGCATCGTCGAAGGTATTTGGCAAGGCAGACCGACCGCCTTCAGCGCATCTGATCTCCGTTTTCCTGGAAGAGAGCTAGCTGCTCTTACACCTCCAAAACGACCTGCCTGCTGTTGCTGTGCAGCCAGGGGCATCCGAGACTATTTCTCTCGACGACCCTCCTCGCTTTGGAGCCGCATTTCCCACAAACTTTCGGGACCTGAGCATCACCATCGTCACCAGGCAACTCGCTGGTGGCTGCGGCCCGGTTCCTCAAACACTCGGCCGTCCTCAGGCATCATCGTCTTGGCTGCAATTAGACGATATTAACACTCACGCGCCCAAAATGCCAGTAGCTGGACCGATCACGGTTCTCCCCAATTCCTTTTCCATCAAACCGCAGACAATGCAGCCATGAACCAGCGCATTCCCCGCCATCAGGTATACAATTGGATGGGTGGATGTTGGGATGGCGTTCTGTGGTCAGGATTTCGCTCAGACGCATCTCAGCTCAGATGCGTCTGGATTGACGTGGAAGCGGGGCCTTAAGAGGTATTGGTACCTCGCGTAGGGAGGTAGGCAAGCTACCTAGAGGTCGTTGTTGGATCTGCAGTCAGATCACTCCTCGCCTTGGCCTCATCCTGGCAATAGTCCATGATCGAATAGAACCCCACAATGCAGGTGTCCTCAATCTTTCAAGGACCTTTACCACTGCCTCCACTCACAAATCGCCTCGCAACCCACGCACTTCCATGTTCAAGGTACTCTTCTCTGGTAACACCATACTCTCTGACAATCCCAGGAAATCCACTCGCCAACCTGGCGCCCCCAAGCCAAGTCGACGTGATCGGGTCCGCCATCTTACGAACTCGAACCATCCATTCGGTCTTCACCCTCATACGCAGCTCGGCTTCGAGCCGCTCCAGAAAGCCAGGAATTTGCGCATTCCCGCCGACTAAAAGGACGTTGCTGAGCATGGTGACTTGCAAGAGCGGCGGGAGGACACTAAGGGATTGCATCACAATATCCGGTAACCCAGGCTGCTTCGAGCCAATGTCGCCAGGTGAGAAGATAATTTCTGGGATAGAGAAGCGTTCATTTCCCAACGTCATTGAGATTTCGGCGTCGGGCTCGGAGGAGACGGCGACCTGTTTGCGCTTGCGCGCAGCGGCGGGGGTGGGATCGTGAGGACGGCTAAACCCTCGAAGAAGGCGGATGCCATCAGGGAGAATATAGTCGACTCGGATCTCCTCATCTTCCGGCGAGACCATCTGTTCGGCGTCCATAGCGTCGTCCGAATCCTTGGATTTTGCGGGCACGGATCTCTGCTTCGGTTTGTTTCCCTTCCAGGTCTTTTCCAGGTCCTTTCGGAAATCCTTGCTGACGAAACAGACGTCTTCCTTAATGTCATTGACGATCTTGGTGTCTTGATGCAAGTCGAAGTGCCGCACGGAGATGGCTTCTTTCAAAAGGTTCGTAAGATGCTTGCCGCCAAAATCTAACCGGCGGACTGCTCGGTGCAATGGTCGGCCATTGAACAGCGGCGTGATGGTGGTATGGCTGTAGCCGCTGTCGATCACGAGCACACATTCCATCGGCAGGTCTGCCATAGGATCGTTGCCTGGCTTTGTGTAGGATGCTCCTTCGAATAGTGGGTGAAGATCGTTGTAGGCATTAAGTGACGGGCCTGGTGTGGAAATCAGCACAGCCTCCCTCGCCGTCAGTGTCTTCGGCCCAGCCATACCTACCAATTACCCTGGTATAGCCTCCAAACCCCCACTCTTCCATAATAATCTCGTCTGCATTCTTCTGGAAAGCAGGCATAGTATTGGGTGGCTCTGTGAAGATCAAGGTGGTGTCCCCGGGACTTTTAACCAGAAGATCCTTCTTAGCAACTCGCTCATCGAAGAATGATTGGTCCCATATCTCTTTCTGCGCTTCCCAGCTCACGACTTGGCCATTTTCGACAGGGCGACGAAACAAGGCTTCGCTCCATTGTGTGATTTCCTCGGATTGGGAACCGACGTAGACTTTTCTGTCACGGCTGCGGACGATGGAGTTTGGGATGATATGACATCGTCGCAAGGCGTCCGTGTCTGGTACGGGGTCGGAGGGTGCGAAGCCAGCCTTGATGCTGTAGCCACCGTCGTCCAGGACGAAAGTCGTGGAGGGAAGGCCCGGGGTGTTTCGCGTGGATTTTGGTGCGCGGGGCATGTCGACTTCAGGCAGCCAGCATCATTGTTCTGGGGAGATCAGAGGCCTACTTCGAGAGAGAACCTCGACGGCGGGGGACTGAAGCCTGGAAAGACTCTGCATGCATGTAAGGTTGAGAATTTTATGGGGGTCTGAAGCACCAATTTGATTTCTTGGGAATGGCCCAAACCTGTCTCCATGATGTTGTCCACGCTCCTCCGCACCATCGACTAGGACCTAAGATGCCTCGCTGCTTTACCAGGCGGCAAGATCTCGGCACACCTTCTGCTCCTCGTTTGCTTCCTGAGACTCACCAGGACGGACTGTTTGTGCCTTTGCTCTCCAACATTCACCTCGATCAATGTCGGACGACCATATTAGAGAGATGCCGACAGTCCCAATCTGCCTCGTTTCTCATAATCCTTAGCTGCTCAATCGCATGAGGTAATATAGACCGGTCTCTTTCCAAGGCCTGTGGTTGATGGTCTCGACTGGAAGGTAGACTGATGCTCAACACCAAAGCAGGAAACAGTCATTCGCATAGGCCACTCTGCAAGCTTCCACCACATGTCAAAAGGTCCTTCTATCAGGTATATGACTAAAGTTCTCAGCGACTGACGATACCGCCTGACATGACCCACGCACCTGATCGAATACCTGGTCTGTGAGGTTCCAGCGTCTAAACCAAACTCAGAAGCGGTTCGGACGCTATTCAGCAACGTCATAAACCATCTGAGGCATTTGTTCGGCGATCGCAAGGCCTTTCTATCCGGAAATGTGTCCCTCCAAATTGAGCAAGGCTGGGGAAAAGGGGCATTAGACATCACCGAGGCTTATGTATGCGGTACCAACGCTAAGCTTCTTGTCCTGTACGTGGGGGCCAAGCTGGAATGCCCTCAATTACAGCTGAACGGATCATAGCTACGTATTTCTCAAAGGTTTATGTGTCACTCATACTGCTTCATATCGTGAAAGACAGAGCTGCGGTATGTTCCTTTGTATATGGCGTCTATGGGCTCTGAAGGGTTCCATCCATCTATATACATGGCACTCCGGCCATTCTATGCAGCGTCCTAGGTACGAAGGACTGCCCGAATTACTTGAAACTCGTCCGTGTAACCTCACTGGCCTGGGACTCGTTGACCTTGGGCTTCAACTCCTCGGTGATATTCCTCTCGTCTTTCCAGGCCAGGGCGACGAATTTTGTGTGGCTTCCACGAGCCACGATCTCGTTGTTCTTGTTCATAAATTTGACTGAAGTGTATGCAAGTGTTTTGCCAACTGGATAGGATCAGGACACGTCTCGCCCGATAGGAGCAGGAAGGGTGATGATCTCACACTTATCGCAGATGACCTCGCCTTTGACCAAATCACCAATCTTTCCGCCAGCGTTGAGGTAGGTTACGCTGAGATCCGTCGAAACTCCTGTCGAATATAGTCCACGAGAGGCCAGGGCAAGGGAGCCGCTGGTATCGACCATAGTGGCAAGTGTGGCACCGTGTAGTATACCTAACCGGTTCGTATGCTGCTTCTCGATGGGCAACTCAAAATTGACTTTGCCAGGTTCCGCTGCTGTTATCCGCATCTACATGAAGGATATGAGCCAAAGAATGCTCCGTAAAGAAGTATGGCGGCTTGGTGCACTGTTGCGATCGAAGATGATACTTACGCCGTCTATTAACCTGTTGTTTGGCAGAATTAATGTGAGTGCTTTTGCTTGTTCATGACGAATATTACCGTGGCTCAACCCCTGAGGTTGCTCTAAAGGACTCCCACACCTATAAACCATCAGCTCAAGGCCACCCCAAGCTTGCGGATTCCTGGAACTCACCGAGCGGACAAACTTTAGTGCCGACATTGTGTCGTGACCAAGCTTCTGCGCGCCAGTCGTAGAGCCAATTGAATACTAGACTCCACAGAAAGTCCGGGAATCTAGGTGTCGAAGCGAGATCGGATTACTATTGATAGAAGCCGAATGTCGATTACGCAAAGATATCAATCAAGTTGTTGCCAGGCCGAGACCCCAATGAAGTCAAAATGAAGTGTAGGAAATTGCTTTTGGTGCGCCGTTTGCTTCACCGTGACCGATTGCCTTTCGAGCAATATATGATTCGCCGTATAAGACTTCCAATTCCCCCCTCTGTGCTCAACGCCGCTGCTCTCCTCTTTGCCTCTTCTTCCTCTTCATCAGCATTCTTCCCATTCACTTTTGCGGTTAACATTGTGATACTTCAACTTTCGGTGCAACATAGATGCACAAAACCTCCCAAGTTCTAGGCTCTTGCGAAACCAGGCTCAGCATCAAACTTCGAGGAATACGAGTCGAGGTTAGCGCTGATGGTGCAACCCACCAGTTGGCGTGCGACGACAGCCAGTGAGGGCCTGATGTCGCACCCTGTCCTCCATGAGCTATTCCTTGTTTTCTCAAAGGTCAGGGATTAGAGTTGAGGCTAATCACCCTTGTGTTCTCTTGCTCAGATCCTGCTAAACTCCGACAACTGCATGACGATTCTTTCCCTCCTACCCACCCCAAGGCAGGCAGCTTTCTTCTCAAACTACTCGGCGAAGACGCGACGAATAACCACCGCTTCATCGATCTGTCTATCGGGGCGAACAGTTGTTCTATTCAGTGCATATAGTATTGTTGCCTTCATCGAGATAAGATAACATCGTGCGCAGCGCAATATTGTTCCCGAGCAAACCTCCAATGGCCCGTACAGCGAAAATCAGCCCGGTGCCAGGGTCTACATCCGCCGGGGACAATGCCACCTCTCGCAAGCGAAGGGCTCACAAGAAGTCTAGGCTAGGCTGTCGCAATTGCAAAATACGCAGAGTGAAATGCAACGAAGTTCGACCAATGTGCGGAAAGTGTCTGGAATACGGCGTCTTATGCAACTACGATCCTAGCATACCTGATCTTCAACCTCGAACCGACGCTTCCGAACTTGGCTGCTTGTATTCAAGGATGGATAAGTCCCTCCAGGGAACGACTAAGCCTATTTTAGATATGGTGAATGTCTCCTTGGACAAAAACACTCATGGGCCAGAGTTGCAAAGCGGAGCTACGCGATTCGACAGATCTGACCTGGCGCGACTTGACAGATTCCAAACCAGGACAGTTCTAACCATTGGCACTAAGAAAGTTGCCAGGGTTTTCCAGAAGGAAGTCATCCTGCTTGCCTGTACGAACCCCTTCCTCATGCACTTGGCGCAGGCAGTGACGGCGTCCCACGACCGGTATTTGTGCGGAGTGGCCACTTCGAGACCGAGCACAGCCGAAGCCTACCACTTGAACAAAGCCTTGATCGCCTTCCAGAGCATTCTCTCTCGTCCGATTAGACCTGAAGAAGGGGATGCATTGTTGGTCGCCTCATCTCTCCTTGGGGTTGTGAGCTTCTTCAACCTTGAGGCATCGTCTGTCGAAGAGGTTTGGCCATTGCAGGATGCTGACATGGCATGGCTCAACTTGAGCGATGGAAAACAAACCATTTGGCGACTGGCAAGTCCATTGAAAGGCGACAGTCTTTGGCGACAGGTGGCCCACCTATTTGACCGCGATAGAATGCCTGCACATCAAATTCCAGAACACGTTCCTTCGGTCTTTGATCACCTCTGTGCCGAAGATGCTTCGTCGGCATCGGCACGGCTCAACCCTTATTACAGAACTGCACAACAACTTCTACCCTTACTGGACCTTGAATGCAATGACTCCACCTGGTTACAGTACCTGGGCTTTGTCAATCACATGGATCCCCCCTATAAGTCTCTACTTGGACGCAAAGATCCTTGGGCGTTGCTCATGCTTTTATATTGGTACATGAAGGTCTGCCGGGGTGCTTGGTGGATTTCGTCTCGGTCCATTCTCCAGGGGCAGGCGATCTGCCTATATCTCTCACGATATCATTCGGATGATTTAGCGATACTCGCAGCTTTGGAGAAGCCGAGGATGGTATTCGATGCTGCACGAATGGAAGGGTGGGGAGGTATATCTTCTGCGGTAGACAGTCCGCGGTGGTCTTAATTTGAGAGGTTTCGCTCCCAGAGCAGGAGCTGGTGTAGCAATTAGGTCTTGCCAAATGTCTCGACCGTTCACATAATGATGAAACAAGTACCATTGTGCTCAGAGGGCTTTTCAGTTGTCTCAATTGTAGCTTGTACATGCAAAATGGAGGCAGTTGCTCCGTCGCAGCCTCACCAGGAAATCTATCAAAGCAGCGAGCTATTCGTCCCAAAGGAGACATATTCCTCTTGGCGCCTTTGACTTCATTTGAGCCTGTTTGCCGGCTTGAATGACGCTCTCTCAAGTCTTTCCACCTGGATTACCCATCACTTTTACCCTCGCAGTCTGTGCGTCGATCGAACAAGGTGATGGATAGATGACGGCGGTCAGAGAGAGCCCAACAGTTGCGACTCTCGGCCCCTTTTCATTCGTCCTTTGGCCATCATGGCGGATGCTACGCTCCAGTCATGGGAGTACCTCGAGACGCTTCCAGGTACCCAATTCTACCGCCTCTACAGGAGTCCATCTTCTGCTTTGGCGATATTCAGAAAGCGGCTGTCAGCGCTGGCAAAATCCTTCGTCTTGATGCTGTTGTACATGCCCCGGCCTCTGCCAGTGAAACAACTGGAACATTTTGTCAAGGACACCAGCAGAGGGGAACGCGAGCACGCCTTGGATTTGCTGCACCGCTACCACATATTTCGCGATGTCACTCTCCACTCGACCAAAGCATATGCGCTGACTCCGGACTTTGCTAGATCTCTCCGCCGCGCTCTGACGGGGGCAGGGGACAGCCGGTCTTTTGGCCAGGTCGCGCGAGTCCCGGAGAGTGATAGAGTCACTATATCGCAACTGGACGAGTACTCTCGCCAACGATGGGAAGGTATATTAGGCTACATGGTTGGCTCATCATCTATCCCACTTGAAACAGCCAACGAGCAGCCAGCGATCGACCCGGCTCCGGGAGTTATTGAGCTTCTCAAAGCGGGTCATCTCATCGAGGTCAGCGGGGCCTACAATCACGGCCAAAGAGCCAGGATCACAAAGGAAGGCTTTGCGTTTGTCCTGCAAGACATCAACACTCAAGTTTGGGCATTGCTGTTTCTCTACGTGGACAACGCCGAGGTCTTTCACATGGACAAAGTCGACGTCCTGTCCTTCCTTTTTCTTGTCTCGTCCCTCGAGCTGGGGCTCGCATACTCGACCTCGACTCTGGACGAAACTCAGCGGCGCTGCCTCTCTGACCTCGTCTCTCTCGGGCTCGTATACCAGCCTCTCTCAGACGACGGCATCACTCCTGACACTTACTTCTACCCGACGCGTTTGGCCACGACGCTGACATCCGACTCCGCCTCGGCCCTCTCGACAACCAACCTTACCATCGGCACCTCCCTCTCCCAGAAATATTCCTCTTCCTCGGGGACCACGACGCCTTCCGGCACCGTCACACAAAAGGGCTTCATAATTGTCGAGACCAACTACCGCGTCTACGCCTACACGTCCTCTCCCTTGCAGATCGCGCTCCTCTCACTGTTCGTCAACCTCCGTTCCCGCCACCCGAATCTCGTCACGGGGAAAATGAGCAAGTCCTCCGTCCAACGAGCCGTCCAGGCCGGCATCACCGCCGATCAGATCATCTCGTATCTGACGACCCACGCGCATCCCCAGATGAGGAGACACGCGCAGGCCGAACAAGCCGCGCTGCTGGCACGAGGCACCGCCACTGAGTCGCAGGTGCAGCGGACGGTGCCGATCCTGCCGGCCACGATTTTGGACCAGATCCACCTGTGGCAGCTGGAACGCGACCGCATGACGACCACGCCGGGCTTCCTCTTCCGGGACTTCTCCACGCGCGCGGAGTACGAGGCCAATTGTCGGTACGCGGACGAGACGGGCGTCCTGGTGTGGAAGGACGATGCGAAGCGGCTGTTCTTCGTCACGCGCCTGGAGGGCGTCCGCGCGTTCATGGCGGAGAGGAGAGCGACTGGATCTAGTGGTGCAGCACAAGGCTGAAGTTGGGGTTTACGTTTATAGGATGAAGAATCTTAAAAGTGGCGGGATATATCACTGCGAGGCTGGGCTGGCAAGGACAATGGGAAAATGGAAAATGAACACCATTATCTGCGAAGCATTGGGCGTGGGACCATGTGTTCTCCTGTACGAAACCCGTGACGTCGCTATTGAATGATCGATATTCAAGGCATGGCGCTGGTGCTTACATGGGGTTAATCAGAGCATTTGACAATAAAGAGCTGGGATACAATTGACGTGCGATCTCACAGCAATAGGAGACAGGTTCTGGTCTGTCGGACTGCTGGCTCTTGTTACCTCTGAAGCTCCAACAATAGTATCTCGGTGTTGGCAACGTCACTTTCTTGACTACACCACCCACCCACCCGACCACTCGTTCACCCATTCAACAAACCACTCACGCTCACTGCTGTGGCCCATTGTCCACCTCGAGCCGCAAGGGCAAGGAGAGCGGGATACATCCTCCGATGCCCCCCCGCGCTGCACCGCAGCAAAGTCACGCCATCGTGAATGTATCTTGTGAATCGGCATCTTGCAGTCTCCCCGGTCCTGGCGACCCTAGATCTTGCCCCTTCCAATACGATCCAGAGTTTTGTGATCTGCTGCTCTCGCCGGGGTGGACCAGACCCAAGCCCTTCCTTCGCTCTCGTTCCGGGCCACAATGTCGTCCATTGCACATCTCATCAATTCGGGGCCTGAGTTATTTTGCAAGAGGCCGGCTTAATCGAAGGGGAGGGGGCCTGTTGTCACGTTTCTCCACCGGTAGGCTGGACCGTCACATTCCTGTGTATCTTGATAGATGAGAACCAGTGGGGACAACACGCGCATGCTCAGAGGGTTGGCTGAGGATGTATTCCTCTCGGCAACTCGAAGGGCTGGCTCATACAAGACCGCTGCGAGAACGAAGATCGGTTTCATCATGCGTTTCACTTCGGACCGATCACCAACACGACAGACCGATCAGGTGCTCATATCCCCCCATAGCCAGATCACCAGTAACGGATTCGCATCATGAAGACCCGTCCTGATTGCTTCAGCTTCTTCAGCGGTGGCGTCAACGACAGGCATTTAAAAGGAACGCCATCACCGGTTTGATGGAAGTGCTAGAAAAGCTGCCTTCGCTGAAACTAATTGGGTGTAAAATGCTGGAAGAAAGGGGAAGAAAGTAGAGGCGAAGTTTCGACACAGCGTGAGTAGTGGTTGATACCGCCTTCAATCACAACAACCGCTCCTCTCTTTCCAGCCTAGGCGCTCACTCCAGTGAATCCCGTCCTCACCCCGGCGCCGGGTGGTATGTTCGGTTCGACGCGATGGCGAGAGGCTCCTGAATTCCCGCTACGCACGAAAGCCTTGCATCCTTGCATCCTCCATCACGACCGAGACACTCCACATGGCCGGAGAAATCCAAGAATCTTGCTGCTTTGTAGCCTTCGGGCTTCACTCAGAGCACGCAATTTCTATCCATCTCGAATCAAAGAAGCATCGGGCTTCAGAAGGTCGCCGATACGACGGGGTCCTTGCCCTTTAAGTATCTTGAACGATCCAAGGTCGAGTAAGCACGGAGGAGTCGTGGAGCGAAAGGTCGGGGGAAGTAGAAATCGAAACCGAACGGTCCACCTGCCTCGAAAGGCTGACAGCATGCCGGAGAAGGCATAGGCGATGGGAAACGGGGTATCACCTCGGCCGTATGCCTCGCTGTCCGGCCGCAGACGCCCATGCAAGAAGATCTTCTGCCCGCTTTGGTCAAGGAAAATACGAGACGGGGAGAAGTGGGGTGAGAATAAGCGCTTAGGGCACGTGGTGGGATACGAGGATGCTTCAAGATCGATCTCGCGATATCCAGGCGCGCGGGATTCGGGTCGCATTGGCCTCTAAACGGTACGGTATCGAGTCACCAGTTGTGGAAGAAAGGTCAAAGCTTTGGGAGGGGAAATCTCGAGTCGATGCCGATAAACTGGGCCTCCTTGTCGCAGTTCCTGCTTCTCCGGTGGTTGTGCTGTGCTGTGTATCTTCGAGAGTCCACCTCAAGGCAGGCTCTTGCTTCAGCTCGCCACGCTGGTTGACAAGAGGCATAAGAAGAGTGAGCGAGTGGCTGAAGGTGAAATATGAGCCCTTTATCAGCCACCCACAGCCTCCACTCTTTCCCTCGACCCCTTGCATATAGTACATCCCCCGACAGTCTGTATTTTATCTTTCAGTAAACGCGCATTTGTGACCTTGGGTCCCACCGATCTGGAAAACCTGGTTTCTTCAGCTTCACCATCATCCGGACGAATGACTGCATTCTGGGGTAGTAAAAGCTCGTCCCCCTCTGCATCGGGACCATGGAGCAGATGTGAGACGTGATAGACGTGCCCACAAGCAAAGCCGACCAGAGTTTCGGTCTCATTTTCATGAAATGGCTTGTGACAGGACGCGCAATGGCCTGGCTTGATCTCCGCTTCGACTTCGGGTTTTTCCTCCTCTGGCCGTTGATCCTTGGGCGCAGCAGCGTCCTGGGCCAGTGGCCGCTGGTGTTTCGTTATTGGTGCGACGACATCGAATTTGATGCCTTTCCTTCGGCCTCTCCTCAGCGTCTCCATTCCAACGGCGACCTCGCTGCTGAGCACTCTCGCAACGCCAGCGCTAATGCTGTCTTGTAAATCATACTCTCGAATCATCTTCTTCAGTCCATCCTTCAGACCTTCCACTTCTAGCCCCGAGGGTATTCTTTTCACCAAGGTAATAGGGTCAATGGCAGTTCCAACCTCTGCAAGCAGACCAGAGATGAATCGTGGTCTTGACATACTGTATTCGAGGAAATCGTCCCAGAGACTCTGGTCGTCTTGCTCCTTGGCAAACGCGATAGCCTTGGAGACATCTTTCAATTCGTCGATGATCAAAAAAAGGGCCTTTTTGGTCTGGCCTGTTTTGCTCAAGAGGTAGACGAGTTCCTCGACATAATGTTTCTTTTCGCATATCTTCACTGCGTTTTCAAAAGTGTAAGCTGTTGACGCTTGCAGAAATTCCATAAGGAGATCTCGATCGTACTCTGCAAACAACTCGACAGCGATGTCTGCGAAGTGTTCGACGTGTTGTTTCCCCGTGTCAGCTGCAAGCGACGTGGTGATGGCCGAATGCCCAACACGAGGCAGCGTGGGCGTTTCCTGGGTCCCCTCGCCACGCCACAAAGCACGAAGATAGAAATAGAGGAAAGGTTTCAGTGTCGGCTTATCAAGTTGCGCGACAACTTCGTCGGGCTCAACCACTCCAGCAGTAGCTTCGTCCACGAGGACCTTGATTGGGTCAGCTGCGAGTTCGTCCAGTTCCTCGCGAGATGCGCTCTTCACTTGATCCGGCGAAACTCGAAGCATCACGAAGCTGGGAATGTCGTCAGCAACGGCGTCAACGAGATGATGTTCCTTGATCAGTGACATGGCCGTGTCTGCGTCTTGCAGGGCGATGTAGCATTTCAGAGCTTCGTCATAATGCCCGTCTGCAAGGAACAGTTTCCCCAGACTTTCCTGCAATGACCTCCAATCCTGCGACCCTTTTGGAGCACTACCGGAGCGCAACTGATCTTCGATCGCTGCTGTAATGCTGCTGATCTCAAAAAGATCGGAAGGCCATTCATCAAGGAGCTCCTTAAACCGAATCCTGTCGACCTCCGCGTAATGACCGAGGATGATTTCAAAGATGGAAGATGGTAAGGGGGGTGTCAGGTCCAACGTCGGTATGTGAGGCGATATCTCGTCAAACTTCGCGTTTTTAACGAATATCCAGACCCAGTGCTCCCATCGGCTCGTTGTGTTCAGCACTTTGGCTGCGACTTCGCCAGCTTCTGACCAGTTATTGGCGTCAACCAATTGCTTCAGCCATAACTCGCCTATTCTGCGCTTCTCCTTTTCCGCAGCAGAGAATTTGTTCTTGGGTTTGGCCTGCGCGGAGCTCGTAATGGAGACAGAATCCGAGAAAAACTCGGTCAGTGTATTCTGCTGACGAGCCTGCGTGGGGCTGAGAGGAACTGCCGTGCCTGATCTTGTGACGGAACTTGCTTTGGATGGGCTTGGGGGTGTTGAAGTTCCCGAAGACTCCAAAAGGGTGCCGGCGGCTTCGGGATGCTGATCAACCAATTCCCAGGCTTCTTTATATCTCTTGAGGCTCACAAGCCACTGCATGCGGTCATTGAGATTGCGTCTGACTGCGACAATGCAGTCATAGGGGCTGTAGATAAAGATCTTCATGCTTTGTGCCGTGGCCATGGTATTTATCTCTTCTTTGGCACTTGTTTCGCTGGACCCAAACCCCGGGATCCAGCCTGTGAGATAATTGCGTTCTCTGGTACTGCCTGTCCGGTCAGGGCCGCTGACACCGCTTCGAATGCTGTCGCTTGAGCTGAAAATACGATTTGCGCCCAAGAGACGTGGCCCGTACATAGTGGCGTCCCACATCCCCTGACCAACGGTCTCGACGCCTGTGGCGAGACTCGAACCAACCGTGCTCATACCAGATCCAATGGTGCTGAGGTACCCCTTTTGAATAAGTGCAGCTGGGATGCGAATCGGTGGCAAAACCCCCAAGTGATAGTCTGAGGCTGAAAGAGTCTCGAATCTACTCATAGTGAGAGTATCGGTGTCGACTTCTTCCTTCGTTTCGATGTTGACTAGACGCAACTCTGGTTCTAATGCATTATGTCGTGCTCGTCGGCCTCTCCTGCTGCCTTCGCTGTCTTGCGACGCTGAACCGTTGCCTTTCTTCTTTTCCATGAATGCAAGCACCAAAAGCAGACTTGGGGTATATAACGAAATTCCAGATATTGTACAGTCATCAAATCGTATACTATTCAATAGTCAGTCTTTGCACCTTCAGAGAGTGTGTCGAACTCACATCGTAGCGACTTCAGCGCGTCCAATTTTATTATTACCTCCATTTTCCATAGAACCTGGGTAGACCTTGATGATCCATGCTGAATCTCCCCACCCTACCAAGACTTCTTCAACTTTTGCTTTCCTCGGGTCTGGCTTGGGAGATGCACCGTTCGCTGGAGCAGGGATGATGGTACTAACAGGAGAGTCGTCGTCGGTTTCGAGGTTGTCGCGGTCGATCCACTCGGCACGAGCTTTCCAAACACCTGCCATATCTTCCCATCCAGGACGATTGGGTCTGTCGATATGGCTCATTCGTTTCCACTCCAGACCAGACTCTGAACTCTCGAGCTTCAAATTCGATCTCATGATCTTGATTCCTTGTTCATTTACCCAAAGGACATATCTTCCCGAGAGTGACCATTTAATGGTGCTGATAATACCCTCACCACTGTGCAGAATTTTGTCTGACCCAGTGTTTGCACCAAGACCAATTGACCCAAGCCAGCCGGAGGCGGCTGCGGCGGCCCCTGTCGTAGTCGCGTTGGCGCTCTTGCCTGCTTGTCCACCAGTTGTCAAAACCAGAATACCAGCCTGCCCGCCAGATAAGTAGGTTCTGTCCGACTTGTATTCCGGCGACAGAGCAACAGTCTGGACAGGTCTTCCGAAGTTGCGAAGCTGAACATCACGAGGATCGACTAATGAAGCAATACAGACATTGCCGTCGATGGAAGACGTGGCGATGTATATCCGATTTGGAGGTATATCTGGTACGGGAGTTTGCAGTTGCTTCCCTTTAGGCGCTGGCGAGCTTGAGGGTGACCTGTCTGCATTGGAAGCCGCTTCAGCCGCCAGTTTGCTTCCTGTGTCAAAGCGAAGACCTGCAAGCGGGGGAGTGTAAGGAGATATCGAGATCGCCGATATGCTGGCTGTGTGAGCATGGTAGACGCGCAGGGAGTTGAACGACGGCAAAGCGAAAACGTGGATGTTGCCATTGTGAGTCCCAACGATCATTTTATCTCCAGCGACGTGAAAGGCACTAGTCGCATCTCCATTGCGGTATATCGAGCTCACGTTCCTTGTCAACGTAGCATATTTGAGTCGTGGCTCTTCCTCCTCTTCATCCTCATCTTCCTCGGATTCATCTGCTGTCGACTCGGCCTTTGTTGGCTTCGGAGGGTGGCTGGTGATTCCTGGAAGCTTGTCATTGTCGCCCGGCTCAGACGAGCCATCTCCGGCCGCCATGCAGAGGATAGGAAGCTTAGAAGCGCGTCATTTGCACGCGCAGACTGGAGTCTCCAGACGGAGTAAGTGGTGATAGTCGCCCGACTCCAATCCCCAGGAGTCTGGAACATGGAAATGACGAGCGCCAAGTCCTCGGCCTCGTTCAGCCTTGCAGGCTATGCGCCAGAGCATCGCCTGCGCCTTGAGCTCCAAACCAAGTCTGGCATTCAGTTGTTGACGATGCAGTCTTGGATATTTGATGCACCCCATCTCTCTCTCTGACCATGCGTTCGGCCGCTACTCGGCCAATGCTCAACCTGGGAAATCATTTCGTCTGCGCCGGCTGTCGGCGAACAGGATATGATGTGCTTCGTCAACCGGGCTTCCGCCCTCTGCACGCATCGCCAATCTTCCAACGGCCCCGCCGCCGAGAGTTCTTTTCCTCTAATACGTCGTTGATGAGCCAGTCAGTACAGAGAACAGGTGAACAGAAAGAGGGAGACTCAGTAGATTCAGTCTTCGAGTCTGCAACCGCTTCCCCGGCTCAAAAACGAAAAACTGCGCGTTCCCCGGGCACAAAGACGTCGCTGCGAAGAGTTGGACTGGAGGCTCAGAGATCAAAAGCTGGCCTCACGAAACCAACCGTGAGACTACATGAAGAGGCAGAGCAAGCACCAAAACTTGTGACGGCATACGCTGTTGCAGAACAATTTGACCTGGCCAAAGTCGTCGAGATCCTTCGCAACAAAGGCTATGAGCCCGATCCACTCGGCACTGGACTATTTCCACAGGTCGTCCATGTCCAAGTCCCCATCTCGTCTATCTACCGTTCAACCAATCCCTCCGCCAGAGACCTTTCGTCGACTGAAGTTGGCGATGTTTTTGTCTTCCCGTCCGGCACAGTGGTGACGTGGGCTTTACCCGATGGGTTTACATCATACTTTGCGACACGCACTCTTCTCTCCACAGCAGACAACCCTCACAAAGAACCTATTGAGACCGAGGACCTGGACTATGTTGAAGATCCAAACCGCGAACACAGCCTCATCCGCGGTGACACAATCATCCTGGGAACAAAGAAGTCAGAATATCAAGAACCGGCATCAACGGCAGACCATCAACAGGTCGAATCTCATTTCCAGACTGTTGATACAGTACTTACCAAGATTGCCTTCTCCTCCGGGTTTGCTCGCTCCACCAAGCTCGCCGTCCTCGAAACCAACCTTTCCACCTATCTAGCCTCTACGGCGGACATCCCGGCCCTCCTAGCAAAGGGTTCCCGGCTGCCATTCAAACTCTCGCGCGACTTCATCTCCCGCAAAACAGGCCAACTCCTCCTCCTCCGCGCGCAGCTCAACCTCTACTCCGAACTCACCGACTCTCTTCCCGATCTCTTCTGGGACTCCCGGCATGAACTCAACCTGGAAAACTACTACGATCAGGTTGGCCGAGCGTTGGATGTAGGAATCAGGATCAAAGTGTTGAACGAGAAGATGGACTATGCGGCAGAGATCGCGACCGTACTGAGGGAACGACTGAGCGAGAAACATGGGCTGTTCTTGGAGTGGACCATCATCGTTCTGATCGCAATCGAGGTGGGATTTGAGGTCTTGCGGTTGTGGAAGGAAGGCTTTTGGGAGGAAGTGTGGGAGAATGGCGGTGGGTCTGGGAAGAAGGTCAAGACTCTGTAGAATAAAGCCGGCGGGATCAGCCATGAAATTCACGAGACTCCAGGGCAGGGCACAGAGTAGCATAGTCTGTTGCTCTCCTTGAAGACGTCGACAGCGTATACCTGGGTATAAGCTTGCCCTAGAGAGCGTGCGGTGTTTTTGTGATTGAGAACAATGCCACAGAAACGACTTCTCCACTTCTACCACTGTCAGCCGTCCAGGTCAGAATATAATGCAGCGGTTGACGATGAGGTCGGACAAGCGACCTTCCACAAAACTACCTGTACGATAGACAGAAGGGTCTCGAGGGCAGCACCGTGACCGCCCAGCCAGTAATATTCAAAAGGGTGTGAGGAGAAGATCAGCCGAAGATCAGCCGAAGACGCTCAGCCTCGTCGAATGCTTGTAGAATCCCCAGTCGACCTCGATTAGATGTGGTTCACGGACCAGGGTCTGAGGCGTCTGAAGTGCTGAGCCTCTTTGACCGCTACTTCACCGAGCGAGTCACGGCCAGGGCAATGTGAGAGATCGGTGAGGGCGAGAGTGAGACCGTCAGAGCCCCAGTGCGCCCCCCCCGGAAGACAATGGAGTGTCGACTGATCTGATCGGGCGCTGGAGGTTTCGAACTGGGGAGCAGACGATTGCTTGGTTCTAGCGCATGATGAGCTTACAGAGAAGCCTACAATTAGCAGACGATGTTGGCGTCTCGTCTGTCTGGTCGGGCAGACACACAATGGGGACGGACTTTGTCAGAGATGCTCTCGTCCGATGCAGAAGTCGGTGCCTCAGGGCAGAAAGCCAACACACAGCGACAATAACCTCGGTCCACTGCATGACATCTTGAATGTGAACAGACAAGGAGGCTTAGGACTACGGCTACACACAATGAGAAATTCAGGCAAAAACACAGAAGGAATGGGAACAGAAGGGTTGTTTGTTCAAAGCACATTTTCATTTGAGACTAGCTATGGTTCAAGGATCGTCACTGTGATCACTGTGCCAACATACTGTATGATTGGAATCATCAATTAAGACGCAATAGCAATTATGTTTGATTCATCAATCCAATTCAAGAGAAGTGGTTGCCACCCCCACGAACCATCATGATAAACTCATGTGGCCAGTCCAATATGGCCTAGCTGGAAAGAATCATGCTGTTGCTGGCACTTGATTTCAGGTGTTCCTTTGGAAAAGCTAGTGCTGAGTCTGTTGTTGTGTGATCATGCATCTCACTTGACGAGATGGAGAATGTCTGTTGTCATTTGCATATGCTGATGAGTGGCATGTTGTGGTACATGGCAGACATAGCTGCAAAGAGCGTCGGGGTATCTCATGAAGGTGTATGTACTCAGGCCAAAGCCAACACAGCCACCAACCCTGCCAAAGCGATGTTGACACCAGCAGTTCCAGCGCCATTTGAGTTGGGAGCTTCTGGAATGCCAGTGGAGGTAGAGGCAGTCGCGGTCGTCTGAGTTTCAGAGGTGGAAGTGGTCGAGACGCTGGTAGTAGTCATGGTGAAAGATGATGTGGTCTCAACAACACTGCTGCTCTCAGACGACGGAGTCGGGGTGTTGGGCACAGGTGTAAGTGGAACACTGCTCTCAACTGGTGTAATAGGAGGAACCGGAGTTGTCTCAACAGTTGGAGTAGTGGAGGTTGTTGGAACACCTGGCGTCTCGACTGGAGTCTCACTGCTGGCCTTAGAGGTAGGAGTGGACGGCGCGGGGGTAGTAATGGTGGTGATCCAAGAAGTGGTCAACGAGGTGACTGTGACGGCAGTGGTGGATGGAGTGACAGAAAGAGTCGGGGTCAAGGTGGATGGAGTGCCATATGGAGGACAGTCAACAGGGGTGACGGTAACAGTCACTGGCTCTTCTGCAAACAATGTCAGTGAAATTGCAGAGACCAGTGGGTTTGGTACTTACGGCGTGGCATGAGATTGATGATGTCGTTGATCTCATCAAGGGACATGTCTCTAGCTGTGCGGTTTTGTCAGTGTTGTGATGTCAAAAAGTTTGTGGGATTGAAATTCTCACCTGCAAGGGCAGCAACGACCTTGTCATGGACACCAAAGTTGAGGGCAGTGGCTGTTTGTTTTGTCAGCAACAAACACACACACGCACGCACACAATTTGAAGCAGGGATTGTTGACTCACCATAGGAAGCAGCAGCAAAGCTGGCAACCACCAAGCTGATGACATGCACAATCTTCATGGTGAAGGATGTGAGATGGATGAGGTTGGGTGATGAATGTGGTGAGTAAGAGTATGGAGTATCCAAGTTCGTGGGTAATTCTGGTCCAAAAGAGCGACGCAGATGGTGTTGATGAGAACTTGAAGTTATTTGGTAGAGAGTAAGAGGCGGAGGTTCAGGTCGAGGTTTCGGAAAATGCAGAGGAGAGATTTATAGCAGAGAGGAGGCTTCGCAGATCGACCCGGCCCACTAGTGCGATCTGTCGTCTGGCGCGGCCCTGCAATCACTGCAATCACTGCCAGAGGCAGCTGCAATCAGTCAGCGATCAGATCAGACCCAGTCGATCCAGCCCAGATCACTGCTGCGGAGCGTAGGAAGCTGCCATGCGATGCACCTATCCGCCACCCCGACAAAGCTGGTGATTGCGCAAGCTCACAAGCCTTCCAAAGATCTTCTTCTGGCCGTTGCCCCTCCACCACCTGCAGCCACCCGCTCAAAGAGGCACACAAAGATATTCTGTGCCGACTTCCACGGCTGCACAAGCCTGCAGAGAGAGAGCCCGACGACACGGACACAGGCTGCTGTTGGCGGCAGAGAGGCAGACCAACAGACCGACAGACCGACCGACAGACAGACAGACAGACAAACAACAAGCCTACCTCAAGACCATGTGGTGGCGACGATATGCCCAACATCAGCCAGCTCTTCAGTTCTCCAGCTCTTTCACAGCTTATATATCTAGCAACCGAAATTCGGGAGGCTGGAAACCTCAACTTCGGCTAGCTGCAACGTCTCATCTTGGAGGCGAAACAAATGTACCCCAATCTGTCACACTGGCTGGGGGCGTCCCGTGGCCGTTTTCTTGACAGAATTACACGGCGCGAGGATGACTTTGTCAAATCATACTCGATGTTGTGACACCGAAGACCAGGAATCCACAATGAGGTGAGAGACACGGACAGTTTTATCGCATGGAGATTCTATCTCACGCTAAATGCGGGTGATCGACCGCTAAATATCTTAGCGTTCTCTAGCGCCGAATTACCCAACGACGAGCACGGATGGGCATGCAACTTCAATGGCTGCCACGAGCCGCCTCACCCTCAGCAACGCTTTGTCCATGAGCGATACAGACACGGAGAGCAATACAGAGAGATCAAAAGCAGGAAACAAGGGGCCGTGCCGGCCGCATTGACACCAAAGAGGGTTCTGCGCAACGAGTGCTCCCAGGACCCGTCAAAGGTGTTCACAGGCTTGGCTTGGTCTTTTCATACGCTCATAAAGGCCTCCAGGAGGCGAGGCTGTCATGTATAACCACAAGAAGCGCTGATGTGATGATACGAGGCTGTACGCTGATGGTCCATGGGGGTGAAAGAGCATACATCCGTTGGGTAGAAGAAACGAGGGGGGTTGAGCAGAGGGTTCATGGGGCAGCTGGATCGTCACAACTAAACTTGTTCATTTGGGAGTCTATTGCTCTGTCTGATTGCATTCCTGCACCTCAATTCCAAGCATAATGTGTATTGGTTGTTGGACAGGGGAGTTGACGACGGCTGTTCTGTAGCGGGCAGGCAAATCATTGCAACAAATCCTCTTTGTGGAATCGGGCGACTTGAGAACAAGCACGGAGAGCGAATCGTTGCATGCAAGGGGATTTCATTCCTATGATATTGAGCCACTGGGCCAAAGAATAACGGTTGCAGCTTCTTGCCCACATGGCCGACCAAACACTCCGCAGAGGCGGATCGCTTACCACTTCTGCACAAATGCGCCTCCGTACTAGTTGTGCCTCTCTTGCTCCTCTACTGCCAGCTGGCACGAACACAACCCTGTGGGTTACAGTTCTTCTTACAGAATTCAGAAGGAAGAGCTTCTGTTCTCCCAAATCGACTGCTCGAGGTTGCGTCGCATCGCAATATGTGTGATTGACAGCTCCCCACTTAATACGACCAGGTCGCGTCGATGCACCCTTTCTCCTCCCTGACGATTGGTATCTTTGTTGCTGGATACATCACTGCGCGCTGGGATCTTGTTACCAGGCTATATGAATTAGCCATCTTTGCTTGGGACCACGGTGTTTTTGCACGCGTGGCGAAAGCATTCGCGATCATCTCTCTCACCTACGTCTTTCTCGCCATTCCCCTCGACCGTCTTGCCTCCCACGAAGCCGCTGTTCATCCTCGAATCCTGGCGCATGGAATATCTGCCCAAGAGCAACTACGTCGAAGAGGTTCCTTTTAGGCTTTAACAATATGGTATCATGGTCGAGAACAGCGATGGCATGCTACGGATATTCTGGCCGAGCAGCCTTACTCGGACAACCACACCCGGTGTAATAGTAGGATGGAGAAACGCGGAATACGATTTGTTTGTCATAACCGTCCTCGAAGATGTTGAAGTAAGGCCATGAAAGAGATATCTGCGGGAAAACAGAGCTAAAATTGAGCCAGGTCCGCAGTGTTGAATCTGCTCTTCGCATGGGCACTCTATTTCGCAACAGTCCATACCCAGTCGCCCGCATCTTTCAGCTCTGTGACCAGCCTCATATGCATGTTTTGGGGACACTCAATCACCCAAATCCGCCAGAGGTTTTCGACCCTTACAGGATCTGCGCCTTCACTATTCTAGGGTCTCGGAGACCTTCCATCTATTGCCCGCCAGGCGCCGAGTTGGCTGTACAAATCGTCCTTTTCGACCCTCCGAATCCCACTCAGATGCAGTACATGTCTCTTGAGCCAATTTCGCTTGCTCTGGGAAGGGAGTATTTGGCAGCTGGCCCCCCCGACTCTACACTTGACGAGAATGGGATCCAAGGAGAGAAAGAGCGGGAACGGGTCGCCGACTTGGTGGCCAAATTGCGTTTTCATACCGTGATTAGACATGTCCCAACGCAGAAAGAGTTGGCATTGCCTGCGATTCTTCGCCAGATCAACTGCTCGCAGGAAGTTGCCGAGTTGCTCCAGAGGAACACCCCTCTTGTCGGTCCGCGAAGGAAAAGGAGCCTTTCTGTCAGCGAACGTGTCGTCGAATCAGCACAATCACTCTACACATTTGCGGCATGGTCGCTCTGGACACTGTTCATGGCGTACGCCTTCCCTACCCTGCTGTCCATCTTCAAAATCGCCATCATTGGACACAGGATCGTCGCCGAGGGTCTTTTGCGACTTCTAGAGCTACCCTTGCCTTTCCCGAAACTTCAGTCTTCAGAGCGCCGTCGGGCTGTCAAGGGAAACCTCGCTCTCAAGGACATTTCGGCCTGTTGTCAACAAGTTCATCTTAGACTTCAACAGTTCTCCTACTATCCGACACAGTATTCACTTCTCCGACGCCGCAAAGCGACCTGGTCATCCTTTCCAACAACAAATAGCGATTACATCCGCTTTTACAATTCGCTGTGGCTCGTGGCAAACGATGTCATCATTGGCATTGCACTCGGGAGCTTCATCAGCGACAATGCACAAGCTACATCTCAGCTGATCGGTGGAGTTTTGGATGAGTACACGATTGAGGGCCTCAAGCGCATGATCAGGTGGCTGATGTCATACCCTGGAGGGCTCAAATTGAACACGGAGCTTGCTGCGTTTCTCGGCGACCTCTTCTTGTGGGTCATAGAATATTGGGCCTCGACAATAGTCGTGCTCATTGTTCCACGACTGCCCACCGTCGTGTATTTTGTCGGATGCTCTTCCTTTGCTGGGGCCACGATGCCTATCGCTATTTTCTCCGACCTCCTTAGCCTGCTTACCATGCACATTTACTCTTTCTACGTCGCCAGTGCACGCATCTTCAACTGGCAGTTGACAATCATCGTCTCCCTCTTTCACCTATTCCGTGGCAAGAAGCGGAACGTTCTCCGCAATCGGATCGACAACTGCGACTACGACCTTGATCAGCTCTTGCTGGGCACGATCCTGTTCACCTTGTTGTTCTTCCTGCTGCCCACTGTGGTGGTCTTTTACCTGACCTTTGCTTCGGCTCGTATGGCGATCATTTCGCTGAAAGCCACGCTGGACACATGTCTAGCATGCCTCAACCATTTCCCCTTGTTTGCCTTGATGCTCAGGATCAAAGACAGTAAGAGACTGCCAGGTGGCATTCACTTTCAGCTGTTGGATGCAGAGCAGACGAGAATTTCTTACCAGGAGGAAACGGAGCGAGCAGACGATCATGACGACAGCGCCGGCGACGCTGAGGAAGAGGAGGAAGGAGAAGACAATGGGATTACCAGCGTGGCTTACATTCGCCTATCCTCTACCCCGTTGTCGCTGCGCCAGATATTCGAACAATATTTCCAGCTCTGGGGTCGTATCCGTCAGCACTATCTGTCGCCCACGGTTGTGTTTCGGCTCCTCACCGGACGATTCGTACCACCTCTGGGTCGAAGCCAAATGTACGGGCTGCAGTATTCGGTGCTTCCCAGACAACGGGCGACAATAGCGGAGGTCTGGAAAAGCTTGAGCGAGAGCGAGTCGACAAACACTATCCACGGGACGCCTGCGAATCCGCGCGGGCAGAAGATTTATCTGGGGGCTTATGGAAGGGCCATAGGAAAGCAATGGAAGTAGCATAGACCTTCAGCGTTTCGCCCAACGGTTCCAGCTGGTGAGGAAGTTAATGTGTTGGTCAACAATGATCAAAAAATGCCTGATGATGCCTCAGCATCTGCTTATGTCATCACCGGTGTGCAAGTCACGTGCAACCCACCAACTGATACCACAGAGATTCACATCCCATCAACCGTCTTTCAAACCGCTTCCTCTTGTGTTTCGCAAATTAGTTTCTAGCAAAATCCCACCATCGGGTGCTCAACCCCTTGCCTGACAGTTTTTCGATTTTCGACCGCCCGTTCTCTTGCCCAACGCCCTATCTCTAGCCTTGTGGTTCATTCCGAAATGCCAAAGTGCCCCAACTGCGGCGGGAGGGTCGATGTGACCAAGGACGGAGACTGGGGCCACTGCGCTGATTGTGAAACGCTTCTCGCATGATCCCAGAGATCAGCAAGCTGACTGATTGATAGGCAATAATGTAAGCCAACCTAGCTTGACGAGCCCCGGATCGTACAAAGGCTGAAGCCAGCGCCAGATCATCGAGATCAAAGACTTGAAGGATGACAGTGAACAGGGGCATCAACCAGCAACACAATCGGGGACGTCAACTGAAGTGAAGAAATGATTGCCACTCGACCTTGCACCTTCCTCAATAACTTGTCCCATTGCCATTGCCAGTTGATACAAGAGCAGACGTTCACTTCACCTTCCTGCCATGAAGCCTTCCTTCACTACCATTCTGGCTGCGATGTGTGTTCTCAGAGTTCCTGTTCAGTCTCTCAACAGCAACTGGCGGGACAGCCTCAAGTGCTGCAAACTTCCTCTGCGTGTTTCGTGATCCAATCCAAAGACAGCGTGAGCTTCATCGTCCCAAGTCCCTTCCAGCTCGTCATCAGGACCCCTCACTGCAGCCATGAAGACTTTTGCTCAGTACTTGTACATTCTGTTCCTTCTTTTCTGCCTCTTGTCCATTGGCATTGCTGCACCAACTCAAGAGAGTGACGAAGTTGAGGATGCTGCGGTGGATTCCGGGAGAAAATCAAAGGCTCGGGACACTGCTGTCTTACCATCCGCATGGGGCTGGCATGTCGAGTGCAAAGCAAGATACTCCTCCCGGCTATGTTTGACCCTAGCCTGACAGACTCAAGGAGCTACCAGGCGTCGATATCGGTTACTGCCGAGCGAACAACCCTCCACCAGCACCGCAGTCGCCCCAGAACGCAGAGCGCAGCACCGACTTGAGATCAAGGAATGACAGCACTACCGACTCTTCCCCGACCTGGGCCTTGACACCGTTGAAGTGCTACGACTTGTGCGCCTGCGACCGGCAGGGAACGCTGATCTGTCATGAGTGGGGAAGTACGTGGCAACCATCGACTCGGAAGCCACTGGATTGTACTGACATGGATACCAGCTTGCAACTTCCATACCGTTTACTTCCGCTGTCATGCGTATGTACCCATAGACCGTCATGTAATTCGAGAGTGACTAACGTCGACCTTCAACAGCAGTGGAGAGTGTGACTGTGTTTGGGAGGAGCAACTGACTGGAGATACTGCGAAGCTAGGTTGGGTAGATGGCGTTGCTGACTGGGCAAGCAACGGTTACACGAACCATTGGTGGGCGCGGAATGAGGATCAGAAGGACCAGAAAAGCCCAGAGTGAACATGGCCGCCGCACATGGCATCGACCGGGGGATAGACATCGGTTTGCTCCAACTTGCGACAGACTGGTGATGTCGACGGACGAGAACAGCTCCCACTCCAAAGCCAACATGTCTACCTATTATTCTCACCGGTTGTCTTAGAGCTTCATCTCTCTGCCGAGAAACAACTGAAAAGTCAAGCCAGCGCTCATTTCGCTTCTCTGTCCTTCTTGCTAAATCCAGTCTTGCGCATTTCCTCACCCTAACCGTGAAAACCGACAGGGATCGACAGTACAATGGCACACAACTTGCTTCCTACCAGTCTCAAATTGGTATTGGTTTCTCCAGCGCCTCACATGGGATGGGCCCGAGACGGTCTGGTGCAGTCCTAAAATGCACTCAAGTGGGCGAGATGATTTGTCTTGATTGGCAGAGTACGAGTATGTTCTCGCACCCCTAATCTCGGTCTAGTGGTTGTGAACAATTGACCCTTTTCCAGGCTGCTGTGGACTCGGACTGTAAGAATCAAACGCTTTATGACAGTATTTTCGATGGCTGCGCCACTTGGAACACGACGAGCTGGGCATCAAGATAGGTCACAAGCAGTCGTCGTGAATGCAAAATTTCTGGAGGGCATGCATCGCAGCCCCTTCTGGCAAGGCGGACAGCCAGTGATATGGGCGGCACAAGGTCAACAGGCGCATACGACTGCAAGAACGCAGTACCTACTCGTCCGCCGACGGTCCCATGCTGTTGGCGACACCAAATGGCTCCATCCCGTCATCGGCTTCTCGGACCAAACATGAATCATGGCTCTTTTGGGACAGTTTAGTGGCTATCCAACAGGATTTTTCGTGGACCGTCGGAAAAGCAAGACTGCTGGTTGGCGGAAAATGATACGGCGAACTGCAAGTTTCAAGGGTTTCCACACGACCCTCTCGACCCTGGCATCCCATTGCTGGATAAGGAATCCCGGGTCTTGGGAGCGACAGGCTCCGCGCAAGAGGCGAGAGACGGATGAGGGAGAAGCCAGCCTGACTCCACGAGTCCACAAATCCCTGACCACACAGTACGACTTGAAACCTCACAGTGCGAATGTCTGTCACAGACACCCAAACTCAAAGCATCACTGTCGAACGGACAGGCATTAGCCCAGCCCACAGCCAGCCCACAGCACGCCCCGCGTTGGCTGACTTCAAGTCGCCTTTAGAGCGTCCCGAAGAAGCGGATGTCAGCACTGTCTTCGATAGCTTTGTTTTGCCCCCTTGACAACCAGGCAAAGAACACCACCCAACTGGCATCCGGCAACCCTCAGTCTGTGACAAGCGAACCAACTACATCCTCAATCTTATCCGACCACTGATCAGTGTTGCTAAACGAGGGCACAAGCCGCCCGTGTCTCCTGCGTATGTATCGGTAGCCATCTTACCCTGCTGGATGTCCACCTCGCATGCCCGTCACGTCCCTGCCCAATCGAAAGCAACACCCGCCATCGCCACACGATATACCACGGACCGGGCGCAATTTTCCATTGCTCGCGCCCGATCAGGCAACTGCTGCGCCCGCTGCTTTACTCGTCCATCGAAACTTCGTCCGGACTCAAGCTGGGAGGAAGCATTCTGTCTGCCAACCAGCTGACAAAGCGTAAGCGCTTTGCTGGCCCCCGCTGCGACCGACTTTAACCTTTGCTTGGGGCTCTTGATCCCTTTAGAGACCCAGCCTGCCCGTGCTTTGGGCCTTGTCTCACGAGAGCCATAGCATTCCCAAAGGACAGCCGGCATCCCTGAGCCTCATAACATCGTTCCGTCAACAATGGTCGCACAGTCGTTACCGGAGGCATGGCAAAGGCAATCAAGATAGAACAGTTACTTTTGCAGAATCCATCGACGTCAAGCAGTGAGAAATCACGACCACGCACCAGCGCGGTGAAGAAGAATGCGATCCAGAACCGTCAGCCGGTGCCTCGCCCGGATCTGGTGCTCAAGACTTCATCTACGGCCCTCGTACCGGCCAGTTCGCCAGCATCTGAACGGTTCTCGTGGGAGTTCGACAAAGAGGAGTTGACTTCGACCCGACGTCGAAAACGAAAATCGCCCGTCGAGGAGGAAGTATTTCCGATGAGAAAGGCTGTCAGGCTGCCTAGATTTTCCGTCAACATCTTCCACTCGGAGCCAGTCAACGTGTTTCCTATTCCCAACGAAGGCGTAGTTCCGCGGATGGTCAAGTACTGTGAGCACATATCTTGGGTTTGAGCTCTTTGGAGTGGCGCTAATTTTATGCTCAGATTTGCAAGTTTGGGCAGAGCAGCATGGTCGAGCACTTGCTTTTGAGGGCCATCCCAAGCCGTATCAGTCGTTGGTGTTTCCGTACGCCCTAGAGCATGCTGTTCTGTTCGAAGCCATGGTTGCGCTCAGCCGAGCGTCATGGCTTTTGCAAGAAGGCATTCCATGGTCCAAAGACAGTGCGCTTGCATATCATCGTGGCAATGCCTTCGCTGCACTTCGTCTGAGATTGACGTCTGAAGCAACATGTGCGGACGACACCACCATCTGTACTATTGCGGCACTTACGACAATTGATGTAAGTAGGATGAATTCCGAACAACCCAACCTCTGACAGTCTCGGCAGTATATGCTCGGCGTCCACGAAGGTGCAGAGAACCACATCAATGCCATGCAGCAGATTCGCAAGATTCGGACTGATCTCAAAGGCGACACGCCGTGGCAATACTTTGTCATTTCCGCCATGAAAGCGTAAGTAATCCAATCTCCCTTGCACGCGCAATCTCTAAGCCAACCAGTTACGACGCCCTGTGGCAGTTTGTCAAAGATAGAAATGAGGCCACCACTAGCATGGCCCAGCTCTCCATCGAATCGCCCATGCGCAACGAACTACCCGTCTATCCTTCCCTTCCATTCAATATCAAAGTTTGCGAGGCTCTCTCGAAGGTATCGACGTCCTTCAACGACATGGCCATGGCCGGGGAAATGTCTATTCAAATGATCGACATTCTCGCGAACCTATCTAAAACAGCCAGAGGCGACGGCAGCGCCACACCGACCAGCTCACCTCCGAGCTCACCGGGAGGACGAAACTTGTTGAATACAATCGCTGATCTTAGGTGTCTGTCGGTGATGGCTACCACTTCCATCGAACACAAGCTCTGCTTCGGCGTGATTGGGACCTGCTTCACCCTCCATTTTGGAGACGGAAAAATCGGTGAGGAGTTTAATGAGACACTTCAAGAGCTTGAAGACACACTCATCGGCAATGGCAAGCCCCGGCCGCAGCAAGAGAAAGCGCAGAAGAGTCATCGAGAGTGTCTGATTTGGGTGGCTATGGCAGCCGCAGGTGCACTCGAACAGAGCGAGCTTCTGTCTGCTATGAGTATGGTGTTGGATCAGACTTTGGACAAATACCCCGAAGAGATGGCTCAGTGGGAGACACTGGAAGGAATCCTGAAGAAGTTCTTGTGGAACGATCTTCTGGCGCGGCATTGGAAAAGATGCTGGGTCAAAGCTGTGCAGAGGCGGTCGAATGCACGATGACAGTAACCTTGGAGGACAAGAACTCTCAACAACTAATAACCAGTAGCTCAACTTGGCTGGGAATCTCAAGGATTCTATGGCGAAGGTTCACCCTCTACGATAGAGTTGGTCCATCGAACAACATCCTGCCATCCCGTGCGGCGGATAAGGAGGCGTTCCACTGGGCACAACCGGCAACGAACGGTCAAACGTCCTACAGTAGAACGGCCTACCGAGGAAGACGCAACCCTAGCGACAACATCCCCCTCGTCTCAGGGCAAAGCGCGGCATTTGCGGCTTAGAGAAACAATACCGAGTCTCTCGTCCCAGTGGTCTCACCGCCAGTTCAGCCTTATAGGGCGACGATGCTGTATCAGCCGCACGCCACCTCCTGCGACAGTCTACCAAACGAGAGCCAGGATCTGATTGCAACGGGAACCGAGTTGCCACTCCGGATCAGTGTCTTCCTCGCTCCTTAGTACCCTTAGCTGCATTCCATGTTGCCGGCTCCCATCAGTTTCGCAGTCTCACCGAGTCAGCCCGAGGTCTTCCACGAGGCGACTGGCAATCTCAGAACGTCTGGACGCCTAGTCCTGCAGTTTGTCGCAAGGAGAGGCAAAGGGTTCCGACGCTTTCCTTGAGATCCAGCGGCTAGGCAGGCCCTCTGACTCGTCTAGAGCGAGGTGTGTTGTGGAGGATAGAGACAGGAAAACTTTTACCTAGCCTCAGAAACCGTGCATACAGTTCCGTCCGGGCCAACTTCAGACTCCACGGGAAATGCAACGGCTGGTGGGCATGCTCGTGGCTGGCGAAGGGGGAACCGGTGGGTGATGTACGAGGTATACGGGAGAAAATCTCTGACAATTCCGGCGGACAACGATGCCTCTCGTCCAGCCTTTTTCTACCCCTGTCACCGGCTACGAGGGGGAATACGACCCATGCGATCCGAGACGATCTTCGATAGAGCGGCCTCGTCAGTTGGCCACTTGCCCACATGCCCTCATGCCCACATGCCCACGCGGCTGCTTGGGTTTTGCTGCTGGCACCCGACGAATCACGCCCGTCGTTGTCCGCCACCCCAAGCCAAATTTAGCAAAAAGCTCGTGCATGTCCGTGTGTGGACGAGGGTCTAGTACGGAGCACGGAGTAGTAGTGGATGGGGGGGGGGGCCAGGTATCAGGGAGTGAAAGGGCAAAAGGACAGGTCTCCAAGCACTCAGCCACTCCTGCTCAGACATGGCCAGCCTACTCGTATGCTCGACGGCTGATTAAGTCAGACTGGACGACTGCTCTTCATCCCGTGTGCCCGTATACCGGTTTCGGTGGTTACTTTCATGATCATCAGGCCTCCTGCGCGGGGACGCCTCCCGTTGTTTCTTCCTTGTGCGAGAGGCGAACTCTACTACTACTACTACTCGTACTCGGTAATAAGACTCGTAGACTTGGGTAATTGCTTGTTTGGGCAAAGACACAATCCTATTAATTATCGCCCTAGGGTTCGAGCGCTTCCGAGCAATTTCCGGGGCCAGCCTTCAGCCTTATGGTGAACAATCATCCGTCGCGAGCGGACCAAACTCTGAGTTAGCCAGAAGGGCAAAAGACAGCGACGTCCATGATGCAGCGCAACCATGGCTTTCCACCAGTCGACGAAGGGGACCCAGTGACGGGACGGCTTTGATGTGCTCTTCCTTTTGGACAAAATGTTCTTTTCTGTCCTTCACATGACTGTCTGTCTGTCTGTCTGTCTGTCTGTCTGGCTGGCTGGCTGGAACCACCAAAGGCGCAAAGACCGTGTGTGCTGGTCCCCAGGCCGACGAAAATGGCGGGTGACGGAACAAACATGGTGCTTCAACGTCACACGAAGCGGTCCTTGACATCATGTGCTCTCCAAGTAGGTGGCCGCCCGAGCCTGAGACTCCCGGGCCCAGATGTAGATGCCGTGCGCCGACGAAAGGGCGGGGAGAAAAACAGGGCGGTAACATCCTCCAGAGCGACAACGGGCGTCCTTCTACATCGTCAAGGCCGATTTCGACCTGTAAGAAAGGACGAGGGATGAGGGATGAGGGACGAGGGGAGCGTCAACCATTCCGCAAGAACTCGGGGCAAGGCTGTACGGCGTATTATGTCCATCGGTGGTCCAAGACTAGAATGAATGTTCTTCCCAGGAACTACAGAACTCTGGAGCAATCATCTACGACATGGCTTCAACGGACCGAGTACCATTGTCCTTTTCCCACCACACAACCTTTCTTCCCTTCCTCTTCCCCCTTTTCCTCCAGTCCAATCCCCCCATCCTATCTCTATCCCCATCCCCATCCCGCTCGCAGCGTGTACAGATGCAAAAGGCAAAGGCAAAGACACACCAACACCAGCATCGGTCGGGGCTGAGACTGGGACTGAGGTTTGTCTATCTTCACGTATCAGATTCTGCGTTGTTTCTGTCCGGCCCAGTCCCACGCTCCAGCACAGTCTCCTCAGTCCGTCCGTGCGATCGATCATCCGACTCCAGGCACATCGAGCGGTGTCACGGGCCTCGACGACATCAGCCCAGCCCCCTGGAAGGCACGGGGTTTTGAGCAAAGCGGACGACCTGGACTCCCCGATTTCCAGGGAGGGAGAAACTCACTACGTGGCATGGCACCCCGAGCACATGTCTAATCAATCTCATTGACTCGAGTTTATGCCTCTGCCTTGGTACCAACAGCGATTGTCGCATCAATCCAGCCTGGAGCTCCCCTTTCGCAATGCCGTCAAGCGATGGCCGGTCAGAGGGATGTTGGCGCTCCGCAGCCCTAAAGAGTAAAAGGATGACACGTCAACATAGGGGAGCAGGACGAAAACGAGGACGCCCAAGCGCAAGACAGATAGCTTAAGAGAGTGATGCCCCTTCCGAAGAGCAAGCAGAGCGAGATCATCAAATTTGCACCATCATAACCTTGATAGATTCCAATATCCAATATATCCAGATCCCGGGGGGGAAGACTGTTCTTCACCACCCCTTGACGCCGTTCTATGCCCACCTCAATAAATGCTTCCAATCCGTGGAAGAACACGCAGTCGAGACGCCGCAGTGCCGTAAAGGCACGTTCGAAAAGAAGAGAATCTTAATGGCGCCGAGCTTGCGGCTCTGATCCCATCCCGAATCCCAAGCGTTCCATAGATTCCACTCATCGTATCGAACATTATTGAACTGTTCGCGGCAATTGAAGAATCGCGGCCGGTGTCAACGGCGCTCTTCAGCTGAGTGGACGTGTCGAAAGGCTGGCACAGCCAAGGCGTGTATGCTGTATCGTCGCATCGGTGTAGTGGCATAGGTTGATGCGCACTCGCTTCGACATACCCAGTGTACCCAAAACCGCTCCCTGCACAATTCCCGACATGGCGCTTGGCCTTTCTTCCCTCCCTCCTCTTTCCGAGACTTCGACTTTTTTCTCCATATCCTTCCACCGTATCCAACAGTAAACACCCAATCTTCCTAAATATTCTGGTTGTTACACCATCGCATAGAAATCAGATCTCTGCTTTTTTTTGAGATTCCCAAAACAAAACCAAGCCGGTACTTTCCAACCTCCTCAGGGCTCGTCGTCATTTTTTACAGCCTGATATTCGTTATTTCTCCTCTTCAGTCTATCCCCCGTTGTGGGCGTTGGTTTATCCACTCTCAACACCCAGCAAAGTATATCCTCGGCCGGCAGCAAGAACATCCAAATTCTATTGCAACAGAAGCTCAGAGTAGTCGTACACATGGCAACCACGGCATCCAACCAATAGTGATTCGCGGTGGCGACAATAACGGACAGGACCAACAAAGGATAGCAGATGCCGGCGACAAGAAAGAAGATCTGGGCGTAAAATGGCTTGCGTGGTTCGCTCCGCTGGGCGCGGCGGAACACGCCAGAGTGGTAGAGGAATGTACTGCCGACACAGAAGGCGTAGGTGAAATGCAAAGAAGGCATGGCGGCCAGCTGATTGACATAGTTGCCGCCAACCCAGACCGACTCGGCGTTTGCTTGACGGACTGTATCGTGGAAGCCGAATTCCTTGGGCAACAGACGGGGCGGCATGCACGGGAAAAAGGTGAATATCGTGAAAGCGGCAAAGTTACCCAGTGTCATCGTCCGGCGCACGGTGGCGAAGGCCGAGTGTGTGGGTGCCGCGTAGTAATACCACGAGAGAAAGCTGGGGGTAGATTAGTGAGAAGCTGGACAAGGGGTAGCCTTTGGAAGGGCTGGGGAGACACATACGCAACAGTCCCCGGAATATGCACCAGCGAATAAATGCGGTTTAAAAACGTCATGGCGGTCAGATGACCGTTCAAGAACCAAGCTTGGAAGTCATTCTCCTTGATAGGGAACAGGAAGCTCAGCCAGGATTTATGCTCAATGTCGAGGACAAGAATGCCATGATCTTGGGCCAGCTGCCACAGACCATCGTCGGCGGAAAAGAGAACTTGGGCCACAGCCTTGGTGAGGGTGTAGAATAGCAAGTTCAGCACCCAGTAGAACATTTCGATCAAGAAAGGAAACTTGGCCAAAACCCGAGAGTGCCAGTTGTCGGCGAACCTGGACGAATTGGGCGTGCGGACGATGACACCGCAGCAGTTTCGCTTCTTGGGGGGGTGTTTGGACGAGGTGAAGACATCCGAGTCGGAGTTGAGGGAGTCAGAGTCGGTGAAGCCATCGGGTGAGGAGCCCTGGGAGTTGTTGTGGGGGAGCAGAGAGCGCGTGGGAGAGCGGCCTCGACGTGAGCGAAATATGCGAAAGTTGTGTTTCCGATTAAAGTAAAGTGAAGCAGTCATGATGCTGACGACGATCTGGAATAGTTAGCGAGGAAATATGGAATTTGGATGAGTGTCGAACGGACAATTGGTTCCATCCAGGTATGGGAGGCGAACTGGGCGCCACCCATATCGGGCTGAGCCGCCTCAGCGGCCTCGGTGACGTTGAAAGGCATCGAGGTCATTGGGGTGGATTTAAAAACAGCTGAAATCGAGGTGGATTATCGAACAAGAGGTCTAACTCATGGGATCTGTACGGCCGTTGCGAGAGTGTGAGCCCAAATAAGGTGTCGCGTGTCCACTGAGATGGTCACGTGTTGTCGAAAAGGTCGGCGCGACTGGGTTGAAAACACGTCGTCCGGAGAGCCAAGCGCACCGAAAAGGAGTGACGGAACAGATATACTGCTATAGACGAGTGGCGGCGACTGGATTAGGCCAGCGTGAGGTCGGCGGGCGGAGGACGAGGAGCGAAGAGTCGAGGATTGCTGACCCCTAGGCAAAAGGCAACTTCAAGACGTGTTGTAGGGAGCCGACCGTTGACGAAGGGACGCCAGAGAACCTTGGATTATAGGAGGGGAAGAGAAAAAGGTGGGTAGGGGAGGGATAAAGAAGAAGATTCAGGTGAGGGAAAAAAGAGGACACGAAGAAAAGATCGACAAGGAGGAGAAACTGGGATGGGGAAGGGGGATGATGGATGATGGGAGGATGATGTGAGTGAGAGAGTGTGAGAGGCAGAAAGGTAGAGGCAGAGGCAGAGGCCAGAAGTGAGAAAGAGGAATAGTAATACGAGGAGGAGAGAAAAGGGAAAGAGATCAGACAAGATTGTTGAGGGTTGAGGCACTCGTTCAACTGCTGTTACAGGAACTGCAACGCAATACGCAAGGCAAGACGCAAGACACGCAACTACTACTAACTACTACTCGTCCACGAAATCATAGGGGCCCCCCAGTGCCAGTCCTAGGTACCTAGTGGTGCCTAGCACGGACCGTTGTTCGCCCAGGCGTCCGGGGCTTGTCTTTGCTTCTCCTGCGGCGGTGACAAAGAGGCTGAGTCGCTGTTGGTAGTAGGCGGGGGGGGCCTCCTTTCAGCCTAGCCGCCCACCACTCTGTTCGCAGGGCGTAATGGGAGGCCCAGTTGATTTCGATTTCTCCTGAGCCACCTGTGCCACCCTGGACAGCTGCCCAATGCTTGCGGCTCGACACCTTAACAAAAAGTGGGCAGAGTGGGCAGAGTGGGCACATGGGCGGCGGCTCCAGAAGTTTAGGGCTAGTGAGGCCCTTCTCTCTCCCCCTGTGCCTGCCATTCAGGCCCCATGCAATCATCAGCAGGCACACCCGATGCCACCAGAGTCACCTTTTTGCATCATCATGTCAGCATCGCGGCCCCCCCCCCAAGTGGCACCTAAGTGGAAAACCCCTTAGAATTCCCACTACGAGCTCGGAAGTCGCCAGCATCCAGAACTCTTGCACAAAAGCCATTATGATAATTCCATCTCTGTCCAGATATACAGAGAGAGTATGTCGGAAGCACTGCTGTCGAGGGAGTGACGTGGCCATCGCAAGGCCAGCCGTCCATCTGCCTGCCACCCTCTCTGCTGCAGGCTGCTCCGTATTACTCTTGGGACGGAGCACCGCCCTCAGCCCTCTTCAGCCCTCTTCAGCCCTCTCCTCCAGCCCAACAACGAAACAATATGCGGCTACGCTCTTGTCCATGAATAATGGGTGAATAATAAACAGCCCCAAGCCTCCTTCGACGTGGCTGCATCTCCGGATTCGCCTACCCGCTCCCTGGGTTCCCAGACTATGCTCACCACGGAAGTACCTCGTCTGCTCGTCTGCTCGTCTGCTCACCATGCAGTTTGCACAACTGCCCTCCCGGCCTAGTCAGTCAGCAGCACCCATCAATCCTGGTGATCTGAAACCCGCCGTGCATAATCGGCCTTTTACTCGATTTGATCTCTGCATGCGACACTGACTACTCGTGGGTCGTCTCTAATAATCAATCATGTCATAACATGCTGGCTTTCTGCCAATCATGATTCTCGTCTCTCTAACTCGTAGTAAAATATCCAAGTACATCGGAAATGCTCTAGGAAATGAGAAAATGAAAAATGAACAAAGATAAGACCGGGCCATCCCTCGCGCTGCCTCACTCCGACGGCAACCTCTCTCCAAACCCCGACTCACGTCGTGGTCACATCGGCCGACACAAAGCGTCGGACGTCGCGGTATTTGCCCTTCTGCACCTTGTTGCCGCCCATCTTTCGAGGACTCGGCATGCCGGAACTTCCAATGCCCCGCATGATCATCGGCAACGCGTCCAACACCTGTTTGTTGCCTTCAAAGTAGTGGTTGACAAACCCTCCAGCAAGGAGTCGGCGAATGGCGTGCAACCGCATCAGCTTCCACCACTTGTCCACCCGCATTTCGCCTTCCCGATGCACCCGCACCACCATCTTGGAGGCATTGTTGGAATGGAGCCCCAGTCGCGGATCTTGCACTGTCAGCGCAATGCTGGCAAACGATTGGTGCAATGCCTTCTTGTCTCGTCGATTCATCGACTTGGTGCTCAGCGACGCGAGCGCCGTCACCTTTTCCAACACCTCGTGCGTGTTGTGGTACGGGTTGTACCGTTTGACCAGGTAGGATCGCATGTGAGGCCGGTCGTGGGGCAGCTCGTCTTCTGGGATTTCCTCGTCCGAGGACGACGATTCGTCGTCTTCCTCACGTGGTGTGTAGCTTTTCTCGTACAGTAAAGCAATGTTCTCGCCCGCCGATACTTGGACTTTGGCATCGTCAGCATCAAGCTGGTCGAGGAATGTCGCAACCGCGTCCTCCGACTCATGCTCGAGATCTTCCACTTGAGTGGCCAAGAACCCGTACGTGTTCAAGGCTGCGGTGACAACTTCAGCACTGTCGTCGGCGTCAACGAACGCACCGTCGCTCGACGCAATCTCCAGTAAGAAAGTCATGACGTCCAAAATCTCTTCCTCTCCGGCCCCGCCAAACGAGATACAGATCCCCATCGAATAGATTGCCGCGGCCTTGACCGATGTGGATCGCGAATCGGAGATGGCCCGTTTCAAGGACGCCGCGACCGTGTCGTAAAGATTGCCATCAGCGAATGTGATGGCAGTAAGTGCCATGGCCCTCAGGGCCAACGTCGTTTCTTTCTCGCTCGTTTCTGCCTTGATGCTTCGGCTGAACGCTCCAAGGAGGTCTTCGACCCGGCCGTAGAGAACCTCGGCCAGATAGTGCGATGTCAGGCATTTGACATATGTAGTCAGCGCATCTTCCCTGCTCTTGTGACTGCTCCCTTTCCGATCGAGCAGTTCCGCGATGACGTCGTTCAACTCTTGCCGAGCGACGTCCGAGGTTTGCTCGTTGATGTCGTCGGTTTCGAGGAGGGCGTCGATCGAATTGATACTATGCGGCACGAGTGTCAGCCCGCCTCTGATGGCGCGTCAGCCGCACGAGGAATCGTCCCCAAACTCACCTCTGGGTAGTATCATCACTGAGATTGCCCTTGTCTAAATCCTCGTCGTCCGAGACATCTCTGCTCTGGATGCGAGAAGCACTACGCGAGTTGGGTGCCGAATTGCCGCGCGAACTTCCTCTTGATGACTGCTTGGATTTGGCCTTGTTGGACACGGTCTTGCCGCTCTCGAGGGCTCTTCGGCGCAAGTCCTCGTGCATGTTGCACGCTATGAAAATGATTCTAGTGAGGGCGCAAAAAATAATGGGTGTAACTCTTGTGGCAAGGCGGATTGGGTCGATCTGCTTAAATGATTGCAAATGACCGCAGATTTTGTTGTTTGGTCACCCTTTGGGTCTCGAGGCTCGATATTTGGACAGGTGATGTGGAGGGAGTCGTTGAACTTCCATGTGGGAGGAATTCGCGCCGCTTAAGAGGAAGGGCGAAGGTAATGGGGAAGTCGAAAAGGTCCTCGAGGAGTCAGGCAGAAGCCCACAGTAAAGCAGATGTTAAATAGTGACAGCGCAGTCTGAGAAGCGGTGACAAAAGTGAAGGGCAACCGAAGAAATGTGGAGGAGTTTTGACACGGGACTGGGCCAAAGTCACCAACTTGGCGAGCCGGGCGATCTGGAAGCTGCGGAGGTGTGCGCGGTGGGTGACCTGAAGCCTGGGGGAGTGAACGGACAAGAGGACCTTGCCAGCACATGCCACCACGCCTACCTATGAGGTACCTAGGCAGGTTCACTAGGGAGGCCAGAATAATAACAATGGGTTGCCGTCAGCCACTGACGAGGGACCCTGCCAACTCCGGTTTAACCCGCGATCCCCCTCCCCCAGACGACTCGGCTGATCAACACTACTAAGTACACCGTCACTCGTGCTCTGTATGAACCACCCACAACTACCAGCACCCGAAATGCCGAGTATAACCATCAGTACACCTCAGGGTCGGAATTCTCGTCTGCTTCAATTACCATGACGACACGGCTCGTCTGCTTGATTCGCTGCCATCGTCGGGGCACCTCTCCGTGATACATACCGCAAAATTCCTCGCCGCCGTTGTCGTTCGACTCTTGACACCACGATTGAAGGAGTCTCGAGCCCGTGAGGAAGTACTTTGGATGCAACTCGTACTGCTGTTGGGCTAGGCTGGATCTTAGGCATCATAGGTACCTCTGATGACGGTTCAAGGTCAAAGGAGAGAGCCGTTGGATGGCTGTGATAATTCTGCCTGGTCACTAAGAGAAAGAGAAAAGATCGAAGTACTTGGACATTCCCCGCATACACTCCTTCACTCACGCCCCCAATTCAGCTTGATCCAAAAAAGCCCACCTGACCCGGCTCGCATAGTCCTTGACAGTGTTTGTTTTGCTTTCATTCTGTGCCTACCACCTGCGTAGCTTCCATATTGCGCATCCCTCCTATTGCCGTTGTTCGGTAGCCATGTCTGTACAAACGCGGCAGCACCAACCGTCCTGTGCGCTCATTTGCCCACGTGTGTTTGTCCGTCCATCAGCAGGTCCTCATCACTGGCATCCAAAATGTCGTACTCTTCGTCTGTCAAGAAACCGCCTTCGTCACTATCGGACTCCTCGAGCTCGAGGCTCTCGACGTCCTCGAGAAGTTCGTGTTCTTCTGTCTTGATGGTGGGCTCCATCACGGCTGCCGGAGCTTCTTCGACCCGTGTTTCACGGACGTCATGCACGCTGGAGATGGGCGACTCCTTCTCTAGCTTGGGAAAGATCATGGTCGAGCTAGCTTGGGACTGGTCATTCTCCTCCCCTGTCTCACTGAGTGTCTCCACCGTGACAGGAGCAGGAGGTAGGATATGCGACCGGATAGGCAGCTCAACAGGAGTCGCACGAACCTCGATGTCAACCCAGAGCTTGTGGCCAAAAGGGATTCCTCCCGGGGTCTTGAGACGCCAGTAAGAAATGGCTCGTCCTTCACGAGTGGGCGACTTCAGGAGAACTGTGAAGACTGCCGTTTTGCCAGGTTCGACAGGAGCTCCCAAGACATTGCTGCGGTTGGCCATGGTCATCGTGCTTATGCTGGAGGGGTGAAGAATATCGAGATTTCGCATATCATCACCACCAATGTAGTAGACGGCGCAGCCGGCGGGCCAGGCTTCAGGGCCAGGGTTGCGCAAGGTCCAGGATTGAGAGACAAAATGGTTGGGGGCAACTTTCGTGCCGTCTGGAGTCGAATCTGTAACATACCAGGCTTGAAGGTCGCTCGTGTTCGGCTTCACAGAGGTGGCATCGTTCGCCTTAGCAACCTCAACCATTGGGGTGGTTTCAACAGGGTCCACCTCAGCAACAGTCTGGACCTGAGTGGCAGCGTTGGCTGAGGCAGATGGGGTGGTCTCGGTAGCCGCATTCTTTGCCGTTGGTCGGTCGCCCATCTGGGCGACTTTTTGGCCGTGTTCGTTCTCTTGTTGAGTGGTGATTGACACATGTCGGATGGGCAGCTTAATCTTGATCAAAGGATGTGATGCATTATGCCCATTGTTGGGCAAGGCTTCGCAGTTTGCGCAGAAGTCGGTATCGTGACAGACAACGCACTTGTACCTGTCACCAGTGATGTAACGCTTGTAGGATGTGCAAAGTGGTCCGTCGCAATAGATGCCACGATGGGTCGGCTTGGTGGTGCGCAGAGTCTTGATAGGCACGCAAATGGGCACGAAGCGGTGCAAGGGGTGTTTCGCACCGGCAGAGTCAATGCAAACGGAGCAATAATCGAAGTCTGGGCAAGACAGGCATTTGTGTCGGATACCGTATATTGGCTACAACGGGTGTCAGATCGGTAAATGGGGATTAACATATGTGAACCTACCTGATCACAACCATCACAGATAGCGTCGTGGCGAACACCACGTCCTGGGTTGCACAGAGCTTTGATGGCCAGATTATCCTTCACTCTATCGAGCTCTCGTGCCTCGAAGGTATGAGATGGATCATGCCCGTGTTGACCGTCCTGGAAACAGGAGAAGCAGAGGGCGTATTCGAGACAATCCTGACAAGTGACACATTCGCTGGCCGACAGTCCTAAATGGTCGTTAGTGTTCGATGGGATTGTCTGCTTGTGCTTGCACCTACGATAAATGCATGAATTGCAAGTGAGTACTGGATCATCGTGCTCGGGGCTGATGGGGGTGGTCAACTCGCTGGAAGAACCTGCGGCTGCATTGGACGATTTCTTGGGAGCAACAGTCTCGGTAGTGCTGGGGATAACAATTCCATTATGAATGGTTCGCTTAAGCAACCAGTGCTCATCCCCGTTACAGGTGACTCCGGCGTCAATGCAAGTCTTGCAGAGATCAAAGTCACCGGCCTCGCAAATACCGCAGTGATAGTGTTCGTTTAGAACAGACCTGCCACAATGGTTGCAGTCGATTGTGTACGAAGTGGCAGGGAAGTCGTTCATAGAAGGAAGAGTAGGCAGGCTGTACATGTCGCTCTGATTGCCCTGAGGAGGGTTGACAGCCTGGTCCATGCTCGTACCGTTGACGTCGAGATCAAAGGCGCCTGGAATGGCACATTTGGGAGAGTATTGGCAGGTCTTTTGAAACGCCTTGAAGGAGGGTGCCACGCTGTTGCCCACCGGCTGAGAGAGAACAGTCTCAAGGAAGTTGCTCCTCGGCTCAGCCTGGGAATCAGCACCGTCCTTGACAGTGAATTTGTTTTGGGACATGTCAATGTCTTGGGCAAGGCTGTCTCTTGCAGGCTTCCCCTCAACAGTAGCCCTCAAACGCAGCTTGAGCTTCGCTTTTGCCGCCCGGTAGAGCTGCTTGTAGATGGCAGGATCGTTGCTATCAAGGGTAATGTACCTCGCCTGAGAGTCGGAGAACCGGTCAAATCGAACGTCTTGCTCGGGGGGGATGGCAAGCAGGGATCGGAGCTACAGATAGAATGAAGAGTTAGCTCTTTCTTCACTGAAGCGTCATGGCTTTAAGGAGGGCCAAGGGACAGCCGAGGGAGTTTCAATTCTCAGGCTGACACCGATAGATCAACGCACCTTTTGGGGAAGCACGTTGGCGCCGAGATCCCGTAGGGCGAGTTTGAATCTTCTGTTGGTCCCGTCGATGATGACCTTGACCGTGATAAGGGTGTCGGGACCAACGGGGCCTATGTGAGGATGGGGTGTAGCCATGATGGTTGATAAGGAAACGTTGGATTAGGCGGTGTCAGGTGGGTTTGACCGTAGCACCCAGCGGGCAGGTTGCAAAGAGTCGGTCAGATCGGGGGTGAGAGTAACCTCAACAAGAAGCGGACATGAAGAGGATAGATCTCCTGGATTTAGGAGGAGACACAGAGGGATTGAGACGAGGATGCAAAGGAGGTCAAGGTGAAGGGCGGGAGGTGGTGGGAGGTGGTCAAACACACCAGGCCGTCGAGAGATGACGGGTGCAAGTGGAAAGCTCGCAGCCTGGCTGAGGCAATCAATCACTCAACCCTCAAGGCGGGGAAGAGCAAGCCAGACACCTTCGACCTCTCGACCTCTCGGCCTCACTCCACTGGTCGCACGTGACGCCAATGGGTAGGCAGCACCAAATCAAAATTCAATGCCAAATGTTACTAGCGGCGAGGCGGATACCCGGCGAGCCGGTCAAAGAAAAGTGACACGGTCTGACGGGAAATGTACCAAGTGACCGAGTGACGGCGACGGCTACATTCTGAGATGGTGTCTAACAAGTATTCCGTGTCAGACCGTGCCACTTATTTCTGACCAAGGCTTGCAGGCTCGCCTCTGCGATTCGCGGACCAACCTCCTCGTCCAGGTCAAACATTCCTCACCGGTTACTTGCTCGAATGCTACTTTACTAGTACAGGCCATGTCAGAACTCCCCGCAAGAGCACATTGGAGTCCAGACAACGTTGCCTCTTGTCAAGACGAGGCACACCCTGTTAAGCCGAGCATGAAACCCTATTTTCATTCTTCCTAGCAAAAGAAACCCCGCTTCCCGAGGCCGAAACTACCCTTTATTGACCCACGAGGCACGAGATAAGCCTCGACCACCTTCAGGTCAACCGGTGAACCAGCCTCGTCCTGATGGATCTTCGAAAATCCTCTCCATCAGTGTCACTAAATCGACTAGTGGATCCGCACACAGCCTTGGAGCCTTTGCGTTTTCCTTCTGCGACCTTGACCTCACCCTGTCAAGAACTCTAACACACTCATCAACAAGTTTTCCTTTTAACCACGAGATATAATGTACAGAAGAATATGGTCAAGGATATCTCGAAGCCATGTTGGAAGAAGACAGAGGAGAAAAGTCTCCGTGGGTTGGAGAATCCTTTAAAATCCGACCAAAGCCAGCTGCCTGCCCCAAATGCATGTGTGCCCGATACTCCATCACCCGCTGAAAAGGGAACGAAAGGGTCAAAATACCAGTAAATCAATCAAAAGAGAAACAGAGGATCCATAGGCCACAAATCAGCCTGACTGCGCTGGATAGAACATGCCAGAGGGGGCAGAAGAGTAGTAATAGGGAGCCTGGGACGGCATTCCGTTGCTCAGTGGCATCATGTTTCCACTGGGGGCCATTGGGAATTGCTGCATTCCGCCCTGGGCGTCGGGACCGAACATTGTCGGGTTGTAGTAGTAGACCATGCCGTTGGACTCGTGCGCCAGCATGCTGCTTTCGGTAGGTCCTGTGGCAGGCATGTAGCTCATCGGATGCGACTGTGACCCGGGGACAAAGCTGGGCGCCAGTGCTGGTCCCGCCATGGGAATTCCGAAAGAGCTCGTAGCAGGAACTGGTGGGTAGAAAACGGCTCCATTGCTGTAAGGCGCCCCGAAATACGAACCGCCGCCCAGGACTGGGTATGGCTGAAAGCCTGGCGCGAAGACCGCTCCTTCCGGTATCTGAGAGAGAGGCGCCACTCCAGCCATTCCAGAGATTGTCGACTGACCGGGCTGAGCCGTAGTCTTGTCTTCCGCATACAAGTTGGAGATTTGGGGGGGTACTTGTTGGTGGAACGGTATCTCCTGCTGCTGCTGAGGGGCTTTGAAATGAAACGCGGCCGGCGATTCGATATGTGCCACAGAGACGGTTTTCTGCGGCCGGGGCTGGTGCATAGGAATGGCTGCATTGTGGCTCCCGTACATAGCTGGCGCTTGAATTTGTGTCGGTGCTGCATTCATGCCAATCTGGCCGTTCATCACCGGCAGACCAGTCCTCGAGAGTGACGGTGTAGGGGCCCCGGACGGCATGCGGACCACAGGCCGACTGCTCTCATTACCCATTGCCGCGTGGCGAGAAATGACCGATTCGGCAGGAGACCTGATGCCTTCTCGCAAAGTGGACGCCCCCATGGAAGATTTCCGACTCATAGCAATACTAGGGGTATAGCCTCCACCATATATGCTCGGTCTGCGGCTACCTTGGAAGCTGCCTCTACCACGGCCGCGTGTATAACCCGCTTGATTGGGACGTTGAGCCCTCGGAATGAAGATGAAGGACCGATCCGCACTAGGAAAGATGTATCGTGGTGCTGCGCCCGGGATTGAGACGCGCACAGGCTTGTCCCTTCTCAACGGAGGACGATGCTGCGGAAGCAAAACATGATGCTTCTTGACGATATTTGGTACAGTAATCTTCTCGGCCATGCCCGGAAATGATACTTGGACATTGACATTTCCCAAAATGGTCGTGAACGAAAATGATCTGTTCGGTGCCGTTGAAGCGGCTTTAACTTTGTTCTGATCCTTCTCCGTTTCAACTGGTGCAGGAATTGGCTTGATTTCTTGTTGCGCTGGTTTCATCTTGTTCTCGTGCTGTTCATGAAGATCATGAGCCCAAGGCTTGTCTGTCGGTTCGTTGAGACCTATTCCTCGTCTACAAATGTCAGTAATTGCATGAGGCGGCTCATTTCTACTACTCACCCTGTGCTCATTGCAGGTCCATAGGCCCGACCCCTACCCCGTCCAGGAGGTCTCGAGTTTAGCCCCATGGAGGGCGAGTTCCGGTCGTCATGAAGAAAAAACCCTCCTCTGGTAGGCACGAATGCGGGATTTGCATTCCTCTGGCGGATGTACTCCTGATGCTCCCTGCGAGCGCGCTGGGCTGTAGTCTCTTGTCGAAAAGCTCTCGGAGCAGCAGCAGCAACAGCAACAGCTGCACCTGAATCCGTTGAAGCAGGCAGGTTGTCAAATTGTAGCTCGTCTCTCTCTTGCGACTGCTGAGCTTGACCCAACCCACGCAACATGGCATCGGTATCCGCCGAGTGCCCAAAACTATTCTTAGGCTTTGAGGAGTCCTGGCGAGAGACCACAGCAGCTCGGCCATCCTGATCTTGCGCTGTTGCACCTGTTGTAGTATCCTGCACCGGGTCTCGCTCGTCTCCACTCGACTCACTTCCTTCAAAGTCTCCTTCTTCCTCACCATTGGTGACTGCGGAGCCCTCACTCAGAGAATCATCCTCAAAGTCGCCGAGTATCGATCCTTCTTCCTCTCCTTCGTCTTGTCGCCTCCGTCTGCTCGCAAGCAGATTTTTCCGTCGGGGCGCGGGCATGGTGGTAGTGATTCCGGATCTGGTTTGAGTCTCTCGGAACGGAACAATTCGAGACGCGACGTAGAATGGAATCTAGGAGAGATGAGGATGAACCATTCTCGGTTGTCGAGCACCCAAGTCTCGACTCGATGGAGGTTGGACGACGGGACTTTTTGGAGCAAAGACCATTTACAGGATCCTGACACCCATCTCGAGGTTGCGGGGATGAAAAGAAAAGATGCAAAAGCAGACAGAGCAGGTTGGATTTGGAGGTCTCTGATGTTTGAGACCAGTGATAATGAAATCAGAGCGCGGTTGAAGAGGCACAAGATGCCCTTGCATTCTGCAGCAAAAGTGTCTTTTGACCGGAGGCGAGACCTGAAGCCGCCTGAGGCATAGCTACTAAACTCGATCAGGCCGCTGCCCCAGATTTTCGTCATGGCAAGAGCCAGCCTAGAAAGGTCCCTAACTGCCTGGGGCCTAGCTCGCCTAGAAAGCCCCCAAGGATGAACACCGTCCCGCTGTCAGTTGGGCCCCAGTCACTCCATGTACTCGGTATCTCGTGGCAGCTGGTGCCCTGAGCAATAATGATCGGATGATACCTGCATATTATACCTACACTCGCTACCTTCGTTAGAGTGCCGTGGCTTTGGGGTCTATTCAAAGACTGTTCGCTGCCCTTTACTTTCGATGATTGCACCCGTCAGTCTCTGTACTGTCTCCTCTGAATATTTCCCTGGAGACTTGCTGGGCTTCGTCTTCTTGCTGTCCTCCATGAGTTCGCTTTTCTCTTCTCTGTCGTCTACTTCGTTGATCCCACTGTCTTCTCTTAGATCTCCCTCTCCTATTGCCGCCTTCTTCGCCGCCTTTCCGAACCTCTTCTCATACCGAGTCGCCTTGTCTTCAGCGTACTCCATCCTCATCTTGCGGCCGTGAAGTCTATGCAGCAAGATCTTGCTCTTGGACGAATTCGACTTCGCAGGCGAGTCGTCGGCACCATCTCCTCGCTGAACCCACCCTCGCATTGCCTTCTCTGCAGACCCGACTTGTTCGAAGTCGATCCACGCGAATCCTTTGCACTTCCCAGAATCTTCAAACGTAGCTATGTGCGTATGGACGATCGCTCCACATACCCCAAAGTGCGCCTCCAGATCCTCCACTGTGGTGGTGAAATCCAAGTTACCAACAAAGATTCTCTTGCTTGGAGGCTGAGACTGCTTCTCGATCTGATCTCTTCTCTGCTCGGGTCTACCTTCGAAATTCTTTGCGTTTTTGATTAGCACCCGGCGGCCGCCTAGAAGAGACTCGCTAAGCTTGAGCCCTATGTCAATGCATTGTTGGTCTGAAAAGTCGATATAGGCAAAACCTTTGTTCTGTGCCCTGCCAAATTTCGGTGGTCCTTGAGGTAAATGGATCCTGGTTATCTGATTTCGGGGGATTGCATTCGTTGGATCGGAGGTCAAAAAACTCATCAGGTCGTCCTTCGTAGTGCCAAAAGATAGGTTGCCAACCCAAATCCCGTATTCGGAGCGTTTAGAAACTTTGCGAGATGCATCTTCCTGTGTTTCGGTAGACGGTATTGTCTTGTTTGTTTCTGAGGGCGACTTGCTGCCATTAGATACTTTTGCTTTCTTCGCCTTGCGCAGAGCCTTCTTAGACGGAGGTTCGGGCGCCTCCACATCTATCTCGATCTCTGCGGTCTCTGCATTTCGTTTGCGTTTGTTGGGGAGCGGTGTTTCTGTTTCTAGCTCCGTACTACTCATTGTGAGTGCCTGCCTTCGAGGTATCTCGGGCTTGGTTGTGGTTCAAAAGCTGGCATAAATCGAGACGAGTAAATGTAGATTTCAAAAAAAAAAAAAAGTCCCTAGCGGGCCTTTCACCCCAGTGACTCGTTTGCGGAAGGGGTCCGCAAATAATTAGGACCCAAGACGCGCTGGCCTTCTTTCCTCCACCTGCATCCTCATCCCTCAGCATCAGGCTATTTCACGAACGCGATTTTCTGATTTGGTGTCAACCTAACTTCTCTCACCGTGCCTCTAGGAGTTGTTCAACCACACAGGCGTAGAAAACTATTTCTTTAATGGAACCAGCAGAAGACCATGCTCCTGGGGAGCAAGCCACCGTCTTGTCCGATCAGCCCCCCTCGTCCAGAAAATCCTACAGGTATCTATCAACCGAAACCCTTTCTTCGATTGCGTGTTCTGACTGCCTCGCACAGACGCAAATATCGCAAAATTATGGTGTCGTTTGAGGAAAAGATGAGGGAAGGCAACAACCTGTTCAAAGAAGAGCAAAGGATCATGGACATATCTCTGAGGCTGGCTGAGCAGACCGAGTATGAAAAGGAATGCACGATGTTTTTCGCTCACTGACTCCCGGACCAGTCAACTCCTTCAGCTACTTGTTGAACTCAATTCCTGCCCGCAGGTGCCCCAAAGCCTACGTTACGATCTTCGACCTCCCGGTGAGAGCCACTCAGGTGACGAAACTGTGAAACCCGCTATATCTGAAGAAGATGGATATTTGGATCTGAGGAGGGCTAGAAGACAATTGCAAGCTGGAGAAATCACTTTAGCCGGATACAGAGAAATCGAAGCCGCGCTCCTTAAGACCCGAGAATTTGCACCGGGCCGTTCGTACGCTTCACTGCTCTCAATTGCGCCTACGCCCAGCCAATCGGTTGAGAAGATGGACCCCAGCAATGTTGCAGCTTGCAGTTTGTTGTCGACGAAGCAAGAAGAACAATACCTGCAAGGTCTTGATGCATTCCTCGAAGGGTCAGCGACTAATCCCAGGCCACATGTTGCCAACAGCCTGGGGAGTCGGGGTGCGGAAAAGACAACAGAACGCGAACGAGAAACACAACTCAGAAATCCGGTGTCTGTCTACAACTGGCTTCGAAAACATCAACCTCAGGTGTTTCTCCAGGACAATGAGGCCAGTACTGAGAAGACGCCCCGAGCCACGGGATCACGGAGTTCTACACGCAGGTCGGCGAACAAGGATGCTCTCAAACAGGAACAGGATTACTATGATGAAGACGGTTTTGCCTTGGACAATGGATCATCGTTGAGAGGGAAGAGGAAGCGAGACGCCGATGGTGGCTATCGACCAAAGGGAGGCAGTTCCAAAAAGCGCAGGAAGGAGACAAAAGAGGATTCAGGCCGAAGCAAGCGGACGAAGCAGTTGTCAATGGACGCCAGATAGAAGGCCCACGCAACAGGCACATGCCGATGGTCAGATGCAGTCGTGATAGGCAGCCGCCTTTGACAAGATCTGAAGCATTTCTCGATTAGAACAGAATCCCATCTTTCCACGTGGTGTTAGAGTTGGATGATTTCTTCCCTCAGCCTTTTTCAGTGCACGTGTTAATCGCAAAGAATTCAAGTCATGAGTTCTTGGGGAGACCATTGAATCGTCGGTGACTGGCTAGGGTTTCCTCCAAGGCCGCACCGTGCCGGCAATACGAAATGATGATTGACGGTTCAAATTATGGTGCCTTAGTTGGGTTATGCTGTGTTTATGTCAGATGTCTCCCGCCGCGCGGGCGATGCTCATCCCTGAAGAAATGCCGCTGATCAGTGCTCTCGGCAACTTCTCACGTCCAGCTCCGGAGACAACCAACTTCTTCGCTGGGATCTCAGAAGCACGAGTATTTATACCTAGACTACCCAGCAAATAACACTGGCGAGCGCAACTGGCTAGACCTTCTTGTCGTGCTTTGCAGAAACAAAGCCAGATCGGCACGTCCCCCCTGACTCCTGAATGCGACCGCAGTGCCTGGATAAAGTAGACGGCATTGTGCACCTTCGACAATATATCGCTAGTATACACACGACCATGACTTGAACAGCCTGTCGTCAAAGAGTTGAAAGGGATCGCCTTGTCTTTTCCCTATGGCAGGCCTCGAGCAGATCGAGGTCCATTCCAGGGTGCGCTCCTCGGCCTCTACTTGTCGTGTGGATTTCTGATGTCAGGCTTAGAACTACCTGGTGCGCTGGGTCAATGTCAAACAAGAGCATACGATCTCCTGGACCGTTCAGCCTCACAAGAAATCGATCAATCTCGGCCTCTTCAAGCATCCCGGACCGCTCTCGAACCTGCATTCCTCTTCCTCGACCTCCCTAGCGCCTCCTTCTCCCGTCAATGCGCCGGTCGACGAAGACAAAGAGAAATCAGAGACGCACTCGACTGCGATCGAGAAGTTGACGAGCATTGGTCTGAAAGTGGTACGATGGATAGGCAAGTGTGAAGCCGACAAGGTATCCCAAGGAAAACACGATGTACGTTTTGGGGAGGGAGGGAACTATGCCTTGGTCTTCGACAACACTTTCTCCAAGAACATCTCGAAGACGGCGACAATTTTCCTGCTCACCTATCCTACCGCGTGCCAATCGCAGATTCAGTTTGGTGCGCAACTCTACCACCCACAGTCAATGGCTACGGCCATGGCCATCGCCAACACTTCATCCCAGCTATTCAAGAGGAGTCCTAAGCTGAAAGCCAGGGACAAAGAATCGGTCGACTCACTAAGGCAAGTTTCCATTAGCCAGTCTGCTGGAGGCAGTATTGGTCCCGTCGCCGAAGAACCGAAACTTGCGGAAGACCCCACGTCAATCCATACCGGCGTGTTGCAGAAATTGAGGCGGAAAAAGCATCAAGGCTATGCGAGGAGGTTTTTCTGCCTGGACTATACCTCTTCAACTCTGTCCTACTACCGCGACCGCAACTCTTCAGCCCTACGTGGTGCCATTCCTCTCTCTCTCGCAGCCATTGCCGCCAACAGCAAAACCCGGGAGATTTCAATCGATTCTGGGGCCGAGCTCTGGCATCTCAAGGCGAACAACGACGCAGACTTTGAATCATGGAAACATGCTCTGGAGACTGCGACCCGACTCATGTTAGAGGCCAAAACGCCGGCCGACAACCTGTACCTGGAAACGGCTGATGGCGTCGAAGGCGAAAAGTCCGCATTTGAAGAGCAGGAATGGGCGAGGCTGGAGACTCTGCTCAGTAGAATTTCAGGCACACGAGATGCTGTGCGCCGACTCTGTCTAGACACATTGGCACAGCCTGTGCCGCTGCCTTCCCCGAAACTCGGGGCGGTTTCTAACAATACCACGCCCACAGAGGGACCAAATGGAGAGGATTACTTCAAACAGGACGAGAGGCGACCCTTTTGGAAGCGGAAAGTCAGTATGACTAATAGCCAGACCAATATCTTCAAGCGCAGTGTTTCTGCGCAGCTCGCCGTGCCGCTGCCTGGCGTCGAACCAATACTGCGCAATGGGACGCCTCCTCCTCCAACGGCGCCTTCCACGTCACGGCCTGGCATTCATCACGAAGAAAGCATGTATGATCATTGCAGAGCATTACTCCATGACCTAGACTCGGTAGTCAGTGAGTTTTCTCTATTAATCGCCGAAAGCAAGGTCCGGCGTACAACTCCACCCAAATCAGCGGTTTCACGACTGAGCCTCCAGACCGTCGACTCGCAGGAGTATTTTGACGCAGAAGACCACCGGCATGTGCTTGATATTCACAGCGATACCGACCACGAAGTCGAAACGGCCGAGGAAGACGAAGGCTCCGCAACCAGCAGCGACGTTGGGGAAGACTCGATTCACGGGCTGAGGCGCCGTTCAGGAAGTGTGTCTTCATACCTTCCTCCTCGAGCGAGATCGTTAGCCCCACTACCACTAGATCCGATTCCTCGACGGGACAACATAGCAGCCCCAACGATCATGCCGCCAAGTCTCATCGGATTTCTTCGGAAGAACGTTGGCAAAGACCTGTCGACGATATCGATGCCCGTTTCCGCCAACGAGCCCCTGTCCCTCTTGCAGCGTGCAGCGGAGCAACTCGAGTACTCGCAGTTGCTGGATAGCGCTGTCAGATGCGGCGACGCCTTTGAGCGACTGATGTATGTGGCAGCGTTTGCCATCTCGTCGCTATCGAATACGCGAGTCAAGGAACGGGCTATCCGCAAACCATTCAACCCGATGCTCGGGGAGACCTTTGAGCTGGTGCGGGAGGACCGGGGCTTCCGCTTTATCTCGGAGAAGGTGTCGCACCGTCCCGTGCAGCTTGCATTGCATGCTGAGTCTGAGCATTGGACCTTCACCCAGTCACCTTTACCGTCGCAAAAGTTCTGGGGTAAGTCGTCGGAGATCATCAATGAAGGCAAGGCGCGGCTGGTGCTTCACAGTACGGGAGAAGCCTTCAGTTGGTCGGCGGCCACGTGCTTCCTACGCAATATCATCGCGGGCGAGAAATACGTGGAGCCTACGGGGACCATGACCATCTACAATGAGTCTGCCGGCCACAAGGCGGTGGTGTCTTTCAAGGCCAAAGGCATGTTCTCGGGTCGCAGCGAAGAAGTTGAGGTGCAAACCATCGACGCACAGGGTCAGGAACTGTCGATTGGCCTCAGCGGGACATGGACCAATTCGCTGCAATTGAAAGAGCCGGGCAAGCTGGGCCAGCGGCCAACCATCTGGTCGGTGGGCCCGCTGGTGGAGAATGCACCCAAGCACTATGGCATGACGCTCTTTGCGGCTCAGCTAAATGAATTGACCGTGGCAGAACGGGGGAAGGTCGTGGCCACGGACAGTCGTCTCCGGCCAGACCAGATGGCGCTGGAGAATGGGGACCACGAGACGGCGGAGCACTTGAAGAATCGGCTGGAGGAAGCACAGCGGGCACGGCGACGAGAAATGGAGGAGACGGGCGAAGAGTGGAAGCCGCGATGGTTCTCGAGGGTGGAACTGGGCGACGAAGTGGTGTGGCGGCTGAGGACGGGCAAAGAAGGATACTGGGAGGAGCGGGCGCGGGGGGAGTGGACGGGCGTGGTGCCGGTGCTGCAAGTATAGAAGGCCGCCGGTGAAGGAGATTCTATCTATAGAGGTATACGAGATACTGTATTGCCCAGGTACGGAGCATCCATTCCGTGTCCCTATTGCTTGTTCCGAGGAATAGTACCTTTTCCACTTGCCATTTTAAGGAGGAGGCTGGGATCTCTTATTATGCCGTAGTGATTCCCCTTCGTATCTCAGCCCAATGACAGCATCTGCCGCCCCACGTTCTCCATCGACGAGCCTGAGTAGTGCCAGTCTAGCGCGAGAAAGCACGAGCAAGATGCAGCGGCCCAGTGGATGCTTATTTCAAGGTTTTTTTTTTTCTCATTATCAACCTGATGTCACTGTAGCACAAGAAAAGGTTCATCTCTATCTAACTAGTTGTTGTCTCTGGGGGCGTCGCAGGGCGTCAATCCTGTCCAATCCCATCCCATCTTATCTTTCCCCTTCTCCCTGTTTCCCATTTCTTGCCTGTTTGTGTCTTTCCGCTTCGACCCGCCGCTCCCTCTCGTCGCCTCTCGTTGCCTCTGATCTCGAAACCATTTCCCCAGATTCCACACGGCCTTTCCCACCCTTTCTGTCCTTATCTTTTCCCATCTTCATCTTCATCACTATCCCCAGCCCCGTGCTTTGGTTTGTTCTGTTTCCTGTTCGTTTCTATTCTTTGGGTCTATCCAATCAGCCTGAACTCGGGAGAGCGCATATAAGTCTCAAGAGCCTCACGCCACCCCTCTCACTCGCCTGGCCATCCGCCGTCCTACCACAAAATGGAGACTTGACTTCTGCCTGAACCAAGGCCCTGGAATGTTCCGCCCTCTCGCATCACACATTGGCCACGGCATTCGATAGCCATTTTCTCCGTCGCCTCTCTGAGTCAAAATGAACCTCGTTGCCGTCTCTCTCGCGCCGCCCCTCGACCTCTGATGAGCACACGTCCTGCCTACAACGTTGCTGCAACCCATTCAAGGCCTGAAAACACCGAATAGAGCGGAACATGGCCATTGCTCGACGACCCTCTCCGCTTCATCGGACCATGAGTACGCCTCCAACGACTCCAAATACCGCGCCCACCACCGAATCCAAGCTGCCACCCACCTATGCAAACTCCTCTATCTTAACTCCTCCTACCTCCCCTCGTCAGAGTCGATCTTCTTCCAACATCTCCGAACTTACGTCGCCTATTTCTGCTGTACCTCCACACTGCCCCACGGGCCAACCGCTGAAGTTGAAGGACGCGAGACTAGATCCCATCAAGACCGATGCCGTCAGCCCCAGCATATTGACCGAGACAAGTGACACCGAGTGTCCTTTTGACGTTGAGATCCTCAAGGATGAACGTGGTCGCGACGCTGTCTTCGGGACTGGCGCCTGGAGCACGGTCTACAAAGCCACCACTCACCCCAAACCGAGAACTGTCTTAGGCTCCTGGACGCCACCGCTCTCCCCGGCATTTGCCGCTCCTGTCCTGGTCGCAGTCAAAAGACCCGCTCGCCGAGACGCAATTCCCATTCTGAAAAGTGAGGCCAGCGTCCTGACCTACCTTCAAACCATCCCGAACAGCGACAACTACGTCGTTCCCTTCTACGGGACCGTCGACGAAACCTCGCTGGTTCTCGAGGCCATCCCATTCAGTCTCGAGGACCATATCCGACACTGCGCCGCCGCCGCTGCCAAAACCTTGTCGACTTGGACCATGACAGAACCGGTCCTCGGCAGCGACGCGAAATGGTTTCATCTGGCACGCCAACTCATTTCGGCTCTTGTGTGGCTCCACAACGATGCACAAGTCGTCCATGGCGACATCAAACCCGGCAACATCCTCCTGACCCGTGTGCAAGGATCAGGAATCGACATATCCTTTCAGCCCATTTTCGCCGACTTCTCGTCGGCTCAGCGGCTGGATACCGACGACACCACGGTGAATACGCTCTCGGCCGTCACGAGAGAGTATACTGCCCCCGAGCTTCTCAACTCCAAAGTCCTCCGCGATCCCACATCGACGGCCACACCTGCTTCGGACGTCTTCTCGATGGCAATCACTTTACTGGTGGCCGCGACAGGGCAGATGCTGGTGTATCCGGGATCGGTGTTCCAGCGGCAGGCGATGGCCACCCAAGGATGGATGGTGTTGAACTACGCCAGGAATGCGGACCAAGGTTCACGAGTACCCCGATTCGGCGTCGTGGAGAGAGTGCTGGAGAGAGCAGTCTTGAAGGCCGACATGGGAAGAGTGAGCGCGCGAGAGTGGCTGGGGATTGTCGAAACCATTGCACAAGGGGATCCCGTGAAGTTATGACCTCTCAGCGGGAGGTAGGTTGGAACCATGACGCATTCTCGCTGGGGAATACGAGTCCCAAGCCGGACGCCAGCTTGGCAAGGCTCATTTGGAGAAACGGTGACAATGTTTATTTCAAGGTCCACTCGCCTCCTCTGGAAGCCGTGAATTGTCATTTCCGGTTGGCGAGGAGACGATCTGTTTGACTAAGATAATGGCGCGGACGGGGAAAATGTACCATGTATGGTGTGGGAAAAATGGTTAAAGCGGGCAACATGTACTGTACCTAGGATCGTGTCTCGAATATTGGAAAGAGATTGTCTGTATTGGATGATTGTTGTATTTCTAGTTGGCCGTGTGGAATAGATGTGAATAGATGAGTGCAATGTCCGCCGCCATGTACGTATTGTATTGATGCTATCCGTCCACCTACACTCACCCTCCAGTGTGCCATCGCGAGTATTATATGGGAGCCTCTCACGTGACGTCCTCTCTCCCCAGCCTTGCCAAGCCGCCAAGCTCCCAATGACCTCACTGACCCCGGCGTATCCCGCCCACCAGTCACTTCCAAGTCTCTCGACTGCAGACATTCACTCACTGTATTGAGCTTCAGTGGATGGATCGTCCTTCCCAGCCCGGCCACTCTCCCTTTGTCCGCCACGATATTCGGCCTGTATTCGTTGTCTTATATCACCTGCATAGGTAATCGACAGGAAAAGACATCCTGGCGAGCAGGCTCTTCTCCTGCTCCTCCTGAGCCCACCTCGGGCTAACAATATCCAGCCAGTCGCTTACACAAATGTCCTCCAACAAGTGGTTTGTTGCCTTCCCACTACTCTTTGCCACATCATCCGCATCATTTGTTCCTTGTGTCGAAAGTCAAGCTACTCCCCAAGATGAATCTGAGCCAGACACACAGCCAGTGCCTAACCCCCGGCGACCGCTGGTGGCATGACGTTTGCAACGTGCGCAGATCTTTTGCCCTCAGAAGAAAATGAACAGCCCTCGACTCCGCCTCCGGGATTTCAATGCCGTATGACTGGCCTGCCCGTCAAGGTATTTTTTTTTGGCCTTGTTGATTCTGACATCATTGCTCACCGGCCCACCACGTCTGGGGCTCGGAATATCAAACTAAAGCGTGTTGCATATGTAAAATGTTCAAAAGGTCCATTGTTCACTTCAGTCACGGCCCCCCAAAAGGTGTCCTACAAGATATTCTTCTTGTTGTGTTCCTCACCTAGGTCTGATTTGCTAACTACTGAGGATACTCTTGTCGACGCTTCGACATCATGGACAACATCGATCCGGATTTTGAAGGCCGTGTTCTGGTCGTGGCCAACCGTGTGCCCATATCTATAAAGGTCACTCCAGAAGGTGATTTCGAGTACAGCATGTCCTCCGGTGGCCTAGTGTCTGGACTCAAGGGCCTGGCCAAAGCGGTCGACTTCAAGTGGTTCGGCTGGCCGGGCATCGACGTGCACCGCAATGATAAAGACAAAGTACGCCGACATCTGCAAGACAACTTTAACGCCGTCCCCATCTTCCTAGCCGAAAATCTGGCCGAAATGCATTACAACGGCTTCTCAAGTACGTTGTATTGCCGTCATCATCATCACTATTCCTGTTCTTTTTGACCTGTGTCATCCTCGCTGTTATGCAGTGATCCCTGACGAGAGACTGGCAGACTCAATCTTGTGGCCCTTGTTGCATCGCATGCCCGACAGGGCCGGCTCAGATCAGAGATGGTCCAAGGCGTATCAAGAGGTCAATGAAATTTTTGCCGACAATATCGTCCCCTATGTGGAGGATAACGACATTATCTGGGTCCACGACTACCACCTCCTGCTCCTGCCCGGAATCCTGCGTGAGCGGCTGCAAAAGAAAAAGAATCTCAAAATCGGATTCTTCTTGCACACTCCTTTTCCCACGGAGGACTATTTCACCATTCTGCCGTTCCGCGAGCAGATTTGCAGGAGCCTGCTCCTTTGTGACGTGGTCGGCTTCCACACGAACCAGTACGCCAAGGACTTTCTGGAGAGCGCGCGCATCGTCCTTGAGGGTGTGTCACAATCCCCAAGTGACCTACACTGGAACGGGCGCAAGGTGATCGTACATGGCTTCCCTCTCGGCATTGAAGCAGACGAGTGGAAACAGAAACTGGAGACCGACGCTGTCAAGCAGGAAGTGGCCAAACTGCGGAATGAGTTTGATGAGCAGATGATCATTCTCGGAGTTGACAGACTCGACTATATCAAGGGCATTCCACAGAAATTGCGCGCTTTTGATCGCTTTCTGACAGACCACCCGGAGTGGGTGGGTAAGGTGACCATGGTCCAACTGGCAATTCCCACACGAGAAGATGTGGACACGTATCGAAAGTTGCGCGAGGAAGTCGAGCTACTTGTTGGACGCATCAATGGCAAGCACGGTAGGCTTTCACTTCAAATCTCATCCGCGGGGGTGGTCTTGTCTTGAATATACTGACTGTTTGGGAAATTCGATAGCAACATTCAAGCACACGCCGATCCACTATCTACACCGGTCAGTGAAGCCGGACCAGCTCTGTGCTCTCTACGCAGTCTCGGATGTATGCATCATCTCCTCTATCCGCGACGGCTTGAACCTGGTGAGCTACGAATATGCGGCGTGCCAGGAAGAACGCAAGGGCGTCCTACTGATGTCGACCTACGCGGGGGCGATCAAGACCCTGCCCCCGTCTTCGGTGATCCTTCTCAATCCCTGGGACACACCGCGGTTTGCCGAGAGAATCAACCAAGCAGTGAACATGGGTATGGAAGAGAGGGCGCAGAGACACAAGGAGATGATGCAGGTGGTGGACACTTGGACCAGGTGAGTATTCTCCCCAAGCACAGGAGGGAAGAGAGAGTGTGTGTGACATGCGGAACTGAGGCTGACCACTGAGATCCATCACTCAGTGTCAAATGGGGCAAAGCCTTCCTTCGAACCTTGATGGCCATGGAAATCCCCCACGACACTGAGATGCCCGACCGCGACCCGCTGGAGCAATGGACTTCAGAGATCCCAGATTCGGAGACGGGCAAGATCCAACCCTAGCCCAGTGTCGCGGCGAGAGAGTCAGAACTTGTTCCCTTCCTCTTTGACTGAACCATCCTTCATTAGCACCTGCAGAACCCTTGCGAAAAGGGGGACTCAGATAGGCATCCGAGCGAGTGGCGTTGAGTTTTGTTTTTCCTTAGCGTTTGGTACACTATATCTCTGTCCAAGAATTATGTCCATCTACTGTGCATTTCCCAGAAGTATATGACACATATGTGTCTGTATTTACTGTTCCGTTTACGCATCTTTTCTCGAAAGCAGTCAGCGTAGGAATACATGATATTATTGGCCACTCGTCAATGAGAGGAGACAGAAAACGCAGAGATTGGAGCTCAATGAGTTCCATGGGAGTTCTGTGTCCTGGGTCATGAGGCTCGGGAGGGACCTCATCCGATGGGATGGATGTAGCTGTAGCTACAGGAACAGGATCTGGCTCGTGCTGAGTGGGTATCTTGCATTCTCTCTCTACCCATGGGAGCTACATCTTCTCACGCATGACATGACACTCTCTCTCGTATCAGCGCCGCATCCCCTTCGCATTACTATATTACTAAGCCACCGCGTGCCTCGTAAGTTGTATCCATAGACTCACGGCCATTCAACACCCAGATTATATATGGGTTCATGATCCCTGTTTTTTCTGGTCGTGAAACTGTCGCATCCTCTTTCATCCATTAGCTTCGTATCACTTTTATCGTCGGTCGGTCGGTCTGTCGGTCGAGCATCATTGAATCTCGCCGGCCGGGATTACCCTCATCTCTGAGGTGGTCCGGTCGCTGTACATCCCAGTCTCGCAGACCGGCCTCCGGTGAATCCCCACGCCCTCGCTCGGCCTGTTCTTGGTTTGGCGGCCCCTCAGATGACAAGACTCATCCTGAGTCAAGCCCAGCAAAAGCCGGGCAGAATCACCCAACGCTAAAGTCCCGCCTCTCGACCGCGCCGCCCATGCTCTCGCAGAACTCGCCCAGCATGCGCCCCCACTCGGCCATCCGCTCCTCCATGTACGCGCTCTCCTTCTTGTTCCGCTTGGCCAGGATGCCCCTCTGGCACTCCCAGTCCCAGTACTCGCACATCTCCTTGCCGTCGCCGCTGGTGTACGGTCTGATTTCGTGGACGCGCTGCGTCTGCAGCAGGAACCGCGGGTAGCTCTTCGGCGGGCTGTACGAGCCGGTGCTGCTCCACACGAGGCGGTACACGCCCGAGATGGAGGTGGTGTGGGTCTGCGTGCGCATCAGGGCGGCCCGGCCGGGCTCGTCCTGCGGGTCGTCCGGGCGCGAGACCTCGGTGACCACGACGCCCTGTTCCCTCATCTCCTTGCTGTGTGGCAGCTTCATCCTCATGTGCAGGATCATCCTCGTGCCGAGCTGGATCCGCACCGACGGTTCCCCGTAGAGGGCGTTGATATGGAGCTGTCTCCGTTGCTGCGAATTGGTGGCGGACTTGCGCCGTGAAGCTTTGGCTGCGAGGGCCGTTGACTGGGTATTTGCCGGGGCTGGCATGAGAAGAGACGCGTTTCCGGGAGACTCGAGCAGGATCGAGTTGGTGTTGGTGGTTTGGTCCGTGGGTGGAGGGGGTGATTGGCCTGGGGATAGCGACGCCCTGCGCGCCTCGGTCGCGGCCTGGTACTTTTGGGCTGCAGACAACGTCCCGGTGCCGTTGGCGTTTGCCGTAGAATTCGACCGTGAGGGCCCGTCCATGCTGTTCTGGGATATTCCTGAGAATCTACTGGCATTGCTGGCTAACCTTTGCCTTGTCACCGGTGGTGGACTACTCGGCCGCTCAATGCTGCCTGAGCGTCTTGCGCCCCCATTCGCTGCACTCAAACCGCCGCCACCACTTCCCCTCCTATGAGCTGTAGAGTGCTCGACTGGCGGGCCCGGCATGACCGCTCCATCGGTAATGTCGGAGTCGAAATTCACCGCGATCGAAGTATTTCGCACCAGCTCCTCGATTTCGGCCAGCGTGGCGTCGTCTTCGTCGTCCGGCTGAAATGTGATGGTCACACGCGGGATCCAGCGATTCCAATCTTTCCAGGTTTCGGTGTTGCGGAGGGTGCGGAAGACCAAGCTTGCGGGGGCGTTGATGCGTGTGCAGGCTGAGACGTAGAATGTTGCGGTGGATTGAGGTATGTCGGGGGTTGAGAAGTCGGTTTTTGTGGCCATTTTGATAGGAATTGACCCGATGAGCTTGGACCTGGCAGAGTTTTGGGGAAGGACTGCACCAAGAACCAAGATTATATGGTGTCTAGTGTATGGTCCTCAGCATATAATCCCTGCTTTGTGGACACAATGCTCGCAAAGCGATGCTCAAAGTCGAGACGGCTTGAACGGTGTATATGAACACGAGGCGCAAATACAGCAGCGACTGACACAGGCTGGAGAACTGTTGTCAATGCTCTGTTGTCCCTCTTAAGAGTCAGCCCCTCAGAATCGCGCTGATGAGACGTAAGTAGGCTGGATAGAAGTCTATGCACTAGAGGCGACAGCTTCGACTACTTTCTTGCGATAAAACTGAAAGGAGGGCGTATAAAGCATTCGTGAGTCAGAGGGGGCACATGACTTTTCAAGTCTCGACTTAGTAAGTTCGTTGGTGATGGCGATTGCTGGTGGCGGTGGTATGCCTAGCTATCCCCAAAGGAAGATCTCACGTCAAAAGGCGTGACGAGTCTGAGAGCTGGATGGAACGAACGATGAGATATCCAGGAGATAGTAGTGCTTGGAAGATTGTGCGTCTCTGGATGCGTCATGCAAGCTCAAAGACTGGTTCACCGCTGGTGGAGGAGGCATGCAAAAAAAAAAAAGAGATGGAAGGATGATGCATTGTGGAGGAAAATGTGGGGGACCGACCGAGGCGGAGAGATCGAGCCGATGTCAAAAATAAATGACCCAGTCTGACGAGAAAAGATACTACAGCAGCAAAGGAGAAGAGATTCATTATTGAGGCAAAGATAGCCATCCTTTTCAAAGGCATTCATTCTATCCTTAGGTAGAGTGGCATCCATATCCTTATCGATATTATTACTTGTATTTGATCTGACGGCCACCTCGTCGCTGTTGAGTGACTGGCTACCTACTTGTAGGTAGATTGTGAGAGCGTCTATTCGAGGTCAGACTGTGTCATTTTTTTCTTCTGGAGGCCTGAGATGCCCAGCCAGAGGCGGCAAGTGCTGGCGAGGTCACGTGCCTGCGCTCACAATTCCCACCGCAGGCAGGCAACTGGCAAACTGCGCCCAAGTAGAGAGGTGACCGGTGAACAACTCACCCATCCATCTGTGGTTGAAATCCTCTGATCCAGCCATTCTGTGCACCCCTCGTCCCTTGGAGTGAGGGAACGACTAAACTTTGGCTGATGGCCTTGCAGGGAGAGGCTCAGAGCAACGGGGAAGCGCATGCAAGATGAGACAGCCACCTCGCTAACCACACTCGAGCTTTTGTAGGGCATCTTCCAGCTGACGTCGGCCCGAAACCTGGCTTCCCCCGGACCCATCCTCCATGCCTACGCATCCTCCAGTACACCCACCATGTCCTCTGTAGATCACACCAGAGTCCAGAGACAAATGGGCGGGACGGCCCTAACCAGAGGCGGCTGGACCCATCGAGGCCGTGTCCTTCCCTCCACGAAGTCCTTCAAAGCTACCTCCCGAACCACTCGCCTCCATCCAAGGCTGTACAATGCCCATTTCCCACATCATGGGACTGGACTGAAAAGAAGCCATATCTTGCCAAATCCTGAGTCCGTCAACGAATGAATGGTCGATGGCTGTGTCTTTACAGGATTCTGCTACTGTTATTCGAGGATTTTGTCTTCTGTTTTCGACCCTGTGTATATGATTGGGTGTCGCTACGCTGTCTGGCCACACAATAGGAGCCTATCGGACTACCCCTCGGCTCGAGGCACACTGCTCCCAACATGTGAGGCCCAGGTGGTCAGTCCCAAGCGCGGCTGTGATGTAAGTAGTGCCTGCGCCCGATGAGGCCGGTAGACCATGAATCGTTGGCGAGCATCCTTTCACTCCATCTCCCTGCCCCGGTGACACTGCAAAGAAGAGATGCAATCAGAAGTACAGCACAGCGTCCTTTCTGCCCAAGCCTGCTTCATGACCAAATCCCTTGCGACGGCCAGGCTGTCTCATGTCTTCTGAATCAGAAGCCCCATCCGACACGTGGTCCACTCTCATCGCGGATTTGAAAGAAACAGCACTGGGCGACCAACAGACACCGACACCTTGTTCCAACGAAGGAGAGTTCAGGACCAATTTCGAGTCGCTCTGCAACGATCGCTATGAACCTAACGCTCAGCGACTTCTTAATCTGTTCTCTCGACAACATGGCACGATTACAACCTTTACCAGCACAATAGACGGCGCTCAAAATCTCCAGCCACCGGACACACTTAGTGATTTGTTCTGGCAACTTGCTTTTGCAACCATTCAGGTCGGCTCATGGAGGACGTTGTTTCTCAACTGACAACCTTGGCTAACCTGCCCAGGCCGCTCTTGACGCCGGATTATCACTGAAAGACCTCTTTGAAGAACTGAATCCCCTCAATCAAGCCCTCAAACCTTTCGGACCGCAGCTCCCGCAATTTCCTACCCGTCCTCGCGTGCAAGAACCCCTCCAGGTAGTATTCAGAGAATATATAGAGTGCTACAGCATCATGCTAAGCCACTTTGCAACACATCCCCCCGGTGAGTCAATTGCATCTGTTATCTGAAGAGGTTCAAGAACTGATGCCAATAGGCCTTACCTTCGACACCTTTCATTCCCGCGCCGAAGCCGCAGCTGAAATTTTTGAAACGCAACTGGAAGACTGGAAAGAGGTGGTGAAACGGTTTTCGGATGAAGAAACTAATAGGTCTCTGCCTGCATTTCCCGATCCGGGCTTGGACCGTCTGTCTCCTGGCTTGACTACAAGCGCACGGTTTCAGTGGCTTGAACCACTGGGCACGGGCACTTATGGCCAAGTCTCCAAGGTCCGCGAAGTCTCCACAAACAGCATCTATGCTCAAAAGACCATCAGGGTCCAAAATAGCCATCGCGCAAGGAACATTATCGAGCAGCAGGTCCGAAATGAGGTGGCCATCATGCACAAGCTACGTCACCATCATATTGCCTCGGTGCTGTTCTATGTCAGGGACGAAACCACCTTCTCCATCATTATGCTCCCCGTAGGCGACTACGACCTTCGACATTTCTTGGAGGTGAACTGTGCTGGCTTCCCCCGGACCGAGACGAGACACCTCGATCAGTGGTTCGGTTGCCTGGCCTCGGCGCTGGCATATGCACATCAGGAGCGAGTCAAACATGAGGATATCAAACCTTCAAACATACTGATCCGGGATCACCAGCCATATCTCGCCGATTTTGGTAGCGCGATTGATTTCTCTCTGATGGAAGGCAGCACCTCGACAGATGAGTATATTGTGGGCACACCAGTGTACTGGCCGCCAGAGCCACTACCACAACGAGGGCGGGCGGCCGACGTCTTTGCTCTCGGATGTGTCTTCAGCGAAATGCTCACTGTGAGGCAGCACAAGTCATTGCAAGAGTACCGTGATGCCCGCTATCTCCCTCACGTTGACAATGGATATGCTTTTCGGACGAACTTAGACGCGGTCTATACGTGGCTTCTGGAGCTCCCAGACAACGTCGGACCTCCAGAAGTGAGGTCGCTTTTGCTAGAGCAGACGATGGTACGTTTCCCCAGATTTCATATCGTGCCCACTCATACGGTCACATTGACTTTCTTCCACACAATGGCGAAATTGCTGACTTACCTTTTGGGACGACTTTAGAACATGTTAGCTGCAGACCACACGCAGAGACCAGAAGCACGTGTGGTCAAACGAAATTTCCGACACGAGGGAGATGCATTGTTTTGCCTTAGCTGTGGATGATCGGATAAGCATGAATCCATGGCAACATCATGAGTGGTTTTTCTGGCCCGTTTCTTCGGTAGCTTGTAGCCTACATTTTCGGGATGACTATACGTGGTATGATTTTTCCTTTGCTCTGCTCACAGTTCTTCTGAATCTGCGGAAGCAGCTTCAACTCCTATTTGAGACGATTCGTTCTCTTCGAAATTGTCTATTTCATCCATCCAGGGAATTCCTTCCTGGGCGCCGATACGGGTAATCGTCAATGCCGCGGCTTTACAGGCACGAATGACTGCCTCTCTGATGTCCCATTGTCCCATCTGCTTCTGTCGCAAATAATCTGTTGCGTACGCGCCCGTGAATGTGTCCCTGAGACCCTTGTCAGCCGTTCGTCAATTATATGAGCCACAACCAGGTTGGAGACTTGCCCTGCCCCCGTACAATCCAGCACATTGACGTTGAAAGCCGGGACGTGGCCAAACTCGTCGGCTCTGCCAAAGAAGGCTCCGCGAGCTCCCAACGTCAGTACCACGTTCTTGACCCCTTTCCCAAGAAAGTACTCGGCAATCTCTTGCCATGTCTCCTCATTCACCTCTTCGACCTCCCGGCCAGACATGGTAGCGGCTTCCGTCTCGTTCACCAACAGATGCGTGATAAGCGGGTAGAAGTTGCTGAGAATGTAATTCGCAGGGGCTGCGTTCAACAGAAGCTCGATGCCCGCCGCACCAGCCGTGTCCATTATCTTCTCAACCACTGTTCGATCGATTTCCATCTGTGCAATGACCAGATCCGGTGGCCGCCCGTTGGCAAGACTGTCGAGGTCGGTGAAGTAGTCAACAGTTAATGCATCGTTTGCGTTGTTCGCAAAAGTACAGCGATTCTCGCCACTGGCCACTTCCACCAAGACAAAACTCACTCCAGTCATCCCATCCACCTTCTGAAGGCGCGACACATCGACACCGTTCTCTTGCAGCACGTCTTCGAACATCTGGGCGTACTTGTCGTCCCCAACAGCGCCTACCATGCATACTTCGATCTCGTTCTCATTGGAGTAGTCGATTCTCTCGTCAAATGAGGTTAACTTTCCCTCGGGAGGCCGGGCATGGCAGCTTCGATAGGCGGCGATGGCCGAGTTTGCTCCTTTCCCTCCCAACGCCTCGTGGTACTGTCTCGCTCTGTAACTTTCCCCCCGATCTGGCATCCGGTCGGTAATCATGATACGATCGACATGGAGACAACCGATGACGGATATGAGCCGCGGCGCCATCGCGCCATACCGCGCCATGGTCAGAGAGAGGGTTGTAGCCAGAACCAGTGGCCAATCTTCCGCTTTGATAAAAGACAAAGATTGCGATGAGGCGCCCGCGCTTTCAACCAATCAATGGAAGGAGTAATTCGGGTAGACAACACCGCGGGTTGGAATTCCAGTTGGTAGACGAGCAAGCCCGCAATGCATGGTGAATGCTCCCCTGCGGCCAAGTTAGCAATCCCGCCGTGTGAGGATGAAGTGATGACACATGTTTACAACCGGTGAGGCTGAAGTTTCTTAGTAGCCGCGAGGGAGTCAGGAATCATGACCGCCCCGACAAGGCAGATTGATGCCTTGTCTTGCTGGCACCAGGCCATTTGTGAGAGGAGGTGAGAACCGATAGGCTGCAGGACTGGGCGAACCTCCGCACCTTCGACGGAACGAAGTGCCTAGGAGAGTAGCGGCTATGCAGACCGACGAATTCCATGGCCGCCCGCATGGCACACCAATCTGTGCGCTGGCAAGAGTGGTCTGCTGCTGGCTGCTGGTAGCTCTGTGTATTCGAGGGGGGAGGAGGGAGAGCTCAGAGTTGGCGGCTCGGTCCAGCCCCTCAAAAGCCCACATGCCTGAAGCCTCCCAAGACTTTGCCAGCCAGCATGCGCCCTATTAACCTTTACAATCGACATCCCAGGCCCCCCAACTGCAAAGAGGGAAGATATCCTAAACTTAGGCACGCCCTGGATGCCTGGGCCCCGGACCTCAGCCGCCCGCAAGATGCGCAGAAGCTCTTCTGGGCTATATAGACCACGGGGATCGCTGATGGGCCTTCCCTTGCAGAGTCACCCAGTACCCTACCCAGAGCCGAGTTGAAATTCAATGGGACATCTTGACACAGACTCCGCGCTGCATTTAACGGAGCCGAAAAGTCCTCGTATATAACGAGCTGGCCTCTCTTTCAAGGTGCAGGTCACTGTATAAGTCAAGGACAGAGTGCCGCCATTTCGAAAGGCAGACGAAACGCCCTATAGCAATGAAGACCACTCTTCATCTGTGAACGACAATACCTTACTTTACCCCCTCAACCCACCGTCAGTCACTGTTTACCTCCAGTCGAGTTCCCGACCAAGTGATGCAGTGCTATGGTAGTTCGACATGAGTGGCCTCGATGCAGCCGCAGGCATTGCAGGTCTGCTGACCCTGTCCTTCGCCTGTTTGCAGGGTTGTATCAAAGGGTTTACCCTGCTACGCCGAGCGCGCAGCCACGACCGTGATGTCGCGGTCGTGAGCTTGATGATCGAGCTTGAACAGCACAAGTTTCAGACATGGGCCGAAGAAGCTGGTCTGTTTGAGGACCCGCCGGACCTGCGGGTGAACGCTCGAGATGCCCGGTTCGTGCCCAAGATCCTGGAGCAACTGCAGACTCTTCTGCTGGATGTCAACGGGCTTAAGAAACGATACCACCTGGACATCAGGGTGGGCTCTGAAATCCTAGACCTCAACGAGGCCAATTCTGCGGGCTCCAGGCTACTTCCGCAACACCGAAAGAGCCTGTCCGAATTCTTCGAACACAAAACAAGGTGGAGGAAGTGGACATGGATCGCCTTTGATGAGAAGAACGTTCGCGCCTTGATGGAGGATGTCAAAGTCTTGGTGGGCCAGCTACAACAGTACCTTGACCACGAGAGGCAGGTCAAGATGGAACAGGCATTCGACATCTTCCTGCGAACAACCGTCGTCAAGACTGCCAACGAACAGAAACTAGGTGTTATCGGTCACGATCGCAATCACTCTTTCTCCAAGGGGGCTGTCCCCGCTGCTGCTCGTTTGAAAAGACAAGGTCTCCTTCTGGGGGTTACTGATGCATACACAGACAGTCCCTCAATCAACCAACGGCCGGAACCTTGGAGGACCTCAACAAATAGAGACACGCACACTTCTCTCTCCAGCCCCTCGATCGCATCATCGCCTTCATCCTCGTCCAAGTCGATGAGGCTGAACTCGATGGAGCTCGACTGCCCATCGCCGCCGCCCGAGGGTAGTCGGTACTTCGCTTGGTATGCTCGTGAGCCGGTACTCCTCGAGTGGAAGAGCGGTGGTAGAGGCATCAAGCTCCCGCTCCTCGAAAATCGGGTGGACCGGGTTTCGGCGTTTTTGCACGAGCTTGACTCGTCCTTTCACAGTTTACCTTGCCGTGGCTATATCAAAGATTGGGCCGTCAAGAACCGATATGCTTATGTCTTCGATCTTCCTTTCAGCGTCTACCCTCCGGCAGCGCAAAGAAGCCCGGTGGAGAGGCATATGGACCAACCTTCGTTGCCCAGTATGCACACGTTGCGAGACATGCTAGAACGACCGATGGGAATTCCGTCACTCAATCTCCGACTCTCCTACGCCATTACACTCTTGGAGACCTTGCTCCAAATCCATACTGCCGACTGGCTGCACAAGGAGCTTCGGTCGAACAACATCCTCTTCATTCGAGGACCGCAATCGGACAATGCATCCGATGAAGATATTTTACTTTCTCCGATATACGTCGCGGGCTATGTCTATGCAAGAGTAGACAGTCCGGATGAGCTCACGGAGCCTACGGAGTCGGACTTTGAAAACGACCTTTATCGCCATCCGCAGTCAATGGGTAGCTCTAGGGTTTCGTATCGCAAGAGCTTCGATATCTTCAGCGTCGGTTGCGTCCTGCTTGAGCTCGGGCTGTGGAAAAGCCTGCCAGACATTCTGCGGAACGGGTCTAAGGATGTGCGAAGTAGTGGGAGCCTGTCGAATGCCGCCTACAAGGGTCCGCGTTTCTCCTTTTCTTCCCCGTCAGCCACGCTCACGCCGAGATCTTCGTCCCACTCCATCAGCAGACAGAGTCGTGATAGTTTGAGGGAGAGGCAGAGTCATGATTTGAAGCTGCGCAGGAGTATTCGCTCGGTCGACCGAGAAACCCGTGACGACAGCCCAGCGCCTGCCTTTGACCTTCTGGAATTGCGACATCAGCTGCTGCTCTCCCACCTGAACGAGGGGCAGAGTCCTGAGACGGTCGCGACGCGGCGTACTTCATCCAACGACATTTTGAATGCGTTGAGAGGGGCAGCAGGCATGGGATATGCAGGAATAGTAGAGAGCTTCCTGCGGGTGGTGGAAAACATGAAGGCAGTGGAAAGCGACACAGATCCTGCGGGACCCGTGGATGAGCATGAATATGCCCTCAAGCTAGAGATGGAGTCTCTCAACACGCTCAGGGCCATTGCAAAAGTCATTTGAGGCAGCCGATAGAGACATGTAGGGGTTATCAAATCCCCCGGCCCCTGCTTCAGATGGCTTCAGTCTAGCTATAGTGGGTGTTTCAGCCTGATGGTTAGCCTGATCAGCCTCAATCCTGGCCGCGACCGACTCAGCTGCCTTTGCCTCTTCGTTTATTTTCTGTCGCGTCTTCCAGCGTGTTATTCTTTTCCTGCACGGCGTCTCGGCGTATCATCGCTTTTACCTGTTGTGGTTCTTTGTACATGATGTGAAACGCCCTCCCACCTTGCACCATGGCACCCGCGTCTTTGTCCAGCACTGCTTCTGACACTTCCATCCCTGCCGCAGAGGACTTGTTCAGCGATGAATCCGACTTCCACGGTAAGCCTAGTCTAGAGCCGGCACTGCCTTTGATCCCCGCAGGGCCTGTTGTTCATCTGATCTCACCTCTGCTGCGATATAGGGAGCTTGGAAACCAGGACGACATACAACAAGCTAGCCGCATCATACAATCCCCAGAAATATTGGGCCGTCCATGAATGGAACACCCAGGTGGCTGCCGCGAGAGGGAGGAAAGCGAGGCACGAAGCCGCCGCCCGACAGCGCGCGAAGCTTGCACTGCGGAAACAACGGGAGGCCGAACCGGCGCCAGATGATGGCCCAGCGCCCCAGCAGCAGACGGAACGGCAGATCAGGGCGGATTTGCAGGGAGATGGAGACAGGGTGATGAAAGTCGACGCGAAAGTCAGTACCTCCGCAGGCCATGAAGAACCTGACACCGGGGTCGCCGATATCGAACAAGACGAGTCGCGCAAGCCACAGAACTTCTATGAGGGTCTCCCATCCGCCAAACAGCTCTCGGAGTCTGTCCCCGACTTCCTCGCCCGCCTGCCTCCTTCGACCACCACTCCTGTCGCCGCTGGGGGCCAACCGTGGATCTGGATCGCCAACCCTTACCCTCCCCCTGGCAAACGCTCCCTGGGACAGGCAGGAAACGCGAGTTCCGACCCCGAGTCCGGTGACGGTGATAGAGCCACGTTCCGCCAACTCGGGACGCGTCTTCTGGAAGGATATCTCTCGCGCAAACGTGAAGCCGAGTCTCAGAACCCCGGGAAAGCGGCCGGGGCCATCACGCGCATGCTCCGTCCCGATCGCTTGCAGTTGGAAACGGACATCAGGGAGTTGGCCACATCCCAGCGTGTCACGGCAGGGAAGTGGATGCTCTTCCCGCGTGAGGAGGAAGTCGACTCAGTCTGGGCGGTTGTTGCGCGTGCCGTGTGGGAGGGCAAGTTGGGCACCACGGCCAAGGTGGCGACCGCCAAGGCAGAGGAAGGGATGATGGTCGTCGATGATCATGACGGCGGCAGCGGCACGAGAGACAGAGGTCTCAGACTGATATGCATCTACACCCGGGACTTCTCCGACCAAGCAGATGTCAAGCGCGTGCTGCAGGCTCTGAAGGATCTCGGCCTGCTCAACCTCGCCGGACCCGGCGGCGCCGGGACGAATCCTGCGCTCAAGACCATCTACTACAAATGCGACGCCTACACGCACCTCGACCTGAGCAGCGGGAACGAGTACAAGTTGCGCGCGAGCATGTACTCGTCCCGCGACCTGTTTCCGGAGTGGTACCCCGGTGGCGCCAGTGCCGGTACCGGTTCTAGCAGAGGGTACGGATATCAGTGACAGGATAAGAGCAAAGAGAGAGGCGGTGTGCTGAAGAGGAGCCAAATAACCGTGGCACAAAACAAAAGAGAGCAAATCGAGTCTCTGCAGTCCAGGAACTTGTCTGGTGTCGATTCAAGTGAGATGGAGATGGAGATGGAGATGGAGATCTGTGTGCGTTGCTTTTCGTGCGATGGATCACGGATGGATGCGTGGATGGATGGACGGATGGTATGTTGGTTGCACGGCGTTCGCCGAGGGACAATATGTACACACATCATCCCTCAAGATGCCTCGCTACCTACCTAGGAGTCTATCTGCGGAGGTGGAGATGGAGATAAGAGCTGTGTGATGTACTGGTCAAGATTGCAGTGTGTTGTTCTTGTTCTTCCGTGTGGCTACCACTACCACTACTACTACCACCGACACGCCGCTGATGATGATGATGATGATGATGATGATGATGATGATGATGATGATGAGATCGCTCATGACAATCGGGACGTGACAAGATTGTCTGCTGGTCGTTACGCTGTGGCGATACCGTGTGTATAGCGAAGCCATCCAAGCGCACATGGAGAGAAATCAAGGAGAAAGAGGCGTCGGGGTGGAAGGGTTCTTCATCTCCCGCTTTGTCTGTACTGAGTTATCAGGATGCTGTGAAATCATGCCCTCGGTCTCACTTCCTCTCCTCATTCCTCTCCTTCCACTATCGTCATCATCGTCGTCATCGTCGTCATATCATATCGTCTCTGCTCTATGCTGCCTCCCCCGCCATCCGCTGATGCAAAAAAGGACGTGTAACAAAGGAAAGGGAAGACTTCGAGATGATCTCGATCATGCAGCCCCTTAACCAAGATCCACTCAGGGCGTCCTGTGCAACCCATGGCCGCCATGGCCTTCGTGGGGCTCATGCGGCACATCCCATACGCACGGCTCTCGAAGTCTGTACAGTAGTCGTTTGGCTGGAGAGTGAGGGAGTCCTCATTTCTTGGCTTTTTTGGCCGACTTTGCTCCGCCGGCAGTGCCCAGGGCTGCTTCTCTCAGCTTAGCCTCGCGATCGTTCTTGTCTTTGTCACGGGCCTCTTTCTCCTCCTTTTCGGCCTGTTTCCGTGCCGCAGCGGCCTCGCGTTGCTCGCGGATCAGCTTCAGCCTCGCCAGGTCAGCCCTTGCTTCGTCGGTCTTGCCCTCGGCGTGGAGTTTCTGATATCTCTCTCGAGCTTGCTGGGCAGCAATAGCCTCTCGCTCCCGCCTGCTGAGATTCTCCTTGTCCGCCTTCTTTGGTGTTTCGCCACTGGCACCCGTGACCGCTCGAGCCTGCGACCTTGCCTTTTGCGTGTGGTTGGGATTTGCCGGCATGTCTTCGTCTTCCTCTTCTTCCTCGTCTTCAGAAGTACTGGGCAGGTCCCCGACGGCGGCTGTCTTTTGGTTCTTCTTGGCAATGGCTTCTTGTTTCTTCTTGCGAGCGAGCTCTTTGCGTTGTTCTCGAGTCAGCTCATTTGACGAGGCCTGCGCGGCGGAAGCTCCCTCGCCAGAGTCCGAGGACTCTTCTGAGGAGGATTCTTCCTCTTCTGAGGAGTCCTCCTCCTCCTCCTCCTCTTGTTCTCCTGGCTCTCGCCACATGCCCATCTGATTACCCTCTTTGTCTAAAGGTTGCAGGTCACGGGAGAAATGCTTGCCACCTGCGGTTTAGAGTCAGCTAGCTGTGGTGTAGACTGGATGAGGTTTGGGTGGAATCAGAGTGTACATACCTCCTCTGGTCGGCTTTGAGAATTTTCCTCCTCGTCCTCGTGGAGCCATGGTGAAAAGTGTAAGGGGCAGGCGGATTCGGGCAAACGTGTGGTCAAGGAGAGGAGCAGGGCGGGGCAGTCTCTCGTAGAGGCGGCTAATTTGCAGGGTAGGTCAACAGAGATCTTGACTCGGTAGATAAAGCTGCAAGATGTGGTGTCCCTTGAAAGTGCGATCAGCAAAACCCTCATTCAGGCTGGACAGGAAGCAGAAAGTGCGGGCATGTGACTGGAACAAAGGGCGGTGGCCTCGAGGTTGCAACCAAAAGAATTTCTTTGTGCCCAAACGCGGGGGAGGAGAGGGAAAAAAAAGGGGGTTGCGTCCAAGAGCAGATGGAAGGGAACCTACACAAGTTGTCACTAAAGAGGCCGCAGCACAAAGTCCACCAGAGACAGTGAGGCAGAAGAGGAAGTCACTTGTTGAAGATGCTGAAGAGAGAAAGAAACAGAACGACAAGGGGAGGGAGGCAGCCACACATGATGCCAGATGCAAGATGCAAGATCCCGCTGAGTTGTCACTGGAGCCACCAGCCTCATCCCACCAATCAGCATCACTCCCCACGCTGTGTCGTGGCGATACAAGGCTGGCGCTCCCTGAACAGACACAACCGCCACAAGCATCCGAGGGGCTGATCCGGTGGTCGATATCTCGAGCATCGTCCCAGAATGACCCACAAGATCTAGGATTCCAGGTCTGTAGATGAGATACGGGCGAGGAAGCCACTACCACTCCCTGACTGCTAAGCCAGCGGCCATCGGGAGGAATGCAGGGGACCATTCTCACACCCTTACTCGCTTCCATCCTACAGTGACCCATCTTACACACAGCAGTACCATTGCCGCCGACATCATGCTTGTTGCTGCGAACACTTGTAGCCCAATGAACTTCCCTCCATCGCTTTGTATCAGCGCTCCCGCAATTGGGGATCCTGTCAAGACTGCGAGGCCCTGGGACACAGTTTGGGTTAGAACAGTGCTTACGAGGGCCAAAGTCGACTTACCGCGATACTAAAGCCCATGCCCGTGCGAACACCCGCCTTTTTCGGGTCTCTTGTCAAGCTGGTAAGCACCACAGGAAACAAAGCCTGAATCCCGGCGGCGACGACACCATATACCACGGCGAAAATCCATAGTCCAGTCACTGAGTCCACTGCAATCCAACAGTAGAGAATTATGCCAGCCACACCGACCATGGGGATCATCAAGTTCAACGGACCGACCCATCTCTGAGCGATATATGCCGGAACCACCCGAGAAGGCACTCCCACGCCGTTCAAGACCATCAGCAGGTTGATGCTCGTGGCTTGACTGGTCCCCAGGGCATCCCTGCCAAAGGTGCCAATGAAGAAGAACCCAACGTAGACCGACCAAAAGTAAAGGAATGAAGCCATGAGATATAGTGTATATGGCGCTTCCCTTAAGGCCGACCATTCCACCACCGGCCCAGATTTTCGAGGCGGCAAGCGTGGCTACCGGGACACATCAGCACTCAGCCTCATTGACAAGGATCAGCCACTCACTTTCAGGAACATAAACGCCACGCCCGCGAGGAGGAGCTGCACAAATGCCATGGTGCGAATAGTCCAAGGAAACCCAGCCGTCGGCAACATCTTTTCGGCGATGGCAGGGAACACGAGACCGCCAATTGCCGAACCTGTCACGGCCATTCCCAATGCAGTTGCCCTTTTGTGCTCGAAGTAAGTGCTCGCCAGTGCCAGGGTTGGAACAAATGCCAGTCCATATCCAAATCCAACGCAGACCGTTTGTGCCAGAAAGATTTGCCAGTATTCGCGGCACAAACTGAGCAAAAAAAGACCTACAACGTAGATGACACTTCCACAGATGTACTGAATGTTGAAGAAACCTGCATCGAGAGCCCTCCCTGTGAAGGTCCCCATCCCGAACAGCACAAAGACCTGAGTGGTCCCAATCCAGGCCACCGAGCTCGGGTCACCTATCCTCATGACCTCGACGTAGTAAGTCTGGAATACTCCAAAGCTGTTGATGAAGCCCCAGGTATTGAAGATGACTAGATGCGTGGCAAAGGCCACAGACCAGGCCTTGAAGCCTCCATCTGGTGGTGGCCCTGGATCCGCAATATCGGGCGTCCGGATCCTGGAGAGCGTCTTTGAAAGAACACCTGTGGACTTTTGCAGGTTCGAGGTTGCTAGATGGATGTCACCCGTGGAGGTATTGATCTCGATCTGTTCCTTTTCATCCTCAATATCCCTCTGAGTCCTCGGGATGTGTTCCACCTCGACAGGATCTCCCATGCTTGTCCTTCAATATTAGACATACACCTGGCTTCTGACCGAACAATGGGGTAAACGGGCGTTAGGTGCCTCTCAGGCAGACCTCACCAGCATAGGACATGACGCGAATTTAAAGCAGGGACAGCCTAGGTTGACCGACAGTTGAGCATCGAGAGTAGGTATGGAGAAGGCCGTAGCAAAGTTCCAGTCAACCATCTTGTAGCCCCGCACCCTGGCGATGGCCGTGATATCCGTTCCCTCAACTCGGTGGCTGCTTCCACCCTTTGCCGCATTCTTTCCATCTGAGCTATTGGCGGGGGAAATTCTGAGTTGGGTGACAGGTAATGGAGCGAGGCACAAGTCTTTGTAAGCCTGAGGGACCGATTAGAACATGGTTGAGCAGGCAGCGACTCGTCTTTCAGAGGTCAAACAGAGCGTCAGGACTTCGTGAGGGACACCGACGACCTTGATCCGGTGGAATAGGATTGTGACTAGGTAGCTCTATGTGCTTTCTTCGTGTCTGAGGCTTATGCAAGCACAACATGGCCAATGATGCGAGAGTACTGATGGAGAGAAGAGCGAAGCAAGACAGCTGAGAAGGATGAGAAGTGGAATCCATATATGGAGAACGCTGTCAAAACTGCCCCTCTAGGCTTGTGGTCTGGGGACGCTGTCGGACTTCTTGGCCTACTTCTGGCTCGTTCATAAAGTAGCAGCCTCACTTCAATGCTGGGTGGCGGCAATACACCGGCTACGCTCTACAGGTGGTCCGTTCAAACCACCCAGTCACTCTGGTCACTCCCCAGACGGCATCAAGCCAAAGATATTGACCCCAACATCCTAAGAAGTGAAAGGAGAGAAACATGGGACGTGAAATAAGTTTCAAGAGCTAGGTCTATAAAGCCCGAGTCGCAACAACAGCAAAGTTCTACCACCGTGACCTATTCTGTGTTCTCTCTTTGTCCGTGGTCATATCAATCAGCACATAAAGCGCTCTTTTTCCAATGTAACTTGTCGTCTTTGTCTTGGTGTCCTGGGTTTCCAAGGCATGCCTGTCGCACATCAACCTCCCTGCGCCCGAGAAGAGTCGCCGCTGCAGTGATCGCCTGACGACGTATCCTGTCGTGGCATTGATCGTTTATGTGAACAGATATGTGAACAGAGATACCCAGTCATAGCCCCGCCCCGCGCCTTTGGAGGCTACAAGTTCTCTGCCTTGTTCAAAGCCGCGATTGTTGCAATGACATCGCTCGGCTCAAGTAAGTGCCATGTCGCCAGGGTGCGTTTACTGCTGGCGCCCACAGTACACGCAAAGACATGTTCTTTGGGAAGATCCGTCTTGAGGAGGGCGCGGAACATATCTGAGCGTCATCACGGTCAGTGGAACTGTGTCCTGCACCCGGGGGGTCGCCGCGACCATCTGATTAGAGACTCACCTTCGTCGGTCTGATCATCCCCCAAACACAACACAAACTCCGGTGGTTCACCCCTCGCGTATCCGTATTCATTAATCAACCTTGTTGCAATGAAGCCTTTGTTCACAAACTGCGGCCTCACCTCCAAGTTGGCCTTCCCACTCATGACTTCAACATCCCAATGCTTCATAACATTCTCCTCCAACGCTTTTCGACACTCCCTTGCCTGGAAAGCACCGAAATCAGGGTCAGCCTGTCGATAGTGCCATGTCAATGCAACCCGTTTCTTCTCGATCCACGACCCCTGAGTACGTTCTGTGTAGTAAGAGAATACGTCCATAACTTCCTTCTGCCACCCCATGTCCATGGCCGCAGCAAGGTTCTCCCATGTCTCCGACCCAGGCCGTCGTAGGAAACAGCCGTGTTCAGCACTCAAGCCCAATTCAGTAATGTGACCCATCCATTCTTCGAGGAAGGACGCATCGCGGCCACTGATTATCCAGACATTGTTGCGTGGGTCGGCTGCAAGGGCCTTGAGGGTACGGATGACTCGGTCAGACGGAATTGCCGCGTTGGGGTCTTTCACGATTGGCGTGAGTGTGCCATCATAGTCGAACATGAAGAGCCGTTTCTTTGCAGCGTGGTATTGCTGAATCATACGATTGCGGTCCAGCGCGGGCGTAAGATCGCTTTGAGTGAACGAGGTGAGGTTGGTAAGCAAGCGTTTGAGGAAACTGTTCGACCAGGTCGCTACATTGTGTGTTGTCACGTAGTTGTAGAGTTTCTCGTGATTGCTCTTCTTTTGAGCTTCGGGCATCTCAAGTGCCTGCTTTAGTGCGTCGGCCACACCGCCCAGGTCCCATGGATTGATGTGGATGGCATTGCTCAGGCTGGCTGCAGTCCCAGAAAACTCTGACAGAATCAACGGTCCGTGATTGTTTTTCTGGCAGATGACATATTCCAGACTCGTCGTGTTCATACCGTCCCTGACACTGGTGATAAGTCCCACATCGGCAATCCGGAGAAGAGCAAAATATTCTTGCGACGAGAGATATTGCGGGTAGTGTTGGACTGGGGAATGGCTCAACGACCCGTATTGGCCATTTATCCTGGAGACCAGATTTGAGATTTTGTGTTCAATCTTGTGTGCGCCGTCCACCTTCTCTTCCATCACGCTCGTAGGACTGGTCACCTGAATGAGTACCACCTTGTCGCGCCATTCCGGATATCGTTCCAAGAAGATCTCAAACGCCATCAGCTTTTGCGATACCCCTCGGACGGTGTCGAGTCTATCACGACCAACAACAATCTTCTTGCCGGCGTACATTTTCTTCAAGGCTTTCATGTTTTGCTCTATTACAGGATCGCCAAAAGCTGTTTTCTGCACCGCTGCCACATCGATGCCGATGGGAAACACGTCCACAGCAACGTGAGCCCCATATGCATCCACGCCCGCCGAACTCGACTCGAAGCCCAGGATGCGTTTGCAGCAGGAGTTGAAATGTCGAGAGAAGCTGTATGACTGGAAGCCGATCATTGTCGCACCGAGAGCCCCAGTTAAGATGTCTTTTCTTCGGGGCAGACATCGCATGTATTCGCTACTAGGGAAAGGGATGTGCAGGAAAAACCCAATGTAGATATTGGGGATGCGTTGACGCAGCATGCTCGGTAGCAACATTAAATGGTAGTCGTGGATCCAGACAATGTCCCCAGGCTGATATATGTGCAAAATTCGGTCGGCAAAGCACTGGTTCATCTGCACATAATCCGCCCACGAAGTCTTCTCGGCTCGGCCATCATCGGGACCATGGTGTCGGTAGTGGAAAAGAGTGTAGAGCTCGTGCTCTGCATATTTCCGCCACCGGCTTTGGTCCTTGAAGATGAATTCGCCATCCTCATCTCCTTGGCCCTCGGGTAGCCACACAGGAAGAACTTTGCCATTTGGATGTTGCGCCAGGATTTTCTCCAGACGAGTGCGGTCAGAACGAGGTATTCTCAGATGGTCAGGATGAGGAACGTGAGTGTTTGGTGTGGCACCATTCACTGGATAGGGTGCGGCAGACTTGTTGATGGGGTGGGGAGCTTTCGCGGCCGCGATTGCTGCGGCCGCGTCGGACTGCAAGATGCTGATAGCTCTTGCTTGTTGTTGCGTGCGGATCTCACCCGTCCATCCGACCAAGGTGTGGTTCCAGGGGGTCTTATCCGAGGAGAGATGGGCGAATGAGTCGAACAATGCAGAAGTGCCGCGTCGGTTGGATAGCTCCCATTCACCATTCCCTCCGTGTGTCAGTTGATACGGAATGCAAAAAGTGGCACTGATGACATTCCCACTCAGCCGCAAACCAGGATAAGCTGTTCGAGGGTCGACCTCCAAGGCCTCGGCGCCTCTGGAATCAACAAGGCTGAGCCGGCGCAGTAACTCCTTTCCAGACCTTGCTCCCTTTGCGACCTCTGCCGGTGATTCTGAAGCTGCGGACTCATTGGTGGACTGTCTTTGAGGCAGAGAGAAATAAGAAGTCGTTGGCCGTTCTGGTTCCGACGATATCTTCTCTGGTTCGCTTGTCAACTCTGGTCTATGGCCGGGAGGATCATTGTCTGAACGAAGAACTTGACTGGGTGAAGCCGTATGGGTGACCATGGTAGCACTGCTGAACTGGATTGCAGAAAGAGAGTGTGTACTAGAACATATAGGAAGAAGGAGAAAGTGCTAGAATGCTAGGATCAGCCTCTTCAGCCCGAACAAGGAACATTAACGCTGATCAGTAACTCGGTGAGCGAGTGATATGGTGATAACGAAGGCCGGTGATGACGGCGGGGTATAGTGAGCAAAGGTAAAAATAACGACGCAGGAAGTCAAGGCGTGAGGAGCACAGGATTGGAGGAGGCGGGAAGTACCTTCGTAGAAGTTGTCGCACTTTTTGACGCGATCAGGCACAAGGCTCAAGCTATGATGTCGCACACGCACACGAAAAAAGCCGGCGTTCAGAAGGCGCAAGGTGGAGGGAGGGGTTGATTTAGAGGTCTTGCGTCTGACTGGAACCGTGGGTTAATTCGGAAGGCAATCCCGGTTCGAACAGGTTCGTCATATGTCCCCTGGTCTCTTGTTGTCTTGTCGTCGCTGGAGGCTCAGGACGGGCAGGAGAAAGTGATGGTCGAGGTGGAAGTGGCTTCAATAAGGGAGATATGAGGTTGGAAGAATCTCCGGCATTGCAACTGTCACCCTCCCGTCTCTTCTGTCTCTTTCGACGCTCTGGAGGGCTCCAGGAGGAATATCGGATGGGGTGAGGTATGACACTGAGCGTTGTCTGATCGAGCTCTTGCAGGCTCTGCATGGAAGAAGATTGGCTGCGCCAGGCAATGTGCTGGATCTGCTGGCCCTGGTGGCCCCGGCTCGAAGGTCGAAGGTGAAGGAAACCCTAGACTGAGAAGCTCAGCAATGACCCGCAGCCAGATCATTCGTTGGTGACCGCTGTTGGGAAGCAAAGTTATGGGGGGCTTGTTAAGGGAGGGGTGCTCTCTCGCTTGACCAGGGAAAAGCTCGGAATAATGGAAAAGGGTGGAACTTCAGAGCCAAAAGGGCCTGGACCATGGGGCACTGGGCAGCAGTTTAGGCGTGGATCCTCCCTGGGTCTCATCAGCCCAACCAAAGATCTCTCTAAGCGTGAGAATAGGTAAGCCTGTGGGGCACCTGAGGCTACTGGGCTTGAATCGGGCAGCCGCCAAGGCCCTCGCCAAGTTTCTGTTGGTGCCTGCGACTTTCTTCGCAGCATCTCAAAATTCAAAGCTGCGTGGACAACGCAAGTGAAATCGCATTGAGACCAAAGTCTTCTGCATCGAAGCTTGAACTACTTTGTCCGCCTAGGGAAGCTAAAGCGAATAGCCGCGCCTCCGAACATCCTCCTCTGATTCTTCCTGCCATCGACCAGATCTGCAGACCACTCCCTCTCCGTTGCTCCTATGCTGCATGCCACCAGTCCACCAGTTCTTGTGTCGGAATGCCGCCTGTGGTCGTCATGATGCCTCGATATACCTCAATCTCCATTCAATCCCTCGGAGACGTCAACCCAGATCCCTGGCAGGTACCTTAGCACAGCTTGCTACCGTTCACACCTCTTCTCGAGATCCTCCAAGTACCTTCTTGACGGAACCGAACGTTGATATCAAGAGTCTCCACAATACCCTACGTGCCCATCGCGAAACAAATCGCGCATCAGTTATCCGAAAGACTTACAAAGATCGCCCACCCGTACGGATACGTGATTCCGATGTAGGACTCCCATCTCTTGAGGTCAAGACTCCGGTACTGCGAAGAGAAGCATCCCGGTTCAAAAGGGTGGAACTTGCTCCGTTCAAGGGATTTAAAGGCACAAGTCGCAATCTGGATCTGCTGTGGCGTATCAATGATACCGAGAAGGATCCCCCCTTACACTATCGTCTTCCGTGGCTCCGTCATCTCCACGACCCAGAACCAGACGTTTATACCTCTGCTGTCGAGCGGCTCGGCGATGAAATTCGCGCTTTCGAAAAGTATACCTCTCCTTCAAAGGAAGAGCAGCGCGCTGCGGACGATGCTTTCCACGATCTTGCCGAGTGCGTGAAGGAGATCGCAGGAGACCTCCATGTCGATATCATCGGGTCTCGTGCTACCGACCTGGCAGATCCTCTATCCGATCTGGATATTAATGTTTCCGGCCCAGGACGACCAGGTTCGCTGACAAGCCCCGCGCAATTATCTTCTGTCGCCGTACTCAACAAGCTCTACAAAATGTTTCGTTGGCCTCCCAAGACAGCGAATCTCTTCCACTTTCGCCCCATCGAAGTCCAGCTTTATCTCAAACAAGCTCGTGTGCCCATTCTACTTTGTCAGCACAAGGCATCCGGGCTCCCGATTCAAATCCAATCCACACCCCGAACATATGACAGCCGCGAATACGTGAAAGCGTCGTTGAAAGAATACCCCTCTCTGAGAGGTCTTTTCAAGGTGCTCAAACAACTTCTACAGATGCGTGGTCTCACAGTTGGCAGCAGCGGAGGGATAACATCCTACCCACTATTTCAGATGATTGTTGCCGCGCTGAAGTTCTCCGAGGGCAAGTTCCACCGTGCGGATGTAGGTAACCAGTTCCTTTTCTTCTTGGATTTCTACTCGGACATCGACTTTTCTACACACGGCATTGCTACCGAACCTCTCGAGTTGTTTTCAAAGAGTGTTGTGCGTAGCCGCAACCTCAGTGAGGGGCTCCAGAAGGCAGTCGCGCAGTCTCATACAGCTTCCGGCGAACGCTCTGATTCACGCGTCGCAGCCTTTCATGGACCGGGTCGAAAGGGGGTTCGGGACGGGACGGAATATCTCATGACGCTTCAGGACCCTGTGAACCCCAAAAACGATCTTGGGAAGTCTGGTTTTCGGATCAACGATGTGCAGGAAACCTTTATTGCCATTCGGGCGACGCTGAAGACCGCAATGGCCGACTGGGACAAGAATCTGCAGACATGGCAGCAGTCAGAACAGCGACGACGAGCGCGGTCGTTACTTGGACCTTGTGTGGGTGGTGATTACCGAATATACGAGCACGAGAGAGACGACTTGCGTCGTTTGGGACACCATTCGTTGGAAGCCGCGGCCGCGGCCGTTATTGAGGCTCCATAAGTGGCCGGGTTCTGGTCGTTGTGGACAGCTCGATTTGTTATCATAAATACAAGGCTATGGGAATCGATGCGTCACCCGCTTCCTCATTCCTGATGGGTCCATTCATCTGTACCCAGCATCTGCTTTTGATGCAAGTCAAGCTCCCATAGTAGGAGCTTGCCGGAAAGATTAGCGCTAATCCCTACTCAACTTTCCCCCTTGAGCCCTGCGCATACCAATACCGACGAGGCCAGTTTCAGCGAAAAAAAGACCCCTCGACCTGCTGAACTCCCTCCGCGCCACTCAACCAACTAACCCGGTCTTTTACAAACTGCTCCACTTGGGGCTTCAACTTTGTCTCATGCAAATGGAAGTCGTCCACTGTACCGATACGCAACACGAGCATGTCTGGATTGCGGGAGCTGATGCGATACATGAGCGTGCCACACGTGGAGCAGAAATAGTTGGTCATGGTGTTCCCCGAGGCAATGGTCTTGGATTGGCTGAACACGGTCAGGTTGTCTTTGCCACGCAGGTGGGTTACATCAGGGTCGGCGACGACGAAGTTCGATGCAAACATGGAGGCGGTGATCTTGCGGCAGTCGGTGCAGTTGCAGACGAAACTTGTGATGAGACCCGGTTTTTCGACGGGGAATTTCAGCTGTACGGCGCCGCAGAAGCAGGTCGCTGTCGCTTCTCCCTCTTTGGACCAGCCATCATCGGCGCTACCAGCAAGAGGAATGTAGGGCTTGGATTTGTCGGTGCCTTCTTGAGCGGACATGATTGTTTGCTTATGGATGGCTGTCAAGCGTGATGCAGGACTCGAAATCGGCATAGGCTTCTGCACTGAATTCTTATGCAAGAATGAGTTTTAGAGCAACAGGATACTCAGGTTGAGGTTGGGTGCTGTCTTCTGGTGATAGAAGTTGCACTCTTATATAGGCCAGGCAGACAATGGGCATCGCCAATTGCGGGGGTCGACAGTCGCCGAAAAGCCTCAAGAACAATATTCTATTTGTCATATTCGAGCGAGCGACCGGTTGGTGATCTAATGGCTCCTATACATCGGTTTCCTTTCTGGACCGATATTTTCCATATGAGGAGAGAGCATATCTAGTATCGAATGATTGCTGTGGTCGAGGAATGGAGTATTCGTCTTGCTTTCTTTGAGCCATTCCCGATTTGTCTTGATATTTCTAGATTAGGAAATGGCTGCTATCTAGTATTCTTTCGCCACCGTACGGGCGCGCGGACAACACGCCGTGGCTCGCACCAGTACAGTAAACCTTCGAGACTCGATCCCAGCAGATTCAAATGCCTCAACAGGTTTACTGCCTCCTAACTTTGTGCAGATGGTGCCTCATCTAGCTTGCCTTTTATCTGCAATGGAAGTAGGGCAGCCGGCGCTCCAGCGAGTTTACTCTGCCCATTTCTCCCTGGTATATGACGAGGATGAACCAGAGACAGATATTTCTCATTTTGGAATCTGCTCGAGTCACTGTAGCGCTCTAAGCTGGAATCACGTATGTGGCTATCCGTGACCTATTTGGTGGTTAGAGGAAGAACTCGGGAGGAGGAGCACAAGGCGGCGACACCGCGCTGGAGAATCACGAAGCCAAAGACTGTTGGGCTTTGATCTCCATTGAGTCGGCGACGTACATATGAAATGAAGACAAGGTTGGGACACCTAGAAAGCCAAAGACGAGTGCTAGATTGCGAACGAAACTCTGTCGTTTCCCGGTGCTTCTTGTATGACGCGCGAGGCTGGCATTTTATTTAAAGCGGCGAGTGACAGACACGCAGGTGAGGTGGCCGCGGCTCATTTCAGCCCAACGTTCTCGCCGACGACCTTATTTTGTTTCATTCTTTTCTCCATTGCAGACTGGTCACGAAAACCTAACGACCTTGTTTTACTTCCCCCCCGATGAGCAGTCCCCGAATTACCACTCCACGTCAATATGGCGGGGCCCATTTTGGCGCCACCGCAGGGGGATCCGACATTCGCATGCCTCGATTTTTCAAGCGGTAGGCTGCAAAATGGCATTAGCCCCGGCGACTGTTGTTGACGATGTGATGTGGCAGACTCTTCAAGTTTCCGCAGATGGACTTCGAGATGGCAGTGTGGGAGATGACACATTTGCTCATTGCGCCGAAAAAGGTCTTCAAGTCCATCTACTATCACAAGCGTGGGTTGATCGAAACACCTCTATGCCTTGTTCTCGGAGCTAATTGCGATGGCTAGAGACGAGAAACACCTGGCACCGGCCTGACCCTTCCTTCACCTACTTGTTATCCTTTTTCCTCTTACTCACATCCTTCGCCTGGTCGCTCGCCTACACCCCATCCTTTGCCTCCGTCGTCAAGCTGGCCTTGATGTTTGTCGTCGTTCATTTCCTGGCAGGGTCTCTCCTTGTATCAACACTGGCATATTATCTAGTTGGCCGACTGCTGGGCCCTGGAATCGCCGGACTTCCCGGTCGAAGGCGCCAACAAGGATTGTTCGGCCCTCCAGGAGGATCGAGAAGAGCTGAGGTGCTGGAGTTCGGATACTGCTTTGATGTCTCGATACGGGCCTTCTTCCCGCCATACGTTCTGCTTTATATCGTCCAATACATCCTCATGCCAGTCATCAACCATCAAAATCACGCGTCGACTTTCTTCGCCAATTTGCTTTACCTTGCAGCGGGCATTTATTGGAGCTTAATCACCTTTCTGGGATACAATGCGCTGCACTTTTTGCATCACACACAGCTGCTACTCTCACCCATGTTAGCCTGGATCGTGATATGGCTGGTATGCACCATTCTGAACATCAATCTTGCGACTTTGGGGACAAGATGGTTATTTGCGGGCGTCAAGGTCTGAAGAATATTACATCAAATTGGAACAGTGATCTCTGGTGTCCGGAAGGAACAAACGCTCGTAATCTGGTTGCAGATTGAAGATCGAGCGTGTGGAGACGTCGTTCCGCATTCATGTTCATGGAGGCTGGATTTCTGATGCATGCGCTTCACAATAGCGAACAACATCCCTCACTCACGGCGACCCCGACCTCAGTGTGTCAATGTTGTGCCAATCAAGGCGTCGAATTCGGCAATGAGGACTTTCGAGGAAGGGAACCTGAGTGTGAACCGGAAAACATCATTACAGGTCTCCCATCCAATTGCGGCATTGGGCATTGCTACCACCACGAACTCCTGGTTCGCGTCCAACGCCGGATGCAACATCAAACGGGATAATCGCCGAGATGTGGCTCAGCCTCCAGAGAGAGGGCGCCCTATTCGGCCAACTTTACAGGCGTGGCGCTCGGTAGCGGGGGAGAGCTAATGCAGGTCCGTCGATTTTTGATCTTGGCCAACCTGCGGCCCACTGCAACTCCAAGGGGGGTGGGTGATTTTGTGGTGTACGGAGTACGAGTACGGCGGGAGGACTTTGATGAAATCAAACTATGCGCGCGAGTTGACATGGTGCGAGCTGGGGGCACCATACACATACTACAAGCACACGCGCAAGGTCCCAAAGAATGAAGACTTGATGATAGCATCAGTACTTAAAATTGTGGTGCTAATAGTGTTGAGCATTCGGTCAACCGTCAAGCTTCGGCTCGGGGATGACGGCAAAAGAAGGATGAGCTGTCGTCCAGCAATACCAGTAGTCTAGTACGCGGACCATATCTATGCATACCCAGCGTGCTCGAAAACATCCAAATTGCCCTATACTTAGTTAACTTCAATGGGGCACCGTTGAAATCGGGAGGACAAAAGCGTGGATGTTTGCACCGTCTCCAAATTCTATCAGGCGTCGCGGTAGGAAGATTCTAGGATTTCTAGCCTGGAAACCCTACCCAAGTGTGCCTGGGTCGCTAGCTAGTGGTCTAAGGGGCCCTGCAAGGGGGATGCTTGGGTACCCCTGGCCGCTGGCCCTTGCAGATGGTGCCCCCTATCCATGCATTGGCTGCTGTTAGCTACTGGCTCCAACCCTAAAATGATCCACCAGTGACACCCCCCATGCCTATCGCATTGAGGGACGCCGAACTGCGACTTGTGTAGGTCCTCTACCGTCCCTTACCTTTTCGAACCCCCCCGTAAAAACATCAAGCTGCACTCCACGCTCAGCTCTTTCATCCGCATCCTCAGAACTCTAGACTTATTGTAACTACGCAGCCTGTCCAGAGCAATCTTCTGGAAACCTGTCCTCCATCATTTCCGCGACGGTTTATCATACGGGTGGGACATGCGCCGGAACACCGTCCAACCCGTGTCAGGTCGTGCGACATTTCACGAGGGATCGAGGAGTTAGCTGTCTCAGACAACCACGCGCGCACCGCTTCTCTCGGGGCGCAAGCTGAATTTTCACACCCGATTCTATCCTTCTACAGACAATGACCCCTCCACCGAGTTTATCCTCGCCGAAAAAGCGCCAGAGTCCTCGCCGCCAACCTTCGAAACAGTTTACGGTCGTCGAGCATTCAAAGCCTCATTGCGGTGCCCTACCTGTTTCCCCAACCAGCCAATCTCGACCGCGTCGACAAGCGAATGGGGGCGTACCAAGCAGACAAATGGCAGGAACAGGGACGTTTCTGGCTGAATCACCCCCAATGGACCACATCCACGATAACGACGAGATGGAAGACCCTCATGATCTGTCCTTCTCGAGCAACCACATCCTCCGAGCATCCATGGTCGATAACCTAGTCATGTCGCTCGACCAATTCTCTAGCAGTGTGTTCGATGACGGGCCATATACGCCGCGGAGCAACAGCTACGATACAAGTGCGAGGATTCGGAAAAGAGGACATACATTTTCGTCTTCGACGTCTTCGGAGAATGATGTTCAACATATAAGACCTATACCTCAATTGCCCCAGACCATCCCCAGACTTCCTGTACGCAACAGTGTGAGGTATCAAAAGGATCTGCAGAGATTACCCAGCATATTTGGAGAAGATGAGGATTCGGTCCGCGCAAAGGTCTATGATGCACAAAGAGCAACCCAGCCTCATCACCCCCGGCGGAAAAAGAACGCTTCTGGTGGCGGCAGAAGCACTAACAGCAGTGCATCTTCGAGTATTGACCTGGGGCATCTAGCCAGTCTGACAGGCCGGTTAGGGGGGCCAGGCAACAGACGGTCCCGGAGCTTCGATTTCGGCGCAAGACCACGAGATTTACGTACCAGCAAACCGCTCGGAGGTGCTGACGGGGCACCCACTCCGGTTATATTTTCGGGCCCAGAAGCTCAAAGTGCGACACCAGCAGGGCCATCGGGCTCACCCCTTGTCCGGAAAAACAGTGCCAAATCCTCCAAAAGCGCATACGTCAAGAAAGGCCGAGCCGCAGCATTGGGATCCAACTCTGCGCGAAACGACTCTGTCCCCCAGCTTCCTTCGATGAAAAGTGTACCGAGCTTCAACACCGCGGAGCAAAGGACGAATATAGGGGCCCTGCATGAGACAATCTCGGCACCCAGGCCTGGCTTCTTTCGGCGTGTTTTCGGCTCCTCCAGAAACCCATCTGTGAATACAGAAAGTACCCCTCCGCCCAATGTACTTATCAAGTCACAGCCTGGGCGAGCAACCCCTGTACAAGATGAGAATGCACATCCTCCCACGACGCCACCCGGTAAAACACAAAAGCCCGTTCGGCGGACGTCTACCGATGCTTCAGCAAACAAAGAGAATCAGCCAGTGATCACCAAAAAGTCTTCTGCGTTCTTCCGCCGAAGGAAGAAATCGGTGTCAAATGTGGTTCCACCACCACTACCCCTGACCTTGAACTCGGACTTGCCATCGGAAAATGAGCCTGTGGATGGAACGAGCCCTGTGAGCAGCCTCAGAGCATTTATGGACCCATATCTCGTTGACCCTCCGTCCGCGACAAGCCACGCTCGCTCCCGCGGCCATAGTCGCACAAGCTCAATGCAAGGTTTCTATACTCCAACTCTACCACCTCCGGGGTTCGGCTTGTCAAACCAGGCAGCCAATCGACCCAGAGCAGGAGGCCATGGTCGATCGGAATCCCACGGTAGTGGTAAGACGTTGAAGTCGAACCCCAAGCAGGTCTCGGCTCTTCGAATTCCTCATCAGGATTCCTTTCTGGCAGATAGCAGCAGCGCGGAGGAACCAATGAAGCGATCTCCTTTTGATGCAGGCCACCATTCTGATAATGAGCGGGCCCCGTTACGCTACCGGGGCAGTGTGAGCGACTTGAAACTAGAGCATACACCCTCCGCAACGTCATTACCCAGTCCCTTGTCTGATCCAAGGTCAGCTACCACGCGACAGGGATCATGGAAATCCGAAAAGGTTTCACCGGTATCTTCCATGATTGCAGTTCCAACCTCGAACTCCCAAAATGCTGAACAAGGGGCTAAATCGACGTCCACTAGACGACAAAACACTCTGGAGGTTACGCGAAAAGGAACCAAGGGTTCTCCATTCGCATCAACTTCTGACGTTAGTGAATACAGATCAGCGCCGAGTACGCCCCTGATCATCGAAACTCCCGACGGTGAAATCGCATCGCCGTTGAGCTCCGCCTTGCCAAGCGACTCTCAAACCGGTCTTCAACCAGACCATAAAAGGAGAGCCCGACAGATATTTGACAATGCCGACGAAGAAGTTGATCCTTCTTCCGCGGGGGCTTGGTTGGGAGACCCCGGACCCGAAAGGGAGTATGTGCGGAAAGCATATATGGAGCTTTTCGATTGGAAGGATCAGAATATCCTGGATTCACTTCGTGGTCTTTGTGACAGGATCATACTCCGAGGTGAGACCCAGCAAATGGACCGCATCATGGATGCCTTTGCCCAGCGATGGTGCGAGTGTAACACATCGCATACGTTTAGATCAAGCGGTAAGAATCTTTCCACTACTTTGGTATATTATGGCTAATGCAAACAGACGTGGTGCATACAATTTGCTACTCAATCCTCCTCTTGAACACCGATCTTCACTTGGCGGACATTGATCAGAAAATGACGAAGGCCCAGTTCGTGCGCAATACGCTTCCTACAATCAAACGCGTTGCACAGGGGTCTGAGGCTGAGAGAACTTTACGAGGTCCGAAGCGGACAAACGCTTCGTCGAACGACGATATAAACAGTGCTCCCTCGGAAGTGAAGCGGTCTGTAGACCCGCCGGCCCACGAGGATGGACATCCGCCCGAAGCTGCCGAATCTACTGCAGAAGTCGCACAAGGGAGAGGCTGGGAATTGCAAATCGAAGCCGTTCTCAGGTCTTTCTACACGTCGATCTCATCAGAGCCTCTACCTCTATTCGGGGCTCAGGCCGAAGCAAACACGCAACTGAATCAGTCTAACAATTTCTTGACGATCGGAAGTACGATGCTTCGCCGAACACCTAGTGTGTTGAGTAAGGCACACTCTGACACCAATCGCGGTCGATATGCTGGCGAAAGCAAGTCACTCGGCGCCCGGTTCATCACGAAGACACGGTCAAGACCGCGACTGCCCTCGGCTCCGGGCTTTGCCTCTAGTAGAACCAGCATCGACGAACAATCCTCGGCTTGGAGTCCGTCGATGTCGAGCACGTGGAGTAAGGCATCTCTGGGAAAGACGTTGACATCAATGTCGGTCGACTCGTTTGGCACAGAAGCTACTCACGCCGATTATCAATCGTCGATCGGTTTTGCGAATGCTTTGAGCCAGGCCATCATTCGGGAAGATCAGCTAGAACTGCCCATCGAAGATGGGGCTAAAGGTGTTTCCCTACTTGAAGACGAGTCCCTTGAGCTTTGTGGTGCTCCATGGGCCAAGGAAGGCATCGTGAAGCACAAGTGTCATCTCGAAGGCGTCGATAAGAGATCAAAGGACAGAAATTGGAATGACTGCTTTGCGGTCATAGAGAAAGGTTACATGAGACTGTTCTCTTTCTCGATGACGGCGAAGTCTCTGAGGAGCAGGGCAAGAGCTCCCAAAGTTCCAGCTGTCGTGGGTGGCGGGAACTGGCAGGACAACGCTGAAGAATTATGGAAATTCACCCTTCGACATACCATTGCCAGTTCACTCCCGCCACCTGGATACTCAAAGGTGCGACCCTATGTGTGGGCGCTCAGTTTGCCGACAGGCGCTGTCCACCTCTTTTCAGTCGGCACGCCCGACATTGTAAAGGAGTTCGTTTCGACCGCCAACTATTGGAGTGCCAGGCTGTCGAAAGAGCCGATGATGGGCGGTATCAGCAACATGGAGTATGGCTGGAGTGATGCTGTGGTCAACAGGGCATTAACGTCGTCAGAGCTTCAATCTGGCCGCAATGCAGCGATGAGTCCGCGCCCGAGCACACAGATGTCAATGCGAAGCTCCATGGACCATGTTGGCGGTGTCCGGCCTAAGCTTCCTGGGGACAAGGCTCATGTCAGCGAGTGGATGCCGCCCCAACAGTCCATGTTTGCATCCCAATTGATGGAAGTGGATCAGCTTCGAGCACTGCAGACATATGTCACCAACGTGGAGGAAGAGTTGCAGAGACACAACGAACTGCGAGGTCTAATGCTTCTAGCTTTCACAGTCAAGCACCCCAACTCAACCAAAGCAATGAACAACTGGGAGCGGAAGAGCAGTTACTTGCTCCGAGAAATTGTCAAGTTCCGCACGTACATCGATACCCTTCAGAATGCCCAGACGACCAAGGAGAAGATATATCGGATGAGAAAGGAGGAAGAGAGAATGCAGCGTGCAGCGATGGACTCTAGGAGCTAGGCCACAACTGCTATCTCTGGCTGGGGTGACGTGATGCTTGAGCGGTGCTTTATGGATGTTCTCGAAGGTGCCAGGGAGGTCTAATATTTTGATAATGATGCCGGGCAGTTGATTCGCTTCGTTGTACCATACCTTTGTACTTTTAGTAGACGACTTGACGATTCATGAAGGTGAAGGTGAAGCAACCAAGACCAGGTGCAGGCATTTCTGATTGTGTCCGTATTCATCCACACCGAGCTGGTAGGAATGAAGTTGTACTACTGGTGAGTCTTGCCTGTAGTACTCTCTAACAGCTCCATGGCTCGCACGGAACCCGAGTCACATCGAGGTCACACCAATCGAGGCCACTGGTGGCACTAGCTGGGCAGTTTCGCTTGCTACCGTTAGGCCTCCCCGAAAGAGGACTCCTGAGACGACAAGGTGGGAAGGCTGAATGATAGTGTCTGACTGAAGGGTTCGCGGATAATTGGCGCATGATTTCTTCCAAAGTGTCTGTCAGACGGAAATATTTTTGACTGATCTCCAAGTGGATCCTTGCCTCATGTTGATGACCTGCCCAGATTGAGTCTGGCGCAAGGTTTCAGAGAAGGGGGCAGACACTTTGGTCCTGGACGCTGTGCCCGACACTCACCCCCCGGCCACACTCACCCATCTCAGTTGATTGAACTTGCGCAGCGACACTGAGTATTCTTGCCCAAGTGACTACCCTCACCTTGCGGATACGCCCTCCCCCCTGATCCTCCCTCGTCCTCTCTATCTTCGAGCCCCGGAGACAACAAACGCGCCGCTTCACCACTCCCCGTCAGAGCGCGCGTCAACACTCTCCGTTCTCCACACAGATGTCCGCACCACGGGATTCCAGAGGCTCGAATCACATCGGCCTGCCTTTGCGCATGCCCACAGGACAAGAATAATCTTTGGCTCGACAGTCGACTTGTATAATGTCTTCCTCTATGCTAAGTAGCCGGCCTCGAACCGAGCGCCGGTCGTCGAGGGTACCGGGTGGGTTTGATCCAGAAGAGGAGGACGACGTGGCATCCCTAGGAAGCGACCACAATGATTTGCTCGTCCAAGAGCATGATTCATCTGCATTTGGGGCCGGTCCCAGAGACCCCAGTAGTCTACTGCAGCCCGTCGAAGAAAATACCAATCTCGAGTTGCCTGCTAACATGACACTGGACGAAAGTGAAATGAACAAGAAGTTATTGGATGTTGAGTCCAGCTTCCTGCCCGAACACTCCGACTTGGTGGAAAAGACTTCGACAACTACTGGTGCAGACGATACGCACTTGTTCGGCGTTGTCAATGACAATGTCGCCGTGCGCAAGAAGCCGCACCCAATCCAGATTTCCTACCCTTCCGATGACACAGAAAACCATGTGGCTGGACGACTCTCCCAGTCACCTCGCACACCACCTGGCGCTTATAAGACTCCTGCACCGGAACGACATGAGTTCCGCCACACTGTTGAAAGCGACGGCTCCACTCGTCAAATGCCGAGCACATCCATGCTGGAGAGCATGTCCTCTTCGCCAACCGCCGCTGCCGCTGCCCGAACCCTTTCACGAGTCCAGTCTCTGGCGACCATGGGCGGATACGAGACAGCCAATGAAACAGAAGACCAGGACAGGCCTGAGAGGCGGTCTCGGAGTGTCCAAGACGATGCTGAAGCTACACCTCGAAAGAACGAGAACCGATATTTGGGCTTGCCACACAGCGCTGACGGACAGCAAGAAGGCTCAGAAGGCGCGTCCAAGCAAGGGACAAGGCGACCAGGATACCTACACAAGAGATCTTCCCAGGCACGCCTATCCTACGATTCTATGGCGAGTTCGAATACGGACGCTAGCGACGTCACCGTAGGTGCGGACTTTGCGCTGCAATCAGGAGGGGCTCTGCCCGATTCGAGCGCGCAGCGCAAAGCCAGGGCCACGATTTCCAGACAGGCTAGCTTAGGGAGCATGATGTCTGGGATATCAGGTATCAGCGATGATGAGCCTCGGTCGCAGAGACAGGCTGGGGCAACTGACCTGACGACATTGGAAGAAGAGAGCCCCAACTCTAACAAGGCGGGCGGATACTCCACTCCTCGCGCGTCGGTGTTCAACTTCAACATGCCCACCGATGCAGTCATTTCCAACAACGCCAGAGATCTGGAAGTCCCAGGCACTTTTGCTCGTCAGTACCGGCAAGAGCGGAGCATGTCACCGGAAAAGAGCAACACGATCATAGGGATGACACCAGGACCTAAGCGAGGCCTGACTTTGAAAGAGCACAGAAGCACTGTGGAAAAGTTGGGCAAAGAGAACTTCGACTTGAAGATGAAAATCCATTTCTTGGACCAAGCGCTGCAGAAAAGGTCCGAGGACGGCATCAAGGAGATGATTACGGAAAATGTACAATTAAAGTCCGACCGCTTGAGGTTGGAAAAGGATAATCATAATTTACGAAAGCAGGTTCGAGATTTACAAAAGAAGCTCGAGGAGACCGGGGCTCGCGACTCGCCAAATGCTGACCAAGGATATGCCACCGACGAGGAAAGGAGTCCGACTACCGAGGAAGAAGTCATCTATCTCCGAGAAAGGGTCGAAATCAGTGAGATAGAGATAGACAAGCTCCGTCAAGAGAATCTCGCCAAAGAAACGGAGAAGCGAAAGCTCGCCGAAATGGTCAAGTCCCTGGGTGACACTCGTGCTGCGGCTTCCGATGTCGGCTCAAGGGAAGAGCGCGATATGTGGAAGGATATGCTTGAAGCAGAGACCATTGCGCGTGAGCAGTCCGAAGAAGAGAACAAGCGTCTTCGGGAAGAGGTCTCAAAGCTAAGAAGTGAGACATTCGTGTCCGGCAAACCGAACTCACGCAAGATCAAGATCGGAGGCTCGGTTGTTTCGAGGTCTAGTAGTGTCGAAGCAGCAAATGCCAAAGACGCGGAGATTGAGAGATTGAGACATGAGGTTTCGGAACTACAGAAGATGATTGGCGCCCAAGCTTCCACATTGACGTCTCGGAACAAGGAAAAGGAGCGGCTGTACCAGGAAATCGAAGATTTGAAACTCGGTCGCATGGGTGGTCTTCGATCTGTGGCAGGCGACAGTATTCTCGATCGCTCGGCGTCCAGAGCAAGGTCCCATTCCCGAGCAAGCAACGGAACGAGATTATCCCGGATGAGCGACCAAGAGCGCGAAGCTCTTGAGACTAGGATCAACGAGCTTCGCGACGAAGTGTCACAGTTGAAACTCGAAAACCAGAACCTCCAGAACCAGTTTGACGAGGCACTTGCAGAGCTTGATGCTGTCGATGCCCAGGCGCAAGCCGACGCGGATCAATTCAACGAAGAGCTTCTCTTGCTGACTCAGGAACGCGACAATGCCTTGCGTGACGCAGAGGAACAAGATCATGCCTTCCAGCAATTGAAAAGTGAGGCCCAGGAGGAAATCGACGGTCTGGGAGATGAGCTAGATGCTAAGGTAGAGGAATGCGTTAAGCTTGAAGGAGAACTCAAAGCTCAGGTCGAGAACGTCAAAGCATTGCAGGCAGAGATGCGATCTGCCGCGGAAGGTCTTGTCCGTCTCGAGGAGGATGCGCAGCAAAATCTGGCACGGTACCAGTCTGTCAAAGCCGAGCTTGACGACGCGAATCGCGAGCTTGAGAGTCTCGAGAAGACTCTCGCCGAGGCTGAAAGCAAGGTGCAAAGATTGACGGTGCAGCAGGAGAGCAGTCATAATGAGATTGCATTTCTCCGCGAAGAGCAAGACGCCGACAAGATCAAGATTGGCGATCTAGAATCCCTTCTCAAGAAAGTCCACCTTAACTTGGAATCCGAACGGGATAAGAGCAGAGAACTCGAACGGCGGATCAACGAGGAACGGGCACAAAGAGATGCTGTTGCCAGTCAAGAGAAGCAAGAGGTTCAGAGAGTCATCAACGATCTCAATCGGGAAGCTTCTGGTGCGAAGGACGAACTCCGGAAAGTCCGCAAAGCACTCTCGGCTCGCGACATTGAGGCCAAGTCGTACCAAGAGCGGTTGTCTGAGTTGGAGGAGAGTCTACGAAATATCATTGGAGACCCGAACAGCTCCAGATCGAGCTTGATTAGTGCAGTCACCAAGATGCGCCGCGAGCTAGATCAGACGACAGTTGATCTTGAATCTGTTCGAAGGCGACTTGATCAAACAGAAAATCTGCTAGCTGATCGTGATGCCTTGCTGGAGTCGACGAGCCACGAATGCAGAAAATTGGCAGACGCTTATGAGCGAGAGAAGGCAGGAAGACGACAAGATAAGTTGGACTTTGAAAAGACTAATAAGGGTCATAACTCGACCACCAGGGCGCTCACGTCGGCATCCACCAGAATTGCCGAGCTTGAAGGACTTCGTCAGACTGACAGAAAGAGGATGGCACAGATGGAGACCCAACTCAAAGAACAATTATCGGAGAGGAACCAGGTGTTGCTCAACCTCTGGAAAAGGCTTTCTGCCATGTGCGGACCAGATTGGGCACACAACAACAGCTTGATTAATGGCAATCTTCCTTCTCAAGAAGTGATTGGTAACATGCTCTTCTGGCCTGGGTTTAGCCGGAATCTGCTGTTGGCTGCGAAACAGGTCGAGGGGACTCTGTCCACTTTCAAAGACAAGATCAAACGTGTTGAACGAGAGCTATATAAGGAGTACCAAGCTCTGGAACAGACTCTCGAAGTACGGACGCGCAAGCTTGAACGCATCGAAGAGAGTTGGGAGCAGATGAAAATCAAGATGTCGGAGATGGAAAGTCGCATTGATACCGGGGCTCGAACGCCGAAATCCAGCAGAACTCCTGAGATCAGCAAGCTGAAGGGTGAAAACCGGTTACTAAAGGCCGAACTCCAGCTTCTCCAACAGCAGCAGGCACACCACAATCTGCACCATCGACGGGACAGGAACGAGAGCCGGGCATCTGGATATTCAAGCATCATGTCAAATGAAGGACCAGGTCAGGTTGATGGTGCCGTGAATGGAGCTGTGGGGGTTCCAGCGCGTTCATCGAGCATGAGGCGCACCCGAACCATGGAGCTACAGCGACATCACTCCACAGGCATTGTGGAGCATCTCGCTAGCATGGGCGGCGACGTGAACTCGTTGCGGTCGAACTCGATCTCTAGTCGCCATTCAGGCTATACACAGGGCGGCGAACGAGACCGGGGTGGCCTGATGATTCCGGCGGGGCCCTTTAACGCCCCGGCCGACGGAAAGTTCTCCCTCCCACCTCCCCCACGAGAAGCCCCCCCTGCACCACCGAGCACGGCGTCAGGTTCAGACATTGCGAGTATCACCGCGGGAAGCGGGGGCGGCGGTCAGGGACAGGAGAAATGGATCCATCGCCTGCGAGAACTGGAGAGGAGGTTGAAAGCCGAGCGGGAGGCCAGGCTGCTTGACCGAAGCGGCGCCAGGAAGAGACTGGAGGAGAGAGATGCGGTGAACGAAGAGTTGCGACGAGAACTCGAGCGAGAGAGGGTCCGGAAGATCAGTGGCGAAGCCGGTTTTGATGCAGGTCATGCGATCTCGCCGCCTCCCCTGACATTACCGCCGCCACCCCCTGGTGCCGACATGGAGCATATGCAAGAAGCGGCAGGTGGGGATTTCGATGTGCACGTTGCGCACGGTATTGGAGGAGCGAGGAAGCGCTAGGTTCGCGTCATGGGCATCGGATTGAAACTGACGCAGTCCTGGCATCAACCCAAGGCGCGAGGCACGGTCAAATGTAATCCTACCGAGTGAGGCAGAGGGAGGGAAGAGACGAACCTTGCATATCTGGAGCCCAGCGAGGTTGTGTTTTTTTCTTGTTTTCAGGCTATCCTTGTATCATTATAGTTCGGGGTCAGTATCAGTATCACTATAGCGCAGGCAGATGGCTGCGGGCGACTATTACCGGTGGGCCAATTGGATGAATAAAACGGGTTTCTCGTTGCCGTGATCAGATGCCCTGTTCTGTACCGAATACAAGCAGCCCACAGCCTCCGGCGGGTATCAGTCCTCGGCCCTGCCGGCTCTTATCACTTGATGCTCGGGTACATGAGTGCGGAACGACGCCCGAAGAGGCTGTACCGGTACGCGAGGAGCCGATCGCTGTGGACGCGGTCAGTCAAACATGCCCCACCGCTAGAATTCCGGGCTGCATCGTTGTCACCTCTCATCTCGGCAGTCTCAATCCACCTCCCTCCCTCCTCGCAGCCTCGTCTCCCGTTCATGTTTGGATCTCTCTTATCTCGCAACCTGAGAGTTGCGAAGCACAGAGTCATGAACCAGACGAACTCCGCCCGACCGCAGACCCCAAGGGTGGAGGAGCCAACAGCCATAGCACAGAAAGGAAAGTCGAAGGTCAAAATTACCGCCGGCGACGGATCAAGGCGTGATGGCGCAGAGATAGAGACCGAGAAACCCCGAGACACCAATGGATCCGCCGAGCACGAGGTGGAGGAAGAAGAGGAAGAGGAAGAAGAGGACGACGAGGACGAGGAAGAGGACGACGATGATGAGGATGACGATGTAGACAAGTGAGTTCAAGTTTTTGCTTCCCCGGAAAATGCTCTGGCCGTCCACATCCACCAGTATTGCTCACTTCGCATGGGACAATCATGCCGCTTGACCCTTCTGACCTGTTTTGCGCCAGCTTCACAACCTCCGAGATCGTGACCGTCCACGTCGGCCCCAAGCGCAAACGGTTCCACCTCCATCGCGACCTGATCTGCCAACGCTCCCCCTTTATGGAGAAATGTCTCCAGAAGAACCGCTTCGATGAGGGTTACAAGAACGAACTCTACCTCCCTGAAGACGACCCCAAGGCGTTCAGCATAGTGGTCGAGTGGATATACAGAGGAAGACTACCCAGCTTTGGGACCTTTGGAACGAGCGCAAACGGCAGTGCCAGTGCCGCAAGTGCGAGGCCGGGGACGACCGGGTTGGACATGTGCGATATGTCTGCCGCGTACTGCATGGCGGACAAGTTTGGCATGGAGGAGTTGCAGAATGGAATCATGGATTGCATACGGACGAATTATCGACTGGGCAGTGGCAGTGGAAGCGGTGGTGGGAACGGGCATAACCACGCTCATATCCATCACATTATCGGCAGTGGGCACAGCAGCAGAGAATCCAACCGGCCGAGCCTCGTCTCAAGCCTGTCGGCAGCAGACAGAGACGCTCAAACAGCCACCGACTCTGCGTCATCTCCAATCATCCGCCCCAACTATTCGGCGGTGGCTCTCGTCCACCTCCATGGACCGCACAAATCACCGCTGAAACGATTCTTCATCGAACACCTCGTCCACCACATGATGACCTTCCCACGCTACTACCATGAGAACCTGAGGAAAAACGAGGACAACGATCGCGCGGAATTCGAAGAACTCTTCAAGATCCCCGAACTGTCGTTGCTGATCATGCGCAAGATCTGGCAATGGCAAATCGAAAAGTTTGGCGACCCGGCGAGGGACAAGGGCTGTGCCTACCATGTGCACTCGACCACGCAATGCGACACGAAGATGAGGTCTGCTTCTTCCATGGCGGGGAAAGGTGCCGTGGGGAATCGACCGCTGGGGTCAGGCCTGGGAGGGAGTCCCAGTACGCATCCCGCGGTGCTTTTGCAGAACTTGGCCAGGAACCAGCAGGGGCAGGCTGGATGGATGAGTGGCTCATCGACGACTTTGGGTGGATGGCACCCTGGCGTTGGGTGGTAGGAACGCCCGAGCGACCAACTGCTGCCACAAGAAGAACAACGCGCGCCGTGGAGACAGCAGCAGCAGGAGGCGATTGACGACGATTCTTCCTAGCCGACGAGACCAGCGCGCACAGGGGTCGAGCTCTGAAGGTGCCTCAGAAGATGATTTGGGTCAGTCGGGAAGCAGATTTCTTGTCCAGGAGATCCACGGCTTCAATAGCTGTGTTCCTTCTTGGAGCAGCCATTTCACTTTCGACATTGTTCTCTTACGACTTGGGCGCACAGGGCGCGATCGATGGGATATCTGTCTGTATTGCATGGGGTCAAGACGAAGGGTGTTTTGGCGCAAGAGGGTTCAAATGTTCACTCCGAGCGGGTGCTGGATCTTTCTCCAGGGTCGTGCAATGTAGAGCGGGTTTTGACATGAGCAGGTATGATGCCTTGATATGACTGATGAGACTCTACTAGCATTTCTTGTCACAATTCCATACCATTTCTTACGCTATTGTTCCATCCTCGTTCACCGTTCTCACATGTCGTAGCGGTATGTATACCTCGTACCCATTGCCCACATGGCTTCTTGCCCTCTCCCATATATGTCCCGTAGTACTTCTGCAGGCCGACGCCAGAGCCCAGGAATTTCCTTCTCCCACCGTGACATGTATAGTGTTTACCCGGTCGTCGCGGGTTCTATTTGGGATTTTCCATTTGTGGAAACGGGGCGATCGTCAGGTCGCGTTTCTTTTTTCTTTTTTCGAGGATTGTGTAGTGCAAGCGATAAGGGCACAGGTGGCGCCCCGTTGACCTAGCTACGCCGGGCGAGTTCTAGCTGGGTTGGTGGGCTCGTTGGGTTGAGGCCGCTCGGGACTAGATGGGTAGCGAGGTGGCTAGCCACGAGTAGTCCCCCTCCCCCAAACTGTGTTTCTTTCGGTCAGTTCGTCGTCATTTTATTAGCTCAAGGGATGATCAAGATCAGTCTTGTGTCGGGAGAAGCAAGCAAACAAAGATAGAAAGCTGGACCTCTCAAACCCTTTTCGTCGGCTCCTTTCACATGCTTTTTGCGTTGTCCGCTCGACCTTCGTTTTCCCGTACGTTTTGAAAGATCGATCGTCTTTTGTGTCTCAAGATAGATTCGCGTGTCGATTACTCCTGTTTTAGTTCTTGCGCTCCTTGTGGGAAGGTGGCGTCGTTGCAGTTCGAGGAACTTCATTGGCACTGAGCTGAGAGTTGCTTCTTACGTGCAATTGAAGCCGCGGTGCTGCTCGACGCAGCACTCTAAAGCTTCGAAGGATAGAGCTATCATCTAGCTTTGAGATCGCCAGAGTTCAAGACAGCGGTTGGATCCAGCAGTGTTGGAGTCTCGGTCGCACAGCCGTAACAACATAAATAGAGAGGGGCCTTTGAGCCACCAGCATCGCAAAGGGACTTGCACACAAGCAACATCACGAGACAGCTGAAACACAATCCTGTTTGTTCCATTCGCCAATATGCCCAGCGAACGCACGCCTCTCCTCTGGTCCTCCTTCGACGCCGACAACAGCGACTATCCATCCGACCCGCACGCTCAATTCTGCATGATGACCGGTGCCCCTTCCTCCGCCCCAAATCCAGATGGCAAATCGCGTGCCTCAACAGCGGTGCCGCCCAAGTCCTTGTACGGCAGGGCGACTCGGCAGCTTTCGAACCAGCGATTTACCTATTACATGACCGCCTCGCTGTCCAACACGATGCTACTGTCCCAGGTCGTCCTGGGCGCCGCATTGACCGCCCTTGGGGCGTCCGAGTCAAGTCACATATTAATCACCATTTTTGGAGCGATGAACACCATCATCGCCGGGCTTGTCGCGTATCTCAAGTCGAGGGGCCAGCCAATGAGAGCACGAATGTATCGGGATGATTTGGAGAGGGTGGTCGACGAGATCGAGAACTCGGAGGTCATGTGGCTCGGGATCACTTCCGGGGTCAATGGCTACGATGATATTGATACCGGGGATGGGAAGAGCGGAGAAAGGGGAGCTGGGGCGGTGACGGTAAGGAGTGAAGTGGCGAGGCTGACCCGATTGTACGATCGCGCTGTGAGGAACAACACCGTCAACAACCCGGACATGTACATGACGGGAGCGGTGGATGGGAGCTATGCAGGGGCAACCCTGAGAAGTCGGGCTGCTGTTGGTGGAGGAGGGCAGACTGCTGCATTGCCGATGCCAGTGCCAGCACCTATAACGGCGCCCTCCGTTGGGATCAGCCCAGGCCCAGCGGCCGTTTCTGCTCCAGCACCCGCACCGGTTCAACAGCCGGTCCCGGATCCAGATGAGAGTCCGGCAACCGCACCACCGAAGCCCAAGGAGGACAAGAACACGGGGGAAAAGAAAGAGGCGGAGACAAAGGGCAAGGAGAAAGAAGCCAAGGATGTGAAGAGTGATGGAGCACCGTCCGATGCAGGCGACTCGAAACCGGAAAAGAAGGAGGGAAAGGCAGCCGACGAGCCACCGCAGAAGGAACAGGAACAGCAGCCATCACCACCACCACAGCCGCAACCACAACATGATCCCGACGCAGAGCCTGCCAGTGACCCGAACGTGCCCTTGAAGAAAGTCGCCGGTGATGCGGCGGACGGCGAGAATTAGGTCTCATTCAGCTCATCTGACGGTCAGTGAAAGGGCCGAAAGAGGAGGACAAGGTCACGGTGGTAGAGAGGGCGTGCGAAGGAAGAATCCCGAACAGGTGGGTTTGGTATTGTATTCGTCTTTGTACTTTCTGGTTCATTGCGCAAGTGTATACCCCCTTGGGAGTTAGTGCTCTAAGCTTTAATGTGATGGTATTGAGGGTACAGTTTGCTTTCGACAGAGGACAAAGAGACGCAGATGGATGAGCCATACAACGCCCTACTAATGAGCATACACATGTGGCATCTTGGCTGCCTCTGCATCGCGTATCATCTCCCCCCAAATATCAACCGGTCGAATGCCTCATGCTCAGCACCGGATTGTATGCCTCTCTCCATTTCTTGGAAACCATCTCCGCAAAGCCAACGCCCGCCTCCTTGATCTCCTTTGCCGGCTTCTGCAGGATTTCCAGCGTCTTGTTCGTGTACTCGTCCAGCTCCATGGGCGTCACCACTTTGTCCAATCGGTTCTCGGCGTCGAGGTCGGTGCGCACGTACGGCGGGGCGATTTCGATGACGTTGACGTTGGTTCCGTCAAGGCTCTCCCGGAGTCCCACCAGGAAGGCGTGCACGGCAGCTTTCGTGGGACAGTAGACGGGGAATGGACCCATCGGCACGAACCCGAGGCCAGAGGACGTGATCATGAAGGTAGCCTCGCCCCCCACGGACAACAGATGCGGGATGAAATGGCGGGCCAGGATGATGGGTGCCGTCAGGTTGGTGTTCGTCTCCTTGATGATCTTTTCGTCGGAGAAGTTGTCGAGAGACAGGAAGTTGCCCTGGTACTGGATGCCGGAATTGACCCAGACGGTATCAATGTCGGGATACCTGGAGAGGAGGGTCTTGACGTGTCCGGGGAGAGCGGCCAGATCACTGTTGTCCATGGCATAAGTTTCGAGGCCTGGAAGCTCCTTGGCCAGTTCCGCGAGGCGAGACTCACGACGTCCGGTGGCGATAACCTTCTTGCCCATGCCGTGAAAGGCTCGAGCGAAAGATTCACCTATTCCACCGGTGCCGCCAAAAATGAGGATGGTAGACATGGAAGAAGTCATGGTTGTGGTTGTTGTGTCGTGCTGGGACTTGTGACAGACTTTGAGGATAGAATGGAAGTTGGAATCATGACCTGTGAAGCCATATGATCGTGAGCTTTATATACTTGACAATACCCGTCTAGAGGTATTCCCTCTTATCAGTATGTATAGGGGCGCTATGCTGAATCCTCCCAAAGCGGCAATGGAAGGAGATATCGGATTGATCCACTTACCTGATCTGGAAGCAGTTCTGTCGCTATCCGGCGCCCGAGCCAATCAGGACACGAGCCTGACGTCTCGTCAAGGACCCGAGATCTTTATCACCGACTGCCTCCTTCTTCCTCGCATACGGCGGCAATGACGACGAGGACAACGACTGGGCCATCACTCGGTGCCGGGCTGTCCGTTGACGTTCGTCCGCATTCTGTCGTGTCCGGTTGTTTCGGTGATTGTCCACAGGCGTGTTATTCAGCCGCTGTCAAACACCGTGACTGTCCCGTGTCTCGGCCCATCAAACGCCCCAGATACTCTCGTACAGGTTTGATACCCAGCATGATCGGGACGCCTTGAGAGGCCGATGTCCAAATGCTCCAGCGGTCACAGAACCGGATTACTTCCCCTTCACTGGACCATATTGGCGGTGAATGCACCCTTTCTGCGTGTCCAGCACGAGTGACAGCCCCCCGGCAGCACTTCGCATTGCGCAGCAAACTGATTGTCAATATCCCTGGAGCTCGTGGACATTCGGGCCGACGTCAAACGCTTCTGAACCATCACCAACCATGTTTCGTTTGATATATGAGGGCTGCAGCCCAGTCAAGGCCCTATTGCTTCTCGGAAGCCTCAGATCCTCTACAAATCCGGCCCAGAAATTCATCGGCTCCTCCACGACTAACGCGACCATGTCTCTTGTACCAGAAGGGAACTCGACCCTCAGCATCACCCAAGCCGCCATCAATGTCTTTCTGGCGTCGCAGCAGGACAATGGTCTCATCAGCGGCCTGGGTTACTGGCAAGTCGCAAACGGCTACACTGCAATCGCGCTGCACGATCTCTGGTCTGGGACTCTTTCCTACAGCGGTGTCCTAGACGAGCTCATCGGCAAAGTTGAGGTGAACAACACAAACTGCATCAATGACATGAACGACGACTCGATGTGGTGGGCTATCTGTTCGCTGGAGGTCTTCGACCTTACCGCAGCACCAAGTCATCTCACGGTAGCAGAGGCCATCTGGCAACACGTCAACCACTTTGTGATCCCCGCGGGCAAGTATATCATCAACGGCACCGACATGGGCGGTGGGGTGATCTGGTCGAGCAAGCCCAACGAGACCCAGGTCAATGCCGTCACCACCGGTCTCTATGCGGAGCTGTCGGCGCGATTGGCGACGCAACAGGCGGACGAGACAGGCAGAGAAAAGTTCCTCGCTTCTGCCGTCAACAGTTTCTCCTGGATCCTGCGCAGCCGATTCGACCAGGACGGCTATGTCGTCCTGGACCACGTCGATCTGAACACGGGCGAGAGCTACAATTGGACATTTACGTACAACACCGGCCAAGCAATTGCCGCATCTGTGGCCATATATAACACCTTGAAAGCAAAGCACTTGGACTTGATTCAATCGGCAACGACGGACGCATACCTGGACCTGGCCTGTAATATGGCCAGCCACGCCATGAATCGAAGCAGTTGGGTTGACTCAAATGGAACACTGACAGAGCCCGGCGCCTACCCAGGCACCGGTCCAGACAAAAAGCCCGCATGGCAGAACGACGACGCCGTCGGCTTCAAAGCCATCTTGCTGCGGAGCCTGGCCAAGCTGTACAGGGTCCTTGTCCGTGACAACGCCCACCCGGAAATGCAAACGCAGTTGGTCCATTTTATCCAGACGCAGTTCCAGACTTTGCAGCTCAGGGATACAAACGGGAAGGGACAATATGGCCCCTGGTGGGATGGTCCCATGGATTTGCCCACAAGTCACTCTCAAATGGCAGCACTGGATGTGATGGCGGCAATCCATGCTGTGTGACGGAGAACGTCGGGGTGACGAGGTTTGGAATGCAAGCTTCAAACGTGACCGTGGAATGAGCTTTGACAATGGCATTCAAACACATGTATGCTCAATGCAGAGTACAACGTTACCGCCGGCCAGGAATGAACCGTTGGTTCGTCTTCCTTCGGAACAAAGCCCAAACTAGAACTCGTCGAACATCTTCCGCGGTAGCACGGCAGGAGTCAAAGCTCCGATGTCAGTCCAGATGAGAATAAAGCGAGCATCATCGGGCATTTCTCCGCTTGCCGTGTCTCCTCCGACTACATATCAGCCTACCAGAGCTGGTGTCAGGTTCTTGGATGGCTGGTTCGGATATGGAAGGGAATCCACGATGAGAGGGCTATTGGCGTGTCTCCTTGCTCGGCTTGCAATGAGCAGCGCCTAGGGTATACCGTGGATCCTCTGGAAGATGCACGATCAATTGCACCCATCTACCGTGCGGAATTATCATCTTGTCCGTAGCATTCAGCTCCCTGGGGCCTCCAGCTCACTAAAAGGTGGTTTGCTCGCTGGCGCTGGCGCTGGGGTACAAGCGTCCTATGCTCCTGGCCACCAACGAGTGGACATGTCACCGTGGCCCTGAGGGTATATGTGGTGGCACAGAGGACAGTTTCATGCAACGCCTGCGCGCTGTACAAGCGGCTTCTGGGTCACTTGCTGGATCAGAAGCATGAGCTTTGACACGTGGAAGAAGGTCAGGCCGTAGGGCTCGGTGAACTGGCTGCCACTTCAGAATGGACATCCTAGACTCACAGTGTGAGCTTGTCATGAAATCACATTAAGAGAGTACAACGAATACTCGACGTCGCTCAAGCACTATAGGCTCCCCGTGACGAGGGTCTATGCATCTCATCGATCAGGGTTCGTCTTCCTCCTCCTATCTGAAAGCGTGCCTTCGATTACAAATCCGAGAGGTCAACGTAGTGTTGCGACGGTGAGATGAGACAGATTGGTTGCACCGTGAAGTCAATGTCACGAATGCAGTAGTCGTGGATAGGCGTCGTTTGTCCATTCAAGGAAGCCGTAGGCAAGTAGTAATAATATGTAGTAGTTATCGAAGTCAATAGTGGGAGGAATCACTCCACAATCATCCGGTGCGGGGAGGTGACTGCGCCAAAGGAAATGTCCTGATAATGTACACTTTGACACATTCTCTTTTCCCCTTCCTCGCAGCCAGATCCAGCAACACATCCCTAGATCCCATTGCGAATCATGTCTGTCAACGGTGCAACGCCCAAGGCGAAATACCCAGCCAAAGCCCACTGTCGGCGCGTGGCCCAGTATCTGATCGATGCGGGCTTCTCACGGCATGGAGTCCTGTACCTCGAGGCTCAGAAAACCCACATGGTTGAAGACGACGACCAAGCCATGCACTTTCGCCAGCGTCGATACTTCTTCTACCTCTCCGGCTGCAAACTGCCCGACGCCTATCTGACCTACAACATTCCTCAAGACATCCTCACCCTCTTTATCCCCCCCATCGACCCGGACAGCGTGATTTGGAGTGGCTTGCCCGAATCCAAAGAGGAGGCCTTGGAGAAATACGACGTTGACGGCGTACTCTACTCAAACGAGGTCAATGCCGCATTAGCAGCCTACGGCCCTTCCAAGGCTGCCACCGTCTACGCCATCCCAGAGCAAGTCTCGGAACACATCACATTCCTGCCATTCAAGGCCGTTGAATTCTCATGCCTGAAGACGGCCATTGACGAGTGCCGCGTTGTCAAAGATAGCTACGAGGTTGCACTGATCCGCAAGGCCAATGAGATTTCTACACTGGGACACATTGAAGCGGCCAAGGCAGTGCTCACGGCGACCAACGAGCAAGAGCTCTACGGGGCGTTTGTCGGGACATGTATTTCGAACGGGGCACATGAGCTGGCATACCATTCCATCTGTGCCAGCGGCACCAGCTGCTCCACCTTACATTACGTCCGCAACGACCAACCCTTGCGGGACCGCTTGAACATTCTCCTCGACGCCGGCGCAGAGTATGACTGCTACTGCGCGGACATCACACGCACATTCCCTATCTCTGGTACTTTCACGCCGGAATCGCAGACGATATACAACATCGTGGACGAGATGCAATCGTCGTGCTTCAAGATGCTGCGCGCAAATGTCCGGTGGGAAGATGTGCATATGAACGCGCACCGAGTTGCGATTCGAGGACTCAAAAGTGCCGGCATCCTTGTCGGGAATGAGGAGGAGATCTTCAACAAGCGCATCAGCGTTGCGTTCATGCCACACGGCCTGGGCCACTATCTCGGCATGGACACGCACGATACGGGTGGCCACGCCAACTACGACGACCCGGACCAGATGTTCAAGTACCTCCGTGTACGGGGTCCTGTGCCCGCCGGCGCCGTCATCACCGTCGAACCGGGCATCTACTTTTGCAATTTCATCCTGGACCCCGTGCTGGAGGATCCGGAATTGAATCGGTACATTGACAAGAACGTGCTGGAGAAGTACTGGACGGTCGGGGGCGTGAGGATCGAGGATGACGTGCATATTCTGGACGACGGTTATGAGAATCTGACGAAAACGCCGAAGTTATAATGACCCCGAGAACCCTGGGTTCTCGTGTCGGGACCGGCCCTGGGCATGTTCTTATGAGATGAACCTTGACGAGCGCATGACTACAAATCCAGTGGTGATCACGACCTCGCGTTGAACCGGTGTTAGGGCTCTCTTCGAAAGAGCGGACACGCTGAGAGGAAAGAAGGTTATCGTGCTGCCTAATAGGTAGATCCTGCGGTTTGCGCAGACACGGATAAAGGAGAAGCCATCATTCACAGTTACATATGGCGCCACCCACCCCAGACTTGGTAGTTACAACACCTCATTCAAGCCCGCTTTTCCCTACCTACGTATAGCCGAACGGTCGACATAACGGGCCGAACCCTAGAGCAATCTTTGGGATTTGACGACCCTTCCAAGCCTCCCACACCGGGAATCAACCCCCATGATATTCCTATCCCCCACAAACCGTGCAGAGATATCCCCGCTCAATCCTTCCAGGTGATGACCTTTGACCTCACCCACTCCTCCAGGCCGGGGACGCCGTTGAAGCGGCCGAAGCCGCTCTTCTTAACGCCGCCGTGGGGCAGGGCGGGCTCGTCGTGGACGCTCATGCCGTTGATGTGGACGGCGCCGCTCTCGATCTGGCGGGCCAGGCGCAGGCCGCGGCGCAGGTCCTCGGTGAAGACGGCGCTGGCGAGGCCGTAGTCGGTGTCGTTGGCGAGCGCGAGGGCCTCGGCGTCGTCGCGCACCACGTACAGCGACACGGTCGGCCCGAACGACTCGGTGTGGTAGATGTCCATCGTGGGCGTGACGTTCTCGATCACCACGGGCCGCATGCGCGTCGCCGACGCCTCGGCGTGCCGCGGGTCGCCGTACACGGCCCGCGCGCCCTTGGCCAGCGCGTCCTCCAGCAGCTTCTTGTTCTTCAGCACCGGCGCCGACGTCACCAGCTGCGGCACGCCCATGCCGTCGGGCGCCTCGGCGAAGACGTGGTCCATCGTCTGCTTGAGCGCCTCGCGGAACTGGTCCGCCACCTTCTCGTGCACGATGATCCGCTCCGTCGACATGCAGATCTGGCCCGCGTGGAGGAACGCGCCCAGCGCACACTGCAGCGCCGCCGTCGAGATGTTGGCGTCGTCGCACACGATCGACGGCGCCTTGCCGCCCAGTTCCATGACCGTCGGCTTGAGGTACTTCCCGGCCTGGGAGGCGATGATGGCACCCACGCCAGTCGAGCCCGTGAAGTTGATCTTCTTGATGGCCGGGTGAGAAATCAGCGCCGAGGTCACTTTCGCCGCGTCGGCCGGCCGGTGGTAGATGGTGTTGAGGCAGCCCGCGGGCAGGCCTGCGGCGTGGAGGATGGAGGCGATGGCCCAGTACGTTGCTGGAGCAGCCTCAGGACCCTTGAGGATGACTGTGTTGCCCCTGTGCGAAGTTGCCTCGTGTCAGCCGATAAACCCCCAAACTTCGTCCCTCTTGCCAAAAAGTTCCTTCCTCCGAAAATGGAAAATAAAGGATGGCATGATCTCAGTCTCGTGCTGTCGGTCTCTAAAAACCAAAGAACTTACATGGCAAGAGGTTGCAAGCATGCACGGAGACCCAGGACATAGGGGGCATTCCACGGCGCAATCCCCAGAACGACACCATAGGGTTCCTTGACCAGCATGGCATTGGCGCCCTCTTCGGCGACCACGGGCATGGTGGAGGTCGAGGCGACCTGGATGAGGCCGGCAACGCTCTTGCAGGCCTCGTAGGCTAGGTTGTGCTCAAAGGCGAACATAGACTCGGCGGCGCCCGTCTCGCTGTAGCTGTAGTGCTTCAGCTCGTCTCTTCGATTCTTGAACTCGTCGGCCGCCCGGAGGAAGATGTCGCGCCGGAAGTTTGGCTTCGTCTTGGACCATGTGGTGAATGCCTTCTCGGCGGCCGCGATGGCCTTGTGGACATCCTCTTCGTCAGCCGAGGAGCATTTGTACAAGGTCTTCTGGTCGAGCGGAGAGACCACGTCGAAGGTCGAGGAGAGCTTGACCTCCTTCCCATCCAGCCACAACGGAATGGTCGATGAGGTGTTGAAGGCGGGAACTGGCGCGTGTGCGCCGTTGGCACCATTGCTGGCCATTATTGGATAGGGTTGCGAATTGAGATGGCTACGAATTGACGAGGTTGAGGTCCTTCGTGGTGACGCTTGGACGTCGCCAGCCAGAAAATCGGGGTCGGAATTTATAAACCAAAGCCCAGGACACACGCCGGCATTTGAACAAGGCATGTAGACCCATCGGATTGTGCACCTGTCCCTGTAGATCTGTATATTCGCAAATCAACGCGGATTGGTCCCGTGGGGAGTGGAAGCGGGGAAATGGGTCTGGTCATTCCCGAACAGTGGTGGAAGCTGCCACGCGGGGCGGCATCGTAACTGGGCAATAGGCGGCATCGAGGGGCATCGAGGGGCATCAAAGGACACCTAGCATGCCCCAAGGGGGCCACCCGGGCGGCCTGCCAAGCGGGTTAGGTAAACAAGGCAAGTGTTTTCGGCTCTTCTCAGGGTAATGAACCCCTAGACCACGCCTCAACAGAAGTTCCCGACATGATAATCAGACCGGCGAAGGCTACATCCGATGGATTTGTATACAGCGCCCACCTGAGTGCAGTTGCTTATAAACAATCACGGCGACAACGGAATTCGGGGACTTTTCATCAACTCGGCCGGCTCTCTGGATTCCTTCGCTGCGCCGTGCTGTCTCTTGCTTAGAAGCAGGGAGGCCGCATCCAGCTCGCTCGCTGGCACCCGCCAGGTCGGGACTTGTGTTTTCTGTATCTTGTGCTCCATAGCTCTTGACAGTAACCGTCCTCATATCCAGCATTCAGCCTTTGAATCTCTTCTCTCCCAGATTCCTCAGATATTGACGCCGCAATTGATTCCGAGGGGCTCGAGGTAGGAGAGTAAGAGCCGCGCCGCGCTCCGAGAAAGGCGTTTTCGCGGAGGAAAGCGTGTTCCGGCTACCGAGTTAGTGGCTGGAAGCTCGCCCTGCAAGCCTCTAGCCCTATCGTCAAGTGAGTAATGAAAGAAGCTCTTGCGCACATCGACTCAACATTTCAAGGGCATTTTTGCCGAGAAACAATAGCACACACTGTAGACGCTCGCGAACTCATGAGCCCTGCGTACTGAATTCGGGCGGTCTGCTCTTCGTCGTCTTTCTTCTTCAAACCTTGTGACTGCGGTTAGGAACCAAGAAAGTGAAATCGCGCAATCGCAAGAACGGTTTGGTTTGGGAGTCTTGGGCTCGACGATCTTTTCACAAGATGCGGCATTTTGAAGAGCCCAACTGCGTCGCGCGCACATGCCCTTGAGGTCGAAAAGGGAGCACAAATCCGAGAAATTTGGCCATCCCATCCCATTGGCTAGTCTGCTGCCTGTCGTAGATTCTGGCCCTGTTTTGGAAAATGATTGAGATATGCATGGCAGCCATCAGACCACTTCTGCATCATCGCATCAACAGTCATCGCCTTCGCTTATGCCCGTGACACGTGGATTCGACGGGTCTGCACCACTCGGCAAGCCTCTGGAAGAAAAATTTGGCACAGTCTGACGCACTCTCGAGATAACGACGAGGTAGCCGCCAGATCCAATGTGGCTGATATCGTCAATAAGGAGAGGGATATCACTGTGTGTGACAACAGAGTACATATCTTTACAATGACTAGTATCTCGGAGTAGACAAGTCAGAGTAACCATCATCAAACCCGCTTCCCGTCAGACTGTGGCCATTTATTTTAGACATCGGCTCGCCGGCTGGTGCGGTAGATGCTCCAGGTGCGCAACCGCGACTTTTTCAGTGGAAACGCTCACAGACAGAGGCGAAAGAAGTCCAAGGAGGTAAAGCAAGCGGCAGCTAAGTATTGATAGGATTTGCGAAGATTCGAACGCGTCGAGTAGGCTGATCGATTGACGGCACGCATTCTGGACTTCGCAGCTCGCCGATGGTTCGAGGATCGAATATCAAAGACATCAGGGCGAGATGGTCGGTAGGGCCAATTTCTAGCTTATCGAGCGTCGACAATCCATCACCTCATGCTCAGGTGAGGCCAAATGCTGGGATCAATGGGCCTGGAGATAGATGGCTCGATGGTTGAGTGTGACGACTGGGCGCGCAAACATTCGCCCGTACCCCGCAACTCATCATGCCACTTTGTAACGTAAACAAAGAACCCAAAACAGGCTTCCATGATGGCATTGCGGCGGAGAAACGGGTTTGTCTGGAGCTTCGATTGGGCCGAGCAGCCTAGTGCCCGTATTCGAAAGGCACCAGGAGGATAGCGAGGGGGTGGCAAGCTGAGCTGAGCAAATAGATGAGATGTGCGTGAAGCTGGATGAGCTCGTTGGGGGGGAGCGCAGGGAACAGGGGCCTTTGCCCGCGCTTCAATGCCCATGGGCAAAGAAAGCAAAGGAGCCTGGCAGCCCTTTTCCCCGCATTGCCTGCGCTCTGCCTCCGGGGCCTCGTTTTCGTGTCTCCCTCGTCCGACTTCCCTTTGGTCCTTATCCTGCGTATTCCTTCGGTCCCTCGAATCGAAATGCGTCTTGGAGACATGGATCTCACATCTCGGCGAGCTTAACTTTGGGATCCGAACACAAAAACAGATCCGGAAAAGCTTGCAGCGGGCAGCGTGCAGCGTGCACCATGCAGCGTGCGGCTGGCGCAGTCACCTTAGCAGTGGTCCAGATCTGCGCTCCATCTGGCCTCCAGCTTCCAGCACAGCTTCCCTAGCACCGTATCCACCCGCTGCCGCCCATCTCCCAGACTGCCACTGATCTGGCTGCTATCGATCCTCCACTGTAATCCGTACCGCCAAACCCCTCAGTCTTCGGTCACTTTTGCTCCATCATGCTGCAGCCTTCACCCTGGTTTCGGTGGTTCCCCTTCAGACTCATTGCCCACGTTGGCCCATCCGGCCAAGGGTGCCTCCCTGCGCCTTGTTGATGAGAAAATCCGTTCGTCCACATGCTCGTCCCGCCCGGCCAAATGCTATCTTTTTGGTCAACCTGATGATCCGCTTACAGAAAGTCTCCTTACACCCGTCATGAGATGTAACATCTTCAACGCTCCAGACCTCCAACCCAACCTACTGATTGGCCGCCGAAGCTCAGCGGCCCACAGGATACACGTCTCGAGCAATGACGGACACACGCGCACTCCCTTGATCAGACTCTGAGGGGTTTCCGCTCATCCTGAGGTGAGTTTTTCTGGTCCATTGACAAGAGGGGTCGTGAGCTCTTCTGACATCTACATAAGGTCGACCTGGTTCCGGTGACAGACTGTCGAACATCATCCTCACCACCACCAACTTTCACCCAGACCTCAAAGGGCACGTCTTCCTCTATACCCATTTCCAACTTCTCAAAAAGTGTTTTACCGTTTCATCTCCATCTTACAGACAGAATGACTTCCTACAAGATCCCCACCGAGCAATGGGCTCAGGTTATCGACAAGGTCGGCGGCCCTGTGCAATACAAGAAGATCCCCGTCCCCAAGCCAGGACCAGAGGATGTGCTCGTCAACATCAAATACTCCGGTGTCTGCCATACCGATCTCCACGCCGTCAACGGTGACTGGCCCCTCCCAACCAAGCTACCTCTCGTTGGTGGCCACGAGGGCGCCGGTATCGTCGTGGCCCGTGGTGAACTCGTCACCGATGACATCTGCAAAATTGGCGAGGCCGTCGGTGTCAAGTGGTTGAACGACTCCTGCTTGAACTGCACATTCTGCCAGCAATCAGACGAGCCCCTGTGCCTCACCCCCAAGCTCTCCGGCTATACCGTCGATGGCTCCTTCCAACAGTACTGCGTTGCATCCGCACGGCACGTTGCGCACATCCCTGACGGTGTTCCTCTCGACGAGGTTTCCCCAGTCCTCTGCGCAGGCATTACAGTTTACAAGGGTCTCAAAGAGTCGGGAGCAAGACCAGGACAGACAGTTGCGATCGTCGGTGCTGGTGGTGGCTTGGGCTCTTTGGCCCAGCAATACGCACGGGCTATGGGTATCCATACCATTGCCATTGACACTGGAGATGACAAGAAAGCACTTTGCGAGAAGATGGGTTCCAGCGTGAGTTTTGGAAGGATTCTTTATTTTTCGATATGATGACTGATATAATGCGACCAGACCTTTATCGATTTCGCCAAATCCAGCGACGTTGTCAAGGACGTCAAGGCCGCAACAAAGGATGGCCTCGGCCCTCATGCCGTCATTCTTGTCGCAGTGACCGAGAAGCCCTTCCAACAAGCTGCGGAATACGTCCGCCCCCGTGGAACCGTCATTGTGATTGGTCTTCCCGCCAAGGCATACATCCGCGCCCCAGTCTTCGAGTCAGTGGTGAAGATGATCAGAATCCAGGCCTCATACGTCGGAAACCGACAAGACAGCGAGGAGGCCCTCGACTTCTTCGCCCGCGGGTTGATCAAGGTGCCCTTCAAGACGGTGGATCTGAAAGATCTTCCCAAGGTCTACGAGATGATGCATGCCGGCCAGATCGCTGGACGATATGTGCTCAAGATGCCTGACCCAGAATAGATGACGGGTGTGATGGGGCATGTGGCGGGCCAGACGCTGAATCCGTGGCTGGTTTTGTAAGAAGATTAGTGAAAAGGTAGCTTCAGGCAAAAATGATTACAAGCCGAGAGATACTGCTCTGTTTACGACGGGCATTGGCGCTCGGGGCAATGGATCTCCGCCTCGGATGTGTCTCATCCCGCCATCCATATTGGCGATACTCTCCCATCGAAGTGGATCAATCGCCAACTTCGTTCTCCTGTCCTTCAGTTGTTGGTACTTGATTTCTCCCTCTGTCCGTGGGTGCGGGCCAGCTTTGTGCCGCCGATATTTGTCAAGCCAGCCTTTTGTTCACATATTCACCTTGTTTGTTCATCATCTCTTTTCAGCGTCAAGTATATCATGACGTCCTCGCCACCCTGTCCGTGCTGGTGCAGAGAGCGTCGATAGCCTTACATCTCTAGCGTGGCGGACGGCAAATTTTGGAACGTTTAAAATGAGTCAGCAGGGTTGCGATCTGCACGCAATAGGCGTGGGCTTGACGGGATCACCGCAGGAGCTTTTTCAGCCACCGATCTCGAATTTGACTAGAGTAGTCAGCAAATCGGGGTTCCTAGTCAGGGCAACGACTTCGAAGCCCGACGTCGTACCGCCCAACGGTTTCGGAGAATCGATGCTGTGAGCTTGGTTCAACCAGTAAATAGTGTGCGCCAAGGAGGAGGATCACCACTTGAAATGCGAAATGGAGAGTAGAGAGTAAATGCACTGGCTCAAGGTGATGCCTGCTGGTATTCCTGCGAGCCCATTCAGGAACCGGCTGTCGTTGTACGAGCTCGCTGCCCTGGGACGATGGATGTCCTGTGCAAGGCGCGGGCAAGGCAGGGTAGCCAGCGATACGGACGCCACCTGCGCTAAAGAGATCGCAGCCTCATGCCGCCATCGCACCTTGCCCGAATAGGAAGTACCCATTTCCCAATCAGGCTATCCAAACAAGGCTCCTGGCTTGCTCGCGTGCAAGAATCCACAGCCACTGGTGTTCCCGCTCAATATCTGGTATAATAGGAACTATTACGGCCGCCGGACGTGGTCCACGCTATTCGCTGCGTCCCACAGCACAAGCTTCCCAAACTCCCCCCTTTCGCTATACTATGCCTCACCGATCACGAGGCTCCGCTTCACTCAACGCCTCGACTATACCAAATCTTCTAGGCTTCCACACTCGGTCTCTCCTTCATTCGGCGACCATGCATCCATTTGTGCTAATTGAGATTGGGACGACAGTCCCTGGGGCAGCTCTGTTGCGCCCGTTATTCTCCCGGTCTAAAAGCCGTTGGCGCGACGTTGACACCCTTTTATAAGCCGGTATCCTCCACCACGCCAGAGCCTTCATCTATAGCTAAACCCACCCACCTCCTGATACGACACTCTCTGCGGACGGAAGACGGAGGCATCGCCATTAGACTCTCCAGTCCGCACTCCGCGGTGTTGAGGCGAACATGAAGGCGCCCAAGTTTATGTTCATCAACAAAACTGCCGACTCCGACTCCCTCTCCCACAGCCACAAGAGCGAAAGAATAAAGATCCATAGCCATGTCCAGAAGGGGCGACGGTACAAGAAATCCGAGGGAGGCATCATCTACGCTACACGGCTACCGCATCTTCGGCCTGAACGGCAAGGCGGGCAAGGGGATGACTGTCCAGACGAACCTAGCGATGACAAACGAGGTACCGCCGAGTCATCGACGCGGGATGCACCGGGCCTTGAACATTATCCATCAGGATGCTCGGTACGCCGCCACGGCGGCCAATTGCTCCAGCCGCTAGACCCAAATATCGACCCGTTGCTCTGGGATTATTCACAGGCGCACCTCACGCCGTCAGGGTCGCCTCAGTCAATACCAGTATTCCCTGCGGCCTCGGCCGAGGAAAGCTTCGATCCCTTCGAGGTGACCTGCGTCAAGGTCGACGGGGCCATCTACAGCCTGCTGCACTATTTCCTGCGGGTGTGGCACCCCAACGTGTGGCATCTCGAGAGAAGTGGCCGGGCGGATCACGAATATGCATTTCGGGACGACGCAATGAGTCTGATCCAGGGGTGCCTTCACGACAAGTACAACATGTACGCCCTCCTTGCCTACATGGCGAGCTACATGCACGATATCGACGGAATTACGCCTCCTGGGGACGGCAACGTCTACATGCACCAGGCACTCCAGGCTTCCCAGAACTATGTCAAGAGCCGGCTACCGATCACGGGCAGGCTGATCTTCAACATCTTCGCTCTTGGCTGCGCGGAGTGGTACAGGTACAATCGCCAGGCCGGTTACGTGCACCTCAAGGCGGCCAAGTCTATTATTGACTCGATCGGGGGTTTAAAATCCCAGGACGGCCCGCTCGTGGATCTTTTGTTGACAGGCGATGCATACGTGGCTGGGGAACTGCAGAGGAAACCCTTGTGGTCTGATGCGGATTTCGACAACGGCGACGACCACCCCATGACGGCGTACGGTCTTCAGGAGCTGCAGAAGCTTCTCTCGGGCACGATCGCCCTAGGATCAGGTCTCCTCAGCTCTGCGCAGCAAACGATTATCCCTGCGGCCTTGCGGTGGATCATCTTGGATCTCGCAGTGGTGCTTTCTGTCTTCAAGTCGTCGCAATCCTTGGGGCCTGCGGCCGAAGATAAACCCTCCGCTGCTGAAGGGTTCCATTGGGTCAACGTGCGCAGCATCGCCATCAGACACCGTCTCCTGCATCTGGAACTGGGTGATCTGAGAAGCGAAGCCGTCCGCATGGCGATCGTGTTGTGGATGTTCATGTGTTTTACCGTCACAGGGCGAAAGCGGACCAACAAAGTCATGGCGCCCTTCTTGCGAGATCGGCTCTGCTCGATCCCAGGCAAAGAATGGGACGGTCACGAAGAGGTTCTTCTGTGGGCTCTGAGCATCGGCGCTCTGTCCGCCCAGGTCGGCTCCGAAGCGCACACTTGGTTTGTGGCCCAGATCAGTTCTGTGCCTTGTGGTAGCGGAGCTGGCGATGCGGACCAGATCTTTTCCGCTCTCATCGGCCTCTCGGAGAAGTTCTTTTATCTGGAGTCGGCACAGAGGAACGATTTCAGGGCTTTGGCTGATGATATACACGACTTGCAAACAACGATGGGAGAGTCGAACTCCGATTCCACGTCTCAGGGCGTCTGAGCGTTGAGTGATCCCCGTGGTTGTGGCAGATGCCGCCAGAGAAGACAGAACAGCACCGTTGTACAGACTTCCCTCTTGATAATGGCAGATATCTTGCCTGGCCAGTCGGGGCACCACTTCGTCCGCACAGCCGCAGGACCGCCGAAGACCTTTGAGCTTCCCCCATTACCGAGTATCGTGCCCCTTCATCCAGTTGCTGATTCATCACATCTTCACCACAAGAGCCCCCAAGCACCACAGAGGACCCCAGGCATCTCGCAGCTCTCCACTCACGACAGCGCAGAAACTCTCTTGACGTATGTGAAGTGACCGAAGTGGAAGTTGCGCTCCATCAGTAGAAAATGCTCTCCAACTCTTCAACCCTCCAAACGGTCGCCCCATATTTGTCCCCAATAGCTCGCGGATCAGTGGTCCAAATGTCTTGACGTCAACCAGTCACCGTGAGAACCGACTCATGAGGGTTGTTTGTCGCAGCGTGGTCTGGTTTGTGAGGAACGCACATTGCCCGTCGCTGGGTGATCGCTAGCTCCGCGAATCGAACTTTGTTGCTTAAGTCCGCAACTGCCGATGGATGTCGCCCATGCTGAGGGGGGAAGATAGCGAGGAGATACGAAGGGAGGGATTCCGTGCTCGAGAGGGGTGGGCTATTGGATGGTCAGGGCGAGTGATGGAATAGAAATATACCCCCCCTCCCGGAAGGAATGTTCCTCCTGCTGCGAGCACGAAACTCCTTCGTCCAAACCGCTCCACGTGGCAGTTGGGATTCCTCCCCGCGACCGAAGGCCTTCTCTCACATCGTGTACGATCCGTATATAACTCGGAACAACACCAGAAATTGAACTTGGAGATACACTGTCCTGTCGCTACAAGTCTGTTCTCCTCTACCACACCGGGGTCTACATATCTGGCCCTAACGCTATAGGAGGCGCTACTATTATTCTATTCTATATCTCCTTAGCCTACAACGACGCTGCCATGGCCACCCTGAAATACGCTAACAAGCTCGCCAACACGGCCGTGCTGATCATCGGAGGCACCTCCGGGCTCGGGTTCGGCCTGGCAGAGGCCCTGCTGGAACACCACGTCGCCCACTTGTACATCTCGTCGTCGCGGCAGCAGAAGATCGATTCGGCCGTGTCGCGCCTCCGGTCCGCGTACCCGGACTCCCAAACCACAATCACCGGCCTGGCGTGCAATCTCGGTGACGAGGCCCGCCTCGAAGCCAACATCAAGGCCCTGTTCGCGCAAATCGGCCGCAACCACCTCGACCACGTCGTCTTCACGGCCGGCGACCCGCTCGCGGCCAAACCCTTCGCCGAGGTCGACTTCGCCTTCATGAAGCAGGCCGGCATGGTTCGCTTCTTCGCCCCCTTCTTCGTCGCCAAGGAGGCCGTTCCCTACCTCACCCCAGGCCCCGCGAGCTCCATCACCCTGACCACGGGGTCGGTCTCGGAGAAGCCGCGGCCCAACTGGGCCGTTGTTGCCTCGTATGCCAGTGGCTTGTATGGTATGACCCGCTCCCTCGCCCTCGAGCTGAAGCCTGTGCGCGTCAACTTGATCTCGCCTGGGGCTGTGGACACAGAGCTCTGGGAAGCCAGTCTGGGCGACAAGGACAGGGTCAAGGCCGCGCTGGAGGGGATGAAAGCCCACGTAGCCACGGGGGAGGTGGGCAAGGTCGAGGACGTAGTGGAGGCGTTTCTGTACGTGCTGAAGGATAAGAACGTCACCGGTACGTGTATCCGGAGTGATGGAGGTGTCTTCCTGATGTGAAGGGGTATCTCGGTTGTGTCGATATGCGGAGAAGGTCCCGGTAAATACTCTTTGAAAAAGAAGAATAGATCGGAATAGGAGGTTGCCTACCGTAAGAAATACAGAATTGATGACGAATAGGGATCACACACCCAGACGAATGTTACCCTCCCTAGCATGGCTGTACGGATGTCCTTAAAGAGTCTTAGTTCACAGCTAAAAGCTGTGCGATAGATTGACCCGCCTCTTCTTTTCGTTTCATCCTGCAAAGAGGTGAAATGTTGGAGATGAGGCTGGAAAAGGGGTGATAGCCTGATGGGGGGAGGACTTACCACGCAGATCTGTCGGCTGGTGACAGCTAGGGCGTCCGTTGAGCAGCTCTTCTTTGCTTCCGGGGTTCCACGGTTTGTTCTCTCGAAGCTTCGCTGATCTGTCAGGTGGGCGCCGGAGCATCAAAGTATTTGTGAACTCTCTTCCTCGCCAGGAGGTGAATGACTCCCATATTCAAAGCCCGTTCATCTACCTCTTCTTCGCACATCTCCCAAAAATCCCAGCCTAGCATCCCAGGACACCGTCTCCGAATCTCTCACTCTTCTAGCTCACTCGCCTCTCAGAGATGTCGTCTCAAGCCTTTTCCTGGTTGCGAAAGCTGGGGGAGGCATCCGCATTTGCCATCCCAGTCATCATCCACCACCACTTCTTCATCCGCTATCAACGGGCGGAGCCGAAGCTTGACCTACCATGGATCAACGACGGCATGGCCGGACTCAAGAGCGACACAACCGGACCCAAGGACGATATCACCAGACTCAAGAAAGACGTCGCTGAACTCAAGGTTGATCTTGCTGGACTCAACTTCAGAACCGGTTGTTTGGAGTGCGAAATGATATTGCTTGCTCGACAGCCTGACAGCCTCCTCTGTGCAATGGACTCACCCCATGCGGACCAGTGTCACCAAGGCTCAAGCGGGGCTGAGTAGGATATGACGGGCCAAAGCAGTTGGTTGTGAGAGGACAGATCTCGTCGTTGCAGAGTGTGGTTGGGTGAATTCGAACAAGAGGACGGACACGGTGGTTGATAGTGTGGATTTGAGGCATTTTCGCGTCTCAAAGCAAGCAGATTAGGCGGCTGAGAGCCTTTTGCAGTGGAACTCTTCTCTTCAAAGCCAAATGCCCTTGTCCTCTGGTACATATGAAGGAGGAATTGGATGCAGGATCTAAGACTCCACGTTGGCGCTGGGTGCCAAGCACCGACCCATCCCGCAAATGTTCGGTTTCGTCTGGCAGCCACATTTAACTAGAGAATCAAGCCCGAGGGGCCGTAGGGAGACCCCCACGAACCAAGGGTTCAGGCTGCACTAGCCTGGGGAAGCCCCCCAAACCGCCTAGAAACCCCAAGGCACGAAAAGTTATCCCTAAATCAGGCAGGTAACAGGTTGCCTAACAGGCCCAGCGTCTCCCTCGGTCGGCCATTATAAATGGAACGGCGTCTCTGCCCAAGTGTCTCCCACGTTACCTCGAGATAACGCAGCTAAACAACTAGCCACAGGGTGCATTTTCATCAAGTGCCAATCTCATTCTTTAAATCACCATGAATCCCGCCATGTTGTTCATCAGCACTCTCATTACCGCGGCCATCTCAATCCCCACCGCCCTCTTCTTCACCGGCAGGTTTGGCAATTTGGCGAACCCCGGCGCGCCAATCGCCTACACCTGAACCTCCTCTTGCAGCTCGGGGCTTCTCCTAGCCATATCAAAAACACCCCGCCCCCTTCACGACTATCGATATCGATTTCTGCCGCCATGACTGAACAGCAAGCAGGCCCCCCTTCTGTGCTCGCCACCCACACCATCGATCCTAGCCAACAAGAAATCTCGCACCCGCCAAAGTCATACACGTATTACCATGCCGGCCCGTTGTTCACCATCGCCGAACTCCACACAAACGCCCTTCTCGCCCAAGCGGTGCAAAAGTGCTCCGCGGGAAAATTCATCCCCGTCTTGCCCCAGGATCTGGAACAGCGGGACCTGAGCCCTCATTCCATCCGGGACGAGGACCTTCGCGCCCTGCTCTCCTGCGACATGGCCATGTTCACCTACGACGGAACCGAGCTCGACGCCGGCACGGTCGTCGAGTACATGGTCGCCAAGATGGCCGACATCCCCGCCGTCGTGCTGCGGACGGACTTCCGAGGGGCGGGCGACCAGGCAGAGACGGGCGACGCGTGGAATCTGATGACCTCCAATTGGCCGAGGACGGCGGGTGTGAGTGTGCATGCGATGGTGGGTTACAAGACCAGTCTCCAGAGGGCACAGGCCGGGGTGGAAGGGACTCTGGGGAGGACGGTCGGTGAGTACATGATCGAGGATGTCGCCCAGAAGGTCGTGGATGCTTTTGAGAAGGTGTTGAAGGAGCCCCCGAGAATGCCGAAGGAGTTGAGAGAAAGTGTGTATCAGTGGTTGGCCTTGATGCCCGGCTTCAAGAACGGAGGCGATCAGCATAATGCGGAGGTGCTCGCGAAGCTGTGCAAAGAGAAGCAATCTAGAGGCTTGCTATGAAGTACCAAACTAGAATACTAATAGACCAGTCATTGCGAGGTCCACGATGAAGTGGAAAGAATTTTTTGAGCAGTCTCCGGCAATCCTTCACTAAGTGACGCCGTGGTCTTATGTACTTACTGTCCCAAACGAGCCGTGCATATGGCAAGATAGCTAGACAGAAGTCCCGAAGCCTTGCGCACAGGGGACGCAGGGGAAAAAGGAGAGCAGTCGAGAAAATATCGTATCTGGTCATTCCTCAACATCTCTCTTTGTAGAGCAAGCTTGTCATTGCGAATCATCAAGGGAATCTCTAGCGAGAGAGTCGAAAAATCACCCACACAGTGCGACTGGTGCGGTTGAAGTGCAAGGCTGGCATATGGTTGATGACACCAAATCTCCCTTCTGTTCCCTTGAACAGATATGTAACTCAACTGCACGAGCTCTCTGACCCACGGACGCCTCACCTTATCCATTCCAGCGGTATATCTGAACCAGGCTCTGGGCTGCCATTCTCCTGAATGCGCCACAGCGGCGAGCTCTTGCTCCAACGACGCATGGCCCAAGCGATCACTACGAAGGAGGTGAAAAAACCCAGCGCTGCAGCCGTGCCCCAATACACCGTCACGTTGTACGCCTTGCGGTAGAAGATGGCGTTCTGAAAGTCCATGTAGCCTCCAAATGCAGAGCTGCCAAACGTGCTCGACTTGCATAGACACCCATTCAACAACCCCAGGACTTGAAACAGCGTGATGAGGAACAATAACAACACCGCGAGGAAGTTGGGCAAGAGCATCAACTTTTGCAGCCAACGCCATGGCTCTTGAATGGCCAGCAGCACAAGCCACGACAGAGAACTTATGATATACCAGATCGAGTAAAGCCCGGATCGACAACCCAGTCCTCTCGTCGGCGTGTTGAACGACACCATAAATGCCATGCCAAAGCTAACTAAGACGCAGATCAGCGCTTGTCACATAAGTCAAGGAAGAACACGCAAGACGAAGGTGTCGAAGCATGAAAGTTGACTTGGGAGAAACTGATGACTGTGCCCGACTGAGGAATGCTGGGGGAAGAGGAAGCACTTACTGCCAACGATCATCTCACTGAATGCCCATATGATAAACCACGAATACGGCCGTCTCGTCAGTTGTTTTTCGAAACTAGCCAGGTCATCAAGATTGAGCAGATTTGGGTCCCCTCTCGTGCGTTCGTACTGCAAAAGTGCAGCATTGGCAACGCCGCAATACCTCAGGTAGCGTCCTTGGCCGACAAAATGCCCGATATTATATGGTTGTCGCACTCCAGGTCGTTCGCGTTCGAGAGTTTTACTCCACAGCAGCTTGCCGATATCTAATTCTTGCTGTGCTTCCTCGCCCTGTCCCGGTAATTGTGGAGGCTGCGTAGGTGCATGAGCGGCGGTTCTGACAGACTGTTTCTGCCTTTGTACGTCGACGACCTTGTCGACATTGTACAGCCATCGTTCGATGAGCTCCTGACAACGACTGGAGTTTGTGGGGTTCCGATCGACAATTGCCATCACCACTAAAGAGGGAATCCAGGACAGTAGGAGTCCGAGCGCGAGCGAATGTGCAGTGGTGTTATCACCGAGATCTGCGAAAGCGACGGCGACCGAAATAATCAAGGAGACTCCGAACCATAGGATGTTGAGCGCCAGAGGCCACACGCCTTTCCTACGGTTGAGGCGCAGGTGGAACGCAAGAGTGGCATTCAGCTCTGCGAGACGAGCTTGCAGCTCCTGTTCGTCCGGATGCAGTTCGTGTGCAGACATTTTGAGCTGACAGAAAACGCCTTGTAACAGGGCTTTGTTCCGATTTGTCACGGTGGAAATGGGTTCTTCCTCCGAGTCACTGGAGCCCTCCTCGCTTTCTGATCGTTTCACCCACATTGTCAATTTCCCCAGCTTTGGAAGAATTCGCTCTCGTAGGCTCTCGTTGTGCAGGGGATCGATGGGCTGTGCGGTCTGCAACTCGCCGGGGTATTGATACTGATTGATACAGCTCAAGATATACATGGCATCATCCATTCGGGCACCCAGGGGTGATGCTCTGGCTAGCTCATTGCATTTCTTGATCATGTATATGTTGAAGATGGTTGTGGTCAGGCTCGCAGCCGGAGCGCCAATCCAGTTCAGAAATGCCTCGAGATTCCTTCTCTTGCGGATGTTGAGTGACTCCCAAGGCAACTGGGCAATCAAGCTAACACTGGGCAAAATCCATGTCGTCAGAATCTGGAAGATAGTGAATGCATCCCACAAATCTGGACCCGAGCCACAAGCAGCCGCGCAGCCATCGACAGTGAGGGCTAGCGACTCGTTTTGATATACTGGATTGATGCCTCGGAGGGGACCGTGATAAATAATGTCAAAGCCATAGGTGCTATGGGCAAAGATACATGGTCAGCTCAGAATTCTCCAAGTACCCAGGTACGAGAAGACAGAAGAGTTACCTTTCAATAGCTCCGTTTTTTAAAGCCTGACGGACCTGAGCTTCACACTGGTCAAAATTTGCCGCATATGCTTTTGTTGCAAGGCTGACGGCCAGCGATAGTGTAAGCAAGGTTCCTTTCGACGAAGAACAGTGGAAGTGGAAAGCCATAGCGAAAAAGCATCAGACAAGAGTCCGGGGGTCGCAATATGAGGCTAGATCGCAGAGTCAAGAGGCAACCGGAGTATTTATGTCCAAAGAAACCTACGATTAAAGAATTGGTAGGGGATTGTGGCTGCACAGTGCTCATTCCTGTTCAGACATCGCTTGCAAGGGTAGAACCATAATTTCAAGCCGCAAGCAGGGCAAACGACGCATCATCAAGTCCGGAGCTGTGAATCAGATGGATGACCCGGGTTCTGATCGAATGGTGCGGTCGAGAACAGCCAGGCTGTGCCTTTCTGGATGCCCTAGCGGACAATTTGACTAGGCAGGCGTGGAGAATGCATGTTGCCAAGCTGCTCTGAGTTGGAGGGACTGTTGATATTTCGAGGGCAAACCGCAGGAAACATGTAACAAACAGGGAGCAGGGCTGATTTGGGCCACGGAAGCAGCACCAATTGATCAGTCAAGGGGCGACCATCCAGGAACAGTGCATTGCAGTGATTCCTCGAGCCTCTTTAAGCCTCTTCAAGCCTTTTCGTCGAAGCGCTGCCATGCCACCACAATAACGACGGCACCAGGTTCGCTCCGCACCAATAGGAATGGTAAATCAGTGGACCGATTGTCCAGACCAGTCCTTTTGTCAAAGCCAAGCACTTTGAGCCTCGCAACATTCGCCTGAAAGGGATCGTTTCCACATTGATCCCCTTTTGTTTGGTGGGAGTGAACGGGCTTAGCTGGAACTGGTGGCACACCAATGCATAGCTTGTCGTGGCTGTCATACCAGAGTCGGTCAATTGCAGCGGCATCATGCAACCAACTGAGAGCACAGTTGGTTGAAATGGCTATTTCTGGACGATGAAAAGGGGAAAGAGGCTCTCCCAAGGCTGCAAGGGCCATGGTGGATGCCACCCCCTGCCAAGCTGCCAAAATGCCAAGCTGCCAAGCTGCCAAGTACCAGCCGTGCCTGGTCATCACGTGGTCGCTGGGGGAGAGCGTCACGCACGTGACTGCGCCATCGCCATGAGGCTGGCCAGCCTTGTCCAGACTATTTCGTTCTTCGGCTGAGGTGAAGTTGCCTACGCATGAAGAAGTGCTTGCGACAGAACGATGTTGAACTGACCGTGTGCTCAGTATACACAGAGGCGCCCAGGCCCGAGGTTAAAGTATAAGTCAGGTGCTCCTAGGTCGAGCGGTCAGATGGTCTGCGCATTTGACGACCTGCATCCCAAAAAGAGCTCAAGCGAATTCGCTTATCAGTTTCAAAGACACCAGAACTTCGAACGAGCCATGTAACTAGGCCTATCTATTAGCCATTATATTTGAGGCACTCAATTGTGTTCGAAATGCTATACAACACTGTTTTGGCGCATGCCATCGTCACCGTCCTCTACTTGCAAACCCTGGCCCTTGCTGCTGAAAACTCACAGACCCTACTGAACGCAGATTCAATTCCTCCGCAACCAAGACAGCGACCACACCGAGTAGCCATCATCGGTGCAGGCGCAGGTGGCTCCTCTACATCCTACTACCTCCAAAGGTTCTCCCAGCAGCACTCCTTGCCTTGTGAAAGCACACCAATACATATCACTGTTTTCGACTCCAACCCCTACGTCGGTGGCCGGACCACCACGGTCAATGCCCTCGATGACTCACGCTACCCGGTTGAACTCGGCGCAAGCATCTTCGTCAAGATAAATCATATTCTATACAATGCCACCCGAGATTTTGGATTGACTGCTTCCGTCAAGATATACCAATCTGCACCCGATTCAAAGTATGAGTTGGGCATTTGGGATGGGAACGACTTCGTCTTCAAAGCCGAGAGAGAGGACGATGAGGACAGAAGTTCGTGGAGAGGATGGTGGGACATTGCCAAACTTCTCTGGAAATACGGATTGGCTCCCATACGGACGCGGCAGGCCACGAAAAAAGCCGTCGGTGAATTCTTGAAGTTTTACGAGGAACCAATATTTCCTTTCAGCTCGATCGGAGAGGCCGTGGATGCCACAGGCCTGCATGCATACACTGGCCTCACAGGGAAGGATGTTCTGCAAGAGGCGAGAGTGGGCGATCTGTTTTCTCGTGAAATCATCCAAGCAAGCACCCGCGTGAACTACGCGAGCAATCTAGGCGGGATACATGGATTGGAAACATTGGTGTGCATGGCTATCGAGGGAGCCATGGCCATCGAGGACGGCAATTGGCACATCTTTGATGAGATGGTGAGGAGTACCGCCGACGAGTTATTCTTGAATGCGACGGTCACCGATGTCGTCAAAGACGACAAGAAAGGGACATTCCAACTCAAGACCGCAAATGAAGATATCAATAGACGGCTTACAATGGAATACAGCGCTGAGTACGATACGGTCATCCTCGCAGCTCCCTATCAATTCGCCAATATCACCTTTTCACCACCCCTCATTACCGTGCCGCAGAAGATCCCCTACGTTTCGCTCTACGTGACGCTGTTTACCTCTCCACACCGTCTTTCTCCGGCGTTCTTTGGACTCGACTCGCAAGCAGACGTCCCTTTGTCCGTCCTCACAACTCTATCTCTGGACCTGTCGGACGAACTGGGCCCTCGACGGGGCGTCGATGCCGTTGGCCCACCGGGATTCTGGTCGATAAGCACACTCCGGGTCTTGCATCCAAAAACAGACGGTGTCTTCTGCGGACCCACCTCAAACTGCACGGAGCTACCTGCTGGAGCTGGAGCAGATGGGAGCGAAGAAGATACACAGTATCTATACAAAATCTTCTCCCCAGCGCCTTTGACGGGGACTTTTCTTTCATCTTTGCTTGGCTTCCAATACTCGCCGGAGCCTGAAAGTAAACACGATGATCCACTCTCTCGGCTCCCGAAATCCGAGATTACGTGGCTTCACGAGAAACACTGGCACAGCTACCCTTACGAACTGCCCCGGACCACATTCGAGAACTTCACGTTGTGCTCCACGGAATCGTGCTCCTCGCACGGCATCTCGGATGGGGCCTACTACCTCTCGGGCATGGAGTCGTTCATCTCGACAATGGAAACTTCCGCTCTGGCGGGTATGAACGTCGCCCGCCTTGTGGTGCGGGATCTACATGACGAGCAAGAATTGAAAGAGTTGCAATCGGACATGGAACTGTAGCAGAAGCCTCGACCGCCGATGGAGGACATGGCAAGAAAGGTGTATCACCGCCCCCACATCTGGAAGAAGCACGCGAAGCCCATGGCGTTGATCAGAGGAGAATCGATAGGCACAGCTCCAGTCTATGGACTTGGTCATGATGCCTATGAATTTCACAGACCTAATTGGCACATGCCAGAAGGACAATCAAGAGTTCTATTCATGGGAAAACAACACTTCCAAAACCACCACGTAAACGAGCGGTACCACAGCTACAACTCCCCGCCGCTGGCTTTGAAGACCTTGCTTGATACTGCCGAACAACCTGGCTACCTATCACTGGGTTATATACACGATAGATGCCACGGGAATAGCGCCGGCGCCGGCATAGCCTCCCAGGAGTAGGACTCCGTAATGATCACGGGATCCTTGTGCGAGACTCGGTGCGATGCCAGCTCTCAGCATATTTGGACACGGCTATCAGGACGAGTACAGTAGACGGGGCGAGGGGATGTGATGACGTGGAAATGGACGAGGAAGAAGATAGAACAGATTAAGCCCATACAGCCAGTCTACTTTACACCCTGGGACTGGAAGTTCAAACCATCATTGTTGCGAGGATATATGCTCTCTGTGGACCCTCTAGGTGGACTCCATATCTGAAGTCCCAGATCCTGCGTCGTTGTCCCTTTCATGATAAAAATCGAGCCGCTTGCCGTGTGCTTGAAACCGCTGCGTCTCACTCGAGCCCCGAACTACCAGTACGCCAGGCGCCTTTTGCTGGACCCTTTTGGCATTGATCCGTCATTCACTCGTTCGCGGAGTACCAACATGAAACATTGTCATTAAAGATGCTCCTGTTCTCTATTGTCAAGACGATGACGATATCGTCCGATGCATCAATGTACTCATATTGCTTTTTGGTCTCGCTGTGTAGTCGTTCGACCCGAGACACCGCTGCAATACTCACGGATTATCCTTTGTCCTGAAGAGAAAAAGTCAAAGTCGAATGAGAGCTTCAACGCCGAGGGTATCATTACCATTACCATCCATGATCCATGTCGCAGATAAAGAGGGAAAGTTACGTCGACACTTATAGCACTCTGGCAATCGCCACAAATGGATGGACATCCACTCCAGAACCACGCCAATTGCACGTCTCTGTTCAAGCTTGGGTTGTCGCACCCTGAGTGATAGATCTAGAATCAGCCGAGGGCGTCGATGTTGATGGCTCGGTGCCCTCAACCCCCCTGCTCGCGGAGGCTGCCGGGAGTTCACTTTGTGCGGCCTGGACTTGCGGAGTGGACTTCGCAAGTCCTGATGGACTAGCTTGAGGAGGACCTGGCGTGGTGGTTGCAGGCGATGCATTGTGCGGTGTGCCGTTTCGTGTGCCTGCATTGATCGAGCTGGCCGGCGCTGGCGAGCCAGTCCGTGAGAACCCTGCAAAATTAGGATTCTTGAAACGCCGGATAAAATCCCGAATGTGTCCCATGATCGTCTCCTCTTCGATGGTGTGACCACCTGGCATCAGAGACTCAGGATGGCCGTGGAGTAACCTTCTCGTGGCAGACGCAAAAATCTTTTGCCAGTGTTCGGTTCTTGCGGGATGGACCTGTTCAAGCATGGCGCCCTCGAATTTCTTGATGGTTATGAGACCATCCAGTGTGCAAGGCATGTTTCGGGACGCAGAAGAGCTAGTGGGAATGGGTGGTGCTGTTGCGGGAGTGGGTGTCACAACTGCACTTGGATTCGGGTGAGATCCCTGGCTTGGAGGTTGCGCAGGGCCCGACTGCAAAGATCCTTGTTGTGGTGGGAAGGGTGACTGTCCTGATTGTGACGGTGGATAGAAAGGGCGGTTCTGACCTGTAGGATAGGTTGAGGCCGACGGCGGTATTCCTCCTGGAGGAGGCGGCCACGGCACCCCATTTGAAGGTGGCGGCATGGATCCATGGGGACCCTGTCCGTAGAAAGGCGGAGGATGTCCTTGAGGGGGCATCCCATTCTGTTGAGGATATGGTGTGCTGTTCTGCCAATTCAGCATCTGAGGAGGGCCTTGAGGTGGATTTTGACGGGGCGCTGGTGCGGGTTTTGGTTTGGAGGCCGCTGCTTGCTGGGCTGCTCGCCTTCTCTCCGCTTGAGGCTGCAGAGCCCCAGGGATTGCTTTCCACGCGAATCCTTTGCCTTCCTTCTCGCCCTTTTCGAAGAGCTTGTTCCATTCTTGGTTCAGATTATGCCGGACACTACTTTGCCATCCTTCCGAGTCGACTCTGTGTACAAAGAATGGAAATTTCAACTTCAAGGCCCGGTAAATCTGCTTCAGAGGAAGAGCTTTTGGGTGGATGTCGAGCAAGATATCGTAGATCAATCGAGCGTATGGTTCAGACGGTCTGGCAAGCTGTTCTTCGGTCAAGCTCTCCGCAGGAGGATAGTCTGGACTCGGAGATTTCGATCTGGCTTTCTTGACTGGTGGCGGTTTCTCGGGTTCGCTAGGCACTTCGACCTCACCGCCCTCGATTGACTGGACGATGTCACCGTCTTCCCCGATTCGCTTTCGCTTCTTGTATTTCCTCTTCTCTGGTTTGGCTTCGACTGCGATCTCTTCCTCGTTGATGATCGGCCTGGAGGGTTTAAGGCCTCGCATCATCGGCGGAGGAGTCTTCCCTCCGTTCGCGGCCTTTGCTTCCGCGAGCTTCGCCGCCTTCTCCCTCTCTTTCCTTTCCCGAGTCGACATGATCCCATCCTTTGGTGGTCTGCCAGGTCCCCGCCTTTTGGGAGGAAGAGGTTGGCCATCGGGTCCAAGGATAGGCTCTGCAATCACGGCTGCCGGTTTTTCGACGGTATTCAGGATGATCTTTGTCTTGCCCCTGCCGCCCTTTGACGGTGAAACGCTTCTGTCTTGTTCGTTCGATGTTGGGGAAATGCTCCGTGGTCGGGTAGGGCTGTGCTCAACCTCCTCCCGGCCTGAACCATCGCTCGCCAACTCGGCTTCTTGCTTCGGCAGTCTGAAAGTCATCCAGACATTCGAGATCTGTATTTTTGAACCGTCGCGAATAGGTCGTATTTGGCCGCGAGGAAGGTACACATCATCCAAGAACGCACCATTTCTACCCATCACTTTCATCTGGAAGCGTTCCTTGTCGAAATCCCACTGGATCTTGACGTGCCGCCGTGAAATACTCTTATGGTTTTCCAACTCGGACTTTTGGTGGTTGCGCATGGCGTGGATAGGAATAAGCGGACAATTGTGGGCATCCGGGATATGATCGGCTGTCACTGGCGCTGGTTGTTCATTGTCTGGCTCCTGGTCGTTGCCGTACTCCAGTTGAGCTTGACGTTCTGCCATCTTATGGTAGTCGAAAGGAGCAAGTGGAGGGTTGTAGAGAACTTCCTGAGGTTTGACGACACTACCAGCAGACCTTTCGGACGAGTGCGAGTGTAAAGGTTGACCATCCTCTCCTTTTTCATTCTCTATACCCAGACCGTCATCAACACCACCGAATCCACCGGCCTCACTGACAACACTCCCCTGGACTTGACTGTCGCCAGGTCGTGGTATGCCTTCAGACAGACCTGACCGCCTACCGCTCGAGCTTTGTGCACGGTCTTGCTCAGCCTGACGCGCTTCTTCCGCTTTCGCAAGGGCTGCCCTATATGCAAAAGCATCCCTACCCAATTCACAGGCATAGGTGGTGATGTAGTAGTTCCCATCCTCAAACTCAATCTTTGCGAACGCTTCGATTTCCCTTCGTTCTGGGAGTGGAATTTGAGAGGATGTAGGCGGCAGAGGTTCGTTTGCATAGGCAGTCAGTAGGCCATCTGGTCCCACAGGAAGCGGTAAAGGTTGCGCGAAGGAGTCCATCGGTAGCGTAGGGGGCAATGAAGGGAGTCCGCCGGCAGCAAGAAAGTCCTCAGGGTTTTGCAGCGGGAGTAAGTGATCGGGATCTGTCTCTAGGTTGATGTTGTTTGTTTCCGTCCCCGTCACCTCAGGAGAGCCATCAAGACTCTGGTCCGGCATCGAAGCCATGTCCATTCTGGGGGGCGCAGTTGCGGTCTGGGTCTGAGTCTGGGTCTGGGGTTGCGTTTGATTGATGGGGGTGAGGGCCGCGAGCAGGTTGCCCACAGCGTGGTTCCGTGTTTGAAGATCTAGGTTATCCCAGGTCGAATGGCTTGGTATGGACGGGCTGATATGCTGCTGTTCCTGTTCATCTTCGTGGTTGGAGTCACTGTCGTTCGGGTGTAAGTTCGAACCAGCGGTCCATGATGGGAGATCTGGCAGACCTCTTGACGACGTCGCAATTGCCTGCGACGACATTACGAGGTCTGCAAGATCCTGGAAAGAAAGTAAGAGAGCGTCAGGTTGTGGTCGAGGGGCGCGCAATCTCCAAACGATCAAAAGTTCTTTGGAAAAGTAAAAGTCGAAGAGAGGCGGGCGGCAGGCGGACAGCGCAGTCCCGCGCCAGCCAATCACAGGCCGCACGAGGCCAGGGAATTTCTTTCTCGAGGGACTTGGGCTCCGGCCGGCCACTGGTGATTTCTCTGGACAATCAACCACAGGAGCCAGACAATCTCTTCGACCTGCGGCCTTGTGTGCCTGTTGAGCGAAAGTCATCTGGGGCTGTCGTGAGATGGGCAAACCTTTGGTCCCGCCGACTTCTCTGGAACGTGTTTCTACTGGTCTACATATCTGACCGAGCCTGAGGATCTCTCGCGACGGCCACGTACGAGTACCTTCGAGGCAGTGGTTCCCATGTATGGCTCCACGAGGGAAACAGAAGGTTGCATCCTCTAAGGGCGACACTGTTCAGCCAGCGAACCCCCAGCCGCCAGATTGGCCTCCTCTAGCTCCGCTCGTACCTCAGGAACACCTGTCTATCGAGACAGTGGTCCCCGGCCAGATCTTGGTCATCCGCAACATCTTCACTTCCACCTTGTGCAGGAACTTTGTGTCTTTCCTTTCTTCCTTGCCCTTGATTACGACGCCGGGGAAGCCGAAGCGAGGGGAGGCAACCCGGGTCAATGACAGATTCCAGATTGACGACCCCAATTTTGCCAAAATGCTCTGGGCCCGCAGCGGGATGCAATATCTAGTCAGCTCCTTCGGAGACCAGGCTGTCTTTGGCGGCACGGTGCTCGGGCTGAATCCAAACATAAGAATATATCGATATCGGCCGGGTCAGTTCTTTGACAAGCATTATGATGAGAGCAATAAATTACACTTTGGCGAGGAAAAGCTACCTGCCAAAACTACCTGGACCCTCCTCATCTATCTTACAACCTGCGAAGGTGGGGAGACAGCATTCTACCCGGAAGCCTTGAAGAAAGGCGAGAGATCGCCGGAACCCATTGTGGTCGAACTTGAGACCGGGATGGCCCTCCTCCACAAGCATGGTGACGATTGTCTGCTGCACGAAGGCAAAGAGGTCAGGAAGGGCGAGAAGTGGGTATTGAGGAGTGATCTTGTCGTGCAGAGGTGAAGCCAAAAGACCGACCGAGAATCCTTGGGAATTGGATAGTTGTAGTTATCCTGCACTGCTAGTACTGGACACATGCATTAGACCCCGTGCTGGAGACATAGTGCTATCGCTTTAAATGCTCGGCATCTGTCTCGTTTGTGCCTTCTCGGGCTTCCGACAGCATGCTGTCGATACCCTTGTCCTTGAGGGCTCTCTGCTAAGGGTTAGGAGGTTAAATGAAAGGTGCAGACAGCAAGGCCCACATACAGTCAGACAACTCTTGTACTGCTTGAACAGCGGCTCGCATTCATCGGTGGACGAATTCCCTCGAATGTATTCTAGAGCACAAAGTTCAGCTGGTGGCAAAAAGGGGGGCAACAGCACAGAACGTACTCTCGGAATACCACTTCAGAAAACAGCTATCATATTTCCTAGCCGCGCGTCAGTATTGTGTTCGATCGCTGGTGATGGACCCCAAGCTCACTCTTTGACCTCGTTGCATTCAGGAGCAAGTGATGCCGACATATTGGCGCCCGGCCAGTGGATGATTGCGGTTGTGTCGAGGTGAGGGACAAAAATCCGACCTGACGCAAGGCTCGTCAAGGCGACACCAAATAGACGGAGCTTCGGAATAAACATTCTCCGTAACGATAGACCCGGGGGGTCCACTGGCCGTCATTGATTGGCTCCTTTTACAACATACACCTATGCATATATATCAACTGACTACAACTCAAAGGAACAGCTGACGTGCAGATGGCGATTGACATTGAAATGGACAGCATCGCCTGATATAGCTTTTATAGGTGTATATAGTGATCAGGCAATGTTGTTGTCAACGAAGAGTTACGGGAGAGTGAGAGATAGAACAAGAGAGCCCTGCCCCTTATTCTGTTCCTCACGAGTACACTTTCTTCCCCCTTTTGTTGTAATCTTTGTTGTACATCCCAAACGTCACTTCTCCATCGTTGGCCCTGAGTCCACCAACTCCACACTCTGCTGGACCCATTTCCTTCAATCCATGCAGGCTCTCCGTCAACCTCGGGAAGACCTTCAACGCATTGTTCCTACCCATATCCACAAAGTCCCATTCGTTGACAACGGAACTCACATGCTCGTCCCACCAGCAGCACCCGTTCGGGATGGACTCGAAAGGGTAGTCGATGGAGAAGCAAATACTCCGAGCGCCAATCTCGGTCATGGCGCAGATCAACGCCGGCGTGCTGAAATGGCCGGACGTGGTGATGAAGACCTGTGTGCCAAAGTAATCGCGCACGAGCCGATCCTTCCGCATCGGCATGTTGGGGAAACGGCTGCGGTCGAGTTTGTGGTCGATGCGGTAGAGGTCGTATGGGCTGCAGAACGAGCATGTGATTGATCAGCGGCTTAACCTGAAATAATGTAGGTTGCCCAATGGCGAAATCAGCTTACATATGTTCACCCATGTGTCCGATTATGATCTTCAGATCGGGGAACCGGTCAAGAACGCCACCAGTAATGATACCAAGAGTGTGCATGTTCAGTCGATTCGCGTATCCCAGCGCCGAGAAGTCGAGCCAAGGCCTTCCTTTCCACATCATTTCCTTGATCAGAGGGCTGGACGTCCGGGGGTGGAGATACACGGGCGCTTTCAGTTCATTCGCGATCTTCCAAAACTCGTCGTACTTTGGGTCGTCGTAGAATAGCATCGTATTCCCGTCTGGCCCACTACTCTGAAAATCATTGAGCATCGCTCCAACGAAGCCCTTCTTCTCCGTCATGCATCTACGTAGTTCCCGTCCGGCTTGTGCTGGATCATGCATGCTCAGAGCAGCAAAGGCTGCGAAGCGTTTAGGGTTCTTCAGAACTTCGGCTTCGATCTTGTCGTTGGCGATCTCAGCCAGCTTCTCTGCCGCAGCTGGGTCCGTGATGTTCTGGACACCTGGAGCGTTGAGGGAAAGGACCATGAACTCAACGTCGTTTTCGTCCATCTCCTGGAGACGCTTTCCGTGGACATCGAGCAGGTTTGCATTCAAGTCGTCCCCAATGACGCCTTTCCCGGCGAATTGGCTCGGGTTGAAGCTCTGGAAGCTTTCTGGGATCGTCCAGCACTCCTCCAGGGCGATTTTGCCTTTCATTTTGAATGTCCACCAAGTGAGAACTGTCGAGAACAACAACGAGAGTAATACGCCCTCAGTTTCAAGGCCAGCGGTTTAATTGCGGAGGTTTCTATACTACCTTGTCAGCAGATTCAGCTTGTGTCGGTCGGGGTCCGGCAGTCAACGTCGGCAAGCGCAAGCACACAGTTGTTCACTAGTGGACACAACTGTGTAACCAATACCTCGTATGGGACACAGAGCTTCAATATGCAAATTCATGAAGCCTCGACTTGGAGAGAGCTCGCTAAGTGCGGAGTAGGTGGTGGACAACCGGGGGAGATCGAGGAGCGACCTCGGGGAGTTAAGGATTCTCCCCGAGCTTCCATGTCGCTTTCGAGTTCGATAGAGCATCTGCAAAATGGATCTCGGACCCAATGCCAAATAAAATAGAGCTGTTTCAATCTAGGTAACTTATAATCGCTTGGTCCTAGGCCAAGCAAAGTAACTTACGTTGGCACATACTCGTCCCGGACGTCTCGAACTGATCGGCCACAATGGGTTCCCTAGGCCCTCCATTCAGAGTAGCCATTGTTGGCGGTGGTATTGGAGGCTTGTGTGCTGCTCTGTCACTGCATCACCACTGTGCTGGCGAGGGCATCAAAATTGATGTCTATGAGCAAGCACCACAGTACAAAGAAATTGGAGCTGGTATTGGCATCGGCGTTAACGCAGCTAGATTGCTTCATTCTATCGGCGTTGGAGATGCGGTGAACGGCATTGCTGGAAGTCGACAAGGCATCTGGATATCTTTTCGTCGGTACGATACCGGAGCAGACATCGTGACTGTGCCGGCCAATGATCGAGAGAAAATTCGTCAATGTCCGGTCCATCGAGCAGAGTTCCTAGATCTTCTAGTTGACACCATCAAAGACCGCGATGCTGCAACTCTGCATACCAACAAGTCTTGCATCAATGTTACCGTGAGTGCTTGTCACCTAAACATGTGTCTGCCCTGACAGCAGCTCTTCAGGACAAAGGGGAGGCTGTCAGCTTGAATTTTCGAGACGGCAGCTCTGCTACTGCTGATTTAGTTGTTGGTTGTGACGGGATACATTCGCATCTTCGAGCTCAATTCAGCACAGACAATCCTCGCTATGGAGGTAGAATCGCATATCGGGGACTGGTGCCTATATGCAAGCTTGAATCGAACTGGCCATTTCAGACTTATTCTGTGAGCTGGCTGGGCAAGGACAAACATTTCTTGGTGTTCCCCATCAGTAATAACAGACTCTTGAATATTGTCGCCTTTGTTGCAACAGAAGAGGAGAAGTTGGGCGGGCTGAAGGAGAGCTGGACCGCCACTGGAGATAAGAGTGATCTGGTCAGGGATTTTCAGGATTTTGACAAGACTGTCCAAGAGATCATTTCCCATATGCCTGAACATCCCTCCAAATGGGTCTTGAATGACAGGGAACCGTTGCCGCAATGGGTATTTGCTCGGGGTAAGGTTGTACTCATGGGCGACGCTGCTCATGCGGTAAGTTCTTCAATTCCGCTCCGGTATAGATTGCAGGCTTGTTGACAATGATGCAGATGCTTCCTCATCAAGGTAGGATTATTGCTGGGCAATATCAGTCGGATGGCAGGACTAACCATATCCACAGGCGCAGGAGCAGGACAAGCCATTGAAGATGGGTATATTCTCGGTCGGGCACTGCAAGACTATCTCCGTTCCCGCAATCACACCAGCGAGGATCTTGAAAAATGGACACAATTGTACCAGAATGTCCGCCTTCCGCGAGCGCAAAGGGCTCAAGCCACAGCTAGGCAAGCGGGCCATGTATATGAAATGCAGACGGAAGAGATGCTCGGGAAGACGTACGAAGAGTGCCTGCCCATAGTACACGACAACTTGAAGGACCGGATGAGGTGGGTATGGACCGAAGATATTGACCTGGGATATGAGAAGGCGAGATTGGGGATGAGTAGTACATAGATGAATAGAGAGCGACAAACTCCCATACAGCAGGCAGTACACAAATATTTTTCAAATGACTGTCTGACGCCGAGATAATTCCTACGTCCATCAAATGAATTTCCACTTCCACACCAATACCAAACACCCTTTTCTCCCACTTCCACTCGCCATGCCAGTAACAGCAGCCAAGCGTAACACCTAGCGACCTTTGGTAGAATGCCACTATTTCTACTGCTATATGGACAAAGGCAGGAACCCAGGCTCTCTACCCAACAATACAGCAATGGACTAGGGCCACGCATATCATCCACTCAGTAGGATGTCCGCGCGAGATCACTCCTCCGATCCTTCTCTTCTTCCTCGACAAGGTTACAGCCTCAATGGAACCACAAAATCCTCCAAAGAAGCGCAGACGAGTTGCCATTGCGTGCCCTGACTGTCGGTCGCGGAAGACAAAGTGCGACCACATTGTGTCCAGACAGCCCGATGAGGATGTGCTAAAAGGCATGCCAAAGAGTTCGCAAGCGTAAGTGGCGCTCACTCTGTGACCAGGCCCTCGAAAGGCCGGCTCGTTAACGCTCACTTGAGCTCAGCTACATCCGGTCCCTAGAGCAAAGGCTTAAGAGATTCGAAGAGCAGGAAACACGTCCTTATGGCAGATCACAATTTCCAGACCATCCGGTGTCGTTGTCCCTACCCTCAAGGAGGAGCCAGGGAAATTCGTCCAGCATTGAACGGTCTCCACCACCCCATCTTCAACGGCGAGGCTCTATTCTCATCTCTGCAAACCCCGAAATATTCATGGGAGGGTACTCGGGCATCTCGTTCACCCAACTGATCCTCAATGCCATGAATGGCCCAGATTCAAACAAGCTGGAGGCCGAATCTTTGTCATCTCCACGCGATCCTCCGTGTTTCTCGAGACCCTCGGATCTCTTTGCTCTTCCACCAAATTGTCGCGAGTTGGTTGATCTCTTTTTCGATTTCCATTATGAGCTGTCGCCCATTTTTCATGCCCCCACCCTCCTCGCGGAGATCGACCAAGTCATTGCTGGTGACGCGGCGCACCGCTCGGAACACAGATATACGCTGGCAATCTTGAACATGCTTTTTGCCATCGCCGCTTCCCACCAGCGACATCGGATGGACACGTCAATCTCTAGCACGAGGCGATATTACGATATAGCAATGGCCCTCGTCAGCCCAACCCTGCTCTTCGACTGGAAGATCGAAAAGGTGCAGATCCTCTTGTTAGGTGCTAGGTATCTTCAGAGTTCCAGCTCCCCCTCGGAGTGCTGGAATGTACTTGGCCTGGCGATTAGGATTGCATATGGCCTTGAGCTTCACCGGGCTCCTGGCGAGGAGTTTGACTGCATTATGCGAGAGACACGAAAACGCGTCTGGTACGCGTGTTACGGCTTGGACCAATTGCTGAGTATGATCTATGGTAGACCAGCAGCAACCTCATCTTCAACATTTGACACACCACTCCCTGAAGATTTAGACGACGATTGTATCCAGAAAAACAGGTTGCTCTTTCCCAGTCTTGAGGCTCCGTCACTAATGTCGTTTTCAATCCAAGTCTCAAAGCTATATCGATTGCTTGAGTCTGCAGCATGCCTGGTCGAACCTCCTTTGGAAACGCTAGTACAGCTAGATGAAGCGTTTGAGTCGTGGTTCTCTGTTGTTCCGTCAAATCTGAAACTCCAGGGCGACACGACCGTACAAGATGACAAGTGCCTTATCCTAGCTCTTCGAGCAAACATGGTTAGGATACTCATTCATCGACAGTCTCTGGCCTCCACCCTCAGTATTCTGTCAAAAACTGATCAAACCTGGAAACCTCCTGAGACTCTAAAAAACAGTATGCTCCAGAACAGCAGACGTATCTGCGTCCGGACAGCCGAAGACACGATAGATTTAGTTGGTCTTCGATATGACCAGACGAAGCATGCTGTTGGCCCCAGCTGGTTCAACCTCTATTATCGTACGACGTCTCCTTGTTCAAATACTTCCTGTTCTTTGAGCTGACCTTATGACACAGTTTTCAATGCAATCTTAATTGTTGTATCACATGTGGTGGACCCAGAATATCGAAACGACAAAAAAGCCCTTTCCCAGCTGGATCGTGCAATGCAAATGATCAGGCAAATGTCTACAAATCACCAATGTGCGCAGCGCGCTTACAATTTTCTCCAGCAACTTCTCAGCTTCATGGATAGATCCTTACTTGTTGAGGGACGAAGAGCCGTAAGCTCTTCAAGACCGCAGACTGGAACCATCCCATCTCCTGTTCTGGAGGGCGCGGCCTTCGAACAGGGTGGTTATGACGATCTGGCTAATGCGGACCTTTTTGCACTTTGGGACACCACCCAAGATCTGACCACCAATCTAGGTTCTCAGCTCGAGTCTTACTCGTCTTTAGGATCGGGAATGTGGTCATGGGACGTTAATGCTCAGCATCAAAGCGCACAATGAAGCGCAAATAACGATGGGGCAATATATGACACGAATGAGGTGAGCTTTATTGTGTTGCTCCAATCGGCATGGACCATTGCTGCTCGCTGATGACACTCTTATGCTTTTGCTGATATCGGCTGGTGTTCAGTGAAGTGGATTCGAAAAAGTTCCTCAGGGCCGTCCGGACATCGACTGGACGGTGCACAGTTTCTGAGAGCGGCACCATCATCACACCTAAGATGCGCCGCAGAACTCTCGGCCGGGACATCAAGGACTTGCAGGCCTCGATGTTTCAGTGATACGAAACTATCCTAGAAGACATTGATTGGGCAATGCAGGATGTGCTGGAATCCCCAGGATTTCTCCGCGCCCCCCTACCCCGGCTTTCCCGGCTCTCACTTAACTCCCCGGTCTGTGACTTGTGAATAGTTCGACAATGGTGGGAGGTTCTTATTTGTATTCCCACATGTCTCAATTAACAAACAAGGTGGCTCGTTACGGCTTACTCTGTCTCAAAATCTGCTTCGCTTGTTGCCAACCTCACAACTTGGAACTTCGATATTGGCAATGGCCGCGTCTGAAAAGCCCCAAGTTGCCACTATTGAGAGCGCGAATAGCTCGGACATTATCAAGGAAGATGTACATGCTGGTGCAGGGTTTTCGGCTATACATCGCGACAGCCATGGCCTTCCACTCATACCGCAGCCCTCAGACGATCCTTTGGACCCATTGAATGTGAGTGTCCTTGAATCATTGGGCTAGTGTTTCCCATTTCTAGTTTCTGAGCTACTGGTCGGGGGACTTCCAACCCTCGGCGGCTCAGTCTTGCCAGATTGATCTAGTAACTGGACATGCTGACGGGGGGAAAATGCAGTGGAAGCTTTGGGTGAAGTTGGTGGTCCTTACCGAAATTTCGCTTTTGTCATTCTTGGCCTTGCTGAGCGCCTCCTTAATAGTACGGCACCGTCAATGCATAAGAATTGCTCACGTCCGGGGAATTGACGAAACTTCCAGACGCCAGCTTTTGTACCTCTCTCGCTCTTCCTCCACCAAGGCCTCGTGGAAACAGCCTTCGTTACCAGCACCTTCATTGCATGCGTAGGCGTGTCTACGATCGTGTGGAACCCGATCTCCAATGTCTATGGGCGACGACCTGTCTACATCATAACCGTTGCCATAAGCATAGCAATGTCTGTGGCATCGGGAAAATCAAAGGATTTTGGGCAAATCCTGACATTCCGCGCCCTGAACGGTTTCTTCGGCGGCGTCCCGCTCGGACTAGGCAGTGCCACAGTCTGCGATCTGTTCTTTACACACGAACGAGGGTTCTACATGGGAATATACACTGTCTCATTCATCCTGGGAGGCCACGTTGCTCCCATAATCGGCGGCTATATTGAGAAAGACTTGACGTGGCACTGGTGCTTCTACGTTCCGGCTATCCTCACCGCCGGTGTACTCGTCCTGTTCATATTCACTGTCCCAGAAACACTCTACTCACGTGCTCCTGAGGCACTTGCGCGACCACGACGGACTTGGCTACAGAATATGTTGATGCAAGGCAAGGCACATCCTACACGGCGTTTACGGATCATCGACTTCTTTCGACCGATCCAGATGCTCCAGTACCCGAGCGTTCTTCTTCCCACTATTTCCTATGCAGTTTCCTTCGCCTATGGTAGTATTCTATTCATCATCACCAGCGCAAACCTGTTCGGCAAAACCTACCACTTCAAGCCCCAGCAGACTGGACTCTTGCTCGGCATTCCCATCACGGTCGGAAGTGTCATCGGCGAGGCCATGTCGGGCGGCTTTTCGGACTGGGTGAGTGAGAGGAGGGCAATAAGAAGGGGAGGCCAACGGAAGCCGGAAGATAGACTACTGGCGATATTTCCAGCGTTTGTCCTCATACCGATTGGCATCATCATCGAAGGCGTCTGCCTCGAGAGGAAGACGCATTGGATCGGCGTGGCATTCGGCATCGCACTCGCCAGCGTTGGGTTGCAGATTTCCACGACCGTCGTCTACACGTACACCGCGGAGGTGAGTCTGGCGATCTGCTCGGAACCGCCCTGACCCAAGATGCATCCTTGCTAACGATTATCTGCAACGTAAAGTGCTACAAACCACAATCGCCAGAGATCGGCTCGCTGCTGAACTTCGCGAGGCAGATCTACTCGTTCGCCATGGGATTCTACGCGATCCCATGGGCCGAAAGAATCGGCGTGCTGAACGCGTGGGTCGCGATGGCGTTCACCGATGTGGCTTTCTTCCTGCCGCTTCTCCTGCTGTTCTTCAAGGGGGAGGAATGGCGGGTGCGGCTGGGAGAACCAAGGTTCCATAAAGATCTGTGATCACAGACAAGGACCAGGAAGATATTGTATTCTATATGTGGACATTGAACGTCCGATCGCCCAGTCCATGCAGCCTGTCGAGACATTGTGCAAAACACGACTCAGGTTGCTGTAGAGCACACGTGGCGCAAGGTGGCCCAGACTTCTTGAGCCGCTTTAGGCTTCATTTCTCATGTAACAGCTTGATCAATTCGCCAAAGATCCCCTTCACCTCCTCGACCTCCTGAGCCCACAATCCGTCAGCCTTGGCCAACCCTAAGTCCTCCCCCTTGGCCGCCCTGACAAGAAACTCCCTGCCCGGCCCCGGAAAGGTCAATCCGACACTTTTCTGCACGACCCTCATTCGGACACCGTTGAGAACTTGTTTCAGTTGCTCGGCGCAATGATTGCCTCCGTGCCCGCCGTATGACACGACCATGGCCGGCTTGCCTACCCATTCGTTGAAGAGGTAGTCGATGGCGTTCTTGAGATTGGCGGGGTAGCCCCAGTTGTATTGGGGTGTCACGAAGACGAACGCATTGTATGATGTGATCAGTTGGGACCAGGCACGGGTGTGTTCTGAAGATCAGGCGGTGATTAGGTTAGCATAATACCATTCAATTTCCCGATCGTGTAGGAATGGCGAGAACAACCAAAAATGCCGATTTTGAACAAAAGAAATACAGACAGTGCGTGAAATGAGAGCTTACCGTGGGTGTAATCCAAGGGGTTAGTAATGCGCTGCGGGATGCCAGGCTCATTGAAGAACGGGAGCGGGTGGTCGGCCAAGTCGATGAGAGAGAGCTCATAAGGTTGAGAGTTTGGTGCTGTGCGTTGTTGACTGGCCTGTTGATACTGTTTGAGGTTGTCGAAGATGAAGGTGCCGATTTGGTTCCCAATCCGTGGCTGCCGTTGTGAGCAAATGACAACCCCGATTTTCGGTGGAGGTGGCGCTTCTTGGAGCAGGTCGTTGGTGGTCGGTGCCGGAGAGGAAGACATCCTGAGCCCTTCGAATGGACGGAGAAGGTGGTTTCGATAATTGGATCGAGGCTCGATCTGCAGGGGCAAGGCTGATAACAGGCGATCCACGTGATTTTCTTTCCAAAAGGTCCTGGGAGAAAGTTGCCAATGAGCAGGTGTGAATGATCCGGCTTACAGAGATCGAAATGCGACGAGGTTCTGGAGAAGCAGTAAGGTGAACCAACTGAGTGTCTGTTCAATGTTATATACGCCGATGCCCATATTCAAAAATGTCGGAGATAAGTGGCTCGACTAATCTTAAAACTGTATCTATATTCAACCCTTGTCTTCGTGCCTGCTGCCCCCTGCGTTGATGGGCCGGAGGCTCAAACAGACCGTCCGCTTCGTGCAGCCTTGAATCCTGGGTATGACCGAGCCGACATAGTAGCGGACGCAGATGCGGGTAAATGCCCAGCACGCAGCAGTTTAGCCTCATTCACAAAATGACGCAAGCTTCGGCCGAGGCTGGCGAGGGCTTGCAGATCGTTGTAACGGGTTATCTAAGCGAACATGGCAGTCGAAGGGAAGTTACACACACGAAGCCAAAGTTTGCGGGAGATTTTCGCGTAGTCTCTGAGCGAAAGGCACATGCCAATTGCCAGAGTGGAAATGGAGAGTGGATACGGGTTGATGTTGCGCAGGAGCCAATCATAGATCAGAAGTGGGATGGGCCCGGCATCTGCTGCCAAGGTACCGACTTGCTCTTCGGCCCCGCAATGCTTGGCAAAATGCCAAGCCTCGGCCTTCGGTCATTGCGTTGCAAACGAGGCGCGTTCCTGCACCGAGTGACTTGGCGGCTGTGCCTGATTGCTGACACGAACGTTTGTCTACATGACAGTCCAAACAGTGCGGTGATATGTTGCGCAGTGTCCAATCAACGATGTCTGTTGAGATACGAGGCTGACAATGCTGGGAGAACCGTTGCGGTTGAAGTTGGGAGCGTCGACCGAGGAACAAAGTGGACTCGTGGCACCATTGCAGAGGAAATGATACAAAAGGACCGCCGCCGTCTCTGAACATCATCGGAGAACAAGTTCAGGACCTCAGCAACACCAAACAACCCCACCAGCAAAGACACCATGAGCAACATTCGGGTAGCAATTGTCGGAGGCGGCCCCGCCGGCCTCACACTCGCACGCCTCCTCCAACTCAACAACACCTCATGCACTGTCTTCGAGCTCGACGCCGACTCCCTCGGACGAGACCAAGGTGGAACAGTCGACTTGCATCCACGGGGAGGACAGCTCGCCTTGGAGCACGCAGGTCTGACAGAGGAATTCAAGAAGCTTTCTCGTCCGGAAGGAGAGGCATTGAAGTTGCTCAAGTATGACGGTACCATTGTATTCGATGAGAACACGATGGGCAGCACTCGACCTGAGGAGTACGCCGATCGCCCAGAAATTGATCGGACAAAGTTGCGGAAACTGCTTCTCAACTCGTTGAAGCCAGGCACCGTGGTCTGGAACAGAAAGCTGCAGTCGGTCCAAAAGTCGTCATCGCAGGCTGGGAAATATGACCTCCATTTCCAGGACTGCAGAGAGGAAGGATTCGACCTCGTGGTCGGCGCTGACGGGGCTTGGTCCAAAGTTCGCTCATTTCTCACGGACCAGCAACCTTATTACTCGGGCGTTACCGCCATTGAGCTCTGGGCTCTGGATTTCGACAAAAGGCACCAGTGGTTGAGCGAGTTCGTGGGTGCAGGGAATTGTTTCATGTTCGATGAAGGACGCGCCATTCAATGTCAGAAATTGGGGAACAACAGCATCCGCGTCTACGCCGGTGTGCGACAACCCGAAGATTGGCTTGAGAAATGTGGGATCGACTGGTCTGCGCCCGAAAAGGCAAGGGAAATGCTCGTTGAGCAGTATTATAGCGACTGCAGCGACGACCTGAAGCGAGCCATCTTCGACGCCAACGACAAACTCGTTCCACGCCCTATGTGGATGTTGCCCGTCGGCTTTCGGTGGAAGTCCGACGTAGGGGTGACATTGCTGGGAGACGCAGCTCATGTGATGACCCCTTTTGCTGGGGTTGGGGTCAACCTTGCCATGGTTGATTCATTAGACCTTGCGAAAGCTATCGTCAGCTGCGGCGGGGATCGGCAAAAGTTGCCAGATGCGATCAAAGCGTATGAGGGTGAGATGCTGAGCCGGGCAGAGCAGTTCGCAAAGAAGACCTATAAGGGTTTGGTAAACCATTTCAGCGCTGATGGATGTGAGGAAATGGCTGGGCGTTTGAGACGAAGATAGGCCTGAACCTGGAATTTAGTGAGTAGCGCTGGGCTTCGGTGCGTTTGAGAAACGGTGCCTTGACATTGTATTTCACTTGGGTATTCAGTCAGTATCGAAATGTCGATCAAGAAGGACTCAAGAATCTCTCATAGCCTTATGCCTTATTCCTCTGTTCGAAGCCAGCGTCGAGCCAGAGCTGTCGTAACCCAAATTCAAGAGGTTTGGCTGCGATCAGAGACTTGGCTCGAACGAATTGTAAAGACTGGTACATCATCATTTTTCGTCTCGCCTGTGCCTTTTGATAGTTAAGAATATCGACCTTGACTTTATTCCAATCGGACTCGACGTTAGCCAACAACGTGTCTAACTTGATCATGATGGAATTAGACACGCAGTCAACGACAGCGAGAAGAAGGTCATCCCGCGGAGAGGTTTTGCTGGTACTTGTAAACTCGGTTTGTTCCACAGCGCCTGAAATGGAGCGCAGCGGTGTGATTTTGCTGCAATACCACCATTCGAAGGCGTCTTTCAAGGATGATATCTGGAGGATCGCGGTCCGGCGCCGTTCACTGAGTTCAACCGAATCAAGTGCTCCGTTCAAGAGCTGGTCTGCTGTGCTTGAAGCTTCTCGAATAAGGCCCGGCACGTCGACAAGGAATTCACAAAGCTCAGATCGAAGTGAGATACTGGCATGCTCCTCGATTTCGATGGGAGTGGGAGAGCTCTTCAACACCTGGCGCCACTCTGGTCGTGACAGAAAGCATTCTTGTCCAACGCTGGCATCTTGAAGGATCTTTGACATGTTAGTCGAAGGCAATCGAGTACCGTGCTTCAGTAACAGGTATATAGGCACTCACAAACCAAGCTCGCTGCGATTCGAGCATGGCCCTCTCGAAGGGCTGCATAAACTTCTCAGAGCCGTGTTCTTCAATAAGAAGTTTCGTTCCCATGCAAAGTTGACTCCACCGCCCACCTTCGTCGTTCAGCACAAGCTGTACAGGTCAGGGTCTGATGCTGCTAGCTCACCAATGGTGAAGATCAAAACATTCAATTCATACCTCGCATGCCTGCAGAATAACAGAAGCACATATTGTTTCAGCCTCTGCGCGTATATGTTGTATATCCAACGATTTTCGAAGAGAGCGCAAACTTCGGGTGTACAACCGAAGGCATTCCTTCGAGGAAGCTTGAGATGATCTGAGGGAGTCCAGGTAGATGACGCACAGACATGAAACCGCATCGTCTAGTGCAGTACTGCGACCCAGCCGAGGGGGAATCATAGCATAAAACCTTCCGTGAGATTTTAGGGGGAAGGTGTGCCTGTTCTGCGGCTCATCTAGTATGTAGCACAGAGTGGAACATATCTGGTCATGTGGTGAAGCCAGAGGCCACTCAACGATAGTCTTCGATGTTGGACCGAGAGAGACGCTCGCTCTGTTCATGAGAATGCCTCGAAACGCAGAGCCTTCATCGCCTGATGATTCGGGATGGTCGACATCTTCGAAAATGTACTTCTTGTTGCGGTAAAGCAATGCCAGCAGTCCGTTTTCATCGACAAACTTCCATCTTCTAGGATAACCTGGACATTTCCAGCCCGCTTTAATGCATGCTGAGCATGAGGGCAGTTCTTCACCGCACTTTACAAGCCAGACTCAGCACAAATGAGGGTTTTCCCTGGGGCATGGCATCCTCACCTTCTTCTTGCGTTTCCGACACGTCTCACAGCCAGTGCTTTTGAGCGTCCCCACCATATCCAAGGAGGTGAGCGGAGGTTCCAAGGCGAGTCATTTTTCTTCTTGTGGTGCCTTTGTGAGACAGTGGCTTGAGGAAAGGAATGGACATAGGTAGTGTCCAGGCATTGTGCTGACGGAGCGCCTGCTAGCTAGTGATTTAATGATCGACCGTAGACTGCATTTCGACCGCTACAGACTCTGCCGTTGTCGCCGCCATCCATCTAGCGGTGCCGGTGGAGTATCTTCGGTTTCGATCCTGCGCTTTTTGAATTCTGCAATTTGTCCGAAATCTTTCCTTCACCAGTCTCCCTGTCACCACAAGTGGTGCCTGGCAAAGCGCTCCAACGACCTACCGCTGTCGGCGAGATGGTGTCTGGGAGAATTTGACACAATCTGCGCCGTATCATGGACCTGACTGCGGACTTCAAGTCCTTTCAGGACCTTGTTCAAGCCTCTCTCATCAATGTGACGCGAAGCGCGACCCAGGTGTCGAACCAAGACTTGGGTTTCCACCGCTCCTCCTGCGACAAGCTGTCTCGCGCCCTCGATCGTCAAGATGCCCATCTCCTGCGCCTGACAAGCAAACTGCTCAAGGCTGCCGCTCAGGACACACCACTCAAACCTCCTACGCTGCAAAACCAGGATAGCGTAGAAGATAATTGGCGTGGCATCGTTGATGTCGTTGATGGCCTTCTTGAGAAAGCTGATTCTGCGCTTGATGAGTTCTCTGGCATCATCAAACCACAGGAAGTAACTCGCCAAGATGCCGACTCTCCCAGACCTTCAAAGACAGGGTTGGGTTTTCAGAGATGGGCTGCAACCAACATACCCAAACCTCAGGTCTTTTTTGACAGACAGGTGAACAATTCTGACTCGACCCCCTTCAAGCCCTTGCTCCAGACGAAGCCTCACGCTATTGTCCCGCTGGAAGAGAGCCTCGGAGATGAGGACACAGGGTATGGCCCTTGCTACCGTGTTGACGCATTTACTCACTCCATGTACAGATACAATCACCCGTACGAACGAGAACTAACTGACTACAAATACCCTCCTTCCGTCTACAAATTCAAGCAGCCGATAGCGTTCACGCCAATTGACGAAAGTGAGCACATCTTTGTTGACACAGAAGAAGGCGTCATTGAAATGCTAGAAGAGCTTAAAGGTGCTGAAGAGATCGCGATCGATCTCGAGCACAATGACATGCGTTCCTACGTCGGGCTGGTCTGTCTCATGCAGATCAGCACGCGCGAAAAAGATTGGATCGTTGATACACTGAAACCATGGCGTGAGAAGCTGCAGATGCTTAACCAGGTTTTCGCGGACCCGAAGATCCTGAAAGTGCTACACGGTTCAAGCATGGACGTCATCTGGTTGCAACGTGATCTGGGACTATACGTTGTTGGTCTCTTCGACACCTATCACGCAGCTTGTGCTCTGCAGTTCCAAGGGAAGGGGTTGAAGCACCTTCTTTTACAGTTCGCGAATGTCCATGCTCAGAAACAGTACCAGCTTGCGGACTGGCGGGTACGACCTCTCCCCAAGGAATTGATCGACTATGCTCGCTCGGACACACACTATCTGCTTACCATTTACGACCACATGCGAAACATGCTTGTCAATGGATCGTCGGCCAATGTCAACCTTACAGACTATGTCCTGACGCAGTCGAAGAAAGAAGCCCTTCAAGTCTACTCTCGGCAATTGTATGACCTAGAAACAGGTGGCGGCCCACTTGGATGGTTTGGATTGCTCACCCAGAGATTTGTCAACCTGAGCAAAGAGCAGCTCGGGGTCTTTCGCGCTCTTCATGCCTGGCGAGATCGCAAAGCACGAGAAATGGACGAAGGTATCCAATACATCCTGCCCAATAGGACGTTGTGGCTAGTCGCTGAAAACATGCCAACTTCGGTATTCAATTTCCATCAGAGCTGCAGAGGGGACTCAAAGCTAGTCTCGGATCGTATCCCTGAAATTATCGAGATTGTCAAGCAAGGCAAAGTTGAGGGCAAGAACGGCAAGTCACATGCGGAGGTGGTCCAGCACTGCGAGAAAACCCTTGGCCCGACAGCCCGCAGACCGCGGGAGAAAAAACAGCAACCTCAGAGCACATATTCTGGATTGGGTGCCACTTTGAAGCAATTGGCTGCTACCCCAGCTTTGACGCCGCTGGATCACGATGAACTCGTGCCCACTGTGAACAGATCGTCTGCTTCGATATTCTGGGGCGATGTGACACCACAATATCAACAGACTCCCACAGATGTTGCCACTGCAGTTGCTGCACTCTCGTCAATCGTCCCGCTTCGACTGCTCGCTGTCGAAGACGCCGAAAAAGGGGAAGAAAACCTTGCTCAGCTTATATCTACTCAAGCCCAAACGGAAACCTGGATTGAACCGACGAAGAAACTCGATCCATGGCCCGCTACACCAAAAGATCAACTCCGCTCCAAAGCCAACGAGATCTTCTCGCTCAACGAGTTGTCACGTTCAAAGGGCAAGAAGCGGAAGACAGACGAATTTAATGAAGACATCAACGACAACGAACTGGCTGTGCTTGTTTCTTCCTCGGGCGCCATAAACGGTACCACAGCAGCTAGTGAGGTTGCAGTTCCAACGTCTGCTTCTCCCTCCCAAACACCTCAAAATACCGATGCAGAGCGGAACCCGGAATTCGAAGCAAAACGTCAAGCTAAGAAGCAGAAAAAGGCTGAGAAGAAGGCTCGCAAGGAAGCTGCGAAAGCTGCAGCTGAGGCTGAATTACAAGCTACGCAGCCGTTCGATTATGGGAGTGCGCCATCCCTGCTAAATCCTGGTCCACAACCATCGTCACAGCTAGGCAGCGGTGGTGGCACTGCGGAAGGTCGTGGACAAGGACAGCAGGTGCCCCAAAAGAAGATTATGAACCCTTTTGCAAAAGCATTGGATACGAGCACGGGCGCGAGACGTGGAAAGATGAGCAAAGAGCTGCAGGGCAAGAGTATGACTTTCAATTCTTGATGGAAGTGCTGGCTTTGCAGGATGCTCTTTTTGCTCTGCTATGCCATCCTTCTCCATGTTTTCGAGGAATAAGCTAGCTTTGTGCACACCCATACATGTTCGAGCTGCTTGGTCTGCTGAGAACGAGAACTACGGTCTAGCTCGTGGATTTGCCCAAATCTTGAATGCGTTCGGTTGAGCAGCGGATAGCAAACCAATATCACCTCTTGAGCCTCCCTTCTATCAGCCCTTCTATCTCTGTTCGTTTTGTGTTCTTCGTTCTCCCTTTTGTCCAAGCCGATCTTACCACCGTTGATTATCCTTTGGGATCATTGTTGTGTGTTTCTTTTCGTTGTTGTGATCCAGCAGCCTTCTTGACGCCCTCTTGCATACCTGAGAACGCCTAGTTAAGTCCGAAGTGTTTGAGGTTCTGCAGGAGAGTTTGGCATCCTTGACCCTAGTTGATCCTGTGCGGTTTCCTCCGCAGACATGACAAATAGAGAGAGAGGCCTGGCTTGCTCGTCCAGTCTCCGCGGCACTTGTGACAGTCATGGTTGCCAGCCGTGGAAAAGCAACTTCGCACTCAAAGGCTTCAGTCTTCCGGAAACCACCGTTGTAAGTGATCGTCCCATTCTCCCTGCCCAGCAAGGTACAGACGAAGGCTCTTCTGCATCTCGTACTCGCCTTCGAGGCTGCCCGGAAGGGGAGTTGGCTCGCTAAAAATTTGACAATTCTGGAGTTCGACATCACAACCGCCCTCCCAGGAGAGAAGATTCCTGAAGTGAAGTTGCAACAAATTGGGGTGTTGACGAATCGCGTTGAAGAAAGTCTTCGACGGACCAGAATCGTCAAAAAACACGCAAACTTCCCAATGGAGACACCGTAGTCTGCGACACTCCTCTAATGTCCTTTCCAGCATTGCGACAGGGAATATCACATTCGTCAGACACAGCGAGCGAAGAGCCGGCAGGTTCATATCCAGGTGCCTATGCCAGGGAATGTGGGATACGTTGTCCTTTTCCGAGTTTTCTATGCTCAATACGCGAAGACTGTTCTGAGCCCCTTTCACGAGAGCAGAGGACAACAACCCAGCACGTCTGATGCTTTGATTTTCGATTTCTTCGTCCACTTCAAGAGGTTGACACAGGAAATAGGGCGCCTCGTAAAGAGTTAGCTGGGTCATTTGATCTAGGCGAAGCTGAGAGATCCATAAATCCTCGAGTTTGTCGGCACGCAGGACGTTGCAGTCAAGCATGAGGTTTCCAATCCGCACATGAGCGGACGCGAGACATTCTGTGACAGCTCTGAAGAGCATGCCTTCACCAAAAGAGCTCATCTTGCTGAGGGCGCCAATGTTTTCCTCGCAGAACACGCATTGCTGGTTTGGGGCGATATCATAATCATAGACCCATACGGGCCAGAAACCAGGGACGTTGCCAATGACGAAGGATGACGCGTTCGAGAATGTCTTCAGGACCGTGATCCAAGCACGCTGCAGGCTTCCGTTCTGTACAATGTTCATGTCGTTAATCGCACATTTTGTATAGAAGATATAGGCGGCTTTGAAATTGCCCATGACGGCAGGAAAGTGAGAGCCGGCCTGGGGATACATATGCCAAATCTCCTGCCACTGTGCGGTGCGAAAAAGGTGAGACGGACTGAGTTGACATTTGTATATAGCTTTTATCAGCTCGAAATCTGCCAAGGTGACTTCTGGCGAACATAAAGATGGCTTGAAGGTGACCTCCGTCACAAATCGTCCAATCCACGCAAAGGACATCTCCAGGACGCGGGACAGTTGTTTTTGAGTTGCGCGCAATGTGATATGACCAAATAGGACGGAGTTTATGATGCCCATTTTAGCGAAGTATCGACAGGTCAGCCGCAAGGTGCGTAGGGTGTATCGTGCAGTTCTAGGTACCCAATCAGTTCCCTAGCCCAAGCAGTGGTTCGGTTATACTCACCGGAAGAAGCGACATCCGCTGTCAATCCCTATAGAGCCTTCGGTCTCAACATCATTCGCCAATTGTTGCGCAACAAGATAGAGTATTTGAGCATCAAGCTGAGCAGTCGAAGGTGGCATGTCCGTTGGTAGAGGTTGAGCAACACGCGGGTTTGGAGGGCGGGAGAAAGAGAGAGCAGAGCAGAGGCTGCCGTCCACACATTTGGTACTGGTACTGATAAGTAGCTGCCGGTGCAACAAGGTAGATGGTGAAGAGACGAGGGAATGGAGGGTGGATTTGAGTATCGGTTGATGAGAGGAAGTGATGACAAACGCAACCGGCCACTTTCACTGCCACTGCTGTAAGAAATCTCATTCAGGGAAGATGAAGGAAGTGGATTGAGAGCATGGCAAACGAATAAAGAACTTAGCTGGACAGCACTCGAGTGAATGAAGTTGTAATTCATGATTCCTCTAGCACACCATCAACATCCGCCAAGACAAGACCGATTGTAATGCAAGCCTGGCCCTCGAAACGCCAATCTACAATACGCAAGTTATATCAAAATCTGAGATTCATCCCGGCACTCGCATAAACATCCTGTTGTCCCTGCGGAATTGAGTACTGCGGTCACAGGAAGGCGGCAGTGGAAGGCCAAGGTTGCCCGCGCCATCCATTCATCGACCTTGCTTACACAGCCATTTCGGCTTGTAGTTTCCGTAATTCCTCTTCCTCGTCCTCTTCGACCGTCGAGGGTTTGTTGCTTACTGCAGAATAGTCAATATCTCTGTCCCATCCAACTCCAAGAGGCAACTTACTTGGACCTGCAGACACAGCGGGAAGTCTGTTGATTTCGCCTGTGACAGGAGTCGGGCCAGTCTTTAACATTCTCTCGTCCATAGCCTCCTGCTCCAAACCTTCCAGCTCTTCCTCCAAATCAGCCTCGTCAATAGGTTCACCGATAGGCGCATTTGTGATTGCGTTGGCGATTTCTTCGCCGAGTGCGTGTTGCTCGCGTAGCTCGTCCATGGTTTGATCCACTTTGTCGATGGTCAAGTTTCCATGGATCTGTTTCATGGCTTGTCCGGCATTCTTCATGGCGTTGAGCGTCTCTTGGTTAATATTGGCGGCTTCGATGGAATAAATCTGTTGTTCCACCTGAGCAATCTGGGCTGATGTTTGCTCAAGTGTGCGTTCGTGGAGCTTTTTGCGCCGCAGAGCAGCTTTGGCAGCTGTAGTGTGAAGAGAGATATCGTGTTAGTCTGGGCACCATATCTGAAGAGGCATGCTGGTTCACTTACCAGCTTTGTTTGACGTTATGTTCTTCCTTGCTATCGCATCTTGTTCCGCCATCTGATTCTCTAAGTGCTTCTCCCTTTTTTGTAGCATATCTAGCTGCGACCGCAGCTGCAGAATGGCCTTTTTGGGAGCATCTTTTCTGGCTTGGGCTGCTGCCCCGCCAAACCAACCCCACATATTGTCTGATAAAGGACGAGGACTTTGGAGGGTGTCGCAAGCAGGGACTCCGGGGCTGTCTAATGGAGAGGCTGGACTGATCTGATTACAGTTGAGAGTCGTTTGGGAGTGGTAGAATCACTTCCACCTGCTTCGATCGGTATCGCGTGTGCAGCCGATTGCAACTCTAACAATCGATGTGATCAGCCCCAAGATCAAGCGCAAGCGAGGAGCCCTTGAAGTTAAGAGAATCGAAGGGAACGAATATCCTATGTGACAGGAGAGTACAGGATCAAGAGAAACGCTTGGGGAGAAGAGGCGTGGCTTTGGTGAGAGCCTGGTCCCGGGATCACAAAAAGAGTCCAGAGGCCATGACATCGCCAGTCTCCCGAAGTCCAAGTGGGTTGCCGGAGTCAGTGGCATCTTAGGCAGGTATGCCGATATCACGTGCATTGCCATAGTGCCTCGAGTGCAGGGAGCCATCGTGCCCAAAGTAATTTACCCACCACGATCATAGATACTTTCTCTCGTCAAGATCGCGTCGAAACCGCTACGGTTCTGGACTTACCGTCAGTCCCTTGCTCCATGTCATTTCAGAGGACAGCTATCATTCCGAGCATGCACAAATTACCATGACTGAAGGCGTACCCAGCGCCCCTGCCCCAAGCAAGCTGGTCTTCATTCACGAAGTAGCATCACTTCCTGCGGCAAGTAAGGTGAGACTACTAGGCTGGTATGCTTCCCCAATATTTAGCAACCATACTGTTGACCTTTCTAGTAGTATCGTACGATATGATGCCACCAAAGGTCAGATTCTTCTCGAGCATGCCTACCCTAGAAACGCCAGCTCAACTCCTCGAATCTGGGTTGACGTAAATCTTGTCCTTGAAAATGTGAAACCAGCTCTTTTGGATCCAGGCACTTGGATCAACGCAATCGGGTACACACGGGCTCCGACACTGCAGACCGAGAAAAGAAGTGGGAAAACGTTGCAGGATGTACATGACCCGGTATTCATGCAGGCTGTTTTGATCTGGGACGCGATTGCCGTCAGAATAGAAGACTACGAAGATACTTTGGAGGACCAAAGGCGTGTGCGGCGACAACTTGCATCCGATCGCGATTGACACCAATCTAAGATGTTGCACCAGCCTTTACCTATACCGCAACTTGAAGATCCTCTATGCTAGAGAGATGCCAGATGCCAAATGGCATCGGGACAAACAGCTGTAACCACCACTATCTGTCTGTCAAGCGCCAGTTTCTCTCGTGGTTGGCCCAGGCAGTGACATTTCGAAGTGGCCTGCCAGCGTCAGGGACCGGTGTCTCAGGCCATTCTGGCATGGGCTGCAGCTTCTTGGATCTAGCCCACCTTTTCAGCTTTGTCTCACGACGCCTGCTCTCAATTCGGTCTTCTATTGACCGCATGCGATACCGAAGCGCTTCATCAACGACATTGTGGATCTGGATAGATGCATTCCTGAGATGGCTTCTCGATTGCTCTGATACTGCAATCATGATTTAATGAGCTTTCGGCGCTGCTGAACAGTCTGACCTGCCCAGTTTTTCAGATCGAATCTTGGACAGCGTCCAGACATGTGCGTTTGGGTTTCGAGCACTCCTTCCAACCCTTGACCCCTTGTCTTGCATTGATCACATGTCTCCAAAGTTGTCCTTATGTGACCCGCAGGATGGGTATCCAATCATTCATGTTCCATCAGGTGCGCCTCCTCGCAAGTGGGCCATGTTCAAGTTCTGGTTTCAGGCGGTTCCCTTACTTGTTATAATATCTCAGTCACAAATACGTCAATTGGGAGTCCTTCATGGACGTGGTTGGCCGAATCTAAACGTTCCCTCAGCACTCTCTGTATTTGGCTTGTTCTCTTTTCTTGTTCTCTACCTATATTTCTTTCCTTTTGTTTCTCTACACCTCTTGTGCAGGACTCAATCTGGCAGTTGCGAAAGGCTCCTAGGGTAATCTGTCTGCAGTATGGACGAGAACAACAGCGAACGGCTCAACCATCTTGACAGCCAACATGTCCCCTCGAGTTCGACTCAAGCACCTACTATCGTTATAGGCAATGCTTCCCAAGCAATGACATCGACCTTCAACTTGTCCATGGTCCCAAGCCCTCCGGCAACCCCAGACTCCTCCAGCGAAGCTCGACCGGCAAGCTCGTCTTCTGCCACGGCTCGTCCGACGGCGTCAAGACACGACTCCAGTAGGAGGACTTTGTTGTACCCCGAAGGCGATTTTCGCAATAGCTCAACACCAGAACTCCGAGATCTGAAGACCGACATGATGTGCAACTGGCTTCACCAGCAACAATTGGAGCGGATGTGGTCCACCAATGGAATTGAGGAAGGGGTCATGCTCAAGAAAGCGAAGAACGACTATAAGTGTGCCCCTGAAGACCTTCGTTCTCGTCCCGAAGGAGTTTACGATGCAGTGAGAAGGCTCAATGTCAAGGTATGAAGGGTTGCCAGACACAAGTTCCTGCTGGCTGATGTTTTCAATAGTGTGCCATGACAGTAAACACGGGCATCGTCAAACTGTTCCTCCGAGACCAGACGCTCACCCATATGCCGCTCGACTCTGGCCTCCGTTTGCAAATCCTCCCAAGCATTTCTCACCTGCCTGACTGCCAGAAACATCAGTTCGCAGCTTTCATTCGAACTTATAATATCCTCATCGTCTGGGATGACGACCCAAATCATATTCTCAAACGTGTCCAATCAATAGAAGATCAGCTTATCAACATGATCTGGAAGGAGGAATGCGAAGACGACGAATCTTCGGCACCACTCCCCAGTGCCATGCCCAGCACTCTCAATCTGAACAACACCAACGACGAAGAGACCTCATCCCAAAACATCGAGGCTATAAACGCTTTGCCGCCTCGCCGCGTTGTGCTCGTTCAACCGCTCCTCACCGCAATCACGATGATCTTACTCGTTGCCGCCATTGGCAGTGGCTGGCGCCAGATCGCTATTGAAATGAAGGTTGACCATTCCTGGACTCGACTTGCTTTCATCGCCGTTGTTCCCCTTCAATGCTGGCTCGCACTATTCTTCATGCAGTCCGTTGCAGGCTGCTGTGCTCAAATCATCGGTCCCATAAGCCAAATGAATGCAAACACGAAGTTTTACTCGGGAATGCCTCCACCGCGCCTCCCGACTGACGGAAGCTACACATTGCCACACGTCACTATTCAGTGTCCCGTCTACAAGGAAGGTCTTTGGTCCGTGATCGATCCGACAATCAAATCTATCAAAGCAGCGATATCAACATACGAGATGCAGGGTGGCACTGCAAACATTTTCATCAACGATGATGGCATGCAGTTGATTCCCACTGAACAAGCTCAAGAACGACGCGACTTCTACGATGAACACAACATTGGGTGGGTGTCGCGACCAAAACACGAACCCAAACCAGCAGATCCCAGCCAAAGACCATTCATTCGAGCCGGCAAATTCAAAAAAGCATCCAACATGAACTACGCCTTGAATGTCTCGGCTCGGGTCGAAGACAAATTGTTGACCATCGTTCGTCCAGATGATGGGAGCTGGACTGCAGAGCAAGAACGTGAGGTCTATAACGAAGCTCTTGCTTCTATCGTTACCGAAGATGAAGGCCGCACACAAGCTGCAGGTAACATTCGCGTGGGGGATTACATTCTGCTGATAGACAGCGACACCCGTGTTCCCCAAGACTGTTTCTTGAGCGCAGTCTCAGAGATGGAAGTCTCTCCAGAGGTCGCCATCATTCAATTTGCCAGCGGTGTCATGAACGTCACGGACTCATGGTTCGAAAAGGGAATAACGTTCTTTACGAATCTTGTGTACACAGCCATCCGCTACGCGGTCTCCAATGGTGACGTTGCCCCTTTTGTCGGGCATAACGCCTTCTTGCGCTGGTCGGCGGTGCAGGATGTCGCCTACGTCTATGAAGACATCAACGACGGCATCGTGAAAGGAAAGTACTGGAGCGAAGCCACCGTTTCTGAAGATTTTGACATGGCTCTTCGCCTTCAAACATCTGGTTACATTCTCCGCCTTGCAGCGTATGCTGGCCAGGGCTTCAAAGAAGGCGTCTCCCTGACAGTCTACGACGAACTCGCCCGCTGGGAGAAATACGCCTATGGCTGCTCCGAGCTCATCTTCCACCCATTTGCCGAATGGTTCACCAAAGGGCCGTTTACTCCCTTGTTTCGTAATTTCATCAGGAGCTCGATGCCATTCCACTCCAAGCTGACTATTATGGCATATATCGGGACTTATTACGCCATTGGGAGTGCGTGGATCTTGACGCTTCTCAACTACTGCATTATCGGATGGTTCAACGGCCACCTGGACCATTACTACATCGACAGCTTCAAGATCTATTTTGCCATTATCATCGTCTTCACAGCTCTCGGCAACCTCGCACTAGCGGTGATGCGCTACAGAGTCGAAGATCAAACCCTACTGTCCGCGCTGTGGGAGAATTTCCGCTGGATCCCCCTCCTGACCATTTTCCTGGGCGGCATATCCCTTCACGTGTCCCAAGCGATCCTCTCCCACCTCTTCTCTGTCGACATGTCCTGGGGCGCAACCAGCAAGGAGGCCACCGACACGAGCTTCTTCAAGGAGATTCCCACGATCCTCCGGAAGTTTCGGTTCACGTTCATCTTCTGTGCGGTCATGAGTCTGGGGATGATCGTGGTTGCTGGCATCGGTCCACTGGGGAAACTGGTGCCCTACGACTGGCAGATTGGGTGGTTTACTGCTGTTTGGCCTTTGGCCACCGTTGTCGGTACGTGTGCTTTCTCTGCTCGTTTCTCTTTCTGTTATGACACCACTGCTCCTTGCCCTTTCCCATCTAGTGTCCTCTTTCACTGACCTTTGGGCGGACAGGATCACATGCGCTGTTGCCACTTGTATTGAATCCGGGATTGATGCAGTTCACCTTTTGAGCAACCGAGCTTTGATTCTTGGGGTCTGACGTGGGGTTTACATGGTCAGCAGGGCGCATCCTTCTGGCTTCGGATCAAAACACCAACTTTTACAATAGTCTTCATTTTGAGGTTGAGAAACTAGTGAGGGAATCGGATAGACACTAATTGAAATTTCATAGACTCCATGTTCATATCCTGCCGCATGCTCCCGAGATCCAGCGACGTAGGCCCCTTTACCGTTTGCCTTGCAGAAACTCTTCCCATGGTGTCATTGGGCACTCGGTCGTCCCATTTTTGTGGTACCGTAGCCAAATCACATATGTCAGGAATCTGTCCCTGACGAGTACCCTCATCTGTCATAGTACAACATATGCAACCATGATTTCTGGGATATCCTGGTTAACCAAGAAACAAAACAGGAAAACAGAAAACCAAAAGATATGATCTTCTGAGTGCATCTGCAGCGGGGTCAAACAAAGAGGGAGAATTGTCTGTGTTAGTTGAACGAATATCAGGCGTGGCCGAATCAGATGTTTGACGCCTTGGCGGCAGTCCCTCACTGCACGAGCAGGCTTGGGCCAGTTGCGAATAGAATCCCGAGACAAGAAGGTATGCACAAGAGATGTCAGGTTCAGCCACACGTAGAAGAAGGGAGGGAAAGTGTGACATGTGGCCCATTAGGATTAGCAAAACTCAATTAGCACGATTGATTGATTGCGAAATGATAATTCTACCGCCAGCTGAAGATGGAAGCATTTGTTCACCATCAAATGACGACAGGGAATATTTTTTATTTTGGATGCCACTTCAGCATTTCTTTCTTCCAAGACATAGATATCCTCCAGGAAACTCCTGCTTCCTTCATAGCGTCGAGAGACAGTCCTTATCCCCATGTTCGACAGCGACCTCGTCGTGCTTCTCCATGGTACGTCCCCAGACTTAAATCTCCTTGATAGTCTTGAGTTCCTTCTTCTCCACCACTTCGTCAAAATGCTTTTGGACGAAGACGCCTCCGAGGAACACGGCGATGAGCCACTTGAACCAGACAGAGCTGAATATCTTGACGTTATGCTTCTTCAGCTTCGTCAGGGCGAAATAGACGGTCTCGATGCCATGCAGGCCATAGAGCGTGTAGAAGAGGGCATCTTGCACGGGTTTGGCGTATTTGCTGGCCCTGGCGCTCCTGGCTATGACTTGATCGTGGAGAACCGAGCCGGGCTGGATGAATCTGCGGCGCGCAGACAGGATCATCAGGGCCGCGGCTATCAGTGCCCCCGTCGCATGGCGGCCCTTGGGGAGTTCGAACTCGTCAATGGTGACGGCGGAGACTTTGTGGGTGGCCATATTGAATACCTGCTGGCCTTGTTTTTTTCCCGCGAGGAATGCAATGGAACGACCGGGAGAGAGGAGTGATTCAGGAGTTCTGCCGGCAGACCTTGGAATCTGGTCGGTATGGAATATATGGGCCTTTCTTATGGTCAAACGCCCCGGTCAGGCTCGACGTCGCTTAAACGTGGTTCCCCGCCTCCAACGCGGGGAAGAACGGCGGAACATAGGTGTGATACATAGGGTGATTGGCCTTACTTGGCCAAGCGGATGATCATGAAGTACGTGGATGGGATAGGCAAATGAGGAGTATGCATAGCTTGGGATGATAGCGACGTCAACCGGACGGAGTGATGGAGGAAGCAAGGAAAAGAAGCCAGGGTCCTTAATGCGGTATATGACAGCGAGGACGCAAAAGGAGGGGGTTTGACCAAGAAAAGTGCGGAGGTGCTAACTTGCTGCCCGCTTGGCCATATACAGAATAGCTGCCGTGCGGAACACACCTTATTTGCAGTCCAATCAACTTTCCCAGAATGGACAAGGGTCTGGAAAATTGTCTAGGGCCGAATCTGGCGCAGGAAAGCAAGCAGGAAAAAAAGTATTAGAGTAACAAAAGTAGTGAGCCCGGTCACTCTGCCCATTTCGCAATATGGCGCCCTACGACAGCGACTCTTCAGACGACGGCGAAGACTACTCAACCACCAATGTGACTCTGGGCTATGCCACGGTCGAGTCTACCGGGGACGACATCAGTCACTTGGGCGGCCATCCCACCTGGCTAGACTCAAGCCAACCTCCGCCTGCGGCGCTGGCCAAATGCAAGGTCTGCAACAGCTACATGTCCCTCCTCCTCCAGCTCAACGCGGATCTCCAGCAGTATTTCCCCAACGACCACCGGCGCCTCCACGTCCTCTGCTGCAGGAAGAAACAATGCTCCAAAAAGGTCGGCAGCGTGAGGGCATTTCGTGAAGTCAGAAAACCTGGAGTGCAAGAGAAGAGTCAAAAACAAAGGGTGGTAGGATCGCAGACAGTAAAGCCTGTTCAAGACCTTGGTAGCGCTCTGTTCGGCGGATCAAGCCAGCCATCTGCGGCAAACAGTGCAAATCCGTTTTCGATGCCGGCCAGCTCGAACGGGCCGTCAACCGCAAACCCATTCTCATCCATAGGTTCGCCTTCGCAGTTGGCGGCGCTGCCTCCACAGAGACCGCTAGAGGAATCCCAACCTCAACCTCCTACAGAGTCATTTGCAGAGAAACTGCGAATCGGTGCCCGACCAGACGATAAAGGCACCGAGAAGACCGCCACAGATCAAATACCGTGGCCAGACGCCTCCGTATTCCCGCCCCCCTACCCTTCTTTTTATCTCGACGCATATCCCGAGGAACTCGAAAGAGAATCCGCCGCCCCTTCCGCAAAGGCAGAGTCCTCGAGAACCCCATACGACATCGACGATGCGGGAGGCGCAGGCAGCGCCGCGGACAAAGACACGTTCGAATCCAGCCTGGACAAGGCGTTCCAAAAGTTCTCCGACCGCGTCGCCCAGAACCCGGAACAGGTGCTCCGGTATGAGTTCAAGGGCGAGCCACTCCTGTATTCCGGCGCCGACGAGGTGGCGTCGCGCTTCGTCGTGCCCCATGGCAGGACCGGGCCCGTGAAGGGAGTCCCGAGGTGCGAGAGCTGTGGCGGTCAACGGGTGTTTGAGCTGCAACTTGTGCCCGGCCTGATCTACGAGTTAGAAAAGGACGACGAGAACGCCATGGGTCTGGAAGACGGGATGGAGTGGGGGACCATCATCGTGGGGACGTGCGCCAACAACTGCGGCGATGCGGGAAGGGTCTCCTTCAGGGAGGAGTGGGTTGGGGTGCAGTGGGAGGAGAGGGTGGTCAGGAAGTAAATGTCGTCCCAGAAAGAGAGGGCTCGACTCTAGGGGAAGAACCATTGATGAATAACGCCATGTTTTGGAAGACTAGAGACAATGAACTCCGGCATAGAGTCCTATGGAGTGTGCCAGATAAACATGAACGAGTGCCGAATACTCGTCTAATGCCATAAAGCATTGGAAAGAGAATCGATCTGCTACTAGTCTCCTCACTCCCTTGTGTATATGAGTCTTCCCCCTCAACTGTTAAGGAACTGTGGCACGAGATTGCGATCTCAGCAGTGACTACAACGAAGGGAACGATTAACGGCCAGTGCCCAACGTAGACTTTGGAGCATCGTACCCTCTATTTGTGTCCCACAGTGCCTCCTCGAGGCTGCCAGCATTACGGCGGAAGATCGTAGTGAGAGGTTGTGACTCTGTTGTTGTGCCCTGCTCCAGTGAAATAAAGACCTTTATGCTTGTCGAGCTGCATCCAGCGACGCGCTTGGGCTGGAGATAGCAGTCAATAATCCGCGGTCTCTTTCTCGGTTCCAAGCCAGTAAAGGGTAGTGCATGTGCATGGACATATCGGCATCTCTGCACCTTGCCCTACGTGAGTCGACACGAGGATCTCGAGGGGAAGGGCGAAGCACTCGTCGCCGAGCACCGGGCAATGGTTTGAGTCAAGAGATGGCCTCAGACCTGTCCAGGCCTCTCCTAAACCTTCCCATGCGAGACGTGCTGACCCTCCTCACAGGTCATGACCAGGAAAAGTATGCCTTTTCTAGCCTGCGGGAAGTGGCCATCGAGGACTTCGACCAGAGGAGGGCGAACGGTTGTGACCGGAAACAGGCTTGCGGTATCGGTTCGCTGACACAGGCGGGCTGAAAAGGTCAAGGCCGCGGCATCTCAAGCCGGACAGGGTTGCATATCTTCAGCATTGTTCAGCTGGTCGTTTATCTGCGCAGCGGTTAGTTCCATCACGGGACCCGTTCAAGAACCTCAGACGACGATATCCTCGTTAGCGTGGCCCTGGTGGATTGACCCCGAGACGACTTTTGCTGCCGTCATCGTCACCAAGTTTGCCACTGATACCACCCGCAGCCGCAATGTGTGTAGATACCGACAATCAGGGCCACCTCTTGTTCAGCTCGAAGCTCACCCTCCCCAGCCACCCTCCGGCGAACCCCGCGAAATCCACAATGAGATGCTAGTGCAACGCGCTAAGTACGCGAACGCGGATCGCCGAGGCCGATCAGACGCGTCGACGTAGGGGAAGTACCTCGTTCGTCGCCGTGTAATCACCTCGTGAAAAGGCAGAATTGAAGGAAGATGTCCGGTTTGTAGATACAACTCGTATTTATTGCAAAGAGCACGGGTTAACTTAAGCTGCACGGGGGAAAGGAACATGGACGAGAGAACAGAAGAAGGAGAAAAAAAAGAAAATAAATCCAGACGCGTCAAACCAGGGCTGCCATCCCCGCTTTTTCCCTTTCGGCAGTGAACCTCATTTCCCACTCTCCTACAAACCGCCCGTTTGCGACTGGGGCTGAATCGATATAAAAACAGCATCGTCCGCATTGGCACCGACTAGGATCTGCATCCTTTTCCCGGCTTCCCTATCAATGGAATGATGCCCAGAGGACGCTATTACCTAGGCTCGGCTGACAGTTTGATGACTCCAGATGGGACCAGAGCTGGCTCCACGCGTTGTTGATCAACAGTACGAGTCAACAATCAGCACAGCTCTTTGCTATATACGGTATGGGATGAACACGCAGGACGAAGGGCGTGGTGAGGATGCATGCGGATGGGATGTCTTGCACGGGTCTCGCTTGTTGCTGCAGGCCAATGCAACCTGAGGCCGCCATCTGCCCATCTGCCCATCTCATGGCATCCATGCAGTCCCTCGATAGGATATGTGTTCCGTGGCCTATCAGTGCTGCTCACCTGGAGGGTCCCTCTGTTCTCCTCCCTAATCGAGCCCAACTTCGTTCTGGGAGTCGCCTCGTAGAGCATCCTTAGCTGGTTTCGACTGTTGTTCCACCTCCTCAGTTGCCGTGCCAGTAGACTCCCGAGTCGTTAGTCCCCAGAGGAATACCTCCGGATGTGGACATCAGCTCCAAGCCCTAAAACCATCGGTGCCGTAAAGTGCGTGCATGACCAAGTGCTAAAACAAAGGTCTGTCCAAGGCCCAAGCTGACCGGCCTCTCGCCAGGGCGGCACGGGAGAAGCAGCTTGACGTAGGGCTCCATGACTGATGCCCTGAAACGGCCGTTCAACCGACCGTGGCGTTGCCAGGCGGCGGCCTCAAATTTCTGGCCCAGGCCTGGGGCGCCACGAGCTCGGCCGACTCGAACACACGATCTCGATTGATTGTACCATGCCGTGTGTGAAGCACGCGATCCGTGGCTAGCAGCTAAGGAACCTGCAATATTCGTAGGGCGGCAGCAGCAATACACAGGAAAGACGATGGCAACGAGAATCTCATGGTAATGTTGTCCTTATTCAGAGCTACCTACTTTCAGCTACCTACTTCAGCTGTCGCTGTGGTGTGACGATGGTGATAATGGAATTACTATGATATCAGTGTCAGGGGATGAGGTTCGGCCGTAGACATGATTGATCGACTTGACCATATCAACGCATAGTACTCGAAAACAAAGAGACACGCACAATTGCACAAATTTGCTGCACAAAGAGTCGCTCCCGCCCAGTTCCTTTTGCTATGGCAAATAACGCCTTTGCGTTTCCCGGATAGCCAGCTGCGCTCCGTGTTTTCAAGCTCAAATCAATGGCCCTCCTCTTCTTGGGTCATTATGCGTCATTGCTGGGCAGAAGAAACATTGTATGCTATTCGTTTCAATTCGAGTAGGTCATGGCACAGCAACGCATGTGCCTTTTGGGTGTTTTATCATAAGGGGTGATGTGGATTCGCTCACGGCAAAGAATGAGAGGTTGGCAGATTGTCATTCACGACCTTGGAATCAGCTCGTCACCAAGTTGCAGAGCCAGGCCCTTGCTGGCCGAAGCCTTTCGTGGCAGAGTTGGACTGCCTGACGGAGGCTGCAACGTATCGAAGTTCAAGCTTCTTCGTGAAAACCGGTTGGGAGTCTTGCTAACGTTTGGAGTTCGGCTCCCCCATTGAGCCGGTGCAGGTGAAGGAGTGACATTGCAGAAGTCGGCCAGGTTGAACGTCTGGCCAGGGGTTTGTAGAGCGCCATTGAACAACCCAAGATGAGTGCCCGGTGTGGTCATCACCGAAGACGGAAGGTGCGAATGTTGTGAAGGCGGGGTTGAAGGTGGCTCCTTAGAGGAATCCGAGGGTCTGTGGATGTTGATAGCCGGTGAACGAGAAGGTGAATTGGCCAGATAAAGAAGTAGATCGGCGCCGGATTGCTTGGAGTTGCCGTTCAAGAAACGTTTCATGGGAGGGGGTGTTCGAGGAGGCGACGAGGACAAAATGCTGCTTGACGGTTCGTTGCCGAAAGCAGGCATCGGGAGGTCATGATCATCGTCATCAGAATGGACATCAAACATGGGAGAGTCGTCATTGGCAAGTTGAGGCGTCCTAGCAGATTCCGTATGAAATAGTGGGTGCTCCTGAAAGGACTGTGCCCGATTCAAAAGAGGGGAAGACTGAGGCAGCCGGTGATCTTGCTTCCATGTCAACGTGCTTGACTGTCTGTCGACACCGGTTGCAGAGGACGACCGGACTCTTTTCCTCGCAGCGAATGGGGGCTCGGGGATTTTGAAGGCTGAGTTGGAGGGTTTCGAAAACCGGTTATTGGCAATGGAAGAGGTAGGGACGAATTCGTCGTCGGATCCAGATGAGGTATCACAGGGGAGGTCTTCCTCCAGAAACGGTCTCTTCCTCTTTAGCTTCTCGGTGAACTCGGGTTCGATCGAGGCAAGTGTTCGATCCTGCCAGCCATTTTGAGCCTTGAAGCTTGCAAAGGCCAGACAGTCTTGGAGGTTTCGAGCAACCTGTGGAGGAGGTTCAGTCAGTCAGGAGGGGACCTCCCAGAGAAGGTCTTGTGAGCAGGTTGGATTTGAGTTACCTTTGCAATTTCCACTCTCCGCAGCACCTTTTCTGCTACTTCAGCTGCAGCATGCGGATGCTGGTCAGAGGTCATGTTGTTGCAGAGATTGTGAGAGACCAGCATGAGGGATAGGCCTCCGAGGGGGTTTTTTAAGGAGGAGAAGGGAGAGGATTTTGCCAAATATGTGTGGTGTTGCCCCGGGACGTCAATGCGCAGGCTAGGAAAGAATTGAAGTCAAGCTGGTTTAATTCCTGCTATGGATCCAGACTCGGGCTGGCGATTCGTGGGTCACAGCGCCAGGGTAGCCGGGTGCGACTGCGCTATGTTCAATGGGCGGTGCTCGGGTCCAGTTCGGCTCACTGAAGGATTGAGGTCATGCTGGAGGATGGGATGTCGAGACGGAACAGAGCCTGGAAGGACGAAAGGACAGACAGAGAGCAAGAGACTGCAGAGGATAAAAAAGAAAGTGGACGGCTGAGCAATAAGTTCCAGGAGAGTGAGTGAGTGGTAGAGGAATGTTGGTGGCAGCGAAGTTGACCTGCACGGTGAATGGCCTGGATTAAGTTAATTGGACTCGCAGCACAGGCTGGGCCTCCTACTGGAGGCCGCCCGAGACTCAGAGCGGCAACTGTGGAGGGCGGACGAGGGGTGCCCTCGTTGGAGCCGACGCTGGTGGCACTGGCGGCACGTTCTGGGTAAAGGCCGCTAAGGCAGCTAAAGGGCGAGTGGATTGAGGCCGTCCATTTGCAGCTCCGGCTCGCCTGTGGCTGGTGATGGTGTCAAACTCATTGGCTGCTTAGCAGCTAATTACGCAGGGCCTACGCTTTTTACCTGAGACTCCTGCTTGCAGTGCTTGGAGCTTACCGACTGGCTGTGAAATTGGCCGCGGTGCTGGTCGCATGCGCCTTTGCAGCTTCCTCCAGCCATACGAGCCCGCCATGCTCATCCCATTTCAAACCTATGTTTGCACGGGCTCCAATGACGCCTGCGACCTGAGTTCCTGTTCTACTGTTTCCTCATCACCTTGGTCGCCTCTGCTCTAGCGGTTGCAGGTGCTAACTCCCCCCCTAAGGCTATTGCTGCCGGTTTCTGTGTCTCGTGTGCCCTGATACCCGGTCGAACAACCCGCCTCCTTGGGTCCCACTGCCGTGACCGCAAGTCGATCTGCTTGTTCCGAGATTTTATGACACGGCTGGGACATTGACTGAGGTGCTGTCATCCACACCGTCCAACATCTGAGATAGGAAGAAACCGTAATTCACAAATTTCCTCCTTTTCCATGTCGGGTGCGGGTGTCGGTGACAAGCCAAAGCCATCTTCTTGGATCTGGGGAAGAATGACTACGGGCAGCACTGGTACCTCCTTAAAGCAGTGTAGCTTTCACCGTGTCAGGCCAGGAACCAGGCAGTGGGCACCGATGAACACACTATGCAAAGCATGACTAACTCAATCTCGGCCGTCTGACCTCATTCAAGACCTCATTGTTGCCCGCATTGAAGAGGGCAAACGGTCGTGCTTTGATCGAGGGGAACCCCCTGATCCAGGTTCAAACGGAGATAACTTGCTGATCAGGTCAATATTGGGCGCACATTCTCTGAAAAGTATAGGTTCGGGAGTATTCAAGTAGCCACCAGGAGAAGATGCCAGAGAACAAAAAAGGAACATCTTCGGCTCCGCGATCCGAATGTGAAAATTGCCATGGAGAACTAAGTCTCGGGATTGACATCCCTCAGGTTTGTCGTGCGACAAAGAATCGGAGGAATTGTCAACCTTCCATTCTTTGTCGGGGCATATAGGGAGTACTTTGGACAAGAACTCCCTACTTGTGTGAGACAAGAGTCTGCCAGCGTCAGGCAGGTAGCAAGCTGAACCGTCATTCCTGACGCTTGTACATAAACCACCGTCGATAACAAGCTGTGAAGACCCCATTCCGCGCATCTCCTTGATGGAACCGACTCCAGACTTGTGCTCCGTGTGTGTACGAGGTACTCTATATATGCGTGTCCGTTGGGTGGCTGCTTAGGAGGCGAGAGCAGGGGCATCGATATGCCCTACCAAGCCGATCTCCTGTGGCTTTCATACCCACAGTATGGAGTTCTGTTGAAATTGCACTCTGATATCCCCTTTCAGTAGGGGCAGCCGCGTTCTCGGATGGGATCTCAGGGCAAAAATTTGGCTTTCCCCTGTTTTGACAGAACCGGCGGTATGGGTAGGTGTGCAAATCAGACATCCAGTTCCAGCTCAATAGGTTCCTAGAGATTGTTCTCGTCCTCATCGGGCATGGACAGGAGGAAGACGCTGAGTGGATCGCAATGTTGCTGGAACGAGACGGAGGACAAGGCATGGCCAACGCCGATTATCTCTGGGCGCTACGCCAACCACATGTTCTTACAGCGATTTCCAGCTGTTCCAAGCTGCCTTCCCGACGTCATCGCCCGTGAAAAGTGCCCACAGATGCCCACCACGCCCACAACTGCATAGCTTGTCCGGGGCGCCAGTCCCTAAATAGCTTAAGCAACAGGCCCCTCACTGCCCCCAAAGGCCCCCAAGCCGGCCAAAGCAACAGGGGCACATGTGTGCGGTTGGCAAACAGGCGCTCGCCGCTGTGGCCCAGGCTGCCAGGGCATCGCGATTGCGCATTTTGCGCATTCCTTTCCCCACCTTTATCATCTGCCATCCTTGTTGCATGCGGTGGCTTTCCAGCCAAGCTGATTGCACGATGCCCGGCTTGCGCTGCTGCCCTCAGAGCCTGGTGCTCTCTCTGGCGAATCGCACCTGCTGGCGGCAACGCATGTCTTGCAAACAACCACGGTTCGAACTGGCCCTTCCATCTGCTGCAAGAAGCTGCATTTCCGTCCGCTGCTACCCAGAATATCCATAGCTGCGGGCTTTGGGCTCACTAACGTCCCCAAGCATTGTCCAAGTCGCAAGTCCGGGCGATGACACCTTCTCGTCGCCATTTCAGCTTGGTGCTTATCGTCGAATTGGCGATCGTTGTTCTCTTCATCTTACCCTCAACCTCGTCCTCATCCTCATCCTCATCCTAATCGACTGCTCTCGTTCTCTCCTGGTCGCTCGTTTGTCTGCTCAAACTGTCCGAGCGGAGCGTCGTCTACTCTGCTCTGCTTCTGCTGTGAGACTTTCGCAGCCAATTGTCACTTCGGATAAAAGCTCCATTGCACATGCATGTGCGTGCGGTCGTTACATCCTACCGTTAATTTTCACTTTGCGGTCATCATCAGCAGCACCCTCCGGTTACACCGCCGCCGAACTCCCTCCCTTGCACTGTCTCTCAGATCTATGATTGACTGATTAACGCCCTCAACTTCCATCCCCCCCTCAGGAGCCATGCCCTTCTTCAAAGAGCTACGCCGACGGTCAAAAGCGAGCTTCCGAACCTCCGATTCTTCAACAGAATCCAATGGCACCGTTCCGACCGCAAAGTCGTCCTCTACTCTTAACTCCGCCCCCGGAAGCGCAACACCACCCTCTACATATCACGCCAATGGCTCCTCTTACAATGTGTTGGGCACGGTAAAGACAAATGGCGACACTCCGCCTCCGGTACCTCAGAGACCTAATGTGACGGTACCGAATTCCAACAGAAACAGTATGATAGTAAGTCTCCTGGAACAACTTGAGCAAACTGTGCCAATGGGCTGACCGCAAGCAGACGCTGTCCCCTTCCGGCTCGAATGGGACAATACGAGTTCCTCCACCGACCTCTGCATATGCGCCTAAAATCACTTCAGTCATGGATAATTCGGTGGTATGTGCCGGTTCAATGAGTTGGGGGATATGAGGCTCACAGACGGCGTACAGGTCTACCATAAAGTACTGTTGGTCAATGGAGAAATTGGCGATCCTAATCAGAAACCCATGGATGGCAATCTGACAGTCCATCACGACAAGGAAGGACAGGCATTCCCTCCCACGAACTGGCCTGTGTCCGACTCATACTTCAAAGCGCTGGTCTACCTCTCGCCTGGCTGGAACAGAATCCGTTTTGACTTTACCTCGCCGAAATTGAGCCATCACAGCACGGGATCCACGCCGACGATGCACTCTTCCTATATGATGCTGAACTACCTGCCGTTGAATAGCGCACCGCCTCTGCAGCTTGTCATCCTAGTCGGAAGGGATTCACCCTGTACATATGACGCTGCCCCCCAGAGAATACAAAATGAGGGCAATGATCTGTCCATGGCCGTCAGAAAATTTCGAATGGCCGCTCACCTGTGGCAGACATTTACCGCAGAACAGATGTATCGACACAAATTCGGTCGCAGATGTTTCAGATTCGAGGAAGAATGGCAGACCGGCACACTTTCCATGAGAGATTGGGAAATGGGAATCATGAAAAATGAAACTAGGATTCATGTCGTCCGGGCGGACAAGACTACCGCGGAATTGCAGGATCTGCAGTATGCGCAGCAACACTCGCCAGCAGCCAAGAAAGGAGAGCTTTACTCAATTGCAGCGGATGCTGTCAAGAAGTATTTCAACATGAGGCCAGGTCAGAAGCAGTATGTGGCTTGTCTCCTTCTTGACGCCCACTGGGATCCAGAAGTCGGAACAATCAGGGGCCATGCTGCTCTCGGCGGTACTGGAGATGAACTTGGCTTAGCCATTTTCGGTTCACATGCTCTTCAGAGCTATCCCTCTTGTATCGAGGAAGTGGTGCCAGCCTTCATGGATTGCACACGGACAGACACCAAGTACGTGGCCAACGATTGCAATGAATCCGGGAGCAGCTGGGAAGCTGCAAACATTGGTATTGGCGCACATCTGCACGAGGTCGGCCATCTTTTCGGCTGTCCGCACCAGGAAAACGGAGTCATGCTCAGGGACTATGTACGGTTGAACCGCACATTCTTGGTCAAGGAACCATACTCGACGAGAACGAAGTCCCAAGGTCTCAAGGTCTGTCGTCAAGAAGACGAGTGCGGTTGGCATCGGTTAGACGTGCTCCGATTCCGGTATCATCCCTGCTTCAGACTTCCGAGCGATGAACCTCTGCCACAAGACGACAGCATACAATACTTTCCAGTCGGCAACGGGCGCGTGATCTGTTCTGCTCCCTCAGGGATTTCATTCATTGAGATACGGACCGAAGGAGACGAGCTGTGCAGGCAATGGATCGACTTTACCAATGCTGATCCCCGACACAGTGCAACTCCCAGACAAATCACGGTGGCAGAGGCAGACATCCGCGGACGTCTACCCGAAGACAAGAAGAAGGTCAAGTTGTCTTTGACGATCTTCTGTGGTAGTTCCCGGAGTGAAAAGATCGAAGATCTAGATGACCTCTTGTCGAAGAAATACATTGTGAGCCTGCCACATGTCAAGCAGGCACCGAAGCGTGATGAAGGCTTGACAATGAACGCGTTGAACAATGTTGTAGGACTGGGCAAATCCTTCGACTCACGACTCGGATTTCGAAGCAAGAAGCTCGGACACTCCCAGCTGGAAGGTTCGAAGCCAGAAGAGCTGATCCTAGAAAGCGTTCATCTTCAGACAAAGCTTTTGACTTCGGTCAAATTTTATCATGGCTATGCGCTGGACGGCATTGAATTCTGTTATGAAGATGGCCATAGTCAACTATTCGGCAAGAGGGGTGGCAAACCCGGCGGTGACGAATTCTTCCTTGGTGAGTTGGAGGTGTGTAGGTACGATGTTTCAGAGATCTAACATCCGCAGATACGCGGCGCGGCGAAACCATTCTCGGCTTTTATGTGCGTGCCGGGCTCTGGATCGACGGTGTTGAGATTCTGACAAGCACTGGCCGAAGATCGGGTGTGTTTGGGAATGCAACTGGAGGATCAGGGTATGTCCAAGCGATCCATACTATATGTTTCTCCAGTGTTGTTCTGACCAGACGACAGACATACTTTGATGGCGCCCCGGGGATACAGTCTTGCCGGGATTTCGGGAAGTTGTGGGCCGTGGATAGACGGCTTCCAGATTATCATCACACGCTAATGTCACCTTGGAGACGATTGCGCATTGATGACGAACACAACTACATACAATACCCTCCGACGGACGTCGACTTGTATGATTTCGGAATGGAAATGTCCCACACTTGCAACGGGCGATAATCGTTTTGAATGGCTTGGCGATTAGTCGATATTGGTTCATTTCGACATTATACGGGATATTAATGTTGCTTCACGCCTTGTACGGAACAAAACCATCGGGAGGGACACAGTTAGCCAGGCATACGACGACGGCAAAAGAATACACATACAAAAGGACAACGGGGGACTATTTTACAATAATGAAGAGGTACGATTTCCACCGGTTGGAGACAATCTCGACAGCGATTAGAGAACAGCCATGTCAGCAGAAATCCGCCCAGGCCACAAGATATTGTGTCGGGGGGGATGTACGCATTTGCAGCCTCTGAAGCAAGTTGCAGATGGCAGGGCACTCCGACGGACCAGGAGAGATCCGACTGGAAGGTGCCCTGTGCCTTCTACTCATGAGCTACTGGCGGATGAGCCAAGTTGAGCACCGACTCCTGGCCTGATTCTGCTTCATAATAGACATTAATGGGAATTCTAATTAATGGCTTGGTAGTGGTATCCTTGCGCTGCGTAACCAACCTCGGATCGGGACTAGCTCAGCCTTGCTGAGCTCGTTTCCTCGATGCTAAACTGGAATCAATGACGATCAATGCGAGCTCCTTGCAGATCCGCACGGCTCGTGACGTGTACATTCGGATGCCCTGGATATTATGCATTCTGCCGGCATCAGTGAGTTGCGCTCGTCCCGCAGCTGTGATACTCATTTTGGCAGTTCACGCGCTGCGTCGACTCCGCTAGCATGAATCCCCAACAACTCGCAATACTATGACGCATGGATGAAGGGCGACCGGGATATTTTCCGTAAGTTGAGCATGGCCTTGGGCTCATTATTAGTATCGTCTGCTCGATGTATGAAGGTAGGATTGCTCTTCCAATTGCTGCTTCCTCGAGGCTATTCCGTCTGTCTAAGTTGGGAAGTTGAGCAGTATGGGCAAGATCAGTCTCTGTGCCGCGGGCCTGGCGTTGGCCAGCTTCGCAATGGCACAAGACGCCAGCCTGACTCAAGATAACACTATCGCCACCTACGGACTTGTCTCCAACAACTCCAGATTCGATACGATTCTGCGCGTGGACAATGGGACCTATGGCCCTGCCGTCGAAGAAGTGCATTATTTCTATAAATACTGGCCCATTGGCATCGCCGTGTCCAGCACCTCGAGAATCTTTGTCTGTTACACCCGTGGCGACTACGAATACACCGTTGCCGAAGTCAACAGCACGACTTCTGAGACGCCTTTCCCGTCTGCCGGTCTGAACTTACCTCCTGATGCACTCAACACAACTTTCAACAGGATTGACTTCGGAAGTGCGAATTCCACCGGCCTGATCAGTGTGCAGGCGCTCTACATCACTCCTGCAACCTCTTCAGGCCGACCGGAAACGCTGTGGCTGTTGGACACAGGCCGGCCGACCACCCAGTCCTCTTCTGGGAGCTACACGATGCCGTACGCGCAGCCGGGTGGGCCAAAAATTGTGGGCGTCAATTTGTCGAACAACACCGTCTACGCGACCTACACCTTTCCGTCCACTGTACATTATCCCGACTCATATATGAACGACATCCGCTTCGATCTTCGAGCCGGGAACGAAATCGCCTATATCGTGGACTCGAGCAACGAAGGCCGCAATGGGTTTATCATGCTGAATCTCACGGACGGCACGTCGTGGCGGAGGTTGACGCAGCATCCGTCAGTGCTGCGTATATACAATGCATTGCCGAGCTATCAGGGCCATCCATTCTACTACCGCAACCCGGGCATGAGCATCTCGCATCAACAAGAGGGCTTTGACGGCATCCAGATCTCCCCGGACGGTGACTACATCTACTACTCGCCACTGACATCGCAGAACCTCTACCGCATACCGACCGCTAACTTACTGTTACAGGACAGTCAAAGCCCGCTCGCCGAACAAGCAGCGTCCAACAACGTCTCGTGGCTCGGCCAACGTGGAGGTGAAGCCAATGGCTTCGAGGGCGATAGTCATGGCCTGGTCTACATGCTCATGCCCACCCACAATGCCATCTACTACTACGATCCCGCAGACCTGCAAGTTCACGGATTCATACGAGATCCTAGGATCCTGTGGCCTGACAGCGCGAGCGTCGCGGAAGACGGATACTTCTACGTTATAATCAATCAGCTGCCGTATCAGGACGAGTGGAACAACGGGGCAAATCTAAGGCAGTTTCCGGGGGCAATTCTGAGGGCCAAGTTGTTAAATAATGCGACCAAGATCACGTCGTTGGGATAGCCCGAGACAAATTCAAGGGCCTTGACATGAGCACCCTAGGTTCTGATTTTTTGGGCTGTCGACGGCCGTTTGCATTCGCTCTTGGTAGAAAGAATAGGGAAACAAGATACGAAGGATGCAGAGAGTATGAAGATCGTGTATAACATCTCCAACCGGTGAATTGTACTTAAGAGATGCTCTTAGCGTCATCAATAGGTACGAAGAGGATTAGTAATCGCAGGCACAGCTGCCAAGCGGGGGTTTTCAACCACATCCCATCACCGCCAAAACGCTCAGTACAAACTTCCTCAATCCCAATCCCTGCTGAGAGTTCGGTGGCCATTCATCACCATAGCGTGCATCGCGTGGAATGTCGAAATGGGGACGAAAACTCCGCAAAATGAACATCGTAGAAACTATGGTATGTGCTGACGCCACCTCCGAGATGCCCCAAGTCATGTATCTGATGAAAGGTTTCAAGGCGACTCGCCCAACTCTGATGGGACCTGTCACGTCGGTGGTGAGCCCCGGGGCTCTCACATGTCCAGAGACGGAGATGGTTGTCTCGGCGACGTGGGAGGAGGTGATGACGAGAGCGACGGCGACGGCGATGGAGACGGTGAGAGAACAAACCTAGGACCGCTGGAGGCGCCCTCGACCACAGGAGTCAGAGACGCACAGAAGAAACGAAAGAAGCCCAGGAAGAAGAACAACAAGAAGAAGAAAGGGCCGGTGCTTTTGCCTGTCAAGCAGTCTTCGCCACCGAGAGTCCTGTTGAGCGACCTCTTCCCGTCTGGCCAGTACCCCCAGGGCGAAGTGCAGAGCTACACTGAAGCAAGGACAAGAGCGGCTGAAGCACGCTACACAGCTCGTCGGCACTGGGAAGACGATGCCTTCCTCCAAAACTACCGCAAGGCCGCCGAGGTGCACCGGCAGACCCGACAATGGGTCCAGGAAAGCGTCAGGCCCGGCCAGACACTCCTGGACGTCGCCGAAGGAATCGAGGATAGCGTCCGGGCGCTGCTCGGCCATGCCGGACTGGAGCCTGGGGACAGCCTCAAGGGCGGTATGGGCTTCCCGACGGGCCTCTGCCTCAACAATCAAGTCGCGCACTACACGCCCAACCCGGGCCAGAAGGATGTCGTCCTACAGCAAGACGACATCTTGACGGTCGACTTTGGCGTTCACAGCAACGGCTGGATCGTCGACAGCGCCTTCACCGTGGCCTTCGACCACACCTACGACAGCCTTCTGGCAGCTGTCAAGGATGCGACCAACACGGGGATCAAGGTACAGTACCGAGCTCCTCACGCGGGATGCAACCAAGGGGGGCCGGGGCACCAGGGCTAACAATCCATCGATAGACCGCCGGCGTCGACGTCCGCATAAGCGACGTGAGCGCCGCGATCCAAGAAGCCATGGAGAGCCACGAGGTGGAAATCCGGGGCAAGACGTTCCGCGTCAAGCCCGTGCGGAATCTCTCGGCCCATGACATCAAGCGGTACCGCATCCACGGCGGGAAGTCCATCCCCTTTGTCAAGAACTCGGACCAGACCAAGATGGAGGAGGGCGAGGTCTTTGCCATTGAGACGTTTGGCACCACGGGCCGCGGATACGTGGTGGACGATGTAGGGCAGGCTCCTTTATTCTTTGTCCCCCTGTTTCTCCCTTCAAATCATTCCCACATGGAAAGCAAGAATCAACCCTCCCCGCTCCTAACTAACCAAAACCTGCTGGGCGTCAACAGGTAGGGGTATACGGCTACGGGCTGAACCACAACGCTCCACTGGCGACATCCCTGCCCCTCGCCTCCGCCAGGCGCCTGCACAAGACGATCCGCGAGAACTTCGGCACGCTGGTCTTCTCCCGCCGCTACCTCGAGCGACTCGGCGTGGAAAGGTATCTGGCCGGCGTAAGTACATTCCCCGCCCCCTTCTCCCACATCAGCGAAGAAAAGAAAGGTCGGGAACCCGGGCGAACCCCCCGTACTGACTGCGGTTGCCAGATGAACTGTCTCGTCTCCAACGGCATCGTGGAGTCTTACGAGCCCCTGATGGATATCCCCGGCTCCTACTCGGCGCAGTTTGAACATGTCAGTGGCCTTCCTCCTATGTTTTCGTTTTCTCCCCGAAACCGAAAATCCCCAAACAATGCAGATTCAAAACGCTGACAGTCGAATCCTTGTCGTTTTATAGACTCTTCTCCTGCGCGAGACGCACAAGGAAGTCCTGAGTCGCGGAGACGACTACTGAGGGAGATGCCCAATAGGGGCATTTATGCCACGCACACACACAGAGAGAGAGAGAGAGAGAGAGAGAGAGAGACAGGTCGATTTCTCTAGGTCTACAGAGTGCTGTGATTTGCTTTTCGTTCTTTTTATGAAACCCCCCTTGGTGTTGGTTTTTTCCTCCCCTTCCCTAGATCATGAAGGCGGGGGTTTTTTCCCAGCACTGTGACGCGAATGCGAAGGAGGGGGTTTGGTGCTGCCTGTTTACAAGGAATACACTGCGTCTTATGTAGCCGCGTCCCCACGGATTCGAATTCACAATATGATTCAATTGATTGTGGGCGCAATCCCCATGTACCTACCACTCTTTTGTAGAAGGAGATTTGATCAAATGTCGACCTCTGCTACGACCAGACTTGACACGGGCCTGAATATCAGGACATGGCTGTGGATGACGAGAGGATAAGGATGTGGCAGCATCTGTGACTGGGTATGAGTTTCATAGTCTAGGTACTGATCGAAACAGGTGATTACATCAACCGCGGTCTGCTTTCTACCCTGATATCAATGCCCTATAACAATCGAGCACCCAAGAGGAAGGGCGACCAGTCTTGACCTTGTACTCTTTGGCCTTGCAGATAGCAGTGCCAGTCACTTATCTTCCTGCTGTTGCTGATATAAAATGTGCATCCATCCCGAGGACAGTGCAGTAAGGCACGAAGCTTCAGTCACGAGACCAAAACTTGAGATTGAAGCCTCACTGCCCCTGCTGTTCACCGGCCTCAGGGGTTCTACGTGATCGAGAGTAGTTTGAGCTCGCTGCGGACACATCGACATCGCTTGACGACATTTTCCAGATGAGCGGGTGGTCAGGGGGAGAGCAAGCACAGCAAAAGCTGTTAGCCGATTTCCAATGGCAGCGAATCGCTCCACCTTGCTCATCCAGGAGTTCGATCAAGGTCGCGAGAATCGAGGACGTCTCACGCAAAACGGTAAGTGCATTGGTCCCACTGGGTCCAGCAACCCCTTAGGCCTTTTCGATAGTGCTGCTCAAAAATAGTCAGAGGAATGCAAGGATCCCGACGTAAGAACCTGTTCAACGAAGTCGAGCCTTCGCCAATCTCAAGGATATCCGCACAAAAAAGCAGGCCCATGCTAGATAGTATCCCGGCTTCATGTTCAGGACGTTCCACACTGCTCTGCGGAACCAACAACCACCTCGTCCATGCCGACGACTTAATAGAGAGTGGTCTGAGGGTTCGGCGAAATTTGCCTACTTACTTTCCAGTGTCGTCCAATCTTTTGGATTTCATAATTGGTGAACGTTAGTTCTATTCAATCCACGAGGCGCTTGAGGGTCTTCCACGAGCGAAGTCTCAAGACCCTCCCGCTCTCGCGCAAGCTTTCCTGGCCTGAAGGTTACTCGTAGCTCGTAAAAAGTCCCGGTGAACGCGTACGAGTACGTCTATACCTTCCGTGCATCCAGACCCTTGAGTTGTCGTGTAGGTGGTTCGTCCATGCGTTCAGCCACAGTGGCGAGGTTGAAGGGATGTCGATCTCCTCGCTTCCGGAAAGATTTTCAAGAGCTGTGGCGCAGAGCATGTGGCGTCCCGTTACACCACGGCGGTCCCTTTGAAAGGCTCTAGACTTTGTGCCCTCCTTGGCGTGAACCTTCGATTGCGCGTTCTTTGTTTCCCAGCCTTCTTTCCTTCCCGCGCAGCATTGTGTCCAGATACGTGCCTTCAAGGGAGACAAATATTCAAACGTCGTTGGTCGGATACTCCTTCCGGGCAGGGGAGGGAAATTCTGTTCAGCCCGAAAAATTGCGGTCCAAATAATAGTCCCCCAGTATGATGCCGCTTCTGGAACATCGGCAAGTATACTTGCCCGGAGCTCATTTACCAAACCAACAGCCCCGGTCCTGGTATTTCGGAGAATATTCGAAGTCGCCTGTGCAATTTCCAAACGAAATTTTCTTCTTCCCGGCGGCCGCCATTGACTCCGCGGCAACAGTGAGCCTGCGGTATGATCAGAGATTTCGAATCACCACTCTCAACACGTGCGGTTCATGTGCCGAAAGAGGCATTTGGCAACTGGACTCCAGGCAAATTTGCATAGCTGTCACGAAGAAAAGCGCATGGCGAATAGCGTCCCCACGGCACAAAGACGTTGGTGGGGCACCAATTTTGTGCCACAGCTCGTCTCGCCTGTTGGCGGCGCTCCCAAGAACCGATCTGGTGCCCCCCGTCCACTTTTAGATGGGCCTCCCTCATGGGGGTGCCGCCCAAATTTTGTTCCACCCGTGTTCCAGCTGTCTCGAATCGAGATTGCCGGGGTCACTCTTTCTAAGAGTCCACTCAAATCACTGCTCTGCCTTTAACCGACATATTTGTACGTAGTATTGATTGCAACTTGGCGACGTGAGCTGATGCCATCCATTAACCGGATTAATAGGAATGACCTCATCACCGTTGGATCGTTGCTTGAGACGCCTGCACCAGTTATGTCGAGTCGGAAATTGAGGAAAAAGCTTGCGGGGGTGCATCTTATGGAGAGTGCACTTTTGCGTTGGACTGGGTGACTCCGAGACTTCCCTAGACGGCCTGATTGAGGAGTTCTCTCCAACGTCCCCAAGATTTACTGATTGGTGGTATGACGGGCTTGCCGTGTAGAATGACGAATGGCTTGTGAGATCAATTGTGGGATTGTCAAATGATCACTTGACCCGGTGTGTCCTCGAATCTCTCTTTTCGTGCGCCCGTCCTGTTTCATGTTGCAGAAGCTGCGGTCACGATGGTTGGTCAGTGGGCGGAGACATGATGTAATTTTGGAGGCTGCATCATGACGAATTTTTGCCGTGTTGCTTGAGGCACCGTAGCGTGATGGGCAGTCATTGGGCACCACGCCAGCCGGCGGGTTTGGCCTGACCGCCTATCGGCGACTCTGTCAGCTGCTCTTTCATCCTAAAATGAGTAGTATCGCATCGGGTCAATCTGGTACGTTGGGCATAGATAATGAGAACTTTCGGTGTTTGGGTAGCCGAATACGGAGCCGCGGTCATGTGGATCGAGGGCCGGACAGCTGAGAAGCCAAAGCGTGTGGTATCACTTCTATCACCGAAACGTCTCTTGAATCTTAACAGATTGTGACTTTCTGGCACCGCGGTGCCCTACCGTACTGTACTGTACTGTATCGCTGTATACGCGTCCAGCCGAGAGGGAGATACGACCCCATGAGTCAGTTGGTGGCGCTGTTGGCGGTAATTGGCCTGCTTCCAGAGACGGCTTCTGGGCGAAGTTGAACAAAGAGGAATGATCGACGGCAAGGGAGCATGCTGATCCTCGTGGGCACGTGTGGGCGATCAGCAGAGTTCATGCCTCCTACAGCGATAGATTAGCATAAGCGATCTGATGATGATGATAGCGATGATCAAACAATCGCCTGTGGCTGAAGATGGATGACTGACGAGCGTTTCACCTGGCCGCCGTGATCTCGCTCCAGCCAAAAAGATGGAGGAATATGGGGGAATTGCTGTGTGAGCGGCTTTGCCAACCGAGATGGGAAACAGAGATGGGAAAATGAAAGGGAGCAAGCCACAGCTTGGGTTTGGGAGTGGGGTGGATGTCCGGCACCGGCAAGTGTGCTGCTGACGAAGCCGGTCGTCCGCTTCAGACGCAGGTGGAAAGATGCTACTTGCCAGGCTGAAATATCCGACTTTTTCGCCACAGCGAGCAGCCACAGCTTTCGAGGGAGAGCGCAAGCTGTAAAGCCACAGCAGGGGGGTGTACGTGTGGCTGTGTGGCTGTGCAGCGGTGCGGTCGATCAGGTCGATCGGGTCGATCAGGACGTCTGGACCTTGCATAGGAAGAGAGTTCTGCCACGAACTTCCGCTGTCATGGGAGGGATGGACCTGGCTGGTGGAGGGCGGACGGTCGAAGCAGTCAGTAGTCAACAGGAACAGGGTACAGGGAGCTGAGGGAGGCAGCAGCAAGACCAAGTTGACGAGAGGTGAGAGGAGGAGAAGAGAGGAGGGAGAGTGGCAGAGGGTGCATGATGGACGGGCCTTGGCCTGAAACGCACGAGGGTTGACCAGTCAGCGGGAGCCGATGACCGGCAAGTCACCCACAGAGGCTCCCGAAACAAGCCACGTCGGGGGCGCAAGGTGCCTGTAGGTGCCTGTAGGTGCCACTGGTGATGCCACCGCCTGCCACGGAAAATGAAGTGAACGCCACGTCTGGCTCGCCCGCTAAGCCTGTTCCAAGTGGCAGCTCCGGTCCGGGTGCTCCAATGATCAACTGGGGGGCAGGCGTGGCTCAGTTCCAAGCATTAGGCGCATGGGTGGAGCGCAGTGGAGCCCCCGTGTTTAGGCTTTGAGAATTAGGCTCCATGCTAAACATGGGCCTCGATGTTGCCTTACCAAGTACGCCGAACGGACGCCCGTACCTGCTTCGTTCAGCCCAGGCAAGCAAATCGACATCTCATCCCAATTTTTGTCCATGGCCCATGGCCCGCTAGAACAGACAAGTGATCCACCCCTTGTTGCTTCATCCTCAGCACCCTTAAGCCCATCCTTGGACCCAGGACCCCCCCCAATCATGGCTGCTAATCATCATCCCGAGTGCCATGGGTGTGGCTAATTCCATCGCTGCTGCATCCGAGGCCCCATTCTTCCAGTACATCGTGATGACCACCCCCCCCGGTCCGTTCATTTTGACGAGACTCGCTCCACCGCGTCCTATGTACTACCGTGCATCTACTACCTCACACCTCACACACACTCACACACACTCACGCACACCAGCATCTCAAACCCTCGTACCTCGCCTGTTCCCTCCGTCGATCCTTTTTTATTGTCTATCTTTTTCTTCTTATTCTCTCGCCTGTCTTCATATTGCTCTCCAGAGCCCACCCTCTCCCCAGAGCCTGTCTGCCCTACCGATCTCGAACGACCGTTCAGCCCCCATCCTCAAACAGAGACCTCTTGACGAAACGCGCACGCAACAGGGCGCAGCACCTTCATCGAACCTCTAACATTCCTGCATCTCCTGCAATCAGATCCTCTCCGAGCACGGTCGCCATTGAACTGGTGCACCACGCTTGAACTGCCGTCGCCTCCCCTCAAGCGTTCGACGCGCATCTGGCCGGCTCCATGTCTTTGATTTGACCTCATTCTCTCTTGGTTCACCAGCCTGAGACGCTTTCCCCGCCGCAAATGTTTCGCAATCGGTCAGTCTTTGCCTTTCGATCTATACCCCTTTCATCTCCACAGCCCGAGCCGACACAGAGCAATACTGACGTGCAGTCCGCATTGTTTAGGCGCAACACTCAGAAGCCTGATGAGGAGTTGTACGCGGCCTTCAAGCAGAACTTCCCCGAGATAGGGCCTGGGTCGACCTCAGCTCTGCAAGGGGAGGCCGGTGCTGGCCGCCGATCGTCAACTTTAAGCGAGGCTATCATAGATGAACCGTCGACATCTCAGCGGTATGTTTGAGATTTGTCTTACTTCAACCCACCAGTCTCTTCACTTGGGTCCCCCCCCAATCTTGTCCATCGTTGACCCAATGTCTCCAACTCTACTCCGCTCTGGGCATGGCGACGACCATGCCGACAATGCTGACTATTTCTCCAGAGCCTTTGAAGGCCAGCAGCCCGAGGTGAAGGAGCAGGATGCCACTCCCAAACCGTTTTCCGATGCCTGGAGGTTTACTCCCTCCCTCATGGATCCCAATTCTTATGCCTTCTCTGCATTTGCCAACCAGCCTCCGGGGTACTACACTCCCACTCCTGGCGGCTTTGGAACTCTCTACCACCCTCAAGCGGGCGACCTTCACACGCCCGGTATGGGAATGAATACCCCTCTGTCACTACCGCACTCTGTCCATGGACTCCACGCCCAGGACCAAATGATGCACCTCCAACACTTCAACCCTCACCTCCTGCATCAACCCCATCCCTTCCAGGATCCCTTCCATCCTCAGCAACCTCCTATTCATGTCCCTACGCAGCAGCCACAGACATTTGCGCCACAGCAGTTCCTGCAGCATCAGGACTCTGGCTATGTCGCGATGGACGAGACCCCTCATAAGACGACCCCGACACAGGCCGAGATTGGCATCGAGCAGCAGACCATGAATCAATCCATGCGACAGTCTATGTCCGGAAGTGTCGCCATGACTAGTCTACCTATGGGAGAGAAGTTAGTATCGACCAGCGTCGTCCAGGTACTCTCTGACATGAACGGCAGGTTTCGATATCACACGACATTGAATGCTCCAACAGCAATGGTCCGTCACGCGGATGAAATTCCTATCACGTACCTGAACAAAGGCCAAACCTACACCATGTCGATTTGGGACACCACCCCGCCCTTACCGCAGAACGTCCCTCTCAAGTATCGTACTTATGTCCGAGTTTCCTTTGAAGACGAACAGCAAAGAGCGCGACCCGGTGCATGTTGGCAGCTCTGGAAGGAAGGCCGCGGCTCAAACGAAGCCCACCTGCGAGGTGGGAGACTTTTGGCCGTAGAATTCGTCGACCAAAATTCGGGTGCGGATGACGACTTGCGGAAACCCCAACTTCAACTCGAGAAAGCCTCGTTTGATGGCTTCGCCGTGACGTGGTCTCCAGGTTCCGTCAACGGAAGCCCCGATTGCTCCATATCCGTCCGTTTTAATTTCTTGTCGACAGACTTCAGCCATTCTAAAGGGGTCAAAGGCATACCAGTTCGGCTTTGTGCCAAAACCGAGCTGCTCACCGCTCAGACAAACGCCAGCAACGAGCCCGAGGTGTGCTATTCCAAGGTCAAGCTTTTCCGGGATCACGGTGCAGAACGCAAATTGTCGAATGACGTCGCACACGTGAAGAAAACAATCGACAAGCTCAAACAGCAGATCGCCCAAGCTGAAGCAGGCTTGGGAAGCGCTGGAAAGAGGAGGAGAAGCAGCTCAATCGCAAAAGCTTCAGCGTCCAAACCTGGAAAAGTTGCGAAACACAAGCGGACTTGGTCTATCGACTCGGAGGCGGAGGGAGTCAAGTTTACGGCCGAAGAAGACCTCCAAATGAAGCTGGTCAGTATGCAAGATATGTTTTCTTCGACAAGACCCGTCAGCATTTTGTTTTTGCGTGGTGATCCAGAAGACGATCCAGACCTGCATCCAGTCAAACTTCCCGGAGACGACCCTGAAGGCAAAGAAATCGTGCGGACTGGTACCTGGGAGTCAAGACAGAGTGCATCGGACTCCCCTACGTCCAATGCTGGTTCACCGTCTTCGAGCTCTGCTTCACAGAACACCCCAAAGAGGAAATTCTCCGACCTGCAACAGACTGCCATTTTGGAAGAGGGAGAGAGCGAACACGACCACGAACACGCCGGAGGTCCCTCCGGGTCAAGGCCGGTCAAGATTCCAAAAACCGAGGCCGAATCTGTTGTTGGACTGGATCTTTTTGCTGTTGATGTGGACAGCAACTATCGGCCTCCTGTGGAAAGGCCCATTCGGCCAGGTAAGTGTCCTATGTCTATCGAAAAATTTCCAAGCTAATGGGTCCAAGTTGCGTGCTTCTACGTGCGCCAAAAAGATGCCGCTAAAGAATACTACCGCGCAATATACTTGATGCAGCGCACCGTCAAAGATCTGGTCAACAACATTGCAGCGAAATTCCAGACCGACCCTCAGAGAGTTACTCAGGTCACGCATGTCAATTCTCGCGGCCTTCACATCATTGTGGACGAGGACGTCGTCAGAGAACTTCCGGAGGGTCAAGATATGATTGTCGAATTCACGCCACTCGAGACTGATCGACCGGTGAAACACGAATTCATCGCGCCCGCGGCTACAGAAGTGAAGGTCGACAGCGAGCTACCACCTACGGAGTCATTTGTTTCGGACCCGCTAGAGATGTGGTTGAACTATTGAAGATTTGTACACCAACCCAGGACGCGGAAATTGCATGAGATACCCCTGGCTTTCTTGATTCTATTTGTTTTTCATCACGAACACGACATATGTTATGGCGGTAAATTGCAGAGGAGAGTTCGGACTTGTCGACATCGAACGACCTATCGACTTTATTTGATACCCCTTTTAATGGCGAAAGGCCATATCCAAACTCGGTCTCTGGACTGCCGACACCTCCGTTGAGAATGTACAGTTTGGCAACAACGGAAGAAGGACAGCTTGCGGCCGATTTCTCCGACAAGGATCTTTTTGCAACCAATGTTTCTTTTCTTCTCCTTTCCCTTTTTTATACTTCAGTACAACGAAGGACGATTCGAACGAAGGGATGATATACGGGTCCCCGAGCGAGCTCCGACCATACTTTTCACGAGAAACATGACTTTTCGAGATACCCACATTATTGGATTTTTCGTTTGTTGCAAACGATGATACCCAAGCGTGACTTCTACTAGAGGTCGTTATCAATATCAATGTATCGACCAACTAATTGATTACACAATTCAACTTTGACATGTCTCGATTCTTTGCCGACAGGCTGCTTTTCGTGTCGAATCCACGGCTTGAGATTCGACAAACAGGGCGAAACTTTTCGCCAGCGCATACGCAACAAGGGGTTTCTTTCTTTGCCTTGGAGGACGGGATGGAGGAGCGCCTGCCAGGGACGGTCGGGGATTGGAGGCTCAGAGGGACAAATCTAGTGGTTCTCGTTCTGCAGGAACGGTATCATGTGGATTATTAGCAAGGGGAGACGGAGGAACCAATAACAACCTTGAAACAAGGGCAGGGGCCAATGGTTCAACGTTCCGGAGCCGACTCGAAGGCCGGCAAAAGGTGGGGGAAGTGATGGCCGTCTGAACTGGCTCGCAGGTGGAGACGAGTATCTGCCATAGGCAGTGGCAGTGTTTCAGGCAAGAGTGAAGGCCAGAGTGACAGCAAGGACTGCGAAGTTGAACAGCCACAGCATGGGTTCCGAAGATAGAAATCAGCTGACTAGCCGATCTTTTGTTCGCTTAAGGCCGTGTCTGGATATCTGGTGCTTGGAACATGCATGAGGCTAGGACCGTCGCATGCGTGCTCTACGCCAATGCAAACGCAGTTCTGGCTATCGACCAGCTCAAGCTAGAAGCGGCTCTGATCATCTAGACTCTCCCAATAAGTCAAGAATAGCTCGGTTCACGAGAGACGAGCGGGCCACGTCAGCCTCAGGCCATTCGAGGCGGTTGGACGCATCTTCCGCTAGCGGGACAAGAGGCTGTTGGCCACGAGCGTGAGGCAGAGCAGCGATCGTGACCTCAACGGCGGGACAGGGGCCACAGGGCCACGGAATAAGAGAATGATCAAGGAAACGTTTGCAGCGGGCCAGCCGGATCAAAAAACCGAGGCCGGGCGGTCTTGGCTGCATAGCTCTATGGATGAACGTCCCGCTGGGATCGAAGATGTGCCGACGTAGCAGTGTGAGAAGTTGGAAGACTGCCATCCATCTTCACCGCTACCAACCTCGCGTCAAAGAAAATGCGGCAAGGAGCCTACTGGCAAGCAAGTCATGCATGTTGCAAAGACCAAGGTAGTCCGCCTGTAGTGAGAACTCAGTGTCGAGACGGCGATGGGAAAGGAGCAAAACGCATATCCCCAGCCACCGCATTTTTTCGAGACCACGGAACGGGTCGCCAGCACAGAATAAGAACCTACTGTAAGATCGGAGAAATTGCAGGATGTGAGACATGCCCGGCCTAAGCGAGCGAACCTTTGCCTGAGAGCGTTGCATTGACGGATAGCGGCCTGAGAGCGAGCATCTCGATGATTGTCGGTTACTAGGAGGAGGATGTGACGGGGCGGCGTTCAAATACGGAGTACAGCTGAGATTATGACGTAATGGGACTATGGGGGCACCGCCACACATGGCGTGCCACAGTCACGTGCAAGCACGTGCATCTGCGCCACGATATGCTCCTCTATCTCGACTTCGCGTGTCCTTGTTGTTCTGTTTACACATCTTTCGAAACTACTGTGGCTATCATACCAGTTGATGGACCCCCAATTGAGTGCAATCATCTTCATGACGCCTTCATGACGGTGCACCAACCATGGCTTGTCCATCCTCGACCAGCTTCATAATGTCATCTCCCTTTGTTGAGCCTTGTCGACAAGGCTTTATTTCTCCCATGTTTGTACTGTGAATCTGTCTTTGTTCCCCTGCGATTCATGAAACAGCCTCGAACAATGCCGATTCATTCTGTAAATGTGTTCTTTGAAGCTCTATTCACTCAAGATATGGTCAATAGACTCTACGTAAGGCTTGCTCTTGAGCACAATGTCACTCTTATTCACTACTGCGATACTGCCGCACCACCACGAGTGCAGATTGTCTTGCCCGTCTCCAAAGACAGACTCTCATTTCTTCCCGGCCGTCCTCAGTGCTTCACCGTTCCATTAATGCCAACAACATCCATCCTATCTACGGCGAAGCAAAATGGCAAACCACTACTCAGTGCTCGGTGTCTCCTCTGACGCTACTTACCAGCAGATCAAAGCATCATATAGCAAATTAGTTCTCCAAGCTCACCCTGATAAAGGTGGATCTCAGTCTAAGTTCATCCAGATTCAGGCAGCATGGGAAGTTCTCAGAGATCCTACCGCTCGCGCAAAATACGACAGAGAATGCCGCAACACAGCCAGCCAGAATACCCAGAAACCTCAACACCATCGCAAAAATCAAACAGGTTCGGGTGGTGATCACTCTTCCGCAGAATCTGGCCCTAAGGCAGGACCCAACTTTGATTCTTGGTCCCGGTATCGTGACTCTGCGGCGGGTTCCGCTTACAACAGCTACTATGGCTCGTCCGCCAGAGCAGCAACCGACGGCGACACAAAGCCGAGGGCTTCAAGCACACCAGGGCCAGAACAGTCTTCACGTCACCCGCCTCGCAATGGACGAACGAATAATAGGGATTCCCACTCCCATTCGAGACCCCAAGGCCACAATGATTTCCCTCCTGATAACTCGAGGCCCTCATCTCCAACGCCCGCGATGCCAGCCGAGCTCGATGTGAAGCCCATCAAAGCCCTTACCGATCAAGCGTCTCGAAACCTCACACGCTACAAACATCTCATCGACATGCTACGCTCATCCACCAGTAGTCGCCCGCTTTCGCAAGAGATTCAAATCAAACTAGAACATGTGCACCTCTTCCTACAAAATCGGGTGCTGCAGTTGAAGCAAAGACTCAACGAGATCAAGATGCACAACAGCAACCTGAGAACCAAGACTCCGTTAGAACCGATGGAACGATTCTTTGTCTCGCTGTGGGAGACCATCGTCAAGGAGGACAAGGAGACAATGTCCGACGTGAGCATGTCAATGTCAAGAGTCTTGACAGATATAAGCCAATGGCTGCGTAAGAGGAAGGTGCTGGAGGCACGTGGGCTTGATGTCACCGACGACGACAAAGCCACCCAAGACCTGAGAGCGAGCACCGAGGCGTTAGAGCGACTGTTGACCAAGGTGCTCCTCTCGGCGCCTGGGGTTGCGCCACCGCGGTCCTACTGAGTGGCACGCCCTGGGTAGGGCGACAGAGAGGGATTCTGGATGGCGGTCGTTTGAGCTGGTTTGGCAGCGTGGCCGCTCCCCGTGTGCAACGGTGGAGCAAATACGAGATAGACGATGAAAGGCGAAATTCACACTCACTATCCCTCCTGCGTCGGCCTGAAGTACGCTTCTCAGTCAAAAGGCACAAGGACGTTCTTTCCCACCATTGTTGAATGAACTGACGGACGTCGACAGAAGTTGTCCAAAGTATACCCTGGTCTAAAGGAGGTCGAGAACAGTCGCCCCGCCATTGACAAGTGATCGACAACACGCATATGCCTTTCTGGTGTGGCTGTGCAGGACGTGCAGGACTCCCTACTGCACTCCATACCGCGTCTACCCGACCAGATTCGATATGATATAACTATGGTCTGCCAGTGATATGCCGTGCCCACCCCCCTTGAGCCCCCCTTACCCCCTCCATCCGCCGGGAAAAAGGTACCACTGTTCTTTTGCACAAAGACACCTGCAGCGGAAGACCAACACTAACCCTGCAGGGTCCGAGAAGCGCCCAAAAGGCTTTTTCCCCCTCAAGCCTATGGTTTCCCTCCTTTCGTCCCCTTCCCTGTCCTGTTGAAAAAGAGAGGCATCGTGCGTCTGGTCTGGCGCGGCACTGACGGACCCTCTTTTGTGAGTAAACCCCTGGCAAGGAGAGAAGAAGTCTAATCTTAGAATGCCACTGCGCCCGACCAGAGTTGCCAGACCTGCTGTGGATTCAGCTTCATGTACGTACTGTCGCTCTCTCACGGAGGTTTGTTCCGCCTAGGAGGGGGAGACAGAACGCTATACGCCATATGTGGATATAGCCATTGGTTCTGCTGACCAATTGTGCCCCTATCACACATAACCAACATACCCATCTGTCCATTTGTATACCCACAGTCTTTCTCCTTGACTGTTGCCACTTGATCTCAATGCCCTCTGTTCTTCACGAGACAAGAGTAGGCGAGAAAGAAGAGATACACAGCGGTTATACTTGCCGACGATTGTCGTAAGCCCCGAAGGCCAATTTATCTTGTCCATCTGTCTGTCTTTCGTGCACCCGTCTCTTCCCTTCCGCACAGGGTCCATCACGGTGGCGACTGAGTCTGCGCGTTCCACGCCCCAGGCTCACCTTGATCTTTGTGTTTCTAGTCCTCCCTGCCTTCTGTTCGTTTCTATTTTCAGATGGTTCACGATCGGGTCGGTATCGCCGCAGCTATGCGCCTATATACCTATTGGGAGGCAATACAATCGCCAACGATGGACCGTTCGAGATCCCTTGCCTCGCCAAATCTTTCTCCGCTCCCGAACGGGCCGGCGACGTTGTTCTCCGAACTCTCCCACGATGAACCCCTTGATAATCCCTGTTCATGTCAGATATGGAGTCCACGGTGGACGCTGGTGGCGAAGATTGTCTTTCTGGGACCCCGATAACCCATAGTTGTGTGGTTGGACGGGTTAACTTTAATGGAGGACAGTAGGAGGGTAGATATCGCCGACCGGGGGGCAGCGAGCGAGACAAGGAATGGTCGTAGTCAGTAGTCGGGGGCGGGAGGGCTGCTAGGAAGTGAGGCGTGAGGAATGGTTGTTGCTACTTGGTTGGAGGCAGAAAGAAAAGAAAGAACGGAACGGGAACCAACTCGGTCTCCTCCTCTGTCGTGGTGGACAAACTTCGATCGAGTAGCTTCTTCTCAACTGCACCCACGTGAAACTACGCCGTGGGAGAGGGCTCAGATAAAGATGGATCAAGGTTAGAAATATAGCAAAAGACCGAGTGATGAGAGGGAAAGGAAAAGGAACATCTGTCGTAACATGTTCATTACCGCCGTAGAGCACAGCGTTTGCAAAACTCGATATTGTCAGCCTTGTTACCCCGTCCTGCTTTGCTTGTCCAGCCCCCGTTTCAGTTTTCGTGATATTCATGATTCCCCCTTTTGCCGGCCCACCGAACCTGCATCCCATAGCGGCATGTGCTGTGTCCGAGAGATGAAATAAAGCCCCTCATCCGCCTTCCGTTTGAACGAATTACTCGTCTTCCTTCTGTTGCCGTACCTTGCGTCCAGGTCCCTGATCCATCCAACGCCTTCGATACCCCAAATGAAAACAATTTGCTCGTACCTTCATCCCCTCTGTCAAATGTGATCCCCATTGAGTGGGCGGTGCTGTTGAGTTGTTTTCTGTAAGGATATTCTTGGTAGTGCACAAAGAGTCCCAATCCCCTGACCACATCCGTCCGCCGGCGAGGTCCGTTTCTCTTCGATAAAGAACCGTGCTGAGCTGCTAAGGACATTAGGTCCGGTCGCGACAATGTGTGTCCCTGGCCAAGACCTGAATGCCAATCCATACATCCCCGTTACCGAGAAAAGAACAATCGCGGGTCTGTCGCGGCCAGCCGATACTCACCCCTGGAGGAGAAATCCGTCCTTGAACAGCACTCAGAGATCGCCGTCTACAGGGCGTTGCCCACGGCGAAGGTCGTAGTAGCGCAAAATGAAATCCAGAAGAACGATTCCGCCGATTCCAGGCTTCAGGATATCTGTTTTCGACTTCCGGTTTGTCGTCCGATGCGCCAGTCCTTGACCGACTCTTAATTTCTGCGCCATGGTCTGGTTCAATCACTTTCGCATCCTGAGTTCAATCTTCATCACTGCTTTCCGACTCACTCAAAATCCCTTCTAAATATTCGCCAGGAAGAAGGTGCATCCCAAAGGGCTCTAGCTCTGAGTGAGTGTAATCCTTCAACTCGAACGTTCCGGGATCTGCGGCAGAATCGTCGACATCATTGGCAACCGCCATGCGCTCCGCCACCAGCGTCCTGGTGCAGCTGTAGACAATCTCATCTTCCAGGTCTTCGACTTCCTCGAACCATCGCATTATATACTTGATCTCCAGAAATGAAAGCTGCGTCATGAATATGTCGAGGGCTCGAAGCGTCCGATCCTCGGCGTTTTGCATCGCCTCCGTGAGGGGTCGGACATGCCGGCTCTGGACGTCGCAGGAGAGCCGCAGCGACGCGGGAAGAGTCTTGCCCGCATCGCGGTGCCTGAGCAGCGCCTCTGCCAACCCAACCAGGTCGATGTCCTCGGTTTCGGACAGGATGTGGATACGCTCGAGGCCAGCGGGTAACTTGCAAAGGCCATTGACAGGGAACCAGAGGCAAGGGCCTTCGACCCTCTCGTGAAAAGGACGGAAGAAATAGGTGTTCCTGGCGCTGAGGGTGAGCTCCTTGAGGCAGCGTAATCGAGACAGGTCGAATTCTCCCTGCGATATCTCGTCCTCGAGCGCAGTGCCGTCCTGGAATGTCACGCCCAGAGCCGTCAGATTTGGCTGTAGGCGCTGGAGCAGCTTGATCGCTTTGAGGATGAGAATATATTCTTCCCGTTCAATGCTGGGTCTGCTCAAGTGATTAGACATCAGCGATATTTCAAACGACGCCAGCGAGAGCGGCGCGCCCAGCAGGGCGGCCAGGGCGGGCTCCTCGAGCCGACACCTGATGAGCTTGAGCTTCTTGAGCGCTGTCGACTGCTTGGGGATGGAGTCTACCCGGAGATCACGTAGGTCGGCGGCTTCCAGGGTCAGCTCGACGAGCCTCGGAGCGTTCAGCAAAGGCAGAATCAACGACTGCTGCTGCCCCTCGAGGAAGGTCCAGAGTCTCGCATAGCAGTATTTTAATTGGTTGTAATTGGTTGACTGGAAATAAAAGGCCAGGGCAATCGCCCACCTCGTGATCAGGCGTTTGCATTCCTCATCCTTGAGATAGCATTCTGGACAAGCAGACAGGCGTTCCAGGTTGGGCAAAATCGAGGCAAGCGCTATTATCTCTTGGATTTTGTCGTCACGTCTCGGGCTGCCAAGGTAAGCTGGGATAAGCTCCAGGTGCCGGACGTAGTGAGGTCGAAGGGGATAGCGAGCCAGAAAAGCCTTGATTTTGTTGTATTCGTCCAGGTGCCTGACCGAAAGACACCTCCAGAAGAGAGGATCGGAGAGATGGAACGCCTTTTTGCATGTGGCGCGGAATGCTTCAATTGCATTGTCGGAGCTCTCTTTTTTGAGGTATCTCTTTCGGATGTGAGGCCGTGGGAAGTACTCGACTATCTGGAACAAGACCTCGTCGGGCAAGTCGAAGAGGACAAGCCTTTGGCCTTCTTTGTATCCGGCCATAGCTGTCAAGGGCGCCTCCCTCAGGAGACGTAGACGGTGGGAGATACTCAGGATTGGAGAAGGTTGCAGGGGAAAGTCAGTGCTGATCAGGCTGCTGAGGGAGGTTGTTGAGGAAGAGCTAGAGATGAGGTGGAGGCGGGCGCGGAGGCGGAGGATGGCGGGGAAAGGGGCCCAGGATGCTTGGGGTCAGGCTGCTTTTACAGGCAGCGGGGTCAAGAAGCACGGTTTTTGGTCTAGAAAATGCCTCGCCGCCCTGACCTGTTAGGCTCTACCCTCTCAGCCTCATATCCAAGTTGACTTTGATCACCTTCCCAAAAGGCTCGATGGACGTCGGGCCAGACGGGAGGACAAGTGCGGGATGCCTTGTTCCTGTGCTTCTGTGCCTGCACTCAACCGAACAACACTTGCTATGGCATGCTCATGAGAGGCCAACGAGAAGCAACGCACCCCCTCTTCCAACGAGAGTGGCCTCATCATCTGTGGCATTTACTGGCTAGGTCGTGCTACACGAGAGTTCGGCCGAGAAGCAACGCGTCGGAGATAGCGCGAGAAAGCTGTCGTCATGGATTTTCATCCTAAGAAGCGATAGACGCGAGCTGAGAGCGGTTCGGCCGAAGGACAAGGCTGAACCATTCATTAGATGGGAGCGTATTGCCAGTGTAAGTCTTACCTATTAGGTATATAAGAAAGGTCGTCATGGCTCTAATCTAATCTATCAAACAGAGCTTAGGCGTCTCTTTCGTTTGTATAAGAATCCAACCCGGCAAACACGATCCGACATCATGTCCGGGACATTAGCAGTTGTCAGCCAGTCTGGCAGTTCCATCAGCTTCTTCGACCTGGAATCGGGCGAGAGGACGGCACACATGACAGATCTCATCTCAGAACCGCATGAGCTGCTGTTCGATAGCAAAAGAAACGTCATGTACTGCAGCCACGCCTACCACCATGGACACTTCTGGTCGCATGGGGACAACGGCCATCAAATCTCGGTCATTGACCCCGACAAGAAAGAGGTGGTTGACATCATTGAAACAAAACCCGCACTCGGTCCTCACGGCCTGGTCCTTGATGCAGAAAGGGATGTCCTGTGGTACAGTTATGAAGAGCACGAAACTGGTGCGAGTGGAGGAGTGATCGGGATCGACCTGGAGACCCGCAAAGTCATTAAACAAGTCGAGAGCTCGACCAAGACGCATTGGTTCGTGGTAACACCGGACGGGAAAAAGGCCTTCACCTGCAACAAAACTGCGTCTTTCATCTCCGTGCTTGACTTGGAGAACCAACGGATGATAGGAAAGATCGAGACTCCCAGAGGAACAGAGGAATGCAGTATCTCCCTTGATGGAAAGTATGCTTACTTTCCGACGCCCGGCAATCAGCTAGGCAAGGTTGCAGAGAATGCCGAAGTCCTGGTCATCGACACTGCGACGGACCAGATCGTGTCCAGGATCCCACTGGAACATCCGGCCCAGTCAACATATGTTGCAGGAGACGGGAAACTTTTCGTGGGCGAGTACCTCTCTGCCAATGGCGCGGGCTTGGAGGGTCGGCTGGCCGTATATGACTCGAAAGCCCACGAGCTCGTTGGCACGACCAAGATTGGAAGTGTGCCACTGACTTTGCGGGCGTCTCCTGACGGCAAGCTCGGATTCACGGCGAATATCTTCGCCGGGTCGGTCTCGGTGGTCGATATGTCAACAATGGAAGTCATCAAGACGCTCGTGGTGGACACCGAGCGCAGTAAGTTCTCGAATTTGTGTCAAGGGGCTCATGGAATGGTTTATTTCCCCTGAAGCGGCTTTTTGCCGAACGGTTCTGGGATATGCCTTAGCATTGCCATCGTCCATCGATTTCTCATCCATCTCAGCTTGCTTGGGTGTCACAAGTCGAGTTTTGGGCCTCTGTGACGCCAAATGTATTTACAGATGACCTCGAATGTTCACTTCACCGCATTTTGGTCTCATTCTTATGATTTGCCGCCGGCCATCTTGTTCACCGTCCCGCCAATCGCGCCGTCTTCTTTGAACATTCCCCCAATCATCCCGTTTTGATCCAGGGGACCTCCGATCTTTTGGGCTGTGCCGCCGACAGCACCACTGCGGTTTGCCAAAGTTAGACGGAAATCCAGCACCGAGGGGGTTGAGCGGATGAGGAAAAGGAGGTCAGCTTGGTGACTCACTCTGCCGTGAATTGCTTCCCGACTGAACCCTCGGAGCTTAAAACCGGAGCCTATCGTGACGGCAATGGCCATGTCAGTACTAGAGCTGAACATATTTGGACTCGGAGGATGTAGGGAGCAGGGAAGTAGTAGTAGTTCAACAGAGATGAATGGCACAGGTAGGCCTTAACTTTCCTTACCTTGGCACCTGGAGCAGGATTGTACTCCATGACGGGGTTATTGTGAGGGTGTTCTTCCTTGGACTCGGGTCCTTGCCCTGTGAACTTGGACGTGTCGGTCTGACCTTTCATGATGTTCGGCGTCATCTTGCTCTTGGATCTAATAGTAGATGCTGTACGGATATGAAGCAGTCAATCAATCCCGCTGGTTATAGTTGTCACACCTGGTATGTGAGATCGGTGTGGATGCGATAAATCAACGGCGAAGACGGAGTATTTAATACGTAGGACAGCGATGCATTCGGCGACGTAGAATGGTGAAACTTTGCTACTGTGTAATGACCTAGTTGATGGGCCGCCTTTTGAGACCCACGTTGTTGATATTGCGTCATTGAGTGCAAGAAAGTCTGGCTCACCGTCACCAAGCAGTCTTGACAAGTGTAGATCATATAAAGGGCGAGGGAGGGGTGGAAGCGATGGACGGGCGTCATCGAATGCGCCTAGATGGATGGAAGACTCTGCCGCCTGCTTCTCTTTTCGCTACTGGTTCCTCCTAAAGCCAATTATCAGCCAATCGATGGCCACGTTTTCATGCCGAAGGCAGTTGGTAAGTATCCCAGGCGGAACATGCGAAAGAAAAAACAGGACTTTAAAACGTAACGATTGTTCGTATTGGACTTTTAGAAGCTTGCATCGACCTGGGATCCAGCTAACTGGATCCCAGATGTGGTGCCGCTCAGTTCATAATGACATTTCTTGTCTGTGTTTCCAATGATAGTAGATGAAGTCGCCGTTTGTTTTCCCTGTCCCCGGAGGCGCGAGTTGAGCTGTCCAGACCGATGCAAGATTGCCCCGACGATATCTGCCCCGAGTTATAGCAACGTAGCATTTCAGCGTGATCAACTAGCAGATGGCGTGGGTCTTGCCGTGCTTGCCTTGGAGAGAATGTTTCTCATCCTTGTAAGCATTGACATTACGACCGTTTCTTCCGATCTTGGTGTGATGCTTCTTCACATGACTGGAAATCCTGGTAAGTAAAACTAGAAGGAAGAAAGCGGAACAGCGTGCAACGTACTCTTGGTAACGCTCCATGGTCTTTTTGTCCATCTCCCCAAGCACCTGCAATGCCATTTTGATGTCGTTGACCAGGGAATCGCAACGTTGCTTGCTAAAGTCCTCACGGACCACAACACGCATCAGTTTGAGGGTCTCACTATGAGGAGCCATTGTATAGGCAGGGATAATCCAGCCACGTTCTCGAAGCTGGTGGGCGATGGCGAATTCGTCAAACATTTGCTCATTGTCGGGGTCCAGACGGAATGCAACCACAGGGAGTGATCGGCCGCCGCCGGGCGACATGATGATGAAGCCTAAAGCTCTGAGCTGAGCTGCCAGGTAGTCAGACGTGCGAGTGAGATTCAGCATGATACTGCGATATCCCCTCTTGCCAAGTCGAATCATTTGATAGTACTGGCCAATGACGTGGCTAGCTCCTTTGCTGAAGTTTAGGGTGAAAGAAGCCTGGTCAGCGCCGAGATAGTTGATGTTGAAGACGAGTTCTTTGGGCAAGTACTCAGGTGATCTCCAGACAACCCAGCCGACGCCAGGGTAGACCAGACCATATTTGTGGCCGGAGACATTGATGCTGACAACCTTGGGCAGGCGGAAGTCCCAGACCAGGTTGGGATTGACAAAGGGAGCGACAAAACCACCAGATGCTGCATCCACATGGATTGGGCAGTCGATATCTCGCTCGACCAGCAGGTCGTTGATCATCTGGGTGTCTTCATACTCGCCGGTATAGGTCAGGCCGAGAATGGTGCAAATACCAATGGTGTTCTCGTCGATCAGGTTGACAGCCTCCTCTGGGTCAATAACATAGCGGTCTTCGGTGCAGTACACGTATTTCTCTTCGACGTCAAAGTAACGAGCCGCCTTTTCCCAGCACACCTGCACAGCACTGTTCATGACAATGTTGGGTCTTGAGAAGTCCTTTCCCTCGGCTTTACGTTTATTTGCCCACCTCTTCTTCATCGCAAGGACAGCAAGCATGATAGCCTCACTTGACCCAATTGTGGAGGTGCCCATGGCGTTTTTGCCGTCCTCAGACTCGGGGGCGTTGAAGAGACGTGCAATCATATTGACGCAACGGTTCTGAATCTCGGCCGACTGCGGGTATTCTTCGTAATCAATGAAGTTCTTGGAGAAGGAATCGGTCATGAGCTTCTCGGCTTCGTCTTCCTGATCACAGATTGTAAGTCGGCGCTCCAATTTGGGAGGGCGGCAGTTGACAACATACCATGAATGTGGTAACAAAGCTTGCCAAGCTGTTTACAGAGTCTGGTCAGCTTCAATCTTTGTGCCCCGCGGATTTCGACTCACTTTAGCATAGGATTGCCATCGAGACTGAGCTCGTCTTTGATCATGCGGTACGCAATTTCTTTTGGCATCTCTTTCTCGGGGATTTCGTGTGATGGAAGATCCTCCGCAGCAAAGCGGGAACCATAGACGGAGGTGGAGAACTCATCTTCCCCGGGAGGCTCAAGAGAGATATGCTCGAGGCCAGGAACCACAGAAGCCCGACGCCGTGGGTGGCCAAATTCACTACTCTGACCTTTCTGAGGGTCACTCGTCACTTGGGCTAAGTGAACCATGTTGATCGTTCAGTTTTCAGTGAGCGACAAAGTCTCGAAGGAAAGAGGCAATATGGAAATTAGGAAAAGACAGAGGATGATGGAAGAGAAGGAAAGCGGTGGAGGTTATGAGTAGCAGCCCACCGTCCGACAGCAGGCAAAGCGGTGAGGAAGAAGAAAAGACAGGGAGGATTGACGAGTGGAAGAGTATGGAGGGGAGGGTAGAGTCGAGCTGTGCAGGATTTTGTTCTGGTAGCAGGGGGCGACAGCTCAACTGAGAACAAGGACAGCTGAGAGCTGCAAGTGACAGCGTGATGATTGGGTGAGCAGGAAGCTCAGGCTCTCATTTCATTCCTGAATTGTCGTCAGGGCATGACGAAGCTCCAGGGAAGTTCGGGTGGTCAATGCAGATGACTGAGAGAGGGATGGGATGATGAGAGCAAGTTCCATCAATTTGGGTGACAATTGGATGGCAAGGTGGTGTGCATAGTGGGGGGTGGAGTAAAAGGAAAGACATGTTTGAGGGGCAACAGAGCAGCCAGCGAGCCAACAAGCTCAGCACGCCCAGGCGGTGATGGAGCGTTGTACCTAGGCAGTTAGGCTCCGTGACTAAGTCCCCAGGAAGCCCAGACGGCTAACCAGTCGCCAAATGCCCCCAGGGGTGTGCTGGCTATTAATTGGCAGCCCACTAACTGATCGGTCTTTTGAAGTATCTGAGAACAAAACACCACGCCTCGTCCTGCGCCCCTCTTTTCCCACTGGACAATCAATCAGGCCAAAAGATTCCAAGATCATCCTCAACCACAGCTACACCCACGGGATCTAGCGAGCTTGACATTGCTTGGTTGTACTTCCCGCCTCGCCCCCTTGCGCAGATGCAGTAGCTCCAGGCGACTTCCTTCCGATCCAGGTTCCTCGCTTGATCTCTGGCCACCTTGGACTGCTGTCTTACCGTCCATCCAATTCCTGCCATATTTCCTACACCCAGCGATCAAGATTGACAGATGAATACCCAATGGTGAGGCAGAGTCTGAACACTGGGCGCAGAAGGTGATCGACCCATGCCCTCTGAAGGGCCCCGGCGATCAATCGATTCATTTTGCGTGGCGAAGTAGCTAACCAAGTGGCACAGTAGTTACAGCAGTCTCCCTCCCTCAGGCAAAACTCATCGAGCCCGGTCAAGGCCGCCCCGTCACCCCTCGTGCCGCAGCTCCCACTCGGACTTACCTCACGACATCTTCCGCCTTGACTTTGCTCTTAGAGGTCGCTAGATCCAGCTTGTGGCAGATGTATGGATGAACATCATTAAAGGAAGCAGGACTAAGATGATGATACTGGTTGTCCCCACTGTCCCGTGCATCCGCTCCAGCCTGCCCAGATATCTTCTCGCCTCTGACATTCCAGTCTGAGTATGGTTTCACTTGGGCTAGTGAGCGTGAGGTCCTTCTCCACCGCTTCGAGGGCCCCCTCGGCGAATAATTGCTTCTGTTTCAGCGCGAGACGTCAGCTCAAAGGGCAACTCAACCTCCAGGCTAGGCGATTGATAGTTCCGAGAGACAACAGATCGGGCTGCTTCCAATCCTTATCTGTTGGAATCCCTGGTCCAATATTCAGCAACGCTGAGATCTCGATATCTCACCCACAGATCAGAAGCGCTTCTTCGAGTGCCCATGGAGAGATCGGGTGCGACTGTGGCCGACCTCTTCGAAGAAGACAGGATTTCCCATTTTATTCACTGTTTAAAAGAAGCACAAGAAGCTTCTGGAAGTTGGCCTCTTTGGGGATTCGGACTCGATCTTTTGGCTTGTCTTCGACACGGTAGGATCTGGACCGTGTCCATGTTAGAGCCGCTTTTCTCCACGTGGAACTACTCCAGTCGCAAATCTGGCTGTGGCCGAACCTGTCCCTTATTCAGAGGAAGGCACGCACGCATATTCCCATCTGCTGCTCTTGTCATCTCCCGCCATTGTGCCACCCTCTCGGGATACGGCGGCCGGATCCAGCTCATATTACTGGAATGTCTCTCCAGCGACAGTGTTATGTTAAGCCGGCCCTGGTTCAATTCGAATGGACCCTTTCCCCTTTGGAGACGGCTGACTCTTGTCGAGTTAGGTATTTGCCGGTCTCCAGATAAATCGCTGTTCCAGTGTCAGTGTCGAGACAGTATCGCCCCGGCAACGGCCCAAGCCAGCTCATACCTTTTCAGAGAAGAACTATAACATTTTGACTTTGCTTACCCGCCGGTTCCAACACCGCCAATGATGTCTAAAATTGTGAGGCACGGCAGCACGATCAACTCTATGTTGTTTGGCGATAGCCCTACAGACGGCGTTCAGACTGCTTAATGTCAGCAGTGCTTGGAGCCCACCACCATTTCCTCAAGCCGGTGGTTTCAAAGACACGGGATATCGACGAGCGACATCCGACGGACGCACATACCCAAGGCGAGTATGTCCAATGCCTGCCGTTGACTCATTTTGTCGATATCGTCGTGTGCCAGAAGTTTGGCCAGAAGGTGTCGGACGTATGAGCAGAATCGAGAATGCTCTTTCATTCGGAAATGTCCTTGCCCAATTTTTTTGAGGTGCAATTACTGAGCAGGATCAGTCTTTGCTCGGCGTCAGAGGCAGCGAAAGACCTGTTCTGCGCACAGCCATATTCCCGTTGCCCTGTCTGATGGCCGGCAGGGGCCGTGTCTTGTCACTTGGCTGAATGATGACCAGATGCATTGCCCGGCTGCTTGTTTTGTCTCGTGAAAATCCAGCCTGACCAGCCCCTGGCGCGAGACTCACCCATCAGAACCAGTTTTGAGTCAATAGTGAATCACTTCTCTCTTGCTACAGTAGTATTCTTTCTCGTCAGACTGTGCCACTTATTTTTGACATCGGCTCGCCACCAAGGTCGATTCCACAGGAGGAATGAGGGTCATCTCGGGTTCGGGCAAAAGTATAAGGACTGGTGCTCACCGAGTTTCATAGTACGGAAATGAGATGAAGCAGGGATATCAATCAGATGTATCGCTGGCACATTGAATACTGGTGTAGAGATGGGCGACTTCATTCATCTCGCCGTTGATCGTTATGGAGATGCGGCGTCGGAAAAACGTTGATGCGCGTCCCGTTGCACCACCAAATGTCCATCTCAACCTTTTCTCTCTCTTGCTTTCTCATCTCTGCCTTGTATTTTTATCCCCTCGATTGTCTCTGCAACCTTGCCGCGCAGAATGACCTTGCCCCAGCGTCGACGGCTGAATCAGGCACATCATGCGACCGACCTCACCTCGGTTCCAGCTCGAATTGCACCACCGCTCTTCCTCAGGCGAATGAAAGCAGGACGTGGCTGAGCCCCATGCGACTTGCAAACACTCGTCCGACCGTCCCGGGGAACCAACCCCAGCCTCCACGTACACATTGCTGTCCGTTCTGCGGGGAAGTGGTTTGGACTACGGCCATAGAGGATCGCTGACCGCTCGTATTCCCCGGGACCTTTTTGGCATGGCCGTGGCTCCTCCCTCCTCCTCCTCCACCAGCTCCACGCTCCACATATTGCCCGATGGAAGTCCTCGAAGCTAAATCAATCCTCCCCGCCTGGGGTTGCCATTCGAATTAACAAGTTGACCATTGGCAGCAGGTGCCAATAATTTCCTTGCGGGGTCTGTTCCAGTCAGCCATTGCCAATGTCCTAAAAATCGAATCCGAGCAGTTGCTCAACGCCATGCCTCTTCTCGATTGGCTTTTCTGCATGCTCACAGGAGCATCGATTGACCTTGGCCGACCCTGGCCCTGGACCTTGCGCCCCTCTGATCCTGGATGACAGTGAGCCACGCGACGCCTAGCCCGTCCCGCTAAAGTACAAGGAAATGGAATTATTTCTGTGACCGATGCATCGGATGCATTCGAGATGCCTCCCTCGCACTGCATAAGGGGTCGGCAGTTTAACCCTGACCAGTTAGCATTCATTCCTCTCACATTGTCCACATCAGAAAAGCTGGGCTCTTGCCAGGGTCTACATTTTGTCCTGGCCCCACGTCCTGTCACCACCCTACCCATGGCGCGCTTGATGCTGGAGGATGCGGCGAGGGCCAGAAGTTCGGGTGGAAGCAAATAAAGAGGGTGGAAGCTGCTGTGGCCTGACCCCCGTCGCCCACGGTTGAAATAGCTGCCCCTTGCGCCCATCTGGAGCTCTCGCAGTCTTCTAAGTGCTGTCCATTTTTTGTTCTGTGACTGATCTGTGAGAATAACAAACGTCCGAGATGGCGACCGACCTTCAACACACCCCTACCTCCACGGAAAGGGACATGATCGAAGAAAAGCCTGGGTTGTCGCATACTGTCTCTTCAGGCGCAATCTCTATCAGTCCGGAACTTTTCGAAAAGGTGCGCATGTACTCGCACGGCTCTGCCGAACACTATCGTTCCTGCCTCAAGCTCGGGACACTAATGCTGCTCGACTCGGACAGCTCTACCTTACTCCCAAAGTTCCTCATTCCGGCGACAACATCAAGCGGTTCGCCAACCCGACTCCGCTCGGTTTCGTCGGGTATGCCCTAGACGCATCACCTTGCGAGACAGTCATACTGATGGACACCTAGCTTCGTGATCTCGACTATGACTTTTGCCATGGTCATGATGGGCTGGGGTGGCGCCAGCGGCCTCTCCCCCGTGGTGTATGTACCTTCATATCCCAGCCATCCTTCGACATTCCTCGATCAGAATAGGCTTGCTAACGTTTTCAAATACAGCGGAATCTTCTTCTTCGTCGGCCCGGTCCTCCTGGTTTTGACAGTCATCTTCGAATGGATCATGTAAGTCCCCTGAAAACCCGTTGTCTGGTGATGAGGAGACCTCCTCTCAGCTTTTCCTTCATCCCGAAACTATTGTTTGATCCTGACGTCAAACCAGGGGCAACTTCTTCTCCATGATGGTCTGCGGCCTCTTCGCTGTGTTCTGGCTTTCCTTCGGCATGCTTCAGCTCCCCACGCTCGGCCTCGCGACGCCATACTCCCCCAGTGGGACCAATGCCGTGATTGGCTCAGCCTCAAAGGAGTACAACGCTGTTATCGCCCTCTACTTGATTGTATGGGGATTCGCGTTGTTTACCTTTTTCATCTTCACGCTGAAGACGAACGTCGTGTTTGCACTCATCTTTTTGTTTGTCACGATAGGCGCGTGGGTGTTGAGTGGTGCCTACTGGAAAGTCAGTACCGGAGATTATGATACCGCGGGGGATTTGCAGAAGGTCAGTTTTGCCCTCTTCCCTCCATCAGCCATTACTGTGATGTGCTTTGCCGAGAATGCGTCTATTGCGACCATCGGTATTCGATAATGTCTCCGTTCTAGTGGTAGGACAGGACGCTAACATTGAGAAATCGAACACAGACTGGCGGAGCTCTGCTCTTTATAGTTGGCTGTCTGGGCTGGTACATGACTTTTGTCATGATGGCAGCGGAGATGCGTCTCGCCATCAAGCTGCCCGTGGGCGACCTGAGCCACTTCTGGCCGAAGACGGATGTGGAGATGGGAAGGGCCGAGAAGCAGGCCTAAGGGCTCCTTCGCGAGAGCTGCAAGTCCTGAGGTCGCCAACTCGGCAGGCCTCGTCCCCGTCGTCGTCCCTATCCATGTCCGAATTCCACTTCGCCTTCGATCTCTCGATTATTTGTTGCAGACGCAAGTTTTTGGCAGAAGCCAACTGGAGAAAGAAGTGAACAAAGCAATGATTGCGTATCTACCAATGTGCTCTTATCAGGAGAAAGGCTGCTCAGCAGAGAAAGACCTGGTAGCACGTCCTGTTTGACGGCTCCTCTTTGGTGTCTCCCAGAAAGGTCGATCCCCTGGACGAGAAGCGCGAGATGTGAGGATTTTTTCCCGCTGAGGGCGGCTCATCTCTCCCTCCACGCTCGTCCTTTTCACCACTAATTCGCTCGTTTAACCATTTGACCTTTTAGGTAATCAGCGACACAAAAGTCATGCAGATTGCGATCACAGTTGAGCAGTTTTTTATGTCCCGAATGATACCACTCTACACCACCGGCGAGGGAGGGAGAACAAAACCTTGAGTAATGCGGATTCAGAATCGCCCAATGCAAGGCATGTTTTCAATAGCCCGATACTCCATATTAATGTATTGCATTGCATTTTTGATGGTGACCCATTGTCAACATCATTGCCTACATGGTGTTGGTACCAGTGGCTGGGTCATAAGTGATTCTTCTGTCGCGATTCGCCCTTTTTCCCCCTTCAGACAAGGTCAAAGTACATTAAATGACGCCCTGGGGTGTAGTGCGATATCAATTTTTCTCTCTCTCTCTCATTACTGCCAGTGATTTGATCCCACATGGTTGAACATGCATGAATTCGAAGATCCCCCGAAATGCCGGCCACGTGAAGACTCGGTTTACAAATGCTGGATTGGGCCAAGAAGAAGATCAATCTTTGGACGACGACGACGACGACGCCAGTTGCACGTAACGCTTCTCGAGCCATTCCCTCGCCGTGTACACCTTGTCATCGATGCCGTCCGAGAACTTGCCCGCGACCTTGACGCGGTCTTGCTGCATGTCGAACTTGCCCACGGGCTTCATCAGGCTGTGGTGCGTGGGCCGCACGAAGTAGACCACGCTGACCCGTTCCATCCCAGCCTGCTCGCCGGGCGACGGGACGACGCGGTGTTTCGCGCTCTTCAGGGCCCCGTTGGAGAAGTGGACCATGGCGTCGCCGAGGTTGATGATGGCCTTGCCCGGCAGAGGCTTGACGTACTCCCACTCGCCGACGCGGCCGGGGGTGCGCGACTCGATCTGCAGGCCGCCGAGCCAGTTGAAGAGGATGGTGACGCTGCCAAAGTCGGTGTGCGAAGGGAGGCCCAGGATGTCGGTCTTTGTGGGATCCGAAGGGGGCTTGAGCGTGAGCCGGATGTGGTCGCCCGACGACTCCTCGAAGCGGTTGAGGTTGACAAAGACGTCCTCGTCTTCGCCGAACGCGCGCGCCAGCGTGCGGAGGATCGTCATGGCCATCTCGTGCGCGCCCTTGCAGAATGCCCGCAGCAGTGGCCTCGCGTCTTGAATGACTTCGGGGTACGTGCGGCTGGGCGCGACGCCAAACAGACAGTCCTTGCCAATGTTGAAGAATTCGGTGCTGTCCGGCCGCTGGGACTTGTCGGTCAACTTGACGGTCCCGGCGGGCTTGTATCCAAAGAACGAGCCTGTCTTGCGGAAGTCGTACTTGTCCTTTTCTGCAAACGGGAGGGCAAGGGCCTGCTTGCTGAGGTCGTGGAGCTCGTCCGCCTCGGTGAGGAGCTCGCGCCCCGGCTCGGAGTCGGCCATGTCGAGGTAGAAGAATCCGTAGGTCTGGCATGCTTGCAAGACTGCAGCGGTGGCGGCAAGGTCCTTCTCCAGCAGGCTTTTGGACGAGATCTCAGCAATTGGCGCGTGGACGAGGTCCGGAGGGAACGGTGGAATGCTTCCATGAACCCGGGTCGTCGTGGTGCTCGTCGTTGTGGCGGACATTGTGGTGGCTGACGAGTAGTAGGTACTTGGTAAGGAAGCAATTTGAAGACAGCGGCAGACTGCTGCTCAATGAAAAGCATCGACTCTTGCCACCTCTAGTTGATATGTCTGGGTCAAGGGCGGGCCCCCCTTCACCTACCTAGGTATACTCCCGCAGTCTTAGTCCTACCACCAAGAGGTAGATCCGGCGCCGTCAAATAGAGGCTGGAACTGCCGGTGCTTCTCCACAAAGACCCCTCCCCCAGACTGTTGAATCCCCGGAAAACCCTCTCTTGGTATTGTATTTCTCTCGACGCGGCCGGAGTCATCTATGTGGCCGGGACATGATTGTCGTGTCCTCAGCATCGCCGACTTGACGACGTGCATCTTCGCCCTACGCAGCATAAAGACAAGCGGTAGAGAGCAGAAGGCTACAGCGGCCATGTAGTTGTGAAGGGCCAGTTAGAGAGAGGCTGAGTAGGGCAGGTGGGGTAAGTCTGACAAGTTTCGGGTGAGGATGGTCAGATACCGGGCATATAGGAGTAGGATGCTGCTATATGACGAGTCTCCCAAGAGAGCGTCGTGGCTACCAGAGTAGCTGAGAACATCCCGCATGAAAGAACTGAAAAGGGGGCCAGACAAGTGGATTTGGTCGGAGATGGGCTTGGGCAGGTCTCGAGATATGGCGGAGGCCGGCATTGCTTGGAGTGCAACGAGTTGGAAACAAAGACCTCAGGCACAAGATGCTTTCGAATGGAAATTGATTTCAACAGCAGCAGGCAGTAGTGATGCTTCTTCCACCTGGGCTGCGCCTCATTACTCCGTCCAAGCCGCCGGCAACACTGCTCTATGAAATCCCCTTTTTATTGGTCCTTCTTTTTCTGATTATGAATTATTTCCACTTGTCTTTTGCACTTCTGACGATTCGCTAGGTCCTCAACAGCCATGTATCCCATGTCATGTTCATTGCCATTGACATTTCATTCTTCAGTCAGCCTCTCCGAGTCTTCTCTTGATATCGTTGCAGTCATGCCGGGTGCGTCACGATGCTCGGTTGTGATTGGCTTGCTCACGCAATGGCTTGGGTGACATTGGCAACGATCACTGCGCCGTCACTGGATACACATGCTGCATTTCCCATATCGCATTGGTAATCTTCGGTAGCAGGATACGTGAGGTTGAAGTTGGAGAACTTGGTGAGCACATTGTACGGAGCTTGACCAACGCTGTTGTCTGGGTCAGAACCGTGGCTTGAGAATGAAATGCGGAAGACAACTTGGCTTGCACATACCTGTCGTCAATGTACTGGTGGGCCAACCGCAACGAGAGGTTTCCAACCCCTTGCCATGAAGTGACGAGGACATCGAAGGTGCTATTGTCGCAGGTGTTTGCTGCGGAGGTAGGCGGGCTCAAGCCCACGGCCCATTCAACACAGCAGTGAGTGGAACCAACTTCAGGAGTGTCTTCGTCACAGAAGTCGACTGTCATTCGTCAGAAGTTGACAACCAACAGATTGTAGGGCCTGCAAGACGTCACAGAGTCTCAACTCACATTGAACATAGGTGCTCTGGGTCGACGTGGGATCTGCCTGGAAGGGTGAGGAGACGACGACGTTTGTGAGCTCAAAGTTGCCAGAGAATGCCGATGCAGCGGAGGAGAGAAGGGCGATGAAGGTGAGGAAGGTGAATATGGAAGCCATGACGGTAACGGTGAGGTGCAGCAAGCGTGAGCGTCTGGCAAGACAGAGCAAGGCAAGTGTAAATGTGTGGCGTCAGTCTCCAAGCAAGAGCACGGTGCTGTGTGTTGATGTTGTTTTGAGGTTGAGAACGAGGTGAGTTGGAGGAAGCGGAAAAGTGAGGTAAGAGAAATGAGGTCTTTATAGCTTTTCCTTCTACACAAGCACCCTGAGGTCAAACAGCAATGTTTCCCACCAGCCATTTTCATTGACTTATCCTGTGAGCGTAGCAGAAGATGGATCTCGACACAAACACCAATGGTTTGCATGCATGCCAATTGCTCGGCTGTTGTTGATAGACAAGCTCTTTCTATTGAACACCACGCAGCTTGTCGTACTAGAACAGCCTCCTTCCAGAATGCTACCGAGCGGAGTTGCAACTGAGACATTCCAGAAAACAGTCAGCCGGTTCCTCAATATGGATCTTCGGCGGTGCGTGCTCTCCAAGGGCAAGCGAAGCAGGAGTTGGCATGAGCCGTGAGTGCCCCCTTGCATGCCGTTTGCCTGTGATGCCACACCCAGCCCACCGCTTATCTGGTTCTCCTGCAGACATGGGGTTGGAGCGTGCTGGACGAGCGCCAGCTGCTCGGAAATTTTGTGAAGGTGCCAGAAATAGCCTCCCGAGTTACACAGAACCAGCAGAGCGTGACGGAGAGAGGACCATGAGTACCAATACCAAGGCTCGAATTCTGGACCCGACTGCAGCAGAGTCCCTGATCGGATCGGAAGGTTGCATCGTTCAACAAGAGGATTCCGTATGGAAGGGTATACCGATCTTCGCAGCGCAGGATCAATGACGATGTTTTGGGTCGATCAAGGATTGCTGGGGCTGGGTTCGGAGTGCACTTGAGGTGAGGCTTCTTTGTGCACCAATTCTGTGGCTGCTGCGAGGCAACGACAGGACACAAACCGCAGCACAGATACACATGGTGCTTGACAGCTCCCTCTTCGCTATGTGACATCTCCCAGCAAATGCTCAGGTTTGCGCAGAGATTCGGATCACCGACTCCAGCAATGCGGTAGGGAGACACAGCCATCCTGGACTCTCATCCATTGAATGGGTCGATCAACCCAGCCTCCGACGAGAGCAGGACGAAGCTAGAAAGTTCAGCGCATAGCAGGCCTGGTCATGTAGCACTCTTCATCTTCCGCCCGCTTGTGCCACGTCGCGAGAACCATCGCTTCCATCACACTGCATGAGGGATAGCCACAAAGAAAACCACTCACAATTGAACGGTGAAGGAAACAGGGTAGAATTTTCACGTTATGCCATTTGATTGCTCGCAAGCCCACTATCCGTAGACTTTCCATGTCCCATTGTAGCATTGTTGCACCAGGGGTAAAACCCCAGCCATGCCAATTGTGCTTTTCTCGTGTTCGCTGCAGAATTTTCTCCTGCCTCTGTGAATTCTGTTCAAGCGTCATTCCACCACCACCACCACCACCACCACCACCACCACCAGCGGCAGACATCTCACCACCATGACAGCCAGAACCGCTTAACCCTTCTTCTTGCTGACACCAACGGTTCGTCCTCTTCGGCCAGTGGTCTTGGAGTGCTGACCTCTGACACGCAGGCCCCAGTAGTGACGGAGACCACGGTGTGCTCGGATCTTCTTGAGACGTTCCAAATCCTCGCGCAACTTGCTCTCCATGCTGTTTGCCAATACCTGCGAGTCCTTGCCGTCCACAATGTCGCGCTGTCTGTTCAGGAACCACGATGGGATCTTGTATTGCGTAGGGTTTTGGATGATGGTGACAATCCGCTCGAGTTCTTCGGAGGTGATCTCACCGGCACTGTGGTGTATGAATTAGTTCCCGCTCTTCTCGAAACTTGAGATTTCCCATGACGTGTTCGTACCGCTTGTTCAAGTCGACATCGGCCTTCTTGCAGACAAGGTTGGAGTAGCGTCGGCCGACACCCTTGATTCGGGTCAAGGCGTACATGATTTTCTGCTTGCCATCGACGTTGGTGTTGAGGAGACGGAGGATGAACTGGACTGCGGCAATTGTGAGGATGCATTGTCTCGAGTGGATATGAGGATATACATACAGTTCGACTTCTCCCCGCTGACGAGAGCTGCCTCAAATGTTAGCAAATATCGATTTCAATCTGTCGCAATGTGCCAGTTCTTGGAGCAAGGCGCATGTATGTCCAATATGCTGTGAGATCGTGACACTGCGAAACCGGTATGGACTTACACATGATGGGCGAATCTCTCCTTGTCGGTTGCGTGGACGGTTGGCGATGGACAATCTTCGAGAACTGCCAAAAATTCAATGAAAACCGACAGTGCGCCGCGCCAAGAGACTACTTAGTCAGCGAATTGCCATTTGTTGAAGAGTCTTGGACGATAAGAGTCACGTGCCGACTACCTGGCGAGGTGGCTCACCCGGAATGTTGGATTGGATGAAACAGGGTCTGGTGGTGGTTGTCCAGCAACGAAGCAGGCTGCTTCATTACGAGTCGCAGTCCCCGTCTCCGACATCCCATATCCATCTTCTCTTCTTGTCTTACTCCTCTATCTTGCGTTCTCCATCCCGTTGTCTCTTCTGTTTATCCCTTTTGCCCGATCTGGTGACTCTTTGAAGCTCACTGGACTGCTTATCTCTGCTGGGACAAACTCCCAGTTTGACAACGATATCGATTATCGCCACTGCCTTCGCTGGCTCAGTTGACGAACCTGATCGATTCCGTTCATCTCCTCTGCCATGAGAGCCCTTTCTCCCCTCTTGCTGGCTGGGGCAGCTTCTGCTGCTATCGCTCCTCAGCAGCAGCCACTCCAACTCCCCAAGTCCTTCCCTGCCGAAGCCAAGAACATCCTTGATAACCAACTCCACCATCTCAAGGATGCTCTTCGTGGTCTTACCGAGGAAGCTGCAAATATCTGGGACGAGGTCGCAGCCCTCTATCCCGAAGACATGAGCCGCGCTAGCTTCTTCTCTATGCCCAAGAAACATACCCGCCGACCGGATCATGAATGGGACCACATTGTCCGTGGCGCTGATGTCCAAAGTGTGTGGGTCGCAAACGCCGATGGAGAACAAGAGCGTTATCTCGATGGCAAGCTTGACACATATGATCTGCGAGTGAAGAAGGTCGACCCTAGCTCATTGGGCGTCGATCCCAACGTCAAACAATATTCGGGGTATTTGGATGACAATGAAAACGACAAGCACCTGTTTTACTGGTTCTTCGAATCAAGAAATGACCCAGAGAATGATCCAGTTGTCTTGTGGCTCAACGGCGGCCCAGGCTGCTCTTCTTTGACCGGTCTGTTCCTCGAGCTCGGACCCTCGCGCATCAACGAGAAGCTTCAGGTGGTTCCGAACCCGTACTCTTGGAATGACAACGCCAGCGTCATCTTTTTGGACCAACCCGTCAATGTCGGCTATTCTTACTCCAGCTCCAGCGTTTCCAACACGGTGGCTGCTGGCAAGGATGTGTATGCGTTGCTGACTCTCTTCTTTGAGCAATTCCCCGAGTACGCCAAACAGGACTTCCACATTGCTGGGGAGTCGTATGCGGGGCACTACATTCCTGTCTTCGCATCAGAAATCCTGTCACACAAGAAAACCAACATCAAGCTGACGTCTGTCTTGATTGGCAATGGTTTGACCGATGGATACACCCAGTACGAATACTACCGGCCAATGGCCTGCGGTGACGGAGGGTGGCCCGCCGTGCTCGACCCACAGTCTTGCCAGGCCATGGACAACGCCCTGCCTCGCTGCCAATCGCTGATTCAGAACTGCTATGATAGCGAGAGCGTGTGGTCGTGTGTGCCTGCCAGTATCTACTGCAACAACGCATTGCTCGCGCCTTATCAACGAACGGGGCAAAATGTCTACGATGTGCGCGGCAAGTGCAAGGACAGCAGCAACCTGTGCTATCCCGAGCTCGGCTGGATCAGCAAATGGCTCAATGATCGATCGGTGATGAAGGCACTTGGTGTGGAGGTGGATGGGTATGACTCGTGCAACTTTGACATCAACCGCAACTTCTTGTTCCAGGGCGACTGGATGCAGCCTTTCCACCGCCTGGTACCGGGCCTCATTGAGAAAATGCCGGTACTGATCTATGCGGGGGATGCCGACTTCATTTGCAACTGGCTGGGCAACAAGGCGTGGGCGGAAGCGCTTGAGTATCCCGACCACAAGAAGTTTGCGGCGGCCGACATGAAGGATCTTCGGCTGGATGCCAGCAAGGACGGGCGCAAGATTGGAGAAGTCAAGTCGCATGGCAACTTTACCTTTATGCGGATCCATGCGGGCGGTCATATGGTGCCTTTGGATCAACCGGAGGCTAGCCTGGAGTTTTTCAACCGCTGGCTGGCGAAGGAATGGTTCTAGACACGTCGTGGCACGGAGTGACGAGGGCAAGGACGCAATGATTCGTCTCTTGGAGGTGGAGGTCTTGGGTATATGGCTGGATGGGTGTTACACAGGCCAGGCAGGCCGCTTGGAGGGCATGTGCTCAAGAGGGGTGGATTGCCGTCTGTCGGCATGGTCCGGGGCGGTTATGTACAGGTCGCTGTGGGCATGGATCCAATAGGTTTTGGAGGTGACATGTACGGAGTCCATCACCATCATCATCGTCGCCATCAATCCCTCGTACTTCTGAGGGGATATTCCCAACTCGTAATCTCGTTGTCTACGCGCCTTGAATTCTCAATAGTCTCATGCACGTCATGCGATGTCTTTCTGCGACTAGCAGTGTACTAGTAGTAGGCATGCATGAGGCACGCACTGTCTGTCACGTTGCGGAGCGGTTAGAGGAGTGTGGTGGCTGGCTCTCTCTTTCTCTCGCTCCAGTCTATTCTTAGATGAAGCTCCCACTGATTGGATCCTGATCTCAACTGCGGCAGCCAGTCACACTCGTGGTGTTGGTCTCCCAGCTGCTTAACCGCCCACATGCCTCAACCTCATGGGCTGTCATCTCGTCGTCTAAGCGCCCGGCTTGTTCCCCTCCATGTGCCTCTTGCATGTCCTGCATCTTCCTCTCCCCTCTCCTCCCTCTCACTGGCTTCTCGCTGGCCAACCCGACGAATGCCCTCCTCTGGCTGAATATCCGATTTTACACTATTGCCTGCAGCTTCGGGATGGCCCTCTCTTCCACCTGGCCGCGACCCATTGACCATGATGCCGGCGTATCTAAATATTGCCATCCCCTTCCCGCTGTTGCATCTTGCTTTCCCTTTCTTTCCCTTCAAGCAAGCAAGTCTTGTCAACTCTGGTCGTGCGGTTTGAAAAGCTATTCTTGAATTCTGTTCTTTTTTTTTCTTAGTCTAATTCATCCTTCTGCAAAGAGATAGTGTCTGGTACACTGTTGACTCGATCACGTCAATTGTTAATCGCCCATATCAACGCGCCTTGGTCCTCCAGCAACCCGTGTGGCATCTACGAGCTGTGCTCATTCTTGCTGCATTTTCCTCAAGGCACAACACCGATCTTTGCAGACGCTTCCACAAGCAGAAAACCAAAAAAGACAATCTTCATCAATCACTTTGCTAGGAAACCATCGTCGTTGCCGGTCAACGATCATTCTTTCCGACCAAGACATCTAATAGCTTCATCAGCCAACTTCATACCGCCGGCCTGACTTGCTGTGCCACTCCAACAACTTAATCTTTGTCAAGCATCCGTTATCGTTGTTGTCGATACCGTCGCTTTTCCTCTTCAGTCGATTCAGACCAAGCAGCAATCCAAAAGACCTCTCCTACTACTACCTCGTCCTTGGGTAGTCGAGTCTTTTCCTTCACCAAGCCCAACCGGAAGCCGCATTCACCACGGCTCCAGACTGTTCGGCGCCTTCATTGCTTCAGCATCAAGCATCAGTACCCCTCAATCAACGCTCTACGTTGTGTCGTCGCGATTGCCGGTCAATCCCCCTGACGCCGATCCACACGCACCTTTCTGAATCCTTCCGAGATATCAAGCAACCAACATCAACCTTGACCTATCTGTCGAGGAAGCTCTGCCCGGTTTAGAACAAGCCTTCTAGACGGCAATCGCCACTACATATACACCCTGTGGACGTTGATCCGAGTACTGCAGTGTACTTGATCTGCCAATAATCGACCATAATATCTGTTCAGCATTTTACCATATCCAACCGAGCATCATTAGCGCTTTTAATTCGGACGACTATTCATTGTTCAACACATATCACAGCTCTACAGCAGTCTAACGATACACCTGACGCATTGTAACGAAACCAAAAGTCTCGACGACACGCCTTTTCTTGAGTGAATGTATCGTCCCCTTTTTTCATGTGTTGTAGCCATTACCATTCCACCAAGCTGACCCAGTGACCAGACAGCGGTTAATCCATCCGAACCCAATCTACCTACAAAAGAAAAGAAAAAAAAAAGACACAATATGTCTTCACCTACAGTCCAACTCTCCTTCACCCTCCGTACCTCGCCCAATGTCCGCACTGTGCACTTGCTCGGCTCATGGGACAACTACAAATCCCAGCTCCCTCTGTCTCTGGTCAAAGATCCTGCCGCCAAACCAGGTTCCTGGAAAGGCACGTTCCGCTTCCAAGGATCGAACGCCCTGAAGTTGGGCTCCCGCTACTGGTACTACTACATCGTCGATGGCTACCACGTCTCTCACGACCCGGCCAAGGAATTTGTGACGGAGAAGACCACAGGCCGCAAGCTCAATATCATCGACGTTCCGGGCGGAGACAAGTCTAGCGCTAAACCAGCCCGCCCGAGTGTCAACACCGAAGTGCCAACGTCGCGCCACAGCAGGGAGATCCCTCAAGGTCGTGCCCTGAGCCCTGGGAAAATCCAACATCCGAAACCCAGCAAGCCTTACGCGTCCCGTCACTTGCGTGAGGCCGACTACGAGGTTTCTCCCGTGGACGACCTTGACGAGCGCTTCGCAGGCTATCACATTGCCGACTCGTCTGCCTCGCCCTCGGAATTGTCAGACAGCAGCTCCTCCTCCGGGACTGCTTTCTCGCGCTCTTCTCCCTCCAGCATGTCCAGTGTAAGCGACCATAGCTGCCGGTGTGAACGCTACGGGGTTACACGGTCCGGCCAACGGGTCAAGATCGATTGTGGCGGTAAGCGCTGTGGCGGATGGAGCTCGAGTTCCTCCGAATGCGATTCGAACGACAGTTCCGAAGAGTCCAGCGAAGATGAGCGGGAGCGTCGTGCGAGGATGCGCAAGGAGGGGGAGAAGAGAAGTGTACCGGCAGCGACGACGAGGACAAAGACCAGTGGCGGGGATGACAGGAGGAAGACTGTTGTTGTGGAGAAGAGACGGAGATAGATGAGTCGGAAGAGGTGTCGAGGTGACGGTTCAGTGAGGTTGGTGAGTGCATTATGTTGTGGGAGAGGAGACCTTCCTACTTCCGTGCCAATCCAAAGTCAAACGACAAGACCACACGTCGGCCTAGAGTCCACCAAATCAGACCAAGGCGATTCCATTAACCAGCAGCGGAATCACAACACAAATGTCCGATGCAAGAGTCAATCCACCCAGCCCTAGGCTGTGCGATGGCTCGGACCTGCGTCAAAAATCGCGGAAAGGGTTGGCAAGATGGGCTGCGATGCAAAGGGGGGAGAATACATGCCTAAGGAACAGGCGAAGAATAGGGGTAAGATCGAGGACGTGAGGCACGCCGTGACACCCTTGTGGGACCCTCCAAGGATCCCTAAAGTCAAGCAACAAGGCACACGAGAGCGACCTCGGGGACCAGAAATAGACGGCGGAAACATGAACACGGGCAAAACTTGGCAACGATGTCCATGGGATGGTCGGGGACTGGGGTATTACCACTTGCTATGCACATAGAAACCCTCCTCTTGTCCCCCAGGACATCGACTAGCAATCAGTTCGGGGAGGAAGAGAGGGGGCTTTGACAAGCAACCCGACGAACCGACGTTCTATGCCTGCATCATCCCATGAATGATCAACGTGCTCTTGATTGTGTAATTCCCTCGTTCGGCGTGTGACGTGATGGCTAGCCGTGTCGAGACCACCTTCGTCCGCAAGTTTGTGTATACAGTAACGAAGTTGCTGGCCACGCCTCCCGCCGGGGGGGGGGGGGGAGGGTCTCTTAGAGAGGGGTTATTCTGCGTTTGCTTCTGGAGCCATACACTGCATTTCCCCAAATGCTTCGTGCGGCAGCCCAGCTGAGTGAGACGCAGCTGGTCTCGAGGCACAGATGTGGGCTCATCCCAGAAGAGAGCCCAGGAAGAAAAGCAGCCAGGCCCAAGAAACCCGGAGCAAAGGCTTGCAGTGAAACTGAGCTGGAGAATGTTGTCCCCGAAAACAAGTCTTACACTTGCAGACGAAGACCTCGTACACCTGTTCTCCTCTGCCAAAGCTAATCTGACGATAGGGAGCCCGACGCTGACAATTCCGTGTTGCCTCCTTGACGATTCGTGTCAGCCGCGGGGACCAGGCTCTAGAGCCCGAAACTCAGCCTTGCGTCTCCGGGAGGCGTTCGCCTGACGACAAATGCTTCGGTGTTTACCAATCTTGCCTGGCAGATCAAGGCATATATGTTTCTCGGGATCGCTGGTGACTCGAACATGGGCACACACGTTATGCTGAGTCGATTGCCACCGACACTCCCGCCGCCCTCAATCTACTTCAGGAACTCGAATGAACGTGTGCAATGGAGCCAACGGTCCACACGCTATTTGAGCCTGTGACAGGCACCTGGCAATACATTGTCGCGGACGAAGCGACAAAGGACGCCGTCATCATCGACTCTGTTCTCGACTATGATAAAGAGACAGGCAAGGTGTCGACGCGGTCGGCCGACCAGATTCTCGACCTGGTGGCCACGCAGGGATACACGGTCTCCAAGATCCTCGAGACTCACGCCCACGCCGACCACCTCACCGCCTCTCGGTATCTCCAGAGCGTTCTTGCGGAGAGGCAGCAAAAGACCATTCGTCCCCAGGTGTGCATCGGCCAGCGCATCCGACAGGTTCAGGACACCATGTCCAAGATATACGGCGTGCCTCAATCGGAGCTGGCCGATGCGTTTGACCACACCTTCTCCGACAATGAGACCTTCCAGATCGGGTCCATCGAGGCCCGTGTGATGCACCTCCCCGGCCACACGCCCGACCACCTGGGCTACGTCGTCGGATCCAACGTCTTCACGGGGGACTCCATCTTCAACCCGGACATCGGTTCGGCGCGCTGCGACTTCCCCGGAGGGTCCGCCACCGACCTCTACCGGTCGATGCAGACGCTGCTGTCCCTCCCGGGCCATTTCAAGCTGTACACAGGCCACGACTATCCGCCCGACAGCCGCGACGTCCCTGTCGGGCAGAACGCGGCCGGGAGCAAGGCCGTGCCGTTCACGAGCGTGGCAACCCAGGCCCGGGAGAACAGGCACGTCAAGCTGGGCACGCGGATGGACGACTTTGTCTCGTGGAGGGCCGAGAGGGACGCCGGCCTCGCGCCCCCGAAACTACTCGCTCAGGCCATGCAGGCCAACGTCCGCGGCGGGCGCCTGCCCGCCGAGACCTCGGACGGCTTCAAGCTGACAGAGGTCCCAGACGGGGTGGTCAGAGTGGGTCAGACCGCACGACTGATGCTGTAGAAAAACAGAGGAAAAGGAGGATGAATCCTGGCTTGCGTTAATCTAGTGTTCCACGTGGTTAATGAAGGGGTGGGAGATTTTGGTGCCTCTCTTTGGAGGAACGTGACCTGCTATTATTCGAGATTGGAGGACCATCGCTTGAAAAGCTCTTTTTAGGATAAGCTGGCGCTGGTGTACTGGTAATGCTTCGGCGGCGAGTGCGAGGGTTTCGCAACACCCACGTCCATGGATGCTTGGTTCATCACTGTTTATAGTGCAGCAGCAAAAGTAATTACTCGGGATTCGTTCTCCTCACAGACACAACAGGGTCCTGGGACATCGTATTATCAGGTAGCGCTTCAGATTATTATACCCTAGCTGGGTTTTCCACTCGCTCAACTCTCACAGGAAGGAAAGTGTTCCAAAAATCAAGAGTCTAAAACGCCGGCAGCATGCACATCTTATCAAGTATCTATATACAAGGGGGAGTTTGGGCCGTCCAGACTCTCACACACACACTCTCTCTCTCCGACCTACCCGTCCAACACGACAACCTTATCCCGAGAAGTACCTCGAGTCGACGACGGGGGCGCGGTCGAGCTTGAAGTAACCGGGCTGCAGGATCTGGAAGACCTGCTGGGGGTCGTACTTGGAGGCGATGCTCTTGAGCTTGGCCTTGTTGGCGGCGCCGTAGCTCTTGATGACGTCCTCGTACACGCCGCCGTAGTTCATGTAGATGTAGTCGTTCTGCTTGCCGATGCTGGTCGCCGCGGCCTTGATCTGGTTCAGCACGCTGGTGATGAAGGCGTAGATGGTGGCGTCGTCGGACGCGTTGTCCCACCAGCACGCCACGTGGATCAGGTACAGCGGCCCGTCCGACACCGAGATGCCCAGCGGGTTGCCGCCGTTCTTGGACATGTTCTCGATCATCGGCAGCGTGATGCCCTGGTAGATGAGCACTGGGTTGGCGCCCGCCACGTTGGCCGTCGCGGGCAGCTCCTGGTAGAAGATGTCCCGGGCCAGCGTCGCCAGGGACTCGTCCGCCTTGACCGTCAGGCCGTAGTAGGTCTCCCGCAGCCCGTATGGGTTCGAGCTCGCCAGCTCGGCCGTGTAGGCTGGCAGCTGGCGGTTCTGCGTCGAGTCCGAGATGGCGGTCAGGGCGTTGTAGTCGTTCCAGATGGCCGCGCTGCCGCCGTTGGGCTTGGCGTAGTAGAGCTCGGCCGACGCGATCTTGGTCCCGTTGCTCGCCAGCCAGGCAACCCACTGGCCGGCGTTGCCGTCGTTGGGGGAATCCTCCACCACACCGGCGAAGGCGCTGGCCAGCGCGTCAAATTGGTCTTCCAGGTAGACGCGGGTGCCGCCCCACAGCTGGGCCCCGGGCAGGCTGATGGCCTCATAGTTGAAGTTGACCACGATGCCAAAGTTGTTGCCACCGCCGCGGAGGGCCCAGTAGAGGTCGGAGTTTTGGGTCGGCGAAGCGGTCACCTGGATCCCAGAGGCGAGAATCACGTCGTACGAGGCAACGTTGTCGCAGGCCCATCCGTACAGAGACGAGAAGAAGGATATGCCACCGCCGGTCGTCAGACCACCAGTGCCGATCGGGGCGACACGGCCGCCAATGACGGCCAAGTTGGACGGGGCGAGGGCTGTGTACACCGCGTTCCAGGTATTGCCGGGTCCGACGGCGACGGTCTTCTTGTCGCTGGAAACCTTGATGGTGTTCAGAGCCGCGAGAGAGACGGTGATCCCGCCCGGGATGTTGGAAGCACCTTGGAATGCCGCATGGCCACCGCTCTTGACAGCAAAAGGGCAAGTGGTCAACCGAGAAAGCAGAATCACCACCGTCACAGCGCCCGTGTTGGGCGCCTTGAAGATGCAGTAAGGGTCCACGTTCTCTTGGATCTGAGACCAGTAGCCGGACGTGAAGGTGTTGTATGCCGCCTCGTTGCTGTAGTCGACGTTTTGGGAACCATAGAGGAGCTGCAAAGAGGCGCACTGAACCAATCAATGCACGTCAGCTCGTATTCGACAATCCCAAGTCTTCAGCCACTTACCGCAAGCGAACAGGCCGCATTAGACGAGCGCTCGGCAAGCTGTGCCACAGGGAGGGCAGACACGTTGACTCCCATGTCCACCAACGCCTGGGTCACATTGAAATCGGTCGGCTCGACCACATCGGTAGAGTTCAACGGGGTCGTGTCAGGCACGGTGACCGACGCAGGGTCGACAGTGTCGGTAGAGTTAGACTGCGCATGGACAGCCAGCACAAAGGCTGCCCCGAGGCAGCCAGACGAGAGACGCATTGCCAAACAGGGAAATATACCTGAAGATCCGACCAAATTGGAGAAGGACAGAGGAACAGGGAAGTGACAAACGTTGAAGAAGGATGTAGAAGTCTTCTAAAGCAATTCGGTTTGCTTGGCCGTCCAGGATCAATCTCGCAGTTCAGCCTAGCGTCGCCATTCTGCACTCGTCAATGTCGGTATAGCCCTCAGACTTCGGGAAGTTCGGCGGGCGCTATCGACTGCTGGTAGATTGGATCCCGGATCCAACGTCTTTGTCCATGTGCACGATCGTCGTGGCGAGGGCTGCCGGAGGGGGTCGGTCGCTCTTCGAGCAGTGGTCATGGTCTGTGTCCAGGAGCGCTAGCATGCTCGTGCAGCAGCCCGTGGACTCGTCGACGAAGAAACCAGGTCAATCTCCGACATTCTGCAAATTACGGGGTACTTGGCTCGACTAGGTCAACAGCCAGGGCCAGGCCAGAGACAAACAGGAACCTCAGGAGAGACGGATCCCCAGGTTGCTGTGCGTGGGGGCGGGACATGGAAACATGCACAAGTACCGAGTCCTGAAGGGCGGGAGAGAGACTTTCCCACGTGAAGCAACAGGAGGAAACGCCATCACGACACCGTGGTTGCGGCTCACATCAGGGTTTTGACGGGATCGGCACTCCACAGCTCCACAAGCGGTGTCTCAACGGCCTGAAGATGCAAGGCACAGGGAGGATAGTGACCAGACCGCGAAGCAACGGACTGCATCGCTTGACGAGACTTGGAGTGGCTTGGGCCGCTAACCGACGGTCCGTGTATCCGCAGAGCAGTAGCGCTAGAATGCCAACAACGTCCGGTCTCTGGGCTAAAGGCAAAGGATTGGGACTTAGTCCGAGGCATAGGGTACAAGTAGGCACAAGAATGAATTTCTCGTGGTAAGGTCCAGACTTAGTTGGTCGACTGCCTGTGCCGGAGCATAAGGGGGGCAGAAGAAGAAGATATCAAGGACTTAGGCGATTCTTCACGTCCCACTGTAGCGATAGAATCAGATTCTTCATAACACGCAATTCTCGTGTCTTTGAGCCCCCTGGAACTTTCCGTGCAAGGTAACCCTGTTCAGCACAACCTAGAACGTGCAGGAGCAGGCCAAGGCTTATGCTCGACTAACTGGCACTTAGGAAGGGCTAGGCTTCATCTTACATACTTAGGATGAGTGCCAGATGTTCCAGCAAGGTTTGGGGAGCCAGCTGGTCCCAGTTGGCTGCCAGTCGACTGTCGTCCAGCCTTTCCAACGGAACTTGCCTTCGTCTAGGGAAGAAACGATCGAGAAAGGAAAGGCATGATGCGACGCACCATCTGTAGATCAAGACCTGGCTGGCGAGCCAAAGCTTCGCCTGGGAGAAAAATCTGGCTCGGCTGGGAAGCCTTGCTGTGTCCCAGAGTCCAGTCCCCTCATGCCTTAGACCTGACTGGCCTTTATTAGTCTGTTTGAACCTCGCCTCCCTTTATCCCACCTATACCTGGCCAAACTCAAAAGGATGGAATACGAGGACGAAACCAGAGTACAAGAAGAGCGAGATCCATCTGTCGCCGTTAGCAGAATCCTCGTCCTTTCTTGACCAGGACTGACTCTGCTCAACCTCGCCATCGTCACAATGGGTGCCAACTATGTGACCGAGACCTCTGTAAGGGCGACGGGGATCACGATGATCATCTTGACCTCTTTCGTCGCCGGCTTCCGCATCTTTGTATCGGTCGAGCAGCAACGCAAGTTCAGTTGGGACGACGGCTGGCTCCTGGCTGCCTACATCTTTTTTCTAGCGCTGTCGATCCTCTACATCGTGGCCGCGCCCACGATGTTTAGACTCACGAAGCTTGCTAGCGGGCAGATTCCACTGTATCCCACGGTTGCCGACGATGGGCTCTTCATCCAGAAGATCTTCTTCGTCACGACCTCGGGCTTGTGGCTCTGCCTGTGGTGTGTCAAGTTCTCCTTGATGGCCGTCTACAAAAAGTTGATGAAAGCCTTGCCGCACAAGATCAGATTGTGGTGGGCTGTGATTATATTCTGCCTGGTGGTACGTTGGTTCCCTCTCGACGTCTTGGTTTTTTTCTTCTTTTGGCTGACCAGGCTAGGTTCTGGCGGGCGCCATCACCTCGTCGATGCTTTCTTGTTCGAGCATGAAAGCCTGGTTCACAGCCGGTGCTTGCTCGACCCCGCGCGATGTCAAGGCTGCAAGTATCAGCCTTTGGTACGCTTATGCAGTTGATATCCTCACCGATCTCATGAGTCAGTATGCAGGTTCAGCATCGTGCTTCGGCTGCTGACAAGGTTTCCAGTAATGTTGCTACCCCTTGACCTCATCTGGAACTTGAAGATGCCCAGGGCCCAGAAGATGAGCATTGGCGCTCTCTTTTGCCTGGGTTTTGTTTGCATTGCGGTAGCAACCATTCGAGTCAAGGAGCTTGGTAGCACGGTCAACAACAGTCAGCCCAGCACCACTTGGCTGGCGCTATGGGGCATCGTCGAGTCCTCCATCGGTAAGATCATTCTCCTTGCTTCCATTGCTCCAGTCCCGATCTGATTGTTTACCAGCTGTCTTGATTGGCTGCGGCCCGGGCCTTTACCGCAAAGCCAGAACGATCTATCAAACTCGTCACGGATCGACGCCTTCTCGCGGCTACGCACGGTATGCGAACAGCAATTCCATCAGAGCCCAACCGCAGAGCATTGCCCTCGAAAATTATCAGTCCAAGAAGTCTCGTACGACCGTTACGTCCAAGATCAACGACGCTGCCAGCAGCCAAGAAGAGTTGGCAAACACAAACCTTGAGCCTGGTATCGGCGACACCAAGGTGGCCACCGAGAGCATCAAAGAGCGAGATGTGGATTCCGTGCGCCACTGGGACGATAGGCCTCATGCATATTAAAACCACCGACACCATCCCGCTGGGCGTGGTGTTAAGACTGCCGCTCAGGCAAGATACGAAATGGAAGGAGACCTCTCGAAACCGCAGACTGAGCTTCCCACTGCGTTATCTCCTTGGCTGAACCTGGAGGCGAAAGTAATTCTCGGACGAATCGGCTACAAACAGATCTATTTACCTCCCCACCTACCGAGACGTGTACAACGATTATGGCTCTTGTTCTCAATGATTTGCAGAGCGGATATGTACGATTTTTTTCAAGAGATGATTGACTAGCAGAGAACGCTCCTTAGAACCCTGACGAAAAGTTTGGCGGCATACATTGAACAACTCACCTGAGTTGTGGTTACCAGCAATACGAACATCCAATACAGCATCGAATAGTGGCAGAGACACTTAAGAATTTAGTGGACGACCCAGTGTGTTTTGTGGAAACAGCTGTATTCTAGCAATGCCACCTGTACAGAGGACCCCGTATACGAATCTTGATCCCCTCCAGAAATCTGTGTTCTGCTTGACGAACTGAGCTCGTGCCAATTTATCTTTGGCTCCGACTTGAGGATTTTGAGCATCGCGAACCAGGACCGTGGGGAGGCTTGGTCAAAGTCGCAAACCTATACCAGCTCCCATTTGACGCTAATACATATTAAACCGGATGCTTTTGGGTTCATCCTTCAGTAAATGGCGTTAGACCAGCCAGTGCGAAATGCATTGAGATCGAGATAGCAATGCCCAATACATGGATTACCCGGTCACCCTGGTACATAAAGTGGCTAACCTCACAAAGCCAAAGCGAGCACGACCTTCCACAAGTCTGCCCAACCAGAAGAAGCAGAATATCAAGCTTTCTACACCCAAGCCGCCTCAAGTAAGTCGCAGGGCGAGAGGCAACTGCTGTCAATGGTATCGCCAACAGTCTCGAGGACAGTAACTCAATTGTAGACTTGACCACACATAATTAGCTAGTGTAGTATCTGTTGATTCTGAACAATTCAGAGCTCGCTTTCTTCACGCTGTGCATCAACTCCAGCCAAAATTTATGACTCGACAATGTGCAAGAAGCGAGACTTGCGCTCGAAGACGGTTGGCATGAAAATTTCACGAACAGATCGTGCACAGCAAAAGGGATGTCGCCTCGAATTCTCCACTCAAGCAGAGTCGCCACAACGCTCCCATGGATGTGGATAGCCATCGAAAAGTCCGGCAGGGATTTGGTCTCCTGAATGTTACAATCGTCTTCCAAGGCCGGGGAGATCCTGTCCGCCAGCAAATCGATGATGGGGCGACGCAAGGACGCATTTACCGATTTCGTCGTGCCCCTTTTCGACGGTGCCCAGAACCAAGACTCCACCAACGGCACTTTCGCCGCACTCATGATTAGCACGTTTCGTTCAAACCAGTGTGTTTCTTAGCTTCTCGTAGGTTTCACTGGCAATGGCGCTTGCTGGGGCTTCCTAGCTACCCATGACCTGGCACGTGGGAGAGATGACAGCTGCATTGGAGACTTTGCCGCCTGAAGCGCTTGCCACCGTGGCTTCTGAGGTAAGCGAGGGGTTTAACGCGTATGATGCATTATTGGGAGACTGGAATGGTGCTGCTCTTCAGTTTGACCATTTGCTGACAGTGGTCGCACGGTACAGAAGGCGTTGTGAAGCATTGTGCTGCGTTGGGTAGGGTTGCCATTGATATTTGGGACAACATCGTCAAGGGCTTCCCCAAATCGGCGGTGTATCGTTTGCATTTAGCTCTGGAAGGCTGAGACACCTACATTGATAGACATGATGGTCTGGTCATAGCCATCTGATGCTGGTACGCCTGCTGGTGTTAGAGGGTTGTCAACTTGGGTTCCAGGAAGCAGCAGGCTCAGCAGGTGAGGGCAAGTAGAGCGATGAGGCGCTAATTAGCGTCTTAGGGAAGGAGATCAGAGGCAACGAGAAGGGCAGGTTTTCCGCCCGATGCTTTCACCCGAGGAACCATGTTCTGATAGCCCATCTCCTTCAAATATCCGATAGACCAACACCATCTTACCCTTCCTCCTCTCTTCTGTCCCTTCGAGTTGGTTCGTGTCTCTTTAGCCAAGCCAGTACTGCACAGTGCTCTGCACCCTTTCTGTCCCTTTCCTCGGCACTGCGTCACTGTCGAGGGGTCGATAAGAGCAGGAACCCACCTCAACTGTGCAGCCCTGAATCTTCCGCAATTGACTTTGCCAGGAGGAGAATAAACGTCCCTCCGCCAATATCTTCCTGTCCTCGGACCGCCGGAGACCAACAACGGCCAATATCCACGCGGAATAGGTCGATGATGCGACATATACCGGAAGACCAGGACTCGGGTAGCGAAGGATCGCCTAGTGCATAAGAGAATCTCACAGCTGGAAACGGCTAGCTACTGGAAAAGGGCCCAGTCAATGGCGAGCACATGTTTCCATCCTCCTGCCACCTCATCACCACGCACGGCCTTCATGCATGCATGCATCCCCGCATCCCGAAGATCAACATGCGAGACACCTGTTATGATGTCTGTGTTGTCGAAGTGCCTGGAAGGAAATGCATTGGCATCTGGTTTTCTCCATCTGGACCATTCCGTTGGCTGTCCACATGCAGGTGTTGAATAAATCGCCCTATCATTTGCCTCCTTTCAGTATCATTAATGACGCGAGATCCCACTGACCTGCATCCCTAGAGCGGACGACAGCCTTTTATCATGTCAATTCGGTGATACCGCAGGATTCCCTTGCATTAAACGGTCTCGTCTCTGTCGCCTCCTTTCTTCCACTGGGTGCGGTTTCCTACTTACATGGATCATGGTATCTCTTTGTTGCTCTAGCCTTTGGTCCAATCCTATGACTTTGAGCCAACACACCCAAACTACTGTCGAGATCACGGATCCGCGTATATCGCGTCTCGCACCGGCAATTCCAGCGGCACGCGTGCATGCAACTGGATTTCTCTGGTGGAGATCGGCTTTCATCATGATGTGACATGGATACCACTCTTACGGGTCAGGTAAGAGAATGGTCCAGGATGGTCTGCCCAGCGCAACGATCACAGATACTAGCTGTGGCCGAGGTTGTCTGTTCACTGCACGTCGAGCATATGGGAAACTGCCGTTCCCATGTCTCCGCAGTTGAAAAGCAGATAACACTCCTCTTGTAGTTCTATGTTCTGCTTTATTTCCATCTCCCAAATTTCCTTTCCAGCAACTCATCATGGCTACTCCGGAGCCAGTACTCACAGAACCCAACAATTTTCTCCCGATTGACACTAAGCTCGCGGGGAATACATTCTCTGACCCACTTCGGCATGACGGCACACACGGTTTCGAATTAAGTTCCCCAGATTCGAAGGACCAAGCTCAAGTGGCGGTGACGGATATTTCGTCAGGGCAAAGCAGTACGGATGAGAATGGACTTAGCCCTCTGGATCCAGAGCCGCTTCCCGTCGTTGAGTCGCCAATCTCGGAAACGGTTGATCCTGATCCTTTAGCGAAGTCCCCGCCAACGCGGCAGGATTCAGCCTGCTATTTAGATGACAAGTCTGCAGCCGCGCCTGTCATCGATGACATCGGACAGGAAAAGTTCCAGGATCAACCTGATGCAGCAGCTACCAATGCGGTCATACCTGAAAGCCCGACCCCAAATGTGTCGGCGCTTATCATAGACCTCGGGGATGTCTTGTGCAACTGGACTGCGCCACAAGCTCTGCCAATCTCTCCAGCGATGCTTCATCGCCTTCTCAAGACTCGATTCTGGCACGAATACGACTCAGGTGTGATTACACAAGAAGAATGCTACAGCAGTCTTGCTACGCAGTACGGGCTCGTGTATTCTGATGTGGCAGAGGCGTTCAAGCAGGCCGCACAGTCTCTCAGTCCTGATGAAGAGGTCTTTGGCATGATTCGTGGCTTGAAAGAGACCTATCGCGGGTCATTGAAGGTCTACCTTATGTCGAACATCCCCTTGCCTGAGTGGAAGGCCTTGGAAGGGGACTCACGATATGATTGGACTTTGTTCGATGGCTTCTTCATCTCTGCTCAAGTGGGCATGTGTAAACCCGAGCTCGGATTCTTCCGCCATGTTCTTAACAAGATCAATACGAAACCTAAGGATGTAGTCTTTGTGGATGACAACGCCGAAAACATCCTCGCAGCTCGATCACTGGGCATCAGGTGCCTCAGATACAAGGATACTGGCGGGTTGAGGCGATTCATCCACCACATCTTCGATGATGGAGTGGAACGAGGACGACAGTGGCTGCAAACCAATGCTAAGAACATGTGGTGCGTGACTCCTGACGGACGAGAAGTGAGAGACAATTTTGCCCAGCTCTTCTTGTATGAGGCTGCTGGCGACTTGTGAGTTTTAATGGGCCCAACCCAGCAGGTCGTCAAGTCATGTGCTAATAATACGGACCTCCAGAAATCTTGTCTCATTGACATTCTATGAGCGCACATGGAATTACTACATCGGTGAGACTCTCTTTCGAGACCCCCAGGCCCTCGTCAACTCTTGGGAAACTGATCAATGCAAAAGAGAAACCCATTGATACCGTGGAAAAGCATCCCGATGACATTGATACAACGTCGCTGGCGATGATTCTCCTACCCCACGACGTCGACAAAGCACACTCAATTCTTGACGAAGTCCTGCTGTATACTAACCGAGATGGTATTATCCTCGTGAGTATTGTCATTGTGCTAGCCGTCCTTTGGAGACCAAGGCTGACCCTTCGCAGACATATTTCGACAATAAACGACCCCGAATTGATCCCGCTGTTTGTGTCAATGCTCTTCGCTTCTTCTACAAATATGGCCGAGACGACTTGCCTGCGTTGCAACCGACAAAAGCCTGGATTTCGGATGTTCTCTTCTACCGAGCTTACCTTGATGGAACGTACTACTACCCCAGCGGAGACGTATTTTTGTACCTTTTCAGCCGCCTCCTGAGCGCAAACCCCGGGAGCGATATTTACCGCAGCACATGCGCCCTTCTGCGTGAACGATTGCAAGAACGAATGGGCTCGCCAGGAGATGCGGTGGAATTGGCCATGCGAGTCATTGCTTGTCTTGATATGGGGCTCAGGAATGAAGTTGACCTGAGGAAGCTGGAGGCGCTACAGGAAGAAGATGGGGGGTGGCCGATTGGCTGGCTCTGCCAGACTGGGAAAATCAGTCTGAAGATTGGAAGTCGGGGTGTGGCGACGGCATTAGCGGTCAAGGCCATTGAGATGGCACAGATGAAAGGGTGTTGAAGAGAGGATGAGGATGATGGGCGGCGTCCTGGGGATAAAGCCACGCACGTTACGGACACATGTTGAGGTGCCCGGGTCTGGCTGCATTTTCATTATTACGCAACCTTCTTCAATTCTGCTGTGAAACGGATTGCAGGATACACGAATTAATACCTCGTACGATCAGACGCTGGCAAGGCTGGCAGACCCTTTCACACTCCTTGGTGAGCCTTGCTGGACAGGGAAAATGGTTCTTCCGATGCTAACTGAAGGATTAACAACCGCCCAGATATGATTGGCTGTGAGACAAGCCCCATCGGGATGCGGGGGTGAAATGGAGGAAGGGGCATACGTCATTGGACAAGGCTGACTGGCAACGAGGTCTCGAGGTCACCAAGCCACTTTCTGTCTCTTTGTCAGGCACCTGGCCTTCAAACCCGCCGACGTCCACCTCAAGCACCGCAGCCTAAAGAATCCCTCTTCTTCTCTGTTTCTTGCATACCAAACACCTCCTGCTATTCCCACTATTACCCAATCCTCCTCGAAGTTGACTTTGTAGTCGCTACAGATTTAACCCCCTCGCCATGGCCGCTGCTCAAGTCTGCCCTATTGTTGGCACCACCAACACTGTCCTCCCTCCCAAACACCCCGACTTCGACATGGACAAGCCTGGCCAGGTCTGCCCCGTCACCAAGGCCACCACAGACCATCACCACAACCTCCACAAGCATCCAGGTATCTTCGACTCGGCCAACGAAGACCTCGCCAACGCCGACAACTGCCCTGCGCTCACCAAGATCGTCAGCCGTCCTGAACAGCAGGCAATGGACGAGGCTATCTGCCCTATTGTCGGTACTGTCTCGAGTGTCCTACCTCCGAACCATCCGTCGACAAAGGACGCAAAGGACGGCGATGTCTGTCCCGTCACCAACGCCAAGTTTGAGCATCACAAAGACAAGGTGCACCAGCACCCCAACCTTGAGACCGCGGCCAAGGGTGCCGTTTGTCCAGTTGTAGGGAAGAAGGCTTGAAAGAGCTCGAAAGTACACTGGGATGAATTATGCAAGGGGACTGTGGAAATAACACGATGAGCCTCCACATCTCCATCATTGGTTAATGGCTGTGTACGTCGCGGTGGCTGGCGCTGATACTTGATTACGACGGTGGTGGACATCTACCTTTACTCAACTGAGTATGTCTGTACTAGCACCGGCTATATACTACAATCAGAGCCATTTATTGTGCATCTAGAATGGTTCCTCATGTTTTGCTGCGATGGGTGATTACCTGCCAATCATTAGCGGGTGGTGCTTCGGCAGAATTATATTGCGACCCCGGCAATCCACATGGCTCCATTTGCACCATCGTTTTCTTCACTTCCAAGACACTCGTGGCAAAGATCTATCAACTTGATAACATTACAGCCCAGTCTAGACTTGCATGCTATGTATTGTTCAATTCGGCGACTTGCCGTGTCTTGTGACTCGGCGGGTCGGTAGCCGCAGTCCTCGAGCGGTCGATCACCCTTGCCAATTGCGCGGCCTGAGAAAGCTCGAAGCTAGAGATGCAGGACGTTCTCTCTGTCCAATCCTGGTGTTGACCGCTGGGAGGGATCTTCCTCCTATCTGCAAGGTCGAAAGAATGTTACCCACAGTCGGACTGTATCCCCTTCTGTGCCAATGCGGAGATCAGAGTCGGTCTTGTCATTGGGAACGGGACGTTGGAGTATCGCACCTTGATAAGGCGTTCGGTAGGTGGCATGCAAGCTGTTCCATCTGGTTGATATCGGCTATCGCAAGGAGAGACTGTTCTTGATCCCCGTGTGCAGTATAAAACCCTTCCTCAAAGGTCGTCGTGGACAACGTGTCTCGTCCTTGGAACTGTCCATGCTCTCTACATCAAAGGCCTAGCGCGCGAGAAAGTACAACTCAATCCCCCGACTCTGTTGTTCAATCACCGCCCTGGTATCAAACGAGCATCATGGGGCAATGGATCCGTCCAAAGGGACCTCTGTCTCGCCTGGTACCAACATCCCAGATGGCGCTCCTCGTCGCTGTCGTTTCGGTCTCGGTTGTCGACTCGGTGCTCTTGGGTTACGACAGCTCGATCATGGGCAGTCTCAACGTGATGCCGACATACCAGAACTACTTCACTCTGACAACGGCCACTAAGTCGCTGAACACCGCAATCTCCTATGTTGGAGGATCCTGTTCTGCCCTCCTTGCGGGATTCGTCGTCGCCTGGATTGGTAGATGGAAGAGCATCATGCTTTCAGCAGTGCTCACGCTTATTGGCGCAGTCATTCAAACGGCAGCCCAGAACATCGGCATGTTCATTGCTGGACGGTTCATTGTTGGTAAGTGTTCGAGCGAGGTCAGGGTATTTTGAGAGCAACACAGTCGCTAACCTCAGCGAAGGATTTGGGTTGGGCTTTGCTCAGACAGCATGCCCGACATACGTGGCGGAGACTGCTCCTCCAAAGCACCGCGCGGTGGCGTTGGGTCTGTACTATGCTTGCTGGGGTGTTGGGACCCTTGTTGCTTCAGGGGTTTGCTACTCGGTAAGCCTCTCGATGATTATTGTCTAACTAGTCATTGCTCAACCATGGTTTGTCATACAGACGCAACACTACTCGTCGACATGGGCGTGGAGAACTCCCAGCTTAGTCCAGATAATCCCCAGCATCTTGTGCATGCTCGTCCTACTGTTCCTTCCAGAGTCGCCTCGATTCCTCATTGACCGTGATCGACATGATGAGGCCTTAGAGGTTCTGGCAGCGCTCAACGCCAATGGTGACAAAGAGTCTCCGGTCGTGCTGGTGCAGTACAGGGAGATTACTGACACAATTGCCTGGGAGAAGAGCCAACAGCTGTCCTGGCGGCAAGCCTTCAGCACCAAGTCAAACCGGAAGCGCATGATCATCACCGCTACATTTTCCATTATCGTTATGCTTCCAGGGACCAATATCATTACCTTCTACTTTGGCGATATGCTGGTATGTTGATTTCGGATGCCAGATTAAGTGAGAGGTGCTGACCCTTACACAATAGTCACAAGCTGGAATCAGTGATCCAACCACTCAGCTCGAAATCAATATCATCTTGACCTCGTGGACATTGGTCGTCTCTCTGGCGGGGGCCTGGTTTGCCGACTCCTTGGGCAGAAAGACCCTCTGCGTGATCAGCCTCGCAGGCCAGATTGTCACCTTCTATATTCTCGCCGGACTCACCGCGGTATATGGCAACTCAACAGATACGTCGGGAATATATGGCACGATAGCGATGATTTTCCTCTACAACGCAGCATATGCGTACGGGGTCACCCCGCTTACGGTGCTCTACCCGCCTGAAGTACTATCATACTCGCTGAGATCGGTCGGCATGGGTTTGTATACGCTGACCACGAAGCTCTCGGGCCTGCTTGTGACGATGGCGTTCCCTTTTGCTCTGGATGCCATTGGATGGAAGACTTACATTATCAATGCCAGTGCGGACATTGTGATGTTGGTGGGTGTTATCTGGTACTGGGTTGAGACAAGAGGCCTTACCCTGGAAGAAGTAGACAAGGTGTTTGACGGCGTCAAGCATTCCGACGTGCCAGATTTGAAGGCTGTTACTGAAGGGGAAGTTGAAGTCGGGTCTGAGTTGCTGAAGACGGTAACGAGCAATGTGGAGAATCAGGAAGTTGTGATAACGACGGCCAAATGAGTTGACGGAAAAGCCATGATCTAGGCTCGGTGGGATATGTGTTGGACCGCGTGGGTGCCGATCAAGAGCCATGCAACCATGCCACCATGACAGTTTTGTCTCAACCGAAGACCCGGACCTGTACAGATCTGGGCAATGATAAGAGAAGGGCGGAGAACCGCGTTAGAACCGTGTCCGTCTTTCCTCTGGAAGGGCCTCTTATCAAGTCGCCTTGCGTATCCTATAGTTCTCCTCTTGGAGAATAGTATAGCATGCCGCTGTCCGCTCTAACAGCCCGTGATATCCAGTGCGGGGCACCAGGGTATAGAGGAGGGGAGTTGGCCGCGGCATTAGGGGACGTGAGATCAGGACTACTTCTTGGGGGTGATTGATGCCCTTGTCCGAAAAGTGTAGGATTTCTGATATATCCATAAGATATCAGGACTCCTTCGTGGTGGCGATCGATGCCCTCGTCCGAAACGTGTAGGATTTTGTGATATCTAGTATTTTCTGATATATCCATAAGATATACCAAGGCAAGCGGCGCCACTTTCGCCACATCCAGAACACATACACAGCATGGCAGAATCAACATTGATCCCCGTTGTTTCGTTCGACAAGTTCCTCACTGGCGACCGTGCGGACCAGAAGGAAGTCGCCCGACGGGTTTATGATGCATTCTCTGAGGTCGGGTTCATCTATCTGAAGGACCATGGCATCCCACAGACACGGGTTGATGAGATCTTCTCTCTGGTAGGTATCACGAACACTCCATTTCTGCATCCCGCGCCCTGTGTAACCGGGCAACCCCCTTTTCGGCGACAGCCTTACTCTGTCTGCTTTCTGCCACCAAGCCATCTACACCCACTGCCCTTCTCTTCCAGGTTTAATGAGCGTTTCGGCTATAGTTGACAATAGCCCTCAGCATGTAGCTCTGGTACTGACTCTATCCTTGCACAGGCCGAAAAGTTCTTCTCCCTTCCTTTGAGCACGAAGCTGGCCTACAAGCTGTCCTCCGCGCACGTCAACCAGGGATACACTGCTGATGGAGCAGAGGGAGTCAACGACCACAAGGAGTGCTACGAGCACCGTCGCTTCACCAACGATCTCTGCCCTTCGGAAGGCGAGTTGCCGGGCTTCAAATCCACTCTCGATGACTTCTACAAGCAATGTTTCTCCCTGGCGATGAACGTGCTCAAATGTCTGGCGATGGTGATGGACCTCGGGGACGACTTCTTCGAAGGCATCACGAAGAAGGCGGATCCGCAGATGCGGCTGCTGCATTATCCACCCATCGAGCGCCGCGTGATCGAGCAGCAGGGCCACGCGAGGATCAATGCTCACACGGACTTTGGGCTGTGCACGCTGCTGTTCCAGGATGGCGTGGGCGGCTTGGAGGTCGATCCGTCGCACGAGAACAAGTTCGTCCCGGCGACGCCCGTCCAAGGCGCCGTCTTGATCAACATCGCGGACTTGCTCCAGCGGTACACCAACGGGCGCGTCAAGTCCACGCGGCACAGGGTGGTCAGCCCCTCGCTGGACAAGTTCAAGGACTGCGACGTCCTGCCCTCCCGATACAGCATCCCGTTCTTTGTGCACCCGGACCCCGAGACGGTCATCGACCCGATCCTGTTGACCGAGGGCGAGGTCAAGTTGTACGAGCCGGTGAATGCGGGCCAGTGGAGGGACTGGAAGACGGCGACCAACTATCGACTGAAGGGTGACAATGGCGAGGAGGTGAGTTTGAGGAGCGTGGCGGTTGAGACCTGAGCTGGGTAGGACGACACAGGGTGCGAAAAGTATATGGATGCGAGGTTTGCCCACGGTGGAGATTGGTGTGGAATGCCTCAAATGTATACGAGGTATGCACATCTAGCAGGGGCCTATAGGTTGGACGCTTGCTGACGTGATGGTACTTCCGTGCTACATACTTCGTCTGATCTATAGCGTAGTGAGCGACTCTCTGTTGAGGCCTTCGTTTGGATGACCGCTGTGTGGCCGGGTGTCGAGAGACAAACAAGGCGTAACTTCAATCCCGTTTCTGACTGCTTGGGCGTTATATCTTACCAAACATCGCTGTCTTCTCCCTCATCATCGCCAACTATTCGCAAACCACCCAGCAGAGTGGTAGCCTGTGCCCTCGCAACCCACCTGCCGAGTTGTCGACGGTTGATTTCCGCCGCAGCTTCAATTGCCTCACGGTAGTAGCGAGGTTACGAGTGATCTTGTCACGCACATCATCCAATTTCCACGACCTCGACCCTTCGCAGGAGAAGGCAGAAAGAAACGAGAAATGGAAATGCCGGGCAGTACCAAAGTCAGCGGCCGCTGATGTCGCGTTACCTGGCGCGCAGACAATGTCGCTCCCCAGTTCGTGGTGGCCACCTTACGATGGGGAGGACACTGTCGCAGTTTACTTGATACAAACACGAGCACATCTGTTCGTTCTCCTCCATCGATCTGAGCGCATCTTCTCGTGGCTCACAGGGACTTCAGGAGGTTATAGAACCCACTGCTTTCACACCACTCACCTTGAGCCTCGACGTCCTGAGGCGCACGGCACATGCACAACGACCGTCGAGTAGCGTTGCGAAGCGCGCGAGCATAGGACGCGCCCCATGCCCAGAGCGTTCCGTTCTGTTGCCTGCAATCCCTCCGGAGGCCCTGGAGACTGACACACCGGTACGGCTGATGAAATGATCAGGATCGGAATACATGGCCATTGGTGTCTGCGCAAGACACTGCAGGCTGGATTTCCCCCTCTATTCCAACATATGGCTGCGCCCAAGCGCTGATCATTCATGCCTCAGTGCTGACAGTCGCAACCGTCTTATATCGGCTGTTGCAAAACAACCGTCGAGACATGCTCAAAACACAATCGAACCCCGGCATTGGCTTCTTTCGTGCAACTCCAAGTCATGAACCTACCACATTCCCGTATTCGGGCGATCAATCTCCAGACGCCAAAACCACTGGATGTGATAGCTGAGTTCAGCCTGCAGAATCGCTTGATAGCATGCTAGCAGCGATGTTCCCAGTGACCAAGAGATGAGATGTCCCAGTGCGGGCGCAGAATACAGCATCGATCGTTGTGCTCTTGGAAGGGAGTCGCCTGATCCATGCCCTTTCACATATCGGCAAGACAACAAAGCTGGCCGACTCACACCTCAGTCCAGCCCTGCCGGCTTTTTGTACGAGCAGCCACAAAGTCAGACCTACCGTGGATCACCCGCCTCCGTCGGCACCCGATATCGCTGCCATGGGTGGAGTTTTGAAATCCTTGTGTTCTTTGCCGGCATCCAGCTGCCGCCACTACCGCGAGGATTGCGCTGTCGTCATGCAGACAATTGGAAAGCTGAAAGTGATCCAAACGGTTGATCGGCATCTGAAACTCGAGTCGGCCATTCTCCGACCACCCTATTTGGGGTCTCGCCAGCTTCGTCCTTTGTACGATCCTACGTGACTTTCCTACGCCGTACAAAACTTAGATGAAGTCCGCAATTTCGATTTTATGATGTCCCTGACCTCTAGCCATCGCATTCACTCAAATGGCGTGGGATATTTCAACATCCCAAGATGTTGAAGCGGGAACCATACCCGTCCGCGGAGAAGAGCAGCCTTTGGGGGAGAAGAAGGTCGTACTAGAGGATGAGAAAACCGAAACCCTGGTCGACTGGGACGGTGAGGATGATCCGGAAAATCCTCAGAACTGGTCGACCATGTTCAAGTCCTGGGTGACCTTACAGCTGAGTTTGCTGGCGTTCTCGGCCAGCCTGGCTTCCAGCATTATTGCCCCGGCCAATCGCACCATAGCTGAATACGTCGGCGTGGGCGAGGAGGTGGTTGTTCTCAATGTCTCCCTCTACATGTGAGTTTCTCACAGCCAGTCCTGCTCGATACTGGACCAGTGTCTGACTGTGTCTCCAGCGTTGGCTTCGCTTTTGGGCCCTTGATTTGGGGTGAGTCTTCCTGGCTTCATTACAACTTCTCCCTTTGAGTTTTCTCTACATCATGGAACAGCGACACACTGACTCTGCGAGGCTGTAGGTCCTTCCAGCGAAGTCTGGGGCCGGCGATGGTCCATGTTGCCTGCAATGGCATGTCTAGCCTGCTTCTCAATCGGCACGGCCGTGAGCCAGAACGCCCAGTCAGTCTTCATCAACCGGTTCTTCAGCGGCTTCTTTGGTTCCGCTGCTGTCAGCAACGTCAACGCCGCCCTGGGCGACATTTGGTCTCGAGAGGCTCGCGGCACTGCTGTCTGCATGTATGGCATGTGCGTCGTAGGAGGCCCAACTCTCGGCCCAACAATCGGCGCCGCCATCCTCGTCAATCCACATATGGGCTGGCGATGGACCGAATATACCACGGCCATGCTCAATTTTGCCATTGTCGCGCTGACGTACTTCTGCATGCCCGAGATGTACCCGCCGGTGCTTTTGAAATGGAAGGCTCAGCGACTACGACGCCAGACCGGCAACAGTTCTTACTACCACCCTCACGAAAGGATCAAGGTCGACCTCAAGTCCATCATCACTAAGCAGCTGTCGCGACCGCTGATGATGCTCGTGACAGAACCAATGGTCACCTGCATCGCCTTCTACGCGTCTTTTGTCTATGCAATCCTCTACATGACCCTTCAAGTGTTCCCCATCATCTTTGAGGAGCAGCGAAAGTGGTCACCTGTTGTCGGCTCGCTACCCTTTCTCGGCATGTTCGTGGGGATAGTCTGCGCCACCGGTGTCAATCTTGGGAATCAGCCTCGATACATCCGAAAGTGCCGCGCCTCGAATGGAAGACCGGTCCCTGAAGCAAGACTCCCGCCCCTGGCAATCGGTGCTGTCATGATGGTGATCGGTCTATTCTGGTTTGGATGGACCGCCGCTCCCAATCACCCATGGCCGCTTCCTGTCGTTGCTGCCATGTTTATTGGCGGCGGGTTCAACGTCATCTTTCAGCAATGTAGGCGCGCCCCAGACCCTTTGTTGAGATACGCTGACGCATCATCCAGGCATCAACTATCTAGTCGACGTGTACGGCCTCTATGCGGCCAGTGCCACAGCCGCCAACACCTTTCTGCGCAGCATCCTTGCCGCAGGTCTTCCTCTTGCGGCGCGACCCCTGTATCGTTCAATTGGAGTCGGCCCTGCAACGTCGATTCTCGGGGCTGTGGCTTCTATGATGCTCCCGGTGCCGTTTATCTTCATGAAGTATGGCCTCATTCTCCGGAAGAAATCGAACTTTGCACCCGTGCCAGATGGTTGAAACCGACTGCTTTGCCTCTGAAACTCTTCTCAGTATTCCGGCAGCAGCAGGTTGCTGCGACATGGCTCAGCACTCTTTGCTGATTTAATGTCCGGACAAGCCGGGATCGCGTCTTCGTAAGGATTTTTCGGGCGTTGATGCAGTGGCGATCCCGAAACGACGATGATGTGATTGATGATGTGATTGACTCTGCAGGCACGCTTGTCATTCATGAGTGTGACACTGCGGAGGCACCGACTCTCAGCCCTAGGCAGAGCATATCTCGAAGACCGCATCCCCCACTTGTCGAGTAGAGTACCGGTTCCCTGTGCAAACCGGGTCGCACCGTCGCCGAGGGGACCGATGTTGAGAACCGGTGCTGGTCTATTCCACTGCGGTGATAGATGGCATCATGGCGACTTCCCACCCCTGCACGACATTGTCTACACTCACAGCTCCAGCTCCAGCTCCAGCTCCTGCAGTTTGAACTTTCGACCTCATGTGCGAATAAGAGTCTCGAAACCACAGCATTGTTCCGTACCAGGTGCATCGCGAACTTACTTGCGTGGCTTACTCAGGAGCTGGAAGGAGGGAGCGAGCATGCATGGAAGAAGGGGGTCTAGGATAGGGGATAGGAGACCGCCGTGGAGATACTTGGCCAGTATCGACAGCGACGGCATTGACAAAGAAAAACAGCATGTCGACAGTTCACGCGTTGTCCAAAAAAGCCATGTGCCGGAGCGTCATTGGATCACATCGATGATTATCGACATAATCAATGGCTGGTAAGAAATGATGTTCTCACACAGTGCACATGCGCACGGACAGGCACGGAGCCCAAGGCCCAATGCCCGACAGAGCGCAATGCATTTCTTCATCATCCCGAACCAGATGGAATGGATCATAGGTCGACTGTATTCAGAAAGTGATTTGGGAATGTGAATGTGAATGTGAATGTCAATAGATGTAGAATGGTGAAGGGAAACGTGAATACAGTCAAATCCAGAGAATTCGGACAAAGTCACGTCCATGAATGAATGAACCGCCTGTGAAGATGCTAATGTCAGTATCACTGTCGACACCATCACCATCACCATCGCATCTGTTAATAGTCAGCGGCACCTGGCACCTGGCAGCAGTAACGACACGGTCGTTTCAAAAGCCTGCCTGGCTACACGACTCCCCCGAGGATGTTCAACCGCCTTTATATGTATACATATAAATATCCTCTTATCTCATCTTTCACTTCCTGCTGCCTTCGTGGGCACAAGAATACCTGTTCATTGCCCAGCTAGTGCCTGAACATAGGTAGGCAGGGAGAATTCCAGAGCACGAACCATATGCATCAGAACCAGAAGGTCCAACGTTGAAGTGGAGACTCGTGCACGGAGGAGGGAATTTCGAAGGAAGGGAGGAGCCAAGGGCTGCGTTGCCCGCCCGCGTGCAAACACACAATGTTTGGCGCAAGAGTCAAGATGAAAGGAGGAGGGGATTGCTGTGCTGTCGGCCATGAAGCCTGGGTCGTCCACGGCAAATCTGAATCGACACCCCACACCCCAGTCCGCGCCGTTCAAGCGATGGGTTTCGACACACCAGCCGTTCAGCGATCATGGCTCGAGATGGGAACAGAAGAGCCTCCACAATCTTCTCCAAGAGCAGTAATCTCTCGGTCTCACAATCCATTTCCTCTGGACTCAGTTTCCAGCCCCTTGCCCGAAATCTTTCCACTGTTGATCAACAATCAACCTGCTGAATCAGGGAACACCGAGTTCTACACGCCGCCAGCACAGGCTGCTCGGCGCCATGAGGCATTCACAGGGTGACGTGACGAACAAGACAGAACCATACCGCCGAAGGACCCTACCGCTTGGCTGCCCAGTGCACAGTCGTGGCACAGTGTTTCTGAGGTCGACTTGGACCAAATCATTTTCGAGGGCATCAATGAGGTCTGGTGGCGACGCAATCAAAACCCGGGAGAGGTTCCTATCTTCGCGTCAGTCCCACCAAATGTGTCCGAAGCAACCACACAACGCTGAGGATTGGCTTCACCTTTCTCCAGGCCTGATTCTGACACGACCTGGAGGCTCGAGCATCTCGACAAGGAAGAATATCGGCGAATCAAGCAGGAGTTAAGATGCTGGAGTGGGACGATGAGACGTGTTTGTACAGATGTACTCTTGCTATGAGCTGGGCGTTGAGTTCGGTGGTTGCATGGGGACCCGGAGGCCTTGTTCGGTTGGGAGGACAGATGGGCGACCACGAGTACGAGGATTGATTATCTCTGTGGAGCCGGGTTGTATCGTGGCTTAGGTCTCTAGTGGAATGAGATGTTCAGCGGTGTAGATGGTGGCGAGGTGTGGCGAGGCGCAGACAACTGTGGAATTCTCGCTTTGTATTGCAAGAAAGATGATAGAGTCCAAGGGAGTTCTGTGCAATCGTTGCACGCCCATATTTGGGGCAAAGAATGGTTCCACCTGAATTGCTGCATCTGCTGGATTCAAGTCCAAGGTCATCCGTATCATTTTGCCCATTCTGGTGCGAAGAGGTCGTCATATTTGGGAGACCTTGACTGGAGCATCTGATTGGGTGCCTTCTGTCATATCTGTGCTCCCTCGCCGGTGTAACCCTGACGCCTTTTTGACGGTGGTCTTGTCGGAGATCGGAACAACATCTGCCTGGGATTTAGTATATCTTTCGTGCAGCTCTCCATTGCCTGCACCAGCGTTCAAAACAGAACAAACCTCTCCTCCGAGACCCTTATCCATCGTGTCATGAACACCATTGCATACCTCCCCAAACATGTCTTTTCGAGAAGTAAGAAGAATCCCAATAACCAGAGGATGGGGCCCCTGCAAAAGAACCCACTGGGTACCTGTCAGCGACTACGAGACGTGGGAGACTCCTGACGGCTTCACCCATACGTCGCACTGGAGGGTGGGCATCGATCCGTGGGCACTTGGGATGCGAAGACCAGGGATACTTCTGGCAGAAGACGACATACAGTATCTGGGATTTCGAGAAACCAGACCTGGTGGGCCCGGCCGGCTTTTGGGCCCTGGAATAGAGAGGGTTCGGGATGGCCATTGGGGGCTCGGCGAGATCAACGAGATATTGGATGGGATATACGCTCGAGACCAGCAGGAGCTCGAGGACCGGCGGGCAACTGAGGAACGTCGGACGGACGAGTACAGAAGGAGATGGCTCACGCTCCATGAGCAGTCGACTGCCATACCAGACCGGTTGACCCGCCATATGGATGACTATCAAAGCTCGATACAAAATCCCATCACCAATGACAGACTCACGAGCCTGCGGACGGAGGCCGAATCGTATGCAGAAAGAAGGAGACAGCGAGAGGAAGAAGAGCGCAAAAGAGACCGACAGAGGGAGAGGGAACTCCGTGATGCAGAGCTTGGACGGAGGGCGCGTGAAGATTTGGAAGACTATGGGTTTGTCCCCGTCCAGCGGCGCCGAGGACGGCGATGAAGGAGGAGTCTTGTCCTTGGTCTTGTGGATGGATACTTGAGTTTGGAGAGTGGGAGAGAGGGCGGTCGACAGGCATCTTGGAGATTGTAGTGGATGTATTTGTAGAAGGGATGTGTCAAGGACGTTGTGGATTTCAAAGTGGTAGAGCGAGAAGAGAGGAATGAGGATGGCGCAGGAATTGTGCGTTTGGCGGGGCTCGCGCTTCTCCGACTCTATACGCACCGAAGGGCCAGAATCACAGGGCGCAGGGAACGGATCTAAGCGAGCCACCCATTGATTACCACTCTTCCTCTCTCTTGTCGTATTCAATCTTTATTTCATCGCGAAACAATATCTCGTTCTCTGTATCTCACACAGATCTCCTCGAAAATGGCTCCGAAACAGGTCGTATCGTCGGACAAAGGCCTCAAGTCCAACCTCTTCTCTCAAGCCACCATCCACAATGGAACCGTCTACGTCAGCGGAAACATTGGCATCGTTCCCTCTACGATGAAGGTGGTGGAAGGGTCAGTCGCAGACAGGACGGTCAGGACACCCAGAGACAGTGCGCCATCCGGCCAGTGACTGATGCCCGTTGTCTACAGAAACAAGCCCTGGAAAACATCAAAGTCGTCCTGGAAGAAGCCGGAAGCAGCCTCGAACAGATCCTCAAGGTATGTCCGCACACAACTATCCTCGACAAAAGCACTGACCAGGTCCAGATGAACATCTATCTGACAAATATGGAGGATTATGCGGCCATGAACGAGGCCTGTGCGTGGTCCCCCCAGCCTTGCTGCCACATTCCTGCCTGACCAAGAAACAGTCCTCAAGATCATTCCGGATCCGAAGCCAGCACGGACCTGCGTCTGCGTCAAGGAGCTCCCATTCAAGACAGATGTAATGGCTCCCTATCGATTCATCCACTCGTTCCTTAGGCTAACAGCAGTCAGGTTGAGATTGAATGCATCGCAGCATTGTGAGGGGCATGTAGTTTGCCGGCAGGGATGAACTCGCAACACTGACTTTTACTCCAGGGGTGAGACTTCAGCATCAAAGCTCTAGGTCGCTGCTAAGTATCTCTGATTGAAATCTAACCTTCGGAGAACAGCTTCTTCTTTGTCCAAGCATGTGTTTGCAGCACCAGACCTTGGGTTGCCGCTCCCCCATCACCCTTTGGCTCTTGGCTGAAATCTGCATTCAAAGAACAGACATGACAGTGACAATCCCCAATAGATGACAATGAAAACTTGGATGAAAACGGTGCTATTATCTTCTTCCGCTTCCGGCATTCAATGGCGACGCTGCAAGCTTTCCACTCATCTCTCTGTCATATATTTCCTGCCCAATCCGTTTGAACTCTTTTGTTCCTGAGTGATCTGACATTTGTCCAAACCCGTTGAAAGGTTATTCATCTACGTCTCTCGTCGCAACCACTTTGCAGACCTCGAAACTCCAACATGGCTCCACGTGGACAGTCGACCACTACTCCGACTCGGAGAATGACGAGACCCTCTGCCATGAGGAGAACGCCAGCAACACCATCGGTTCAAGCAGGAAGCACGTCATCATCTGCAATCCAAGGGGCTACGGGGAAAGCAACACCTGCCAGGGCAAATCGCCGCAACACCACCAAATCGGCCCCGAAGTCTGCAACAATTGCGGCACAGTCTGGACGTACTCCGGCAAAATCAGCCTCAACTAACCAAAAGCCCAAAGACACACCTGCCAAGAAAGCATCTGGGTTGATCAGGCGCACGAAGGCAACAGCGAAAGCCAACAAGAAAGGTGACGAAGGCACAAAAGATGAGGCACCACAGACCGCATCTGACAACAATGACCCATTTGTAGGTGCTGACAATGGCCGAACGAAAAGCGAGTCTCCCAGTGTCACTCCTCAACCGCCGACATCAATTCCGGCTCGAAGGAACGCGAAACCCAAGACAAGCAAGAGAAAATCCAAGCCCTTCGAGGAACAGCCCTACATAAACAACGACAGCTCCGAGGACGACTCGGCGAATATATCGTTAGCGAAAGCTGCGCCAACTCCCAAAGGAAAGGCAGTGGCGGTCGAAGACAAGGTCTACAGTGAAGAGGAGGACACCGATGAAGAACATGAGGATCTGGTAGCAAAGAGTGCAACCCGGAAAAGGAAGATCAGACCATTCGACGATCAGGCTTACAGATTTGAAAGAGAAGACTCGGAGGAAGATGACGACGAAGAGCTTGATGACAATGTCCCAGGAGATTTGACAACCAATCCACTCCGAAGAATCCATCTCAGGGTAAATCAAGATCGGCACCAGCAACAAATGCGACAACTTGCGGAGAGAAGTACCCGTGAATCACCTGCGAATCCCAGCTCGTCGTCAGGTCCTAGATTGCCGGCATCTCCCAGCACTCCGGGTGCTTCACAAAGGGCGGTTCAGCAGCCAAGTGTTGGCCCAGCACCCAAGCGTCAACGGACGGCGTCGCCGACGGTCGCCAGCTCATCAAGCCCACACGGCAAAGCTCCTCAGACGAACGCTGTGGATCCCAATGATCCCCTTGTCCTTGCGGAGCAACTATTTACAGACATCGAAAGGACCCCAAGGGCGCTAGATCTTGACGAAATCGGCGCGCTCTTCATGATCTTGCAAGAGAAGATCTCGCGTTTCTGCGACGACCATTTCGACTTCAACCTAACGGCACAACAAGAGAAGGCATGGCCCATGCATCTATTGGCCACGAAGTACTTGTCATTGATGCTGATGACGCAGAGGATTGCAGATGGGAGCGAATATGGCTGGCACAACTTCTTCACAAAGCGGGAACATCGACGACATCTCGTACACGGCGTCATCGGCGAGTGGTTCCAGCAACGTATCTTTAAACACACCGCTTTCAGCATCCCGGACGACAAAGTACGCGAACTCGAAGACATGGACCGCAAGTATCTCCACTATGATGCCTTTGTGCGCAACAAGAAGAAGGCCGAGTGTCTGGAGGGATTGAAAATCGACGAAGACTATTTTCCTTCAGCGGAATTCCCCAACAATTTCGAGCATAAGGACAATCTGGAGATCGCAGCTCGGAGGATGGCCACCAATCTGCTGCTTGTTTTGGAGCCGCTACTCCCGCCTCCGTTCTTTGACCCAATCGTCCCGAGATGGAGACAGTCGTCTAGAGCCAGGGATGAAGGGGCTGAAATGCGATTCCAGATCTGGCTTGGGCTCATCAAGTTAATCAGGATGGCGGGCAGTCTCCATCTTTCTATCCGCTTTGCTGGCATAAATGGCGTGGTCGTGCGCATCGCACCACATGTGCCCAAGGGCACCAGGTTGCGTCGAGACGATGCGGAGAAGAACATTTGCGTCAACGCCAACTGGCTGAATGCGAACAGTGCTCGCCCTCTGCAAGCAAACGATCAGTTGCAGGTCAAGATGACCTGCTTCGGGCGAGTTGAAGCCGTTGTGCCGAATGGCCTCGACGTGCTCGAACTTGAGCAGGCACAGGAAGCCGCTCGAGTAGCGGGGAGGGAACTCACCCGAGAAGAAGCTGAAAAAAGACTCTTCAACCTGTATCCGTATGACTTGCAGGAGACGGACGCCGCAAGGGACGCCGTTGCAGATCTGCCAGCAATTCCAGGCACGGAGTGGTCCACGGCGATACTCAAGGCTGGTATCCAGGAAGCTCGAGAAAAGAGATACGGGCGTCGTCCCCGAGAAGACGCGACGAGGGATCAAGCCGACGCTAAGAGCGGTGCATTCGTCACCGTCTACTCGAGAGTCGCTCCCTCGAACCTCTACTGTGAATGGGTTGCTTCGTCTCAGGAACAGCAATTCCCGCCTCTCGCAAACGCGGCACCACAACCGCCAGCCCAGACCCTCGCCGAAGCTGTCGCAGACGCCCGCCGGCAAAAGTACATTTCCTGTTCCCTCGAGGACGCAGGTCTAGCGGTCTGGAACACCGTTGCGCGGCGCGAGTTTCTCGAATGGCTGGTATTTTCCGGCAGCGTCGCCGGCATCAGCGCAATCACCGCTCCGTGGATTCGGGGCGTGTTTGAGAGTCTCAACCTGGCGGAACGGTCGAGGGAGGTCGGGACAAGCATCTCAACCCGTGCCGGTCGTGCCGTGTCTGCTGCAGCGAACTGGCGCAGTGCTCTTCAGGATGCTTCGGCGTACGTGTCCCAACTCGTCGCGCCGACTGCGAGCACCGTGACCGTGACATCCGTTGTAACAGACTGGACTACGACGACCGTGCAAGTCGACGAACCGACCGATGCAGGCGAGCCGATGGAAGAAGTCACGCCTACCTCTGCTACCTCTCGTGATTCATTCTCTGAACTCCTTCCCGAGGCCTTGGGAGGGGTCTTGGGCATCACGCGACGAGTTATTGCAACAGACAACCCCGAATTCGCCATGGTCGCAAGCCTTTTCAGCGAGCAGATGGGTTTCGTCCAGCAGGCTGAAGCCCAAGCTGCGCCGGAGCCGGAGCCGACGCCATCTCCTAGCACCCGCCGCTCGAAGGTTCTTTGAGGTTCTTGCAACTTTTCACATAGCAGATGGCAATGGTCTCGACATTTGAGATTCGACGGGGAACAGACCGATGGGTTACGTTATACGGAGAAGGAAGATTGTAATCGGAAACAATCGGCACCGACTTGGACGGATGTGTGCCGACGTGGCTGGGGCCAATATACACTCAGGATCAAGTGCAGAAGGCGGTTGAACAGGTTGGGATATGCGATCGCTTTTTTCTTTTCTAGCTTGGTTACAAACTCACCCTGAGACAGAGGAGGGGAACCATATGGACTGAGATAGATTCTACAGCCATCTTTGTTGGATCATGATTCGAATTTCAAGACAACACACCGGAACTTTTCTTCTGGCTCATCTTTTCTCTTCATCAGCTCATCCCTTTCCTGATCCCGAAAGCCGTATCATAATCCCGACATTTCACTCCCTCGCCCACAACAGGAAATGCAGGCATTCACCCAAAGGGACCACCAAAACAGCCCCATGTTTCCCCAATGGCAGCCAAGATAGGTAGATATCCTAGCACCAAGGACGTAATGGCTATTCCAACAAGAACAACACTTTTCTGCATGATCCCAACTTTGCTTGTAGAAGTAAGCACTTCGACAAGAAAGAACAAAAGGTCAAAGGAGCCAGCCAGCGTGCTCTGTTGTGTGTCTCCTTCACCTCCCTTTTTGACTCTCTCACATGGCCAGAACGCATCCATTTTATCGAGTACTGATTGACTGTCCGAGTCATTCCCTCTCGCTGATCGATGAAGCGTTTTGCCTTCCCTATGTTTCGGTTCCAACAATTCCCTTCATCAACCCTTCTACCTGGCCAACCTCCTTCAAACACTTCAACCAGGCGCACTCTGCACGACTTGCCTCCATCCTGGCCTTCTCCATTGCCTTTTCCGCGTCCCTGGCCGCACCAACGACTTCCACCATACACTTTGATAGTTCGATAAGGTGGGCCTTGCGGATAGGATCGGTCGAGGTGCGCGCGAGGTCCAGAAGAGAGTGGGTCATGCTTGTCGTCGTTGCCAGTGTCGGCGGTGTAGTTTGGGATAGAATCGTCGGGGATTGTGCTTGGGGATGGGCGTGAGTGGTGGGAGAGGCGATCTTGTGTGCGGTTGCGTTGGCGGCTACTGCAGCGGTCCCGAGCGGCGAAGTCGGATACATTGCTGTGTTGAGATGCGCGGTGAAAGGTGTAGTTGGGCTGACGAATGGATTCTTCCGCCTCAGCCCTCGCGAGCCCATGCCTCTGAGTTGCTCACGCGGTTCGGTCGCTTGGTTTTCCTGGATGAGGAACGGATGATCAGATGGCATCAAGGCGTTTCGGTTTGGATTGATGTTGCCTTGTCCCGTTTCTCCAGTGGCGCTCACATTCATGTAAGGTGCATAATTCAGCTTCCAATCATCCGTCTTCCCTGTCGTCGAGGTTGGGACTGGTTTGCGACGTAGAGACCCAGGACCGCTCCCTGCTTTGCTCGGGTTCGAGTTCACCTCGTCCGTCACATCACCACTTTCAGCGACAGTCGTTTGTGCCTTATTCGACTGGATGGACCTCTTATGGAACAAGCCACGAATGTTGGAAATGACCTTTTTCTTGCTAGAACTCGACGGACTATGTGCCAGGACACGTGATATTTTTCTCCCCTTGACGGAGTCGGTCCGCGGGGAAATGCTCTGCGAAAAGGTCTTTACATTGCGAGGCTTCTTGATGTTGTCTTGGTTAACTGCGTATGCTTTCGGTGCTCGCTGTGCGAGGAAGCTAACTGAAGGAAGATTGCGCTCAGGTGGAGAAACAATGATTGGAGGTGGTTTAGGCTTCCGCGACGAAGTGCGAGGTGGAAAGGGTGTAGTAGCTTTGGGATCGGAAGCTGTAGGCGCCGCATCATATGTTGCTTTTGCAAGATCGTTGACAAGTTTCTCCTGCTTGGCTTGCTCTTGCTCTAGATCTTGGAATAAGAAAGGGGCTGTCTCTTTACTCGGGGCAGTTCGCAGAACGATGGTAGGAGGTCTGGACAAAGAGCGAGGCGTTGGCCGTTTCTTGACGACAACTTCGGCCGCACTGCTAGGGGTAGGTACCTTCTGCTCCGTTGTGGCTGCCGCAGAGTCAGTGTGCGTTCTAAAATTCGCAAAGTCCTTGCAGGGCCAGTCACTCTGAGTCGAAGTTGGAGTTGTCTGGTAAACAGATGTCCCCTTCTTGGCCGCTTCTGTAGCACTGCCATTGGTATTTGAGTCAACCATCCGGGCCTTTTCGGAATCGATACTATTGTCAGGAAGTTCAGCTCGCACAATGGTATCCACAGAGCTCTCTTCACCGATGAGGTTCCGAGTCTCATCTTGGTCTGCGTCTTTGTGCTGGCTTAGGGATCGTTCTGTGAGATTTTTCACTAGAGACATGGGACGGCCGAAAATGGCACTGGATCGTCGGACTTGGTCCTTCGCAATGCGCGGAGAGCCAATATCAGGAGCACTTCCCTTATGTCTTAAGGCAAGCCTAGGACTTGAATTGTCCAGGAGGTTGTTGTCGCCTTTACCCAGCAGGACGCGGCTTGCTGAGTCTGTAATGCGAAGGGTCGGACCCATCTTAGAACCGTTGCGAACGCGCCGAATTCGATACCCTCCGAAGGCATCGTAGCCATGAATGCTGACGCCAGACTCGCCGTCACTATCAACGAAGGACTCATCATCGCGGGTAGCCGTTGTAGAAAGCATCTCTTTGACATTCAGAAGTTTGGCTTTATCGTTGGTAGTTGTTTCAGAAGGGTTGCTACTGCCATGGACTCCATTGCTGGCAAAATTTTCAAGAGCATGGCTTGCGAGATCTCCCCCAACTGGCTGTTTGTTCACAACAAGGCTCATGAAGGGCTCGGAGGGAGATTTGTCGCGTTCACTACCTTCATCGGTTTCGCCTTGTGGTTGACGAGTGAGTCGAGTTGGCAGAGGAAGGGAACTCTTGCGGTACTTTAGTCTCGGTGAAGAAGATTGTTGAGCGGTGGCTCCATAGAGCACAAGATCGAACCCCTGATCGGTGGCTGGACTGCGAGGGACTCCTCGACTAATGCTGGTCTCATCTCTTGAGACTGTCTTGCCCGTAGATTTTGAGCGGGAGGGTATGGTGTATGGGGAGCCTCGCCCTGTAACACCATAACGACCACGAGAATTTGTACGGACCGGACCGCCAGGAAAAGACTGCTTGGAACGCGAAACCGAACTGTCACGTTGAGAAGAGATATGACCACTACTTTCAACCTTCTTGCCAATAGATCCCCCGAGTGCTTTTACCTGATGAAGTCGTAGGGCCGAGGTCTTGGTTTGACGAGTTACAAGGGAGTCGACATGACGGGACAGTGATTGAAGCAGAGATTCACGAGGTCTCGGTAGCTGGCTTGATGAGAGAGGACGGGTAGAGTCGTCAACCGTGACTGTCGAGTTGATCTCTCGAACATCACTTGCATCTGACTTGGGTTCGGGCTCCCCAGTCGTGGCGACATTCTCGTTTAAGTTGTCATCGTGTTTTACTTGTACAATTTTCTCCTCATGGTCATGCAGATCCAATGCTCGCATGCCTCGATACAAGCTCTCGCTCAGACTTGTTTTAACCTGAGACTGGCTTATAACTGAAGGAGTTGTGTCGGCTTTCGTTGGCTCAATTGCAGGCCAGTCTTCTTGGTGTGCAGCTCCGCCGCCAGGAGGGGTCAGAGATCGCCGAAGAGGTCTTTCGGTACAGTCGATAAGGGATCTGCGGACTGGAGAGTTGGACTTGACGGTTGCGATAGGAAGACTTGGGAGTGGTTTATCGGGAGGACTTTGATGCCGTGGGTGACTCAGGGGAGCGGGAACAGGTGAGCGAGAGCTTCCGGACAGATTGTGAGGTTGTACCTACACCCTTCGTTAAACATCGCAGGAGAAACAAACGCGTCCCATATCCTTACATTGAGTCTTTTCACTGAGGACGTCCCCGATGCTGCGGTTGGATTCTTGTTCATGATGCCTTCTCTTGAAAAGCTCGCCTTGGGGCGCAGTTTCGACAATCCCAGATGCTTGGAGGCACTGTTAACCCACGACCTCTTTCCGGCTTCACCGTGGAGATTGTTTGGGGTTACGGGCGATGCATTTGCATTAGCTGGTCTTAACCTCAATGGGGCAAACTGGGCCGGAGCAGAATGTGGTGAAGACAGCGCGACAGTGCGATGGCCAGGCGATGGTGTGTCTCGAGACCGAAGGCCAGTTGGCATCCTCGAGGCGATGATGTTGTCCCTGTCATAAGGACCCTGGTCAACGCTGAAAGACATGGGCTGAGAAATTCTCAAGCCGTGGAGGAGGAACCAGATTCTGATGATGTCAATCTCGCGGTAGTGAAGGTCGACTGATTGTTTGGTGGGTGCGGCAGCCTAAGTTGGTTTCCTACTGAGTGAAAGTGTCTGGTCGATAGCTGGCGAGAAATGGATATCATTTTCATTCACCTCCAAAAAAAACCCCTTCCCTTCTCAATTGCTCGCGCTCCCATTCACTGGCACCGCAAGGACCATGTCTTCTTTGGCCTCCAGATAATTCCGCCGTCCTCCAATCAATGATTGGAAGTTAGGATAGGCAGGCCGAATCAATAATCATCCTCATGGCGCCTTGAACGACTGAAAATGAGATGGCTTCTAATCATTCTCATCTTCCCCTTGATAGCCTGCCTGTTGGGAGTCGCCAGTTTCTTTCTTCTGCTTACCGGCCTCATACTGCTCCATGTTCTTCGCCCTCCACTTAGGTCCACCAAAATCATCTTCCCTGAGCCGCTCGCTGTCATCGATTGTGAGGCCTTGCTTTTGAGCCAGTTCTTCGAGCCTACGTTGTTCCAGGATGATGTTTCTCAAAAATTCAGTGGTTTTCCCCAGCATGACTTGCTCGCTTCTCTCATGCCCGAGAGCTCCCGGGACGAGATGAGAGAGTTCTGTAAAACGCTCACGGATGGCGGTGCGTCGCTTGTTTTCAGCGTCTTTGTGGTTGAAATTCTTCTGAGACGCTGTCAAGCGTGGCTTCGATACCTTGTTCGCTTTCCTCGCCGAGCTGGACTTGGAAGTATTTGGTTGGGCGTCGGAGGCCGGGGTGGATTCTCGGGAGGACGCATTTGACTCGGTCCCCTCTTCTTTCGACATTGTGAAGGAAGGTCTATCGTTGGAGATAGGTTGGAAAGACGAACAAACGAATGGTTGGGACCCTTTTCTGGGCACCCCTGGGTCAGCGGTCTGCCAGCAAAGCTCAGCTCTTCCTTGACACCATCAGGAGCAACACCCTGTTTCTGATGGCACCAAGGGCGCACTGATGCAAAACTGATGTATCGATCGGTAAATTTGAATGCGAGGAGATGAGGAGAGAATGGATTCTAGATTCTCGAAGGCGATGGGCCGTCGTTGACGAATGGGTTCGTGATTTCCGTTTTCGGTTTACTGCGAGCAAACGGAGATAACCCCACCTGCAGCTGGCAAAATCCGCGCAAGTTCTGGAACTTGAGAAGGTAGGATTTCCTTTCCGTTCTTTTCCAGCACAGTTCGACATCGTGGTGATCATTCTTCCATCTGTATTGTGGAGAGAAGAAATATATTGCGAGCATCATATTATTGACTCGCCTTCATCCAAGATCTGGCTCTCTTAGATATCAGCTTCTTCCAGTTACGTGATCGTATGAGACATGAGCAGAACCCGACCCCTCCAAGGTGCCTGCAATTGCGGCCGCAACCACTATTATATCACCGTTCCCCCTGATGCAACGGATCGAGCTCTAATCTATTTCGACGGCAGTAGCCAGAGCAGTAAGTTTACTATACCCCCAATCCTTATCGACCGCTCTAAGATCCCCGCGTTTATTAGGACGAAGTCAAGCAACCCCACTGACGGCGTGGCTGCGCGTGCCATTGTCCTGGTACTCCTCAACCACACAGTCCTTCTTCCCTGACGAAACCCATGCCTCTATTCGCAGAACCTTCACGCCCTTGCACACGCCGCACTCCCAACGGGTGTTTTGTGGCTATTGTGGTACGCATCTGTCCTTCTGGACTGAACAACCGCCGGAAGAGGCAGAGTACATGAACATCACGTTGGGCAGCCTGTTGAGCGAGGACCTTCGCGCACTGCAGGACTTGGACTTGTTGCCGGAGGATGTAGAAGCAGAAGGATCAGCAGATGATGCGCAACAGTTTACAATGTCTGGGGCGTTGCAGCAGGGCGATCAGGCTGCGGCGGAAGCTGCTGCTATACAGCAGCAAAACCAACCATTGACTCGGACACAACGAAGTGGTCGAACAGGAGGACTGACGTGGTTTGAGGAGATGCTGGATGGAAGCCGACTAGGCCGGACGCAAAATACTAGACGGGGAGTCGGAATCAGCAACGACGGGTTGACCAGGGTGGAATGGGAAGTATCTGAATATTTTGACGATGGCAGTGATGAGCCGCTTCAGACAGCCACAGGCTCGAAGCGGAAAATCGGAGATGTGGGCAAAGACGAGGACGCCACTATGCAGCATTGAGCGAAAGACGTCCTTACGAGAACATGGCATAGATGTCACAGACCAAAAGATGACCCGCACATGGCATAGCGCTGGAGTTCTAGCAGTCGGAGGCCTGGCGATCAGGCGAAATGAGCAAACGAAAGAACCAAAAAAAGCCCAAACGATCAGTTAGTCAATGTACAATCACGCTCCAGAGAGGATGCAACAAGATGGTTCAACAAGTAGGCCATGGTAATAAACATCATCATCATCAGTCAATCAGAATCCCAGTTATCCATACAAAATGTTTGGCGAGAGGTATCAACAGCCTCATCTTTTTCGACTCTTCCATGCTCTACGTTGATCCGTTTACCTCGCCGGTCTCCGTGCCGGTGATTTTCTTCCAGGCGCCCGTCATGACCTCTGGCAGCGTGCTCACCTTTTCATTGAATAACTCCTCTGCCTGCTTCCACACCCTCGCACTCTTCCTTTCCTTCAACTGCAGTAGGCTCGGCAGCAAAGCCTGCGAGAACGCCTCGCTAGCTTCCCTCGGCAACAAGGAGGGGAGGTGGTCTATGCTGATCACACATAGCGGAGGGTTCTCGAACCCCGGGACCGGGAGTGTCGGGGTTTTGAAGGTAGAGTTCTCGTCGTAGATAGGGATCGGGTTGTGAGGATTCGTAGTGTCACAACTAACATCACACAAAACTGACAGGTTGCGCTTCGGGGACGAGAGGGATTCCTTGTTGATAAAAGGCGCGATCGGCTCGCTCAGATAAATGCTGGTCACAAATACGTCCGACTCAACGATTTCCTCGAAAGGCCCCGCCCTTCTTAGTCTCTGGTAGGTCCCATTTGAGGATGTTTTCGTCCGATATGCCGGCTTGCTTGCAAAGATCGACGGCGCCACGACCGCAACAGCCCAGAGCACCAATAACAAGCACTCGTGGTTGACGCCCTGCGGCCTTGGATCTGGTCTCCAAAGCTGAGCGCACGTCTTTGAGGAGTAGATCTTGACTTGGGTAGCTCGATACACTTCCCATGGCCTCATTCGGGTTGGTCAATTGATGTGCCCACGCCTCGACGGCCAGTGCTGCACCCGCATAGCCAGCATGATCCCGCGACTCTGCGTCCAACATCATCTGTCAAAAATTCGAGGTCTAGGAGCGTCCCGCCGCCTCAGGGGAAACGCGACAGTACATCCTGCCAACCACCTTGGTTCTTGTAGCAGTGTGCGAACTGTACATGCGTGTGTTTGAGGGCGAATTTGTCTTCAGGGAGCTCTTTGAGCCCGACGATTATATGATCTGTCGGGGCATCTTTTCATCTTTCCATGAGCCTTCGGGAACTAGGGTTGCGCCGACAGCTTCAAACTCGGAGTCGTCGAATATCCGTTCCGGACTGCACTCGACGTTGACTTTGTAGCCCGCGTCCAGCAGAGCTTTGGTAGTGCTGGGGGTTACTGTGCGCAAAGTCAGTCACTACACATTCAGATCGAGAAGGGCGATCGAGAGCATACGAGCAGATCGGTGCTCCAGCGGCTTAGACTCAGAGCACAGGTGGAGGGTTGTCGCCATGTTGATTGAGTCAAGCACTCAGTGAAGAGAGGAGACCGAATGCGAATACGAAGGTAAAGGCCGGGAAAGCAGCAGAAGGACTTCAGGTCGGTATAATATGGAGTTCAAGTTATGAGTCAAGTCCTACAGCCAGGTATAAAAATGTAGAAATGGTGGGGAGACACATTGAAACTTTTTCTGCCACCGCCGAAGACTCGTTCCTGACGCAGGTCCCTTTGCCTCCGCGCCGCGACACGCAATTGAAGATTTGGTTTGTCTCGAAATCAAGACAGAAGCAAATATGTCTAGCTCTCAGGAAAACGGCGTCCCAACCGACAACCCCCCTTCCTACGAAGCTCTATCCATTCCTCCTTCCACAGGGGTGCAAGCACCCGCAGCACCTCCGCCCGGGCGCCGCCCCCTCCGCCCTCCGCCACCGTTAGAACTGCCCGCCCTTAACCTTCTGCGAAATAAGCGCATCATTCTCGCCTCCCAATCTCCTCGCCGGAAACAACTCCTTGCGCAGATCGGACTGCATAATGTCGAAATAATCCCCTCGAAATTCGAAGAGAACCTGCCCAAAACGCTGTCCCCGTTCGAGTATGTCCTAGCTACTGCGACGCAAAAGGCATTGGCCGTCTATAAACAGGAGGTGAACAATGAACAGAAGGGCGAACCAGGGTTGATTATTGCAGCGGATACGATTGTCGTGAGTTCGGTAGGAGATATACTAGAGAAACCAATGAGTGAGGCACATCACATTGCCATGTTAAAAAGTCTCAGGGATTCGGGGATGCATAAAGTCTACACTGCTGTATGCGTGGTCACTCCCCTAGAAAGCGCAAGAGATCCTGGGTACGCCATCGAGACGGCCACGGAGGAAACCACCGTGAAATTCGACTCTGAGGTCACAGACGAATTGCTTCTGGCATATGTAAGGACTAGAGAAGGGGCGGATAAAGCGGGCGGATATGGGATACAAGGAACCGGAGCGGTTCTGGTGGAGAGGATAGATGGCAGCTTCGATAATGTGGTAGGCTTGCCATTAAGGACGACATTGAAGTTGATTGAGAAGATCATGCAGAAGGCGGAGGATGATGATATTTTAGAGGGAGAGGGCGAGGATCTGCTCGAGGATGAATGACGAGAAGTCAGTCTCTGAACGAGGACAAAATCGGTGTCAGGGGCGCTCGGCGAACGGTTGCTTGAGTCATCGTCAGTACATAGAAGGCTCTACCAAGGACAGGCTGCTCGGTAGACATTGTATCGTTTGTAGAACCCATGTTGTTAGAATGCATCATGTACATGGAGGTTTCTGGTCCATTCTCCCCAACACTTGTACCGCTGCTTATTTCAGGTTCTTGAGCTTCCCATCATGACCCAAGCTCGACGTGTCCGCCTTGCCAATCGTGGCGTCATTCGCACCCGCATGCCATATTCTTTTCATTGCTTCAACCACACCAACGTCGTTGGTTTCGAACTCGTAGAAACCCACAGCCACAACAAGGGTAGCTAGGTTCAGTAGCCACATGAAGGATCGCCGCATAGTCGGATGACGGTGGATGGGTATGTAATCGATGATGATTGACCTGGAGTCGTCTCAATGTTTGCTTTCTAGTGGGGTGACGCATGAGTGCATGTAGTGCAAGCTCGATACTTACTGGAAGCCCGCGTGTGAGTGGATCAAAATGCCAAAGATCAATGCCGCATCCAGCATCGGACTGACAGAGCCGGCAGCGAAGGGTGTAATGGTCAAGGGGACCAATGCCACCGATAGCATTCGCTCAAATGTCCAGTGATAGCTTCCATGGAGGGGATCTGGCTTCGGGACGGGGGCAGCGTCGTTGACTCCTCCTTGGATGACCTGCGGACCTGGCGGTAAGATCTTCCTTTGCGCAGTTGAGGAGAAGGGCGCAATCTGAGAAGCAAGTGACAGTCGCGGAGAAAGGAATTGTCTCGCAGAAGGGATCAGAGGAGCTGGCCGGAAGGGTCGAAGTGGTTGGGTAGTGCTCGAGAACAGTCGCTTGGACGTCGATAGGAGCTGTGCTTGTCGAAGCATGGCTGTCCTCGAAGCTGCCGCCATATCCCTAGCACGATCAATGGATAGTCTGGTCAAGGTGGTCGAAAGGCATGAGGGTCAAGAGAATCAATGGTCCGATCGCATGCTGCGATGGGATGTTGCTCGGCTGCCAAGAAGCTTGCCTCCGAGCCAATCACAGGCTTTGCATTTTATATAACAAGCCGGAGAGCTCTCCATCAACTCACATCGATCCATTCTATCCTCTCCTGCCTTTCTTCGCGGACGTCGACGATGTTTATCACTCCCTGTACTCTATACTCTGATAGCTCGGTCTCAGAAAGATGTCACATGCATTGAAACCCTAGAATTGACAGATTTGCTGTATTTTTCTAATACAAGCTTATATCTTAGCATATGTCGCATTTTGCCGACTCCATTTGTCGCCCGTTTGTATTCAGTCCGGTTTGTCAATACTACTGGCTCCCTGCAGAAGGATACGAGTGCCAGGGGAAAAGGTAGGGCCTTCAAAAGGCCTCCAAAACTGACAGCCTCGCGAGCCTCGGATTTCGGACTGGTCTCTCCAAATACCCATCAAAGAGTACAGAACATATGGAGCGTCACGCGATGCGGGGTTCGCCCGAGGGAAACATATGCGTTGGAGCGGATATCTTTGAGGAGTGATTAACCACTCCACCAGTCAGCTTGACGAATTCGGCTCGTTTGCCCGTTGAGTCTTGTGAGGTGCATGTGTGCTTACTTCGTTTTATCGCAAAGCCTTATATAACCTAGGTTCACCAGAAAGGTTTGTTTATATTCGGCTCGCCCAAGGATTTCTGCTGCTTCCGCACCCGCTTAGGATTGTGTCTGCCTACCTGCATTGCTTTGCAGCCAATATGGGGAACGACAGGGTTGTGCTCATCTCTGCTGCTCCGACGGAAGACGTTACAGTCCCCTCGGATGCACCCCACGAGAACAGTTGGTACGATGGAAGAGATTTTGACGGCTACCGAGTTACCGAGCAATTGCTCTTTGAGAGACGCAAGATTCGAGTCATCTGTGTAGGGGCCGGAGCGACGGGCCTTCAATTCGCGTACAAGGCAGAACGTGCCTTGAAAGACGTGGAACTTCAAATCTACGAAAAGAACAGCGATATCGGCGGGACTTGGTTGGAAAATCGATACCCTGGGTGTACGTGCGACATACCCTCTCATTCCTATCAATTCACGTGGGCAAAGAATCCCAATTGGTCAAGGTTCTACTCTGGGTCGGAAGAAATCTGGCAATATCTTAAGGACGTTGCCACTAAATATGACCTGGAGAAATACGTCCAGTTTAAGACAACTGTCGAGTCAGCCACCTGGGACGAGGAAGCTGGGTTTTGGAGATTGCGTATCATTGCTCCCGACGGCTCATCATTTGAGGATACTTGCAATGTCCTTGTCAATGGGTCAGGGGTCCTAAAGTGAGTGAGAACCCGTACGGGCCCGTTCACAGCCACACCCATCTGCTAACACAAGCTGTCAGTGAGTGGAAATGGCCCAATATTCCAGGCCTAGATGTATTCAAGGGAAAGCTCATGCACTCAGCGCAATGGGACAGCAACTATGATTTGAAAGGGAAGACCGTCGCCGTGATTGGTGGCGGGTCGTCCGCTGTACAAATCATTCCGTCTATACAACCAAGTAAGTGGCTCTCGGACATTACTGCTTTCTGATTCTTGGTTTACTGACACGGGTCGTAGCTGTCGGAAAGTTGTATGCTTTCTTGAGGTCACCAGTCTGGATTACCACTGGGTTTGGCGCTAAGTATGCCGGGCCTGGCGGAACGAACTTCTCCTGTGAGGCTTCCGTTGAGAAGATCTGACTGTTGCTAATTGTTGCAGACCCAGAAGAGCAAAAGGAGGAATGGAGAAAGCACCCAGACAAACATGCCCAGTACTGTCGGGACGTCGAGGGCGAACTCAACAAGAGATTTACATTGGTAAGGCCCCACCCATGCTGTTGTAAAGCCAGCTCGTCCACCTGACTTGGTGTTCAGATGCACCTCAAAGCCAAAGATCAGAAAGTCTCCCGAGATCTCGTGGCAGACATTATGAAAGAACAGCTCGGCCATGATGAGACTCTCACCAAGCACATGATTCCACCATTCGCTCTTGGCTGCAGAAGAATGACTCCTGGATCTGGGTATCTGCAGTCTTTGAAAGCAGACAACGTACAGGTCGTCCCAAAGTCAGCTACAAGATTGACAGAAACTGGTATCGTGGGCGAAGATGGCGTTGAACACCAGGTCGACGTTGTCATCTGTGCGACGGGGTTCGACACCTCCTTCACGCCGCATTTCAAGGTCTATGGTCGGAAAAACGCAGAGATCCACGAGCAATTCGGTGACTTTCCAATCGGATACCTAGGTATTACAGCCGAAAACTTCCCCAACCTGTTTCTTCTGATAGGACCCAATGGGCCGGCATCACATTCTAGCATCCTCCCAATCTTGGAATGGTACACCCGATACATTTTCCAAGTCATTGAAAAGATCCAAACGGAGCGCATCAAGGCTGTCGAGCCCAAGAAGGAAGCTATCAAGGATCTCTACAATCACACGCACGAGCTGATGAAGCGACTCGTCTGGTCGTCCGCCTGCAGATCATGGTTCAAGAACGGCAAAACACACGGTCCAGTGACCGCCATCTACCCAGGCAGTCGACTACATTTCTTCGAGATTATGAAGAATGTGAGGTGGGAGGACTACAACATCACGTACATGGCGGAGAACAGATTCGCCTTCATGGGCAACGGCTACACACAGACTGAGGTGGACCCTGAAGGAGATCCTGTGTGGTATTTTGATGACCCGTTCACCAAGATTTAGAGCCTTTTCGACCGGAGGAATAGCAAAGGTTAAAGCATGCTATAGACTACGAACGACTCGAGCGAGGCAGGGGAAGAGGGAAAACGTTTCCATCAGACGAATGCTAGACGGGCCTTTATTGGACCCGGAGTCTTACCGCAGTCCGCGCGGCCATGCCTAAAGCGTGATGTGAACGTGACGTTGGTTTGCTGGTCTTCTGGCCTGCTCTTTATCAACAATGACGGCAGGGAGAGGAAGGCCGTCGGCACTCTGCCCCGAGTTGCTGGGGGCTGGTCAGCAGCGGACCTCCCTGGCCGTGGGGTTGGCTGGCTGCGCAGTGGGCGTCGTGGCGGCATGGCTCAGGGTCGCCTTTCTAGCCTTTTTAGCCCACCACTGCCCACCTACTTGTACTTGTAGGTTCTGCGAGTAGCCTAGAGCTCTCCGTACAGGGCTCTGAGGGCCGCCCACCATCCCGCCATTGCCCGCTCTCGCCGCTAACACGCCCGCGCAACACCCACAAGTTTTTGATTGACACCGGCTGACTAACTCCAAGCGGCCAAGTCCAAGGGTGCCAATGGGCCTCTGTTCTCCGCCATTATAATCGCTGTTCGACTCATTCTCAATCTTTTTGTACGAACCCGAGAGTTGCTGCCAAAGGCGACGGTTTGTATAGTGTTTGGTGAGGGACGTCGCATTCAAAGACAACTCTTCAATCCCCCCAATCCTCCTTTGGTTCCATTTCCTGTCCTATATTTTGCCCCAGTTGATTTCGTCGTTTATCAGAAAATGTCCAAGCGGAGTTGGCAAGAGGCCGAACTGCCATCCCCACGTTCTGCTCCGGGTCCCAGTCCACAGAGAGCAACCTCGACGACGTCTCCTCATACATATACCTCTCCTGCGCAGTCCGCTTCACCCAAGAAGCCTCGTAATTCCTTTGATGAGCCCAGTCTCATTGCCAGAGCCCCGTCCCGCCCTCAACGAACCAATTCTACCACCAATGGAGCCGCAGCGGACGCAAAGTTGCCCGGGATATCAAGAAAGGTCAAGGCTTGCGCAGCATGCCGAAAGCAAAAAGTAGGGCTTTCATACGTTCTTCGCGGTTCGAGATAACTGAACAGATGTGTTGTCCAGATCAAGTGTATCATGATCGGTGACCCGCCATGTCAACGATGCAAGGAACGAGGATTATCGTGTCGCCTCAACAAAAGCCTGCAGACTCTCATGTCTGAAGATTCGAAATGGAAAGCTGCCGTCACCAAAGATGTCACAGCTCTGTACGCGGCCGTCGAGGAGATTGTGCGAACACTGCAGCTGCCATCTCTGCCGCAAATGCTCGTCTCCACGCAAGACCCTGCCATCTTCTTCGACCAAGAGGAACAGGGTAATGATCCTGATGATGAGGACCAGTCTTTCGACAATTCGCCGAAAGTGACCCCGGTCGCCGACAATTTGTCACACGTGCCCATTGAGTCGCTGTATCAGATCACCGGAATGCGATCACTAAGAGCTTCTGAGAACATTACGGAAGACCAGTCCCGGATATGCAAACAACTGCGAGATACTGACTTTATCGCAAGGGGCCTGGTGAAGCAAGAGGACGCAGAACACTTGGCCAACTACTATCTCAGCAAGCTTGACCCCTATATTTGGCATATATGTCCCGACTATTCGGATTTGGAGTCCTTCCGACGCCGATCACCGACACTGACCGCATGCGTTCTTACTGTGGCTGCCCTTCACGATACCAAGCTGGGTCATCTATACTCTGTTTGCAGCAAGGAATATAGGAGATTGGTCGCCAATGCCATGTTCGAACGAAAGATTGACATGGAGTATCTGCGAGCCTTGGTTCTTGGATCGTACTGGCTGAGCGACATCTCATGGACATTATCTGGTTATGCCATTCGCCGTGCCAGCGAATTCCACCTTCGACAGTACTATCATGAAATATCAGAGTCGGTCAGATCGCCTGAAAAGGCTGACCCGGCAAAATTGCAAGAAGCCATGGACGGCATTAGAGTACTCTACCTGCTCTATATATGTGACCACCATCTGTCGATCCTTTACGGCCGGTCGTCGATCATGCGTGACAACGAAAGCTACATTACCGGTTGGGAAGCCTACCTGGCCTGCTCGTTGTCCACAGATGCCGATCGCAGAATTGCCGGGCAGATTTGCCTGATGTACCTGATGAACCAAATCCGGGAGACTTTGGGCCCCGAAGACACAAGCTCGGTTCTACCGGTCTCCGCTCTAACCAAGATTGCCGGCTTTGAGCGCGACTTGGATGACTGGATTGCCCGTTTCTCGAGACATAGTAAGCGGAGTGGATGCGAACTTCGTTGAATCATGCTAATCTCGTTTCAGATCCAAGCCAATACATTGGCAACTGGCCCAACAAAGGTGCAGTAATGCACTATCATTGGGCCAAGCTCTATCTTCAATCATATGTCCTTCGAGGGCTGCCCGAGTCGGGAGCTGTCATTCCCGAGCACTTTTTGGAGAATGCTTCGGCCGCAGTCGCAGCCGCAACTGCCATCATCAACCTCCTCTTAGATGACAGAGATGCGCAGATAGCTATTGCTTATGTTCCGCATCACATCCATGGCATGATCGCATTTGCATGCATGTTTCTCTTGAAGATCGCAACCAAGCACAGCGAGCAGCTGTTCTTGGATACCGTTCGCTTTCAAAGGCTCATAAACGCATTGGCACAGCATTTCAAGTCGACAGACGTCGGTAAAGATCATTTGATTCACAGAATGGCCGAGGGGCTCGAGAAGATGGCGGAGAGCTTGGGAGGACCAACGCGCTCCAAGAACCGTGTGAAGGCCAACGGGGAGCGTTCAAGTCAGCCGTTAGCATCCCCGAGTCAAGCGGTCGATGCGACGGTGAACATGGGGAGAATCACCAATGGGCAGTCGGATGTACCTGACTATGGCTCACTGGATCCAACAGCCTTTGACTTCGGAGATCCTGCCTTGGGGCTGGGTATGCCGTTCTTCGATTTTGAAGGGACGACGCTGGATGCAGGACAGGCAATGTGGACTTTTACGTAGGGCATAGGACACACGCACGATGGGATCGAGATGTTCGCTTCCATCATAACAAAAATGGATCCAATTTTGGTACTCGGTAATTATATGCTTTTGAACTGCTCACATTGCCCTACTGATCGGGTCTGGCCAATGAGCTGTCGTGTAAAGAATCTTCTCCCTGTTGGGTATAGCGCCTCATTCGGGAAGTTCTGAGCTCCAGAAACTCCAAAGTCGCCTGCGTTCAAAGCTCAATTCTACTACGACACACAGCTGCCACCGCCCTCCTTCTCTTGATCAACTTCCTGCAATGGCGTCTCAGCGGCTGGCGCTGAATCTTCAGCGGTCCCTTCGAAGCAGAAAAGCTCTCAGTGCTATTCAGTCTCCCCTTCGCCGCTACGCCAACCCTGTCACTCCCTCCAGAACTGAAAGCACCACTCTCTCGAACGGCTTGACGGTACCACTCTCGATTTCTGCGGCTATATGGCTTGAGGTGACTGACTGGCGGACTTAGATTGCGACCGAGCATTCGCCATGGGCTCAGACCTCAACCGTCGGTGTTTGGATTGATGCTGGGAGCAGAGCGGAAACAGACAAGACCAACGGAACTGCACATTTCTTAGAACATCTCGCTTTCAAGGTGGGTAGAGAAATCCCACAACTCGAATGCAGAGATTTGATGATGTTGTAGGGCACTGGCAGGCGAACCCAACATCAACTAGAGCTCGAGATTGAGAATATGGGTGGTCACCTCAACGCATACACTTCGGTAAGTCGGCCTACTCTCCAGCTCCAATCTGCTGCTAAACGGATCGGACAGCGTGAAAATACTGTTTACTATGCCAAATCCTTCAACTCCGATGTTCCCAAGACCGTCGACATCCTTTCCGACATTCTACAAAACTCTAAACTCGAACCCGCGGCCATCGAGCGCGAAAGAGATGTGATTCTCAGGGAGCAAGAGGAAGTCGACAAGCAGTTGGAAGAAGTGGTATTTGATCACTTGCATGCCACGGCTTATATGCATCAGCCTCTCGGCCGCACCATCCTCGGGCCCAAGGAAAACATCGAGACAATTTCTCGACAGGATCTGGTTGATTATATTACCACCAATTACACCGCTGACCGCATGGTCCTTGTCGGCGCAGGTGGCATTCCCCACGAAGAATTGGTCAAGCTCGCTGAGAAGCATTTCGGACACCTGAGATCTGCTCCGCCGACATCTTATGCCGCTGAAATTGCCGCTGAGCAGAAGCGTAAACCCACTTTCATTGGCTCTGAGGTCCGGATAAGAGACGACACAATCCCCACTGCGCACATCGCCATTGCCGTTGAAGGTGTTTCCTGGAGAGACGACGAGTATTTCCCCGCCCTGGTTACACAGGCCATTGTCGGGAACTGGGACCGGACGATGGGCAATTCCCCCTATCTTGGCTCAAGACTCAGCACATTTGTGAACGCGAATAATTTAGCCAACAGCTTCATGAGCTTCTCCACGAGCTACAGCGATACTGGGTAAGTTATATCTCTGCGTTCTAAGGACAGAATTTTCCAGTGCGAAAAAGAAGATGCTAACCCAGGATTTTACTGTGTTGATACAGACTATGGGGAATATACCTCGTTTCCGAGAACAAGACCCAAATTGATGACCTTGTTCACTTTACCCTGCGCGAGTGGTCGAGACTCTCCTTCAACGTCTCCGAAGCAGAGACCGAGCGTGCCAAAGCCCAACTCAAAGCGTCCATCCTCCTGAGCCTGGACGGGACAACGGCCGTTGCAGAGGACATTGGACGACAAATCGTCACGACTGGCAGGAGAATGGACCCCGCCGAGATTGAGCGTGTGATCGGCGGGATTACGGCACAGGATGTGATGCGGTTCTGCCAGAAGAAGCTTTGGGACCAGGACATTGCGGTGAGTGCGGTCGGCAGTATTGAAGGCCTGTTGGATTATAACCGTATCCGGAACGATATGGCAAGGAACTTGGCATAGGCGGGACGAGATGAAGGAGACAGGAGGCCGGGGACTTGTGGAGGCAAACAAGTCGAGAAAACAGAGGGAGAAACAGGGCAGAAGTGTCTTGATGAGGACCTCTGATCGGAGGTCAGTGATCTGGTGCTTCTAGAGGGCTAGGTAGTGATTTGTATTGTACAGTGCACATGGCATTATCCGCACAGAAAAAAAAGGATCTGTCGACTTGGAAGAAAGAGACTCGTGGCATTCACGGTATCTTTCCTCTTGAATTGTCCGAGGACGCCGTCTCATATTTCTCTCATTGACTTAGCTCTACAATAGAGAGACTCCAGAGGAGAAGAAAACATCAGATCCAAAGGACGTCTACACTTCCCTGGGTTTTCTCATATCGCTCATTTCTCGTTCGCCGCCGGCTTGGGAAGTCCTCTTCTCCACCCTAAGCTGACAACAACGAATTTCGGAGTTCCAGAGAGGGAGTCTCCCTCGTCTTCCCGAGCTCACGCCTTCTACACCTTGACCTTCAGGATGGCCTTCCCGAAATTCTGGCCCTTCAGCATGCCGCTGAAGGCCTGGGCGGCGTTCTCGATGCCCACGTCCTCGTGGATCTTGGCCTTGAAGCTGCCGTCCCGCAGCCACCTGGAGACGTTTTCGAGGTGCGCCTTGCCGTGCTTGGGCCCCATGTTGGCGTCGCCGACCATGAAGCCCGTCATGGTCAGCCGCTTGGTCACGCACAGGAAGGTGTTGCGGATCGGGTAGCGTTCGGCGGGCGGAAGGTTGTACTGTGAGATCTGGCCGCATTCCACGATCCTGCGATGGAAGGGGACATTGGTCAGCCAATGGCTCGGGCGATCATGCCGTGGTGGTCTGGATGAGGGAACGAGAGAGTGGACAGATGAGAAGTAGATCGGATCAAACAAAAGAAAAGATGCTTACCGTCCGAACAAATTCAATGTCTCCATGGCGCCGTCCAGCTGCTCGCCCCCAACGTTGTCGTAGAATATGTCGATGCCTCCTTCGCCGTTGCCCGCTTCTTCGGGCACTTTCTCACCCTTCTTCTCCTTGTACTCCCGGACCAGGCGCCCGATCACCTCCTTCGTGCTGGGCTCCTTCTTGTAGTTCCAGCCACCGTCGAAACCCAGCTCGTTGACGATGAAGTCCAGCTTGTCGTCGCTGCCCACGGACCCAAAGACGGTCAGGCCCTCGTGCTTGGCCAACTGGCCGACCAACTGGCCCACGGCCCCGGCGGCGGAGGAGACGACGATGATTTCGCCGGCCTTGGGCTTGCCGATTTCGTACAGCGACGAGTAGGCCGTGAGGCCCGGCATGCCCAGGGCCCCCAGGTAGTGCCTGACATCCAGGTGCGGGTCGTCCGGGTTGGGGACCTTGAACGGCCGCTCCCACTGCGCCTCGCCCTGCCTGGGCGGCTGGGCCACATACAGGTTGTACTGCCGGATCGGGAGCAGCAGCCTCACCACATCTCCCTCGGCATAGCCCTCGAGCTTGGAGCGGAGAACCCGCGACAGAGTTCCCGCGGCAATGGGCGATCCCAGCGGGATGGCGGGCAGGTATGATTTAACCGAGGGATCCCGCAGAAGGCCACGCAGGTACGGGTCGAAGCTCACGTAGAGGGTCTCTAGCAATAGGCCATTGGGTGGGAGTTCTTGGTCTAGGTCGAAGGGGCCGACGTCTTTGACGGCAATGTGTTCGCCTGGGACGGGGAGACGGTCGGGTACTTTGGTGAAGAGCAGAGCAAGATTGGGGGTCTTGGAGGGCATCTTTTACAGGAGAGGCTTGGAGGGTTAGGCGTGACGCTTTGGGAGAAGGTCAAGAAGAGGTGTGAGTTTAAAACGAGGATGTCAAGAAGGAAATGATCAATGACCTGGAATGCTGTAATACTCAGCGGGTAGGGAGAAGGATCCCGATCGAAGGGGACGGAAGCGAAACGATATATACGTAGGTATACAGTACACACGCCATATCAGGGTGACCACTCCACTTTATAGGTCGTGTATAGTGCCAGCATCAGTCGACATCTATGTCATGTAGATTGGATTCCCTAGCCTCGAACCCAAGCGTTTTGTCATCGTGCTCCCCCGATCAGTGGCGGCAGTTTGTGTGGAGGTCGGCCAGAGCGCTTTTCTCTGCGTCATGTCGTCACGCCCGAGGACCTGGGGAGCAAAGATGAAAGGAAGAGTGGCACAGAGAGCCAGACTGTCGTCCAAGTTTTCGGAGCTATTTTCGTCCGGTTGGCGAATGGCGGATCCGTGGAGGAAGAAACGGAGGAATTCCAAGAGAGAAGCGATACGAAGGACATACGGCCGTGGATGTTCCAGCTGACGGACAAAGGCCTGGGGAGACCTAGCGACCTAGGCTCATTCAAGGTTTTTACCGAACGTCCTACACCCGCAAGGACTCGCACCCTGTCAGACAAAGGGACAAAGAGAAGAAACGCCCGAGCCATGGCCGAATGCGGCGGACTTGGATTGATTTGATCCTGCGGGCTTAGAGATCAAGACACTGCTTGGCCGCTAGGAGCTGATTGAGGTCTCAGAGAAGCTTCACTGCCAAGCGGGGGATTGGAAATCAAGAGGCAGTATTCGCTTTCACAAATGTCGGCACAAGACAGTCGCAGAGAAACAGCGTTTGTAAGTCTATCGCCGCATTTCGTGTCTATGGTATATCATACATCCATCTCTCATAGCCATCGTGGACTGTTCAGCACTTTGTCATCATCTCAGCTGGAGCATCAAGAATGGCGCATGTATGCCACAATTCAGCTCTGCGTGATACAAGCCCGCGGATCACGATGTGTTCCATGTTCGCCGCGTCCGTGGACCTTCGTCCCCAAGCACAAATCTCTCCGAGAACCATCGAGGCACGCCTGGCTCTATGTCGGGTGGTTTCGTCCTACTCGTCTGGCGACAGGAAATGCCGTTGCTTCGCGCGTGTCTCGACTTATCATTGTCAGGCTCCAACACTGACGGCATCGCGTACTGCACTGCCCGGTCCCAATCATTGAGATGCTCGTACGGACTTCGTAACCAAGCTTCCAGTTCATGCAAAAACAGCCGAGCATTGTCGCGGCCCAGAAAATCTTTCAATAACTCCTCCGCTTGCCCGGCGCTGCCTTTTAAATCAATCGACTTCAGGATCCCAATGATGTACTCAAGTAAAAAGTCCGCGTTACTGGCGCGGCGGTCCGTGGATTCAGGACGCGAAGGCTGCGGAGCGCTGGGATCGAGGAAACTGAAGACTTGAAGTTCACGTCGGATCCACATTCGGGCTCGGGACTTCAGACGCTCATCTGTTGCAAAAGACGACGGCGTCAGATTCTGGTAGCGAGAGATGCGATTTGTGCCCACATGGAGTGAGTAGAGTTTCTGGCGGTACACCTGTCTGCGAAAGTCGAGCGCGGTATCTTTCAAAACTTCAGATTGCGCGCCTCTCGCGTTGCTGTGGTTTCCCCCTCTTCCATATGCTCGACCTTGCCTGAATCGTCGCTGCCGAGCAGCCGCGGCGGAAAGCCCGCGAGTGCTTCGACCTGCGTGCGCATTCTCGGGAGGAAGATGGAAAACCTGACTCCTCTGCTCACCGCCGTCGCCAATATTGAATCTGATCGCTGTAACTTGGCATTTGCACAATGGGCAGACTTGCTGCCGTTGTAGCCATGTTCCCAAGCATGAGAAATCAAATTGGTCGTGGCGGCACGGGAGGGCAATCGCTTTATCAGAGATGTGGTCGAGGCAGATGACGCACTGTTCTGGCGGAGGGAGTGTGGGTTGTGAAAGAGACGGAATTGCCGTATTCGAGCCCGCAGGCTCACTGTGGTTCAGTGCTATCTCATTCTTCGAGGATTCTGTTGCCATCAAGTGGTGCACAGAAAAGAAAGAAATGGCACTGGAGGGCGCGAGTGGCGCGGAAATCATGGCGGGCACTTGCAGTTGATGGCCCGAATGCTCTACCGGATTTTCAAATGACGCCACCACAAAAAGGGGTCTAGCCTTGCACCGCTCAGACCGTCCGTGACCATCCTTCTAGATTGCTACACCCTACTACATTTCGATGTGCCAGAGGTGAGTCCCCTGGATCTTGCATCTTGCCATCACTCACATAGGAAGGCCAAGCTCTTTTCAGATTCCCTTGCATTGATCCCATCCTCACAAGTAGATATCGAAGCGACGAATGCTGCTCTGAAATTAGGCTAAACAGCAACTTGGCGTCAATATTTGTTGGTCTTCACAATACAAACTCCCATCAACATAGAGATATATCACCGCTTATATCCTCAGCACTTGGCCAGTTGGTGTCACTACCACAGCGCTGCTGCTGAATAGACAACACAGTCTGTAATAAAACAAGAAGGCCCGTTGATCGCATCATGCCCTCCATAGTATCGGTCACCATCCAGTCCGCCATTCTCAAAGCTGCAGCCAATCTCACCGCCCAAACGCTCACTTCATGGGACACGCAGTCACCAGCACCAGTCAACTGGACCCGCGTTGTCGAGTTCGCAGTCTTTGGCATCGTATCCGCCCCACTGGCGTCCCTATGGCAGCAGTTTCTCGAAGATAGTTTCCCCGGCCAATACAAGGTCGATCCGGGAGACTCACGTACTGACCTGACCAACGATACCATCAAGAACCCTGCCGAGGCCGGGGAAAAGGCTCAACGGACGCCTGGACTCAATTGGCGAAACATCTTCATCAAGTTGATCTTAGACCAAACAATCGGCCAGATCCTGATCAACGTGACGTTTCTCATCTGCACGAATAGCGCACGACTTCAGAATTGGTCCTCACTCGTCGAAGAGATCCAGTTGCGCATCTCCGGTATCATTTGGGCGAGTTGGAAGGTGTGGCCGTGGGTGGCCGTGGTCAACTTCATTTGGGTGCCAGTGGAATGGCGAGTGCTCCTGGCGTCACTGGTTGGGTTCGGATGGAACATCTTTTTGAGCATTTTGTCGATGAGGGAAAAGACATGAGTGATGCGACTTTTAGAATGAATTAAAGGAACGTAAATCTCTGAATGACGTCGAGTTTGCAACCCTCTAATCCTCCACCGACCCATTCCAGACTCCCAAAGGCCTTTTACTCAAGAGAAATATACCGTGTTCCTGGTTTTAATGCCCTCCATCCAACCTTTAGATCCTTGTAGGACTTCCGCAGGATTGCCATAAGGCTCATTTGGAGGAACCTGACGTAAGTGGGATCGATGTGCCCCGACGGTGTCGACCCTGACTGTGCTGGCCGCCCCGGCTCCCGACCGTCCGTTCCTGGGCCCACGGACTCAATCCATGGTCGATCAGGATATTGCGTGTGACAAACGCAACGGCAAGCAAAAACAGGACTGCAATGAGCTGCACCAAAAAGATCAACACGAACTTGACCGCAAAGGTCCCCGTGAAGGGGCTGAGCGACTTTGCATGGTCGAAGGCGTATACCACACTGTAGATGGCTCGTACACCGATGAAGACGCATGCCAAAACCATCAGGAACCCTGCGGCTCGCTGGTTGTGAAGCTTCAGGAACAGCTGGCCGCTGAGGAAAGAGACCGCAATCCAGGTGATGAGGAGGATGACGGCTCCAGCTTCGAGCAGCGTGTACGCCGTGTTGAGGTCTGATTGGGTGTTGTGCTCATCCCCGAGCTTCGCCCCGCCGGTTGCGAGGAGCGCGATGCCGGTGATTGCGCCAACATGAATCCCCACCTCTTCAAGCAGTGTTGCAGATTGACTGCGATTCGACGTCGCGTAGTAGCCTCTCAGTAAAGCCAGAAAACCAGCCGTGGCAAGCAACAAAGGACTAAGGCCAATGGACGAGACGATGGCCCCGCTCGTAGAGGGATGTGGGTTGTTGTGGTCGCTGATCTGAATGGCTGCGGCGACAATGCGAAGTATATCGAAGGCAACAAGGAAGAAGAACGCTGCAATTGCGCGTCGCCCATGCTTGTAAAACAGCCATCCCGTGGGCGGAAGGAGAGCGACGTAGATCGCCAATTCTGCGATGGAGAGCTTCGTGACTGAGTCGAGCGGCATGGTAGGACAGTTTCTGTTATTCAGCCTCGGAGATTTTGGAGCGGTTAGGCTTGTACGGCGGAGGTTGGATGGTTCCAGGGGCAGGGATCACGTCGAGTTCGAGCTGGATGGCATTCAAGATGGAATGACAAGAAAGTCTCAAGGCTCTTATACCTCTGACACTTACATTTGTGTGCCTCACAGCCGCAGTCTGAACTTGATCTGCAGGCCCAAAACGGCCATCAGAAGCGGAGACGCCAACCGAAAGAGGTATTCCATTCGCAGTAGATACGATATCTGGTGCAATTCACGAGCATCGATAGTGTCAAAAGTCGACGTTTGCAGAATGTGGGCCAGTCGCCGTGTTGGAACCCCCGTTCAGACGCCAGGCAGCAGCATTCTCATGGCACGCAATGGATGCCAGGGACATGCCGAGCGAATGTGCTGAAAGCACCGCGATACCCGGATTTTCATCGTTGAATACGAGGGTGGCTGAGTCTCCGTCGCTGTCGAATTGCTGACCAGAAAGAGAATAGTTGTGACGAGAAGAGGGACAAGCTCAGCCAAGCATTGCGGGCCGCTAATCTATGGAAGCTGTCCAATCAACGTCTCTAAAATTATGTCAGCCTTGGAAGCCGCGTCCGGAGCAATGCAGCCATTCTCAGCCTCGCCTGCCCCAGCCTCGTAACACGCTTTACCAACCATTCAGGCGTCCATTGTGTCCCAAGACGACAGATGGGTAGATGGCATCACGGCGAGGGATGTTTTGTGACCCGCCGTGCCTCTACAGTTGGTCCGTTGTTCTTCTACAATGACAGGCGTCCGACGAAATCTCTATTAATGGCGGTGGGCGATTATCTGGCCATTGGCCGCGTCTTACTACGGGAACTCAGATGGCATTTCGCATCGACTCAAAGGATGGCTTGATCCAGGTGGAAATGATACTGGCTGCAGACTCAGTAGATGGAATAGGTAGAAAATGGCATTCAGCAAAAGCCGCGATAGAAAGGGCCGCCACTTCTCTCAATTTCGCCTGCTCGGCATCATGCATCGGTTTTTTGCTATCCAAATAATCAATGTTTTGCCAGTCCATTCCGGTGTTGACGCGCATCTTTATACCGCGCCGTGCTCAACCACGTAATAGTCTGGACGTTGAAATAAATCACTTAAACGCTATCATATCCGGGGTATCATACATAACACACTTCAATCACTGTAAACACGTTACATAACAGCCTGCGGTTCAAACAGAGTCAGTCACAGCCACCATTAAAAGCAGGTTGAGTTATTGCACGGAGTGAGAGCTTCCTGCTTATATTGGGAAAAAGGGGGGATATTAAGACCACTTACACATTCACTCTTATCCTTCCCCTGCGGAACGCCCATCTCATCGAATGTCTTGGGTCCCTTTCCAGGAGGCCGAGCCGCGGTCGCTGGAACAGAACTCGGTTTCGAGGGTGGTGCGCCGCCAGCGGGTGCGTTGGCGTCAGGCTTCGAAGGAGGGAGATTCGCAGGCCTGACGTTCGGCGGAACTTGCATTTTGTTGTTGGGAGGAGGTCGGACGTTGGGATTAGGCATGCCACCGTAGCCACCAACATTCTGGGCCGGTCCGGGTCCAGGCCGGGAGTTCGGTGGACCTGGACGGCTTTGCGATGGGAGACCCTGCTGTCCTGGAGGACCTTGCTGAAGTCTTGGAGATCCACGTGGAGGATTGTTAGGGTTCGGCATAGGAGATCCATTTTGCTGCTGCTGAGGCCGAGACATTCTCTCTGGTTCGAGCGGAGCAGAAAATCCAATGTCAATCCTTGCGGGTGGCGACTGGCCTCCTGGCTGGGGACCCGGTCCGAGGTAAGGTGAGGAGCTGTTGGGTCTTGATGGTGGGCGAATGGTAGGAATCCCTTGGCCTTGAGGTGGTGGTGGTGGCGGTCCTCCTGACGGCATGCGCCCTCCACGACCGTAGCCAGGGCCTGGATAACTGGCCCCTCCAGGGTTGGAATAAGGGCGCTGCTGGGGAGCCATGTTAGAAGGGGGCGATCCGTACGGATCGGGCCTTGGAGCTCCCATGGCCGCGGCTGAGGTCGGTCGAAGATTCGGATTTATGCCAAAGGCGGATGGGGGTCGGAAATCCGGGCCTTGGTTCACAGATGGCATATTCGGAGGTCCAGTGGGGTAGGGTGCTGTACTGCCAGGCCTTGCTGAAGGGGGTCTCTGATTGTTTAGCGACAACCGAGAAGGATCGGGCATTTCGAGCTGTTGAGAGTCCGTCTCTTCCGTCAATGTTGGCATCGCAGGAACGGGAGGTACGTCGGCTCCTCCGATCATCGAGCCACGCTGCTGTCGTATCTTTTTGAGAGCGACACTCTCATGGTCCTTGCGTGACAAAGTCTTTGACCTAGAGATAGCATCGATCCTTCCTGTAGCATCTTGATTGCCGCTTTGTGATGCCTTTCGATACCACTCTTTGGCCTGCTCAAAGTTGACTGGGACATAAATGCCGACCTCATAGTAGTAACCTAGAGCAAATTGAGCTGTCGGAAATCCAGAAAGCGCTGCTCGCTGCGCATACGTAAAGGCGATCTCCTCATTCTTCTCGAAAAGGCCTTCATGGCCACAAAGAAACCACTTGCTTATTGCCAATTCTGCTTCCGGCTCCCCTTGCCTCGCCGCCAGGACATTGTAGTGCAAGGACAAAGCGGGATCAAAAGAGCAGCCCAGCTCGCAAAGCTCATATGCTGATCCCATTTTCACTTGAGCCTTAGCAAATCCGAGGTACGCGGCCTTTTCGATGTTCACCTTGGCCCCGGCAATATCTCTGGGCAAAAACTGATCCGGAATCTGGATTTGAGGCATTTGCTGTGCTTGGAGCATGCCGAAAACATAAGCTCCCTGCGGTGCATTTTCATCTGCCGTCTGGGCCGACATATAGATGAGGTTGAGGCCGCGTTCGAAGTTCTGCGCTTGTCCGTGCTGGCCAAGGAGTGTCATCATTCCGAGCCTGTAGCACGCGGCTGAGTCTCCAGCGTCCGCACCCTTCTGATAGTATCTGATTGCCTTCAATGCGTCATTGGAGGACTCGAACTGCATGCCAATGCGGTAATCCGCGCGAACATATCCTTTTTCAGCAGCTCTCGTATAGCAATAAAATGCTTCCTTCTTGTCGACCCTGTGCCCGAATTTACCAAATTCAAGCCACATGCCCCTCATAAACTCAGCTCTGGGGTGATGTTGATCGGCAAGAAAGTTGACAATTTTGATTGCATCTTCTCTCAGAACGTGCTCAATTCGAGGTGTCCTTGTTCTGGGTGCTTGTGCCAGGGCAATTCTTTCCTCATTCTGCTGACACACCTCCACATATGATAACGTGTCTTGTGCCCACGTCAGCTGGGTGTCTGGGTCGTTGCAGCTGAGCACAGCAGCCCTTGCGGCTTCCAGTGTAGCCTCTTTCTGTTCATCGGTTGGGGGGATGTTGGGAGGAGGGTTGCGAAGCATAGGAAATGGAGAAAAGTTTGGCTGTTCTGTCGGAGCCATCGAGGTCGTTCTCGGCGGGAAATGGTTATCTTGGTGGTATGATTGGGTTTGGTTATCCGGGGGCGCCCTCTGATCATACCCTTGCGCGGTCCTATTTGAGGCTTGCGACGGCGCCCAAGTTTGCATGCCCCCTTGCATATATTCGGCGGACTGGGGAGAGTAGACTGATCCTGAGTAGGCAGAATTCGCTGAGTTCGGATTTGAGGCAGCTTGCTCCATCTGAGCCACATTTTGTTGTATGTTGGTTGGCAACTCATGTACTCTGTAGCCGTCAGCAGAGATCGGCGGCGACATTAGTCCAGTGACACAGACCTGTTAGGGGTTGGCTGGATGATTTCTGGCATGTAGTAGCTATCATCTCCCCCAGGGACAAAAGTGGCCCCCGTATGGTAACTCATCGTGGCGATCGGAGGCTGATCTTGGATGCTCAGTGTTTCGTATTTCAGCTGAACCCCAGCTCCGAGGTGCCTGATCTCTCTGAGCACCTGGGAGCTTTCAGATTATTTTCTTGAGAGGTAAGAGATCTTGATCCGTCCCGCTCCCGCAAAGGAAGGGGAGGGATGATGATATGTTCTTCTGCGTGTTCAGGAGATTGCCCTGGTGCTTACGCAGTCAGGGTGAACGTTGGATTCCTAGGGCACAGGGTGGGGGTCAGAAGGAAGTAGATCAATGGAGTACAATTTCGGAGGCCTGGTCCTCTTTGTAGACATGTCTTGGAGGGACTGAGAAGGTAAAGGAGCAGTGCGAATCTGGCCTGGTTGGCCGCGTCAACCGAAGCCGGGCTTTGTCTGTGCACCTGCGGAAGTTTAGTTATAACCTGCGGATGATGATGGAATATGGAGAGGGCGCAGACAAGGCGAGGCTGCGGTAATTGGCATTGCGTGGTGCGAGTTGAGGGGCCAGCTGGCCAAACCTACTTGAACCTTGCCTAGGCACTGGTTGACGCTGGAGGCTTGGCCAAGAGGGGCATTTGGGTGGGAATACGCCCCGGGCGGAGCAAGCTGTAGGGACCAAAGACAACTTGAGAGGAGGCACCTAGGGCCAAGTTAGGCTCGCTAGGCATCACGGATCAGTTGCAGCCCTACACAGCCACAGCGAGTCATATCCACCAACAGCCCATTTTTGGTAGCCTTACTGTGCGTGTAATTAATATCTTCCTCTGACATCTGCACAATCGGACCATAACTCCTTTGCGCACAATGAATCGTTCCTTCTAGCTGCTGTGCAATACCTCGATATTTAGGAATGCCACTACGAATGTCCACCCACGTGTACCTGTCACTCTCTTTGGGGAGATTCTGGGGACCCATTCAGAGCCCCCGAAATTCGTTGTCGTTCTCAATTACACTACCACGCGTCGAATACGCATCTCTTCGCTGAAGCTGAGAATGCCTTGCAGCCTGAACCCGCGCCGACCCAAACTAGATGCCGCCCACGACCCATGCCTCGACAAATGGCACAAGGCTTACACTGAAGAAGTCCACCAGCATGGAGCCTACCCAGGCAAATTTCAGTCACCCCTACCAACCTTATTCCATTCAGTTAGATTTTATGAAAGAGCTCTATCGCTGCATAGAGGAGAAGAAAGTCGGTATCTTTGAATCCCCTACAGGCACCGGCAAGTCGCTGAGCCTGATCTGTGGTGCTTTGACCTGGCTCCGAGAACACGAACACCTGGCACTGCAAGGTCTGACGGATGGAGGAGAGCCACTCGACTGGCTTTTGAAGGCTGAAAAGTCTGCTCAACGCCGGGAGCTGCTCCTTGAACGCGAGGAACTTGAGCTGAGGCTTGCCAAGGTTCGTGAAGAGGAGGCATCCCGCCGACAGAGGCGATTCGATGTAAAAACTTCCAAGAAACCTCGAACCAAGATTGCAAATAGTGAGGACAAGACTATAGATGATGACCAGTTCATGTTGGAGGAATATGACAGCCCCAGGGAAGAGACATACTCTACCAACAATTCGACGGTCAGCCTTTCCAGCTCAACCCAAGCTCTGCTTGATAAACTAAAAGGCCCAACGAAAACTGACGCCGAGGAAGAAGAGAAAGATCGACTTAAGGTCATTTTTTGCTCACGCACTCACTCCCAGCTCACACAGTTCGTGAATGAACTGCGCCGTGTCAAGCCCCCTTCCTCCCTCTCTTTAGAGGCCGCGGCTACCACGCACAAATCGTCGCTTGAAGAAGGGGTGAAACACCTTGCTCTAGGCTCGCGAAAGAACTTGTGCATCAATCCTAAAGTTGCAGATTTATCGTCTACAATCGCAATCAATGAGCAATGTCTCGAACTCCAGAAGCCTGCAACCCCCAAAGACAGAAGGTGCCCGTATATGCCCACAAGGGACGACAAAGCAAAGGTCGGGGATTTTCGAGACAGAGTTGTTGCAGAGATACGCGACATCGAAGACACGAGTCACTTAGGCAGGCAAATGCAGCTCTGTCCCTACTATGCTTCGCGAGCAGCCATAAGCATGAGTGAGGTACTCACATTGCCCTATCCTCTCCTTCTACAGAAGTCCGCCCGTGAAGCTTTGGGGGTCTCTGTCAAAGACAATATTGTTATAATTGACGAGGCTCACAATCTTATGGATGCCATTGCAGACACCTTCTCCATATCACTCCGTCTCAGCCAGCTTGAGCAAAGTGCTCGGCAAGTTACCGCTTACGCAAGTCGATTCAAGAATCGCTTAAAAGGGAAGAACCGTGTATATGTTATGCAAGTGATACGGTTGCTGAACTCGATGACCGACTGCCTGCGTGAGACGATGCAGAAAGCGACCTCGCCGGAAGCAACTATAACAGCTGCGCAACTCATGTCGGGGAAAGGAGTCGATCAGATCAAACCCCACAAACTGCTGCAATACCTACATGAAAGCAAGCTTTGCCATAAAGTTGAGGGATACTCGGATGTGCGACGAGACCGAACCGATGCGAATCATGGCAAAGGGGCCTTGCTGCAGTTTCAAAACTTTCTTGTAGTATTGATGAATCCGGACGATGAAGGACGATTCTTCACAAGCCGACAAGATGACGAGGTGGCCATCCACTACACGCTGCTCGATCCACGAGAACACTTTCGACAAATAGTTCAAGATGCAAGAGCTGTCATTCTGGCTGGCGGAACGATGTCCCCCATGTCCGACTATTCGGATTATCTCTTCTCATATCTCGACAAGGACCGGCTTCGAACTTTTAGCTTCGGTCATATCATTCCCCCGTCTCATTTATTCGCTCAAGCCGTTGTGAGGGGACCGTCTGGCATTGAGTTCGATTTCAGGTACGAAATGCGTGGCTCTGAAAGAATGATTCTTGAACTAGGAGATCTTGTTCTACAGACATGCCGCCTCGTGCCGGATGGGGTTGTGGTATTCTTCCCGAGCTACGATTACCTTGCACGAGTGATTTCTGTTTGGCAGCACCAGCCAGCTTCTCAACCGGTGATGAATGCCTTGGGTAATATCAAGACAATCTTCCAAGAATCGAAGTCCATTGCCGTCGATGAACTTCTGCAAGGATATGCTGCTGCGGTGGATGGCGGAAGAGGAGGTCTGATGTTGTCAGTTGTGGGCGGAAAGCTTTCGGAGGGTATCAACTTCTCTGACAAACTCGGTCGAGCAGTGCTTGCAGTCGGTCTCCCATTTCCTAATGCCAACGGAGCGGAGTGGAAGGCCAAGATGGAACATATTGAGGGACTTCGATATGAGCACTGCAAAAACCAGGGGAAGGGCGAAGCAGAGTGCAGGGCTGAGGCGAAGATTGCAAGCAGAGAATACTACGAAAATGCATGCATGAGGGCTGTGAACCAAAGCATTGGAAGAGCAATCAGGCACAGAAACGACTATGCCGCGATATTGATGGTCGACAGACGGTTCTCAACAGAGAGGATATCTCGCAAGTTGCCTGGATGGATACAAGACAGCATGGACAACAACCTGCGGGACTGGACAGCCATAGAAAAAAGTATTGAGGTCTTTTTCCGTGGGAAACAATGAGGCGATGTCCATGCCAGGCAAAGATTCACAGCAGAGTCTGAAGCACCAGTCGCTAATGCTCTTGTGGCCAGCTCACATAGTGTGTTGGACGTGCCGACTTTGCACACTATCGTGCGCTTGAGCCCGTGGAGAATTGGGTAACTCGAGCCTGGCAACATTATCCACATCTCCCGAAGTACGTTTCGGGAACAGCAGCTCATAGCTTGTTCATAGAACCAAATAGCATGGTTTGTGTGACTGAGATCATTATGGAGGCTCACTAGACCGATAGAGTCATACTTCGTCAACTGAGAGTGGTGGAATCCCAATTTGAGGATTTCTCAATGCGAAGCATCCGACGGGCAGGAATGTACAAATATGGTATTCCACCGACGCCAACACCAGTACCATCAGAACATTTTGACCTACTTGCTGCCACCGAACCAGCTGCTTATCCCACTCTTTGCCTTTGCGGCCTTTTCTTCCACGGTCTTGTCGAACTTGTCGATTGCACTGTTGATCTGACTGCCTGTCTTTTGACTAACTTCCCTGGCTTTTGCTTCGGCTTCGGTGAGTTTGGCTTTGGCGTCAGCAGACTAAAGGGTTGTCAGTATCGCGGTTTGCAGGTACGAGCAGGATACGGCTCACAGCTTGGTCAAACTTCTGGCCTGCTTGAGAAGCGAGGGCTTCGCCTTTCTTCTCGGCTTCCTTTTCTTTCCCCGGAATCTCACTCTTTATCTGGGACGAGAGCTTGGAGGCATCGGCTGTTTAAAGGTTTAGTGGGTTTCGGCTTCGAGACGGCAAGCTGTCCTACCTTCGAGTTTCTTCTGAGCAACTTTGGGGTCGCCACCAGCATTATACAGATAGTAGCCAACTCCGCCAGCCACCGCTAGGCCAGCAATGGTAAGTCCACGGCTCGAAGACATGATGGAGGAACTCTGAGGGCCGCTGAAGTGATGGAGGAAGGGAGGATGTCTGGAAGTTGAACCGCTCAGTGGTGAGTGAGTCGAGGAATGACGATGCTCAGAGAAGTTGCGAGATCGCTAGGTACAAGATTGGCCTTGGAGCTATTGGTGAAGGTCAGCTCGGCGTTCAACGAAGCTCGTAATGGTAATGGTGGTATGATTGCAGCTGCACAGGCGGTCGAACCTGGCATTGCAAGCACTGGGCGAGCAAGTGTTGCAGCCGGCAGGTGGTCGGTGGCAGTGACATCATTGGCGGCATGGCGAAATAGGCGGCGTCCATCCATTGATCAAGGATTCCCCGCGTCATCTGAGGGCCCAGCCACTCAGAATCCTGTCCGCCTGCGCCAACGACGTAAACACTGCGCTGCTGCAGCTGCGGTGGTGGCGGGCTGCGCTCCTGCTTTTGCGGCCTTCATTCTTTCCCATATACATTCCAGCTTCTCGGACAGATCACTATATACTCCGACACAGCATTTTATCCTTTCTGTATACCATTATCGTCCCATTGAAGAAGTCCCGACCCCGCGAATCGACATTCTGTCGTAGGTGCACAAGTTGGGATTCTTGCTTCTGGTAGCCCTCCAAACCTTGAATTGAACTTGGAGTTGAGGCCCGTTGAATTTGATTGCTGTGCGCACAAAAAGTCCCAGAGGCATGTCAGAAAATGTCTCGAAGATTCTGACTCATATCACCACCTATGATGGGTCTGCAGCTGATCCCTATGACCATGAGATCTCTCTCATCGATACCACCCAGCCTGGGAACGAGTCCCGAACCCACGATGAGCCTCGCTCAGGCTCTCCAAGCTCGAGTACGAGACAGTTGGCAAAAAAGGGAACAAGGGAATCTCTGAAGGAGCACCTTGGCCGGCGGAAGTATGCCAAATACCAGCAGGACCGCTATCACTCCAAAACAAGCAGTGTTGTAACCGCTGAGGAACCTTCGTCGCAAGCAGCATCAACTCGAAAGGCGCAACATGCCGGCACAGAGGCTGGAACGCAGGAGGTGGACTTTGCACACACCGCATCTGTCGCAAGAGGCCGAAAGAGTGCAGAGAAGAGGAGGCGAGAATCCAAAAAGCTCAAACATGAAATCCATGAAATTGACATATTGTACGAAAACCAGAGGGGATGGTTCTTCTGTGGCATTCCCCTTTATTCACACTCGTCTCTGCTACCTCCCGATCCCAGTCCCTGGTCGACCAAGGATCTGAAGGATTCAGCCGTCAATATCACCAATGCACAGGTGCCTGATCCGACCTGGGAATGGGCATGGAACAGCTGGTATGTCGACATGAGTCACGATGTGGACGAGGAAGGTTGGCAGTATTCTTTTGCTTTTGGCCACAACTGGACCTGGCATGGGACGCATCCTTGGTTCCACTCATTTGTCAGACGGAGACGATGGCTGCGGAAGAGAGTCAAGCGCGATGGGCATGGCAGCTATGGCAGGCCTGGAAGCATGAGTGATGCCCACCATCTAACCGGCGATTATTTCACAATCCATTCAAAGCGAGATCGTAGTCCGATCAGTGCCGTTGATGGCGCCGGTAAAACCGCCAGACCATCAAGTTTCATCAGCTTTCCAAGCACGATTGATCAGGACGAGCCACCGGAGGAGATCAAGGATATTGCGACCCTGGTTACGGCCCTCAAGTTTGCACCTATCGATCGAGAGAAGATTGATGTGGTCAAGAGGTTCGTCCAACAAGGTGGAGAGGAGCTGGTCTACCTCAAAGAACACATCCCTGCCATCATGTCATTTCTCGTTTTCCAAAATTCCAGGAGACAGCTAGTTTCATATCTTAAGAAGACGGCAAACGAAGCGCGCGAACATCGGCAGACCCACGAGGAAGAGAACAAACCTGAGGGTGACGCTGAAAGTCGAAGAATCAACAATCTGCTCTCCGCGGTCGAGGCTGCCGACGCCGAGATTGGAGCACTTGAATACTGGAGCGACAGGAAACACGTGTTAAAGACCGACGATGCCCAAAGTCTTACTACGCCACCGATAGCCACCATCTTCGACCAGCCGGTTCCAAAGCCAAAGGCCGACGATGACCCCGTGGAAGAGATCAAAGGAATACCCGAGAAGGCCGACATTGAAGAGGCAAACACGCATTCGATATTCAATTCCGAGTGGCTATCATCCATTGAGGACAAGCAGGGGCAAGACGAGGCGAAGGAGACGGAAGACAAGGGCAAAGGTCGTGCGTATGATAGCGAGGACGATCAAGTGGAGCAAGACTCGACACCACGACTGGGAGCGGATGAGGTCTATGTTCCAGACCAAGACTAGTGGTCTGAGAGAGCGAGGTGCATTGTCCATTAGCGCAGGCGTTTGACTGGAATATTTGGGTGTGGCCGCAGTCTGTTAGCCATTGGAGTTCCAGGAGCATTCGATGAAAGTACCTCGTATTGGTATCCGAGCTCGCCGATAATCGGTGGCTGGGGAACTGGCTGGGAGGCCAATATAACCATACTCGGTTAGCGCCCTTACGGGTCGCGTCGCGTCGCGATTTTCGATTTCCTCTTAAATGAGGGAATGAACCAATTGAACTCTAGAACTTCTGCAGAAAGTGCATTCAAACATACAGAAACACCAGGCTCGTGAATACCTTACTCCCAGTCCTACTCGTTTCTCGTCTCTGTACTTTGGTTCTTGTCCTTGTTCTTGCAGCCTCGGTCTGGAAAATCATTCCGTGGTCGCACCCTTCCACATCCCGCCATGGCTCCTTCCGTTCATGCAACTTCTCATCGGGTCAATAAACGACAAGCACCCGTCACCACCCACACGAGGGCTCTCAAAACCTCAAAGACCGCCAAACTCCCCCTCGCCCTGAAGTCGAACTTGGAAGAAGCGGTTCTGAAGCCCGTGGTTCATATCAAGAAGAGCGTCAAGCAGGTCCCAAAGCGCAAACGTGATGCGGCGCAGGACGACAGTGAGAGCGAGCCGGGTGGTGCCTATATCACCAACATCACCACCAAAAAGGTCTGAGAAACTCGGGATGAGTTATGGAACGGTGCTAATCTCGCTTTAGCCCAGGTTGCAACTGCTAACGCCTCCTTCGAGCAAATGTCAGAATGCAAAGGATTCCACTGACATGGATTTCTCCCCAACTATGACCTTTCGGCAACTTTCCCTAGACACCGACAATGCTGAACCAGTTCCGGAGGCGCTTCCTCCGGTTTTGCAGGATTTCGTGTCCTTGCACGCAGCTTTTCTCAAGGCATTCGCCATTCACATTGTTCATAATGGCCAATCCACACCAGCAGATTTGGGCAGCCTGATGAACACTGTCACCCGACTTTGGAAAAAACACACCGTGGCCAGGGAAGATATCCAACGGATGTTGGCCATCTACGAGTTGGACGTTTCAACACATTTCAGTGGTCGTCTCCTCAAACACCAAGAAGGTCCCTTTAAACTCACAGTGGCGGGCGCTGATTTCGTCCGCTACAACGTCGAGTATGTCGGCGCGGGCAGCAAGAGACCTACCAATCCCCGGTGGGATGAATGTAATCTCCAAAAGCTTTACGAAGCCGAAATCGAGGCCTGCTGGATCTCGCAGCGGAGTAACTCTTCTTGTTGGGTGCATGGCGCAATTCGGAACTTTCCTCGCCTGAACTTCGACGTCGGCATTGAGACCCAAGTACGCAAAGCGAAGGCTGAGACGGCCCGAAGGGAGATCCTGGGGCTATCGTCTCAAGCACAAAACCGCGCAGGAGCCCAGTTCTCGATGCGGACGAGCAACAGCTCGGAGAACAATGAGGCCAACACACCGCGAATTGTGAAAGATCGGACGCTGTCCCTCCTAGACCGCGTTAGAGCCAAAGCGCTCGTCAACTCCGCGACACCTCAGAGCGTAGAAGCCACTCTTCGTCGCTACGCTGTCGGCCGTATTGCCGAAGTGGTGGAGATCCTCCGAATGAAACAACAACGCAAACTGAGCACCAATTTCGTGTCTTCGGTTCATTCGAGCCCAAGCAATGTTCGAGGCAAGGTGTCATTCAGCATGAGCCAGTTGGTCAATGACATCAAAAGCAGTTTGACCGTCCCAATTGGGGATGCGGAGCTCAGAATGTGTATTCGTATACTTGGAGATGAAGTCCCAGGAATGTGGGTGTCGGTCTATACTGTCGGAAGTGTTGAAAGCGTTACTCTCAATGGACCGGGATTGAGTGGTGTTGAGGTCAAGAAGATTCTTGACGAGAAAGAGGGGACGAGGTGAGGTGTGGCTGAAGCGCATTGTATGGACAATGAAGGATTGCCGGCCGGTGATGAATGGTGCTCGTTGGGATTACGAGGCTGTCGAAACTTGGGATACACCGGGCTGCCAGCAAACTGCCTCGAGGACTTGTTCAGGGGTAGAGGCGGAGATGTCAATGGATCAGCCCGCAGATTTACGGTCGGATATCAGGGGATATGCTCGAGTATATTGTCCGCTGTCGAGGAGGGTTTGTGGAACGATGGTTGCAGTGATAACAGCACGGCTCCATCGAGCTGCCGTACAGAGTGTTTCCAGCCATGACCAAAAAGAAAGATAATCAAACACGGACATGGTTGTCAAGCCTTGTGTTTCTTCCTGTGATGGCCGGATACTTGGGGGTATCTGACGGTATCTTCAACCATCCATTTGGCCACGAGCATCGCGGCGAAATAGCGTATGTTGGTGGCACTCTTCACACGCCCCTGCCATCTCCCATGTGAGAACCTCAAGATCCCTAAGATATACACTTTGCGAGGCGAGGCTTTGGATTCCGGCCACCGGCCGAAGTCGGCAAATGGTCAAATGGTCAAGTGGTTGTCATCGAAGGGCGCTGGCTGCTGAGATACGTCCGAGCGCTGTGCGAGATCAGTGATCTGATTCGCCCAAGAATTTGATAGCCAGTAATCTTTTCCACGACATCATTTTGCATTATATCTACTTGAATACGACTGGAAGCACCTCGGGAAGTGGGATTGATTTGATCTTCCTCGCGTTATCATTTGGCCCCGGCCTTCGATTGGGGCAACACGATCCCGCTGTGTCTGAGGCAGCAGAGCGAGATTCGACCGACTATATCGCCCAAAGACCACAGAAACCTCCAGCGAGAAAGACACAGACAAGAAACAGAAAAGCATGGCTGGCGGAGGCCCAGTCCCGGTCCCCGTCAAGGGCGACGATCCCACCATCCTGTGCATGGAAGACATCAAAGCCATCGCCGACGCAAAGCTGCCAGAAGTGGCCAGAGGTACGTCGGTCTAGTTTAGTTAGTCCTATATCTTTTCTCAGTACTCCGTATACCTGTCTCGACTCATCATCACCATTACTATCATCGTCAACATCATCTTGCTCTTCGTCACCGTCTAAGCATCTGAGCAATCAAAAGACTTCTACAACTCGGGCTCAACCTACCAAACCACCATCGCCGAGAACAGCTCTGCCTTCTCCAAGTACCGCCTGCGCTCGCGCGTCCTCGTCGACGTCTCCAGGCTGACCACGACAACCACCTGTTTTGGCCGGACGATCAAATTCCCCCTGTGCGTATCACCAGCCGGGCTCCAGGCCATGGCGCACCCGGACGGGGAAGTGGCGACGTCACGAGCGTGCGCGACAGCAGGCGTCAACATGGGCATCTCGAGCTTCTCGAACTACTCGGTCGAGGAGGTCGTCGGGGCGTCCGACGGCGGCGTCAACTTCGCCATGCAGATGTACACCATGAAGGACCGCGCCCTGCAGGAGCGCATCATCAAGCACGCCGAGGCCGCGGGGTGCAAGGCCATCCTGCTCACGGCCGACTCGCCCGTGCTGGGCGTGCGGTACAACGAGTGGCGCAACGACTTCCGCACCCCAGCCGGGCTCGGGTTCCCGGTCCTGGAGCTGACGAGCGAGACGATCCGTCAGAACACCCACGACAGCGGCTTCATGGCCTTCAACGACGATTCGCACAACTGGGCCCGCGAGGTCGCGTGGCTGAGGGAGCGGACCAAGATGCAGATCTGGATCAAGGGCGTCGTCACCGCTGAGGACACCGAGCTGGCCATCCAGCACGGCTGCGACGGCGTCATCGTCAGCAACCACGGCGGACGGCAGCTGGACGGCGTCCCCGCGACCATCGATGCGCTGGTCGAATGCGTCGACGCCGCCCGCGGACGGATCCCCATTCACATGGACGGGGGCATCCGCAAGGGGACAGACATTTTCATCGCGCTCGCGCTCGGCGCCGCCTGCGTCTGGGTCGGCAGGCCCGCCATCTGGGGCCTCGCGTACGGTGGACAGAGAGGCGTCGAGAAGATGCTCGAGATGCTGTACGAGGATTTCCGCCGCTGCATGGCCCTCTGTGGGTGCAACAGCGTCGACGAGATTAAGAGGAGTTGTCTGAGCAGGATGGGACTCGACGGCGTGTTGAGACGCATGGAGTAGAGCACCTTTCAGAGACGAAGGCCGAGTGCCAGCCTTGCTCAACATCAACATTGCGGCACTCAACCCACGATATAGAATGGACGGATACACGCGTACTATATAGGCAGGTTAACGACGTCGGTATTCGCTGTCCTACGATTAGATGCTGGAATGGCCATCTGATAGCCCGAGCGCAGAGCAGTCGAAACCTGCTGTTGCTGGAATTTATACTAAGTACCGAGTAGATGGCACAGCACTTCTCTGGAATATATGAGCATACCCTCCTATCCCTCGGACTCAAGAGACGTCACAAGACGCAACTGACGTTCATACCGCGCGCTCGACATGTGATTGAAACTTCAGCCTCGTCTGGCGCTCAAGCCCCCTACATACCAGGGAGACCCATGCTTGATTGCGACAGACCTGAAACACTCAACGCTTCACAACCCAGCACGGCGGAGCCGAGCCTACAGCCGGGAAGATCCATCTCACTGTGCTCTTGCGAGGAGAGGACTTTCATAGAGAAAAGGGAAGAGAAGACCGCATGTGAAATGCTGGAAATGGTCCTCGAGGGACCTCTTGTTCATTAGGTATTAAATTACTAGATTAATTCTTTCGGTTGCCTGTGCCTCTTGGGATTCCAGTCCCTTGACTGGCACCATCTTCTCAATCTCGTCCGGGCATCACCATGTCACTGCCATTACACGGCATCTCATAACTCGCGGAACAACCTTCCATCAACCCAGTGAATCCCCGTAGCTCTGAGGCCACAATCATGCATATCCGCTGGGGACCATGCAGCGTCGTGGGGTCTGGACCGTGCGTGAACGTGGCTGGGAGCTTTGTGGAGTCGAGGGGTGCTTTGTGGACATGGATGACCCCGGTGGGTGGCTGGGATCGAATATTGTGGCCTTGTCGCAATGGTTGGCTGAACTTCCATGTCCAGGCTCATTGATTACCATCTTGACTTCGCGCTCAAAGGATTTTGTGACAACCTCGTCTCTGACCAGCTCCTTATCCTCACAGATCATCCAATCCCCGTGTCCAACCACGGCCTAAAGGCGAATGAAAACTCCAGTTCTTCCTCTTTCTTTCCTTCCCATATCCCGTGCTGAACCAAGCGAATGGCATATCGGTCGTAAGTCTCGATATCTGTATTGTACAAGGGGGTATGCAAAGCGAATGTAATGTATCAATCCAGACGGTAAACAGTAGCCGCTGGATGACAAACAGGCTGCTGGAAGCCACGCTGCTCAAACTCTCCAGGAATAACGCCAGTGCGAAATCAGAGTATGCTGGACTCCAGCTGAAACACCAAAACCACCGACCCTGATAGTAGACCGATTCTGTGGCGCAAGAGCCTTCCAGTCCGCCAAACCCAACCAAATCACAATCCAAAAAAGCCTTGTGCTGGCGATGATGAAATTCCATGCTTGATCCCCTGCCAAGCCAGCCTCATTAAACAGTGTTCGACGCAGAAACGACAGATTCGGCGTGGTCCTTGGAGAAGAATTCTTGTCCGGGGAAAAGCGTGTTCGTAGTGGCGTCGTATTACAGTAGGGCCGTGTTCTATGTGCAGAAATCAAAAAAAAAATATTGAGCGCTCATATGCAAGGTTCTTGATCCGTAAGCGTGTTCGACTCGTAACAGAAACGCCAGGCCAAAGATGCTGCAGAGTTCAAATGAGAGGTTGGAGTTTTCATGCCGAGTGATTTATCCTTGTCATCTTTCGTAATTCGAGTATGCGTCTGTCCAAAGCTTCGGGCTCTCTTCCGTCGGGCTCAACGAACCGGAGGAAATGGAAGACGAAGAGCCGATGGTCCATTCGTCGCTATCGGGGCTGCTGCCGTCGAGCCCAGCAATGCCATAACTATAGTCGTTCTGGACTTCGCCAATCTCGACGTAATCGTAGTCCCATCGGTATCTCTTATCAGGCTGTAGTCTCGGCAGGAACTTAGCCTTTGCGAAGTAGAATATGACACCCGACATCAAACTTCCGGCAACCAGATCCACAGCGTAATGATGCGAGAGGTACATGGTTGACCACCACAGCCAAGCCGCGTAGAACGCCCACAGCGGGGTGAACGTAGGAAAGATGTGGCTCATGAATAGCGCTTCCAGAGTAGCAGTCGCTGCATGAAGCGAGGGGAAGGCGCCAAAAACCATCGGAGAGGCGGTGAATCCTGACGTATACATATCGATTCCGAGCAATGCATCGATACGGGCTAAACCCGCAGGTGAACCTTGCATGGAATAGTTGGCCGGGGCTAGACCATACATGTTCTCGTACCATGGGGCGGAGCACGGAAACAAGACTTGAATGATGACTCCAGCGAGATTCAAGTACCCAAAGCTGAAGCCGAAGACTGGGAGGGTCGTAGGTGGGCCAAAGACGAAAATGATCGCGGCAACCACGAAAGGACCGCCAAAGTGACCAAGCCCATAGGGAAACCATGCTAAGAGATCCAAGACCGTATTCTTGTGGGCGGAGAGGATGTTGCTAAGATTGGCACCATAAAGGATGTTTTCGAGCGCGGGGAGGACTTTGACCCAAATCGGAGGCCGCCAGGCAGACGGGATGAATCTGTGCGTGGAAAACCGTACTTAGTAACTTCCTTTGGCAGGCGCATTGGGTCCGGGCTTCTGCGCAAAACAAAGCGAGTCCACCATCAAAACTTACCTGCAGGCGTAGAAGAAAATGAGGTATGCGGCTATAGGTGAAAAGGGCCGGAAGAATTGTCGAGTGATAGGGAATATGAACGAGGCGAGGAGGAGTGTAGCGACCGCAGTCTTGACCAATGGACCCGGATACTCAATGATGCTCAGCGAAAAAATGCCCACAACCGCCAGAAACAGCCATTGCCCGTCATAAATCGACCATCTATGATTTTGTAGTGACCGTAGAGTGTCCGCAGGGGAAACCGAGGTTTTGAGGGAGGCGAGTGAAGAGGCAGGCGACGATCGATTGCGGAGCTTCGATCTGAGCTTGCGCCGCAGCCGGTGAGGAACGAGAAGTTGTAGCGATTTCCATGGGATCTGGATCTGAATTTGTTTCTTGTCGGCGTCCTTCCAGGACGGTAGAGAAGCCTGCATTGCACCTGTGTCGGGCGCCTGGTGGAAAGCGAAGCCCGGGAAGGGTGTGCAAGGCAAGTCTCGTGCGCGGTACCGGGACCTAGGGATGCGGTGGAAGAGTCTGGAGGCGACGGCGAGGGATAGAGACCACAGAGACAACGAGGGCAGGAGGTGAGGAAGGTCGAGCAGAGGATCCGAGGAGGCCGGAAGAATGATGACCAGAAGGGGAAGAACAAGGAAGATATGGAAATCAGTCAAAGAGGTACGAGAGTATGTCAGTGGTTAAGGGCTTAGGTGAGCGCTGAGCAGATGGAGAAGATGTGGATGTCTGCGGATCGACCTGGTGCAAAAGGGAAGCAGCCCAGGCGAGCAACGGGCTCGCGGTTCGCTCTTCCACAGAATGCCGTCCCGATACTGCTGGTGCCTTTTGGTCGCTTGTTTCGCCCAGTCGAGAAGGTCGAGAGCTGGATGGGTGGAAATGGATACGATCAGGCCGGCCCAAGGAAAACACGCTCTATGCCCAAGCCGTCCTGGCTCGCGAGTCTAAAGTGGCTGAGGCCCTGTCGTTCAACCTCGGGGCCATCGGGGCCTGTCTTTGTGAGAGGCTCTGGCACCAGCTGATGGCTCTTCGGGGCATGCCCAACTCCACCACACCCGCTCTCGCCGCCCAAAGCACAGAGTTCGCCCCCTTTTTTTTTGCGATCAATGGCTTGTGAGAAAAATTTCTCTGCTGCATCGTTATTTCCCGACGTCACCATGGGCTGCCAAAATTCACCGACAGCTTGGTTGCAGTGATGCAAACTCACATGTGATGGCGGCGATGACGACAAGACTCGATGAGGTCGCTGCAATTCACAATGGTAGAGTAACTCTGGGGTGTCTTGACTTGTATCTACGAGGGGTCGATTATACTCGTACTCGGTTCTCTTATTCAGACAAGCACCCTCGCACATTGGCCGTTTCCAATTTGCAGACCAAGCTACCAGTAAGATGGCCCCCCGGGAACAAAGTGTGACCGCGAGAACCCGAACACGAAGCTGGGGGAGGGATTTGTGCATTAAGCATTAAGCATTGAGCACTGGAGGGCCCCCCGGGACGAGCGATGGGCACCCGCGTGATTAATGGCAATCTCCCATGATCAAAATTCCCTGGAGGTGTCTGGTCATTATCAGACCACAATGCCCAATTGACCTTCGTTGGCTTCCGTCAGACCATCAATATTTTTGTGTGCTTCTCGTACTCTTCTTTCCCCTGCCTCCTCCATCTCCCCCTTCAATTTCCCTTTCTGCAACCGAAAGAAGTGTCGTCTCCTAAACAACAAAAGAGCCCCTCTCTGGGTGCTCGGTCTCTCTGGTTTGATCGACACCGATAACCCGTATACCAACCTCTCGCTTTCAGATTGGACCCTCTTCCTTGCGCACGGTGCACACATGAGGTACCGGTGCATAAGAAGCAAATGCAGCTTCACAAAGAGCTTGCCTTTCCGGACAAAGCCGAGCCTGCAGCGAGCACGAGGGGAGCAAGGTCTGAAAATAATGGCCAATCAAGACCTCCTTCTGCGAGGTCATCTTGCATGATCGTATCATTCCTTTGCTCTGCGATAGGCTTATTTGACGCCCACGCTTCGTTGCTTCGGCTGACGTGCAGACACCTTCAGGATTGCTGACATTGCCATTTGATACCGAATGGGAAAGACCCTCAGTTGCGGAGTAATCAATGTGCGCTTCGACTCGAGGACGAGTATTGCAGGGTACGGGCACGGGCCTTTAGCAGGTCAATTTCCTTAAAAGAAGGCTGGAAATAGTGGGCAATGCTCCAAGTTCGGATAACAGAGCACGAACTATCAAGCATCACACAAGATTTGCTGCGAGGAATGGATTGTTTGGGCAGACACCGCAGTTGGAAAGCTGTTGCTCGTGCCCAGATTTCGGAACAGCAAAGACCATCTCGTCTCTTTTGGTTTGCGGCATTTGGGCAAATTGCGTCAGTGAGCATTGTGTCGTAATTGCTCTGTACTGTGGCTCTTGAGTTCTTGGTTGTCTTTTGATACAATGCGCCCATCTGTCCCTTCCCCGGACCACGTCGTCTTCATTCACATTTGACTTGATTTCGCTTGGCCAATTTCTGTGTGGCACCCGGTCCAACTCGGTCAATTGTGCACATACCCCATCCCGAAATACATCCGCGTCCCAGCTCTCGTGTCTGGAGGAAACAAAATGGCCTTCCCACCTTTCATCCGTTGTTCCGTTTCGCATTGGCCATTTCTCGGTACATGCTCTCAGAAGTGAAATGCTCACTTCCCCTCTTCAAGTTGCCATGTCATGAAACTTCTTACGACTTGCTCTGCGAGGAGCTGGTTCTCGACAGTGGAACCTGCGCAGATGTTGTGCGGGAAAGATTGTTCTGGTTCGAGCTGTGTCGTGAGAGGGTAGGAACGGACTGCGCAGAGGACGATGAGCGCGAAAACCTGCTCGTCAACAAGTCAGCATTACCTCTTGACGTTTCGCCGTGCCGCTGTCTGGGCATACATAGCGCCCGTGAACAGTATTGAAGAGAAAGTCGCACTTACGGGTTTCTCTTCTCCGCTCCAGGTGTCGCAGCGGGCGTCTTACTTGCCTGTCCCCATCCCATGATCGGAGACTGATATCCTGGCCAATTGGAGTTATTCCATATTTTCGTTATTACACTGCGTTGAACCTCCAAGTCAGTCCATTTCTTCTCTGAGCCTGCGAGGGTAATCTCTCAAGCGCATTTGCTCGTGTCCTACCTTTGCGCCGCATCCTCCTGTTGTTCCCGTGTCACTTCTTTCACCCCGACTTTCATCCCATCACGACTGAATGAAACGTTCTTCCTCTCGAGTTTCTGCCGCGTCTTGTGCCCGACATCGTGTGCGATCGTATAGGCCACGAATCCAACGGCCGCGACAACGGCAACTAGGATGATCAGGACGAAGAGAGCGATGAGGTCGCCGAATTTTGCCATCTTGAACAGGAGGAGACAAACGGGGTTCAGCAAAGTCGCTCAAGAGCCTTGGTTTGGACTGCGATGCACTGTTTGATATGGGTTCCCTGGTTTGGGCACCTCGAGCCGTGATTAATAGATTCGGTAGGACTTGAGGGGGAAAACTCGTGTGAAACGTGGTGGGAAGGTGTTGGCTGATGTGCTACACAGAGACTTCACACCACAATCCTTCGTGCGTTCTGGCCCCTGGGCTTTAATACCATCTCCTTTTGTCGATCACCAGAATCTGAACCCTCCTTATGCACCTGATGGGGGCGAATTTGCTTGTAGTCGTCCTTGGCAAGGCGGGCGAGAGGCGGTTGCGCCACAGCTGAATTGTGGCTCTTGTGGCTTCGATCGATAATCTCTGCTCGATTGGAGAGACGTGGCCCCAGGACGCTACGTTAGCCCAGACAAGCCACGCGCACATGGCATGTGATAATCCCCCTGGAACAGAAAGGGTCTTGTATCGGAGTACCTGAGGACAGGGGAGGCTAGCAGTAGGAATCCGACTCGTATTTTGTGTTTATGCCACTCACAGCAATTATCAAAGGGATCTTATACTGTGAGCAAGTCAAGTGTCAGACCGGGGGCACCTATAGGGACTTTTGCGAGGAGGATGGGAGCAATTCAGCCAGAACACAACGCCGCAGGATTTCACCCATCCCACCCGTCTTATGGTTCTGACAAAAATACCACTCTATGTGCATTCTACAATGGGTCTATATACAATGGGGTATCTGACCCATGCAAGGATTCTTGCCACCTGTGCCACTTAAAAGACATACACAATTGCGCGATTTGGCATAGGTATCAAATCCGAAACGACAGCGCCCTCGCTATGCAACCAAAAGATCCCCTCTCCATTTGTTGTACAGGTTCCACTCCCCTCGTTGGTTTCATTCCTCGTTATAGATCTTGACCTTCTCACTGATCTCCCAGATCCTGCTCTCGTAGTTCTCCTCAATGTTCTCGCCTTTTCCTCCTGCGACTCTCAGAATCAAGTCATTCAAACTACTTCTCCCCAGTATATCGACATGATCGCCAGTATTAGGACCCCCACGAGGGCTGAATCTATCCGGCTCGTGAGGCATCTCAAATGTTGTGATTTTGATGTTTGCGGGATTGTAGCGTTTTATTTCCCGCCAGCCCTTTGCGCACATGTAGCCTGTGGACAGCAGGTTGACTGTACCGTCGCCTTCACCAAATACGACTCCATGGTCGACGCTGCCGACCTGTTGAAGACGACCGTTGGGAGAATTGACGCTGGTATCGATCGAGATGTTGATATACCCATTAAGTGGCTGGCCATGTTCCTTGTAGAAGTATGAGCGCTCGGTAGGTTTGCCGATGCCGTAAAAGCAGAAGATCTTCATGTCTGGTGCGTGTGGGAGCCGTGCTTCCAGGGGATTCATCCATGTGAGAGGGTTGTTTTCATTTCGTTCGACTTCGGCTTTAGAGTGCGCAACACCATGAGAGTATGAGTGCTTGACTTGCTCGGCATACCACGGCTCCGCAATGTCCATGAGATAGTCAAAGGCCTGTGTCATTGTGAGATTTTGCCGGATAGTATCGGTGAGATTGCCGCGCGGCTTGAAGGAGATGAAAGTGCCGTGCGTTTTGTTCTGGATAGGTGGAGGTAAATCATCTGGAGCCCATGTAGCATTTCCCCATACTACATCACCGCCTTTGGGGAGCATCGACGATATGCCTGGCATGGCACGGAAGATCTCTGCGCGGTCTTCCTTGGATAAGAACTTCTCCAGACCGTAGACTGCAAAGGCATTGAGTTGGGCGGTGTCCTTCATCTCACCAGAGAGCAATGCCGGGATGTCCTTGGCTGTTCCGAGCATGCAGCCTGAGATGTTGATCCATGAGTCGATATGGTTGTTCACCCAGTGAGGGCCTCCTTTTCCATGGTCCTTGTGTTCTACCCACTTCATAAAGTAGAAGAGAACTTGGCTCCCCATAGAATGTGAGACAAGGACAACCTTCTTTCCAGTTGTCATTTGCGCCACCTCGATATAGTTCTTCAGCCGCGTAAAGTATTGATCCCTGTGTTCCAGATTGGCATAGGACAGACGCCAATCATAAGAGGCCGTGAAAGCATTCGTCGGATCGTATCCTATGGTGGCGAGATTTTCCAGGATTTTGTTCCAAATCCAGTACCCGGTAATGAAGAAATCGGTGGCATCGAACCCCTGCGCTGCCCGCAGCTTGATATCTGGAGGGTCAAGTCCTGTGTCTTTGTCGAGCATGATGTGTCGCTTCCAAGCCGCTTGGTCCATGACCAGTGCTCTCATCATTGACCATGATCCCCACAGCCGCTTGCGAAAGTACTGCCTGGACTTTTCACCTGTCGACCAAGATTCCAGTCCCGTGGAAATCACTCCCGGTACCATGATGACAGGATGGTGGGCTTTGACCCCCTGAGAGAGTAAATGGAGACCGACAGAGAACGAGTCATAGTTGACGACATCTCGTTCTGCTCTTGAGAGATCCTTCACATCGTTTACTATGCCTACAGGAATCACATCCATCAGGCTGTCCAAATTGACCTCTAGCAATCCTTCCAGTTTGATAACATCCTGCGACTGAGCAAACAGTAGAGCTAACAGTAGGCCTAGCAGACCACCCAGCCCAAACGTGATGCCAGACCTCCTCTTGCTGTGTCTCCTTTTTTTGAGCTTTTCCAGCTTCTTACTCGAGACCAACTTTAGCTCTTCGTTGGGGTCTGGCGTACCATCGCGACTAGGCTCGGGGGAGGGCGTAGGTGACTCGCGAATGATGTTAGCAAAGCGGCGACGGAGAGTAGACATTTTCGAAAGTTCAAGCCCTCGAGCAAGCAGCAGGCTTGCGTGGGGACATGCAACAGTATATTACCCCAAGGCGCGGATTGCTCGGGGCATGGAATATCGTTGCTGAGTGTGCAATTAAATCATCCCGGCCTTGCGCTTTCACATGTTTCGTCATCGGCTTTTTTCCACGCCGGGGATCTTCAGGAACAAATCTTCTCCACGCGACTTTCCCAAGTCCGTTCCCAGTATGGCATTCTTGACTCCTCCATAGGATTTACAATATCATGAGCGGCTATGCCGCTGCTGCTCTCGAGTCCCTTAGCGGCAACAAGGACACCTCGGTCTCCGCCAGTGCGCACTTCCAAACATCCCCTCCCGGAATTCATTACTTGCAGTACTCGCTTGAGAAAGAGGCCGAATACCTTCCCCAAATCCGTGAACTGATCTCCAAGGACCTCTCCGAACCTTACAGCATCTATGTCTACCGATATTTTCTCTATCAATGGCCCGAACTCTGCTTCATGGCTGTTGACGCCACCGATGACAACAAACTAGCCGGGGTGGTAATTTGCAAACTAGAGCCACATCGAGGAGGACCATTGAGAGGATACATCGCCATGCTGGCCACAAAGGACAAGTTTCGGGGCAAGGGTATCGCCACTACGCTTGTCAGCAAAGCCATGGATTTGATGATCGAGAAGGACGCGGACGAAATTGCGTTGGAAACCGAGGAGACAAACACCGCGGCTATGAAGTTGTACGAGCGGCTGGGGTTTCTGAGAAGCAAAAAGCTGCATAGGTACTACATGAATGGGAACAGCGCATACCGGTTGCTGCTCTACCTGAAAGAGGGCGTGGGCTGTATCCCGACAGAGGACGAGTTCAATGGCGCTGGTCTGGATGTGCAAGACGAAATGAGATATCCACATCGCTATCAGGAATCGCCGCAGGATGTATTGAGTCGTGGAATCGTCTGAATCATTAGAGACAACCACCTATCCACTCCTCCCACCTCTTCACTCCTTTGCCTGCTTCCTCACCTCTGACTGCTCCTCCTAACACATCGACCTTAATGTCATACTCCTCCGCTATCAACTCGAAGCTGAACTTGTCTTCGCCGCCGCCGCCTAGAATATCTTCCTCCGCGTCGGCGTCTGTGTCTTGCCCCACAGTACTCAGCCCTTTGCTTCTCGAGACGCGCACTCTTTCAATCTCAGCTTGTAGGCGTTCCTTGACTGCACCTGTCGGCAAAGCGGTGAACAGGTCTTGCTTGTTCGCCGCGATGAGGACGGGGATTTCGGTCTTGGTTTTGCCACGAATTTTTCGTCTCTGCAGGGCCAGCAATGTATCATGGAGGTACACAGCAGTGTCACGGGAGGCGGAAGAGTCGCTGGCGTCCAGCACACTTGAGTCGACCACGAATATGACCCCGCGGAGGGCAGTATTCTGAATTTGTGACAACGCCTGATCTGATCTCAATTTCCCGTGGCCGGGAGTATCGATCATTACATATGGAGTCGGCTGCTTGTCTCTGAGGCTGACATCATTATCGGAGCGGTACTTATTGGACCCTAGGGGGATAGAGGGCGGAAGTAATAAGCTGATGGGACAGGAGACTTGAGAAATGCGGGTGAGCGCTGCCTCTGCTTGGGGATCTTCTGGGTTGGAGGATCGCTTTTGCAGCTGGATTCCTGTTAGCGAAGTGGATCGAGAAGAGCCCGACAGACCAACACTCACTAGAGAGACGAGAGATGTCTTGCCTGCACCGCTGGGGCCAAGAAGGAGGAAAGTTGGAACAACTTTGGCACGAGCAGTTTGGGTGTAGAGATACAGGTGGACGAGTAGTGGGAGGGTTATCGTCACCAAGAATGCGATGAGGATGGCAACAGGGTCGCCGGACAAGAGTCTAGTAGCCCAGCTGTCCGGAGAGGACCAACCCATACTGAACAAGAGCGGCAGACAAAAGAAGGATTGTTCAAGATGGCAGGGTCAACACCGCGCAAAGCATGACGCAGATAAAGAGGCTGAGAACAGAATTACCACTGGCTGGTCGGCGGGGTCGGAGCGATGTGTCTGTAGTGCCCGTGTGTGTCGTGCCTTGCATATGGTCTTCTGCTATTTGCGGGTTGGGCTGGGCCTCGTGTCTCAAAATGTAAACTGCGCTTCCACTTTGCGGCCCTCCGCAACTTACACGGAGCCCTTGGTTACCGAACACTCGTTTTCGACACATCTCACGCTCCCTTTCGCTTTGTGTGTTTCTTCTCCTCGCGTCTCCCATTACACCGTCACCATTGTCCACGATATGATTCTACGAAGCATCTACCTCCTGGCCGCTGCCATCCTCCCGTTCACGTATGCTGATGTCCAAGTTGTCGCACCTGAAGCTGGGGACAGTATCACCGGACTCAATCTACAGATACAATGGAAAGACTCGGGCAACTCGCCGCCTATCTCCCAACTGGCTAATTATCAACTCTTTCTATGTGCAGGAGGCAACGACGAATCCGACTATGTAAGCCAGGAAGGAGGCGAAGTAGAGGAAGATGAGGCTGACCCCGTATTGCTCAGATCCCAATAGCCACGCTTGTTCAAGAAGGAACCTATACCACCGGGGATTCAATCACCATCACCTTGCAACCGGGTACTGGCGCTGATGTGCCAAACGCCTATTTCCTGAAATTCGTATCCGCCGCTACAGGAGGCACCGTCATCAACTTCTCCGACCGTTTCTCCCTTAAAAGCATGACTGGCACGTTTCCGGCGGTGGTCCAGCAAGGTCTGAGGACTGTCACTGGCACTGCTGGCCCAGCCGACGTCAATAATATCCAAGCACCCCAAGCGGGCGCTGGTCAAAACACCCCGTCTTCTGCTGGAGAAGGGGCCTATAGCACCCCCTACACCATGCAGACCGGGACAATCCGCTACGCTCCCATGCCTCCAATGGCCCAAACAAAGATCACTGCGAAGAATGCCTCTCCTTTGTGGCCTACCAGCGCATATACTGTGTACCAGACCATCGCCGGCACTCCAAATGCCATCACAACCAACACCTTGCCCCTTACGTTCACCGTTTCTAGCAGAGAGAATCCGGTAAGATCTCGCCGAGTGTCTTAAAGAACCCACATACTGACTCGCACAGGTTGCTGCGGCCGGCCAGCCCACTGATGCAGCGATGCAGAAGTTCCTCAAACGGTGGATGGACTGAAAATTGACGAGAAGGAATGTTAAATCATGAAAAGATCGCTAAATTTGAACATGTGGCCGGCGCCGAAATGCGAATAATCAGTCATGCCGAGGAGAACGGAGTCTGGTTGGTTCTGGGTGTCCATTATGTGCATTGTTTGCCGGTTCTGGCTGGATGAGGATGGATTCTATGTTTGCCTCCAACGCCATGCTGAAAGATTCATGAACAAACCTGTTGGAGTATTACAACAATGTCACCGGTATATTTCATCGAACGGTCTCGTATCCCGAAAACAGCTGTCCCACACCTCATTGACCACTTTGACTGCCTGTACGTCGTCTTTGCAACTTGGTCGACCCATGACCGAGATTATTGCCCTTCTTCGAACGCAATCCTGGTGGTGATTCGTGAAAGAGAGGATCTTGTTGCGGAAGAACTCGTTGGCCCACCGACATTCGCCACTGAGATTGCTGGCCCGAATCTGCGTGAGCTCGTCAGCTTGAAATGTCTTACCTCTTTGGTGGGAGACCAACCTCTGAACACGCCGCATGTCTCAGATCATCTTCGAGGGTCAAATTCGTCTTGAACCGCAAATGGTCATATGCGTGGACCATCTCGTGTGCCAGAACATCCTCCATGACAGACCGTTCCTGCACGTAATTCGCACATATCTTAATCCCGTATTTATGATCAAAGCCACCCTGCATCGCCTCCTCCTCGCCTCTGCACGTCCTGCAATGGATATTGTGCGGTCCCAGTTCACCGCCCAGTTTCTGGATGTTCTCGTTCATGAATCGGATTACTGGGGAGTATTTTAACAGATAGTCCCGGCTCTCTTCGCAACGTTTGCAATCGAATGCGCTATATCGGTCGTCTGCATCGGTCCAGTACTTTTTCGCGCCTCCGGGGGACATGCGACCGGTGGCCATGCGGAAGAAGTTGACGGAACGATTCCACCAAGTATCGCTGGGTAGGAAGTCCGATTCATCTTGGTGAGATGAAGGAGCGGAAGACGAGGAGGGGTCAGCCATAATGAGGGAGCTTATTCTAGAGACCGAAAAGAAGAGAAAAGAAGCAACAGAGAAACAGAATTACATGTACCCGTTGAACAATGCGAGCCGACTGAAGCTGCAGACCATAGGGGAAACTCGAGAGGTCCTCCCTCAGCTCGCCAAGCTCAAATCTGACTCGCTCAGCACTGCATACACATACGCTCCGACTGCTGGTCAAAATTTTCGGAGAAAACCATAATTATTCTGACAGCCTCGTCTTCATGTCTTGAAGGGCGCACGCTCGAGGACCTGTTATTTCTCCCCCTTTGACTCAAAATGAGCCGCTCCGACTTCGGAAATAGGAGTCTAAGCGTGGTGCTACAAATCTCACATCCTCAGAAACTCAGGAAGCCGAAACAATGAGGTCTGGAAAGCATTTGACGATAGTCATCAAGATTGGTACAGACACTACCCACCGCCATGCCTTATTTATTTCGAAGTGAAACAAAATACCGATCAACCAGGACGAGGCTTACTGTGGTACTGGCAATAGGTACCTCATCCATCGTCGATGAGACGACGCACGAACCGATCATTTCAATCCTCGCACAGATTGTTGAGACGGCCGTCACCTTAAAACGTGATGGCCATCGAGTCGTCATCGTCTCCTCTGGGGCTGTTGGCGTTGGGCTACAGAGGATGAACATGGCCAAGAGACCGAAACACCTTGCTCAAATCCAGGTAGGTATACGAACCCGATTCCCTCATCATTGCCTCGATCTCTCGAAATCTGCTCTATGAAAGGGCTAACTCAAGTCTTGTTAATCTGGAAAGGCCCTCGCTGCAATCGGCCAGTCCCGCCTCATGTCAGTCTGGGACTCCTTCTTCGCGCACAAGAATCAGCCCGTCGCCCAGATCCTGATCACACGCAATGACATCGCCGATCGCTCTCAATATCTCAACGCGCAGAACACGCTCTCAGAGACCTTGTCTATGGGCGTGATACCTATTGTCAACGAGAATGATACCTTGGCGGTATCGGAAATCAAGTTTGGCGACAATGATACGTTGTCTGCCATTGCCGCGGCGATGGTAAACGCAGATTATTTGTTTTTGATGACTGACGTGGATTGCCTGTACGACAGAAATCCAAGGAAATTTCCCGACGCGAAGCCGATCCTCGTGGTTGATGACATCGATGCTCTTCAGGTGGATGTCTCGTCGCGAGGGTCAGCATTGGGGACAGGTGGCATGGCGACAAAGATTGTCGCCGCGCGACTGGCAACAGCTACGGGCACGAGCACGGTCATCACAAAGTCCTCAAAACCGGGGAACATTGCGGCGATTATCCGGCATCTTCACCCGCCCGTTGAGGTTGATGGTGAGACTGGCACAATGCTTTCCGTACCAAGCATTCCGCCGCCTCTGCACACACGCTTCCTGCCATCCCCGTCTCCAATCCGCAACCGCGCCTTTTGGATCCTTCACGGCCTGGCACCCCACGGCACACTTTACATCGACCGAGGCGCCTCCGTCGCATTGGCGAATAAAGCCGGCCTGTTGCCCGTCGGAGTTGTCGATGTGGAAGGGACTTTTGCTCAACAAGAAGCCGTGCGGTTGGTTGTCGTTGACAAGACACCACTGGGTAGTTTGTCTCCCACGGGCAATTCCAACTCGATAGCCATGCAATTTGTATCGAGGGAAGAAGAGATCGGCAGGGCCGTGGTGAATTACTCCTCGTCCGAGATCGCCAGGATCAAACGCCTCAGAAGTTCCGAGATCAGAAATGTCCTGGGATATGCCGACAGCGAGTACGTTGCGTATCGGGAGAATGTAAGTCTGCACGCGAGTGCCAGCGGCGACAAAAGCAGGCCGGACACGCCGAGCGGGCCAAGGACGCCGACGAAAGAGAGGACGCCAGATGCCAGTGTGGTGGACCTGAAAAGCTGGAAGATAGAATAAGACACATAGCAGCATGGCATGGGCACTATCGACTCGAACGGTGATTTGAGTTCTCCTCGTGACGGCTTCAGGCATCTGAAAAGTGATTTTGGTGTTGTTATTGGCGTGGAGACGTGAGATTGGGAAATGCTTGGGTCATCTTATCCTGAAATCAGCAACGATGAGCGCATGTTTTATATAGATCGCACCAATGTTGGTCGAGTATTTCCGCTAAAGGAGTGACCGAGAAAGAAATCAACAACCACAAGAATCAGAACCCGCCTCGTGAATGCTTGAGTGTTTTGGCACAGCGGACAAGCTGTAACTTGTGTCCATCGCTTGGGCCATAAGATACCCAATGCAAGTTTCTTCGAACAAAACCCCAACAGCAATGAGAGGCATGGTCCATAAAGCCGACGCCGAAAAGCAGTTCGAACAAAGTAGTAGACCTTGGCAGGAAAGCGAGAAAGGGAGGACCATCGCATCTATATAACCAGAGACACGTCGGCATATGCCCTCGTAGTAAGCCCACATCGTTGTCGACAGGCTTCGAATCCGTCCTGACTTCCTGTTCCGACTGCTGGGATACGCTGACCTGTGGCTGTCCAGTTCCCGTTGGTGAGGTTGATGAATGGCATCACTTGGGTTCCAATGTCTTTCGGCATCATGAAGAACGCCTGAGCTATGTTCAATGTTCCCGGGTCGGCATCGTTGAGGAACGAGTAGAGTTGATTCTTTTCGCAGCCTAAACAGTCGTCAGGAAAGGCGTCAGATCTTCAACACGAGAGCAGACGCACCAATATTGTACATAGAATGCACGCTGGCCGGGGGAAAGATGGTCATCAATCCCGGAGTCAAGACCTGCTCCACTAGTCGTGCCCCATTCTCCTGCACCATATATGTATGGGTTGTGCCACTCACTGCAACAACGAGGTTGTTGGCCCTATGTAAGTGCGGTGCAAGCATCGCACATGGCCCGAGATTGAGCTGCGCCACCGTCGCCCCAACGGTGGAGAGGACAGGCCAGGTTGCAGCGTTTGCATTGCAGACACTTCCCGGTTTCCAGGAATACATCGGGTTGGAGGAGAAGTTATAGAGAAGCTGCTGGTCCGAAAGCATGTGAAGTCGGTCGTTCATTGTCGCTGCCATCTTCAGATTCGCAACTAACTTTGGGTCCACTGTCTGATCGACGGCTAATACTGGTGCGATGCAAAGAAAGATGACGGAGGCGGCTCCAGCACACACTGAGAGTAGCATCATGGGAGGCTTCCGGCGGAAACAGATAAAACTGAACTTGACTGTGGCTATAGTCGTGATGAAGGCTGCCAAAAGCCAGAACACACCAGGCTCGTCAAAGCTTATGGATAACCTCAATGTTCGTCGAAATGCTTCGCTCCAATACCGACAGTCTGGACTGGTCAAGCAGAACCAGGAAATTGGGTCTGAGCATGACACAGACATGGGTTGGTTCGTTCTTATGTGCTTTCCCTTTCCAAGCGAACTGCTGGCCCAGGCACCTGGATCCGTTTCTCTTCTGAGGACTCCGGGAACGTCCACCTTACGAACAGAAAGGCAGATCTTGGGCGAAGTGGAATATTCGATGCATTTTCTAGCCTGGTGGTGAAGGTCCACAGGATCTTATTGGAGAACACCATTTGTTTGTCCGCTCTGAGGAAGGCGATTGATTTGATACCGACTCTGGTGCTCGCTTCCGTCCGCAACACATTTTCACCGCATTATGCCTTGGATCATGATCGGATGTGACCACTAATTCAACTTGTGGAGATGCTGCAGAGGAGATAGACGCAGAATTCGGGTGGGCAGAAATCCAGCGAGTGCTTGAAAGTGGCGGGTAATCGCGGGGATGGGTATTGTGATCTTTTTCGGGGTCGAAAAGAATTGAAGGTGATTCCAAGGAATTGGAATCGGCTGCCCTGTCTGGGTCTGTGAGATGACCTGAGTGAGAAATTGGGTCGCGGAGCTGCAAGGGCCACAAAGGCGCGAGAGCCGTGATTCTGTGGCAAGACATGAAGACCACCGTCGAGTCGTCGGCGCTCTGAAGAATCGAGCGGTAGCGAAGACCCGGAGCAAAGTGCAAATCGTCGGGGAAGAATTGATGATTTTAAATCTTTGTTTTTCAGCGACCTTTGCAGTGGGGGCTTTAACCAAAATCTACTCGCAGCTCAATATCGTACAGTGGTGTTGACTTGAAGCTGCACACTCAGGCCGCGTCGCAAGCCTTGGTTTCCTGTGTAGCGATGACCTGTTCGATAACGCTGAAGACTGACGGAGTGGGCGTGTTTCATCATTTTTCAGAGAGCCAGCACACTTACCAAAGGACTCAAGTGGTGTGAAGCCCTCAAGGGCTAAAAGTCGGTGAGGCTGTCAGTTGAGGCTTAGGATACCTGGCGGGCGCTCAAGTCTCCCACCTGACCTCAGCGAATATAGGTATCGCAATCGCTGGACAACTTGTGGCAGCGTAGCAACGGCTTTGCACGACAATGCTCACATCGGTCGAATGCCTACAGTGAGCACACCTCGGTTGGAACCGTGCAGATCTTCGACACTTTGTAGTACAAAAGGATCTCTGTGTACTCGGCAAAAAGGCTTCCAGAAACCTGGGTTCCCGGTCTGGGCGAAGAGATAATTGTCATGCAACATATATCTGCCTCCAAGACAAGGGCGCGAAACAGGGTGGTTGCAGCAAGAGACGAGGTTGGACTCACTGATTGATATATTGTTTCTGCTCCCCCGATTCGCTAAAGGGGCGACCGCCGACCGACCCAAGCCTGACCTGCACATCAAGACGTTATTCCGCTGTCAAACGTGCACATGGCAGAGACGCCGTTGACATCAGGAGGCGCCACTGGGCCAAGCGTTGCGCCAGTGCGGATCGGACTGCCCCTTGAGCACCAAGTCCGCCTCTTTTTGGGCCGCATTAATAATGATACTGATCCTTTTCGAGAGGCAGCTTGCTTTCAGACAATTTCCCCAAATCGATACGAAAGGCAATGTCTTTTCCGCATCACCGCCTCACCCCAAGTGTATTGGCAGTCGATCCGAAAGGCTGGTGTGGGTGGTAGGATGACCAGGGGCAGCCAGAAGGAGGATTTCTTGGGTTTTCGGGACAAGGATAGGCTGAACGGAAGTCGAAGGGCGACAGGCCTGATCAACCAGGGGAGGCGTGGCATTCCCCCGCAAGGAACGATAGGCTCTCGGTTGAATGCAGGAGATGGCGGATTCCCACGGACTGGCCTATGGAGTCGAGAATGACCGCACTGAGAAGATGTTTGGAGATTGGACAGCGCAGATGAGATTGATGAATTCATTACTCGTACTCGTCAGTTGCGGTGGTGCTTTCGGAGACGCGCTAGAAGTTGATGATGGAAGTTAGAGAGAGACATTTGCTTCGAGGGGAGCAAGCAGTAGCAAGGGCTCCTTACCCGAAGCGGGCTCCCGACTCGCACCCGGTGGGCTTTTCCTGCCCATGGGTGGAGTCGGTGTGAAAATCAGGGGTAGGCACCTGGCGCCCACTGGTCGCAGAGCCTGGTGAGCCCAAGCAGTTTCTTTCGGGTGCTGATTGGGCTGCCCTGGTGCTTTTCGGACGCCCGAATGTGAGTGGCTTGGTGACTCACTAAACGAGTTTGGCGCGTGCGACCACCCACCGCCTTGTGCCTTGTGCCTGCAGGCCGGTCCCCTTTGGTGCCTGCGCCCGTCTCCTCGCCGCCTCCCTTGGGTCGATGGAGACTGCATTTTGAGTTCTGCCTCCCAAGGACTGGCACTCGGCCAGATCGGGGTTCACAGTCGCCGTCAGGGATGAATTCACACACATCTGGCAAGACTGAGAGAGAAACGACCACTTCTTTCCACGAGCTGCTCTAGACACCAAAGAAGCCACCCCTCTGGTTTCATACCTTGCCGTTGGTCTCGCTACCCAGCTACTTTTCTGGCGCCCTGCTCGGCCTACACCCTACCAGCCCGTTATCGCATCCCTGACCTCCTTGCCATTGGTAGAACCGCTGGGTTGATGTACCTCTCTCCTATCCGAACTCCTCGATCAATGCTCGCGAACGGCCGTTTACTCCAACACCAGTCTCAGTGAACCCCCTTCCGAGGAGTGCCATCGATTCCAACGCCTCGAACTGGTCGCCTGTGTTTCCATTTTGTACTCTCGAGACACTAAATCCTTCACGAATCCTCCATCACACCGCCCCCAACCTCGCTTGACTTCCCAGCAGTCCTCGTCTCTCGCGACCTCTCTCCGTCTCCGTCGTCGATCCGTCAGGAGTCAAAACGACCGGTGGAATCTTGTACGGAGTATTTGAATAAAGAAACAGGCACAGGTGAAAAGCGGGCGACTCGTTGATACCATGGCTGGGTGATTACCGCCATGTTCTGGTCCGAAGCGGAATTCCCAATCGCCAAAGTTGCGAAGCAAGTTGACGGTCTACGAATCTACACCCTGACACACTCCTTCTCCGCGCTGACCTGGCTCTCTGAGAGCCCTTCGACCCTGACTTGAGAAGCAGACTCTGCATTAAGAGCGGGAAACATCGCGAACATACGTGCTGCTGCACACGAACTCCTCCGAAGCGCTTGCATTCCAAAATAGGCCGACTTTGCATATTGACCGATACCTCCTTGATTCGCCAGTCGCCTTTTCAACCGCAGACAAAGCAGGTCCCAGCTGCAGGTACATTCTGCAGAAAAGCGTTACCGGCACAGCTGCACTGGAGATCTCGAACCTGCACCCTGCGGTGTAGCCAGGGGCTCCTCCAGCCTTTGCGCCTCGATCAAGGTCGCTGGCCACTGCTCCTTATTCCACACTCGTCATCCATGTACCAGCATCACCCCGGTACCTGAGCGAATGTGAGGCTCTCTGTGAACCACCCCGCTGAAGGAGCAATGGACACATCTGGAGATTCTGTCGTTCACAGCAGCAGACGGTCACGGTCGAACTCGACATCATCTCCAGCGCCGGCCTCCAGGAAACAATCTGCTGCCACCGTCCCAAAACACCTAGACTCTCGAAGTGCCCAGCTGAGAACAAGGCCCAGGAGTCCAGAAAGCTCGATGCCGCCCACGAGTCGTTTTCGCTACGACAGAAGTCGTTCAAGAAGCCGCCCAGAGAATTCATTGAGCCCAAACCTGAATATTAACCGCTGGTCGCATTCGACATCGTCCAGTGTGTCTGGTATTGAGTCAGACACGATCCGCATCCGCGCGAACACATCATCTCGGCGGATGAGTATAGGCCCCTCGCTGGTGTCATCTTCCACGCCGGCAAAACCATCTATGCATACCCGGAGATCCTCCAGCCAGAGTTCCCAGGTGAGACAGGGCTCTGGCTCGGCTTTCCTTCAGGTGGAGCGGACTCATGCTCCGCGAGACCTCAGCCCCCTCACCCCGACGTCGATGTTTAACCCCAGCGCCGGGGAGTACTTCGGCGAGACCTGGCAGAGTCGTAAAACGGGCAAGAATGGGGAGGCGGTCGCAGTATCGGTACATTATATGAGAACGACGGCGCAGCCTAATATGAGATCCTCTGAGAATGTTACAACTCAATACATGACGCAAGCTTCTCGACCAACTACCCGTGAAAGCCGCCCTACAACGGCCGGCCGGGATGGATCCATCGATTCTGCGGCTTTGTCAAATGTGCCCACACGTGTTAAAAGTCATCGAAGTCCGACCCAGAAGACAATGCTCTCCAAGGCTCTGGCAGTAGCGAACAATGCCGTGTTACTTGACAACGCCCAGAATATTGAGGGAGCCATCGAAGCATATGCTGAAGCTTGTGATCTGTTGCAACAAGTTCTGATCCGGAGCTCGGTGCTCGATGACCGGAAGAGGTTATCCGACATTCGAAACGCATACTCAAAGAGAATCGCCGACCTGCATGATCTTGATGATTCCTTCTCCGAACTGATGGAGAAAGCTTTGCCTGAAGATCCTCCGCTTGATGAAACCAACAACTCTTTCTTCAGCAGTGATGGCGTCGAACCGGATACGACCGAGGTTTTGGAATCTGTCCAGATTCCCCCTCGACAAGAGTCTTTACTGCCGGAAATATTTGGTGGAGAGTCATATCTCAATGAGTCGTCAACCCGCAAGAGGATCCAGATCCCCAGTCTTGCGGTCCCTATGGACGCGCAGTATATGCCACCGCCTCTTTCGCCCAGACGACCGCCGTCTCCTATCTCGGAGCGGGACTCGAACACACCTCTTGCCACCAGAAGACCAAGCGATGCTCCAAAAGCTGCTCACCATACTCGAGAAGGTAGCAGCGAGTCTACCTCTTGGTTGGACACCCTCGAAGATGGCGATTCTTCAACGTCTCGGTCCTCGCGACTCTCATCTTTGGATTTTGGGATCCAGAATAATCACAATATTGTCGACGACTTTGAAGCGGAGTTTGACGCTGCTCTCGACGCTGCTGTAGACGCTGCCTACGATGATAACCTGACAGAGGAGCCCACTCCGAGGCCGGATAAGAACATGCAGGATTTCAACGAAGACTTCAGTACACCCGTACCTGCCTTCGAAACCACCTTCAAAGACCACCCCACCCTGTCGTCCGATGTTGAGCTGACTCGAGAATATGACGAGGGAGACTCGTCGGAGGAAGAGGAACGGTTGTTAGAAGAAATGACGAAGGGGTTTGTCTTCGATGATTTTTCGTTTGACAACAAATCGAAATCGGCACTTCCTCGACAGTCAGACTCGAGTACATTCTCAGGCAGGACCTGGACAAGTTCTCTTCCGTCGACAACCACAACAAATATCACCACCCTGAGCACCCTAGCAGAATCGCAAGAGGCATTAGCGGAAACGTCCCCTCGACCACTTCCCCCAGCAAAAGACGCTCCTCTGACGTCGCCTCCAAAAACGGTCCTTTCGCAGGCGCCGCCACTGGCACCACCGGTCCAACCCAGCAGACCGACCAGTATAGAGAAATATAGTGGATTGAATATTCGGGAGAGGAGATTCTCAGGCCGAAGTGGGGAGCAGCTAAAGATTGAGACGTTTGCACGACGAAATTCTTCGACTATTCCCATCAAGCCGATTGCCGCAGCTCCATCCGTGCCAGAACTGGATATTCCTGGAGAACAGCCAAAGGCGTCTCAGACAGTGCCGTCAGAACCCACAAACCATCCCCTGGCCCCCATTACGCCGATGACGACGTTACCCTCCAATGATTCTGTCCAGAGTGAGTCCCCAGCCACTCCTGCCTTGACACAAGGTGGTTCTCAGGGCAGCATTGAGGATTCAGTAGTCATGCCGCCGTCGCCTGCAAAGACCGGGAAGATGGGGCCTCCCGCCGCTGTCAAGAAAAATCTCTCATCGTCGAGTTTGAGGGTGAGAAATCTGTCTGTGGCAACGACAGAAACAAGTACAGAGTCTCCGATCACGCCAGTCAGCGCGGGGTTTGGCGGAGACAGCAGAAAGGTTGTGCCGCCTTTACCATCAGCTGCGTTGCCGACTCCATTGACGGCCGCATTTGGGCCTCAACTCCTCCAGACTGGTGGGATGTACTTGTTCGATGATATCACGGCGACAGGCCCTCCCAGGACACCACGAAGTCCTGAAGCCCCGAGTGTATCTCCGCCTCAACTTCTAGAGCCCTGCCCGGAATCTTTCCTTCTCCGCCCTTTCTGGCTGATGCGATGTTTGTATCAAACGCTTGCTCACCCTAGTGGCGGATACCTGACCACGAAGCTATTCATCCCTCGGGATGCATGGAAAGTGAGGAATGTCAAGCTCAAAGCTCTTGATGATAAAGTGTCTCAGTGTGATCTGTTAACGGCTGCATTGCTCAAGCTTGCCAAAGTCGATACGTTTGATGCCGACTCAGTTCTCGATGAGTTACAGTCATTCGAAGTCGTTCTGGACCAGGTCCGAAACACGTTGCAGAAGAAGATGGGCAGTGACGTGGGCTTTTCGGGGTCGTCCGGCCTTTTCAAGTCTGTTGGCGAAGACCAGGAGACCGGTAAATCAACCAGCACGGCTGCCAAATCCATCGCGTCCAGCTGGCGCAAACTTCGGTCCAAATCAAGTGCTCCAGCGATGGGACACCAGAGCGGGCAAAAGGACGGGTCCTTGTCTGGCCCAAGCATGGCGTCGCTGCCTATGACTTCTTCGTCAGCTGTGGCTTCTTCACGGTCACATCTGAATCGCAAGATCGCACTTCCGCCGACACCAACCCAGCTGGCGAATGTTCAACCCGTCCATGCGGCGTACATGTCAAGTTTGGCACGCCTCTTTGACGCGGCGCAAGTGCTCGACGGCATCGCCCGGCAAGTCGAAGACCCCGGACTAAAGTGCAGCAACAAAACCCAGGTCGGGTTGGAGTTGGGTGTTAAGAATGCTGCCGAGTTCTTCGCATTCTTCATCATTCGGTTTGTCATGGCCGACTTGATGCTGATGGTGGACAAGTTCCTTAAGAGAGGAAGCGAATGGGTACTAAGTTGATGCGCCCCAGTTTCTGACGTTGTGGGATGTCTGTCTGTAATGCTATCTGTTATGATGTTGCAGATGATTGTATGTTGCCTTCCAGCGGCATTGGCGGCGTTTTATGGTGCTTGTTCATGTTCGCCCGATGTGCTTGCGCTTTCTGGGATGTTTTTCTGGCGCTCCAGTATCTGGTTTGTTGTGTTTTATGATACCACCCATCGCCAGTGTTTCAAGGCATAGGTTATGTGGAAGAGCCTTCGAGGAAAACAGAGGGGACTTAGAAGGACAGATAGAGATGGGTCCGGATATGTGGTCATTGTATCAGGTAGACTGAGGAGACGAGGGCCGATGTAGTCGAGATACCTAGAGAGCTTACCATTGTATGGAACATGTCTACCCGAGTTCTACTTTAGGGTGCGTCCTTGTCGTTTGCATCTATTGAGCCAGGTCGAAGTAAGACCTTTTGCCATCTGCCTCAGAAGCAGGGCTGTTAGACATGTCCGACACGAGACACCACGCAACTGGACTGCTGAAGCATTCGACGGAGAAGATGGGTCAACCAACCAGAGTGGCCTACGGGCAGGAAGGCTGAGGCGATCGCAGTGGTGTCTGTTCCGAGATCGCCCATCTCGCCGTGTCTTGAGCCCGCGTTTTACGCGTGATATGAGTTCTCGGGCAGATACAGTCACTAATAATTTCTACTTCTTTGGCCAGTGGCGGTAGCTGCTGTGCCACGCCGCAAGCGAAGCCTCTCTCCCTAGCCTGACGGACCTGAGTCTCTCCACTGATGAATGTCTCTCCCGAAGACAGGACGCCAAGAAGAAGGCGATGACGACGACGATAGCTCTTCACACCTCTTTCAGATGTTTGCAAACGGGCATTGGCGACGTAAGCGTGAACAAAATCTGTTCATTCGAGATTGGGAAAAAAGGAACCCATTCAGAATTTTACTTCCGCCGAACCGAACCGACCCCAAGAGAACGGAAACCTTTACAGCAATCAAGCTCGCTCCGAAGTCCCTGCTTCCAGCTCTGCTTCTTCTGTGTAGAGCTCAGGAAAGAGATCTCGCAGCACGTCGTCCACTTCCCTGTTGTCGTACTGCAGCAACCCGTCCTGGGTGAATGCAGCGTCGCCTTGAGCGCTTCGGGATGACCCAATCCGTGGATCAATCTCTGGGAGATGGCAACCGGTGCCACTCTGGACAAGATTTTCAGGCTGAGATTTGGCAGGCTGGGGGCTTTCTTCCGTCCCACCTTCTATCGCGCTGATTATCGCATTGGACATCTCGTGCGGCGACAATCCCTGCAGTCTCTTGAACACGCGCTGAAGATGCCATTTGCTGAGCCGGACCTGGCATGACAGCTGCTGCAAGCTGATTTTTTGACCTTGAGAGGCTGTCGTCTTCACCAGATCCACGGCATGACGGATCTTGGCCAGGAGAGGGTCCTCCTCTTGCGACACCAGCAGATTGGGTTTGCATCGCTTGCACGCCCGGTATCCGGCCTCCTCCGCAAGCGGGCCGCTGTCGTAGAAGACGATGTTCGCCCGACGCGCCAAACGAGCTTTGCAATCGGGGCGGCAGTAGATGCCCGTCGTCTTGACGGCGTACACGAACTCTCCCACTGCGTCAGGGTTGCGAGAAACGACCGCGGACCACCGAGCCTTGGTGTTGGAGAAAGCCGGCGCCGACATTTTCAACGGTCTGTCAGCTTTTGAATCGCGGCTTGACGGGCGCTGGCATTGTAAGACTCGAGGAAATCGACGGGTTTTGACGTTCACTCGTGTGGCGATCATCTTGATGGACTTGTGCTTGTCCATCTCCGTCATTGCTACACATTCCGTCAGCCGCATCGGTCTGTTATGCTGATAAACGGTGTGATATTGATAGCACTCCTGAAGGCGGGAGCCCCAGTGTGGTTTCTATCGTCTAGATCAAAAGGTGGTCTTGCTTTGATTGGTAACAACTAGAGCAACGCGCCCCCATGGAAACGAAGCGTACGGCGGAGTTGCTCCGGCCCATTCCCTTCCTGTTCGAACTGCGAACACTGAGAATTGCGGCGTAAGAATGATACAGCTCGATGAACGAAGAATCTCAGTTTGAGGAGCAGGAAAGGCAGATATCGCCCTCGCAGGTGGATTGGGGATTCATTCAGCTGCTTCTGTTGCTGTGGGAGCAAATAAGGTTCACGTATCGTATGCCTGATATCTCCTCATTGCTGTAGAAGTGGCCAATCGTGGACTTCCTTGGTATACCTTTCGCGGTTAAGCTGGCCGCCTTGGTGCAACAGGTACCCAGGTACGCTATTACGCTTCATGCAGACACTGAAAACTATGCTTTCGATGATGCCGATGTCCCCGCTCATGGACAAGAAGTTGTATACGCGCGGTGGCAATGAGTCACGTAGGTCGACCCGGGTTGCTGTTCATCCAAGCCTCAACCCAGGGTATAAAGCCGAGAGCTGCGGTCGAAGATGAGAAGTCATTCTGCAGTCAACGATATCGACTTCTTTGGACTAGACTTCATCTTCTTCAAACTGCGAAGCCCTTTTACCTCCTCGACCATCACATTCGACATGGCTCACAACGAGATCTCACCAGCTATTCTGTACTGGGGTACGCCAGTAGTGTTGATCAGCACGGCGAACCCTGACGGAAGTACCAACATAGGCCCCATGTCATCAGCTTGGTGGCTCGGGCACGGTTGCATGCTTGGACTCGACGCTTCTTCCCAAACCACGCAGAACATGCTTCGCACAAAGCAGTGTGTGTTGAATCTTGCTTCAGACAACATGACAGCAAATGTCAATGCATTAGCTCGAACCACGGGCACCGATCCAGTCCCAGGCCCGAAACAGGACAGGGGCTATGAGTTTGTCAAGGACAAGTTCGGATGCGCTGGGCTGACTGCCCTGCCTTCGAAGAAAGTGGCACCTCCTGGAATCAAGGAATGTCCCGTTGTCATGGAGGCAGAAGTGGTGGCGGTACATGAAATGTATGAAGGAAGGACCGTGCAAGGTTTAGTGCTGGCGGTCGAGGTCAGAATCCTGCGAGTCAGCATCCACGAAGAACTCAGGCTCAATGGCTTTCGCAATCGTGTCGACGCAGACAAATGGAAGCCGATGATTATGATGTTCTGCGATCTGTACGGGTTGAAGGACGGAAAGCTAAAGCACTCAAGGCTGGCAGAAGTCGAGGAGGAGATGTACAGAGGTTTGACCGAAACGACTGGGGAGATCGATGATGCGGTGGACAACGACTTTGCAGAGCACGTCATCGGCCTGACTGCTTCACACCAATAGAACATCGACTGATATAAGCGCAATGCCGAATTCATAGATTCTTTGCTCAATAGAGAGCGAAGACCAATGCCAGCTCTCGTTTATCAATGTTGTTGAAGAACAAGTGGTACAATCCAGCCTGTTGGAGCATCGTCTTTTCGTCCTAGCGGCGGCATCAAAATATCACCGAGCTAACGAAGGACCGTATTTAGTCAAAGACTTGTAGTGCGTTGGCAGCGAGGTTGACGCCGTGACCACAGCCGGGAAGGGTAAATGTGGCTGAGTCATTCCTAGCGTTGGGAGGCAATGATTGAAGTGATGCAGAGGGGATGTCAGGGGGATACTGGCAGGCACCATCACAGAAAAGATATCGTTCTCTCCATCCACCAAGAGTACGGGGCCGGTAAACTTTGATAACGCTCTGGCTTTAGCACCGGAGGATCCAAGAACGCTGATCAAAAGGAGGACGTCCATCATGGGAAGTCATCAGTGACAAAGGCCGGGGACTTTGCTGTACTGAGGGTTTGACACCTGAAGTGGCTGCGTTATCTGCCATGATGCTAGCTGGCACAGTGATTTTATATTGAATTTCCGAGTCTCTCGAGTGAAGGATTTCCTCTTCAGTGATTGTTCCGCCAAAGAGGTGTTACCTCCTTGATTCTGGGCTCGTCGATCTCGGCATCAATAGAATTCCACTTTACTGACCTAATGTTGGTACCACTGAGCATCCAATGGAGCGCGGTACTTGACCGGAGGCTCTCATATTCGACTTCTGTTGCGGCTCAACCCTATGCCCACCTCGCCTGCAGCGAGTATTGAGTGACGGTGCGATCTGCGAGAGATGATGGTGAATAGGGGGTCGCCCGTCAATTGATGGCAGTGGGTGTTCTGCGGGATTTCTACGGCCGGTACTTGGGCCTGAGCCATTTCTTCCGCACCAGGACGGCAAGTGATATAGAACCATCAGGGCTGCTCACGGTCCAAGTGACATCTGCTGCTGCCAATTGAACTGCGCGTTCCAAGGCCGCTCTTTCTTGCAGCCGAAACAACCTCGCGGACTGGAGATGCTCTCGTCGTCTGTCTCGGGGGATTGCACTGGCGGTTAAATCGATTCGTCAGGCTTGCGATCATGCCTTGAAGCAACGAAATGCTAAGCCGGGTGTTAGGAATATTGAATCGCCCTTTGTTTCCTGCCCATGAGGGAATAGAGGGGCCCTGTTTCTGACAGTCTCACAACCACCCTGAGGCTTTCCAGCCGAGAGCCGCCTGACCTACAATCCTGAGTTGCACCTTGTTTGAAATAGGCCGTAATACTGGCCGGGAGCTCTCGACGTGGCCTGACAAGCAGGGCGCTCTGCCCGAGGGCTTGGTAGTGCAAGGAATTCCTAGGTCGTGGCAGCCTACCCTGTGGGCGCAAGAGAGCCAGAGCAAGGTAGGGCGGGGTGACCTCCAGTCTAGGGCTGTGCAGGAACTTGCCGGCCCGAAAGAGAGGTCAACAGCCTGGATACGAATCTTGTCATGTGCGGTCGTAATGAGCCAGAGTTGCTTTCAAACAAATTCTACGGTGCTTGGGAGGAGGTGGTAGGGATGCGAGGTGGTGGCCCAGTCTGTCCTGTGCGAGCTTGTCACTAGTGCGCCAAACTTGCCCGCGAGATCGATGGCGGAGATCGAAATTTGGCGGCGATGAGCTGCGTCTGCCACATGCAAAGGCCTCAGCAAGGTCTGCATCGATCGAATTTTGTTACAGGCATCGTGTTGCGCCTGAGACAGTTGCCGTTTTACGTGCGCTTCAGGCGTTACCTGATTGCGCCTAGTGCCAGGAGGTCTTGCGACATGGCAGGACTCAGGAGAGGTCTTCCTGGCACCTAGCATTTTGTATATAGACGATCAGACCTGGCCTGAGGGCAGGTACAGGCAGACAGACCAATCCATGACCTATTCACGATCCTGCCAATCCAACACATCGTTTGACTTCCTCCACTCTCAGCCTGTTTCGATCTCTCTTGGATTCCCGCCTCTTCAGAACTTGCAGGCAGATCTCAAATGACCGAATGCCATCCATCCTCTCTGGTCCGACGCAGAATCACTGAATGGTCGGTGGCCTCCCAGTGAATTTCGTCCACCCAATCAACCAACGAAGGGTATTTCAAATCTACGAGGGCAGTGTAGCCGTCCTCACTCGACCTGGAAGAGAGTTGCTGACATGCAGCAGCAGACAAGCTTCAATCGTTCTCGTTGGCACGTCCATAACGCCTCTACTCAGCATATCGCCGCCGGACTCCGAGTTATATCAAACCCATCTGTTCCAGGAAGGACTAGGACCAGCGAGTGGACGAATCAGACTCGGTGTTGGGGAGTAATGGACAAAAGGAGCCCTGATGTGGCCTTCGGCTCTCGAATACCAGATGGACATCAACATTGCGTCTGACAGCTCATACGACCAACCATTTTCAATGCAACTGCCTTCGGTTTCTGACCGATACTCCACGCCTCGCTGGATTGCAGCAAAGACAACTAATCGACGAAGAACGCTAAGCCCAATATCTCTGCACCTTCGTATTCGACCGTGACACGACATCTGATAGCCAGGCAAAAATGGAACTGCCCTACCCACAGGTTGAAGGACTCCGCGGCCAACCTGAATTGGCTCCCTTCACAATCTGCTCGGTCCATGTTCGAGACCCTCCGTCTTTTAGAGCATCCGAAAGCAAGTGGTGGAAGAAGCCATCACCCTTGCTTGATTGGCTAAGAGTTTCGCGACGGGCAAATCATCGTCTCTTTCCGGCACCCATGTCTGAAGGCGCGCCTTTCTACTAAGAGTTTTCCACGTCATTAATGGTCGGGTTTCGAATGTTCACCGCACGGGGAACAATTGAATCTCAAATAGCACGAATATGCGCAGGATTGTTGTCACACCGGATGCTCTCTCGGTAAGCCTAACAGCTCGTTGCGCAGAGCCAGTGCGAATTTGTCCGTGACGGAAATGTTCAGTCTTTCGAGCGCGTTAGGAGGGACAGCAATAACTCGGGGATGGATTGAGGCAGACTTTCAACGCTGACCACCCCGCTCGTAACCTTCCTGGCAAGAATATGCGGTCCACCTGACACAGACTCCCAGCAAATACGAAATGGCTCGTCCAATGGACGCTTGATCCTTCTTGAGATCTGGGCGTCTTGTCGCATTTAACGATTAGGTTTTTCCATCGCCCCGAAACAGTCTCGCTGCTGAGACGCGGGGTAGGAAGTATAATTGCTCGAGGTCATCTGGGACAACATTTCAGAACCCTCCCTGCCAGTTCTACTGGTACTTGGTTAGGTGATTTTCATGCCAGATTTTTCCCAACAGAAGATCAGGATAACAAAACAATGCTCGAAGTTTACTGTGATCCTTGTACGGTTAATAGCCGCAAGGTGTTGGCCGGCCTTGACCTCTTGGGCACCGAATACCACTTCAACCACGTCAACTACTTCACTGGTGAACACAAGGGTCCTGAATACCTGAAAATCAATCCCCATGGCACTGTTCCCGCTGCAGTTGACGGAGAATTGAAGATCACCGAGTCCAATGCCATCCTGCAGTACGCCGCGGATGACTCTGGTTCGATGTACCCAAAAGACCCCAAACAGCGATGTGCCGTGAATCGCTGGCTCCTGTGGGAAGCTTCGGTGTGGTTTCCCAGCTGCTACGTCTATCTGGTGGAATATGTAGTGAAGCCGCTTCTCCAGGCCGAACCTGATCAATCGGTCATTGATGCAGAAGCGCCAAAGTGGCACAAGCACGCCGCAATCCTAGACGAACAGTTGTCCAAATCCAAGTGGCTCGCTGGCGATAATGTCACCATTGCTGACATCGCGGTTGCTGCGCCTATGCACCTGCATGTCGCCCAACACCTTCCACTCGACAAGTATCCCCATCTTACCCGTTGGCTGACGGAGCAAGTCGAGAAGCTCCCTGCTTGGCAAAATACCCAAGCCGCTGTCGACAAAGCCTTGTTGCCAGGTAAGCCTGCCACCACCAATGGCACGGCTGGAGTTGTCCGCGCTAATTTCAACTACACGAAGGACGTTGAGAAGAGGACGGAGCTCTATTTCTACGAGTGCGAGGCTGCAAAAGACATTCACCAGCCTGGGGATGATCCACACGATATGACCGTTACCGATGGGTGGTCCAGAGCCGACTCTTTCTCCGTCGACAAGGAAGGGTTTTCGCTTGGTCAACTGAAGACCGGGTTTGACAAGTGGGAAGACGAGGATTCTGTTCGCGAGCAGTTCTACCCCGAGATAGTGGAATTCTTGAAGAAAACCACCGGCGCCATGCGCGTGCTCGTCTTTGACCATACCATCCGCACCAAGCGGAACGAAGCCAAGAAGCTCACCCAAGAGACCAATACTTCGCAGCGTGCTCCGGTCATGCTGGTCCATTGTGATTACACTGCAGAGTCCGGTCCTGCTCGTGTCCGCCAACTGTTGAAAGATGAGGCTGAGGACCTCCTTTCTCGGCGCGTGGCATTCTTCAACGTGTGGAAGCCGCTTCACCATACGGTCGAGGAGCGGCCGTTGGCCATGTGCGACGTCTCTTCGGCTCCCATGGACGACTTCTTCAAACTGTATCTCCAGTATCGTGATCGCGTCGGCGAGAACTATGTCATGCGATATTCCCCGAAGCATAAGTGGTGGTACTTCCCCAAGATGACGCCCGAACAGGTGATTACTCTGAAGACATACGATTCCGAGACAGATGGGCGAGCTCGTTTTGTCGGACACAGCGCGTTTGAGGATCCAAACTCTCCGCCTGATGCACCGATCCGCGAGAGTGTCGAGATCCGCACAATTGCCTTCTTCTGATGGATCAAGGACGCTGCCGGGACTCACAGTCGGAGAGCGGTAGAGGGCCACTCGCAGCTAGTTCCATCGTCTGCGCGAACCCGGGCATGCCTTCGTTTGCTGTAGCCGGTCGATAAACAATCCTTTCATCTCTCGCGTATGCCCTCGTCCAGAGAGTCTTCCATACTGATCATGTCCCTACGCTCATTATCCCGCGGTGGGGTTAGTCCCACATTGCAAAATCTCAAAGCCGGGACATGATCGAGCTCGCATAAGCAAGTAATGAATACATCGTCCCCGGTTACCGATCTGGCCACTTCCATCTCCACTTCTCCACATCATGGGGTAATTGAGGACGACGGGTGCCATGGTCAACGGGCGTGGGCATTATCGCAGTGTCGCCTCCCCACATTGGCAAAGAGCCAGTAAGTATATATACTCTTTGATGCTGCTGCTCTAGGCTGAGACTTAACATCTCCCTGATCGTCTTGGGCTGAGCACGACGTTTCGCGACCACGACACGGGTGCCGTCATGTCTTGGCCGTCTAGTGCCACGGCTTTGCCGCCACAATATCCAGCCACGTACTCGGGGATCCCAGAGAGGCTCTTGCACAAAGCCATCCGAGAGAAGTCAAGGCTATGGAAGAACCAAACCAAGGAAGACCAAACCCCGAGGGAAAGAGGCCTGGCCATCCCTGCCGGGATTGGGCGTTCGGAATTCCTCAAGGCATTGGACGAGTTGACGACAACCCTCGGAAAGGAGCACGTCGTCTTGAACGATCAACCACTTGAGGATGGATGGTGAGATACTAAGCCCATTACAGCAAACCATGGTTGTCGACCACTGACTTTCCGCGCAGGTATTTGGAGCGTATGTTTATATTATCCACAGCGGGCTGCAGTCGTTGATGTGTCGACTAGAACCCAACACGCACGATTCGTACATGATCATGGATGCGGAAGAGACAGTTTCGTCAGCTTGTGTCTATCCAGGCAGCGTGGAAGAAGTCCAGCTTGTGGTGAAATGGGCAAACCAACACCTTGTCCCGCTATATCCGATCTCCATGGGACGAAACTGTACCTGACGCCTACGATCTTGTCTCATCCCGCGGACCCTCGCTGACATACTGGACAGTGGGATATGGTGGTGCCGCACCGCGGGTACGTGGGTCAGTCATTGTCGACCTAGGAAGACGGATGAACAAGATCTTGGATATCGATCCAGATGACTGCACTTGTCTGGTCGAGCCGGGGGTGTCGTTCTACGCGCTGTACGAGGAGATCAAGAAGAGAGGATATACCATGTGGGTGGATACGCCAGATCTCGGCGGTGGCTCAATCATTGGAAACACTCTCGAACACGGAGTTGGCTATACGCCATACGGAGATCACTGGTCGACTCATTCGGGCCTGGAAGTCGTTCTTCCCACAAGCGACCTGCTCAGAACTGGCATGGGGGCTCTCCCTGGCAACAACACCTGGCAGACGTTCCCTTATGGATTTGGACCGATATCAGAGTATGGCCACAGTCCCAATAGTCCTCTACATGCTGACGGTGTTTTGAAGCGGGATATTTTCCCAGTCGAACTTTGGGATTGTCACAAAGATGGGCGTTGCCTTGATGCCAGACCCCGGCGGCTGCGAGAGTTTCGTGAGTGACCTAGAACTCCAGAGCCTTGAAGTCTCCTAGCCGACTGACTTTCCAAGATGTATACGTTTCAGCGCGAAGATGACCTGCTGCCGTTGGTACGTTGAACCCCTAAAGCATTGCAGAATATTGCTGAACCGGAGACGAGATTGATATTGTTCGGCCGCTGAGAATCGCCAACTTGCTCGAGAATGTCGCCCAGATCAGACACAGCACCATCGAACTGGCAGTTTCTGGCCTTCCGCGCTCGCATTATTATAAAGGCACCGGCCCCATACCTGAAGAAGTTCTGCAGTCCCACCTGGAGGCAACGCCGCTTGGCCGATGCTCCTGGATATACTATGGGACCTCCTACGGGCCTGAGATTATTCGAAAATACAAACTGGATATTGTCCATCGAGAATTCACCAAAATCCCAGGTGCCAGAAGGATCGATCCCCAGACGCTACCAAAGGACCACTACTTCTGGTCGCGGGCCAAAATTGCTGGGGGCGAACCAGACTTTGAAGAGCTCTCGTACATGAACTGGGTAACTAACGGCGGCCATCTGGGGTTCAGCCCTGTCTCGCCAACCCGGGGGCCGGACGCCCTGAAGTTGTGGAAGATAGCCAAGACAAGGCACGATGAGCACGGAGTTGATCTCTTTATCGCATTTTGCGTGGGGCTGAGGGAGCTCCACATGATCAATCTCATAGTCTATGACCGAGGCAGCCCCGAGAGGAGGAAGGCCGTCGAGAAGTGCATGCGGTCGATGATCGAGGACGCCGCGAAACAAGGCTACGGAGAGTATCGTACCCATCTTCTCTTCCAGGACCAAGTCGCCCGGACGTACAACTGGAACGACAACGCTCTCATGAAGTTCAACGAGAAACTCAAGGACGCCCTCGACCCTAACGGGATACTTGCACCAGGGAGGTGTGGCATCTGGCCGGAGCGCTACCGAGACCGAGGCTGGGAGATCGGCAAGGAAGGGAGAGAAACTTCTGAAGGGGGCGTCCGACCGGCCGGAGCAAGTGTGAAGCTATGATAGCGGGAGCAAGCCACGATCCCTTTGCAAGCCGTAGGGAGTCATCTTCTCGCTGTGAAGGCGACTCTGTGGTCGACAAGTGGCGGATGGTGGAATCTCCGGGATATGTAGAAGCAGACTTTGACGACCACAGCGAGTGTCAGGATGCGTGTTCTTTAGAAGGTCGAGGCCTTTGTTGACCGAAACAAGATCAGACACCGTATTCATCCGCGAGCTCGATCCATGCATCGACTATCTTGTCGACATCGCTTTTCTTGATAGGAATGCGGTGAGGCCCATCCCACTCGATGAGCGTCGTGGTCCCGGGCGCACAGTAGTTTTCCACCAGCTTCCTGTGGAGGTGGAGGCCTTCGTCCTTGAGCCCGTGCACGTGCAGCGTCGGGATCTTCAACTTCATGTCCGGACGCTCGAGGATGCTCTCGACATCGGCCGCGTCGGCGAGGCCGCCTGCGGACTGCATCCACGGCAGTTCTTCCGCCTCGTCGCTCAGACTGACCAGCGGAGCCCGGCCGGCGAGGATGATGGCGAACTTCCAGGGCCCCGTCTTCTCCTTGAGCTGCTGCTCGTATAGCATGCTCGCCGCGAGTTTGGCCCCTTGGCTGAAGCCCAACGTCCCTACCCACTCCCCCGTGCCTTCGTCGCTCTCCATGCACCGCTCAACGGTGTACTCCAGCTCGTATTGGCAGGCCGCCGGGTCGATCTCCGGGTGAGAGTCGAGCCAACGGAACCACCTTCGAAACGGGCCCCAATCCGAGTACACGGGGTGTACGCCGACCCCTTCGTCGCAGAAGAAGGGCGCGTCCACGAAGACAAACCGATACCGATTCTTGAGCTTTTCGTGCCCGAGGAACGCGCGAAATTGGGCCTTGAAGATTGTCGCGTTCACACCACCACCGTGGATGCACAGAATGCGTGGTAGGTGCAAGGTGGGATCCGAAGTAGCCATGTGCGCGATGGTCTGCAGTGTCACTTTGCTGAAATTGCCTGTGGGATTGTTCAAGATCGCTGTCCGAGCGATTGCTGCGAGCCGCGCGAATATATTAGGCCCAAACGCTGGGGATTAAGGCCAGCAGGAATAATGTTCGCTGACCGCGTTGCGGGCAGAACGAGCGGTGTCTGCATGCTCTATAAATAGCTTTCATCCACCGAGGCTGCGCCGAGTCATGGTCAAAAGGCTTCAGGGCTCTGACTCCATATGACATCTCTCATAGTGCATGATCGTATAGGCAAGGCTGGGGCAAATATAAGGGCCGTTCCGAATATCCTACTGAGCTGCAATTCCGCGCCAAAAACCACTCCTGTCGTCATATCCAATGAAACTCTCCTTCCCAGCACGAACGTAAGGGTGTCCATGCTATGTCCACTCGGTCTCCGAACGCGTGCATTACTGAACATGTAAGAGGCACCTCGCCTACCTGCCATGAGAGCGTCACCAGTTCGCCACTATAACCCTGTGTTTCCGGTTGACAAAGTGCTATTCTCTTCCGTCAGGCATCGATCTCGAGGCAGAGGTTCAAAAGGCCAAGGATATCCAGAGAATGGCCAATGTCTACGATTTGGAAGGCAAAAAGACTGTGAGAGTGTGGAAGAGACGTGTCTGTGAACATGCGCAGGTATTTAGATCCTACCGTCATAACCTCGTTATACCAAATCATCCCTCGCTATGCGTTGAAACAATCAGATCCTGTTTCTCCTGGGACGCCTCTTTCGTTGATGTGTTTCTCCAACCGTCCATCCACACTCCGGCCACGAGCTAATGAGACACGCGCTCGTGCTCTCTCAAGCTCCACTGGAGACATCTGGCCAAATTGGACACTCCTGCCTAGTCTTTCGTAATGCCTCTCGAAGATGTCGCCGCCGTCGAATGACGCACCAGACGCGAATGGGGAGGTTTGATCTAAATCACCGGTGACAGCCAGCTCGTCATCCCACAGGTTTGCTGCAGCCACGTCAATGGAAGCCAAGCCAGGTCTGCTGTACAGATAAGGCTCGCGGATTTGCGGGGACGTGCCTAGTGACGCCGACCCGGGCACTGCTGGCGGCGCCGTTGCATGTGACGTGTGTGATTCCTTAGATGTATCGCGTGACATAGGCTGTGAGCTGTAGCCTGTAGGAACGGGCTTCGCAGAAAGCCAGCCGCCAACCTCTTGCCTCGGATGAGGCTGCATGTCGGAAAATTCAGAACGACGCGACAGGGAAATATTCTCATCCACCGGAATTGAAGGGACAATCTTTGTTGCTGCGTGATTGTTCAATGCCGTCTGCATCAGTCGGGGCGAGGACGAGGGATGCCTGCTGTGCCTTCGAGCAAGATCTGATGAATCGTAGGTGGGAAGAGACCGACTGGGTAGAAATTCAGTGGTCAAGGGTGACAGTTTCTGATTCGGAGATTTGGCGGACAGTGGCAGACGTCCTTCGTCTGACGTTGGCCTGGTACATTGGAGACGCGTAGGTGATTTTATCCTCCCTCCTCTTGTGGGTGGAGGACTCGCCCGGTGAATCGCTGCCAGAGCCCCCGATGCTTCAGACCCAGTCGAAGTCGGCCTCGTAGTCCGGTCGTCGCTGCCGCTAGTAAAAGATGAGGCTCTGGAGTGGATCTGCGCCTGTTCGTGGGACAAAGTGGGTGGAATTGGTATGGACTTCCACTCTCCAAGGTCCTTTGGTTTTTTGGACTGGGAGGGCCGCCCTTGAAATATTGCCTGTAGAACCGAAGAATGACGGGCAGTGCCGAAACTCGCTTCCGTAGGCGTCGTCACATACATGTCCGAATTGCTCGGGCGTCGACTTCGGTTCGTGCTAGGGATCAAGACCCTAGAGTTGTCCATCCCAGATTGCGACCACCTATCCGTCCAGCTCCCCTCAGACCCTCCATCATCCAAATCCAACCCCAGGTGCATCTGGATTGGCGACTCAGTCTGATCGTCGGCATGTTCGGGAGTCCAGGTAGATGTCCTGGTCAAAGCACTGCTCTGGGTACCAGGACTGTCTGAAGATGTGCTGCTGGCTCGCTCAAATACGGAGAATTGCACTCGATGATGAAGACTGTCGACCGATTGTGAGGGGGATTGACTCTGAATTTCCTTCTTGATCGATCGGATGGTTTCGTGAAGACTGTGCCGTGTCTTGCGCAGCGTCGGCGAGGCGTCGGCAGACGATTTGGGGAAGTGTGACCACAGCCGAGCCGCCTGCGTCTCATAGTCACGATAGTCACGGACAAGACCTCGTCCCTCAGTGCTTTTGATTTTGCCATCTGCGACCACATAAGAGTGGCACAGCATTTTTGAAGCGACGCAGAGCCACCACCAGTAATGTGCTGGTTGATCTGCATATCGAAATTTCAGTTCGTCTCGGAGTACGTTTTGCACAACGCTGTGAATGCGAAGAATGTCAATGCTGTAGGTTATCGACTGGGAAGATGATTCATCCAATCTGCTGTCTGAACGAGGTACAATCATTCCTTCGAGACTGCTAGAGTCATCCTTGAGCAGCCTTGGTTTGTTTCGTTCTGTTTCGACGGTGGTGCCCGTTGTACCAACGGTGTCGATAGTATTACCTCGCGTCCGCCTAGATTCTTCCGGCGAGAAGGAGGTTTTTGCTGGCGTAACACAGTATTCAAGTAAGGTCCGCTCGACCAGGCCGTACCGTATAAGAACGGCGATTGTGTTGTCTAGCTCTTTCTTGAGGCTTCCAATCCGTTCAATCGAACGAATCTCAATCCCAAATTCCTGCAAAACAGGCTGTCCAAAGCGAAGGAGAGCTACGGGTATCACGTGCGCAAAAAAACTGAGCAGCGTAGCCAGATTCACTGCCTCGGGATGCGAATGCTCTCTCAGCGCTGAGACAATATCGAGATAGGGATCCGCAAGCCGATGATCTGAAGTTCCGGGACTGAACTTCTCCAGCGATGTCCCTCTTGCAATCAAAGCGTGGGCGGCGGCATGGACAGCAAGCGGTAGACATTCGTAATGCTTTACCAATTGTGTCGCCTTTTTGGCCTGCATCTCTGTTGGTGATTTAATTCCCAGGTTCTTGTAGAGGAGGGCACACGCATCATGCTGTGACAATGGGAACACCTTGACGCCTGCCGGGTTGAGTAATCTCTGCCGCTTGGCCAGCGTTCGATCCACCGATGTGTAGATGATGTTGTTGCCCGAGCGATCAGGAATATAAGAGACAAACGCTTCAATGTCCTCGTCATTGTCCGTTGTCACCCCGTCAAATATGAGCAGCCAGCCTTCTCGGGCTTCGAACCATTTCCGTACCGTGTCGACAAACCTGGATGATTCATCCCACCCAGGGTCTCGGGGTTCGTCTTTTCCAAGTATCGCGACAGCTTGAGCGATGTCCCAGAAACTCTTTGAGCGTGATTCTTTGGTCTTCGAGTCGACCCAGAAACAGCCGGCAGGATATTCACTCTGGTGCTGCCACAGATATTCTCGTGCAATCTGACTTTTCCCACAGCCGGGCGGACCCCAGAGCAAAACCGCGCACGTCCCTAATGCCCGTCGCTTCTGGTTTGCCAGTTTCTGAGCGAGTTGGTCCATTTCCAATTGAAAGCCAAGAAAAATTGAATTTGGCCGGAAGCCCACCGGAGCAACAACTAGTGAAGTAGACGACGATAGAGTCAAAGATTGTTCAGCCATTCGGATTGAGCTTATAGAGTCCTCTGTAAACCACCATGAGTCAGCGTCAACGAGCTCCATTTCTGGCCACTGACCAAACTTCGCTGATCAACGAGGTGCAGTGACCAGATCATCCTCGACCTCTTCAACCTCATACTGGGGTGAAGTTGACGCGGAGATCTGTTTGGGAGGAGGCGCACTCATTGAACTTGACTGAATGGTCTGGGCAATCCCAGGTGGTGTGACTGTGCCCGAAGCCCCTACGCTCGTCTGAAAGATGCTATCTATAACAGGTCTCAGCATTTTCGCGGTCGCAGTTTGTGGATGCACATACTCACCACCCAATAATTCACGTGCAGCTGCTTGCCTTTCAAACTCAGCCATTCGTTTCTCTTCCTCCCATCGAGAGCGGATCAGCGACTGAGATCCAGTGGCATATCTAAGGCGAAGTAAGCAAGAACCATTTCTCCGCTAACATTTGCGTGTTTTACCTTTGAACAGCCTCAGCGACAACATCGTAGCCAGGGCTTGATTCGTCCTCGAACTTGCACATATGGCTATGAAAAGAAAAGCGGTTTAGTGACCAGATAAGCACATAGACGTTGGTTGCGTCTCACCTGTGGTCTTTTTCAATGCCCATTCTTTCAACTCCTTCGATAACAGGTGCAGCAGAATCCTCCTCAACTACGAATGATCGGGTTCCCTTCAAATCGGTAGGCTTTGACTCATGGAAGAAGTATATGTGGAACCGGCTTATGATCTCAATGAAGAGCCTATTGATGTTCTGCAGCGTTTCGTTGTTGGTCTGCAGGGCATGCACCAGTTGTGGAGATGTGTCTAAGAACTTCTTCGGAAGGGCCACAGCACAGATCTTTTCGAGCAAGGAGCCCCATTTTGCGAGGTCAGACCCATTGTGAGGTGTACCAAGAAAGAGGATGCCATAGGTGCTGACATAGATAGATCGTAGTCGTTCGGTGTGTTGGTGGTGTCGAATGCTCTGGCAGTATATCAAACATCTCTTGACCACCAACCCTCCAAGAGAGTGACAGACGAAGATGATGGGTCTTTCCGTGGCTTTCCTCAACTGCGTCCTATCAGAATATTCCCAGTATAAGACAGACCAGCGAAACTGGCTGTGTCAACTCTTGGAGATCTTGTGCCAAACTTACCGACCTGTTGGCCACCAACCGAGACGCAAGATGTTCTGCATGGTTGTGTATCTTGTCTTTAGAGACGCCATCGGTGAAGGCGGTCACATTCGCGTCATAGCCGTAGGTCAGAATTCGGGGTTTTTGGTCTTCAAGAGCCGCAGGGAGGAGATCAGCGGGCCAGAAGACGTTGGGCTTCTTCGTAGACCAGGTATCGTGGGGATGCCCGTTCAATCCATGCACGAAGACAATGTCGACCAGAGGATCTGTCGCCGAATAGACTTCCGTGAGGCCATATTGTACAATCTGCTTTCCAGCAGAAGTGCTCATCGTTCAAACAGGGCGCATCGGTCAAACATTGAGGAAGCCAGAACAGGAAGGCAGCAGAAGCAAGAGAACCAACATGAAAAGAACAGCGGCCAGGGAAAAGACTCGCCCGCTCACCGGTACATATGTAGGCTGAAAAGAAGCATCTCAGACATGGAGGACTGGGTCCAGGAGTCACATTCACCGTCGAATTGAAAGGGAGGGCGCAGGTGATCTGGGAGCCTGACGATGGGAGTGGTGGGTGCAACCTGCATATTTCCCAGACAAAGAAAATTGACGTGTCCCCAGAAGGCGAGGGCAAGCAGATTTGGGCGGCTCGTCCCTGGAGCTTCGGGTGGCTTAGGCGTTTCAAATCCGTCGGGGATCGCTTGCTAGGCCTTAGCATGGGGCTACCTGCCTTTCTCGGCCCTATTTTGTGGGGGAATTTGTTGCAGCCTCAAATGGCCAAGCTCAGCCGAAGGGGCGAAGTCAGAAAAAGAGGCCCCAGGCGACCTTTGCGGCTGCTGCATTCTTTGCGCAGACTACCTGGATATTGTATTCTGTAGATGCCAGCCTCATAGCTTTGACTATCTGATCTCCACATGTATGGTTGTCACAAGATCACCGCTCTGTTCGTAAGACTCGTCCAATGACACCTGTACAAGGGTAACGGAAGTCATACGGCCAGACATGCATCAGGAGGTGTCTCGGGCAAGACAGGCAACCTCGCTGTGTCATTTTCATGTCTCATCTGCCTTTGAAGACGGGCTTCCGTTTCTCTGCAAATGCTTTCAATGCTTCCATCCGGTCCTCCGTCTTCAGAATCACCTCGTAGGCTTCGTTTTCTGCAGCTTCTCCTCGTTGCCATCCGTTGACTGCACGCATGGCCTGCGTGAGCGCAATGGGACCTCCGTCGCAGATGTCATTGGCAAGCTGTAGACTGGCTGCGAGCACCTTTTGCCGCGCCTTTTCATCCTCTTTCAACTCCTCAGGAGTAATTTCCACAAGTCGATTGCATAGTCCCAGAAAGTATGCTTCTGCTCCACCGACCCGACGACCGGTGAGAATGAGGTCGCGTGCTCGGTTGACCCCGATTAATGCAGGCAATCTGTAGGTCCCCCCGGCCCCTGGGATAATTGCCAACTTTGTCTCGGGTTGGCCTACGACCGCAGAGGATCCAAAAACCCGGAATGTAGTACAGAGTGCCAGTTCCAAACCACCACCAAGTGCAACCGAAGATATAGCAGAGATGGTAGGGACAAGAAGATTAGACAGTTTCGTGAAGGTGTTCCGCATATCGGTCAAGAATTCTCTAGTTCTTTACATTCATGAGCAGGTGTCACAGCTGGGGAGACCGATGCGTACTCTTCCTGTGTCATCTCTTTTCTTTCTCGCAAGTCTGCGCCGGCGCAGAACGCTTTATCTGTGTTGGACGCGATGACCAGTGCTCTTGTGGGACCCGCACCAGCCTCGGCCTCGATCTCCTTGACATGGCGCTTCAAATCGGCGACGAGTCTGCGTGACAAGGCATTTCGAGCGGTTGGCCTGTCGAGGAGAAGAATCCGAATGTTACCAGAGTGCGGCGCCGGGTGGTGTTGAGCTTTGATTGGAGAGGGTTCAGATACAGAGGCAAAGGTGCGGTATTTGAGTTGAGTTGCTCGGAGAGTCGTGCATACGCGCCATGCTGGACGAGTTCGCATTGTTGCAAGTGTTATGCGTGGTAGGATACCGAAGAAACAAAATGTGATTTATATGTACCTCTTGGGGCAGGGCCGAGGTTGCGGGGAAACGCTCACCTGTGAATTGAGCTGCAAGGCCAGTCGGTTGTGTTTGCTTGGCTGACGCCGTCCCCGAGATCTCAAGCATCCAGGAAATCAGACCATAGCATCACTTGACCTCCGTCAACCATGATTTGGATGGTTGGTAACGACAACTGAATATCCCTCAAGGCAACAAGCACCTGTAATCACATATCCTCAATTCCTGCGAAGATTCTCGAGACCGTCGGCGGTTCGACTACTTCAGAATGGACTACAGCATGCTCCATGACACCATTCTGGCCCTCGAGGATTCAACCTGGCGAGCACTAACGAATTCGGGAGCCGCACTATTGCCATTCCTCAGTCGCGATTGTATAATGCTGTTTCCGTTGGGAATGAAAGTGTCGGCCAAGACGGCGCCAAATCTTGAAGATGTGATGAGGAGCGATGCGTTTGTGCCATGGAAGCAGTACAATATGACCGACGTGGAGGTTACACCGTTGGGACCCGAAGCAGCTCAGATCACTTATCGAGTCAACGCGACGAGGCGGCATATTACAGCAGATGACGATACCCGACAGGACGAATTCAAAGCTTTGATCTCGAGCACGTGGAGGAAAGATCCAGAGGCAGGAAAATTCCTTTTGTGCGTTCATCAACAAACACCATATGAAGAGGATTTGGACTTTTAAGGATGTGGCTATCTAAGATGTATGCAGGATCCTGGAATGCGACGCGAAACTTTGGATGGAGACACGGGAGGTTAGGCAGCTTGGACTTAATTGATAGCCGACTTCAAGTGGGTATAATTGTATGCTTGGACGAGGAATTGATTGATCTTCTTTGATAGTATCCTCGGCTTTCGACAATGGGCTCGTGGCTTCGTGACTGGCATGTGAATTTGCCCTGCACTGTGACATCAGCTGCCTTGGGGGCTCCTCACGATCGACCGTGCTGGAAGCCCTGCAAAATCTCACGGATCTCCAGGCCGAGCGAGTCAGTGGCGTCTGCCCGCCACAATGTGGGGAAAGTGAATGGTCACATTTGTGACGTCGCTGTCGAGGCTGAAGAAGGCAGGATCAACAAACCCCCTCCAGGCTTTCACGCCTGTCGCCCATCATTCAAAACTGACTTCATTTCCCTCCAGGACCACAGATTCTACTACGCCCAAGTCGCACCTAAAGACTACAGAAAAGCCCATAATCAGATTGACATACTTATCCAATTTACAACTTCTCTCAAAATGTCCTTCCTCTATCAAACCACTCCCGTGCTTCGCACCGCGGTCCGATCATCGATCGTGCGCTCATCACCTCGCCTCTTCTCTACCACAGTCATTCAGCAGAAGTCCGCCACCGAATCAGTCAAGGATGGTCTCAAGACGGTCGACCGAGCAGTTTCAGATGTCGCGGTTGCCGGCATCGACAAAGGAGGTGAGTTTCCGCCTGGCACTTCACATTCTCGCCTCGCTGACCATGTTCCACAGTCGAACTGAAAGACAAAGCCGCCGAAGCCATCGGTGTCGAAACCCAAAAGGCCGAGGGCACCGCCTCTCAAGTTGCCGGTGAAGCCAAAGGAAAAGCCGCTGAAGTTACGGGCAAGGCAAAGGGCAAAGCGGAGGAAGTCAAGGGCAAGATGTCGTGAAGAACACTGCATGGAAATGTTTCAAGGGTGGAACTAGAATCATCACATCCGATTCATTCATGCTGCTGGGGATAAAGCTGGCGTTTCCAATGTATCAATAATCATCGTCAATGAGAGCATGACTTCGAGAGGAGCGGCAAAAAGTTATGTACAGTACTCGAGTGCCAATCAACTCACAATGTCTGACCTTGCTTCTCCGAGTCCTTCAAATTGGGCATCGGCTGCAAGATCGGATTGGCAAAATGCGTCCGATAGACCTCCTCTTCTTCTTGCTTCAACCCATATTTGGCGGGATCGCGCTTCTCCAGAAAGTGCTTGACGCGGCCCGTTCCCTTGATGTCATTTTCTTCAAAGTGATCCTTCCTTGATGCAAGGAATCGATTTGTTTCCTCGGTAAAGGCTTGTGCCCGCTCTTCTATAGATCCCGTGAATTGTCCCGCTCTTGTGGCCTGTAAAACTCCAGCAATCACCGCAAGGAGGATGACGATGGACGCGAAGGCATTGGGGTGGAGGTAGGTCGCGGGAGGGTCTTTGGGCTTCTCGTATCGTCGATACCATCGTTCCCAATCTTCCCAAGTGGCATTTTGAAATATCGATGAGTCGTCATCGGGACCGAAGCCATACCGTTTCCCTTCAGGATTAGTAAATCCATGTGAGTGTCTGGTGGCGGCCCTTGTAGCACCCCATCCTGCGCCGGATGCATCGTATGCCCTTCGCTTCACCGGATCGGAGAGAATCTCATGCGCCTGCACGACCAATCTGTATCTCTCCAACCTTTCAAGATCGCTCAGTTCCCCAATGAAGGAGCAGTGGCTATTCCTGTCGGGGTGGTAAATCTTGACCAACTCGTAGAACTTGTGTTTCGTGTAGACTGCGTGCTTGTCCAGGCCAAAGATCTCGTAGGGTGAAGGCGTAAAAGGCGAGCTCCGCCGACAGGGCCAATTCATGTTGTCTCGAAACTCGTATCCTCGGTCTGATCCGACGTTCGCATAAGTCTTGGCCTGTGGGGTGAAACGCGGCTCTTGCTTCAGCCGCTTGCGTGGGGAGTTGGGGCATGAAGTACAGAGACAGCATTGCCATGTGCTGTAGGCCGCCGGCAGCCTCACCTTCTTCAACATTATTGATGGCATTTCGGACAGCCAGCAGAGGGAGTAGATAAGGTAGTATCGAAGGGGTCATGTGAGTGCGGAGAGGGTGAAAGTCTTGCATGTCATCGGTGTTTAGCTCCATGTCAGTCGGGAAAGTTTGCCGATTCAGTCGCTAATTTTCTCCATGAGGTTGATCACGGCGGTGTATGCCTAATATTATTGAGTACTTGGCTCCAACAGATCTTCAAACAAATGCCGCGTTCAAAATCACCTCGCAGAGACGACTCACGGGACGGGCGTCGACATCGAGACAGGGATCGTGATCGAGGTACAAGGGACTACCACCTTGACGAGAGAAGAAAAAGTTCACGAAGCCGCGATCGAGCCAGGAGAAGGTCAACAAGTTTGGATGGTAATAGTCGGAGAAAATATGATGGACGCAGGTCGCGATCGCCCCGTTCACAGCGATCGCCAGAGAAACCAACGCGTCCGAGAGGATCTCTCCCCTCCCAAGCTGATGCATTCAACACCAAGGATGGCACAGCCCCTCCAGCAATCCAAAAGCAGAAACCAAATTTCCGTCCATCTGGTCTTTTAGCTGCTGCCTCAAACACAGTCGCAACATCAGCTGGCGCAGTCGTCTTGAAATACCACGAGCCCCCGGAGGCTCGAAAACCACCCTCTTCACAACCCTGGCGACTATACATCTTCAAAGGGGAATCGATAGTCGACACGCTGGATTTGTATACCCAATCTTGCTGGCTCTTTGGCAGGGAAGTGTCTGTCTGCGACTACACCCTTGAACATCCCAGCTGCTCCAAACAGCATGCCGTCATTCAATTTCGGTATGTTGAAAGAAGGAACGAGTTTGGAGATAAGATCGGAAAGGTGAAGCCGTATGTGATCGATCTCGAAAGCGCCAATGGGACAACGGTCAACGATGAGGATGTGCCGGAGGGAAGATACGTCGAGCTGCGGGACAAAGATATGATCAAGTTTGGCCATTCCACTAGGGAATATGTCGTGCAGATGCCCTCCGGATAGATACGAGGTACCAGCCTGACAAGAGCGATTCTTCCTTAGGGGCTGAAAAGTAAAGACGGCTGATCCAGGTCGTGACAAGAGCGTAAGGCCAAGAGGCCACAGTCGTTCCCTATCAAACCGGTGTAAAAGGCGCCGAAAGAAATCGAAACGATCGCGCCGAAGTGAAGTAAGTACCTACGTTACTAGTCCCAAGAAGGTAGTAGAGAAGGGTTAGAGATAGTGGAGTCTTCCTTTAGACTAATAGATATCAATCCTGTGTGTTTTCAAGCCCCTACCTATTGCTCGTTGACGCGCTGACCTGAATCTAGAGTACCCGAAGATGATGAACAACCCCATTCTGCGGCCCTTGGGAATACCGTTCTCGCACCTCTCGTTGAGGACAGTCATACATTTACGGACAATTTCAATTCTCTAGTACAGCGTGAGTCTTCCACCATTAGTCATCCCGTCCGTAATGAAGATAATGGGTAATGAAGATAACGGGTAATGAAGATAATGGGTAATGAAGATAATGGTAATGAAGATAATGGTAATGAAGATAATGGTAATGAAGATAATGGTAATGAAGATAATGGTAATAAAGATAATGGTAATGAAGATAATGATAATGAAGATAATGGCAATGATCAAGCTGTGTACAGTTGTGCTGAGGATGCGCTCCACAAAGGCTTGGCCTTCGACGTCAACAACTGCTAAATGCATAATAACTGAAATCGGAGTATTCCGTGAGTACACGTTACGCTGGTGAGGCTCCGGATCAAGGGGTTCATTGTGGAGCTGCTCGCTAACATCTAACATCGAGCAGGATCAAGGTTCCAGGCTTCCACCCGTCAACAATATTGTCTTCGATATCCTCTTTGCCTTCCGTGCATACTGCAACCTATCTCCTACGGCTTCTCTAGCGATGGGTCATGTTCGATGGGAATGACTTGGAGTAAAATGGGCGGACAAGAATGCTACACATTGCTGGAATGACACCTGGGACGGCGCAAGCACAGCGGAAGCGGTCGAAGTTCCAGAACCCTCTGTATGCTGGAAACAGGAGACCACCCCCTCCCTACTGATGTGACACTTCCGGAGGAGGAAGCCGGACCTCATGCTTATCTACAAGAGTGGGATAGGCTTTTCAATACCTATAATCCTCCATTCTGCAAGTGCTTTCTGTAGCGGAGCGATGCCGTTTCTCAAGTCCCCGGATGCTACATTATGATGCTGTAGAAAACAGCCCTTTGGAGCTGCGGCCAAAATGGATGAACTTGAGTTCGACGGAACAGCAGATTCTTTTACTCAAAGCTTTTCATGCGCTACATGAGCTGCTGGCTGCATGACGTGCAAGTCCTATGAAAGAGCCTGCGGAAGCGCCATCACAATACTCTGAGCCTGCATGAGTTCTGACGGTGGGTTATACTCAAAACTGGAGCTACTGGACGAACACACTCGTGCTCGAACCTACCAATCCGCGATCTTGACATGGCACTGCGCATTGGCACTGAAGAAAAATATCGAGGCAGTTACTCCTCTGCAACACTAATGAAGGCGGTATCCTTCGTTCGTTGTACCAGCGACTGTTTCTCTCGCACCTTCTGTCTTGAGCTTCCCTGGCGCCGGAAATAATCCATCCAACCGCAACGCTAACGTCTGGTCGGTACTTGTGTGATATCTGGGCCTGAAGTCTATGGTAACTGGTGGTCTGGCTAGAGACCCTAGTTGATTTCAGAAAGTCTGCCCACGAAACATTCAAAGAGAGAAGCGACCAAGAAGCGCAACTGAACAACCATGCTCATGGTTTAGGTGTCTTGCCGATGATGTCGATAATGGAGGATTCGGGCTTGAGCACACGTGGAGATCACTGCTCAAATATACAATGCTCCCACTGGCGCTCGGTCGGACGCATTCTTTTCTCACAAGCCCACCTGGGGATCAATGGAGCGCGCCACTTCAGTCTCCACTCGTTCTCATGCCAGAAGCCAGGCGTTTCAGTCTTTCGAACAAGACGACAGGTCGTTACAAGTCCGGGGTGCTCCATCCCGCTCAGGTTGACGCTATCGCTTGATGCAGCTGTCAGGCGCTGTGCCATCGAACGCGGCGAAACGCAAACTCCAGCAAGAAGGTGGTGTACGCATCTCGAACAGCAGATGGTGCTGCTGAGTGTTCGACCAATCGCACTCATTTCAATCGGTAGGACCTTGGTGGTCTTCAATGCTTTTGGATATTCCAAAGCGTACCTGCTTTGAACGGAGAGCAGCGGTGTGAATTTTGAGAGTAGGATGAATACGAGACTCATGCGTTTATTCTGCGGATGTCGAGCGGAGAATCTTTAATTACCGAGTACAGCAGGGCGATTCTCGGTGAGGGGGATGGCCAGTATTCCATTACACGCAACCGCATTTCTGTGCGAATGCCTCATCGCTCCTCTCATTGCATACCTAAACGGGCGCCTCTGGTCCACTATATCTCGATGTCTCAGATTGAGTCTGGGAGTTGGGACCTACCGGCTCCAAATCGGGGCTCCGTGAATGAAGCCCATCGGCATCTGCGGAGCCGTGTTAGCTATGCTGGAACCTGCAATCTTTCGTTGCTTATTGCAGACATGGGCTGGCAAGAGGCTGCCGCAGGCAGTCGACGGCGGGCCAGGTGTTCAGAAGATGGTTCTTGTCGGTTCGGGTTGTACTAGTTTCCACCAACACGAGCGTGGTGCCGGTTTACACCCGTTTCATCGCAACATTGTCCTCAGCCGGCCTACACCCGCCTCGTTGTTACGACCTCCATATATCTCTCGGAAAACCGGCTCGAGTTCAAAGGCGGGAGCGCTTGGAAGAATAGAGGATGTCGGCACCTTTCTCGTTGATATAGAGCCCACGATTGAGAGCTCGCTTGGAGTCTCGCCGCCGCCGCTGGGTGGGAGGTCGGCGCGATGCGCTAGTTGAGACTCTCCGTGGAAGTATGATACCAAGTTTACTGCCTTCTTGGCTACTCAATATCGCAGAGCCTTGCATCGTAAAGTATTTACTCCTCCGCCTTGGCACCAATCAACTGTCTAGTTACAGGGCTGCAATGCGGCACGACGACGCTTGCTCCTCATCACGCCTTTCGACTTCCGGATAGTGAGTCTTGCTTGCCAACCAATCAACCTTGCTCGAAACAACTCCTCTTGGCAAGATGACAATGTTCAATGCACCGCCAACAGTCTCTAATACCAAAGCCACGGATGGCAGAGCTCACTTTTAGCCCCGACCTTTGACTTTCGAAATGTGGAATGTCCTTTACCTTTACGAGCTGCATTCTCGGTTGTGAGGTGGAAGAGTCCGGGGAAATAACATGGGAAGCAATCCGGGGAAATATTCGACTCGGGTACTTCAATGAAGTCCTCCGCTCGCTTGACGGTCGAGGGCAATCCTTCGACTGCTGTCTACTCGTCTGTCTTCGTCCAACTCGGTGGGATCTCTCCAATGATGAAGCTTGTTTCCTCTTGGCTCCTTGGCCTCCGAGGCTTATGCGTCCTTGCTGCAATGACTGAATGCAATATAAATTCCATGCAGGAGTTTGTTGCAGGCCCTGGAACGGCTACCGTGACCTTTGCACAAGCCCTGCCGCAGAACAGCACATTTGGAGGCGGCGCTGCCGATCTTGAGTTTCCGGTGAACGACACAGGTCTGCCAGCACTTTGCGTGGTAACGGTCAATGTTAAATCCTCCAGTACATCCTCCTACAATTTTGGCCTCTTTCTGCCGCAACAGTGGAACAATCGCTTCATTGCCACCGGTAATGGCGCATATGCTGGTGGCATCAACTGGAACGACATGGGTACCAATGCCCGCTATGGGTTTGCATCCATGTCAACTGATACTGGACACGTTTCGGGATCCTTCGATGCGAGTTGGGCACTCAACAACCCCGAGGCTCAGTTTGATTGGGGCTTTCGGTCTATGCACGGCTCAGTCGTCTACTCTAAGTTGATCACCAACGCATATTACGGGACAAACATCAGTTATTCGTACTATTCGGGCTGCTCTACCGGTGGTCGACAGGGCTTCAGGGACATTGAGCTGTATCCTGAAGACTTCGATGGAATCCTGGCCGGGGCGCCAGCATGGTGGACGACACATCTCCAACCAGACAATGTCCAAGTGGCACTCCACAACCTTCCTGTCGACGCTCCTACTCACATCCAGTCTTCTCTCTTCCCCGTGATCGGAGCTGAAGTCCTCCGGCAATGTGACCCTCAGGACGGCTTTACAGATGGAATCATATCGGATCCCGAGGGATGCAATTTTGTCCCAGAAAGGCTGCTTTGCACCCCTACTTCAAATAAGAGCGCTTGCCTTACTGGCCCCCAGTTGGACACTTTGTATCATATCTACAACGACTGGTGGGAAACGAACCAGACATTCGTCTTTCCTCACTATGAGCTTGGATCTGAGGCTCAGTATGGTTTCCTCCTTAATAGTAAGTCATACTGTGAGCGATTTCTTCTGTAATGAGTGGATTTGAAAGAGAACAATGCCGTAGAGCTCGGACTTCGCCTCCTCACCAGCTCAAGCTGTCCTTACTTCATAAATTGGTCCTGTCACAGAGCGTGTCTTGCAGATTGGAACTATTGCTGACGTCGAGAACGCGTTACAGCGGACTCTGGAACTCCGACAGAGCCAGGAATCGCGTGGATCCAAAACTGCCTTTATAACGACACGACGTGGGATTGGCACGACTTCACCTACCAGGTGATCTTGGATGCAGACCGAATCAATCCCGGGCAGGCCAACGTCGGGTTCGATTTCACCGGATTCTATAAGCGCGGCGGCAAGATCATTCAATATCATGGCCTTGCTGATGGCCTGATTCCTACTCCGAGCTCCGAGGTTCTTTACAAGAACATCTGGCGTACCATGGGGGCCGCAGGTATTCCTCTTGATGATTGGTATCGCTTGTTTCTCATCCCCGGCATGCAGCACTGTCAGGGTACGGCGGTTGGTGCACCCTACTACATTGCCTCTGCTGGTCAACCTTTTGAGCTAGGGCAGGATGTCTGGAGTGTGCCGGGGTTTAGCGATCCAAAACACGACGCCCTGCTGGCGCTGTTGACGTGGAGAGAAAACGGCACCGCTCCCGAATCCATCATCGGCACCAAGTTCATTAATGAGACTGTCACAGCTGGGGTCGAAAGGCAGAGACCAATATGCATGTATCCGATGCAGGCTAAATATGGTGGTAAGGGAGACCCAGATCTAGCGGAGAGTTGGCACTGTCAGCTGTTGTACTAGGGGAGGACAAGTGTTTGAGTCGTGGCTAGCTTTTTTGACAGCACCATGGAGGGCGTTGTATACAAGGCATAAGATTGTTGCCCATGGCTGCCGATATAGAAACTCCATAGCCATAACGTCCTTCTCCAATCATCTTGGTTGTTGATTCTGTAAAACCTCATCTTGCTAGTACTGCTAGGTTGCCAGACTCCCGGAAGGAGGGTTTCCAAGCGCAACCCTAGAAGCAAGGCTGGAAATTGCAGCTCATCAACCTGGTGCAAAGCATTGCCAAGGAACAGCGAGTCAGTCCTGGGAAGAGGTGCTCGGTCCGAAGGTACAACAGCCGAGGATTTCCCAGTCCGTCAAAGACTCGAGCAAGGATGGATTTCCTCGGCTTCTTATTTTGAATCACACATCGCTTGTCATCATAAGCCACCCTGTGCAACATGCGCGATATCGCATCTGGCAAGAGCAAGGAATGGGGCAACGCCCTCTACAATCAAGCACATGGGATAAGCAGAAAAACCCTATAAACCTGGATGAGTTTGCTACAAAACTTGCCACCGGCATCCCAGCGATAATGATAGACCGCCCACTGTTGACCACGTGCTCTTAGAGTGGCAGCTTTGCAGAGATCGTACCCAAATAATGGTCCCGAAGACCTTCTTTGGAAACTGGAAAGGGGAGGGGGATATTCGTTGCTGTAGTAGCCGCTGTCGACTAACAGCTTGCATCTATAGACAGCAGCCCTAATCTAGTTTTGTAGTTTCCACGACAGTACTGATGTCGCGCTGTACTTTGTCGACGTCGATGTATGCTTTACCCGTACGGACCAACTCGACATCGGGTACATCAGAGTGCTTCTGTCCTTCAAAGAGAGCATCGATTTCTTCCAGGGTTCGACCTTTCGTTTCGACCCAAAAGACAACCTGAGGGATCAGCAAAGTTGAGCCAAAGCAGGAGAGAGCACTCACAATCAGCACTACGACTATTATATCCCATGATCCGTTGATGATGTACATCTTCCAACCAATGTTATTCAAGCCAATTGGCATAATGAACACCAGGAGGACACTGGTAAGATTAGCAATTAGGCCACGATCGATAGAAATGGACGATGAGCTTACGCGAGGGCATTCAGCATGAACGATGAGAACGCAAGGCCATTTGCTCGAATTGCGTAATTCATGATCTCGGGTGGGTAAAGGTAGAGCAATGGCGTCCATGCGATCGAGTAGAAGCCTTGGAACAAGAACATTACGGCCACGTCCCCATAGACGAGGCTGTTCGACGCTCCATCGGGGTTGTCGGCATACATTTTTGATAGCCCTCCAATGATGAACAGGCATAAGATAAGTAGACACTGGGAAAGTATCGCGGTGGGTTTGCGGCCCCATCGCGCAGCCAGCTGTGTACCACCGAGAGCACACGCGAGACACCATACGTTGAGCACCACATTCTGCCGGGTTAGCTACGTCCGCACTGTTTTTATGGACGGGACTTACCGCTTTGAGTTGATCGTTCGAATTTGTGATACCAGCAGTGTCCAGTTCGGGCCCAAGGTAGTACGATGCAATGATATTCCCTGCGATGCAGGAGAAAGGCCCTGGTGACATACCTATCAGGAGGCGTTTTCGCGAGATTGGGTTTTTGATGGTCTCTTTGAATGTCATCAGGTTCTCCTTTTCCTAGCTCAGAGTGTCGATAATCTCCTTGTAAACTGCAAGTATAATAGGGTCACTCAGGTCACCGTTGGCGTTCGTCTGTGCGATAGCTATGCGCCCTTCTTCATAGAGGTCATTGTGTATCAACCAACGCGGGGATTCAGGACTATAGAGTCAGTTTCCCGCTCAGTGAGTGGAAGTCGACAGCTGATATACTTACATGAATGGCAAGATGATGATGCACAATAGCGAAAAGATGCCTTGGAACAAAGAAGGCGCCCGCCAGGCCCATGTCGACTGCCACTGACCTGTACCTAGAGTAATTCCAGCAGCAATCAAGGCGCCGACGCTGTGGAATCGTCAGTGAAATTGCTCTTTCAAAACAAGTCAGCCTTACTAGTAAAAATCATTCAACAGACCCACGCCCCATGCGCGGTACTTGCTGGGATAGGTCTCTGCCAAGTAGACACTGCCGGCAATACCGGAAACAGCAGAGCCAAATCCCAGAACAATGCGCGCGACGACAAACATAGCAATGTTTTGCGCAGCGGTTTGCAGCAGGACACCAACCAGGGTCAGCACTGAGCCCCAGAACACAGCTGGACGTCTGCCGAGACGATCTGCAATGATTCCGGACACCAATGGGCCGAAGAAACCGCCAATGAAAACAGATGCAGTGTTGAGCCCAGTGGTTGCGGCATTGAGATTGAAGTAATCCGTGTACGAAGGTAAGATATTGAGGCCATTGAGCATGGACCCGTCGTAGCCACCCGTCTGAATTCTGTCAGGACAATCACGAAAGATGGAGGGAGATACTCACCGCCGACTGTACCATAGAGCAGAATATTAAGAAGATGGAGAGGGTCACCGTCGATTCGGGCACCCAGGCAGGGAGCCAGGTACCTGTAGCGGTTTTTCGCAGCATGTTGTCGCCGTTGCTCAATTCTTGACCCCAAAGGCGTCTTGGTCCAAGACAGAGCGGGAGGTTAAAGCTGTGTCACTCAATAAAACACGATGCGGAAACCCGAGTGATAAAGCACCGAGAGGCGATCCGCCGGCCCCTCCATAAGGTCACATCTCGTGCCTCTCTGGATGAAACCCAAACTGATAACGATCTTCACAGTCGCCGCTATGGAACGTCGATATGCGGAGAACAGCGGCAGTGGCAAAGAGCCGAGATGTTGTATACTTGTAGGCAGATGGCCGGCATATCCTGTCACCCTCGAGTCTTCTAAATCAAAGGCGGTTGGGCAGGAAGCTTATCACGAAGAGATCTCCAGGTGATAAACCATTTCCGGCTCGGCCCAGGTGGGCCAGGTGCTAAGCTTCTGACCGGCATGAGCTTAGCTTCAAGCCCTCGGAGTCAAAGACGACAGCTTTAAAAGGAAGGAGGATAACCCCTCACTCATGCCGGTTGAGATGGCTGAGGCAGAACTGCGACCATGGATCAGCGGCCGGCGATTGTGATCGCAGGCCTCGGGTGCGAGACCTCAATTTTCACACCGTCCAGAACGCATTTGCCTGCTTTCCATGCAAAACGCGGCCTTGAAATCATCGACACATATCCCTTCATCGACAAGGATGCCCCTCTCGGGAAGAGGGCGGATTGGCACGGAGCCCTGATTGCTAGGGCGCTGCCAGGAGGGGTTGTAACGCGTGCTTCTTTCGAGGAACTCGCCGGCGAGATCGTTGAGCGCCTGAAAGCGATTGTATCGTCAACCACTATCCATGGACTATGGTACGATATCCATGGCGCCATGTGCGTCGAAGGCATTGACGACTCCGAAGCAGAGCTTCTGCGGCGCATCCGACAAGTTGTTGGTCATACCGTGGTTGTGTCAGCGTCCATGGACTTGCATGGCAATGTAAGTCGCGAACTGGTGCACGAGACAGACCTCATCACCTGTTACCGCACAGCCCCGCACGTCGACGTGCTTGAGACCAAGGAGAGAGCTTGCCACAACTTGGTCGAGCTACTCACAAAGGCTCCTGCTGGAAGGAGGGCAGACGGCAGTCCTGTGCTGCCACTCAAAGCATGGATCCCTATTCCAGTCCTACTTCCAGGCGAGCAGACTTCCACGCGTGTGGAACCCGCGAAGCATATTTATGGGGCCGTTCCTGGGGCAGAGTCAAAGTGTGGTGTGATCGATGCTGCGATTTGGGTTGGCTATCCATGGGCCGATGAACCACGAAACCGTGCGGTTGTCGTTGTAACGGGCTGGAACGAAGAGACGATCCAGCATGAAGCGGAGAACCTTGCCCAAGTTTTTTGGGATGCGCACGAGGACTTCGACTTTGTCGGGCCAACAGGATCCTTCAACGAGTGTCTCGACGAGGCTGTAGCATCGGACAAGCATCCGTTCTTCATTAGCGATTCGGGCGACAACCCAACCGCCGGAGGAAGCGGCGACATGACCTGGGGTTTGATGCACCTGCTGGCTCGTTGCGAGTTCAAACACCCTTCCGGTCCAACGGTGATTTACGCCAGTGTTCCCGGTGCTAAAGCAGTCCGCACGTGCATCGATGCAGGGATAGGTGCAACCGTCACAGTGACCGCCGGCGCTGAGGTGGATGATATTCATTCGGGGCCAATCACCCTTACGGGTCGAGTGCATTCAATCAAACACGGAGACAGAGATGCTCGCATCGAGGTTGTCCTACAAGTAGGCAATGTCTTTGCCATCCTCACTGAACTCCGTAAGCCGTACCACCACGAGCATGATTTCACGGATCTCAACCTCAAGCCTCGGGAAGCGGATATTGTCATTGTCAAGATCGGTTATCTGGAGCCAGAATTGCATGACATGGCGGCTGACTGGAGACTTGCCCTCTCGCCTGGTGGCGTGGATCAAGATCTGAAGAGACTTGGGCACAACCGCATCCACAGACCCATGTACCCTTTCGACAACTTCGACAAAGCACCTCACCTCTCGGCCCGCATCATTCAACCTTCGCATGGACCCCTCTCTGGGATATACGAGTGACTTTCCATGTGACTGAGAAACTCTTCGGCCCAAAGTTGTTACAGCCAGTCGTCGCCTTTCATGTGTAGGACCTTGTCGCTCAGTTCGAGAATTGGATTACTCCAAGGATTAGGAAAGGATGATACAAGACAATTTCTGCCTGGCTATTTGGCGGTCCACCTTTGAGTGGTCTGGTCTTCCGAATTCTATTGTTTAACTCATAAGAGACCAGCGAACGCGCGATGCCCCTGGCGTCAAAAGGTTTAACCGCCAAACATCGGCCATGGCCTCTCATTTTATGTCCTTCCCCGTCATATCCTCCATGTTGTCAAGGTGTGCTGGGTCAACTGTGAAGGCTCCCGGTTCTCTCCGGAAACATTCCGGCATTGGAAATTAGGTTATCCCCTTGCAGGCCCCAGGAAATGGTTCGACGCACAAGTAGCAACCATCTCCGTCTTATACAACCTAGTATCCAACCTACGCACTCGTTGCCAGAGCTCTTCTTTGTCTACGCTTTGACGCACAAACTCAAGCCATCTAGCTATGAAGCTCCTCTACCCTACCTCCTTGAAGCTGGACGTAACAAGTCTTGAAGGATTTGGCGTCACACTACACGCCTACGACGTCCACAAGCCAATCCCCGAGGAACTCATCGACGCAGAAATTCTGGTGACTTGGGCCAACACCAATCTTCGTGATGCCGCCCAACGGATGCGTAACCTTCGCTGGATCCAGTCCCTCTTTGCCGGCCCAAACGATGAGCTCTCAGCTGGCTTTCCATCCAACGTTATTATGACCGCCGGCACCAATCTGCACAATGAGACTGTTGCTGAGCATGCACTTGCACTGCTGCTCAGCGCCGCTCGCCGTCTTTACGAAATGCGGGACTACCAGAACCGGGGCAAGTGGCCAGGGCACCTAGGCGGGTTCCTCCCTGACCGACCGAAGGGATCATTTACTTCATTGAAGGGCGCGAACATTCTCATCTGGGGCATGGGAAATATTGGCCGCACGCTTGCACCGCATTTGACAGCCTTGGGCGCAAGCATTCGGGGAGTTGGGCTGTATGAAGAAATCATTGACGGGATCCAAGTTCAGACCAACGCGGCCTTGCCAAACCTGCTCCCAAAGACAGATGCTCTAATCATGATTCTACCAGGCTCCAAAGCGACCTGGCATGCTCTCAATGCAGAGCGACTCGCCATGCTACCCAAACATGCCTGGGTTATCAACGTCGGGAGAGGGGTCTGTGTGGACGAGGACGCCCTTGTTCATGCACTGAGGAATGGAATAATTGGTGGTGCAGCCCTGGATGTTTTTCACAAAGAGCCACTCCCTGAATCGTCTCCTCTTTGGAAGGCACCAAATCTGATTATTTCGCCCCACGCTGCTGGAGGCAGACCACGCTATTCGGAAGTGCTTATTGCGGAAAATCTGCGCCGCTTCCTCGCTGGACAACCCCTCAAACATGATGTGACTGCAGGAGGGATGTATACAACAGCGAACGCGGGGAAGAACTCAACTCTCAAGGCTTCGTTGTAGACGGAAGACCGGACTAAACGCTCCAGAAAAAGATAACGGGGGAGAGAAAATGCACATGGAACTTGGGGGACGAACAGGGTGATTCAGACGTGCAGTAACACGGCTGACCATTCTGGGTGGAGTCTAATTCAAACACCATTCTCTATCCCTGGAACTATTCGTATTGAACTCCTCAGCAGACAAGATTACTCCTTACCTCTCGTCAAACGCTGCTAGCTAGCTTCTCCGCCTTGTCCTACTGTGGTTCTCTGCGTGTGATTTCCCCCGGTAGCTCCGGGTCCTTGCCCAGTCCTCAATCTGCAAGCCAACAACAAGAGAACTTCGTCCTTCAGATTCCGAATTCTTCCACTGTCTCTCAGCTTGGATGCTCTTCCAACGTTTTGCCGAGACGGCTAGGCTGTCCAAGTCGGTATACCAAGGACACCGGACCGCTCATACGAATCATTCCCTCATTCCCAGGAAGGCTAAACGAGATCTTCTTACACAGAACAGTTCTGTTCAATCCACAGCGTACAATAGTCCGACTTCACTAGCACGAGTTCCTAGTCCTCTGAGCAAGTGGTTAGCCAGCTTTCGAGACCGACCGGAGAGAAATTTCTAGTTGAAGATAGGGCATTCCGAACCAATGGTAGCCATGTGAAGTACAGGCACATAGAGGCCTTTGTTAGTTGAGTCTCTGCTCGTTGGCCCCAACTACGGGTATCAGCGATGGAGTGAAATGTTTCGTCCTACAGGGTGTCGGAAAAGTTGGCTTGAGATCCAAGGACAGATATGATTCTAGCTGCCACAAATATCTCTATGATGGTTGCGGGAAGAAACCCCGTTTCAATGCCTCCACATTCAACGAAGGAAATGACCTTTTGCCGCAGCCAGCCCTGCTGAGTGAGAGCCTCAGGTAAGCACCAACTTCTTGGATGATATCTCTTCAGTGTCGTCAAAAGTACCCACTCCCGCTACCTTGTATATCACCATCCTTTCAACATGGCGAAAATTCCCCGGATGCATCGCGATATCTGTCTATCTCTGCTTACCTTGAAGCTACCAGAAGAAGAGTAGTCGTCGGGGGGAGATTTGCGGGGAAGGGCTTAATTCACAACACGCGGGGCGCTAGTCACCAACGCACGGAGTACTCTGCATACACTAGTTGACTGCAGAGTGGACGATTGTCAACATCATCCATTAATGCTCCCCAGGATGGTCAGTCTCTGCAACGCTCTAGACGCCACCGGACTTCTCTGTGTTATTATCTAGCTCCACGGCTTAGTTGACTCATCGCGATGGTTCCCCTCTTTCTGACAGGACGTGATACCTCTCGATACGAGTCCTACGACTGAAAAGGGTAACATTCTATCAAAGCACACTCCTTTCTCTCCAGTGCTCCGACTTCTTCCGGAGTTGGTTCCGGATTTGTGGTCTCTATCTTCAGAAACAAGGAGTCATCCGAAGCTCTACGCGCTCCTCATTGCTCATCTTGGACGGTAGAATATTTACCCCCGGTACACACTTGAGAACTCCGAACGGGATGGTTGCCAGACGACCTTGTAACTCCACATTCAGGCAGCTCAGGGGTTCATGTCGCGACTCACTGACCACCACTTGATCTCAAAATGGAGCCGAGAGACATACCTATATTCAACCTTCGTCACACATTGTTTTTCAGCATTACTTCGTTGCCCGTGGTGCACGAGCCGACCCTTGAAATACTCCCCTTCCGACCAAGTTTCTTTGATTGCATCTGTAAACGAAACAAAAATGGATTCGCAGATTCGGACCAGTCCCATTCTCCTTGCTCCAGGCCCGACTGAGGTCGACCCGAAGGTCCTCAGGGCCATGTCCTCTTTTGCAGAGTCACATTTTGCTCAACCATTCTGCAACACCTTTGGCGATGTGTTGACGATGCTTCGCAAGCTTTTCCAGAGTCAAGACCCGAATGCTCAACCCTTTGTCATCGGAGGTAGCGGTACCCTCGGCTGGGACTTTGTGGCGACAAACTTCATTGAGCCTGGAGAGCCTGTTCTTTGTCTCAGTACCGGGTACTTCTCTGATGCCTTTGAGATGTGTCTCGCCACGTACGGAGCCCGTACCAAGAGAATGACGGTACCTATCGGAGCTGCCCCAAACATTGAAGAGGTCGAGAAAGAATTGAGAAGGGTTCGATATAAAGCCTTAGTTGTGACCCATGTTGATACTTCGACTGCGGTTTTGACGCCGTTGAAACCTCTTTCGGAACTTCTGAAACGAGTGTCTCCCGAGACACTCTTGATTGTCGATGGAGTGGCTAGTGTTGCGTGCGAAGAAATTCAATTCGACGCGTGGGGTATCGACATTGTTGCTACAGGGTCACAGAAAGCCATTGGCTGTCCTCCTGGGCTCAGCATCATCATGGTTTCGGCGCGCGCTCTGGAGACTGCTAAAGCAAGAAAAGCACCGGCAAATACCTGGTATGCTAGCTTGTCAAGGTGGCTGCCGATCATGCAGAACTACGAGAAAAAGCAATCGAGCTATTTTGCAACACCCCCTACTCAGATCGTTCATGCTCTTCATGCCTCGCTGACGTCGATTCTCTCACGCCCTCTCTACGAGAGATTTGAACAACACAGGCAGAAGAGTGCCCATGTTAAAGCAGTCGTGAAAGAATTGGGCCTGACCCAGCTGACGACAGAGCCAGAGTACCAAGCCAATGGTCTCACTGCATTCTGGCTCCCCGACGGCCTGTCATCTAAAGAACTATTGTCACGAGTCACCGAGAAAGGCTTTACTATAGTTGGCGGCATGCATAGAGAGGTCGGTCATAAATATGTGAGAGTTGGGCATATGGGATATAGCGTCGTGGGCGAGCCCGAGAGACATATTGACTGTGGTTTGGAGGCTCTCAAAGAAGCAGTCACAGAATACTATGCTAGCAAGAGCGATAATGTTGCCTCTCGAGATGACCGGGAATCTTTGGGTCTGGCAAGGGCAAGCCTGTAATGAATTGATGGTATTCGTGATTGGGACTCGGGAGAACTTATTGCGGCTCTGGGAGAAGCGTGGACAAGCGAGGCTGGTCAACCTGGGGCCGGCTATTACACGGATAGTTTGCTGGTGGTCATGATACTTTCAATATTCCCGCAAAAGATGGATTTTGAAGACCATTACGCCGTAGGCAGGAAGATGAAGCCTTGTTATTGTCCGTGAGATGTCAAAGTTCTTGAAGCCATGTGTTCTCGCAAGCCAGAGCGCCTCGGGCCAAACCACCTGGTTCAGGGCTTGCCAGCGAGCTCATACAACTCATCCGCCGTGCGCTGATAGTTTGAAACGCTGCCGAAGGAAGTATGATGCAAAAGCGAACAGAGATAAGTGTCATTGAGGGCATTTCTGAGCCCTATTCAGGACCAGCTATCCTCCAGAGTATTCTCCAATAACGGAAATTCTCCTTTGTCAATAATGGCCCAAACTAGGTCGTTACCAATCCACTTTCGGACCTCGGCCTACTATATCGGGATGAATGTCCATGCTGCCTCCTCCCGAGGAACATTAAATTTACGCTTCATGCGGTGCTCGACAAACTGAATCAATATTTTCGCATTGCAAAATCCTTCCGCTTCTGCTTATCTGTCTATTTGACATTCGGTTGCGCCGCAACAGCATATCTGCCCTCCACCAGGGAACGATTTCGTG